CAGCTCGTGGAGACAGTGCTGCCTGCAGCCGACTTACCCAGCTAGGTGTTCCAGGGGCGCTCACAGCAGTGGAGACCGCGGACCCAGCCCTCACAATACTTTAAACGTAGATTATTTAGTAATAAAGAGATAGACGTAATAATATAATAAGTTATAAGTTATAGTAGTAATTTATTAAATAAAGTAATAGCTATAAAAAGCTATAAGAAGTAAGCTTCTTAGTATTATATATATACGCTTCTTAGCGTAATTCTATTTCTATAATTAGAATTCTAATTCTATTCTTATAACTAGAATTCTAATTCTATTCTTATAACTAGAATTCTAATTCTATTCTTATAACTAGAATTCTATACGTCTTATATAATTCTTTATATAATTACTTTCTACTTTATAGTCTTTCTCTAGTTTTCTATCTAGAGCGCGCTAGTTCTAGTTTAATTCTACGATTATAATAAAAATATTAAGGTTTCGCTTAGTTATTTAAGAAAAATAAGTTAATTTTCGTTAATTTTCCTTGCTAAGAAATCGTGAAGCTTTTAATAATATAGAGCTTTCGATAATAAAGTACGTTAAGCTTTATAATAGAATAATTCTATATAGATAGCTAGACTTATAGTAGTTAAGATAATTTTTAGTAAAGGCTTAGTAAAAGTAGTCGGCTTGCTTATATAGTCGGTTCGCTTATAAAGTACGTTAATAGATAGCTATAATTTACACAAAAGCGAGGTGAATCGGTTCGACTAGACGAAGCAGTACTACTCGACCTAGCAGGTGAAACATCGCACCTGGAGACCTCTCCTTGTGAGGGCTGGGTCCGCGGTCTCCACTGCTGTGAGCGTCCCGGAACACCTAGCTGGGTAAGTTGGCTGCAGGCAGCACTGTCTCCACGAGCTGTAAGGATAGGGTGCTAGCAGGGTAGGTTGGGTCAAATTCAGCTATCCAAAGGTGAGGAGCAGAAGGATGCTCCGAGAGCTCTCTATATACACAGGGTGCCTATGCCAAGGCGCTAGGCAGGGTCATGTGACTTGGGCGGAGCCGAGTCGGGCCGAAGCACCGAGTCGGAGCCGAGTCGGACCGTCACACTCCTCTACTTCCTCCTCGACATCTCTCTTAACAACAGCTACAGACTCTTATCCTATGCGCGCTAAACGGTACGAGAAAATCCGAAACGCGACGGCTATAAAACCTTCGTTTACAAGCTTGTAGAGCAACTCGTAGAGCGCGGGGAACGCCTCTGCTGGGGCCACAAGAGAAGGCAGCATCTTGGAGGAGCGGGGTAGCAGCGCTCACATCCCTGCTAAAGTCTATGGAGAAGCACTGGTACGAAAACGGGTGGATTCTATGGTGGCTTAACGGCGCCAGCTGGAATCGCTTTCCTCGTCCTGATCAATATTTCAGCTCGGGAATGGTGAGACCGATTGGCGACTTCAGGGTGGCCCGTGCACGGACGATGTTCAGCTCACTTATTTAGGTTTCAGCTTCTACTTTTAACATTTAACACTTTCCAAGAGACAGTTCTGGATTAGAAGGCCGGCCCGTCCCGTCCCGTCGTGGTCGTACCCGCCGCTCTCGACAGCCCTGTTCCTCCTCCGCCGCCGCTGCCCGCCTGCCGCCCGCCGGCCGGCCGCCCGGTAGCACGATGTCCGCCCTGCGGGCCTTGCACGATTTCCTCGTCGGCGCGATGCATATCGAGCGGCGGATCGATCCGTTCTTCCGTCCGTTCGTCGACGCGATCGCACGCGAGCCGCTCACGCGCCTCGTGCAGGCGCTGATCCGTGCCCGCCTGCCAGACCACGAACTGGGGCTCGCGGAGGAGCAGCCCATCGCGGGCGAGGACGACCTGATCGCCGACATCATCGCCAACATGTCGCAGTACCTGCGCACGCACTATGACGCCGGCACGGCGCAGCGCGGCGGCAACACAAAGACGCACGGCGTGGTGCGCGGCGAGCTGGTGATCCACGACGGCCTGCCAGAGGAGCTGCGCCATGGCATATTCGAGCAGCCGCGCCGATACCCGGTCTGGGTTCGCTTCAGCGGGCCGGGGCCGGGGCTACCACCCGATATCGAGGATGTCGGCGTGCTGAGCATCGGCGTCAAGGTCATGGGCGTGTCGGGCCCCAAGCTGCTGGACGACGAGCGCTTCACGCAGGACTTCACCGGCATCAGCACCCCAGTCTTCACCACGCCCGACCTAATCGCCAACGCGAAGCTGCAAGCTGCCGTCGGCCGCGGCTTGCCGCTGTTCTACTTTATCGGCCCCGGCGGCCATTTCCTCGATGCGCTGATGCAGGCCCTTTGGTCGCGCACGCAGACGAGCCCGCTTGAGACCGAGTACTGGGGCTGCGTGCCCTACCTGCTAGGCGAAGGCCAGGCGATGCAATACCGCTTCCGGCTCGCCGCCCCCCGGCCTGCGGCAGATCTTCGGCCACTGCAGCGACTTCGACGCCCGCGCCCGCGCTGACCTGCTCGCCTGGCTCTGCGCCCACCGCATCCGCGCCGCCGCGACCTACGCCAACTGGCCGGGCCGCAGCATGGCCCAGGTCCGCGAGGAGGCCGCGCTCCACGACGCCCTGCGCCAGGCCCGTCTCGCCCGTCCCAGAGCCTCGCCCGAACAGCTGCGCCCGGCCCTGCTCGCCGCCGCGCGCACCGTCCCGCTGACCCCGCTCCCCGCCCCCACCTTCGCCGAGAAAGTGGCGCAAATAGGCGATTTCCTGCGGCTGCCGCTGTATGCGGCGCTGCTGTCGCCGCTCCTCGTCCCCGCGCTGCCTTTCCTGGTCCTCCTGCTGCGCTGGCGCGAAGCCCACGATCCAGTGCTCGCCCCCGTCCCCTCGATTGCGCGCAACAAGCTGCTCAAATCCATCGAGGACCGTGACGTTACCAACCAATACAGCGCCATCGGCTCGCTCAAACCAGGCCGTTTCCGCCGCTGGCTGAGCCTCGCCATCTTCTGCATCATCGACTGGAGCGGCCGCCACCTCTACACTACCGGGCGGCTGGCGCGCGTCAACACCATCCATTTCGCCAGCTGGACCTTCCTCGACGACAAGCGGCGGGTGCTCTTCGCCAGCAATTACGACGGGAGCCGTGAGGCCTACAACGACGACTTCATCAACAAGCTTGCCTTCGGGCTCAACCTCTCCTTCTCCAACGGCCTCGGCTACCCGCAAACCAACTGGCTGATCCTCGACGGCGCCCACCACGAGCAGGATTTCAAGCGCTACCTGTTCCACCACCAGATCCCAACCCAGGTATGGTACAAGGCCATGCCCGGCCTCACCACGTACGATTTGGCCCGCAACACCCGCATCCGCCAAGGGCTCACCGCAAACCTGACTGGCTCCGAGCTCCGAGCCTGGATCGCTGAGATATGAGAATGGCCGCCAACGACGACGCTGCCGACATTCAGGCGATAGCTGATCGCGGCTTCAGTTCGCTCGCCGGCGCTTGCTACCTGCTGCTGCGCATCCAAAATCCCGCCCTAGCCAAACCCTGGCTGCGCTCCTTCGACATCGCCTCGCTGGCGCAAGCCCGCACGCAGCGTCTGCCGCAAGTTTGCCAGATCGCCTTCACCGCCGCCGGCCTGCGCGCGCTGGGCACCGAGGTCACCCCCGGAGCTGGCTTCGACCCGCAATTCATCGACGGCATAGCCGGCGACGAACGCCGCTCGCATCAGCTAGGAGACGAAGGCGCCAATGCCCCCGCTCACTGGCACTGGGGCGTCGGCGAACAAGAGCCGCATATCCTGCTGGTCCTGCTTGCCGCAAACACCGCCATCAACAGCCTGGCGAAAGATACATGCAGCGCTGCCGTGGCCGCCGGCTGCGCGGTCATCAGCGCGAATACCCCGACCACCACCACCACCCCCCTCGGCCGCGAACCTTTTGGCTTTGCCGACGGCGTCTCGCAGCCCGACTACGATTGGGGCGGCACGCTCACCCCCGGCGGCGCCCGCGACCGCGATTATCGCAATCTACTGGCCATGGGCGAGTTGCTGCTCGGCTATCCCAACGAATACGGCTTCATTGGCGATTACCCTACCGCCGACGAGCTGGGCCGCAACGGCTCCTACCTGGTCTACCGCCAGCTAGCGCAGGATGTCGCTGGCTTCTGGCAATGGCTGGCGCGTCAAGCCGGCGACGGCGCCATCGCGCTAGCAGAACGCATGGTCGGCCGTGAACTCGACGGCGCTCCCCTACCCGGGCTTCAATCCGCCACCATCACGGGCACCAACGATCCGCGCAACGCCTTCCTGTTCGCCGACGATGCCGATGGCCTCGTCTGCCCGATCGGCGCGCATATCCGCCGCGTCAATCCGCGTAGCGTCGACGATCCGCATGGGCGCCACGGCTTCCTACGCAATCTCATCTCCGCGCTCGGCTTCAGCGGCACCGCGATGCACGATGCCGTCGCCTCCGCCCGCTTCCATCGCCTCTCCCGTCGTGGCCGCCCCTACGGCCCGGTGATTGTGCCGCAAGCCGCTATGCAGGGTACGGGCGCCGGCCAGGAAACCGGCCTGCATTTCCTCTGCCTCAACACCAACATCGCCCGCCAGTTCGAGTTCGTCCAGGGCGCCTGGGTCGCCAGCGCCAAATTCGCCGGCCTCGCCGCCGAGCAGGACCCGCTGCTCGGCAACCGTCTGCCACTCGCCGGCGCGCAGCCGACCGATGCCTTCAGCTACACGGATTCCGGCGCATGTCCCCGTACGATCAGCGGCCTCCCGCAATTCGTCACCGTGCGCGGCGGCGCCTATTTCTTCATGCCCGGCCTGCGCGGCCTGGCGCAATTATTGGCAGATGGCTGATGGGCGGTTGACGGCCTCTGTCTACCCCTTCGAAGAGACCGCGAGTCTTGGAACCTGCTAATGAGGCAGCAGATCTATCAGAAATAGATACAACTCCGCTAGAGCCAATGCGAGGCGGGCGTGATCTCCATATTGCAGGTGGCGTATTCTAATAGACGGGATGATTAGCGGGTATCTGGGCAGCCCTGGAGCCACGTGCCGTAATTGGAGGGACTAAATTCTTGCTTGCATAATTCAACATATCTTTGCGGTTCTCATCCGCAATTTATAGATGCCATCTACAGTCTTGCTTTGCTCTATGTTCGACGCCCTGTTCTGCGAGAGGCTGCTCTTCCTAATCAGGATTCGTGTCATCCATAGTTTCCCTATTGTGGGGTGCTAATGTCACAAATGATGGATTGTGAAGGTGATGGGCGATAGCCCAATTCATAGTGCCCGAGGGAGGTACGAGCTCTTCCTTGGGCTGATGGGGCTGCTAATATTTACTTTCCATCCCCTGGAAATACGTGAACTCCTCCTGGATGTTGACGTTTGAACCGTTGCGTAAAGTAAGCTCCTCTATGGGAAGGTCGAATTGATGGAGATATGATTCGAGTGTGCATAGTTTGTCTAACGCAGCAGCATCGAGGTGTAAGGCTGGGTTGGAAAGCCAAATATCTCCGAACAGCCGATGGGTCGCCATTGACTTTTGGTGTCTGTTTGCTGCGCGTTGAAATTCGTCCTTGTTGAGATAAGTTGCCTTGTTGAGAATTTTGCTGGAAGCCGGTGCGCGTTGAAGAAATACGAATTTGCGGGGTATTTGTGGCCGCTCGCCGAAACACCGACTAGTGCCAAGGCTGTATCAGACTAATCTAGACAAACTTCAAGCAAGTGGGGCGGGCTGCAAGAAATATCTTTTGAGGATATTTAAATATTAAACGGGAATCTTTCCATCGAAAAAGATATTCGGTCGCTTAGCTCAGTTGGTTAGAGCGTGGTGCTAATAACGCCAAGGTCGCGAGTTCGACCCTCGTAGTGACCATAACATAAAAATTAAATTTTTTTGGGTAATTTCTATCATCGTTCAGTATTAAGACCAAATATAGTAGTAGCTTGGATGGCGATTATGCGAGACTAGCTAGGTATATCCATAGATAGTCCTAATGTTCCGCTATGATCTTAACTTGATGGCTTCTTTATGGATCATTGCTATGCATCTAGAATTTCCAGATTATGAAAAGCCATGACCCATCCTTCTTCGACAGCGTGTCCACTCTATTGTTGGACCTGACACAGCAGTAACTGCGTAGAAACGTCATCAAATGGCCCTGATCAAGATTATTGGATGCTTCCTAGGTCGAATAACGTCTGCGGAGTCCGAAAGAGACGGAGAGGTGGGCCGTTTTGGGAGACAAATCATCTAGGTCCAGTCTAATCATTTCTACACAAGGTCCGGAGACTCCCTGAAATGGAGAGCGGTCTAGCATCTACCGAGCTCTGCTAAGACGATCCAAAAGGACGTTCTGCGAGGAGCAGAGCAGCTCTCACTTCGAAGTTATAATGCACGCTGCACATCAGGGAGTCAAGACCAATGGCCGTTACTTGGTGGAATGGACCGAGTTTTCAGAAGTAATCACCACCTTTCGGTGAACGTTTCATCTCTTATGGAGTAGGGAATCTTCGCAAGACCCTTCGTAACAGTCTACTCATCCTCGTCCGCACCGCCTTCCTCCCTGAACCCCCCTGGATTCTGGCGAAACAAATCCTCCTGGGTGATCTGGCTTCGGCTGGCATTGGCCCTCCACCGTTGCATAAGGGGGCTCTTCGCTAGTGCCCTTAGGTCTTTCACTATTATCATTGGGGGTTAACAGGTAGTTTCTCCCACCAAACAAAACAGATACGAGGATGATCGCGATGAGCTTAGCCATGGTTGCGTGCGATGAAGGTAACGCGAGACGCCGGGCTCGCTGCGTCTTTATATTGCTTCTGAGGAGCGACAGGGTGTATGTATTGTGTCGCTGGAGAAGATGTAAGCGCTACCGTGCCGCACTATGAAGGTCAGACATCACCTCCTCTGTCCACGGCGACTGGTGCAGTGAGAGAATGGAAAGAAGCTAGGGTATGAATGCATAGACATGTCGTATGCAGAGACCGGGTCTATGTACACGTCAGGTCGAGGCGTCTGCGCTCATTGCGACTTAGCCAAGTCCGCTGCCCAAGGATATGCGGTAGGCATAGGCTGCCAGCTTCCTAGGTCGTCATAGTTCCTTGTAGTCGTCTTTCCCTGAAGCACCTTCTGCACGAACGGAAGTACATCTCCATATCCATTCGTGGCGCAATGTCCGCCCGAGGGAATAGACATTCCCAGCTTCTCGCCGGCACTCAACCAGTTATACACGGCCTTCGCGGCCGGAAATGTGACGGTAGCCGTGCCCTTCGAGTCGGTGAACTGGTCTGACGCGCCCTGCTCGAGAATAACGGCTCGGGGTGCGATGGCGGCGACGATGGTGTGGGCATCATAGGGCAGTTGGGTCGCCTTGTTGAGGAATTGTGAAATGCGGGAGCAGGTCCACCATCCGGCTCCTTGTTTCTACCCTTCGTTAGTGCTCAGCATCCGATAGAAGTCGGTGGTGCCTACAGAGTTCTCCAGATTCTCACCCTGCCCACTCAGGCTATATCTATACGGACCGGCGCCCTGGACGCCGGAGCACATGGGCATGGTGACGGCGATGCGCTTGTCGAAAAGACCAGCAGCTAAAGCCGCCTTGCCGAGGCGCGAACAGCCCGTTACACCGGACTTGGTGGCGTCGATCTCAGGGACTTTGAGCTCGATACCGTCCAGCACGCGATGGAAGCCCCATGCCCAAGCGGTTAGCACGCCTGCTCGTGTATTAGCGCTGAGAAGAGAGGGAATGGAACGCGGGCCGTACCGATGTCTTGGCCATTGTAGAGTGTCCAGAAGCTGCCAGTCTTGCTGTTGCTGTCCGCGGCGACCTTGCCATAGTCGAACGTCACGACGGCGATGCCGGCCTTCAAATAGACGTTGTTGTCGATGCCTCCTATGGCTATGATGACTGGGAACGGCCCGCTTCCTGACGGGAGGTTTATGCTCGCCGAGATGGTTGTTGATTTGCCACCTGCCGCAACGGTGACGACCAAGTTGTTCCCACTTCGCGTCGCGCTGACTATCTCTTTGGAATGATCGGGATAGTATCCATACTGGTACTCTTGAAGCAGCTTTAGGATCTCGGGCTGTCGGCATTGATACCATTCGTCTTGGCTCTTGACGCGGGTCTTGCCATCGAGGTAGAGCATCGGGTCGGGCATCGTTTTAACGGATGCGAGGTCCGCGGCGCTGGGCATGGGATTTGGCGTGGTCGGGCATGTTACGTTCCCCTGGCGCGGCAGCAGATCCATGATCCGCTCATACATGCGCGCCGGCGTTGGCACGCTGTGAGCGGTGGCCAGCAGGCCAGTGACTACCGTAAGTTCGAAGCGCATTCTTGTGGACTCTCGAAGTAGCTGTGTCAGCGGGTGGACGAGGAGCTACAATGCAAAGTAGTTATTAAAGAAAGCTGCGTTTGTCGTGCCCCGCAACGTCGCGGTGGCCTCGAACTGTTCTGGCACATGAGCAATTATCTTTGTTCCCTCTTCAATCTGCTGTAGATGAAGCTTTTCTTAGATCTGGTCTATCGGTGCTTGTGATTCGGCGGCTGATGTGCAGGCATCGCTCGCGTGGAGCCGACCCAAGACCGGCAATGAACTGTAGCGCCGTTTGTCCGCAGAGTAGATCCTTCGTAAACGGCCATCAATAGGTGTCCACAGGAGGAGCAGAGTCGCCCCTCCAAAGAGAAGACGTCGGATGCGGCCCGTTCTCTTGTGAGAAATTGAAACCATGGCTTCGTGGCCTTGTGATGCTTGAGTTTGCTCATTTCCCGGGTCGACATTCCCGGATGGGAATATATCCTGGCCGTAGATGCCGAGAAAGCCGGCTGAAGTAGGACCAATTTGGCGTGGGGCCCCGCCTTATTTGTTCGGTTATTCTCTAACGTAGACTTTCGAAATTCGGCGGATGAAAAGAAAAAGAAACGAGACGGTAAAGCGGAAAGATATGAGGCGGGCACGTGGGAACGCGTACGCCCGGGAGACGCGGCTCCGCACCGCCACACGCAAAGTGGCGTGCTTCGCTTAGCGCCATTCTCGCGAATAGAACGAGGCGTACTGCTACAAAACTCTGGGCAGAGAAGATCCTACTTTGCGATCGTAGGGCTCGTGAAGGATCTGAGCAACGAAAAATGACGAGAACGCGTCGGCGGCAGGTGAGGAATAGGCCGAGGTCCGTCTGAAGTTGCTGGACCGCCCTGCGCACAATTCAGCTGGCAAAGAGGGGCGATGAATGCCGATGCAACTCGAGACGAGAGACGGCCAGTACGGTGTTTGGCGGTCTCCGTGTGGGGTGTAGCGTGCGGGTGAGCGTGCATCGTTAGCATCTATTCAAGGCAGCGGGGGTCTAGGCGCGTGGGTTACGACTATGCCTTGTGCGATTCAGAAGAAACATGATGATGAAGAGAAAGAGGATGAGAGAAGAAATGAGAGTTGAGACGAAAGCGAAGGGCAGGCGCTCGGGCCCACAAATCCCAATACGGACTACTAGCTTGGGCAGCGACGACCACTGAGCCTTCTTATCCCCGACCCTTCGAGCGTTTCATCAACTACGTGCAATTCAACCACCGAGCGCACCACTCATAGCCGATCCTACATCGGAAAGCTGGCGGTGTTCTTGAGGCAGGAGTTCCTCAACCCAGCCCACAAGAGCCCGCTTAGTTGGCGGCGTCATCTTCCGTTTTGCGTGTATCCATCACTCTTCATCTACGGCTCGCCATTCCGATCTCTCCTCCATATTAAGAACTTGGGGAAACCCCGGTGGCTGCCAATGCCGAGAAATCGCGGCCGGGTACGCATGACCCGCTAAGCTTTTGCCCATTTGTGGAAGCTTTCTTGGTGCCAGCACGTTGTATATCATGCCGCATGTTATTCCTCGGTTATGCCTACCTCATTGACGCGCTGATGTAGTCTTCAGCATGCGCAACCAGCTTGATCATTTGCAGGTACAAGCAACCGCAGTGTCGCCGAGCTATTAGCCGGTGCCTAATGGTATCCTCCCCGCACCGATGATACTATTCTACTCCCACCATCTCGACGTGCTTCCTGCTTCTGCCGCATAGTTGCTGACGCGATTTTTGGCGCCATAAACATAAACATGGAGCAGGGACCTAGAGCCGCCGTTTCGGGAGTGTGGAGACATCCCCTCAAATAATAGGCAGTCGAGCCACAAGTATAGAAGAACGGTATCACGACGGTGGTGCAGTGCGCCCATCGGCTCGCCGCGGGCAAGGAAGATCGTTACGACCACCGGTTGTTTCGGTTTCGAATTAAACAGCACCGCCTCCTCGTGTGGAGAAAAGAAACAAACAGAATCACGGCGTGCTTCCGTAGCATGCATAGTGCCTCGCTAATCGGGCTGAAGCATATCAAACCGTTCCTGCCGTTCGTGGAGAAACAAGCTTCCCTTCCTAGGTATAGATTAGATGAACGGGTGCCTGGGGTAAATTTCCAGGACGAACGAATCTGGACAACATCTCCAAGAGTAGATTGCTTCCCAACTAGGGCGCTGGACGTATAAATTGGAGTGATGATCCCTTTGGAAGTTTGGTAGGCCAAGTCGCTGTAAAGCTTGTCGAAAGCTTGACCCATCGCTTCGTTACTACTATTGCCAAGCATCTGCTGTATCTCTGCAATTATGGTGTCCTTCACTCAACTCGCCCTCGCGGTCTCCGCCATTGCCGGCTCCTTAGCTGCTCCCGTTGCTGACGCCGACGCGCCTGACTTCGAGCTCACTGCCTCTACCAAGCATCTCGCACTCGCGCCCCGCCAAGACTACAACCAGAACTACAAGACGGGTGGCAGTGTCAATTATTCGCCTACGAGCAACGGATATTCGGTCACCTTCTCCGGTGCTGGGGATTTCGTTGTCGGAAAGGGCTGGAAGACTGGATCGGCCAGGTAAACATTTTCCAAGCTCTTCCCCGACGAGTGCTGAAGTCCTGCGCAGGAATATCAACTTTAGCGGCTCTACTACTGCGTCCGCGGGCACCGTTCTCGTCTCCGTCTACGGCTGGACCACTAACCCGCTTGTCGAGTACTATATCCAAGAATATAGCAACGGGCAGGGCGCCGCGCAGGGCTCGAAAGTCGGCACCGTGACGAGCGACGGATCCACGTATGACATCTGGAAGCACCAGCAGGTCAACCAGCCCTCGATCCAGGGCACCTCCACCTTCTGGCAGTACATTTCTGTGCGCCAGAACAAGCGCCCGGGCGGCGGCACTGTGACGACGAAGAACCACTTTGATGCCTGGGCTAAGCTCGGCATGAACCTCGGCACCCACAACTATCAAACCATCTCGACGGAGGGCTGGGGCAATGCTGGCGGTAACTCGAAGTATACCGTCAGCGGTTAAGCGCATTCGCTGGATTGGATGGGCGAAAGGCTAGGTAAAATAGCCGTGGCCCCGGGGAGTCCTTCGCGAAGTTGTATATAGTAGCGCAGGGAATTCCAAAGCCCCCCATTCAGCTTAGCTTGCAGCTCCAATCTCCGAATGTTGTGCGCCATCTCCGAGTGATCACCGTTCAGCTTACCGTGACGACGCAGGTAACCCCGCTGACCTCTCAGCTACTCTCCTAAGAGCTCAGCTCGTCTTGAGCTATGATTCTGTTTATATTTAACTTGTTTTTGGTGGCTTTTGTCTCTGCGAAATGTTACGAGACTTCATTTGCCCACCCGCCGCCCGATTACCATCCCGATGAGCCAGTGCTGAAGACGACCTTCGCCCATATCAACGCGTTACTCACCATCGCCGTGGCCGACCCCGAATATGCGTCGACGTCCTTCTCCGTTGAGATCACCTCTCCAAAGCAGTCGCTATGGTCTCAGCACCACACGGCCCGCGAGCGGAACACATCACGTCCGGACATCCCGGAGGTCAACGGTGACGCCCTGTATCGAATTGCAAGTATTACCAAGTCGTTTACGGTGCTTGGAATACTGCAGCAGCATGCCGCGGGCAACCTGAGCTTAGACGACCCCGTCGACAAGTATATCGAGGAATTGAGGGAGGAGCAGAAGGGTAGCATACCGTGGCAGGATATTTCGCTGCGCTCTCTGGCCAGCCAGTTGAGCGGTATCCCGCGCGAATGTAGGCCCCCTAGAGCGCTGCCGAAATCATGGAGACGCGGTGGCTAACGCTTCGCAGTCGCCCAGAGCGACCTCATCAATATGCCGTCTTTCTTGCCCGCCACACCCGAGGAGCTCGGCCTCCCTCCTGTGTCTCGCGATGGCTTGCTGAACTGCGATGAATATTCGCCCAACCATGAGACACCGTGCGATGTGAATGGTGAGCCAGAGCCGAAGTGCTGATAGGGAATAAACTGACTTCGGGGTGTAGATCTGCTCCGAACTATCAAGGCGAAGGAACCACTCTTCGCGCCAAACCAGCAGTCGACGTACTCTAACGTCGCATTCGAGCTCTTGGGCCTCGTCCTTGAGCGAGTCACGAATCGGAGCTACGAATCCTACATCGACTATGCCATCTTCAAGCCTCTGGCAATGACAAAGACTACCCTGTCGAAGCCACACGATAGCGCCGGCGTCATTCCATTTGACCCGCAATGGTGGGACGTGGAACTAGGCGTACAGAGCCCCACCGGTGGGATATACAGCTCGTCGAGTGACCTCTCTAAGTATCTGCGGTACATCTTAACCCACTACAACGGCATCACTCATGCGGCCAACTGGATTCATCCTGTGTCCCCAGGCAGAGGCCTACACTCTTTCTATGGCATGCCCTGGGAAATCTTTTATACTGACCGCGTACTCCTGAATTCGAAGCGGACCGTGAGATTCATCACCAAAGGTGGCGGGCTCCCAGGTTACACGTCCGTGATTATGACCTTACCCGACTATGATCTCGGAATTACCATTCTCTTAGCTGGACCACCCGCCTTCTTCCAAAAGATGCTTGAGATTGTGACCGTTCAGGTGGTCCGCGCCGCCGAACAGCTTTCCATTCAGCAGCTCCAGCGACGCTACGCAGGAACCTTTGTTTCGCCCGATCCCAGCCTCAACTCCTCAATGACCCTCGTGGCCGATGACCGCGGGCTGGTTGTGGAAAGTTTCGTCTCAAACTCGTCGGATGTTCTCAATTTTGCCCTGCCTAAACTCATGGGTGCGTCTCGGAACGGGTCCTGGTATGCCCAGCTCGTTCCGACTTTGCTCTACCGTGACGAAAAGGCGCAGGAGGGGGAGCTTTGGCGCCTAGTCACTACCGCAGAACGAACTGAAAAGGAACAAGACATTTGGGATGATGCTTGCCTCACTGATATGGATTCGCTTTCGTACGCCGGTTTGCCTTTCAACGAGGCCGTGTTCTGGCGAGGTCGGACCGGACTGTTCGATGATATACACCTCACCGCATTTAGAGCGAATTTGACTCGCATAATTAAGGACAGTGCGGACAGGTCGGACGACGAAGAACAAAGTGTCATGGAGCTATAGTCGAACGGCTGGGGGCTGCCCGCATGTCGCATCCATTAGCGGTCCCGCCAGTTTTCGATCGCCCACACTGCAGGCTCACATCCCAGACATCAGTGGGTTCCTGCGCATCGAATGCGCATCACACTGCATATACGCTTCTATACGAAGAACGCTTCTATACTTCATAGAGTATTTGCGGGGTCAGGTACGGGTGACGGTTACGTGCGCGCATTAATTTATCCGCAGCACCGGCATATGAGAGCATCATAGCCAACCTCAATCTCTTAGGTACGGCTATAGGAGGGGTCGTAGTTGATCTCCATTTTCGAAATTGTTTGCCATATTCGGGAATGGAACAAGGCAGACGGGGCCTAGGTCGAGCCCACGATGGCTATTTAAATTATCCACTCGCTCGTTGCCATTGTCGATGCCCGTCTTTGGTCTCGCTCGCCTCCGAAGTCTGCAGTCCTCTCGGCATCTAGTACATCTGTTCAAGCCAAGACTTAGCTAGGGCCGAGATCTCGCTCGAGTACCCAAATGATGGCTGCTCGCTTAGTCTATGCGTGGAGCATGCTGTCGCTGGCGTGCTGTGCGACCGGCGACAGGTACCCGAATTGCGCATCCGGGCCTTTGAGCCAGAACGATGTGTGCGACATGGGGCTCGAACCGGCGGAACGTGCGAGAGCTCTTGTCGCAGCAATGACCATGGAGGAGAAACTGGTGAACTTGGTCGAGTGCGTCTAGTCGAAGAGAAACACTCTTGTTTGCTGACGTCTTCTCAGCCACAGCCTTGGTGCGTCAAGATTGGGACTTCCAGCGTACGATTGGTGGAGCGAGGCTCTTCACGGTGTCGCATACTCCCCAGGTGTCCACTTCGCGGACTCGGGAAATTTCTCGTCCGCAACTTCGTTTCCGAACCCGATCACGATATCGGCCGCATTCGATGATGCTCTAGTCGAGTCTATCGGCCTCGCAATTGGCGCGGAAGCTCGCGCATTTGGCAATGCTGGAAGAGCTGGTTTGGACTTCTGGACCCCAAATATCAACCCTTTCAAAGATCCCAGATGGGGACGCGGTCTCGAAACGCCTGGAGAGGATCCGCTCAGGGTATCGAACTATGTGCGGTCCCTGCTGAGAGGGATGGAATGGGCAGGCGAGGACCCCGAGAGCATCGATGAAAAACGCCAGGTTATCGCAACATGCAAACACTATGCCGCCTACGACTTGGAGCGGTGGAACGGCGTGGTCCGGTATGCCTTTGACGCTATCGTGTCCTTGCAGGATCTAGTGGAATACTACTTGCCGCCGTTCAAGCAATGCGCTAGAGACTCCAACGTTGGGTCAATCATGTGCTCGTATAATTCGGTCAATGGCACGCCGGCCTGTGCGAACGAATACCTAATGCAGACCGTCCTGCGTGAACACTGGAACTGGACGAAGCATAACAATTATATTGTTAGCGACTGCAACGCCGTACACAACATCTACGCCGACCACCATTGGCTGCAGACGGCCGCGCAAGCCGCCGGAAAAGCGTACACTGCTGGCACGGACAACGTCTGCGAAGCTGGCGGATGGAGCACTGACGTTGTTGGGGCTTACAACCAGTCTCTGCTTAGTGAAGAAGTTGTTGATCGAGCGCTTCGTCGGCAGTACGAAGGCCTGATTCGCGCCGATTACTTTGCGACCTTCCGAGACGAGGCTGTCGGTTTCCGTTCATACGGGTGGGAAACGGTGAACACCGACATGGCGCATAAACTGGCGGAGACTGCCGCTACAGATGGCATGGTTTTGCTGAAGAACGACAGAATGCTGCCGCTTAGACTCAGCAAGAACCAGACGGTCGCTGTTATCGGATTCTGGGCCAATGATACCTCATATCGTATGCTGGGCAACTACAACGGCAAGCCACCATCCTATCGCACCCCGCTTTGGGCCGCCCAAGAGCTCGGGCTCGACGTCAACTATGCACCTGCTCCTGTTTCCGAAAATAGTAACTACAGCACTGTGATAGATGCTGCGAAGAAGTCAGACGTCGTGCTATACTTCGGCGGCATCGACACATCCATTGAAACGGAGGACCGCGACCGGACAACTATCACATGGCCAGATGTTCAGCTTTCACTTCTTCGCGATCTCGGTGCTCTAGGGAAGAAAATGATTGTGGTCCAGCTAGGCACACAAATCGACAATGCACCACTACTCTCGAACAAGGGCATCAACTCAATTCTCTGGGCTGGATATCCCGGCATGTTTGGCGGATCTGCAGTGTTGGATATCATCACTGGCAAGAATCCGCCCGCTGGCCGTCTTCCGATCACACAGTACCCCGGGAACTACACTGGACAGGTCCCAATGACAGACATGTCGCTCCGCCCGAGCACCGAAAATCCAGGCCGCACATACAAATGGTACAGCAAAGCGGTTCAAGAATTCGGATTTGGTCTGCACTATACCAACTTTACCGTGCGATTCGGCGCTCCGTATGACTCCATCGCAACGAAGCGCAATCCGCCAGTCTTCCAATCCAACCTCCTCCTCGACGATTGCGACAAGCCGCACAGGGACCTCTGCGCCTTCCCCTCTTTCCCCATCGCCGTCAAGAACAACGGCAACGTCACCTCGGACTTCGTCGCTCTTGCATTTGCAACTACGAAGCAAGGCCCCGCTCCGCATCCCATCAAAGAGCTAGCATCCTACAAGCGCCTCCGCAATATCAAGCCTGGAGAGGAGAGGGAAGCGGAGCTTGAGCTTACGTTTGGCGCTTTTGCGAGGGTGAACGAGAGGGGCGATACAGTGCTGTATGATGGCGCGTATTGTTTGATACTCGATGTGCCGGAGCAGCAGAGGCTGTGCTTTGAGATTTTGGGAGGGGATACGGTGTTTGATGTGTGGCCGCAGCCTAAGGCGAATGGGAATGCCACGAGAATCGCTTGAGCCCTGGCCTTGTGGGTGACGCAATGGCGGCTGATGGTTTGTTGGCTAGAAGGCACTAGATCACATCAATCAGAGGGTTAAACATCTCGCAGCAGGCCGTATGAGCCGTATAAGCAATATATAGGCTTGCTCCAGGGCTCTATATGAGCCTTATAGCCTGCAACGAACAATTTCACGAAGCAGGCCCTCTGTCACACCGGATATCAATTCCTTTGATGGACTCGGTACTAGAACGCTCCGGCTACCGACAGTGAAATGCACAATGCGATCTAGCTGATAATGTGCAGAGTCCATCGGGTGGGTTCCTGCTGTGTGAATCAACAATGGCACGCAATCGACTACTATATAGCATTCTGTTTCCTGAGGTTGTGTAGAGCAGACTGACCCCAACCAATATGGTAATCCCTCCTTAGTTGTTGACCCCGAGTATAAGCAACTTAGCAATGTCCTCTCCAAAGGACTGTAATCTCACATCCTCGCACGAGTACGACTGCGATGTTTGCGGCAGCGACATCTCCGAAAGCGACGGAATACTGGCTTGTGGAGAGCACTTCTATTGTAACGACTGCGCGGTAGAAACCTTCCATCGCTCACTGAAAAACATCAACGAGTTCCCAGCATCATGTTGCTCGAAGTCTCGGAATGGGTTAGCGCCCTCCCTATTCGCTGAGCTCCTTGGTCCGGAGTTCATGGAGAAATACCGTCTCAAGCTGCACGAGCACTACACCCCAACGGCCGTACGAGTGTACTGTGCCAATCCCAGTTGCGCTGAATACAAGCACCCCAAATCCTGGGACAACACACATCGGTACTACACGCTCGCACGATGTGCGTGTGGCACGACGACCTGCGTCGGCTGTAGGAAGGAATGGGCTCAAGACCATGTTTGCCGATGCTCGGATCTCCACGACGTGAAACCCGCCTGGGTCCCTCCCTACTCCTCTTCCTCTCGCATCAAACAATGCCCCAAGTGCCACGAGTGGATCGAGCTGGCGGAAGCATGTAATCACATGATATGCACTTCATGTAAGTACGAGTTCTGCTTCGTCTGCCAGCAGCGCTGGCGCGGCTTTCATGATCGGGACGGCTGCCCTTCTTACGGTGATCCGCTAGAGGGATACGATGCTGAGGGCTTCGAGCAGACAGAGCGCGGGCTGCATGTTTACTCTGGCCGTGATCGAGGCGGCTATGATCTCCATGGCCTGAATGCCTTTGGCCAGCGGAAGGATGGGAGTTATGTCGAGGGCTGGGAGGACTCGTCGACTTCTGCGTACTGGGACTGTGACGATGACTATCAGGAGCAGTACGAGGAGTACGATGAGTATGAGGAGCAGTACGAGGAGTACGAGGAGTATGACGAATATGACGATAGTGAGGAAATTGTTGATTATCAAGACCAGGGCGGCGATCGGGAAGATGACGATCACGACGAGGACCGGTTCCGTCAAGAAGCTGCCGAGGAAGGCGAACGCCTCTATTTCCAACACTGGCCGCCTCCAATCCCTAACTTCCAGCAACTGGACTGTAGCCACGATTGGGAGCATCACTGGATCCACAGGTCACCAGACTACACAAACTGCCAGGTGTGCCGCTTTACCATGTCGGTCTATTACTACACCTGCAACACCTGCAACGTTGTCCTCTGCGACTTCTGCCGCAGCGATTTCGCGCATCGCATGGACTTCTACCACGCGGGCGCTGACTGCTTGTGCGCACCGATTGTCTGGGCGGAGCGCGGCTTCCCGCCGTTCAGGGCGAGTCGGAAGAACGAGGGATGGGATGTGGATGGGGAAGAGGAGTGGGGAGTACGAGAAATGTTTGCGAAATGTGAGCAGGACCTGCATGAGGCGCAACCGTTTATGTATTTGGACTTTGGCACCAGGATGATGTTCGAAGAGGCTGAGGAAGAGTATGCCATCGCCAATCCGACGGTTGTGCTGATGTCGCAGTCGGACTCTGGGCGCTTTGCTTATGCCATGCCGACGCATGGTAATTGCTTTGAGGTGCTCGCATGCTTGTAGAAAGGTGCGGCGGTAATGAGAAGTGTTGGAGAAGAATGCCAGGGGGTAGGTGGCTACCTAGGTTCGGTAGCACTGGAACTAATTCGGCGCGCATTCCGCCGATCGGCCTACACGAGGCCGAAGAAAACCCACCGCCCAAAATTTACGTCAACGATAGCCTTTTTTTTTCTATTCGATCTTCTTTCTTTCACTACATCGCTGTGCGGTCTTTGCATCCGGTAGTTCTGACTTTTGTACTCTCGCCAAAATGTCCATGTCAGTTGAAGAGACCCAAGCACCCCGCGAGGGCTTTCCTCGTCCATTTCCTAATACGCCGAGCAATGTCATCGAGCAATTCCGAATGAATGGCAAAGCCATCATTGTTAACGGCGCGGCAGATGGGATCGGTCTTGCAGTAGCCGAAGCAATGGCTGAAGCGAAGGGCAATGTTGCACTGTGGTATAATTCGTAGGTTGCCATGCCGGGGATAGAAACGTTGGCTGACCTGTATTTTGTAATGCAGAAACAACGCAGCGGTTGTAAGGGCGGAAGAGTTGGCAAAGCTGCATGGTGTGAAGACGAAGGCGTATCAGGTCAACAGTGCGTAAACATTAACAATGAATCGAACCGTTGAACGCATCCGCTCACGTGAAGCAGTCACTAAACCGGAAGAGGTTCAGCACGGCATTTCTAAGGTAGTTGAAGATTTTGGCCGCATCGATGTCTTCGTCGCGAATGCCGGCATGGCGGACTCCAAGCCTCTCCTAGACCAAACCCTTGAAGATTATCGAAAACTCATGTCCGTAAACGGTAATTTCCACTTTCAACTACATCGCTCTAAGCCTCCCCTCCATCCAAGCTTACGCTTCTTAGTCGACGGCGTAGTCCACTGCGCCAAGTTCGCCGGCGAGGTCTTCCGCAATCAGAACCATGGCAACCTCATCATCACCTCTAGCATGAGCGCCCACGTCGTCAACGTTCCCGTCGACCAGCCCGTATACAACGCGACCAAAGCCTTCGTCACGCACTTCGGCAAATCGCTGGCGCGGGAATGGCGCGAATTTGCACGCGTGAATATCGTGTCCCCGGGATTTTTCAACACGAAGATGGGTGCCGGCCCGACGATCATTAATGAGGCCTATCGGATGACGCCACTGGGGAGGCAGGGACATACGAAGGAGATCAAGGGGCTGTATTTGTATCTTGCCAGCGATGCGAGCTCGTATATGACGGGAAGCGATATTTTGATTGACGGCGGGTATTGCCTCCCTTGAGTGGGTCACGATTTGCTATGGCGAGCTGAGGAGGAGTAAGCAAGGGGTTTAAGCACGCCTAACATCGCTTTTCTAGACGCCGTTTTGGAAGACGAGTACGATGAATGCGACACCCGAAACTGTACTACGTTGGACTGCTTCATGTTCGCAGATCTACTGGGAATTTGTTGGCGTAATGGAAACGACCTGTTCGCCCTGCTTACCGGTCTTAGGTAACCAGCATGTTAAAAGGCCTCGAATCATGGTCGTCTTCTTGCCCATTACTATTTTCTAGTGGTTGGCAGTCTCGAAAATTGGAAAGACGGTTACGACACAGAATACCGAACCGATTGCGATATACCGCCAAACTTTCGAGGACGTCGGTTGCTTGATCTCAGGACGTCAATACTGAATTTCCACTCGAATTCGCTTTTTCGCCCCTAGGAACTGTCCCCTGTTTTGCTGTGTACACTTTTAGCCTCGAATATGGCGTGAAATGCGAGGATACGAAATCTAGGGTAAGCTCGTGTTGTGCCGGATGGAATTAATCTATTCCGAAGCTACTCACAGGTCCACGAATAGTCTGCCCCCGCTGATTCGTGCGATCTAAGGAATACGCGATACCCATTCGGGAACTCTCCTTGCATGATCTGCGATCATCCCCACACTGTCATGAGCCGCTCCCGTCGCTACACAACGCCCAAGAAGCTTGGCTCGGGTATGCTTCTCCAAATCTGGAAGCACAGGGTGGTGCCGATGAAGTAATGGTTCGTATTACTCAAGGCCGACCAGCCTCGTGCGTAGGAGCGTGCTCAGAACTTCAGCCTCATAGGTTGCCTGCATCGGGTTGCTACTGGAACTAGATGAAACAATGCTTCAGCTGCTCGCATTCCACAACGTACCCCGTTTTGCGGAGCCATGCTATAGTTAGCTGATCACGAGTCTTTCTCGGGGACCGGTGGTAGTCTCCAGGAAAGACATAAAAGGGACACCGCTCACTCATGAAGTTCATCATCGGCACACCACATCATCCAATTCAAACTATTACTTGGAAACAAAACCAGCAGTTAGTTCCCGCGCCTGCCTGCCCGAGCCCGCTCGCTGACTCAACCCACAGTACCCATAACCAGCGCCATGCACCCAAAGATTTTCGTCGGACTCCTCAGTGCCCTCGTGGCAACCTCATACGCCATCCCGACCACCAACGAAGGCGAGAACTTGGACCTCGAGCAGCGTGCGACATGCAACAAGAAGCTCAAGTGGCAGGGCGGAGGATGCGAAACCGACTGGGCAGACAACTGCTACGACAGATGCTACCGACAGGGCGACGGCAAGAAGTGCTGCATGAATTCCATCGACGCGGATATCACGTCCCAGGGCTGCTTCGTGGGTTGGAACACGTGCGAATGCAGCTGCATGTCGCCGCGGTAAACGCTGGGCTGTATTCTCGCTTTTATGAGATCGGTCACACACAGAGACCCTCAAACTGTTTGGGGGGGCTAGGAGATGTAGGAGAGAGTACACTCGTTACTCGAGCCTTACAATGAATACAACTCTCGTTTGTGCACGGCCGGAGACTCCCCTTCTTCAATAATGGGCGGTTGTTCTTTCAAGGCACCACTCGGCCCTAAATCATGAGCCCACTACTAAGATTTTTCAAGACACTATTGGCATAATCACTATTAGGGGCACTACAGCCTATGATCCTACCCGTTTCAACCCCTGTCTCCCATCTACTTGGTTTTCAGACCCTTAATGTGCATAACACGTTGTAGCCCCTCTGGAATATTGAACTTGATCCTCTATGTCCCCGACGAGTAGCCTCCACACTTTGCTGACGGCGAGCTGGCGCCAAGCTGGGGCGTCCGAAGAGAACGTTTTCGGCGCGAACGGAGCAAATGATGAACACATATCATCGCAACAGAAAGTAAGAGAGATTCTCACAAGATACCAACTCCTATAACGCCTATGGTACATTCTGCCCTTGAACCCAAACACTAAACGACAGCCCGCATGCCCAAGCGACAGGAAAATGAGTGACCAACCGACCCAAAAGAGCTAGCAACGCCTAAACGAGAGACCAGAACCCCAACCATCCCAACAAACTCTGAAAGAGGGTAGTCGACTCCTTAGAGAATTTCTCTGACAGGAACCTCGCTGCAAGTATTCGCACCCGTCTCGTTGCACAGCGTGAGGCAGGTCGTGCCCGGCTTGACGAAGACCCGATGTGTTTGGTCGCCGCGCACATTCGTCCAAGTTACGCGGAATTGATCTGGCGAGTCTATAGCGAGACCGTCGCCGCGATAGCCCGCCTGGCACATGCAGAAAGATTGTCCCGAGTGCGCGTGAGGGATGAGAGGATCGAAAACGGTGCAAGTAACCCGATCGTTGACGCTAGCGCAAGCGCCATTTGGCCACGGATCATAGATGTCGCAGGTAAACGGGCAGGCATCTCCGGTGCATGTGCCAGGGTCTGGAATGCATCCTGGGGGGCATGTCGGGTCAGGGTTTGGTGGAGTACAGTCTGTGACCGTGACAGTGATGGCTTCCGGGAAGGCCGAAGAAAATGCCACCGAAGAGAGGAGGACAAGAAGTGGAGTAATGAGAACCATGATGAAAGATAGCAGTGAAGGAATAGGGACTGTATTATGAGTGTAGAGAGAAACGATCTTGATGCTGAATGACTAGGGAAGAGAAACTCCAGGTTTATATACACAACACCGCTCCCATAGCCACGATATATTTTAGAAAGCTGAATGGCTTGAAACTGGCGTCCAAGCTGAGGGAGTTGTAGCTGCGGTGTGTAGGAGAGCACGTGATCACGTGCCCTCACGCCCGTAGGACCTTGAGACGCGGCGAACACCATGTACGAACGGCGGGATACTCCGCCACTAACAAGCCGCTCTGCTCGAAGTGTAGCTACGTTGCTATAGGTTCGAACGCGCTCAGCTGCGGTGAGAGGAAAGAGCCATGGCCTTAGCTAGCCGACCAACGACCGCTATTTCGGCACACCCATCGAGTGAGCTTGGGCGTTTTCGGTGGATTCTTCCAGCTGATAGTAGCCATGGCAAAAGGCGCAGCGAATCTGGACGGTAGGAAATGTCAAAATGCTGAACGGTATGTGTCAGGTTATCAGGAGACCTGAATATTTCCCCCCGACTGCGGTGTGGCTGTTCGGGTGGCGAGCCAATCACGTCGCGATATATTTTCCCGCGAAAGGACTGAGCCATACAAGTGGCCATGTGCGCTTTTTGAGATGTCATCTCATTCTACTGAAGTAGATCTCCTCTGAAACAGAGCAGCAGTTGTTTGACGGTCTGCGAGATGCCGTCCAAGCTGTCCGGTACTTCCCAACCACAACCCAAATATAGCATAGCTGAGGCTCTAATCCACTTGAGGGGTGAATGATGAGAGGTAGCTGCAGCGGGACTGCAGTGGCGGGTCCACCTGTTTGCCATGAAATGGCTAAGCCGAGACATGGGGTTTGGGGCGTTCGTAAGACGTTGGAAACTCTCCTCTAGGGTTCCAGCGGGGTGCATGCCGTGCTATCGTCGTATTATCCGATTTCTGGCCTTTTCGACGCCTCCCCGGACGTAGCCCAAAGCGAAATATCGACGCGGAGAGGAAGCTGTCATCAGACATTCGTTGAGAACATCCACGAGTGTCAGATTGATTGAAGCCAGATCTTCGCCCAGAAGAGAGAGATCTGCATGAGGGTGTTGTTTTCCCTTCCTGCGGAAAGAATCTGTCCGCGATAAAAGGCATTTTCGAGCTCGTTGCTGGGTATGTCTGGCTTCGTAGTTCGCAATCCAGGACCTGTATAACCCTAGGCTGAGGGGCTTGTGGCCAAAAGTGCGGGATCGGTGGACGAGTTATTACACAATTGTTGATGGTATTGACCGTCGTTGTCATGGTCTAGACCGAAGATTCCCGCACGCTTGGCCGTAGTTTTCCCAAATACGACATTGACAGTGTACGTACGTAAATTCCCGGACTTCGACTGACTGTGGGTATGAGACCAAGAACCTGACGGCATGGAATGAAATGACAGCGCGGGGGAATATGGGGATATAATCCTGGGTATCGCACCTCGGGGAACCAAAACGCGGCGTACAGGGAGCTTCTTCGCGTCTGTAGGGCAAGTCCGCAAGTAACGTCTGTCCTCAAATGGTTAGCAATAGTAGCATAGATGGAATCTTCTTCGATAAACCCCTACTTGCTGCTTGAAAAGGTATCTCTTCCGAAGAGCCTGTTGTTCCATTCTCAGGGGTTCTCAGTGGTCTTGAAGCCGTTTTGATCTGAAGCACCCACTCCCGCAAATACAGGCCGCGCTCTTTCAGCCATATCGGATATTTCGAGATGCTGTCGTTGGGTCTGCGACGATTTTGGGCGAGGACTGGGAGGAAGGCTGAGCGGCTGCCAAACTTGGAATGTCGTCTCCACTAGACCGATTAGGACGTCCCGTGACGCGAATACATTGGATGCACACACGTGCATGCACCTCAACCGTGAGGAGAAGATGAAGCTATAGAGACGTCGTATGCATTGATTTTAAGGCCCTAAGGTGTCGTAGGTTATAAAGTTTTGATGCTTTGCCTGAGTCTTTACTTTTCGAGCTCTCCAGGTCATTTTGTCGAACCTATCAATCTCTGCGAGAGCGCATAATTCGTCCTAGGCCCGAGCCCGAGCCCGAGCCCGAGCTTGAATCTCAGAGGCGGACCCTCGTGGGCATGGAGACCTGGAGGAGTGCGCGAGGAAGAACAGAATCAAGAAGGGGATCATGGCTCTCGGAGCCCGTCCTGCCCCCTCGGTGGGATATACTAAGATGTCGAGCGAGAAAGGACTGCCTAGAATTGGCTAGAGAGGAGGTAAAATTGGGGGATAGATCGATGATGGGTCGAACCGTCAGAATGAGGCCTTGCCCCGCACCCTTGAAACCACATAATTAGCGCCAGGCCATTTGGATATAAACACCACCTCCTCGCTTGCTGCTGAACTCCGAATGCTTTCGCATGGATATCCGTCCAGGCTCAAGACGGAAATAAGCCATGAAACGTGTCTTGGCTTGGTTTAGGTACTCCATCCAATGGGCTCCATCGTCAGAAGAACTAACGCCGAAGGACCGCAGATGAAGAAGCCCTCGCGGCCGACCGAAAGCTCACTATGAAAATGCTACAATATTAGCTGGGGGAAGCGCGCTCTGTCAAAGGACCTCGCACGTCGACCCATAAAGTGGAGGGGAGCGACCGCGCAGCTCGCCTATGAACGCCTTTCTGGGAGTCGGCATGACAGGATGGCACGACCGGCAACGTGAAATACTGCCAACGTGTGCCAACCCGCTCAACAGGGCTTCCATACAGACGTCTTCGCGGAAGCCACTGAAATCTCTACAGGCGTCGTTACCTTGGGTTGGCACGGTCGTACGACGAACTGCCTCCATCATAGCCTGACACCTTCAGCCACATCACGTTTCGTCCAGCCACGTCGCGGTTCGAGGCCGAACTACAGGGCAGGCGACGAATAGCATGAAGGCGCCTGCCGAAAGTCGAATTTTGGGGACATCGAGACACGAGACTCTACGCCGTCTACCCGCAGTTAGAAGCCTACTCCCGCGCGGTGACCTCTGGGAAAGAACGTGGGTTTTCAAGGTCATCCCATGATGCATTGCAGATAATATCCGCCGGGATGCGGCATTGCTCCGTTCCCGCGTTCAGTTCTCCAGAATCCTCGCTCCCTCATCTATCCTCGCGTGGTCTTCATGTAAACCATGGGGCCGTACCCGGCACTGACTACACTCTTCACCCCTCCTTCAGAATGCACCTCGCATTGGACATGGCGGAAAGTCGATGAATCTGCTTCTGACACGACCACTCTGTATCACGACTACTCGGATAACCCAGTGACCACGCTGTGTTATCCGAATCCTGGAGGAGGATGGGCGAATCCTTTGGACATCGGGACGTACAGTCCCGCGATCTGCCCCAGCGGACATACCACTGCGGGCCTATGGTGGGATGATGCGACGACGACCGCTGTTTGCTGCCAGAGGTTCGACACTCAAGCTTTGCTCCCATGACTAGCGTGGCTGACGGAAGCTACAGCGGGTTCACATATACGGGCGAGATGAAAGGCTGCACGAGCACATACTCGACCTCTACCACCGTTACCATTGTCGACACGGCACCAGCTTCATCGGGCCAAAGCGGTGATGGAAGCTTTACGACATATACTTCAGTCGTGGGGCCTGGAGAAGCCGTCATGTTCGCGGTCGCGGTTATGTATCAGCCCGGCGATCTGTACGAGTTTCCCTCAGACGCTGCGCCGATACTGTTCCCCACAGCCGCCTCGACGCCAGAACCATCAGGGTCCTCGTCGCTAGCGGCGGGCGCAACGGCAACGGGCGGCGCCGCGCCAACGAGCAACACTAGCTCATCAGAGAACCCTTCATCTTCTTCCCTTAGCACTGGCGCGAAGGTAGCTATTGGCGTCGGTTCAGCCTTCGGCGCCTTTGTCCTCCTCGCCTGCATCGTGTTTCTGTTTATGATGCGCAAATACAAGAGGAGGCTCGATGCTCAGGAGCAACAGTGGCGGAATAGTATGGTGGTGGCGGAGAGGAAGGACTTGGGAGAATCGTACGTCGCGCCTGCGGAGCTCTCGACGGAGCCGAGACCGGTGGAATTGGATCCTGAGGAGCGTACCGGATTAAGGAGGAGTTCGGCGTATCATCCGCAGGTGGGAATCGAGTTTGATCGAGGCGCGGATGGCGCAGAGCAGCCCGTGGAGAATGCGCTGGGGATGGACGAGATCCACAGGAAGCCCGTAGGAGGGAGTTCATAGCCTGGACATTGCTTGCTTTCCGAAGTTCGCTTAGTTACGTCTCCCGCAGTAGAATGTGCTTTTTCCATCCAGGTCCAGGTCTGACAAGGGAAACTCCAGTCTCTTATGATCAAGGAATACAGTTTAAGGGACCCAGTCCCGCAACCAAAACTTAATCGATTTAGAAACACCGGCTCAGCCTCGCGGCCGGACGAAATACAAACTATTGGTGGCTTCAGCTGAGGACCGAATCGCGGTGCTCTCGAAGCGAGCGCGGCGCCACAACGTCCCAAAACGGCAATAACAGTCGAGCACAACATTAGATTCCGGTAAAGACCATTCTGGAGCCTGGGGAGCTGAAAACGCAGAGCCTCATGGGATTTCCAAAAGGGATGCAGCTGAAAAGAGGGGCATGTATTTAATGCGTCGCGAAGGGCTTTTTTTGCTGTATACGCGCGCACCAGCCTAATCGTCGCGTTCGTCAATTCGCTTCCACCATGAAGTCCCTGAGTTACAGCCTTGCGATTGCATCGCTTTCTAACACCATCGCTGCGAAGCTTCTGCCTTCAAACAACAGTACACCGCCGCTCGATGTGCGGGACATTTCAGCGCGGAGTCGCAACCTGCTCGCGCGCCAAAGCTATGATTATTGCGGCAGTATGCCCTGTCCATTCTCGGTCTCAATCTCCCGCACTGCTGACATTGTCAACCAGCGACTTCGTACTACTGCATCAATTCCAACTGCTGCGGCATAACCGTGTTCAACTGCATGGACCCAGGCGGCGAATGCTGCGCCGACCTCTCCGAGTACGGCTACGGGCTGTGGTGCACCGCCGGCACAACATGCGTAATCGAGAACGGACTTGTGCAATGCCAGGACGAGAGCGGGGACGTCTTTTCCGCAGATTCTTCGGCGGCTGAGATACCGACGGCGACGGCCACGGGTAGTGATGAGCCGTTTGAGACGGGTGGTAGTAGCAGTGGTGGGAGCAGTGGAAGTAGCGGCAGCAGGACGAAGACCAAGAAGAAGAGCAAGGCTTGGATCGCGGCTGCTGTCATCGTGCCGCTGATCGGCATCGCTGTCATTGCTGGCATCGTGTTTTTCCTCTTCATGTTGAGGAAGAAGAAGAGGGCCAATGCCAACGCCAGTGCCGTCCCAAACTTCAACCAGCAAGGTGGCGGCCCAGGGAATCCGCCGGCCATGACACAGCAACAGCCAGTCATGTCAGGCCCACCGCCCGCTACGCCCGCGCCGCAGATGGGAATGTCACCTATGCCGCAGCACGCGACTCCTGCTCAAAATCCCGACCTTAAGACTCCGGCGTATACACAGCAGTATGAGGTACCCTCGCCGGTTAGCAGCCCGCCTCCTCAGTGGACGCCGGCCAGTCCCGCTCCGACGACTGCGCAGCCCGTAGTCTACGCATATCAGCAGGGGGCAGCCCCTGAACTCCATGGCCAGGCGATTACGAGTCCAGTTTCGCCGATGAATACGGGGAACGGAGGTGGATATACTCCGCCGATGCAGCAGTCCCGGCCTGTCTATCCGAATGCGATGGAAATGCCAGCAGCGCAGGCGCCGAGACAAGGTGCGCAAGAACTCCAGTAGGCCAGGTCGGTCTGCTTGGTTGGCGTTCGGATTTTCTGTTGTTGCCATAGATGCTTTTCTCGAATCCAAATCTAGGCTCTTCGTCCCACGGCGCCCTCCATGTCGAAGGATTGGGTGTGAGAACTTCACTTCGAGTAAATTAATCGCTGGGCTTACCCACCACGACTCTAACATGAACATGCCCAGAATCTTTCAGCGCTCTTCACTTGCTCGGTCTGACCCAACACGAATTGTTAGAATGATGAGTGCTTCCACGAAACGGACTCATTCACCCAACTGCAGTCGCAAAACATAGAGAACTGCCGATGAATAAGTCCCACGACGCTCCACCCTCACAAACTCACTCGAGTTACCCCAACCCCGGGTCCCGTATCATTCCTCACCCGCGGACCTAGCGCCGCGCTAACATATACGACCAACACTGCAGCATACGCAGCAGTCGCGCCAAAGACCTCTGCTCGGCGCGCATTCGTGAGCAAAGCCACAAAGGCTGCAAATAGGAAGGTGAACAAAGCCACCATGCATATCCGTATCTTCCATGACCGGTCGTCCAGAACAGCGAGACATGTCATAGCGCCGACGAGAAGCGGTGAACGAATAGCTGAGAAACTGTATGCGACGTGGAGGAAAGTAGTAGATCTCGGAATGGTACTTGGTAGCCCCGGGCTTGCGGGACTGTGAGTTATTAGTGGCGGATATGCGCCGACTCAGCAGCTACATACATACCTGTAGACAGTATCCGAAGGTGTATCTCACAAATCTGCTCAAGCGATCATCTTCCGTAGGCTGGCTCAGGCTAACAAGATCTTCCTCTTGTTGAATGATCTTCTTGTCATGACCAATTAGAATGTTGCCGCCATCCGTGAAATAGCTATTGAACGCTGCAAAGGCGCGTTTTGAAGGTTGTGGGAGTGCTTGTATCTGACGTTCCTCCAGCAATGCTTGCCCTAGGGTAATCGTTAGCTGGGGAAAGCGGTTCAGTCGTAGCAATCCATACGGTATTGATGGAGGATGATCGCTATCTCCCGGTGCAGCTCGACTCTCTCGTGAGAGTCCTTCAAGAATCTGTTCTCAGGCGTATCGAGGGTGCCATTCTGATCCTCTGGGGCTCCGCTGAGCCTCCTTCTGTATTCATCGGCAGCGTCTCTCATTGAATCATAAGCCCTGGCGCCTTGCCGGAGCGACGGATTTCCTTGGGCATCCTTTGCATCCCTCTTGTCGAATTCATGCAGTTTTGCTTCAAGCGCATTTAAGTGGTTCTGGAAATGCAGAAGATTTCGCGCTCCGAGGCGGCTGAACCTCCGAAATATGGCGGCATCGTTATCGGCGCTTCTAAACGCGGAAAGTAGTGGGATACCTTTCATTCCCGAAGGCATACTCACCATCGCGGAATATACTCAAGCGAAAAGTTCATGTGTTGGGAGGATGATTCTGGGCGCGAGTTCGCCGGGTCTGCAAGCCACGCCTTGGCACTGAGCCCTCCCAAAACTTACCTCGTTCCCCTCCAAGAATCCCCTCTATCCCGATTCCCTCTGTGGTCCATTTCACTCCTGTTGCCCCGTTGCCCAAGAGTCAGCATCTTGAGAAAACCAAGGTCGGCCATGGATTATTCCGAGTACTCGAAAGCATTTAGAAGATTTGAGACTTTACGAAACAGGATCTAACGGCAGCAGTATTTGGAGGCCCACGGAAAAACGAGCTACTGGTGGGATGATGAGGTACGTCGACCTCTGGATGATCTAACAGCGATTGAATTGATGGGTCATAGATACGACCGGAAGAGCGGAAGACTGGATTAAGCATTGATCGAGTCCTCTTTCAATTGGACGCATACGATGATATTGTCAAACGCATCACGAGGGTTGAGCCCACCAGAGTCTCCCGTCGTTTATCTAGGGCGAACGCCCCTGCTTCGACCCGAAAGGCTACGTCAAGGAAATCCGGGTTAAGGATGATCGTCAATGACGAGCGTCTAGACGCCTTCGGAGATACCGGCTCATATCATAACATGGTCGACGAAGAGTATGTCCGCAAGCAAGGGCTGCCAATAGGCGGTCATGGAATGAAACACATGCTGGGCGACAAGAGCACGTTATCTTCGCTGGGAACTGTGGAATTGGAAGTCGCCTTCGAGGATGATCCGGCAAACCGGACGAGAATTGTCGCACACGTTGTTCGGGATTTCCCGTTCGATCTCCTTCTCGGAAATGGCTTTCTCTGGGAGACCAAAACGCTGACGAAGTTCTTCCATCGTTTCCAGACGTGCGAGTTTCCCCGGCTGGGTTCGAAACGTTCATTCCACTTCATCGGACACCCGTCTGAGCGCTTCAATGTAATGCTGGATGGCTCTCTCGCGGTCGCCGCATGTTTGGATACCGGTTCAAATTGCAATGTTGTCGACTCCACCTGGGCAAAACAGAATTTTCTCCATTCCGCACAGGTCCGGAGTACCAAGGTTGGCACTGTGGCCTCCGGTGAGCGGAGAGCCACGCTCGGGCAGGTACATACAACGATGATATTGCCGGACGGATTGGTGGTCCCGCTCGTTCTTGAAGTTCTCAAGGATTGTGCAGTCTCGTTTGTCGTTTGTGACGAGATCATATTCGAATACAGTCTGTACGACGAGTCGTACTCTCATGCATTCTCGGACGCTGAAAATGAGAACATGCTTCTCCACATGGACTACTATCCATGGTACCTCAATATTGTGCAGAAAGCGAAGGAAAAGTTCCGAGAGTCGAAACCCTTTACAAATACGATCAACGCCACTTCCGACTCAGACGAACTGGAGCGCCAGTGGAACTGGGACCGGGAAAACGGCTGCGGGAGGGATGCGGCCGTTGATGAATGGATGCACGAGTACTTCCGACGTGAAAAGCACGAGAAGGCGCTGTACCCTAACGTTTCCTTCCAAGACAAGATGCTGATCCGCTACATTCCAGAGGAGCTAGTACTGAGCGTGGGCGAGTCGCCGTTCGATCCGCGTGCGGTATCTACAGCCTGATGTTGGGAGAGAAGCCGATTGTGGGTACAGGGAGGTTGGTTTGGAATTCTAGATAGGAGAATGAAGCTATTCGTGATGAAATGGTGGAAATCAGAAGAGGTGAAGTGGACGCAAAGTTGAGATTAGGTACGACTAGCGTGTAGCGCTATTTCCTAGCCGACCTCCATGAAAGGAAGCCACGCCCATGTGTCAGAGATCCCTGAATAGTAAACGGCGGAAGATACTACATTTATCTATTCAAGCACAAGCCGGCCAAGACCGAGATTTCTCTATAATACATCCATATCCATATATGCTTGACGCCTCCCCATCATCCAAGCCCGCCTTTGAACGAACGCAAGGGATCCGCCAACTCTCGGGAGGTATGCTTATGCGCCAAAGAACACCGAAGTATGCATCGCTATACGCAAGCGAATCAATTCTTCAACCGCCTATATCAGACCCGCGAGGCCATTCGATGCGTATGCCATAGGCTTGACGTTAGGGTGCGGCACGGCGTCGAACTGCGTAAAGTTGAGCTTGTAGTCTGGCCCAATCTTGATGAAGGCGCCCTTGTTGCCTGTGCTATCGCAGTAGTGTGGCGCGGAGAAGACTGTGATGCATTTGCCGTCGTGCTCGACCTCGTAGCCTTCCATGCGGACTTCGTGCGATCGGATGATGGCTTCGAGCTTGTTGGCTTCGCAGAAGCGCTTGGTGACGTCGGGTCCGAACTGCAGGCCGACGCCTCGCTTGCTAGGTCCTCGGCCGGGCTGTGTCTGCGGGTCTGTCCAGAGCATCTCCATCATGAGGCCGGACTGGCCCGGCTGTCTTTGCTTGAATCGGTCCAGCTTCCTGACGTCGTCGAGAGAAACGTTGTCGTCCGAGAAAAGACCGCCATGCAGAACGAAGTATTTCTTGCCGATCAAAGTGGCCAAGGGTAGTGCAGAGAAAGACTCGGAGAACAGCTTGAACACCCGCTCGGTGTACTTCGCCCTGCACTCGCCTTCGAAGCCGTACATCCTGTTCATGTCGTCGGTCTCGTGGTTGCCGCGGTTCAGGAAGAACCTGTCGGGATATAGCCACTTGTACGCATAGAGGAGCAGCGCAATTTCAGTCGACCATGACCCCCGATCGACGAAGTCGCCGTTGAAGAGGAACATATGCTTTTCGGTAGGCTTGCCGGCGAGCCGGAATATCTCCATGAGGTCGAAGTATTGGCCTATTTATGATTAGCACCAGAATCCAAAGCCACGACTAAATTTCGGAGTAAAACCCACCGTGCGTATCGCCGCAGACAGTAATCTCCCGCTCGTCTTCAATATCAATCTCTACCATGGTCGGCTCCTTCTTGACAATATCCATGACGGCTAATATGATCTGGTAGGCGTACTTCTTAGCCAGCTTCTTGCCGTTCTTGAAGCGCTCAATCATGTCCTCGATGAACTCCAGTGTCATCTTGTCTTCCAGCTTCGCTCCGTCGTACGAAGCGTCCACAACCATGTGCTCCAGATCCAAGCCCTCGGCCGCTGACGGCGCATCCTCAACTTCAATTGCCTTCAAAAATGCGTCTCGCTTCACGACCTTGTCGCATTCCGTCATGCGCATCTTGGCCACATTGTCGTTGGGCGCTTTCTTGACAACGAGCTTCCAGTCTCGGAGCGCCTCTCGGTGGTGGAGTATCGCGGTGTTCGCGGAGGCGCGGCGGTAGTATGCCTGCGGGTTCTGTAAGTCGCCCGTCGAGCTAGAGACGGAAAGCCAGCCCGTACCTTGACATTGTTGGGGTCGAGCTCAATCGCCTTGTTCGCATCTAGTATCGCTGAGCCGTACGCTTCAAGTTTGATATTCGCCTGTCTCAGCCTGTCAGTGCGTGGTCGCGTGCACGCCACTATAGCCACCCACCTGCGCGCGGTTCGTGTAGAATGCGGGCTCCTTGTCGTAGGCGTCAATGGCCTTGGTGTACCAATCGACAGCCGCGGGCCAGTCCTGCTGCTTGAACGCCTCATTCCCCTTGTTCTTAAGCTCGGTAGCTTCAGCCAGCGAGGCCCCCATGGCGCCGGTTCGACGTTGCGGGAGTGACGGAGGATGCGAGGCGGAACTGCACAGTGCAAGAAGGCGCGACGGGCGGCTGCACCTGCACCTGCGAAACTGGTCGAGCGAAGCTTCCACAGTCGGCGGTCACGGCAGGAACAAAGAGCGACGCAGGACTATAAGTGACGTTGGCGAAACTCCACGGCGCCTGCTGAGGCTCCAAAAACCCAAAAAGTGGGTTCGCGATCCCCACGCTTCCATCATCGTCTCGCCCTGCGCGCCGCCACCGGCTAGCGATCCCTACCTCGCCCGAATAGGAAAGGCGACCTCAACCGGAAGCGAGCCAACATGCCGCCGAAGAAGGGCACCGCCCAGCCGATCAAGAAGAAGGCCGAGAGGGGCACCGCGATAGTCGTGGAATCGAGCGACGAAGCCAGCAGTTCTGCCTTCACCGAGAGCAGCAGCAGCGACAGCACCAGAGCCGTCACGTCGATCCAGGCACTACGGAGCCGGCATTCGCTGCACCGGCGAAACCGCTCTACCGCAGCGGACCCCGGCTCCAGCTTCCGCCAAGAGCCCGTCAACGGCTCCAGCGAACAAAGCACTCCTCACAGCGGCCTTGAAACCTCACCCAGCATCGAAGACAAACCCATTCTCACCGTCGAAATCCACCCTCGTTCATCACCAAACGCCTCTCGCACGCGACCCCAGCGCCCCAAGAAAACTCCCCAAGGCCGTCTTCCAGCAAGCCAGCAAGCCCCAACTTCCGAGAACCAGCCTCCCACCCAAGAGACGCTCAGCACGCACGTTCAAGCCCTTACTCTCAGTCCCGAGAGGCAGCCCCGGCGCACCAAACGAGCCAAAGAGCCCCCTCTCACTGGCCAGAGCGAGAGCACCATGTCCGCAGGAGGAGCCTACATCCCGTCGTCGCAGCAGCGCCACATGCGCGCCTGCATGGTGTGCTCCATCGTGCGCACCTTCCAGCAGTTCAACAGCAGCGGCTGCCCGAACTGCGAGTCCTTCCTCGAGCTGGCCAACAACCACGAGGCGATCCAAGACTGCACAAGCCAGGTCTTCGACGGCCTGCTCACCGTGAGCGACACGAGCAAGAGCTGGGTGGCGCGCTATCAGCGGCTGGAGGGCTATGTGCCCGGCGTGTACGCGGTGCAGGTGGAGGGCGTGCTGCCCGAGGATGTGATTGCCGCGGCGGAGAATTCGGGCGTCCATTATATCCCGCGGGATGGTAGCGTCAGTGAGGCGCTGCCTACGGATGCTTGAGCGGCAGCGGGGTGTAGGCGGGGAAGACGTATCATGATGGAGGAGGGATACCATGCAGCATCTTCAGCAGCGGCGTTACGGAAAAGGTTAGCATGGGCGCCAGGTGTTTTGGCATCCGCTTTTACGGACTATCTTCTACATCTGATTAGTAGATAAGAGAGTTCATTAAAGAGTGTATCAATACTAGTCCCGCACATGTGAATGGGCAACATGGGTGGATCAGAGCAAAGTCTCTGGCATACAAGCCAACGTCATTTGGGTATATACATCTCAAGCCAACTCAGAACCCCTGTACGCCAACCCATGCAACCATAACAACGTCAAGCGTAAACCAATCCATCTATACACCATACACCATACACCATACACCTTTGCCTCTTTCTTCTATAGCCAAAGCATCAAGCCAGCCAATGTCACAACCGACACGACCGGCGCGACTCGCGCTGTCAAAGCGCCCGCCCCGCCCATAACTTGATTCAGCTTCACAATGGCGCCCGGGAAGTTGCACGTTAGGTTCCACGGATCCTTCCTCCCGTAGCTCATCTGTCCTGCCAGACCATTCGGGCACGAGAAGCCTAATTGCGCAGGACAGCTGCGCACGATGTCGAAGCACAGGTCCTCGCAGGGCAGCAGCTCCTTGTACGGGCCTGGCTTAATCTCAAGGTCGATCATCGGATTCCGCGACTGGTTATACGCGAAGCGGTTACGCCGGGTGTTGTTGAATTCAAGGCTCATATTTGAAGCGTAGGGTATGCTTCCGTCCGCAAAGGGCGTATTAATGTTGCGATCATGGAGCCAGTCCTGCGTCGCGTTCCAGTCTTCGCACCGCGGGATGAGGACGGAGCAGAGCCAGGCTTTATAGTCGTTGCGGCAGTCGGTGCAGTTTCTTGCGAGCGAGTATTGTGCCGTGGAAGTGGTGTTGCAGGCCACTTGGTCGAGTGAGTTGGAGAAGTTTTGGTAGTAGGAATTCGCTTGTTGGTCGTAGAGATCCTTGAGGCGGGTCATGTTGGGTTTGAATTGTGGGGAGGAAGGCACCGCGTAAGCCACGTCCTCGCAGAAGTTGAGATCGTAGATTACTTGGCAGGAGTCATCTAGTGAGTGATTAATATGAGGCGCGATGAGCGTAAGGGAAGGGTGGATAGCATACCGGCCTTCGTAGTCCAGGTGAATTTCTGGAACACCTGGCCGCCGCCTCTTACGGTACCTCCATCGGGTAGTTGGAGATCTTGTGCACTCCCATTCACGGCCAAGAAGCCTGTGTATCCAGTATTACTCTTCAGATTCTGGACATGAAATTGGCCTTTCGGGTAGTTGAGCCCAAACTTTTTTGTCACCGAGCTGCTGACCGTGATATTGTTCGTCGCATTGAACTGCTCTTTTAGACCACAAAACGAATTTTCCAAACCCATCATAGGACTCCAGGTGCCGTCGGGAAAGGCATACAGGGTAAAGGGCAGAGGCGACTGTGACCATTTGTCAAACTGGTCAGAGCTGTTAGAGGCGCTGAGATTGTAGGTGATGAATAAGGCAGATTCGCTGTCCGTATCGACAAGGTATATGAACTGCGTGGCGTTGTCATAGCTGTGGTAGTAGCCATCGACACTGGCAGCTACTTCGAAATGCCAACTCCCATTCCAACCTTGCGGTAACGAGGGGGCGGAGACGCCAATGAATACGTCGGAGGTAGTCTGCAGTGTAAAGTTTGCGAATCCTTCTTTGAATGAAATAGGGTCCGTGAGGAGGTCGTTGGTAGAATCTGGTCCTGGCTTCGTGTTCTTTGTCGAGACATATAGAGTGAGCTGCGGCACGTCCCCAGTGATGAGAGCAACATCCGGTGTGGGTTGGCGACATGTATTCGCGGAGATCCAGACTGTGTTCCCTGCCTGTCGCCTCTTGAGCTCATCTCTCATGTCATCCTCTACAGCTTCCCCCTCTTCCCTAATAACCTCTATCTGCCCTGTTCCGCTCTCCGACGCGTTTTCCAAGCCGCGGGCATGCAGCGAGTCAGCTAGTAATGTTCTTGCCCGCAGCTGGCTCTTCTCCAGCACAAAGTATTTTGTCGTCCCCGGATTCGCATCCATCTCCATCGCCTGACTGTTCGTCAGCTTCTCCACCTCCTGCTGTTGTCTCCCTATCAAGCTCCGATCAAAGTAGGCAAAATCCGGCGCATATCCTCCATCAACCCCTTCTTCCCCCATGCTATCTTCCGCACTTATCAGCGATCCATCTGGCGGCGCGGGTGGTATCGATTGGCCAAACTGGCTATGCTGGACGTCTTCCGGAGCGATGGGGAGTTCGGCGGCGTAGACAAAGTGGTGCGGTTGGAAGGATATCCATATTACGACGAGAAGACACGTCGCAACGGCGGAGGCGAGTAGCCTCGATTGTAGAGGCGTGAGCTTGGGGAGCTGCATCTGTGGGATCTTTGAAGATTGCGAAACGTAGTTGTTGCGCAGTCGCGCGCAGGTGCGCCGGGGGTTACGGTCGGCCTAGCAGACGGGAGGGTATCATGGGCGATTCGGGGGCTCCGGAAATGTCCGTCGGGTTGTTCCTGGGTTCCAGAGGCGAGCAAGCAGTGTGGTGTGGTTCCTGGCACAAAGGCGGAGTGCTGGGAGATGGAGCCCTGGAGGTCCGCATCAGTGCCAAGACGCCGGTACATGTCTCAGGTCGAGGGCGGACATGGGTTTCCTTTTCCTCACTCGGACGCCACAAATTCGGGGAGAGCCTCATAGAAGCAAAGCTAGAGAGTGAGCAAGGCCATTGATACTCTAGAATCTTACGAGCCTTTCCTTGCCGACGAAGAACTGCCACGTTTGACTTGAACTGACCAGCGGATGATAGCGCCTGGGTTCCAAGATTGGGGCTTGTAGCGCTTTCTTGCATATGAGCAAGTCGACTCACGGGTCCCGCTCGCTCTTCAGTGGTTCCGTCTGTCTCCAATGGAAGTCTGCTTGGCTGCGCACTTGATCGATGCGATTCCCCGCCGTGCTGAAGGCATGCCACTGCCACCTGCGCGACCCCACGTGTTTTAGCACTTGCCCCTTTTAGGCAGGGTATTTACCGTCGCACATCGATTCAGCCTGACTCCCCATGAAACCCCACCACACAACGCTTTATCTATATACAGTGTTCGACCGCTCGGCAACGCGTGTCTTTCTAGCTCAGCAATGTGATAGCGCATCCTAGCCACCAAAATGTCGCCATATCAGCACCTCTTCTCCGCAAACGCCGTCCTCAACGTCTGGCGCAACCTGCGCAACACACGCGACCAGAATGACCTCCTCCTCACCTTCCAGTACCACCCAGACGACGTGCGCGGAGCGAAGAACGGAAAGTTCGGAAAGGGCAATGCCGTCGAAACCACGACCGAGGACGTGGGTCGCCGACGTGCCGTGGACGGAGGAGGGGCCGTGGATGGGAGGAGCATAGGCTTCGTGGTGCCATGGCGAAGCATGCAGGCACAGAAGCGGGAGCTGAGGGAGAAAGAAAAGGAGCTGGCGGAGGCACTGGTGGTGCTCGCAGGAGAGGTGGCTTTTACCGGTACATCAAACCCCGAGGGTGTCCACGGCGTATGCTGCGCGTGCTGACCGCGCTATAGATCTCCCGCCTGCCCTCCAGTCCTCCCTCACGCAGAACCCGCTCATCCAGGTCCGCCACCTTGCGGCCGGCATATCGCGCCAAATGTCCAAAATCGAGCTTCAGATGGCGGACAACGCGCCTTTCGCTCAAGGCAAGAATCTATACACTGGTGGAGAGATAATACGCAGATTCCTGCCTCCGATACAGACCCTCTTCGAACAGAGACCGGTCCCACAAAGGATGATTTTCGAGCTCTTGATGGAGCTGAAGGACCTGGTGTATGCCGGGATGGTCGGCTGCGAGAAGGAGGTACTGGAGTGGGAACTCAACAACTTCTCGTCCTTCGAGGATCTCGACGAATGCATAGTCCGCGCCATAACACCCGTATCCTCGGGACCATCACAAGACAAGGAACCAAACACCGGTAGGAGGCTCCTCAAACGGAAACCCTCCTCGCTTCTTCAACAGCCGCCCCCACCAAGACACTGGCTCCACGACGAACAGGAAACCCTCTATCACCTCGAATCCCTCGAAACTACTGCGGCGGCTATGACGCATCTCGGCATCCCCGTCACCGACTTCGTCGCCAAATCGGTCATTACGCTGCGGCGCACGCTTCCTCGGCAAATCTTGAATGATTTCGCCATACAAAAGAAGAGAAGGATAGGGACGTGTGCCGAGTATGCGAAGTGCATGAAGTGGGCGGGGACGAGCTGGACGCAAGGAGGAGGTTGTAGGAGGGGATGTCAGAATGAGGATGAGGATCCAGAGGGATTGCCAAGTTGGCATAGCAGTAGTCGGTGGTTTGACGAGCGGGGGACGCACATGGTGGGTGGAGGCAAGAGGGACGACGAGAGTAGAGCTGGAGTGATGAGGTTGGGCGAGACGTAAGGCGAATTCTCTTTTTTTGGATACGCTGGATATGGCTAGATTGGAAGGCACTCCAGCTGGACGATGTCAACGAGCATCGCGGGTCTCCTTTCTGGGCGGGGCAAAGGCGTCATAGGAGTTTGGGGTACGGGAGGGTGGAATGTTGGCCAGAGATACCCTTATAGCTACGCAAATCTATTTGATTGTTATCGCCTCTTCTGTCATACTACCCCTCTCTCTATATCGTACACTTAACGCCAATTGCATGTACTTGATCCGACCAATGGCCGAGACCGCAGCAGGTAGCCGCCCGGGACAGGACGGGGACAGACACAACAGTTAAGTGTACGAAGCATCATCCTCCCCACTACCGTGCCACTCGAACAAGCCACCGCGGCAGTCTGCCAATCGACAAAAAGCCGTATCAAGGCAATGATGCATTCTAGAATCTCTACATGCAACTCTTACAAACACGCCTACTAACCACGCTCTACAGCAGTGACAACATCGCCGGCAAAGCGGCCGCGAAGGAGAGCCACCGTCATGTGATGCGATGCAATATGCCAACCATGCATCCACCCCCACCCGCCATAGTATACACATACTTACAACTTCGCCTTCACCTTGCCGTTCGCCTCCTCGACAAGGGCCTCGTCATACAGCTCATCCAGATGATCTCTATATGCCCGCGCCGTCTGCGCACGCTTCAACTTGAGCCTACATCCTCGTTAGCATCCGCTTTCACTTGCATATGCATATCAGGAAGAAAGAAGTATGCACTTACGTCGGGGTTAAAAGCTGGTTGTCCACCGTAAACGGATCCAAGAACAGCCTCACGCTCTTCACCCTTTCATAGCTGTTGAACTTGTTCTTCCTGCCAATGCGATCCAGTTCCTTGAGCACTGCCTTCTCTACCTTCTTGTTCCCTAGCGCGGCCTGTAGTTTCTCCGTGTCTGCTGGGTCGATCTTCTCGCCGAGGGCTTTTGACGCGAAGGCGGGGAAGAGGTCCGGCGCGACGCCGAAGATGCCGACGAGGAAGGACTGATGCGAGTCGCCGTGCACGTACGCGGTAGCCATCCACCCGCAGTTGGCGAGATACACGTTCTCGATGCGCTCGGGGGAGATGTATTCGCCCTGGGCAAGCTTGAGCACGTTCTTCCTGCGGTCGATGATCTTGAAGCGGCCGAGCTCGTCGATGGAGCAGATATCGCCTGTGTGGAACCAGCCGTCCGCATCAAGAGCCTTCTTGGTCTCTTCCTCGTTGTGGAAGTACTCCCGAAACTGGGTAGTCGAGCGGATGAGTAGCTCGCCGCGCGGGTGCGGCTTGTCGGTGGTAAGGTACTCCATGTCTGGCACGTCGATGAGGCAGCATTCCGAGTTGGGCGTAACGCCGCCGCAGTTGCCCGCGGAGAAGTCGCCTTCCGTCTGCACGATGGACACGGCGTAGGTTTCAGTAAGGCCGTAGCCTTGGGTGAAGTTGTTGCCGAAGACGATGCGGAGGAACTGGTGGAGGCTGGGGTCGATGGGCGCGGAGCCGCTGACCATTACTTTGCACCTGTCGAGGCCTAGTCCCTTTGCGACCTTCTTTGCCCATATGCGGTCATAAATCGCGTGCTTGTTAGTGGGATTGTGCTTGTCGTTGATGGCAGCCAGCTTCTTAGAGACGACGTGCCGCGAAAGCGTGCCTCTGACGCCTGACTGCTGGACCGTGGCCTCCTTGATCGCAGATCCGAACCGATTGTACAGTCTCGGAACGCCGGCAAATACGGTGGGCCGGAGCATCTTCAAGTCGTCCACCAGCTCGGCGATATTGCCGTGGAAGTAGCCAATAGCGGAACCCGCTGCGAGCGCCGTGTGCTCTCCCAGCCGCTGATAGATGTGCGCGAGCGGGAGGAAAGAGCAAATGATGGTGTTTGGGTCTGTGTTCATCAGGATCATACTGGCACAGGTTCCAGCTTGGGCATTGCGGTGCGTGAGCACAACACCCTTCGGGTCGCCTGTCGTCCCAGAGGTGTAGTTAATCGTAACCAGGTCGTCCGGCTTCGGTGGACTGTAAGGGATTGGCTGTCTCTCGCCCAAGGCTTCCACATCTTGGATGTAATGGATGGCCACACCCATGTCACTGGCCAGCGAATTCAGCAACTCCCCTTTAGACTGCCCAGGAAGCTCGCCAGCCGAAAGAGGATCCAGAGCAATGATGATCTTGAGGGACGGCAGCCGCGGCTTCAGCTTCAAAAGGGGGGCTACATGGTTCAGGCCCGCGACGACGCAAGTTAATTGGGCGTGGTTGATGATGAACTCGGTGGTGTCCGGACCCAGTGTATCGTATATCGAGACGGTAAATAGGCTTTGGGACATGCATGCCAGATCTATGCAAATCAGCTCCCCTCCCCATGCCGTGTAAATCAGACAGATTCCTACCAGTTATCTGCCATTCGGGCCTGTTCTGGCACCAAAGACCAATGCCATATGTCTTCTCCGTGACGCCCGTCTGCCTGTGCAGATGCACCAAGCCGGCACCAAAGTTCTTCCTCCGTCCCTGAACCGTCTCATAGTCCTGCCATACGTATGCACCAAAACGTTTTGTAACGGGATCGTACGGGCGGTGGCCTAGGCATTTATTCTTGGGATGTCGCGCAGCTGTCGAGAATTAGCGACTTCCTTCGCTTGTGGCGTTGCGTTTTGCTACGTACCAGCCGCCTCAAAAGCTTCGTGCGCCGTTGTGATCTACCGATGGCTCGTCAGCGCCTCGAGTCCTTAAACCTCCACAGCCCGAACATCAATTTCTCACTAGGCAGGACTGGCCATACCGCAGGATCCAAAGTCTCCAGCAACGGCTTGTCGACGAACCTCCAGTTCCGGTACACGGCGCTGCGGCCCTCGATTTGTGAGCCCGGAATCGGTACGCTGTATGGCTGGCCCTTTGGCGGCGGCGCCCCCAGCTCGTGAGCGCGCTGCATCTGGAGATCCGGTGTCCCAAACATGATTGCGTCCGTCTGACAAGTGTTCGGCCTATTCGCAGGTATCAAGGGTCGGTTCGCGAGCGGGTGCAATGGAGTACTTTAGGTGGGATTTCGGAAGGCAGCGCGGGAGGTCGAAGTCGGAGGACCGCAGTCGCACAGTGAGCCTGCTCAACTCGGGATCCAAGATTCTGCCCCATTCTCAAGGTCAGTTGCCCGCATTCGTCGTGGCTGGGGTTTGGTGTTCGGCGTGTCCGAGGTGCATGACATACCTAGGCGCTTGGCAGCCACGAATGGTATCGAGTACAGCTGGGACAGTTACAGCTTCAGCACGAAGCCTTCTAAGGTTCAAAATCCCGAAGTGAGGTTGAAGAAGTTGTCAGGACGCTGAGGCAGAAATCAAATGGAAGCTCCGGCAGACAAAGAACCGCGGCTTCTCGAGGTAGCAGGGGCGGTGGGGCCCTTCAAAGGGAGCTCTTACATGGAGCCTCGGTATATCCACTTATAGACCAATGATGTCAGGCAAAACCCGGGCTAAGAGGCTTGAGCTTGGGTCGCCGGTGAGCTGGATGATTCCGGCAACGGAGCGCCGACAGCCGACAGCAATAGGCACTCTCCGCCGGGACTTCCGTTGAGAACCTACCTTTGTACTGACAGTGTTGCACGGGAATTTAAGCTTAATCTCAAGCTTGGTGATCTAATTTCGGTTGACATGGGCATGTTGTACTTACTTTCGCGAGCGAGTGGAAACATTATTCACGAGCCAAATCTCACATGCAGCATGATGATGTTCACGTTCACATGCGCGGGATCTGGGGAATCGGCCACGCGACGAGATCTAAAATGCAGCCACCGCGGAAGCGAGCCCCATTCGCGCTTAGCTTAATGATGTTACCGATCACGGGATTGGCGTTCTGATGCACGCTAATCGTCGGCATTGGACAGGTTCCTCGGCCGAGTAATCCCATCACACGCTGCATGAGGGCCATGCGAAGGCAAAGACGCTGCGTACGAGCAAGGAGACACTGAACGTGAATCAAAGCGGCGCCTCAGAACGGCTTCTGCAGAAACGGTTTTTCCTTGAATCTCCTAAAGACATCGCTTTCAAACTACTCCCGCCATGCTACCGAACACCTAAAGGACCGGAGATCGTGGCCGTTATAATCGAGGAGAGGGAATTGGGCCATCTAAAGCACACTTTTAGCGACTCTACACAGAGCCAGACAATGAACCGGCAGTCTCCCCGGTCTTCACAGCGTTGGCAGCCTCACCCTTCTCCTCTGGCTTGGTGGCCGACTTCTCGAACGACTGCTCGAAGTCTGCGATGATGTCGTCGATATGTTCGGTGCCGACAGAGATTCGAATGAGGTCCTGCATGGAGAGTTAGCATTGCGAAGCGTTTTGTGAATATCCGTCGCTTACCTCTGTCACCCCAGAGCTAATCCTCTCCTCTTCGCTGAGCTGCTCGTGGGTAGTAGTCCAGGGATGGATAGCAAGAGTCTTGGAGTCACCGACATTCGCCAGATTCGAGATGAGCTTGAAGTTGTCGACTACCTGGCTTCCCGCAGCACCACCGCCCTTGACACCAAACGACAGGACGCCGCCAAAGCCGCGCTTGAGGTACTTCTTTGCTAGCTCATGCGAGGGGTGGCTTTCCAAACCAGGATATGAAACCCAGCTCACGTTAGGGTTGCTCTCCAGCCACTTAGCTAGCTTGAGCGTGTTGTAAGCATGGCGCTCCGCCCTCAGGCTGAGAGTCTCGATACCAAGGAGCAGTTGCTGTGCAGCGAACGGGCTCATGCACGCCCCTACGTCTCGCAGAAGCTCGACACGCGCGCGGATGATGAAAGTAATCGGGCCGAACGTATCCCAGAACTTGAGGCCGTGGTAGCCTTCGGATGGCTCATTGAACTGTGGGAAGCGCTTCGAATGCTTTCCCCAGTCAAACTTGCCGCTGTCGACGATCACACCGCCGATTGTTGTACCATGGCCTCCTATCCACTTAGTAGCAGAGTGAACGACGATATCCGCGCCGTGGTCGATCGGGCGGATGAAGTAGCCACCGGCACCGAAGGTGTTATCTACTATGACTGGAACGCCGGCCTCGTGCGCAATCTCGGCAATCTTCTCGAAGTCTGGGACGTTGTATTTCGGGTTGCCGATGCTCTCCAGGTACACAGCCTTGGTGTTGTCATCGATGGCCGCTTTGAAGTCCTCTGGCTTATCTCCGTTTACGAACTTGGTCTTGATACCTAGACGCGGGAGCGTAACCTTGAGCTGATTGTATGTGCCTCCATACCTAGGCACTGTCAGCTTACTGCTACGTTTGCAGATTTCTGTTTGGCGTACAGATTCGACGTAGAGACAATGTTATCTCCCACCTGAGCAAGGGTCGCAATGGCCATAAACTGAGCGGCCTGGCCAGATGACGCAGCTAGAGCAGCCACGCCTCCCTCGAGGGCAGCGATTCGCTTCTCGAAGACGTCAACCGTGGGCTACGGTTCCGAGTGTACGTCAGCAATGCTTCTCTGCATGATTGGTTCCAGATATCGGCCCCTCAGATCCTAGGAAGGCGGACACTCACGTTCATAATGCGGCTGTAGATATTGCCGAACTCCTTGAGGCCGAAGAGCCTCGCGCCATGGGCAGAGTCATTGAAGGTAAACGACTGCGCCAATCAGCTCCCAACCCTCAAAATCAAATGTATCCTCTCAATTGAACGTACGGTAGTGGCATAGATGGGCACAGCGCGGGCATTCGTCGCGGGGTCGGGCGATTGACCTGAGTGAGCCCTCGTCAGCGGATTCCATATCTCGGGTTGGGGAGAGTGTACCGGCGTGCAATTGCAGCGTCTCGAAGTTCTTGGAGATTTCGTCAGCCATGGTTGCTTCGATTTTGCTTTCTGGACGAGGGTGTGGAGGTAGAATTCAGCGTCGATGTCGTATGTAGCGTCGAAGGTTGGGGTATCGTCGGAAGGAGGTCTGGATGGCAGCTTCCAAGGAGCAATTGTGCAAGAAACAGCGACCGTCACGTCATACAAAGCTAGCGCCCTGTGCTCTTTCTTTTCTCGCCTGTCGAGTGTCTGCTTCTGTAGTCCCCAACTCAACCTTCCCCCGGACCCTTATATACGCCCACTAACCCCCACAAGCTCGACGTCGGCGATCTGGCGGCGGCCATAATTATCCCACCTGCTGACGCCGGCGTCGACCTCTCGGATGCATTCTTTGAGCAAAATTGCGTGGTCAGGCCATCCGACTTCGCTCGTAGCCGTGTTCGCGTCAAGCACGCAATTGCTGCTACCCCGCCGCGGGGCTGGTCCAGGGCGGCCCTAGCTCCGATTTAGGCCACTCAGAAACGACGACAAGAAAGGAGGCTGCTCGCTTTTGAAAGGAAGAAGAATGTGTTTGCGAAGGGCTGGTGTTTGAAACTTTGGGCTTACGGTCTGCGTTGTTGCGGTGTCTATTTCAAGTGTCGGGCTTGAAGTGATTACTTATCGTGGAGCTGTCCGTCCAGCTGCTCGCGGCTTGGTGCTCGTACATGGATATGTTCTGGCTGCACCTACCGATGGAGTAGCGTACATGCGAGCAAAAAGCCACTGTCAATCTCACTTCGTGATTATAAGCCGATTATTGGATGAGAAAGGCTCCTGGGGAGGACACGGCGTCGAGAAAAGGAACGACAGGAACGACAGCAACATTATCCTCCACTGCGTAAAGGAGGGAGCCGAGGCCACACCAAGAAGAGTTGAAGGATTCCACGAGCTGAAATGGCATGCTGACTTCACTTGCCCACTGCTGACGCCGCAAGGTTGCGCCTTCCAGAAGTTCTGCCGCGAGTTGTACTTTCCTTTTCCAGCGATCCCCAGCCTTAAGTTACTATTCCGGCCCCCTGAACCAAGTCAACAATCTCATTCCATCTCTATGGCTACCTCCAACAGCATTCCCCCACCATCCTCCCTCCACCTCTCCATCTCTCCCTCCACACCCTAACCCTGTCCTCCTAACCAACCACGTGCCCTCTCCATCCGAACCCTAGTCCCCACCCACCAACCACCCACACTCCCATCCCCCTGACCCAATCGATAAAGTCGACTTCCAGAACACGCAAAGATCGACCCATCCCCAAATTAACCGGCTCCGGCTCGCCTGCACCAAAAACCCGCGACTGGCACTCCGGCCCCGCCATCCAATATCGATAGAGGGTTGCGTGCCACTGCCCTGGTAAATTAAAGCTGCGCATGCGTGCGCTGCGTGTGGTGGCGCAGCCGAGAGCGCCTGCTGTGGGTTGAATTGGCGACGGGCGACGGCTCGTGCTGGGAAGCTGGAGCATAGAGGGTTGGAAGCGAGATGAGGCATTGCGAGTTTTGCGGTTTCATGTTGAATAATGTGCGCGTTCATCATGATGCTGCATGGGGATGAAAAGCTGGTCAGTCACATCGGAAATCACACCTCGCGAGTGCTACCCCACCTTCATCACAGCGGAGAGCGTCTCACAGAGCGCTGGTAGTATGTAGACTAGAAGCTCGCATTGTATCCTCGTATCTAGCGGCAAGAGAGAAAGGAAAACCCGTTGTGTGTGCATTCTCCCATCCGAACCCGCCCAACCATTCGTTGTGATCCTCTCCTGTCTATTCCGGCCGCCCGCCCTCCCTTCTTTGCCATATAGCCTATCCGTCATTGCTGGATGCGCGCGCCGCCTGTGTGTCTTCCTCTGCCAATCTGGTGTGGGTAGTCTTCCGGGGCAACGCATCTTAGAAAAGGAAATCCCTAGCAAGTCCGACCAAACCGAACGATATAAAAACAGCAAGGAAATAATAGTGATAGGCTGTCTGCCTAAGGATGGTAAGGATAATAAAAGTGCCGTAAGGCTGTGCGCTCTTATGGCATGCGTGTACCAGAGCTTGGGTATCCAAGGTCCAGACTCGGTTGCCTCGTTCAATCAGCTTACAGGTACAGTAAGGAAATAGATAATGGTAGGAAATTAAGTTGGTAGATGGTTTGGTAATGAGTGTGTTCTTTTCGTCGACGTCAAGGAAAACGGTGTAGTAGGTGCTCCGAAAGGAACATTCAGAAGCAACAGTTAAAGGAATAACGTAAAGGAAAGCTCGCTGGTTCGCGCATTCATACGTAGTCGGGGTATAAGGATATCGAGGACATCAGACCCGTCATGACTAACGCCAGGTCCAAGGAAAGACGTGAGCAGGGTTCCGCCATAAGACATCATACAACAAGTCTAGACATCTAGACGCCAAGCTCGGGTACTCGGCGTTGACGGTGCGTACCATCTGCGCGTCGATAGCTCATCGCTGATCGGTCCATGGGCTCTTCCATATCGGGTTCGTCATAGCCTCCATCGTAGCTATAGCCTGGTCCAGAAGGGTTGGGCCTTGCACCCTGCTGGAGACGTTCAGTCATGTGCTTCGTATCGAAAGTGCTGGAGAAGGAACGTTTCTGGCCCAGAGAGGATTGAGGCTGCACTTGCGGGACGAACTTCGGCAGCGACGCACGAGAGTCGAGGTAGTTGTGGTTCTGGGGCGCATCAGACGTAGCGGACATGGGCGCCGAAATGGTGTTCGGCGGTGACTGGTAAGACGGCGAGACCGGTTCTAGCTTCTCAGTTGGCGCAGGTGGCTGTAGGGTCTTCAGCGGGGCCAGAGCGTGTCCATTGGGCATGTGCATAGCATTCGGGGCAGAGACCGACGCGCTGTGACTAGGCGTCTGAAGAGGCTGGATCGGCTGGCTTATCGACTGAGATCGGTTGTACTGGTCCATTGGGCTGTAGGGCGGTATCATTTGGCTAGGGCCTGGGTACGACTGAGTGGTCTGCGGAAGAGATGGACGGCGGTACTCAGCGGGAGGCTGAGCGTACTCCACAGCGGATGGCGGTCCTCGGACTGGAGGAGGCTGCTCATAGTGAGACTGCTGGTAGCTCTGGTTGTTCATGTAGCCGTAAGACTGTCCCATGTGCATGTCAGGCTGGTTCTGGTAGTTGTGGTGCGCAGGCTGGTGAGGCTGGTGAGGCTGGTGAGAGTAGGGAGTCTGAGGCGGCTGCATGAGAGGTGCGGCAGGCTGCGGAGGAGCAAACTGGTTCTGATACTGGTTCTGGCCCGATCCATACTGAGGCATTTGCGAGTATCCAGCGCTCTGAGGCGGAGGCATCTGCTGGTAGTTACTGCCGGCCTGGTAAGACTGCGACATCTCCTCCATGCTGGGACGGCGGGGCGGGGCGAACGAAGTGCTGCTGGCATTGGACACCGAGCGCGGGCGATCGCTGCCATCAAGAGCCGGGTTCGGTGTCGGCATGCCGGTCGGCTGCCCGTAGGCATCAGGGGTTGCGGTGCGTCTAGCCTGGTCATAGGCAGCCTCGTCATCGAAGTCATCCCAGTCTTTGTTCGACTTGTTCTCACGTCGCCTCATGCGCACATCACGTCGAATGCGGACGCGGCATCCTTGCTCGGCCACCATGCGGCTCAAAGCAGTACTCTCGGACAAGCCAGGGAACTTCTTCGCCGAGAAGACGATGAAGGGAGAGGACTTGACCTCAAGACGGTGAGAGACATGGGCATCAACGCCGGGCTGCGGGTGAACGTTAACGGTGGAACGGTCATCCGGGTCCATGTCCTTGGGGTCCTTCAACTCCTCATACAGCGCGAAGCTCAAGCGGTACTTTCCCTCGTGACGAACAGACAGGTCGGGGAAGATGAAGTAGCCTGCAGGGCTGGGACGGTCCAGATAGGCCATGCCGGCGACGGGCGTGCCGGTGAGCACGGGGAAGCTCGGCGTGGTGGGAGGAGCGCGTCCGGGAGCGATGGCGCGGGCGTTCTCCAGGGTCGCAAAGAGGAAGAAGTTGGCATTGTACGCGAAGGTGATCTCCTGCTCGCCCTCGAAGACGCGCAGCTCGACAATTGGCGGCGGGTCAACGGGGCGTCGGTCAGCGCTGGACTTGGCGCCGCTGCCGCACGCGCGGGCACGCTCTGGCTGCTGGATGACCTGCAGCGAGTAGCGGATCTGCCTGCCATCCTTGGTGGTGCGGACGGCAGAGCTCTTGGTCTCGTTGGAGACGGGGATGATAGAGGCCATGGTGAATTACGGTGTGTCTGCGGGGAGTTAGCGTGCGTGTGGAGTGGTCGTGAGTCGCTCTCTCCCGGACAGCCTCGCGGCGCCCACGGCGAAGGTTCGACGGGCGGAACTCACGTCTTCGACCACACGATCGGATTCCGGCAAACGACAGACAAAATAAACCAAGTCAACAACAAACGCACGCAACCTGGAGCCGTCAGCACGTTTCTCGAATGGTGGGCGTGGCCGCCGCGCTCGCTGCGCCGTGCGGAAGGAAAGCGCCGTGGAGCTGGCTCCCGAACGCCAGGCCGTCGGCTCTGACAGCCAGCACGCGAGGCAGCGGCCGACGAGAGGACTCACGTCTGGGAATTATACAGCAGCGGGGGAATTGGCGTCGACGGAGCGGGACTCGGCTGGGCGATGTCTGCCTGCGTCGCAGAGGGAAAGCGATGGAGGGCGGTGCGCTGGAGCGGAGGGCTGGAGCGAGTCGGTGGGGACGGGGCGGACGCGACAGCAGCCAGCACGGGGCTTCGACTCGAGAACTCGACGCAATGGGCGTGCTGCGTCGTCGACGGCGGTTGCTGCTCTCTCGCTCTCGCGCTCTCCCTTCGGGTGTCGTCGCGGTCGCTGGGGGGAGAGTGGAGAGGAGAAGGGCGTGCTCGCAGGACGGCACGAAGGGGGAAGGCTGGGGGCAGCGCTACTGGACACAGGCTGAATTGCAGCCGACGCACAAAGAGGAACCAAGAGGCCGGGCCGAAAAGTGGAGCCCGGCCAATCACGGCCCCGGCATGGCGCCACCAGACCACCCGCCAGACAATAACCGGGGTCGCACAGTGGACGGCGGGTTGGGCGTGACTGAGCCGACGGCTGACATTGCTGCTGCAGCGCTGCTCTCCAAGAAAGCAGCCAGTGCGCCGTCGCGGGAGGCTCGAAACAAATGGTACTGCAGTGTGCTTGAAATGGGTCCAGCGGCCGGTCCGCCCTCAGACAACGGACGTTTATCTTGCACGCCCCGAGACGAGAGCGATAGCGCTTGTCGACACTGCCAGCCTAGAAAACTCACACACCGTGCAGCCATCACCGGCTCCATGGTTGACCGCGTTGTGTCTCTCCTCTGCAGGACGACTGCAACGCCGCCGAGCGGCATGCGCCAGCCAGCGACTGCAGGGGGCTCCGCGGGCATGGCGCCCTCCCTCTCGATCAGAGTTTTCTGCTCACTGGCGCTGCCGTGCGCCCACACGCCGAAACACAGACAACGCAGATGGTCGACCTCACGCCATACCGCGAAACCAGCAGCAGCGGCTTTCTGCTTCGAGTGCGCACAATCACGCGCGGTGCGTCCTCGATATTGCGGCGGCAGAAGCAATCCCAGGAGGCCCTCGCAACGGGCGTCGCTCGTCTGGCGATTTCCGCGCTGGGAGCCAATGGCCACCCAGATGGCGACCCGGCGTGCAGCGCTTTGGCCAGTAAGTGGTCGCCAGGAAAGGCAAGCCGGGGCTGGGAGCGCTTGGCCGCACCCAAAGCGAACCCTGGGGACGCCCGCGCCACGGACCACTTCCCGCCGTCTGATTCGCCCAAGCACGAGATCCTAACGGCTTCAAGGGCTTTGGCGCAATCTCCCGCTTCCGTTACGAGGAACAAGCCTCCGTGTGGCGATCACGATTCACGCGCTGGAGCGTCGCCAACACCGTGCTGTTGCACACTCACGCATCGTGGGCGCCGCCGCCCATTGCCCTTCCCGGCCCAGCCTGCTTACGCCGGGGGAAACGCCACTGATAATCAGCCCACGAAGCCTGCTCACCGTCTCTCGGCGCGGGAAGAACTGCGGTTGTGTCTACCACGAGATAAAGAAGAAACACTTCAGCCCGTCGCTTCCCCTTGGTGGTCACGACGTTACAGTGCCTCAGCTGTGCTTCGTCGGATGCAGGCTCCCGCGATGAGGGACGGAAGACACAAGGTTTGACTTCGCGAACCTTACACTTCGACGGGAATATCTCCGATGCCAACCATTGCACCCGCGTGGACCCTGCGGCAGTACGTCGGTCGATCGTTGTTCAAGTCTTGCCGGACCCTGGCCCCAGTCCTTCCCCTTCATCATCAAATGGCGGTTGCACCCAGTGGTGATACCGCCCATTGGAGCCATTATTGTGACAACCTTCAAAGAATCCGGGACTTGTCCATGCGTCCCTGTCGCTCTACAGCTGTAGCACAGGGGAAGAGGCCATACGCTATAATCTCGCGATGTTTCCCTCAGACGAGCTACAATGTTTCGTACCTCCGAAAGCTATAAACTCACCGGTCTCCCTGTTCGTTGCAGAACAGTTCAAGTGACGCTCACTCTATCCGTATCTCCTACAGCCCGCATTGACAGGCCGTACACCACCGTCTCGAAACCAAGGTGTCCACCCATAAGCACAGTAGTACAGAGCAAACAGCAAAGAACCCATGGCCCTCTATCAACCAGAGTTTGAGTTAACGCCCGCCCACTCTCAAAGGGACTCACTTTTACTGACGCTTCCCTACAGGAGTCCCGCTTCTGCGCCTTTTGTATGCCAGCAGCGAGCTTTCTGTCTGGCCTATACGGTATCAGACCATCGATTTGTAGCATCCTTCAACATCTGAAGCGAGAGTCTAAGGGCGCTCGTGTGGAGTCGATCAACAAGCCAGTCTCTATTATAGCTGCCACAGCAATGCCTTCTGGCTGGCTTCCTCTCCGGATTAAAAGACAGCACATTCCTTATGACCTCATCCTGTCCACTCGGTGATGGTAGTTACGCGCACTCTTGTTCTGTGGAGACGCGTTTGTGGGCGCTTGAGGTGAGACAAGTTCGCGTCAGGGCGCTGAGAAATGAGTTCTCCAGGGGTGCAATGACCAAGCGTTGGGAGACGCATCCCGCAGGCCCTTACGCAATCACGTTCACACAGTATCAGACAGTTAGGACTGGAAGTGGATACAGATGTAGGCGGATGATGTCGAGGTATGTACGGCGTAGAGTTATTGGGATCGGATGTGGCGTGCTGTGGCTGATGTGTGGCGCTGCCGACCCGCCTTCGACTGCCGGCCCCTTTCAGGTGAAGGTGCATCGAACCCCTTGATAGCATCAGTCTTCTCGCCATCCGCTCCCCCAAAGCCAGTTCTAACCCGTGTCTCTGCATGCAGGTGCGCTGGCATTTGACTCACGTGTCCATGTGGCGCCTAGCTCGCCCCGCTTATTGAAGCGAGCCCTGGAGGAGTCATCCTACCGCCTCAGCGTATAAGAGGGCGCCGCCCGCCTCCTGGTCTTCGCTCGCTCCACCACTTTCCTCACCACGCCGCAGCACGATTCTCCGCCCCGCCCTCGCCGTCCCCCGAGTGCAGAACTCCCACGCCGAACATGAAGCCGATCCTCGATCCCTTACGAAAGGACGTCTGCTGCAGAGGGACACCTCCGCCGCCGGACTCTGTAGCCCGCGAGCCTGGCCCCCTGCTGTTCCACGGCGGGGCTGCCGGGAATCGTGGGCTACGCTTTCGGTGGAAGAAGCCAACAGATACTGGGCCGCTGCCTCCGGGCATGCCCTGACAGGCCGAAAGGTCCGTGGCAGCTTGCTCAGACGCACCCTTTCCTGTTATCGCATGTTTCGAGCCCTCCGGGTGGAGGGCTCAGCGTGCGTACGTCCCACCCGAGCGTGCGCGAACGCTTCCCACGGGTACGATGTTTTTGTCCGCTGTTGTTGCGCAACGAGGACTACTGGCCGCTCTGACGATGCCCACGGCGTTGTTCACGACGTGGCCTCACTGAGGGCCCCATGGCACTGAGTGCCAAACCAAGCTCCGCTTGCGTTGCTGAGCTTTATCTGCGTATTGTACGCATGATTTTGAGAACTGCTGTTGTGTCCATGAAGAGTCTTTTCGAGGAGTCTTCCTGCTGTGTTTTCCAGATTGGTTCGACGGGGTTTTTACCCGTCCACAAAGCCGCGATGGCCGTTTGAGCAGGGGGCAGCCCCCGCCCTGGGAGAGGAACCCTGCGAACTGTTCGTACGGAATCCGCTCCCGGAGGAGGATGCCAGCCGATATGGAGGTGCCGCTGCTTGCATGCACTCTCTGACAGGCCGCAAGGTCCTTGGCACACTTGCTCCGACGCACCCATCCACAAATGAAGTGTCTCAGACACTCAAAGAGTCCGACTTCGAGCGTTTCTCGAGGTTTACTGCGCTTCTGGCGCTGCGCCGGAAAAGAGATGTCCATTGCGATTATCTCTGGCGTTGGCCGATGATCTTTATCATCGGTGCAGTCGATGGTTCACGACGATGGTTTTTCCTGACGGCCCAGCCTGATGGTTCGACAATGGTCTATATCGATCTTGTTTCCCGATGGTTTTCCGACGGTTCGTCCCGACGGCTTATCCTGACGGTTTTCTTGCGGGGTCTCCTGACGGTTCGTCCTGACGGTACGCAGGAGTGTCACTTTATTTGTGTTATATATGGAGTCAAGAGGATATCGACAGCATTTTCGGCTTGGGAGTGGCTCGCGGGGGAAGGCGTGTGGTGTGGGAAGGTGGCCGGACCGACTCGTGCTTGGAGAAATTGGGTCGGGCGCCAGCCTGGAGACCGCAAGAGGAGGACGGGTGGCAGAAGTCGGACTCTTGCGCCTCCTCGCGGTGCCACCTGGATAGTCTCATGGGCGAGACGAACTAAATGCAAGAGACGCACCTCAGGTATGTTCTTCCCGTAACTGCTCGCTCGGGGCGTCAGCTGTCAGTTCGTTTGGTCTTGGCGTGTAAGGAAGTCGAAAAGTAGGTGAGGGCGGCTCTCCGCGGACCTGGCTGGAGGTATTGCTTTCACTCTTAAAGAACATCCGCGCTATACCTCATTAATCAAATGGCACTTTCCGCATTCGCTCCTTCCCTTCTCTATCGTTCGAACTGATGCCATGGAAGTGAAAGTCTCGGTGTGGTTCTTATCTTCTTTGGCCGAGCTCGGAGCATGTGTCGCGAGAGTTGCGTTTGCTGAGTGAAGCCACCTGCGCGTCTCGACGAGTCCCACACCGCGAGATTGGTGAGCCTTCATCGCAACCTTTCACCGCCCCCCGCAGCACGCATAAATTCTCGCTGTTGCAGCGCTTCCTTCTTCTCTTCTCTCACCGTGTCCCGGCAGGCAGCTATCTACGCCCACCTCCACCACCAAGCTCCAGCTACCCGAAATGGATCGTCGAGACGCCCACGCTCAGGCACGCTTGGACGAAGCCGACGCTCAGCGACGTGAAGCGATTGCTGTCGCTCACCAGCAGCAGCGCCTGACGCAGCACCAGCATCAAGCACAGGGCATTCAGCATCCTCAAGTCCTGGGCCAGCCCTTCAACTACAGCAATGAGCAGCTGTCGTGAGTGTTTGGTCGGTTGGAAGATGCTGCATGCCTTGCTCACACATTCTAGAATTCAATCCGCCTACGGAACACCGCTCGCAGAAGCCAACTACGCCGCTGTTCCGGCTGCCCAGTACCTGTCGCCATTCCAGGGACACGTCCAGCAACCGAGCCAGGGCCAGCAGTACTTCCCAGGCACCGCGGCGCAGTTCAACCCAGGACTGTACCCTCACCAAGCCGCCGCTAGCTGCTCCTGCGGCTGCGGTGCTGTAGCTGCTCCGACCATCAACCCGCACCAGCTCCACCCCGGCGCAGGTTCCTTCAATGCTGCTCTCCTCCAGCAGCCCTACCAGCTCAGCGCCTTCTCCGTTCCGACAACCGCGCCCGGAGTTCCAGCCGTAGCACCTGCTCCAGCTCAGACCTTCGCCGCCGACAACCTGGCTCATTTGCACGCTCGTCGTGCTGCTCATCTCCAGCGTCTTTCTCGTGCTTCTGCTTCTCACCGCGTCGTCGCTCCGTCTGCTACTGCAGTGACCAATGGTACTAATCCGAATCGTGTGCAGAACAACCAGAATCTCCCGTCAGCCACAGCAGCTGCCCCACCGACGATGAAGGAAGTCCTGGAGTATCGGGCTCGAAACGAAGGCCCCGACAACAAGGCTTTCAACCGTACCGTCGAGAGGAAGCTTCGCGTTGAAGCTTGGCTCCAGACCGGGTAAGCTTTGCCATCCATCCTTTGCTCAGTACACCAGACGCGCGGATACTAATAGAGACGCGATATAGGAAGGACAGCACTCGTCGCCGAGGCTGCTCCCCGTCTTCGTCAACGCCGGGCCCGAAACCGGTGAAGCGCGTCGTCAAGAAGCAGGAAGCGTCCTCTTCGCCAGCTGCTGGCCGCATCATGCGTTCGGGTCTGCGTTCGCAGTCCGCGGCTGTCAAGGAGAAAGAGGTGTCTCCTCCCCCATTGTTGATCGACTTTGAGGAGGGCTCCTCCACGATCAAGGAACCGACGCCGGAGGTCGATTCTGAAGGTCGCATTCGCTCCTAACTACTCGGAACATTTCGATCGATGCTGGAGTCGCGCTCGCTGTCTCCACCGGCTCTCGATCTCTCGGCAATTGTGTTTCTATCTGTGCGACACATCGTCTTCCTTCCTGTGGGCGCTGTCTTACTCTGTCGGAAGCTCAATGTCTCTCTCAACAATGTGTTTCTATGTACACAACACTCTGTTTTCTTTCTTTCTTTCTTTCTTTCTTTCGGAGATTATCTTCCTTTCATTCGAAATCTGCGGTCACGGATCTACCTGCCTGACTAGTGGTCAGATCGATTTCACCTGGGGACTGTACATCAGATGTTAGCTGAGAGAAGCGCTCAGGTGTTCCGCATTTCCGCGCGTCGTCACGGCGGTAAAAGTGCGTTTATCAAGGAACGGATGGATCATGGGCGTTCGGGTCGGTCATCATATCATGTTATGACGGGCGGCTATTTGCTTGTCGGAACGATGTAGGGCTGTACCTATAGTCAACGAATGGGGTTGTGTATCCAATGAATGCAATCTACATGCCAGCTGATACTGTGTGATCACTCTCCTCATATGACCATAAGCGTGTTCTAAAGTTAACACAGCACAGCTTCGCTACGATACGCTAGTCAGTCCTACATATGCTATTCATCACTCATCCTCCGCGTCCCCATCCATCCAGCGCCTCACTCAGCACACGCATACGCCTCCCCCTGCTCCATCCCTCCATGCCCACTCACTCACACCTCGCCCTCACACCCCCCAGCTCCCTCCAATTCCAAGTCCAACCACGCATTCCCATCGCACACACGACCCTGTATAGCTTCCCCACCCCATCCCCAGCTCACCAGGCATCCATTTCTACCGTGGCCACCCCTCACCACATCTCCCTGCCCCTCACTACTTCCCGTCTCCCCTTCCTCGCTAAGCAAATCACTAGATCCGTCTTTGCAGGGATACCGCGACAGGGAGCTGCTGCCGCTGCCGCTGCCGCCGTCGTCTTCGAACCCGTTGATGACGCCGATGCCGTGTTTGAAGAGCCCGCGGCCTCGGCGCTGGACTGGGGGAGGGGACACCTCGGATGGCGGCTTGGGGTGGTGCGGGGAAAGGATGTAAGGCGTGCTTGCTTGCTTAGCGGACGGAGGAGATGGGCACGCGTCGGGGGGAGGAGGGGATGTTGTTGTAGGTGCTTCTTCGGCGGGTGGGCTGGGTGCTGAAAGTTCGTCTGCAGTTGGGTTGGGCATTGTGGTAGAAGACAAAGTAGGCATTTGCCGATGCTTTCAATGCCGTCCGTGGCTTTGACGCACGACAGGCGGTTCTTGCTGGAGTGAGTGTGCGGACAGTGTATGTGTGCGTCTTTTAGTATCAGGGGGTTCCACGTCTCCGGCGTTGCGTTTATGTTAAGAGAACAATGACTACTAGCAGTTGGGTTTGCTATGCAGAAGTTCAAACAGCTTTACCATGGCCGGCTGCGTGAACGACGGAAAAGCTATTGTGTGTGCTCTCTGCGGCTGGCTTACGTCTGCGGCAAACCGGCTTGCTTGCTGGGTGGCTAATGTATGCTCCTGCATCCATGCGATTCCGTTTCCCTACTTCCGTCCTACGACTTCTATCTCTAGTCCTCTACTTGCCTTTTTGCTCATGATGCTCTATATCCCATTTGATCACGGCTCTGGAAAGCCATGCCTGAAGGTCCTTTAGCGCTAATGAACGCAAACCGCGGCAGCGGCAGCAAGCTTTAGCTCCAAACAATTCTCTAGCAATCGTGGATCCATCCAAGGCATCATTCACGCTGCTGATAACTGCGTCCTGGCTGTTGGATCTTTCCTATCTGGCGTCCTCCCAACAGGCCCAACCCAGCCGCAAAATCCGTTTAGCACGCATTTCCGCCCTCCACCGAACTCCTGATTTATGCTTCTGGCCCATTGGCCCGCAGCGTTTGCACCATCTCCGTTCTGACGACCTCAATCGCCGGAAGCTCCTGCGGCGCAGGCACCGCCTCAAGCTCCACCACTCCCACCGCCGCATGATACTCCTCCCATCGAGTTCAGCTTTGTATCCGAGTGCCGCCGACTCCGATGCAGCCACTTGATGTTGCTTTCTCTTCCGCCACCGAAGGCCGAGCAGGAAAGCAGCAACGGCGATAAGGAGGACCCCAAGAACAGCGCCGAAGCCTATTCCAGCTTTTACCCCTGTGGATAGGCCGCTGCTTGGGTTTATCGTGGGCTGTGCAGTGGTGCGTGTTGGCGATTGAGCGGGCTCGGAAGGAAGGGAGACGGGGAGGGAGGAGGTCGAAGCAGTCGACACACCAGGTGTCAGAGTTTCGCCCGGCCACGTCGCCGATGGTGTGACAGACGAAGAAAGTGAGGTGGCCCAGGTAGCTATCCATGTCAGGTTTAGATTCCTACTAACAATATACTGTGTAGGGGTAAAAAAACTCACGCGGATCGGGTAATTCATCGCATAGATTCTCTCCCAGCCTGGCGGTGATGGAATCGCCACTACACTCTTCCACTGTTCTTCGAGATGCCTAGCCGTACGCAATTCCTTTCTGTCGATACTTGCTGATCACGAAGCCGATTGAAAACGGACTACATACGCATTCACATCCGAAAGCGTAGGAAGCTTGAAGGAAGATGCGGGGCTCGCGACAATCTGACGGGAAGGCTGGATTGCACCTCCCCCTTCCTTCCCTCTCTCCGGCGTCCAATTGCCCGGGGCTGGGCGACGCATATCTATCGCGCAGCACAAATGACAGTGCTGCGAGGCGTAAATCCGACGACTTGTGCTTCTGCTCGATTGGCTTGATTGGAGTGCACCACGACTAAAAGTGATCAGGTGTCGGCGAGGCGCTGTGTTCCCGTGCTGTCATCGGTGTGTAACGCACCGGCTCATAGGTCTGGAGTAACCTAGCCTTGCCTAGACTTTAGCCCCAGTCTCGAAGACCATGGCGATGTAAGTATAATTGGATAATCCGATGAGGAGGCGACTTCGAACGGGGCGATGAACTGAAAAGCTCGGTGCCGCGGGCGTGGGACTCGCGATGGTGTTGGTATGGACGCAAGATAGACGTGCACATCGAAGGCCTGCTGGGTCAAGTACGGTGCTGCGACGTTCGCAGAAACACTGGAGTGGCTGAGCAGTGCATCCATGTTGAGGAGCCTTAAAGAAATGAGATGGATGGAAGTAGAGGAAGTGGGGTGGAGGAGGGAAGTTGGATACTTCGCTAGGCCATTGCCTGCGGCGGCGTCTACTCGCTGTCCTCCATCAATGCCGCTAGCTCCGCCTCCTCTTCGGCCGTCATCACGTTCTCATTCTTCTCTGGCTCACTTTCCTTCGTCTTCCCTAATCTCTCATCCTCCGCCTCTTTGATCGCCTCCGCCAGATCTGGCGCCTTCAGACTCCACTGCCTGACGGTCCCGTCGATGCTAACACTGACCACTTTCTGCCCTGGCATCAACACGAGACCTGTAACCTCTTCGAAGTGGCCGGAGAAGGTGTGATATAACTTCCCGCTGCCTCTCTCCCATACTCTCACTTCTTCGTCTCTGCAGGCCGTGACTACCCATCCGCCCTCCTCGTCAATGACGACGTCGCGCACGTAGTCGGGATGTTCGAAGCGAGAGTCTTCCTTCCAATTTCTGGCCCTTGAGAGGCACTTCGCTGTGCGGTCGGCTGAGGCTGTCCAGAGATCGTCGTCGGAATCGAAGTGAATCGCATCCACATTCGTCTCGTGTGCGATAATTGGGGAGTGCGAGTCTTGAATCTCCGTGGCCGAGGACAGCCCAATGCTCCACCTTCGAATCTCGCGATCACTCCCCGCACTGAACACGACGACACGATCTTTGGTAGGCGCGTACTCCGCGGGATCGAGCGCGAGTGCGAGGATGCCTCGTGTATGCCCCTTCAGCGTGTGCAGTTTCTCTCCAGTGGCAGCATCCCAGACGATGATGGTCGTGTCGGCGGAGCCAGACAGCAGAAGCTCCTTGCCTTGCAGCGCAAATACCAGCAGCGCCTTCACGAAGTCGCTATGTCCGTGAAACCTCCGGCCCAGCTTCCGCGTCGAGATCGACCATGACCAGATTGTCTTGTCCCAGCAACCGGCGAACACAGTATCCGATTTCGTAGAGACCGCGACGGAGGTAAGAGGCGCGGCAGGACCCGAGAATGTCGCGAATACGTTAGTGGTCTACAGCAGCGACGGTCAGCAATTGCCTTGGAGGTCGGAAGAAAGGGCGAGCGGAATCCTGGACTGAGAAGGACAGTGTCTGACCGACTTCAAGGTTTATCCTCTTCACATTGCCGGCGGCTTCAGCCACGTAGACCTGCGCGCTATCATGCGGGTCTGCGGCGGCGGCGAGAATTTTGGACTGAAGCTTGACGGGGTTGCCCTTGGTGTTCTTCGATTTGGTGGCTTTGCGGGCTGATTCATTGAGCGCCGAGCTGATTACCGTTAGTTGCTGGCTTCGTGAGCCGGCGAGAGATACCCACGTTGTCTGAAAGAAGTGTCCTGCACCCGTTGAACGCGACATGTTGTTTGTTGTTGGTAGAAACGATGAGCTCGCGGGTTTCTCAAATCGACCCCACCACGCCCCTCCGCCAATCATCGCGCGTCGTCTACGACCGCACCTTCGATCACACTCTGCTCTACCTCACCTCTGCCATATACTATTAGATATTCCGATGCGTCTGACATTACGGTTAGCAGCTTTGTAGGACATAACCCAGAACGCCAATAGAATAATCATCGAACCAGATAATCATTTCTATCCAGAGCACATTGCTCGTACAGTCATATCCAAAATCGTAACTCATAAAGGCATCGCTAGAGTGAGGCGAGGTCTTCCCAACGCCCGACGTAACACTCAGGATATCTCTAAGACGATCCAGACGCCTCATAGCTTTTGGCGGAACGCCCATTACGCGCCAGACTCCATCTCCAATGCAGTCGTAACTCATGTCATGTATAATGCGAGCCTAATGTCAGCCCCCGGCATCGATTATCTCCTCGCAGCCTCGGCGAAGTTGCGTATCGCCCATCTCCACCCACCATTCTTGCTCTCGCCATTGTCACGATCACCGCTAACCCAGCCTTCCACTTTGCGTCGCCAGATCGCCTCTTCTTCCCGCTGCCTTCGAATGAAACTTGGACCGAGGTCGAATTCTTCTCCGATGAAGGCAGGATCGTCGACACTCGGGGTGCCATTGCCACCAGCCCCGGCAGCACCATGCCCAACAACGCTCTCATTATCTTTGAGATCGTCGAGGCCAGCGAAAGGATCCTCTTCATCGTCCATGTCGACGGACGGCGACCGAGGATCGTCGGACAGGCGGGGAGCCTTCAGCCATGTCATCTTGACGGGATCGAACACCATGCGGCCCTCGTACTGGACCCCGCGGGGCATGCTCTTCTGTGATATCAAAGCAGGACGCGGTGGCGACGGCGCAGGAGCAACCTTCACAGCGCGTGACGACACGTTCCTCTGCGCAGCCTGTATGTTAGACAATGCCGCGTGCGATATAGAATGTGAACGCTCGTGTGAGTGGCTGAAAGGATGATTAGGTGGGGCAAAGGTTGGCGTGCTAGCCGTCGTCAAGGCCAGCGTGGTTGTCGAAGTATTAGGGTGTGAGAAGGGAGCGAGGGCTTCCTCGTTCCCTTCCCACCGTTGTAGAGTAGGGTTATATACCATGCCTTTCTCAGCTGCGTATGGTTAGCAGTGGCTTTTGATGCTGATGCGAACTTCGACTTACTCTTCGCGTATGGTTGAAACAATCCCTGGATCAAGTGTGGCTTCTGTCCCGAGCCCCTCTTCCTATGGGCGGTGGGACTGCCATGAGGGCTCCTAGCCGCAACATGCACTTTCCAGTTTATCTGAGTCGGCGCTATTGGCCCTTCGCCTCGGGCCCGAATGCCGGCCAGACGCTGCTCTCGCGCATTCCTACTTGCTGCCGTGTCTCGAGCGAACCGCGGTGTGCTGTCCATCTTCGTCGGACTTCGAGGGGTCTGTGGCAGCGGTGTGGCCATACGGTCGGGCATAGGTAGACGGGAATTGCTCGGTTGTGTTCGCAGAGACTTGTTGCTTGGAACATTGCGCGGGACCTTCTCGAACTGCTTCTCTTTGCTTGCCGATGTAGGGAGATCATCGAAGATCTCGAGCTCGGAGCCGTCCCCGTATATTCGCTTGCGGCCCTGCGGTTGCGTAATCTTTTGGGGTTGACGCGCAAGGCGCGAAGGAGCCATGTCCCTCCGGAAGCCCGTCCGGCTGGGAGTGTCGGTAGGGTCGGTCGTAGACATGCGCGAATAGGACCGCATAGACGGAGACTGAGGACGACGGGGATCCGAATCACGGCGGAGGTGCGTCTGCGAAGAGCGGGCCATCACGTGGTGCGACTGCGAATTAGAGTTGCCTGCAGGGAGGAACGGCACGGGGGCTCGCGGGGTAGGACCATGATTGTTGCGGAGAAGAGGTGCAGAACGCTTCGCTCGAAGGAGCTGGGCGCTCGTGGTCGTAGGGATTGGTCTGCTATGCCCAAGGGTTGAAGCCCCGGATTCGTAGACCGGAGTAAGTCGGGAGCGGGTTGTAGTCGGCAGAGGCCTCGGTATCCTGGATACGGAAGGCTTCTCGGGTTTGTCAGTAAAAGTTAGAGTAGCGGCTGGACGAGCAGCTGTAGGTGCCGGGGGCTTGGATGGCGCCTTCTTGACCACGACGTTGCGGTTGATGGTGAGCTTTTTAGTGTCGAGAAGCTCGGGCCCACCAAAGTCCAGCCCATCCAGAAAATCTTCCTCATCATCGGCGCCTTTGAGCCTCGGTGCTGGAGTATCTTCAGCGAGACGTTGCGAGGTGGGCTCGCCCTCTAGCGGCGGCGTTTCAAGTGGTGCAGCGGCAGGAGAGGGGCTGACGCCGGGTGCGGGTGCTGATGAAGGGACTGAGGTCGGGGGTGGCTCGCGCTTCTGGACCTGGAGGACGGGCAACGGAGAGGCGTCCGGAGTTGGTAGCTGTTCGTTCCGCTTGAGCTTCTCGAGGCGTGCATTGAAGTCGAGCGGCTCGTTCGGTAGCACGAGGCCGGTCAAATCATCGTCCTCGCTTTCGAGGGTCATGCAGCTGCCCATGCTCGGGCTCATGGCCGAAACGGACGAGCTGCGGCCGCCGCGAGCCTCCCGTCTCGTTCCTGCAAAGCGGATGCCCAAGCTGCCCTCGCCCCAGTCGTCGAAGTCGTCCTGGTCGTCCGCCGGCGTGCGCGGCATTGGCGCCTTCAGCTTCAATCCCTCATTCGCGTCCGACGGCAGCTCGAGGTCGTGGCCCCAGTCGTCGTCGACAGCCATTTTGCGATGCGATTTTTTCTTTCCCAGTCGCTTGATGGATCCGCCGAGCAGGGCCGACGACGGGACGCTTGTGGGGATCGGGATGCCGGCCAGCTTCGCGGAATTGATGGCATTCGTGGTGGAGGTTTCGTCGTTGGGTGTTATGAGGACCTGCCAGTCGTCGTCGCCGGTGTTGGACTCTGAGCGGACGGAAACGCGCGAGGACAGCGACTGGATGGTGGACATGGAGTGGGTGAAGAGGTCGCCGGCGGCGTCGAAGTCGCCATCGTCGTCCCAATTCTCGATGGTCGGGGCGGTGGAGGCCATGGAGGCCATGCGCTGGGCGAAGCTGCCCTTGTTGGCAGCCATGGTAGCGGTGATCGCGCAGCGCGGTGGTGGTTTCTTGCGGAGCGAAGAATCGAGGTGGCCGGCAGCTGCAGGCCCTGCCCAAGCGACGTTGGCTTGGCAGAGGCCGGCGGGCAGGCGGTCAGCCGTGTCACAGCGCGCACGGGCCGTGGGCTGCACTGCGCGTGCTTGACGCGTCTGTGATGCGAAAAGGCGCGGAAGTGTACGTATATAGAGACCGGCCGTGCTATAGCCGGGGACGTACCTTGGAGACAGATCAGCTGCGCCTCTGCACCGCTGCACTGCTGCACTGCTGCACCGCTGCACCGCAGTAGCCCTTCACCGTGCCTGCTATTCTCAGACTGCTGCAAGACCGTGGCTTGACTCAGCGGGCAAGCGCGCCGTGCCTGGCAGGCAGCACCGACACATTCACTGCTCCCGGCTCGCCGTTTTGGGACAACTATAAACCTCAACTGCCTTCGTCGCACGCCCGCCTGCGTTTCACATCCTCCTTTCCCGACTACAACTTGACGTGAAACGTCGGCCAATTTCCTGCTTCTCGTCCGGCACGCCGCGCCGCGCCCGCTGCCCACCCCGTGCTTCCCGACAGGCATCACCCCAACTGCCTCAAGGGTCTGTATCAGATCCGCTAGGGCTGCTCCAGGCTCCTCAGTTCCGCGCCACAACATCATTGGCGCGTCGCGTGCTCAACCTGCCCAAACCAGCAGGTTTTGAAGCCTGTCCAGCCTGCTTCTCCGCGTCAAACACTGCCGCCACAATGGAGGGCCGATACATCATACCCGTCGAGCCTGCCAATGACGGTGGAGAGGTAGTCGTCGTCGAGGTGCAGCAGGAGGGATCCCATCCACTCGACGTCCGGCTCGTAGGCTGCGAAGGCGAGAGTCCTTATGTGACCCAGAGTAAGATTGTCTCCAAATTGAGGTCATTTCCTTCTTTGACACGTATTTCCAGTCAAACATCGCAATATTGCAAAATTGAAGCACAAATTCAAAGGCACCGACCATGAGTGGGAGACTGTTTTGTTTCATTTCCTCTTGCAAAAACAGCCTGAAGGGGACGGTGCTAGGATCTTGGAAAACGTCCGGATGGTATACGCGCTGAAAGGCGACAATATCGAGATCTCCGTTCGGCAGGATGTCAAGGGGATCAAGGCGAGTAGTCCCGCCGGAAGTGATCTTCCCCAGATTTGCCTGGGCTAATTTTGGGCAGGTCACTCTGGGGGAGATATTGCTTCCGAGGGATGATGGGTTCGAGTTTAATCCCTTCGAATGGGCTCAGGTGTCGGCACAAGCTCATTCCCAGACTCTCCGGAAGCTAGTAGACCTGAAATCAAGAGTGAGCAGCGAGCAGGACACCATTGCGAAGCTCAATGCCCAACTTGACGACTTCATCAAAACGAAGACCGAGACTGAGACAGCGATGCTCCAGCAGTTCATGGAGCTCCTGAACGAGAAGAAACGGAAGATCAGAGACCAGAGCCGTCTCCTCGCCACCGCTAAGGTTGATAAGTCCGCTGGTAGGTATAAGATGCCATTTATACGGATGTGTACCATGTCTAATGCGGGGAATTATAGCAACCACCATCAAATCCACAAGGGAGGAAACCAAGCCTCGAAGGGCTGGAGCATCGCGTGCATCCAAGCGGAAAGCACCCGCGAAAGCTCCAGAACCTGAAGAACCAGAACAGCTGTCTGATGCTGATCAGATGGAAATCGACCAGGCCAAGGCAGAAGAGCAGGATGACGAGGAGGAGCCTGAAGCAGTCACTCCAGACCGGTCCGACGAGGAGACCGAGGCTGAAGAAGAAGGTGCCGAGGGTGCAGTAGCCTCGTCGGCGCTGCAAACGCGAGACAGGTCATCCGAGACAGCCCAGTCTCAGTCAACGGTCGCACAGCCGCCGAAAGATGCACCTTCAGAAGCCGGAGGACCGCCACCGCAACGCGAGCTGCCATTCGGGAGACCGGCTATGCGCAGCAAGCCTCCAGAGAAAAAGCCGCCCCCAGCAACTGCGGATGAGGATGAGGAAACAGAGGATGAAGAACTGTGAAAGAACAGCAATAGTCGGGAGACGATTCCCTGGATGCGCCGTTGCTCGGCCTGTATGCTTGCCCACGTTACGGATCATACTCCGATACCTTTGCTTAGAGCGAGTCGTCGAACTACACCTCAAGGATGAATTCGACTGCTGTTCACTCTGTCCTGCTTGCTAGTCGCCTAATGCCCAGCCGGAGACGGATCGCGGCGTAACGTGGAACAAAAGGGCGAACGCAAAAGCTGCGGCTGCCTTCCGGCGGCTGGTGTGGTCAATGAACAGGATGCTAATAGGCCGGTCAAGAGTCGAGATGCCTTCAGTGCGAGGTCAACCGTTCTTTTCTTCTGCCAGCAATATTTCAGCATGTCGAAATTTGGATACGGTTGGTAGATGTCTTAGCACGGTCGCTGGCAATGGTTTCCCATTCGGACGACTACTAGTGTAGGTATATGGACGCGACATATGTAGGCTTGGTAGTCAAGTGTCACTGTCCTGTCGCTACGCTGTTAAAATGCTCTGATACGACATTCAAGAATGAGATTCGCCTTGTATACTATTCGAGGCTGAAATAGAAGTCAACGACGAGAGTGTGACGGAGGCGCAGACGAGCGCCAAGTTCAAAATCAAGACTTGCACGGCGCCAGCCAATGAGCGGGAACGAAGCATCATCGGGCTGATCCTCAACTCAACCGCCAAGCCATGACCTCCGACAAACTGCTACCGGTCCTCACCACCACCCGGCCGATATCGTCACCTGTCCCAAAGCCGCCGCATTCACTCGCGAGATCGCGTTCCGCCGAGTCCGCAGACCTGGCTGCCCCGTGATGGTCGACTCGCGCGGCATCAGCACCACTGCGAAGCACAGGCTGAGGTAGCACTTGACGCCCTCGACCGCCCGCTCGGTGAGTGTACCTGATATCCCTCGTGGGCGCTGCGCGCGGACAATGGCGGCGCGTTATAGCTATTGTGCTCATTGCTTGCTCAGGTCCCAATTGTGCGCCCCGCCCGGGCCCCGCGCCTGCGTCGTCGAGTTGCGATTCACCTTCACCGCGGCGACCGCATTCACCACCCCCACCCCCGCCGCGCCTTTATTTCGCCCGCTTCCCTCCAGCTTCATGACCGGCCACTCCCTCCCCACACTTTATCGTAAATATCGCCGCCGTCCGGAACACATCTCTAGCTGAACCGCAGCATCACTAGCAAATCCGCACACACCTGCGCGCTCACCACAATGTCAGGCCCGGACCGACCGCCGGAGCCTTCGGTGCCCACCACGGCGCTCAAGCGCAAGCGCTTTTCCAACGAAGATCAGAAAGAACTCGACAAATTGGACGGCGTCTTCAAACGCATCAAGACGGCTGTCCCCCGCGCCCCCTATATTCTCTCGACGCCGTCACTCGATCCGTACAAGTACCATTCGCGACACGAGGCGCGGGCCTGGATGATGGGACACCTCTTTGAGCCGCACGAGGAGCTTCTCCAGTACCGCACCTACCTCTTCCGCGAGCCGTACCAAGACTGCTTCACCCTGCAGCATGGAGAGGACGATGAGCTCGACGCGCCGCGACCAAAGTCCCAGGCCTCGAATACGACCAATCAGCCACCGAAGAAGAAGATTAGTCTCTCGGACTACAAGTCAAAGCAAGCCAATGGCCTCATCACTCCCGGCTCTAAGAAGGTCTCACCCAATCTGCCCGCGACCAAGGCAACTTCCGCTCAGACCAATGGCGTGAAGGCCGTGGAGAAACGACCTCCGCCAGCACAGCCAAAGCCAGAGACCAAGCCTCAGAAGCGGTATGCCATCTCTTCTTGTCGTCTTGACTCAATACTAATACATTGACAGGCCCGCAACAGAGTCACTCGCACCCGAGAAGCCAGAGAAGCGCGCTCGGGAGGAGCGACCTTCTGCAGCACCGGCAGCACCGCCTCCGAAGGCTGAGCCTGTTGACTCCAAGATCAACCTGGATAAGTCTGGCGCGTCAAATGCGACTCCACATGGTCTCCCGCCGCTGTTGTCGCCTGTCGACCAGCCGCTGAGCAATCCGTACGGGCTTCCAGCTATCCTTTCTCCTACTCTGCCCTCCAATATTCAGGCCGAGCTCGACAAGATTGAAACTCAGCGCAAGCGTGCTGTGTCCGATGCCTCCACGTCATCCTCCGACCGCAAGAGCCAATTGCTCTCTGTCCCTGAGCCTCGCGCCCCGAAGCAGGGAGAGGGTACCAAGAGTGGATCTCGTGAGCGCTCAGTGTCCCTAAATGAGAAATCTCCGTCAGGCGTTATTGTGAACCGCACCGAAAATCCCAAGCCCAGCTTGATCGTCAAGTTGAAGTACACGAAGAAGTCGCGAGAGACTATCAAGCGGCTCTTGAACCTTCCGCCTAAGAGAGAAGGCGCAGGCGACAGGAAAGAGCGTGAAGAAACCGTGAAAGATCGCGCACTAGACACGCGATCGAGAGGGACGGATGGTATTGCAAGTCAGACTAAGAAGCCAACACCGAAAGTCGCTGCGCGTCGACCCGAGTCATCTACACCAAGCTCTAAAGCACCCGTTGCCCCCACAAAAGTAACAGAAAAGCGCCCACGAAGTGAGGATGATGCATCTCAGGGAGTGTCAAAACGGCCTCGGGCCCATACCCTACAGGAGGGTCCTATCACACCCAAGGAGCAGGTCGTCTCCTCTCCCGCGTTGTCCAACAAATCAAGCGCACAGAAGAGCCAAGGCCCATACGTCACTCCCCGAAAAGACCATAAAGCTATCAATATGCTGCGAGCGAACTCATCCGAGGGTTTCGATGTAACACCTGGCAGATCTGGCACAACCCCAACCGGCTCCAAATTCCTCGACGTCAAGGCACCGACATCCGCTCCGCTGAATAGCAAGAAGCAGCTTGACTTCAATGCACTTTCGCAAGCGTCCCAGCAACTGAATCAGATGGGTCGTTCGCTCAAGTACGAGGGCCAGAAAATGGAGCGTGAGAAAGGCAACAAGTTGAGCAAGGAGGACCAGAAGCGCGCGGCTGTCATAGGGCTCGAATGTGTCCTGTAAGTGGTTACCAGTTTCGTCAAAACTGTATGACTGACTCAGCAAAACAGGTCATACATGACTGCTTTTTATGCTGGAGACCTCCTCTCCCAATCGCGCGGCCGTCCGGCAGAGGTCGAGAACACCTGGAAAACCCTATTACCCCTTTGTGCCGCCTACGCCCGCCTTACCAAGGACTTCCAACACCTCGATGGTATCCGAAATCACTTCGCGACTGTCATTGCTGCTCACATCTGCATGCTCATTGCGCCACGCGCTCCGAACCCAAAGGCTCATGATTCGCCTCAGGATCCTCCTGAGCTGGTCAAACAGCATACCCAAGTCATCGCGAACTTTTACACGCTCTCCGACCACTACGTCAAACTCCTTCGACACGCGCAGGATGCTAGAATCGGCCTGCCGATTGAAGACATCGAGAAACAGTATCAGAAGACCTGGGCTGGCAGAGAGAAGGACGCGAAGCTCGCCAAAGTCCCAGAGAGGGTGGACGGCGCGAGATTTACCGGCCGATACTTCCTCCCCATTCAAGACGACACGACTCCGATCCAGGCTGTACGATTCGGCTTGAAGTTCCTCAGCGAGTACTGCGACAAAGAGCAGCTCGATTACACCTTTCGCCTGCAACTCAATAAGCTTGAGTGAGTGGCTTCACTTTCTAGATCGATAGATCTCCCACACGACATTTGTGCATTTCCCCATTTTCGGCATAGCGGTTCCGGTACACGGCGTCTCTGGCTGTCCTCATCTATGAATGGATAACGAACGGTATTCCCCTTCTCACGACCTTGTTTCCAAGCGATATATACGTTCTGCGCTGGCGTTCAATGGCATCGACTGGTGCGGTATACACATGGTTTTCTTTCCGGCGGCGGATCGGTTCGAATTCGGATTGGGCTCCTACTGCAAGGTGATACCCACGAGGCGGAATGGCTGCCTCGTCAACTGTTTTTGTTTTCTCCCTTTCCTTTTCCTTTCCTCGTTCCGGGCTGGTTTTCTGCCTCGGCTTCTTACTTTCTCGTGTGGCGGTTATCCCGAGATGGCTGGCATACATACATGCTTTAGCCCATATGCGAGTAGGGCGCTTTTCTTGCCTAGCGGCTCATGATACACGATATAGATGCGCATGCACACACACATTATCTGCAAGCGACTTTTCGAGCATAGCGGAGGAAATCATGGATGGAAAGGTCCTCCTGGATAGCTGCGAAATCTGTTGCAGATGCAATGCGTTTATAGAGCGGAATAGCGAACGGGTCTGGTTGGTTGGCACGACGGCCACCACGCTCGACTGCGTGCATGTCTGTTGTGTATAGCAACACAGAGAGTTTATATGTCAATCTCTCACGAAGATACTTGCATCTACCATGTCATGCTCGGTGTGTTCGCAACGCTTGGTTTAATTTTGTGTCCTGTGCACCCGGTGGGGACTGGGAAATGAAAATACTAGTGTACGCGGTTGAGCGAGTGAGTAATGAACTCTTTTTCTTCGTCTGAGATGTCTGGTACAGAAGCACTGCTCTTTGCGGGGTTTCGTATGCGTGGGGGACTATCTGTGGAAGGTTCAAGGGAACAGAAACATTGCGTGCCTATACTCTTGCTATGATCTCTAGACTTGTCTACTGTAGCTGTATTTAGACCAAGAATGCTAAGTGCTCACGGCAGACACCCCCGACTCTTGCTCGATAGCGTTTCGAGACCAACAGACCAAGGTCATCCCATCGTCCGTCCGCCTTCCTTACTCGTGCACTACTATCGTGTTAGAGCATGTCATGTCTCCAGAACCGTTACAGGATTCTCCGTTTCGGGCCGCGCCGACGCCGACGCTGTCGCCGTCACCGCTCTTTCTGACATACCTACCCGGTGTGCTTAGAGCAGAGAGACCGTTGTGTCAAGTGTTTCATAGAAGGTTGGTCTTACCGGAAGACGGTGCTTCTCCGGTCCTATGTAATGTACCTTGTCATCCCTTTTCCGACGAAGCACCGGCGATATATTGCATGCGGCGAAGCGGCCATGGGGGGCACGGCATCGAGTGCGTCGGCAGAAGCCATCCCTCACGAGTATCGACTCGTGTGCGCGCGGACTTCCCCCACATTATTGACCTCGCTGACCGTTGACCACTGACTAGTCTACCAGGCACTTGCCGTGTTGGAGCAACGAGCGGATACTACCGCGGAGGCGTTCAGCGCTCCTAGCTGAGTTTGGTACTCGACCCTCGATGTCAGTGTCGGGAAACCCGTCCTGCGCTCCTCTCTTATGCTGTTGTCGTCACTGCTACGGAGGGTCGGATGTGTGGACGTGTCTAGCATGCGAGTGCCGGTGATCGTACGTTGAGTAAGACGTGAGGCGTGTCTTGGGGAGTGGAGGGTGATTTTACGTTCTATCGGGCGTGTTACCGTGCGAGGTGAGACATTAACGATGCTCCAATATTGAGAGGTTAGTTGGGGGATGAGGACACTAAGGAATCTCTTGCGAAGCATGCGCGGTGTTACTTGCTTGTCGACATACGGCGCATTCGGTCGCTCTACAAGGAGCTCGAGGATGTTTCCGGGGCTTTGCGGAGACTTCGCGACGGTCGCGCACAGTACCGACTTCGACTAGCCTCCTAGGACTCTCTGCCTGGCTTGTCCATCGCAGCTGGTGAGCAATGGGACTACCTGCCCATCGATTGATAGTATGGCGTTGTCATGATGCTGACTATCGGATCAGAGGAGGGGACGACGGCATGTCCTGGGGCCATCAAGAGGCGGCGACCTCCCGCCGCAGCACTTTCTCCTCGCGAGTGCTCCCTCTGTTCGCTTACTCGGGTGACCTACAGCTGACGTACCTGCGACAGCCCGGCTAGCGCATACGCAGCAAGTACCACCACGCATTCGGAAAAGAATCATCCCTCTTCAAGCCTTTAGACCTCGCAAAGTCTCCTCAGCCCGCTCTTTGCGCTCAATGAAACGAATCGGTTGGCTACCAGCCGCCCAAGTGTCTTTACACACCGTGGCATAAAAGCACCGTTAACGATCCGTGTTCCAGAAGCTCCCGGGACGGCTGTAGTATAGGAAACGAAGATCATAACATGCCGATTGCGGATTATATGCGGCTGTTGTGGCATTATTGCTGTGGCGAAGCGAATATAAACCGGAGATCCCTAGGTTCGTTAAGCTCGACCGTTTCATTATTACCGTGGAGGCTTAAAGCGACCTAGATTTGATGCTCGAAGGGGCCGAATATTGCACAGCCATCAAAAATCATTCGGTGCCACTGTGGATATTAGCAACAGCACGGAGCTCGATGAGCGCATGAAAGTTCAGCCTCCGTGCTTTGATTCGAAGGAAGGGATACGAAGGTAGGATGAGAGCGGAGTCGACAGGTGGGAGCACGGCATCATCACCAATTTGCGGATTTTCGACAAGCAGAGCGTCCGAAGCCCGGGTCAGTGGGAGCCAGCCATTGCAGACCTTCGGAAGCGCTCGTCATTCTTACCCTTGAAGAGCCTCACACGATCAAGCAAAAGCAGGCTCGCTCTCGACTGCCAAAATGCAGATCTGTCCACTTACAGCATCAGCAGCTACTCCGAGTGTCCAAGGCCTGTTGCACATCTGAGATCTTACTTACAGAAAGCACGACTCCGATGTACGTCTTTTAGCCGTCAAGCAACAGGCTAAGTTGGTTGGGCAGGAAGCTCCCTTGGGATGGAGGGTTGGTGCGTACATGCATGCGGTTGTGCGTCTGCAGCTGCAGCAGGCATATGCGCTTCGAGTCATGAGGGAGCCGCAAGCGCTCGGCCTTTTTCCAAGCTCTTCCGAAAACGCATGCTTTTAGCCCTTCCGTTGAGCGCCGCGCGAACACCATTTTCCCTTGCGATCTTCAATAGCGCTTAGCCGCAGAATATCGAGGCATGGTGTTGAACGTGAGGGGTAGAATGGGCTGCCGATAACGCGAGAACCCCTGCAGTGGAGGTCATGTGCACGGACGACCGAACGATGGTGGTGCGAAGCTCTTCGAAGGTGAAACCAGACCCGTCCTTTTGTGTCGCCGGCAACGTCGTCTCGCGCTCCGAATTAGGAACCCCAACGATTTTGGCCGTCTGTCTGAGTCGGCGTGCAGCAGCTGTGAAAAGTTTGTCCGTGGTACCGTCTCGTCTAAGTGGACCGGAGACACTGACGTGCAGGAGCAGGAACAGGTGCAACATGAACACAGGAATCCTGAGACGCCAGGTCGGGGAAATCCTGCGACGAAACGAGGAAGGGACGTAAAGATGTTTGTGTCTTTACTATGGATACTCTGTAGCCGGTGCTTTTGTACAAAGGCCGTTAATAAGGAAAAACTCGGAAGCCGAGCGTCTGATACTATCGTACACATTGAAGAAATGCAGAAGTGAAAAAAAGCCACTGATACAATGTCCTTGGAAGTCGTCAAATAAGGATAAGACATTAAAGGTATGTGCTCGTCACATCTCGACTTCGTGGGAGGCATTCGAATGCAGATTGGAAGAGAATTTTACGAAGGAAATTTTGGGGAGCGAGAGCGTGTCCAGGACAAAAGGAAATGAAGGAAATCAAAAGATTCGCAGAATGGGTGCTCATGAATGCATGCCACGCGTGAAGACTTGCAGAGCATACCTCCATAAGATCCATAATGGTATCATGAAAATGGTCGTCATGACTGCGTGAAAAAGTCGTACGAACGCTTTCAAAACACAGATACCGCCGTTCGTGCTTTTGTGACGAAGGAAACGCCTTATATGCCGACCGTGTCTTTAAACGAGTGTGGTGTCGTGGTCCGGGGTTGCGGTTGGGATTCTTCAACTCCCTCCATCCTCACGTCTCTGTCTCTGTCTCTGTCCCTCGGCTCTGTAGATGATGGCAAGGGTGCGGATATGGGCGTGAAGGAGGAGTAGGCCTGGCTGCGGCTCGGGTCTGCTGCCGACCCAAAGGCGAGGGGAGACTCCGTTTCACTTGGTGCTCTCTGCGACTTTTCCAGCTCCAGCGGAGTCGGCTTGCCGCGCTTCTTTTTCCCTGATGATGACTCGGGGCCCTGCTCTGGCTGGGTCTGCTGCGGCGTCATGGCGCCGCCGGGTGCGGTAGGGACGGCGCTCGGGGGACTCTGCCCAATTGATCCCAGCGATGAGCGCTCTCCTCGCGCTGGTTCGGATGCGGTGACTGATGGCCTCGATTTTCGTGGTGGGGGATAGACCTCTCCGCGTGCGGCCGCCTCTTGCGCTTTCTGCTGGGCCTCCGCCTTCGTGGGGCGGCCGCGCTTCTTCTTGCTCGCGGGCTCCCCCACCGGCGACATAGCGGCGGTGGTGTAGGGATTTGGGCCGACTATGTATTCGCCCGCGTACGGCTGCGGCGGTCGGGGCTGCAGCAGGCGGCCAATGGGCGGAGTCTCTGGCTGGTGCGGGCGCTTCTTTGGCATGTCGGGGCCGGGGTACATGATCGGGGCGGGCAGTGGTGGGCGCCTGTAGTCTGCCGCGGAGTAGGTTGCGGCGAGGTTATCGTAGGCCATCTGACACGAACGCAGCGAGCGGCCTGCGCGGGCATTAGCACGCCATACTCGAGCCTCTGCAATTTCCCAGAGACCAGATACCGTCGTCGGGGCCGCCTGGAAAGACGGAAGGCGCGCGTCCTGCGCCTTCCCCGTGGCGCCCGGGTCGCACTTACCCTGCGGCAAAGCCATCTCGTTCCATCGGGGCTGGATGTTGGAGTTGCGAATGAGATCGAACAGCACATGGGAGGGGACCGGGGCGGCCTTGAGTACTTCGGCGAGTAGATAGACCTTCTGAGACAGCGAATTAGCTTCCAGGCGGGCGCTACGGGAGGGCGGCGGCCACGGCGGGCGGCCCATACCTCGTGCTCTGCCCATGGTGCTTCACGGGCAGGCTCCATGTCGTGTCTCTCTACAGGATCCAGCGGGCGACGGTCGACAAAATACTCGCGGCGATTCGATGGGGAATGCAACCAGACAAATTGAGCAACGAGCGATCACAAGGCCGTAAAGTAGCTGCAGAGGCGCGCGGTAAGAATGAGACCCGTGTCTCGTCGCGGCGACTGCGAACGGGGGGACAATAACGAGAGTAGAAGAGGAACACATCAAACGAGAGGCAGAAAAACAGAAAAGTTCGTTCCCAGGACCTCATGCCAGCCGGCAGAGAAGAGTCAAAAGAGAACCATGAGGCTGGTCGCGGGAAGGAGAGAGACGGAAACGCCTGGTGAAATTAGGGACACAGAAGACGCGAGTTTAGAGTGTGGCCCGGTTATCCTGGATGACTTGCAGCACGTAATTTGGCCCGATAAACAACAGAACGGCGGCCTCGCGCGCGCGCGGCGCCCAATGCGTCGCGGCGGAGGAGCTGGGTGCTTCAGCTGCGGCGGCCGGGCTCGACCAGCTCCCGCCGGTGCATTTCCAATCGATGTGAGGCGCTGCTCGTCCTGTGTACGCTCGCGGGTCGCTGGGAGCTGGCGCCACAGGGCCGCGGCGGGACGAACCCCCCGCGGCCAATCGTCGTCGCACTGGGGGCATGCCTGATACCGCACACAGGTGGACCGCTCGTCTCGCGCGGTTTTGCGTTGGCTGCTCCCGTGCAGCTGCGCAGTGCTCGGCGCCCACTGCAACGCTCGCTGCGGCCGCGGGAGACGAGACGGCGCGCTGGTGTGCCGGGCGTGTTCGCGGAGCGCTGGCCGTCCATGCCCTCATCCCACGAAGGAGCGGAATGCCTCGCGCTCGACGCACTGTTGTCCGCATTCCGGGAGAAGGATTCCACGGGGCAAAGAGTCGCGGGCTGTTGTGCAGCAGGCCGCCGCCGCCGCTCCTCTTTCTTATATACAATCGACACCGACGCTCGCCGACTGCTCTGCCACGTAGCACCAATGGGCACTTCACCCATGGAGGAGCACTTCTATATCCCGCCTCGGTATCCCACGTCGCGCCCGCCGCCGCCCACTGAGCCCGCGCGCTGTGCGCCGGATCGACAGCCCCTCGGCATAGCAGCCCCTGATATGGGAGATGCGGCAGCGATACCGGCACGCATTCCATCGTCGTCGCAACAGTTCCAAGGTTGCTGGCGGCGCTGTACTGTACAATACAGTACAGTATGGCAGTATGGCCGTACGGCGAATGTACGCGGCCGCGTCGCCGCACAAGCGCTCTATTGCACTATTGTTAGAGGTAAACTAGCTGGCGGCTTGGGGACCGGGGCGGTTTGCGACGACGGGACGGCTGCAGATTCTGCGGCGCGTTGTTGTGGTCATCGAGGAATTGGGCGCCAGGCGCTAGGCCCAGTTCGGCAATCCCATCAACCTTATTTCCTAATCGATAAGACGTGCAACCTCCGTCGACATGCTGCTTATTTTGCCTGCTCGCTGTGGCAGTGCTCCGTCATGCGCTCTGCTCCATCATCCGCATGAACGACCGTCTCTGGCCCATGAGCTGGCGCTGGGCGGAGCGGGCGTCTGGTGAGGACTGGCGTGCATGAAGCTAGAAGCGCAAATGGCTAAATCCTCCATATACCTGTGCTCCATGCTCGCATCTTATCGGCTGAGATTCCCACCCTCCGCGTCGTGGAGCACGCTACCGTCCCCGTCGCTAGTACTGCGCTGCAGAAGACGTTCATCTATTTGCTGGCTGCTGCGCACTCGTTCGCGCAGTGCGCCTGCTGAGCGGCACGAGTCCCGATGCCATGGAAACTTCCATCGAGAGTGTCAGCGGGCCCTCCCGGTGAAAATGTGCGCTACACTCTGTCACGCCTTTCTGCTGAAGCAGCCATGTACCAGTGCATACAGTGAGTACAGCGCACTGCTCTGCGTGGGCGATCCAAGAGCAGGCGCCAGCGACTCGACAAGCCTATGTCTACACTCGCGCCAACCTGGTCTGTGGTCCAGCTGCAAGTGCCAGCCTTCTGCGCCCGTCCACGTGGATGTGGAGAGTTTCTTCACTCTGATCGAATCAGACCGCATGCGAGCAGTTCGTACGACGCCAGCATAAATTAAGACGCCACCTATCAACAGCCGTCCTTCTCACGTATCAATGCAAACTCCAGACCGAGCAGCGGGTGAGGTGACAATGTTGGTATCAACCTCGGCACCCGGACTTGCCCGTTCTACATGATGCGCCTGATCTCTGAGATTCTTTGGCCACCATTCCAAGGGTCGGCTTGAAGGTCGCATAAGGTATGCAGAGCAGCGCCGCTTCTAGTTCCGTTCGCTATGGGTTATTGTAAGTCAAACCTCAGCCAAGCCTGCAGAGGAAAGCCCGATCACATTCTGAGGCGGCTGGCGCTAAGGAACCTCGAGGCAGAATAATGCTCGCAAGACGATGCGTAGCATATTCCTTCGGGCAATTGTTTGCAGTCATCCGGAAGCGATGTGTGCAGGAATACGGATGCACTGCATATTCATCATGTCGCCAGGCGGTGGAGAATAGTCATTGTAGGGGCTCAAGGAGGGGCGAGAGCGGCGAGTGGCTACACTCCATGTAAGCAAGTCTTCCACCCAGAAGGTCTTTCGCTCCAAACCGAGAGTGATAATGTTCCGGCCCTCACTAACTCATACACAGTAGCCAGACGAACTGGTCTCACTACACTGAGCCGTCGCCAAGCTTTCGCTACCTGCGTGCGCGTTCCGAAGGCCAAATGGTCCCGCGACGAACGAGAAGAGATTCTCCGTGGCTGACACACTCGAAGCCGTAGTCGGTTTATATAGTATTGTGTGCGCATCTCTGTATCTCCGTCCGGTCGGTGTTTGCACTGTTCGAGTTACTAGCCTGGTCATTCGGCTGCCCAGAACTTCTTAGCCGAGATGGGGAAGCGGCCATCTTCAATCTCCTCCGGCGAGCGCACCTCGAAGCCGTCGTGTGCTCAACGAAACCAGACCCTCCGCAACGGCGCACTGCAAGAATCCTCCGAACGACGCCTCGTGCCGCTCGCCCGTCTGCCTGCGTCGTCGACCGCCGCCCGCGCCTGCAGTCTCTCCGGTCGCGCCGATTCCTCCGAGACCTGGGTATCTCCCATGGCAGCATTCTCAAACGATTCCCTAAAGCGCGGTCCCCATACTCCTTCTGTTCTCCTGCTCGAGCGAACGCGACTACACTACATATAGCGAAGTTTGTGGCTCGGCTGGAATCGCTGCGTCGCAAGAGGTAGCGCGATTTGCCTCCATTTGTCAGGCAGGGGAGGAGTAGCATGCGGCGGTGCTCCCTCTGTCCTTTCACGAGCTGCTATAACTCTTGAATAACCCTCATTCGGTCTGCCTGCGCGCTGGATTATTGCCTAGGCAAAGCGGGCCATGATTGTCACCACGGGGTAGCAGCAATCGGAACATCGCTTAGCGTCCCTAAGTTCTGAAAGCCTCTTCTCCCTCCCGCCTCCAACCCGCCGACCACGCCCACCGCGCGCATCGTCAACCACCATGTCGGACGGCGAATCGGAGAAGAAAACGGCTCAACTGGAGCCAGAGCTGCGCGACATGAAGATCGAGGAAGGCGCGCCCGCGGAGGAGGAAGGTGAGAATGCCGACACAATCCGGGTGAAGGTAGAAGGAAACGCAGACCGCACGCCCACGCCCCTCCACGTACTGCCACGGATAAATTCGCGCTCGAAATCTCAGTCCCCCATCAAGCAGCAAGGCTCCGGAGCTTCTTCTCCTGATCCAGACGCGCACGAAGAGGTGCTTGGCGGAGACATCACATTGAAGATGGAGCCCGGAAAGGCACCTAAGCTCTCGCGGACAGCATCCCAGAAGGTCGTATCACGCCCGCCGCCGCTTTATCTCGATCACCCAGATGTTACCGAAGCAGCAAAACAGACCTTCGTGGTCCTCCCAGAAAACACCTACGCCAACAAGTACATCGGCACAACCGAACATGCCTTGGAGTGCGATTGTTCCGAGGAGTGGGGTAAGCCTCTAGCTTTGATCGCCAGCACACGCCTTTCTCGCTCCGTCCGCTGACACAGATCGCAGACCCCGTCGAGAGGATTAATCGTGCTTGTGGCGATGATTCTGATTGCATTAACCGCGCGACGAAAATGGAGTGCGTGGGTGACTGCTCGTGCGGGAGCAAGTGCCAAAACCAGCGCTTTCAGCGGAAGCAGTATGCCAACGTGACCGTCATCAAGACCGACAAGAAAGGCTTCGGTTTGAGGGCGAATGCTGATCTGAAAGCCGGCGATTTTGTGTTCGAGTACATTGGCGAGATCATCGATGAACGGGCGTTCCGCCGTCGCATGGTGCAATATGATGAAGAGGGCATCAAGCACTTCTACTTCATGTCGCTCACCAAGGGTGAATTCGTCGATGCGACAAAGAAAGGTAATCTCGGCCGATTCTGCAATCACTCGTGCAACCCCAACTGCTTTGTGGACAAGTGGGTGGTTGGGGACAAGCTGCGCATGGGCATTTTTGCCGAGCGAAAAATCAAAGCAGGCGAAGAGTTGGTCTTCAACTACAACGTCGATCGATATGGCGCAGATCCACAACCATGTTATTGCGGCGAACCCAACTGCACCGGTTTCATCGGCGGGAGGACGCAGACCGATAATGCTACGAAATTGTCGCATGCCACGATCGAGGCGCTCGGTATTGACGATGGCGACGGTTGGGACACCGCCGTAGCAAAAAAGCCTCGCAAGAAGAAGGTCAGCGAAGATGATGAGGAGTACGTCAATGAGCTCCAACCGAAGTCTCTCGAGGAGGACGGTGTTACCAAGGTCATGGCGGCTCTTCGTCTGTGCACGGAGAAATGGATTGCCGTCAAGTTGCTCGACCGCATACAGAAGAGCAGGGATGAGAAGGTCGGACATCGCGTCATTCGCATGCACGGCTACGAAATTCTCAAGACGACTATCACCACCTGGAAAGATGACACCAATGTTGTTTTGCAAGTGCTCGACATCCTCCACAAGCTCCCGAGGATCACTCGCAACAAAATCCAGGACTCCAAGATTGAGGAAGCCATCCAGAAAGTCAAGGACGAGTGCGACGACGAGCGCGTTGTGGACTCTGCCAACGAATTGCTTGAGGCTTGGAGCAAGCTAGAAATAGCTTATCGGATCCCGAGGATGAAGAGGGATCCCAACGCCAGCACACCAGTCCGGGCAGAGCACCACTTCGAGCGACGAGAGAGGGGCCGTGAGCGTTCGCGATCACGGTCAAAGTCGCCTTCGATATCCGCACCAAAGGGTCCGTCCGGTGCGCCTTCTGGTGCGCCGTCAGGTCCCCGTGGTTTCAATGCTCCGAGGGGTCCTGCTGGATTCTTCAACCCCCCGCGCCCGCCGCATCGGCCACGACCGCATCCAACCCCTCTGCCTCCCGGGTGGTTCCAAGCAGCTTCTGAAAACGGAGCGACGTACTACTACAACGCCACCGGTTCCACGCAATGGACGAGACCAACGTTGCCAGCTAACCAGCCGCCCCCGCCCCCGCCTAAGGCTAAGTCGGATACACAGTTGCTTCAAGACATCATTTCGAGTATCACCGCCAATGTCACGCCGAGCAATCAAGCATCCGCATCCACTACCCCGCAGCCTGCTACCGAAGAACTCAAAGAGAAGAAGTCGAAGGGCGAGAAGTGGCGTAGCTTGCCACAGGATAAGCAGGAGAAGCTTTACGAAGCTAATGTGAGTGCATCCACGATGTGCTAGGACTTCATATCTAACCGTCTCAGATCTCGCGGCACGTCCTGACCGTAACCTCCCGCTATCGCAAAGAGCTCGAAAAGGATGACGTTAAGAGGTTATCCAAGGAAGTATGTACGCTTGGTCGCTTTTCAAGTCGGGTTTGCTTACAGTGTCTTTTAGGTTGCCAAGAAGCTTGTGCGAGGAGATTACAAATCCGGACGAGTGAGGGACCCTACGGCGCCAGTGAGCTCGAAACACGAGAAGACGATCAGGAATTACGTGAAGGACTTCATGGACAAGGCCGTCAAGAAGAAGGTGGAACGCGAAAAGGAAAAGGCAGCGCGAGGAGGAAAGACGGTAGAGAGTAAGACTCCGGAGACTCCGCGGGGTGATATGAAAGCCGACAAGACAGAGCAGGATGATGACGTTCTAGGGCTGAGCGACGATGAAGACATGAAGACTCTTGGAGTATCTCCGGCGGAATCCTCTGCGACAGATCTGAAACGGAAGAGGGAAGAGGATGGTAGTTTGGCCTCGCCCAAGAAAACTAGGACCGAGATGCCGCCTGCTCCTCCCCCACCGCCGCCGCCACCACTCTCGGCGGATGACATGCCCATGGATATGGAGGAGTCTAGCCTCACGCCTTTGGAGGATAGTGTCGACCCAACAAGCGAAGGAGACACAAATGGCGTTGTGGTAAACGGCAGATGGAAGCTGACACAGGACAACCTCCCGAGTCCAATGCAGCTGGCGACGCCTCCGACGAACGGGTCCTGTGAGCACGGCGGTTACGCGAACGGAGATGGCAACAACAAGCGTCTGATTGCTGTGAATGGCGGTTTATGATGTCGGGTGGTTCGATTGCTTTTATTCCGATCTCCAGCTATTCCTTTGGTCCTTTGTTTCGCGACAACCCATTTATCTGGCGTCATGGCATTAGGATCTCGGCTTCATGCATGGTCGCATTCTCGACAGAAAATCAGGCGTTGGTGGCAATGTATGGCGGCGAGAGCTCGTAGCTCCGTCCTCGGGTCGGCGGTGGTCTGCAACTTTGAACAGCAATCATATCCACAGCATTTTCTTGGTGGGGCAGTGAAGGCGCATGCCTTGGAAGAGATGAGGATTTCGACAAGAGTGTACTATAATACTGCATGGTAATCGTCTGGGAGGCAAGTGATTGCACAGATAAGCAAGCAATTCCGCAAGTGCGCAGAGTTCCGGTGACGAAATGGTCCGAAAAATGGCCGGCGTGAGATGTGATCTCGGCTCTGCTCATGCGGGGCGCGGCGTCTATGGCGTTTAGAGGTCGATGTGACTGATGTGTTCCTAGGGAAAATAGGAAAAATATGTGTTGCGGCGTGCACTACCAGGAACTAGGCGCACAAGTCCGGGGGGGCTAAGCTTCGGCGCTCGCGTGGACAAGCTTCTTTCGGGGATAGCATCGGCTTAGACCCCGCCGATGGTGATGCACCTCCAACGGCCGTCGATAAACAAGGGCGAATAAAGCCTGCGCTCCCCCTCACGCGCAAAGCTTATGCAGGCCTCGCTCACCGCAGTCCGATTATATACCTGCCACTTTCTTCCTCTTTCTTTGCTCTGGACCAAGTTGCTCTTTGCAGCTGCGCGCGAACATTGAGCTTCCCCAGCCGAGCTTCGTCATAGCTGCGTGCACTCCCCAGCTCCCACGGTCAACCATGGCCTCTATTCTGCGCACAGCAGGTCGCGCCCGGCCTGCTCTCGCTGGCTCCATTGCCCGGCCGACTTCACGGATCGCGCCAATTGCCCTCCAACGGCGCTATGCCTCCGCCGCTGCCAACGCCGTGGCCTCCGCGAACGGAGAGCAGCCATTCTTCCCAGACGAGCCCACCGAGCCAATTGTGCAATGCCCGATTCCAGGACCGGAGAGCCAGCGCGCAATCGAGAGATTGAGCAAGGTGTTCGACACGCGGAGCTTGAACATGATGGCGAACTACCAGCGGAGCTATGGCAACTAGTACGTCCGGGGAGGCGCACAAAATACTAGACGGGTAGCTAATGAGCTTCCAGCATTGCTGATCTCGACGGAAACGTACTCCTCGATGTATACGCCCAAATCGCCTCGATCCCGGTGGGCTACAACAATCCTACCCTGCTGCTCGCAGCGACCTCTCCCGAGATGGCTTCTGCCCTCATCAACCGCCCCGCCCTTGGAAACTTTCCCCAGCACGACTGGGCCGACATCCTCGAGACCGGTATTCTTTCCGTCGCACCGAAGGGCCTGAACCAGGTCTTTACTGGCCAATCCGGTTCCGACGCGAACGAGCTAGCATACAAGGCAGCGTTCATGTGGAAGCGCCAGCACCAGCGAGGAGGCTCGCATGTCGACTTCACGGACCACGAGATCAGCTCGGCCATGACGAACCAGTCACCTGGCGCACCACAGCTCTCCATTCTCTCCTTCAAATCTGCCTTTCACGGTCGCCTCTTTGGCAGTCTATCAACCACCCGCTCTAAGCCCATCCACAAACTCGACATTCCTGCTTTCGACTGGCCGCAAGCGCCCTTTCCTTCCCTCAAGTACCCTTTTGATCAATATGCTGCTGAGAACGCTGCCGAAGAAAAGCGCTGCCTCGACGAAACCGAGCGCCTGATCAAAGAATGGCACGCGCCTCCCGCCGCTGTGGTCGTTGAGCCCATCCAGTCCGAGGGCGGTGATAACCACGCCTCACCCAACTTCTTCCGCGGCCTCCGCGAGCTCACCAAGAAGCACGATATCCTCTTCATCGTCGACGAGGTGCAGACGGGCGTGGGCGCAACCGGCAAGTTCTGGGCGCATGAGCACTGGGGTCTTGAGACACCGCCGGACATCGTCACATTCTCGAAGAAGGCACAGACCGCAGGCTACTACTTCGGCAACAGCGAGCTCCGCCCCAACAAACCCTACCGCCAATTCAACACCTGGATGGGCGACCCAGCGCGCGCTATCCTCTTCCGCGCCATCATTCAGGAGATCAAGCGTCTCGATCTCGTGCAGAACACTGCGGTTACTGGTAGCTACCTGTACGACGGTCTGCGGCGGCTGTCCGACCAATATCCGAATGAGGTCCAGAATCTCCGTGGCCAGGGCCAGGGCACGTTTATTGCGTGGGATAGCCCGAGAAGGGACGAGGTGCTCAAGAAGGCGAAGACGGTAGGCCTTAATATTGGAGGCAGTGGCGAGTCGGCGGTTCGGCTGAGGCCTATGCTCATCTTCCAGAAGCACCACGCAGATCTTTTGCTGGAGCGGTTGGAGAGGATTTTTAAGTCGTAGATGGGCAAGGGTAAGGAACAGCCATTCGGAAGGGAAGACCACATGATGAGGAGATGCGAGATCAGAGAAATGCAAGACGATGCAGAGGCTACCGGCAATCTCAATGGAAGAAAGGCGAGGCTTCTTTTCCCTGGATACACGCGGAACCTTTGGCACAGATTACGGGGAGCTGTTTTTCTCTATTAGCTAGCTGGCGTACCGGTCGGTGTCTACCATCAATGTCAAATTCTTTGAATTTAACATTTGCGCTTTGTGATTCGTTGTCTGCTTGGTGCTCCTTCCTCCATGCCGATGCATCCCCAGGGGTCAAAGCATGCCAAATTTATTTCATCCAAATCCGCAGCTGTAGTGGGGCTGTTGCAAACAGAGCGAAACTTGTCGGTAGGAGCAAAATGTGAACGCACTCTGCATCCATCCTGCGCAGATCCAACAGCCCTGCCTCCTCAATCTATGGAGGAGGTAGGTATGTAGTATCTGTGTAAATACACACACATATGTAAGAAGACGCTATAGAGTAAGCTTAATTCAAACACACGCCTCTATAGATAAGCTAGCTATGCCCTTATGTATGTAAATCGCATGCAGCAGTAAGTACCATAAGGGTTTATAACCCGAGGTGTTAGGAGCGAAATGTGAACACACACTGCATTGTGCTAGGCCGATTGGTATGTGTCTGGTGGAACTTGCGGTTTCCTCTGCTTTTGCTGGGAACTCTAGTATGGGCTCGGTGTTCTGGGTTGCTTGCTAACTAGTGGTCTGGCGGGTTTGACGCTGAGGGTTTTAACTCTCGGGAGGTGCTGGGGGGTGTGATGGCATTTATGACATGGAAATATGATGTGGCTGGCAGAGACGCGGCAGCCGCGCAGTAGATGCCGCCGAGGGCGTCAAATCTCTTAGAGGTAGCGGTAGATATGATGGCATTTACACAGAAAATATAACTGGTACAGTCAGTCTAGAGACGCAGCAACCTCGCAGTAAACGCATCCACTTCCTCTCCAGCTCTAGCTGGTAGTTTGTACATACAGGGAAGGCCGAGCATAGGAATAGTGATGCTGAATGGTATGGTGTAGTATGGTATGAAAACATAACTTGTCCAGAGATACAGCAGCCTCGCAGTAGGTGCATTGGCTATCTCTCTCGCTCTAGCTTAAAAGCCCCAATTTTGCGAAGCTGGTAACTTTGTACAGTACATAGAAGGAGGGCCGAGCTTAGGAAAAGTAATAGATGCTGAATGCTATAGTGTAATGTAGTATACAAGCCAGAAATTTCGACGAAACGCGCGAAGCGCTCAAAGGAACAGGAAAAACAAGATAAATGCTACTCGTACAAGTCTGCATTCTCAAACGAACGCCGTTCTAGTACGCAATGTATGAAATGCATGAACCCCAGAGCATGCAATGAAATATCAAGATTACCGTCTCTCTTACTAAGCCGCAGTCTTGGCATTAAACCTAACCCTAACCCTAATCCACTACCAAATTCCACATTACGACGGTTAGGGTCCTGAATTCTGCCCAGGAGCTGCTGCTGTCGATGAGTAGGGCAGCTGGCTATCCGCGTCTGTAGCCTGCTGGTCGTTTTCGCAGTCGTTGCAGATCCAGGTGTGAGTCTTTGGATCAGGTGCGTTGCTCCAATGCTTCAATATGCAGTCAATATGAAAGGCAGAGCGGATACAGTTCTATCTGATGTTAGTAATAGACTCGATCATTCCATTACAAAATTGCATGAGACTTACGATGTTTTCGCAGACGATGATCCTGCTAGTGATTGATGCAGCCAGGGCATCCTCTCCGCACAAGCATTGATCATAGGGAGGTTCCAAGGGTTTTGTATTAGCTGGCACGTCCTGCATCTCGACGTCGCCATCCGAGTCGGCTGTTTGCGGGGTCATGATCCCCGTGGCAGTTACTTTTGCCTTTCCTTTGCCCTTGTCCTTTGTTGTGAGACTCGGGTTGGGGCATCTGTTCATTCTGGCATCGAGGCCTGCGAGCTGCTCAGACAGGATATCCAGCTCCTTATTGACAATATCCAGAGATGCTCTGTGGACTTCTTCCGTGATGATTTTGTCGCCGAGCAGCTCATCGGCTTTTGTCTGGAACTCATCCAGAAGCTTCTGCTGCTGCAGCCAGTTCGCCTTCGCTCTTGCAAAGCGTATCAGAGCATCGGCGGCGTGAATATCACCTTGTAGCCGCTCATCTATGAGGAAGGAATCGAAAGCCTTTAGGAATCGTTTGGTTGGTTCTGGTATACCTGAATCAAGGTCCATGTGGGCCTCTTTCTTGAGACGGACCCAGTCCATATCAACCTCGTCATCACTCTCACTGATCTCTTCTCCCTCTTGCAAAGGCCGCTTCGTAATTGAGCGGAAGAATGTGATACTGGTGGGAGCTTTGGGAACCTTGTATGTTTTTCTTCCCTGCACTCTGGGCCGTTCTTGGACCTCGTCCGGATTTCGCGGTTTGATCTTCTCTCTCAATTGAGCGGTGGTAGATCTCTGTAGAGCAGCAGGTCTGTAGATCTTCTCCAAGCGAGCCGCTTTCTGAAAGTCTTTGTTTCCTTCGAGATATCTTTGTCGATCGAACGGGTTCTTTGGCGCTAGCATCTGAATCTCTCTTGGATCGGGTGCCCGATCACTGGCTCGCTGCTGGTCTGCCTTGTGGTCCGCTACATCGCAACTGAATTTCCAAAATTGGATACCTCCCTCTTCCCTCTCTTTCTTAACCCTGTACTTGAACATATCGTGCCAGGCCTCCAGATGCATGCGAAGAGCATCTAGCTCATAGAAACCACTGCGGCTGCAGTGCGGACAAACTAACCCTTCACGTGTGAAGGATGTGTCTTGATATACAAAGGTAATCTCGAAGTTGTGCCCGCTAGGCCCAGGTTCTAGCGGAGGTGTTGGATACTGTGCAGCGCGGACTGAAGATTTAAGCTGCCGGTTGTGCATGGCAAGGACAGACTCATCCTTTGGCGGTGTCCAGTACAAGCTCATTTTTAGACCAAAATCGAGCTGTTCATCTCTTACTATTAGTGGCTGTACTGTGTTCACTCCTGGACATTTCAGTATGTCTATCCATCGCATAACCATACGGCTTGGCGCGTTCTGCTGGAAGGACGGGTGAGATGGAGCCATGTTCGCAAAGAATTGCTCGGCATCCTTTTGTCCGCCGAAATTAATGGCTATGAGCAGGTTCCACGGTTTTGGTCTTGACAGCCTCCTCGATGGTTCCTCTCCTAGACCGTTTGATCGCAACAGGTCCTTGAGCTTGATGACGCTCTTTGGCATGGCGAGTTTTATGTCCCTTCCGTTTTCGGTCTGCATGGCAAGCATGGCGACTTCCGTGTTCGATATCCTGTAGCAAGGATCGTTACGGTCGGGATCGAAGATTGTGATGTGTACCTCAACAACCAGTCGGAAGAGAACAGCCTTCTTCTTTGATGGTATTCCCTGTGATCTCTTGTCTGGCTTCAGTGGCTCGATGCCGTTGATGTGAACAATAAGTGATCTGTTGCTTTCTTGATTTGCAACCATGGCGTCGAGGTTTTCTTCGTCTGGCATTTTCCAATCTGCTCGATTGATTTCGAAATCGGATCTTGAGTCCCGGTCTGGAGGAGCCTGCTCCAACTCCCGTTGGTTCAGCTGCAAAGAGCGGGCCAGGCTTCTGTTCAGAAAGGGAGGGTTGCGCTTGCTGCACAAATATTCGCAAAACAGAATGTTTCCCATATACACCTCCTGCCGCCCAACCATGCTCTGGCAATGAGGTTAGCTATCTGGACGCAAATTTAGAACAGTTTCAGGCATTTTTGCAAAATTTGACATACAGAGCTTCCTTAGTCGCCCAGTTGCATGCTAGGGCAACTGAGGCGTGTTTGTTCCGATTTTCAAAGTCTGGAGGAATTGGTTCTGGCGGATGACCAGGTGATTGGATTGGAACTGAGGGGCAATAGCGACGCTCGCTATCACCTGGGCACTTCGTGTGGACGAGAATAAATTGGTACCGATGGAGATCTCGGCAATACCAATGCTCTTACTGGCGTGCTGCCCTCCCATGCGCCTGCGCGTCCACAATCGCGCATGAACTAAAGGTTTGCGAGGCGCAATCACCGCGGGACGAAAGGGCTTGTTTCGCTGTTGTTTTTAGAGCACAATAGAGCCGGCAAGGTAAAGGTCGGACTGAAGCGATTGTTTGAGGAGGACGCCGGCGCAAGCAGACTGCGCGGTTCAGCTGTCGAAGATTGAGGATTGAGGATTGCGGATTGTCTCCGAAGCAGCCGTTTTGATGTCAATCCTCGAGGCCAACCGCGGTCGCGCGAGGACTGTTTGCGCGCGTTTTTGTAGTAGCGATTGCCCTTGGATGAGGTGTCGCGATGGCTAAGCGTGCCCCGTGGCGGATTGCGCGGATATGGTGAGCGATGATTATTGTTGTGGTGTTGTTTTGGCGCCGTCAACACTGGAAGCGGAAAAGGGATGTCGAAGAGTAGCGGAACGGCACACAGCGCGGCTGGAGTATCATGTCTCATGAAACCTAGCGCTAGCGGCCTGCACGGTTTAGGGATCTCCTCTTTCGCTGCAGAGAAACAGAATACTATTGTTGTTTGTTTCTTCAACTCCAGTCACGTGCACGCTTATCCGGATTGGGCCTAACGGGGCTCTTGGCACCCGAGGCTTTCTGTCGTCACTCACTCCACGCATCATCGCGACAGCCTCCGTCGGCCCTCTTTCACTCTTCGCCCACCCACGCCACCAGCTATCTCTGATTGCCCCCTAGGGCGTATCTGCGCACCTTTACGCGACCCATCCGTGCCCACTCTTGAAGACGGTCAAGCGATACTCTAATGCCCACGCTTCGATAACAAAGTTGGGAAGCGAAAGGAGGATGGCCGTCACCCTGAAGCGCAAACGGGGCGCTGTCTCCTATCGGGAGCCAAGCAGCGACGACGACTTCTCCGAGTCCGATGACGAGCGTATATCCAGGAAGCGCGCGAGGCCTGTGAGACGATCCGCCAGACACCAATCCGCTGATGCAGAACCGTCGTCAAGAGCCCAGCGCAGACATGTCTCTCCACCCATGGCGAATGTTCCTGTGGAGCGCCCGAAGCATAGCCCAAAAGTCGCTGCCTTGCGACGACGACGAAAGCACAGGATATCATACAGAGACGTGAGCACGGATGATGATGACGACTCTGATGAAGATTTCGAGACCGATGAGGTCGAGGAGCCGCCCCGAAAGGCGTACGCGAAGCCAGCGCAGTCTCCGCCATCCCAGAAGCACCAGAATAAACGACGAAGGCGACTAAGACCGATTGGTGGTCCCCTGAAGCCTCAGGCGAACTCGCAGCAAGCCCCGAAGCCAGTTCAGATTCCCACCGACGGATACAAACCGCTGTGGGCTACCCTTCCGTATCATGTACTCCTTCAGATATTTGTCTACGCGTCGCATCCGCTGCATGACGAGAACATGGTGCCGACATCCTCCATCCCGTGGCTCGTCCGCGTTGCTAAGATGTGCGCCGCATTTACGAAACCGGCCCTGACAGCACTACATCGGAATCCACCTGTCTTTGCTATGAAACAGAATCGGAAAGAACTCGTCCATCATTTGATATCGCCGCCAGAGGGGGCTCACGAAGACTACCGGGTCATGGTGAAGCGCCTCGAGCTAGATGCGACACAGATGCCTGCCCTAACGGATCCGACACATAGCGTCGCTGACCTTGCGGCTCTAATTACTTCACTAACGACTCTGAAAGAAATTGATATCTTCGATCCTCTTGACAGACCGCCCTACAGGGGTCGGCTCAAGCGTATCCGCCGCTGGTACTATCCGGACGAGCTCTTCACCGCTTTGCGCCAAAGCGAACTCCGCCTACAGAGCTGGCGATGGAACAGCACATTTTGCTCCCGGGGTGCCTTATGGATGAAAGAAATTCATGCAGACAGAGCGTTCCAAAGCCTTCGGGAACTTACTCTGACGAAGTACCACACGGATCCTCCTCGTAAGCCTGATGAGGACAAAGGCCAGCCGATAGCAGAAGAGCTTCTTGGCTCCGCCCTTGCTGTTTTACCTAACCTAAGGTCTCTCGCTTTCGAGACCTGCAGCGTTGTCAACGGCCGGCTTCTTCCCTTGCTGCCAACCACACTCCGCAGCCTGAACATCACCAACTGCATAGAACTCACATCGGAGCATTTACAGGGCTTCCTCGCTACACATGGTGGCCTATTGGAGGATTTGGTATTGCTCCACAACCAGTACCTCGACCTTTCCTTCTTGGTCGATCTGAAATCATCCTGTCCTCGGTTGGAAGTCCTTAGGATGGACCTCAAAAACTACAGCTCATTGACAATGTCAGCGGATAATGAGCCGCTCTATGACTATCTCCTTGGAGAAAACGAGATCCCAACCTGGCCGGCCAGCCTTCGCGTCATCGATATGGAGTATCTGCGCAAATGGAGCTCGGAAGCCGCAACACATTTCTTTAGCTCCTTGATTAATTCCGCCGAGGAGCTACCCTGGCTCCGGGAATTGCGAATTCTCGCGATGGTGGACGTCGATTGGCGCCAGCGCGCAGACTTCAGAAGGAAGTGGACGGCCAGGTTCGAGAAGGTCTTTGCTAGAAGGTGGATCCCTCCGAGTCCCCATCTTGTATCAATGCGAGCGTACAGGGAATGGAAAGCATCCTGGTCAGATGTCGCTGAGAAGAACGACTCGCTCCTTGACATACCAGAAGCGGCGAATACCGGTCAAGCGTCAGAAAGCGATAGCGACGTGCCGCTTCTGCCATCGCGCAAACGCAAGGACGACGAGCACTGGACTTCCTCACGTCTACGGTCTCGTGTTCAGACATCTACCAACTACGAAGAGACGTCGGATGACGAGGACGAGTCGGGTTCTCAAGAGTCGCCGAACGCAGAAGACGAGCCAGAATTCATCCAAGGCCGATGCCACACGGTCATCTTTCGACTCGACAATTTCCGTCCCCGCGAAGAGCTTTACGATGAGGACGACTTTCTCGATGAAGAACGCAGCGGCGATGAAGACTGGAACGGTAATGATGTTGTTGACGATGAATACGCTTGGTAAGGTACCTCGCCGTGCCAGCTTAATGGGACAAGGAGCAGGAGGGTGCTTGCAGGCCGAGAGGATTAGTTGGGCTCCGCTGTATTTCTTTGTACGCCTTTTGGTCAACGGATATTTCACGGCTTTCGGTGGCGTTTGGTCATGACTTACTGGTGAAATAGGCTCATGGTTTGCATTGGGCTGGTGTTAGTCGGCTGCCCCTGAATACCTGTTTGCATCGTTGGGCATCATGGGACGTGCATCGTCGGGCTTTTCATGCATAAAGCTACTATTAGACTCCGATTTAGCTTTGCGAGTCTTCTGTATAGTATTGAAAATTCAAATAGGACTTCGTACGAGGTACTCGGAGATAATCGTAAATAATTCACAGCTCGCTCGCACAAGGTACTCCATTTGCAGCTGAGAGTGAGTGCGCCACAGCGCTGCGCCACGGATTTGACGTGGGTGGACAAGGGTGTTCATCACTGCTCTCACAGCCACCCTTGAGTGGGAATCCCCTCCAGTCAGCGCCCTCTCCCACACCATATAAGCGCTCGGCACGGCATTCTGCAATACTTCCCATATTCCTCTTCCAAGCCTTGCCGCTCTTTCGCTACCAACTACTCTCCCTTCAGTTTGCCTGCCCCGCGTTCGCGACAGCGACGATGTCGGCACCCACGCCTCCCCGACCGCCAGTCTCTCCAGACTCTGGCCCAACCGACCCTACTCTGCCAAAGCTGCCTGGCGGCTGGATCGCCCAATGGGATAACACGTGAGTCACCTTTCAGTTCCTGTCGTCGCGCTGTCTTGCTACCCCGCCATCACACCATGTGCCCCGCGACACGCTCCTGACACTGTGACAGGTCTCGAAAGTACTACTGTGCGTGAAGCCTACCGCGCCGTCGACGATGGCATACAGGGTCTCGGCGAGCGAGAGGAGTACGGGCTGACAAAATATTCAGACGTGCAAATCAGCACCGGCGTGTCGCAATGGGAGCTTCCCACCACCGAGGCCCCCATGGGCGCCGGCTCGCACAGCGGCACTCCCGCGCAGAACACGAACCCGTACAAGCAGCCGTTGGAAGGATCCCAAGGCCCGGGAGCTGCTGAGGGGACAAGGGGTGTAGACGGAAAGACTGGCGACCGCGCTGGAGGCCTCGGAGTAGGTTTCATCGCATGAAAGTGCTGTTGGAAGGGCAAGGCTAATGACCATGCCAGGGCTTCGCGATCAACGCGCTCACCGGCGGCAAGCAGAGCGGACACGGCTCTGGAGGCGGCGGCGGAAACCTCGTCGGCCAGCTCGCAGGATCACTCCTCGGTGGTGGAAAGCAGTCGCACGGCAGCAGCGGACAGGGAAGTGGAGGCTCGGGAAACCTCGTGGGACAGCTTGCGGGATCGCTGTTAGGGGGCGGGAAGCAGAGCCATGGAACCCAGCAGTCTGGTCATGGCGGGTCGAGTCACGGATCAGGCGGCCTTGGCGGCATCATTGGAGGAGTACTGGGTGGAGGTTCAGTAAGTCACATCCTCCGCGACACAGAAGCTGTGGAGACGCATGGTTGACGATATGCAGCACAACAAGCCCCAAGATTACGGTTACAGCCACACCACTTCGCAAGGTGGAACCTACACCGGCACCGCACCTCCAACGTCCTATCAGCCTTCTGGTTCGCACGGCGCAACTCCAAGCCAGCACTCTCCCCATCCAGCTGGAGGTTATGGCCACGACCAGCAGCACCAGCAAGCCGGCTACGGACAACAAGCTGGCTATAGCCAACCCCAATCCTACGCCGCACCCGGCGGCCCGAACTACAGCTCCCCGCCGCCCTCGCACTCCCACCAAGCTCCCTACGGCGGAGCCCAGAACTACGACCAACACCAGCACAACCAATACGGCGGGGCTCCACCGCAGCAGGCCTACAATGGCAGTCCTGGGTATGGGCAGCAAGCCGGATATGGCGGTCCCGGATATCCCTCGTACCAGCCGCCGCAAGGGCAGCATGCCGGGTACGGCGGGCCTGCGAATTACGATGGGCATAACCCGTACGGTGGACAACCTCAGTATCCGCCCCCGCCACAGCATCAGCAGACCTATGGGGGACATGGGGGTGCGCCGCAGCCGGGCTGGTAAACAGGTCTCAAAGTTGGAACATGAGGATTTTGGCAAAGTTTATGTGTGAGGGTATGGGTTCTATCAGGTGGAGATAAAGCGGTTGCAAGCTTAGTATTGCTTGAGGCTACGTGATTCCCCATTCGTACGGGTACTTTGTGAGGAGGGACGGTTCAGCCTGTTCATACTTGGGTCTCTCTTTCTTTTACTGTCTCCCTTTGCAACACTGTAGATCAATGACTGTTCTTCCTCCGTGTCTCGAGACCCGGGTTACCTGGGTACTTCCGACGCATGGCTTATTGCGTGCACTGAAGTCTATAGCCACTTGCGGGCCATGCGGCCCCGAAAGCGCGAACCGGCCGAGACGTGTCTCTACGCTCAAGAGAGCATCTTGCGACTTCATCTGGCGCATGCCCATTACTCACCAATCTGAGGGCTGTCCAATCTACTAGACAGAAGCCCATTGAACCCATCAGCTCATTCATTCCCACTCCCTCATCCTCACACTCCTGCTTTATACACTCTCCCGCCTCAAGTCCCCTGCTGGAAAAGGCTCATTCCATCCCCGCCGCCCACGCTCAACACCCCCAACCCCTCTTCCTCCCCCACAACCCTCCACGCCACCCTAACCTTCCCCCTCCCGCCGTCCTCCTCCGCGCCCCCCGGAACTAACCTCGCATCGCACCACCCCACCCACCCGGACAAGCTCGCCCGCACCGCGCGCGCATCCTGCCGCGGCACGCGTATCCACACGTCTCTGCCCTGTGTCTTTAGGATGTCGATCGGCACTGCGGAGCCTGTGAGGCCGAGGAAGGCGGATAGTAGTGGTGTGAGGAGCGTAGAGACGGTGAGGGCGTCGATGTCGATGTCGGCTGTCGCCGAGTCGGGTGGTGGATTGAAGGGAGTGGAAGTGGAAGTGGAAGTGGAGGTGACGCTGGGCGTTACAAGACAGAGGTTGAAGTAGACCCAGGCGTGCGCGCGGAAGGTCGCGTGGTGCAGGATGTGAGGGTGGGCTTTCTCTTTGCGTTTGCGCTTTTTGGGGTGCGGGTTTTCTGTTGTTGCTGTTGCTATTGCTGTGGAGGGTTCGGCGGTGGAGGAGGGGAGCGTGGGGTTCGTGGATGCGGTTAAGGGCGGGGCGGGGGCTAGTGCGGAGGGGGTTGTAGGATGGCGGAGGGGCGCCATTGTGCGTTGAAAGGGCTCTTGGAGGGTTTCGAGAGGTAAGAGGGAGGAGAAGAGGAGACTGGAGTTGTGGTGGCTGTTGTTTAGAGCTGTGTGCTGTTCAACGGAGGGAAACTCGAAGCCCAGGGCTTGACGCGAAACTTTCGGTGGGGCCGAATTAGCGTCCACGTCAATGTCTGCACCGTCGCTTGGCAACGTTCGGAGAGTATATTATGTCGACTTTATTCCTCTCTATGCCTTTCTTCCCTATACTGGTTAAATGACTTATCTCGCGATTTGAGGTGGTAATGCCGAACGGTATCCAAAAGAAGGGCCATTGCAGTCGCCATCAACGTATCACGATCATCAGCAGCAGGAGGTTTTGATATGTGAAGATAGTGTATTTGCATCCAATTATTATGCCTCTCAGCAAGTGTCACTAAGCAGCTACCACGCATCCATATCCACATCCCGCAAGCGTGCACTCGATATCCGACGACCAGACACGAAAGCAAACCCTTCCATCCGCCACCTCCACGAGACCACCCAGCGCCCTACCAAAATATCCGTGGAAAGCACGATGAAAATCGGAATATGTCCAGCGATACCGACACTGGGCACTATCAGAATGAGGTCCGACAAAGGAGAAGGAAAAGAACTACAGAGAGGGTATTGTGATGACGTCGAGGTCCCGGCCGAAGGCAAGCTAGCCGATGAAGCTGAAGGGTATCTATGCGGGGAGAAATGCAGTATGAAACTCCGCAGGAAAAACTTTTGTGCATACTCTGGGAAACGCTTGAGATGCTGAAATAGGTATTACAAGTGCTGAAAGTCTTGAATCGGGTAACGTCGGCCGAAAGGAAAAGGATGTTGTCGAGAGCATATAGAGGGATGGGTAGTCGTTGATCCGGAGTCATTCTCTGAGAAGCTAGCCCTTCTTCTTGCCCTTGTCGTTGCCGTTTATGAGCTTCTCGAAATCGACGTTCCAATTGAACTTCAGTCCACCGCCCTGGAGGTTCTTATTGACAGCCTCAACGATTGTCTGGATCTGATAAATGGACTGGAGGATCTGGGGGAACGCAGCAGCGAAGTGCTGGATCTGGCCAACGTCGAGATCTTTGACGGGCTGGACGAGGGTTTCAATCCGGCTTATCTGGTTCTTGCACAGCTTTGTCTCATTCTCAATCCGGTTGTAGCGATCATTCAGACTCTGCGTGTCCCGGTTGTACGAAATCATTGAATCTGAGATGTCGGCGATCGAGTGGATGCGCTCCTCCTTCTCGGCGGAGATGTTGTGATCAAGCGTCATATCGCCTTCGACACGCGCCGTCTGCTCGGTGTCCAGCCTTTTAGAGAGCTCGTTTTGGGTGACTTGAAGAACAGAAAATTGATTTGCAGTTTCTTGCAAGGCTGATAACGTGGCATTGATCTCCCGGAGGCTGTTCTCGGTTTGAGTGGCCAGCGACGTGGCGTCGTAAGACTTTGCGACCGCCTGTCGCGCGAGTTCGCATGTATCATCGACTTTCTGTAGCGTCTGTGGTAGGCTGTGCACAGATTCGGCATTCTGTGCTAACTGTTGGAGCTGTTGTGAGCTCTGCGCGAGGCCGTAAAGTTGCTGCGCTACCTGGGAAACCCATCTAATTTCGTTGTTGAACTTCCTCAGCGAAGTTATGTCTGCCTGTACAGCGCCGAGTTGATTGAGAAAGCCTGGAGCATTGGGGTAGGCGTCCGCAATCCAGTGCACCATGTGCTGGTATAAAGCTTCCGTTGTGATGTTCTGGTAGCGGTCTTCCAGACTTCGCAGAACATTCTGGAGGATCTCGATCTGTCGTTCTGAAGCCTGAATTGACTGAGTCTTGGCTTCCATCTGCTGTCCCAGGCCGGTAATTAAAACGTCCAGTTCAAGCAACTTGTTGTCCGCGCCACCACGCCACTTCTGGATGTCCGCGCTCGCCTCTTGGAAGGTCTTTGACTCAGCAGCTAAATGTACCAGCTGCTGTCGTTCCGCGGCGGTCAGTGCTGGCTGTGGTGTGTTGACCCGGGATCGGTGTTCGATGGATTGTCTTTTTAGTGCATCGACTTGTTCTTGCATGCGCTGGCGATCCTGCCGCGCGCCTAGTTTAATGGGATCTATCTCACTCATAAACAGCTCAGGTATCTCGGTCTGCACAGTCTGCACCGTGCCCTCCAACTGGAACAACTTCCTCTCCAGGCGCTCAAGGTCGTCACCAATTGCGTTCATGTCTTGGACCATGTCCCCAAATTGGTTCTTGAGATCGGGATCTGATGCGTACACGAGGTCGCCGAGCTGTGACTTCTCGCCAGTCTTTTCCGTGATCCGATTTATCTCGGGGATAAGTGCCTGGATGCGCTGGAGTCGGCCGTCAAATTCGATAAGCTTTTTGTCGTGTACGCCATCTTTGCCAACATTGGCATTGAGTTCTTCAACCATCGCTGCCAACGGTTCTGCTTCCGACAGTCTCGACTCTACCTGAGAGAGCCTAGTTCCCAGGTTATCGTTGTTCTTGCTGACTTGCTGCATGCTTGTCTCGATCTGCTTCATCTGCTGGGCGAGATCACCCACTGAAGTGGATAGAGTGGTGAGTCTCTCCAGGACAGTGAGTCCAGTGCGTTTGTGTTCGGAATATAGCGGACCAATAAGTTTTTCGAGATCCCAATCTATATCGTCGACCCTCTTCTTGAGTTTCTCCGCCTCCGGCTCTATTCTTTCCTTGATTTTATCGTAGGTCGATGTCTCTTTTGACGCAACATCTCTGATGCTATGGCTTAGGTCATCGAGCTGCTTTCCTAAGTCCTTAACGTCTCCGAGAACCGAGGCAGCAGGTATACTCTTTTTTGCGAATTCCTTGATTTGAGTTTGCAGTTCCGTCTTCAGAGCAGTTATGCTGTTTTGGAGCTGCTCCGGTGTCAGCGGATTTGAATGTGATTGTTTCCATTTATGCAGCCCATCAAGCGTGTTTTGCAGCTCCGTGACTCTGTCGGGCAGAGCTTCTAGCTGCTTTCTTCGCTCAGAAACCGTCTCCAATTGCTGGAGACGACCTGGCCATGTCTGCACCTCCGTCGAAAGGTCTTTGAACCGCTCGAGCTGCGTGATACGGCTCAGCATGGTTTCTCGCTCGTTCTTCAGATTAGTCACCTCAATCTGAAGAGCGATGAGCTTGGCACCCTGGTTTGAGGATGGACCATCCTCGTTCTTGCCAGCCGTATCTGCACTAGCCTTGTCCGGATTTGCGGCTCGCAACAACTGAGAGGCAAGAACAGAGCCAACCCGCTTTTTGCTGGCATCTAGCTCCGAACGCGCAATAGCTTGTTTCCGTGCTTTGATCTTGCGTAATGAAGCAATTGTACCGGATTCGCTAGGTTCGGCCGGTTCCTGCTGGGTCAATCGGACGCTATGGGTTTCAGCATTGGCCAATTGGACAATGTTGGCGAGCGCCTGCAGCGAAAATTTGGATCCGTTCGAAGCGCAGGCGGGGTTCGGTGAAATTGGGAACATCGACGGGGCAGGAGGCGCAACCTGCAGGGGAGTAGAGCCTCCGCTTCCAGAATTCCCAGCGTCTCCATGCATTACTGACAGTGGCGACATGGTGCGGTGGACCGGGCTCGCGGTGTCGTTGGAAGCTCGCGAGGTTCCATTGTTTGATCTCCTATCCAGAGAGTCTCGTCGACTATCCCAGTCTCTGGTAGGTCTGTAGTGGTCAATACGCCGTCCATCTCTAGTCTTTGGTGCAGGTCTTGTGGGTATCGGTACGTCTGATGTACCGATAATGGAATTGTTTCTTGATGGAGGCGGACTGAATGGCACAGCGAGACTCTCTGGGACAGCGTACTATTTAAATGTTAATACAATGCTTGTGGATGTAGATTTTGTTCAGCCGTACCCTATCAGAATTTGAAGCTAACAGATCTGACCTGCTTCGCTTATTTTGCGGGCTATCTCCACGTGGTCGTGGACCTGAAGGCCTCTTCTTTGAGCTCATCTGATCGGGTGCAACCTGATGACGTGGACCATCAGAAGGACTGCGGATGTGTTAGTGAGGGAGAATCCAGGCGGAGCTATAAGTGAAGGTGGCGAGAGTTGTGTCTGCGGGCCAATCGTGGTAAACTAGCGTTACAGGGATCTAAGGCAGTTTCCTTATCACATAGTTTTGAGCTAGACACGCTCCTGGCTTTACTGCAAGATTTGCTCGCTGTAACCGCGGGCTGCGTTGTTTGTAAAGGATACGCTAACCACGCGGAGTTTGTGTGCGTGTGTGTGTTTTCGGAGCAAGGGACACGTACCTGTCCGCATGTGCCGAGACGCGGTTACCGGTAGGGCCGCTGGAACCCAAGGGGTTGTTCGAGGTTGAGAGTTTGGGATACGCTGGACGGCTTGACATTTTGGCGGCGTCTCAGACGCACGGGGGAGGGAGCCGCCGCCGCGCTCTACATGCCCAGATGAGGATCGTATTAGGACGGGGGCGGTAGGTACAAGTGTAATGTCGTGGAAGGAGAGGTGAAGGAGAATCGGCGGGCGGTTTATAAGTGAGAGCTGGGGCCGTCTGGGCCGCACAGCGACTTTTCGTCGTCGCGGTAAGACCCCCGCAACGCACGCTAACACGCCAAGGGCCAGATTGGTATTAGCGTTGTGGATACCTCTCTTAGCGCCTGGTCAGTGCGCTGAAGCTCAAGCTTCGCGACAAACTCAGTTGACGCGGTGCGAGAGCAACAAGCACATCCTGCCGTTGCCCCCACGCCCGCACATCGCCATGGCTGTCGTAGGTCTTGCAGACGCCCCGCTGTGCGGATTTCAGCTAACAGTGGCAGCCCATAACGACCATCGCCGAGAGCAAGGAGCTGCGTGGGCTCAACCTCATCGCGGCGCACTCGCACATTCGCGGCCTCGGCGTCGAAAGCGACACTCTCGAGCCCAAGCCGTCGTCGCAAGGACTAGTAGGACAGGAAAAGGCGCGGAAAGCCGCGGCTGTGATATTGCAGATGGCGAAGGACGGCAAGATTGCTGGCCGCGCGGTGCTCATTGCAGGCCCGCCCAGTACAGGAAAGACTGCTATCGCCATGGGCATGGCGCAGTCGCTGGGCGCCGACGTGCCCTTCACGATGTTGGCCTCGTCCGAGATTTTTTCGCTCGAAATGTCCAAGACGGAGGCCCTCACACAGGCATTTCGCAAGTCCATAGGCGTGCGGATAACGGAGGAGAGCGAGGTCATTGAGGGCGAGGTCGTGGAGATACAGATTGATCGCAGTGTCACAGGGGTAAGACAGGCAGATCTTTGCTCACGGACAGAAGCTGAAGATGATCCCAGGGCAACAAGCAAGGCAAACTGACCATCAAGACGACCGACATGGAAACTGTCTACGACATGGGCACCAAGATGATCGACGCGATGACCAAGGAGAAGGTTATGGCCGGCGACATCATTTCCATCGATAAGGCCTCCGGGAAGATCACGAAGCTGGGCCGATCGTACACGCGCTCGAGGGATTACGATGCCATGGGCATAGATACTAAGTTTGTGCAGTGTCCAGAAGGCGAGCTGCAGCAGCGGCGCGAGGTAGTGCACACGGTCAGCCTACATGAGATCGATGTGATAAACTCGCGCACACAGGGCTTCTTGGCCCTCTTCTCCGGCGATACTGGCGAGATCCGAAGCGAGGTGCGAGACCAGATCAACACCAAGATTGCCGAATGGAAAGAGGAGGGCAAGGCGGAGATCGTGCCGGGAGTGCTGTTCATCGACGAGGTCCACATGCTCGACATCGAATGCTTCTCCTTCATCAACCGGGCGCTCGAGAGCGAATTAGCACCGATTGTCATTATGGCAAGTAACAGAGGGAACACACAGATAAGAGGGACGGACTATCGATCGCCACACGGCCTACCGCTCGATTTTCTGGATCGGGTGGTCATTGTTAGCACGCATCCATACTCGCGCGAGGAGATGCAGCAGATTCTTTCAATACGCGCGCAGGAAGAGGAAGTCGACGTCTCACCAGATGCGCTTGCTTTACTCACCAAGATCGGTCAGGAAACGGGTCTGAGATACGCCAGCAACCTAATCACCACGTCGGATCTTATTCGCAGCAAACGTGGTGGTTCAGACGTCAGCATCGACGACGTGCAGCGCAGCTTCGCGCTGTTTTACGACCCGACAAGAAGTGTGCAGGTGAGATTCTTAACTCTGCATTCTTCTTATAAATTGTGTTGCTAATCCGAGTGAACCAGTTTGTCACGGAATCTGAGAAGCGTCTCATCGGCGATGCAGGCGATGTATCCCTTGCAGTCACGAACGGTACGGATGTGATGGATGAGTCTTAAGCTACCTAGACATCATTTCCTAGGCGTACACAGGTGTCTGGTTTTACTGAGCGCTTGGGTAGAGGTAGCTCCTCATTAGGCGTGGGAAAAGTCGCAACATGTAACACTAGACGCTTGTCAACCGATGGTTCAACATTCCAATTCCGCCTGGTGTGAAACCGTTCGAAGGGCAATAATTGTTCTCGGGATGCGAGTGTAATAAGCTGGGCATTTCTCGCAGTTGAGGGGAACCGGAGCCGCGTCCCCTTTATAGGTTCGTCTGATTCGCACCGTGTGAGCTGTGAATCTGTAACCACTGAGCTTACGTGGACGTATCAGAGAGGCGCTCCGCGCTGTCAGGATGGCGTCGTCTGACGCTTCGCCAGAGAAGTTTTGTTAGATTGGACGCACAGTACCACAGTAGGCTTGCGTACGTCACCTCAAGCGCTTAGCGAGGGTTTGACTGAGACTAGCGATTACTGTTGTACGTCTTCGTACATTGCTCGAGCAGGTCAACAGCTGAGAAAACTGCGGAGAGGGACGGTTCATCTCTACGTGAAAGGAGAGATCGTGCTCGATACCGCCAAGAGGCCTGATGGCGACGCCAGCCGTTGGGGAGCGTGTGCGGGAGGGAACGGCAGGTCGGGCTTTCTCCCAGCTTGGCAGACGATGAGATGCAGATCGCGCGCCCGGTTTCTGGCAGAATCGCTCTATGTCGATCTTATCGCATTTAGGAACTGCGGCACACGACATCATCATTCACAGCCCACCCACAAGACCCGGTTATTCTTAGCCCCAGCGCAGGCCAATGCCGGTGAGAAGCCTCATATCTGGGGAGGGTTTAAGCAAGAGTGAGTATGCGAAATGGAAGCAGCGAGTACAAGGGAGACGCCGTCCATGTTCCCCCATCCGGCATGGGCTCGTACCAAGGCCGCGCGTTAGTGGCAGGGCATCATGCGCTTAGATGCGACGGCTCGTCCCAGAACTCGCTCTGCCTCCGAGGCCACCAGCAACCCGGCACGCGACCCGTTGCCTATTCGCTCGCCGTGCGGCTTGAGCGGTGGCGCTATGCTGCCGTCCCCAGAAGCACGGACGGGAAAGTATGGCCGTCGTCCTTCCTTACCCTTAAAGCCTCCCATGGCCCGCCTTGTGCTGATGCGTCTTATCTGCCACTCTTGCCGTCGCTCTCGCTCGTCGCTGGCGCTGTTGTCCCTTCCCGCTGAGAAATGAACGAGTGCTGATTCCAGAATCTGTCTTTCCGACGACGTCATTCCTGCCGATATCCGAAAACCTCACGCGGCGCGCTTTCTAGAGACACGAGGGAATTCCTTCTGGGCCCACCAACATTCCCTTCCAATCCTCAGCATTGTTCCAACCGCGGGACTCGGTGTAACGCCGTTCACCAACTTCCGCCGCATTCCGTTTAGACGCCAAGCTCGACCCGATATTCCTATTTCAGACGAGCCTCGACCGCGAGCTCGGATTCCCAAAGCCGCGGAGATGAAGTTCTCGATATATGCGGCGGCGATTGCGGGGGGTTCGCTATTTGCTTCGACAGTGGCCTCGCCGGTCAGGCCTGGGAGGAGTGGCCTACAGAGGACTGCGACGAAGATGGAGGCGCGGGGGCTGAGCAAAGAGGAGAAGGAGAGATTGAAATACTTTCACGAGCCTGGGTACGTTTCCCGTCGGCATTGGAGGAGCGGCATCCCTCCAGTGATTTTGGCCCCAACCTTTTCAATGGTCAAGGACGCACCTCTTCACGAGGCTTTTGTCCCGACGCCTGGCTCAGAATATGGCTAACTTTCAAATAGGGAAGGCGACGTTATGGGACATTATGATGCTCGTTACTTCAAAGGCGTCGTTGCCGACGACGAGCGCACCGATACACAACTACACATGATCCGCGCCTACCTCGACTTCTTCCGACAGGAGGGCCTCGATACATGGATAGCACACGGGACATTGCTTGGATGGTGGTGGAACGGAAGGGTGAATATAATCCATCATTATAGGCGAGACATGCTTAGGCTGACGCTCGCTTGCAGCGACTACCTTGGGACTGGGATATGGACACGCAAGTGTCGGGCGCTACACTCGCATTCCTCGGCGAAAGGTACAATCAGACGCACCACAAATACGTCTCCGATGACGGCAGCGTCAAACGTGAATACCTGCTCGACGTGAACCCTATGGCAAGAGAACGAGAACGGGGAGACGGCATGAACATCATCGATGCACGGTGGATTGATCTTAGGAACGGTCTCTTTATCGATATCACTGGTCTAAGCGAGACGCATCCGGATACCGCGCCGGGAGTGTGGAGTTGCAAGAACTACCATCGATATCACACTTCAGATCTATATCCGATGCGCGAGACTGTGTTTGAGGGCGTTATCGCGAAGGTTCCGTATTCGTACGACAAGATCTTGATCCAGGAGTACCAGGAGAAGGCGCTTGTCGTGACAGAGTTCCAGGGGTACGTAGATATCCTCCCTCTAGGTATTGAGTCGCAGCTAATGTGTTCAGGCACGCATGGGACCCGAACCGGAAAGAATGGCTCAAGACCGCCGAGCAAATCGAAAAAGATCGCCAAGACGCTGAGAAACGGAAGCAGGAAGAGGAGGAACGCAGGAAGAAAGAGGAAAAGAAGAAGGAAGAGGAGCAGAAAAAGAGCGCAGCGGAAGAGGGCGAGGGAGACAGGTAACAGCAGGTCTGAACGACTATCTTGGAGAGCTTCTCTGTATACATTAGGGCGAGTTTGGGCATTTACACGGCGTACCTTGGATCGACCATATTGTTTGGATGGATTGGGCTTTGGCCGTCGTTTGGATATGAGCATCGATACCCATATCTCATTAAACTTCGCATCGCTCACGCGGAGGCTAGAGTAAAAACTTCAGATGTTATGTACATAGCTTCAGTGTATGTTGTCATCAAAGCTTTCAGTAGCCGACTCATATTATGCATTGCTTGTGTGAGATGCGAACCGCTAGGGCGTGAATAGTTCTACACGTGATGCGTCTTAGCGCGATGACAAATCTGGCGCGATGGCGACGCGCATGGAAGCCTTGCGAACGTCACCGACGAGGCCCGTATCTCACAGTCGGCAGCACAACGCTACATTGATCTCACAACTAATCCTCCTACTTACAATACGCAGACTGTTTGAAAATGACATCAATAGACGAAACTCACGATACCACCATGCCCGCTGCCTCCGCCGACGAGATACAGCTCACGCTCACACATCACGGCAAACCGGTCACATTCTCCTTCGCACAAGACGCTACCATATCGGATCTCTCCGAAAGAGTCTCCACAGAGCTCTCGATACCCCCGTCAAATCAAAAATTCCTCATCAACCCGAAGCTAGGCCTGCAGAAACCGCCCTTCAAAGACCCCTCCATACCCATCTCCGAGCTTGCCTCCAAGAAGATAACCCTCATGGGCAGCACGACCGCCGAAGTCTCCTCCCTCAACGCCAGCATCTCCGCCACCACCGCGCCTCGAAGACCCAGCCCCATCAAAGCCGCAACCCCCGCGCGAAACCGAGACTGGAACAAAGTGCAGGAAGAGGCGCAGTACACGTTCCACACCCTCCGACCGCTCCCTTACCTCCCGAACCCAGACCGCAGTCTGCGCTTCCTCGAGCGCCTGCGCGACGACGCAGGTATCAAATCCGCGATGCGCACGCACAAATTCAGCGTGCCCCTTCTTACAGAGATGGACCCCGCCATGCACACAACGCACGAATCGCGCACGCTGGGGCTGAACCGCAACTGTGGCGAGGTCATCGAGCTACGTTTACGAACAGACGCGTACGACGGCTACCGCGACTACAAGACGATACGCAACACGCTCTGTCACGAGCTGGCACATAATGTGTGGGGCCCGCATGATAGGAACTTTTGGGAGCTGTGTAAGCAGATTGAGAGGGAGGTTGAGAGGGATGATTGGCGGAGTGGCGGGAGGAGCGTGGCGGATGTGGAGTATGCGGATGCGCCCGAGGATATGTGTGATCATGGAGGATGGACAGGCGGGGAGTTTGTGCTTGGTGGTGGAGGAGGAGGGGAAACGGTGGTGAGTAGTGCGGGTGGTGGGAGTGTGCCCGCCGGGAGTCTGAGTAGAAGGGACATATTAGCGAGGGCTGCGGAGGAGAGGATGAAGAAGGCTAAGCAGGCTGAGGAGCAGAGTAAGGGTGGTTCCGCGTCATGAGGAGAGGATATGCTGGGAAGATGTTACTTCTCCTTGTTGCGTTCAGCGCCGCAATACCGTTTGGGAGAGACTTCGGGGTAAGGGGGACCGGGACCATCCGCACACCCTACAAGCAGCCGACCAAAAGGGTCAAGGTTTGATGTAGTAGACGCGAACGGAGCAGACACAGTAAGTAGTATAGTATCGACTAGGCCTGCCACCACCAGGCAATTCTTAATGTCACGATTTTACAGTTCAGTCCGCGAGTCAATTCTACTTTTCACATCCACGTGTTTCTATTCGTCATCTTTTACCTTACCGTCGTCGTATCACCCATCCGTCTTTGAGTCACTCACGGAACTCAGGGAGTCCCCTCCCCTATTCAGAAAAACGACTAAACCTCACAGTATCTATACCCCCTCCCATACCTTAACACCATCTACCGCCTCGCAGCTCGGAAATGCCGCCGAATCGCCGTGTCCCTAGCCCTGCGAGCTCTCATGCCACGCGCAGGCCTCCTTAGCGGAGCAATAGCAATATCCTCCTCATTCCTCGTCGTCTCTTCTTGTTCCTACCCTGCAGCATGGACTAGTTCTGCTCGACATATCGGACACGTTTTCCCCCCCGCGTTTAACCATTTTAGAAGGCAGAAGCGCCCGAACATGTGGTTTGCGCTGTTGGCGATGTTGACGATGCGGATGGGGGTGTGGGTGTGGGAGGTGTTGTAGGCTTCTAGACAGATGGGGCAGGGGTCTTGGGTTGAGGCGAAGGCGAGGGTTAGATGGTGGAGTGGGGGTTCGGGAGGTGTAGGGGGAGGTGGTGAGAGGGGCGGAGGGGTATGGGAAAAACTATCTTGGGGGGATGGTGGAGGGGTGCATGAGCGTGTGGTGAGATGGGCGAGGAGAGGGTCGTTGGAGATGAGTTGAGGGATATCAGAGGGATCGGGGGGAGAGCTGCGGAGGTCGATGGGAGGTGGGGGGTCGCTTCCTAGGGGCCAGCAGTCGAAGATGGGGTCTGTGAGATTGGCTTGGATGGGAGGTGTGTGGTCTCGGCGGTTGAGGTGTTGGTCAAATCCAGCGTCCGACATGCTGCTCTACTCGTTGGTTATGACAGGAAGGAGAGAAGAACTCTTGAATTTGGGGATAAAGGCCTCCTGTCTTATTAAGGTATGTTTCGTGAATTTGCGCAACTTTCTCATACATCCACGAACTGCATGGTATCGTGGAGCGTAGAGTAGAAGGATTTCTTTTCTGGAATGGATGGGAAGTACAGCGATCAACCTGGAGACCTTCAGCTAACTTTACGCAGAATCACATCGCACCATCCGAGCAAATGCTCACTGATGCAGGAATGAGATGGCATATACGACGGTGCCTACTGCGCACCTAAAGACAAAATCCTCGCCGGACACCAACGATCGCGGCTCCCTGTTGTACCCCTTTTCGAACTTCAAATTTATTTTTTTGGACGACCAAAAAAACGTATCCAATATCTTCTCCATAAAACGTTAAACCCGCATAAGATTCCTAAACCACTTAGAAAGTCTGCGAAATAAGCCTCCCATCACTTCTCCGGTGACCTCGACCGCCGACTCAGCGCCTGAATGTTCATACTCCCCGTCACTTTATGCTTGCGCGGACTCCGCCGAGGGCTGAGCGGCTCTTCAATGCTGGCAGCAATGATGCTCACGCGCTTCTTGGGAGCCTTGGAGCGGCGGCCGCTAATAGCTACAGGAGATAGAACCGGAGTCAGTGCCGGGGCCGGGATGGTGCCAGCGGCCATGCTCGTTCGCCCGTGCTTCACCTGCCGAACCGTGGTGCTACGCTCCAGCTTCGGGATGTTGCCGAGATCCAGCTTCTGCGCGGTGGCGACGCGTTTAACTCGACGATGCGCGGGATCCATCAACTGGGCTTCGGGTGTCGTCAGAAACACATCACCTTCCTCCCTCTCTTCAGTTTCAATGATCTCGTATAGCTTCCGCTTTCCCTTCTGACTATTACTACTACCGCCGCTCGACGGCGGCGTCGAACTTAGCTCTTTCTTGAAGTCTTGGATCTCGCCGTCGATTACGCCTGTCAGCTCGTCGGACGTCAGGTCGCCTTTCTCGAGCCGCGCGCAGCCGCTCTCGACGCGCTGCTTGATGAAGGCTTTGAGGGCTTGTTGGCGGGGTGTAGGATGCCGGGTGGGTAGGGGACTGCTGGGTGTGCGGCTGCGGCGCTGGCTGGCGGTGAGGGGTTGCGAGGGTGTCTCTCGGGGTGTGAAGGTCAGGCGTTGGTTGGAGGTTGTTGAGAGGCGGCTTGTGGAGGAGCGCTGGCTGGAGGATGGAGGATTGATGGGACTGTTTTTCAGGATCCTCCGCTTAGTTGAGCTGGAACTGCTTCCGGATGAGCTGTGGGTGGAAGACGGTGGTCCGAGGGGACTCGCCATTGGGAAAGGTGAGTGTCTCTGATGGGGAGCAGACCTGTTGTTCCCACCAACCATCTGCACCTGCTGTGGCGTGTTGCTGGTGCTCTTAATCCTCTGCAGCTCCACCTCTTTCTTCTCTCTCAGCAAGCGCTCAGTGTTGATTCCATGCTGCAGCGCCTTCGAGTGTTCATTCGCCTCTTCCAACTCCTCTTGCAACGTCTCATTCAGCTCTTCTAACTCCTTCAACTCTTTCCCGCTCTGCTCCCGCGTCTCCCTCAGCGTTTGCCTCAGCTCTCCATTCGTCTTCAGCGCCCGCTCCAGGAACGCCGCCACAACCCTTGCTTTCCGCCTCCAGGTCGCCGCGTCCTCATTCTCAGGAATCGGGATAGGTGGTGGTGGTGGTCGATGTGTTTTGGATCGATGGTACAGATACGCAGCGGCCATGCCTGCGCCCACGCCGCCCACTAGCGCAAAGATAACCCATTTTACAACGGGGACTTGCTCGTCCAGGCTGCAAGAGACGACGCCAACCTTCTTGGCGAGGGGGTGAAGCGCGGCGTACGCGTCCGTAGCGTTGCGCACCAGGCGGTCGACGAGCTCTGAGGAGGCGGCGCGAATGGCGGCTGGAGCGTCCTTCATGACGACGTCCGTGGTTGCGGCGGTAGCCGTGGTTGTGGTTGTGGTTGTGACCGTGCTGGTGCTGAATGCGGAGGGGATGAGGGTGTTGGGCATGGAGGGAGCTCCGGGGTGCACGATCGGTGTGGAGTACATGCCGTCGATGGTAGGGAATTCCTCTTGGAGAGCTTTAGGTGTGTTGGTGCTTTGTACGCGGTCGGGAGCGGTGAAGCTTGCTATGTGCGCGGATATGGAGGGCGAGGTTGTTGGTATGCTGGGGCCGGAAAACGTTCGTGGAGAGGAGATGCGGATGGGTTGTTGTGAGGTAAACAATTCCTGAGTGCCTAAAGGGATGGTGCAGGTGCTTTGGTAGGCCGAAGGTGACGAGCTGGTGGTGAGGCCGTTCCCTGGCTGCTTGGAGGGTGAAATCTCCGGGCTGAAGAGTGGCGCCCATATTTGGCTCCAAGCTTTCTCATCGTGAGTATATGTCTCCGCCACATCCAACAGCGTCGTGGTATAAGTCTCGCTCATGCTGATACGCTTTTGGTAGATGTTTCATATATCCAGGTGGTCTTAAGAGCGGCGCACTAGTCGACGACCTACAAGACGGGGGTTTGATGTGAGACCTGAGTTACTTGCCATCAAGTGCTGCATTCATTTGCTATTTATCTTAGCCTCAAACAATTTCCGGCATAATGGCAAACAAAATACAGTATCTTCTAGTACGAAGTCTTGCCCCATGATTCTATCTACATGTTATGATATGAACTCGGCCACATAATCACCACTGAAGAACTTCAAGTCAATCGATATATATACTAGTTCACCGCCATAGCAATAGTATGTAGCAATATCGAGTATCCACGCCCAGAAACCGGTGCATGTGCCTGTTTCGGAGTAGTCGGTCTCAGTGATGGGTGGGTCTTGTTTCCAACCGCGACAGTTCACCGCAACACCACGCACCGCCACATGCGCGCACCGCCAAAGTAGCCGCCACAGCAACCACTTTCACGTCCCCTCGGCGACCAGTCGAATACTTTCTTTGAGCTTCGCAGCCTTTGTTCTTCCATCTCTTTCTTTCATCCTTTGTTTACCGGCCATACCACCTCGACTCGACTATTTGCGGCTATATTGTCCACGCAGCGAGAACAAAGACATAAAGCAAATCCCACACCTTACATTGACGGCGTCTCGCTCCCAGATTCTTTTTCTCCAACATCGATACGAATAAAGCGCCGACGAACGACGCAAGTTCCCATCTCGAATACCACGCAACACAGCACCAACACCACGACCATGAGTCCCACCATCGTCCAGCAAGCGCAAGGCGCACCACAAGCAGCCCTACCGCTCTCCACCAAAGCCCGCACGCTCACCGGCTACCTCTTCGGCGAACGCGGACTCCCTGACATGCTCTCTTCTTACGGGCCACTTATACAAGCACTCCTAGGCGCCGCAACTGGCCTCGGCATATATCACTACTTTACTGAGTTCCGCAACAGCCGCGAGAAGATCCAGCTCGCCGTCTTCCATGTCATCCGCCTCGTTGAGCGTAATCCGGAGTTCCAGGAGCTGCTGCAGGATCCGCAGCAGCTGATACAGGTTATGGAGGCTGAGGTCCTGGAACTGTTGGATAGCTATTTGTCCGAAAATGAGTGTGAGCAGGTCATGAGGACGTTGAAGAGGAAGCTTCGGACGAAGGGACTTGGACAGCCGTCGGCGAAGAAGCTGCGGATCCAGGTTGCGGAACAGAATGAGCCCTACGTTCAAACTCCTGGCCTACAGAACCCCGAAGAAGTACCTGTCATCGAGCAAGCGGATGTCACCATGTTGGACACTGACGAGGGCTTTCACATCCCCACCAGCTCAGAGTTCTCCGAAGACGAGCTCCCCACCGTCCAAGCAGCACAAGACGTCACCACTATCCAGTCCCCGAACTCGCTCCCTGTGATCCCTGAAGACCGTCCGCCTGTCACTCCCGGACAAGGAAGCTACGGCTTCTCCTATGACGACTTCTCTACCTCCTCGTCATCTGCAGAGAGTTCGCCGACAGAGCAGCGGCAGCAGCAGATACCACCCGCTGACAAGCGCATGAGCCTGGTCGAGCGAGAGACTCGGTCCGCCTTCGATGCGATCTCACCAGGCAGCGTGTACCGGCCAAAGGCCGTCAAGCCGCCAAACCCCTTCCCGCACACACCGCCGAATGCGATTGCCGTCTCTACCAACTACGCAAAGAGCGGCACTAACCTGTCGCCCATCGACGAGGGCAACTCGCTGAGCACTAGTCCGGACCTGAGCACGATGCAGTACCGGGTCGCCGAGTCGCGCTCGTTCTTTGAAAAGGTAAAGACGGTGCAGAAGAACCGCAAGTTCATCAAGGACTTCTTCGTGCCGGATGCGTCGCCGGTTGCGGCTGTTGTATCGAAGCAGCAGAAGCAGCAGGAGGACAGCGACGAAACATGGGACTCGGTGATCCTGGACTCGTCGCCGGATACTGACTCCTACGGGCGAGGCTCGCCTGAATTGCCACGCGGGCGCATCCCAGAGCCCCCTTCTCCTCCTGAACTGGTACTTCCCAGCCCGCTGAAGAAGTCCCAGTCTCCCGCGTCTGTTCGTTCGCGTCCCTCAACCGGAAAGCGTTCCTCGCCCGCCATCGCCTCCTCCCCAAAGATCCCCAGCTCGCGCCGCTCCGCGGCAGCCTCCTCTCTGAAGGCACCGAGCACTCCTCGCCCGAAGGGCAAGAAGAAGCGTGGTCGCCCGCCGGGAACGCCAAATAAGCCGAAGCCCATTTCCCCTCCCGAGTGGACGCCTCGGAGGAGTACCCGCAAGACTAGGTTTAGGGGGAAGTTCCAAGACTAGACGATGTTCCCTTGTTTTTCCTTGTTTGTATTGTATTGTACTGTACTGTATTGTAGTTCTCAGGGTCTTTAGAAGGTAATGAGTATAGATTGTGGTCTGGTTCTGTGTCACAAAGGCGGTTCTGGAAGTTTTTAGATTTCTTAATGATATCCCTTCATGACTATTTCCGTTCTCATGACCAGGGAGCTTTGCGGTGAAAGCGTATGCCATAGTCTGCTCGATCAATTTAGCACTTGCTCGAAGAGGATTTCTTTGCCCTGCCATGGAAGCAAACCTGTCTGGTCACATGTTTCATCGTGAATGTTTCTCTTGCCTCGTGGGCCGTGGGAAGATTCCATATATAAGTGAGGGCGCCGGATTGTGGAAACGTCCTGCTGGGTGCCTACAGAACAGGATCCGTAGAGTACGTTGAGAATTATATGCCTCCTGATCGACCCTTACCGTCGCGGAAGGACTTCACCTCCAAGTCACTCGTTCGACTTCCCATTTCTTCCTCCCTAGGGAGCGTGTGCAGTATCTGCCAAGAAGTCTTCAACGAAGATCATGAGCCAGTATGTCTCAAACCCCGTGGTCACGTCTTCGGCCGGGAATGCATCCTAGTATGGCTCGATAGCGGGAGACCGAATGCGAACACTTGTCCCATGGACCGCACGGAACTATTTCGTATCCCAGCATCAGAAGCCGCTCTTACGACCCGCCCACGCCGCAACGCTCAAACATCCATAACCCCCACCCAAGGCGGCGAAATCACCGGTGTAAATGGCACTCTTACCAACGCAGGTTGTCGGCGCGTTGTCCTCGAGCTCTGGTACGAAACCTGGGGCTTCTTCCGGGATGCTGAGATGCGGGAGGTGGATGCACTGTCTGTCGATGAGGGCGTGCTAAGGGGGGTCATTGACGGTGCAATTCCGAGGGGAATGGAGGTGCCCCAGAGGGCTTGGGGGGTGTTGGTGAGCATTGGGAGGCAGATGCTAGCCATGCATAGTGAGGCAGAGAGAGGGAGTGACGCGCTATTGCGCAGTGAGTTATTGGCGTGGGCGGGCGAGTTGGGGAGGGCGGGGATTGAGATATTGGAGAGCCGACAGAGGACATGAACGAATAAATACATAGGACACGGTTTGGAAGATCTATCAAACGTATTCAAGGCTGCGCAAAAGCTAGTTGGATTGGGATAAAATAGCTTTGACCTGAGATGAGAGTGGGGTATGGAGCCTCTCACGGTGTGGAATTCTCCGGATAGAACGACGTGCGCAACAGCTACCCTGGAGGCCTTCGCGGGTGCGTACAATGAGACAGCTAATCTTACTTACTTGTACGGCGAGCCCTTAGATCCGGAGAATAACCTACCGCAAGAGGGAGCTTTGGTGTGGCGCCTGAGGCTGCATACCTCAGGTCAAGCTAAGCCGTTTTCGGGTTAGTCACAATGTCATCTATAACTCGCCCCAGCGTCTCATATGAGCCGAAGCCATTTTCCGTTTCTATCTCCACTGCGACATCACTCGCTTTATTGATCCTTTGCAGCACTCAGCGTTCGGCATTTAGTATGAGATCAACTATATACCAGGTTGGGAGAGCGGCTCCTTTCCTGCAGGTACACCAGTGGACGCCTGTAGAGCAGGACAACCTGGGTCTCATTCGCCCACAACCAGTCAACTCTCCCGCTCCGGTTGCTGCGGCCGGTTGCACGAGGCTCAGCCCGGTGACTTTACTGTGTATCCTGGATTACGATTCAGCCTTGTTGCCCCGCATCCAGCTATAAGAAGCCGCCAACGCGCCAACGCAGACCTCTCCAGCCCTTCGCCACCATGGAGCCTCTCACGGCGCTCTCAGTAGCTTCAAGTGTCGTACAGTTTGTTGATTTCGCCGGGAGGGTCGTTACACAAACCATCAAGGTCTATCGCACCAAGCCAAACCATGAAACAGACCCGCATGACAACCTCGAGAAGATTACGCACGATTTGGCATCCCATAACAAGGCTCTGAGAGATTCGCTAAAGTTGCAACATGATTCAGCGCCGGCAAATCTGTCAGCGGTGGATACGCAAATTATGCGGATATGCAGAGATAGCGAAGCGGTTATCACAGAGCTTCTGTCAGCCCTGGGCAGGCTGAGGAGCTCGCAGACGACACTGTGGAGCAGCTTTTTGGATGCATTGAAGAGTATCTGGAATGCGGATCAAGTGGAGGCTTTGAGGCAGACGCTGGACACCTATCGGCAGCAAATATCACTGTATCTGCTGACCTCATTACGGTATGCGACATCTACCCCTTCTTACCCCGGCATATAATAACGGACACACAGCGATCAGGTCAAGACACTTCAGCAGAACCAGTCAAATCGGGACGAGGAACTGCGCACTATCGCAAGGCAAACCCAGACAATGGTTCAAAGCTTTCTCCACAAGGTGGCAGCGCAAGATGGCTGGCAGCAGGAGATCATCCAAACGATGCACAATGATTACGAAGAGAGAAGACGACTTAATACCGACGCCTTTGCATTGCCTGCGGTCGAAATGCGGAAAACCCTGATCTATGAGGACTTACAATGCTTCACTAGTGGCCTCCTCTATTGGGTTCGCTTTAGAGAGCTCGAGCACCGGCCCGAGAAGATCGAGCAGGCTTATGAGAGGACCTTCGAATGGATATTCAGCACATCTCCTAACAATCCGTGGTCCGACTTCGTCAAATGGGCCGAGGGCGATTCAGAACCTCTCTACTGGATCACCGGAAAGCCAGCCTCAGGAAAGTCAACGCTGATGAAATTCATTTACTCTCACGAGCGCACGCATCAGCTGCTACACCAATGGGCCAAGAGGAGGAAACTGATAGTCTCGGCCTTCTACTTCTGGAACTCGGGATCGGAACTCCAGATGTCCGAAGAAGGATTAGCCCGCACACTTCTGTATGAGACCATCCGGCAAGAACCGGGACTGTGGGAGATTGCTTTCCCACACAAGATGGAGGAGTTCATTCTCTTCGGAAATCCGTGGCACAAACCCATCACTTGGGAAGAAATCATGAGCGCTTTTCGCCATCTGGTGGAGGAAGTTGGAGACGAGCACAAACTCTTCTTCTTCATAGACGGCTTAGACGAGTACAGCGGTGACCACGACAAGCTCATCGCCATGATCCAAAGATTCGTTTCGCCTAATGTCAAGACGTGTGTTTCAAGCCGTCCATGGATCGTTTTTGAAGACGGATTCCACCAAAGGCCAAGCTTGAGATTGGAAGATCTCACGTACAACGACATTAAGCATTACGTCAGCTCCCGGTTAAGCCAGAACAGGGGGTTCGCGCAATTGGAAATTCTGAACCAGCAGTATGCCGCCAACTTAATTAAGAATGTCGTCATGAAAGCGTCGGGCGTGTTTCTATGGGTTCATTTGGTCACAGACTCACTTATGGATGGTCTTTCTGGGGGTGAGCGACTGGAGGAGCTGCAAGCACGTTTGGATGATCTCCCGCCCGATCTTGAGCACCTTTTCTGGAATATCTTGGCTCGGTTGGGTGGTTTCCATCTCAAGCGAGCTTCCGAAATGTTCCAAATCTTCCGGGCATCGATCGGGCAGTTAACACTGCTTATGTTCTCATACGCTGATGACGCGGACCCCGATATTGCTTCGAAACACGCCTACGGCGCACTTTCACCCGAGCAAACACATGCACGGGCTGATATTATGCGCCGGCGACTGACGGCCTGTTGCAAGGGACTTCTGGAATCGAAACCCACAGCAATGCCATTGGCCCATACTGAGATAGGTTACCTGCACCGAACGGTCAAAGACTACGTGGAACGACCCGAGATCTGGTCCAAATTCCTAGCTTTGACGGACCCGGATTTCAATCCCTATTTTCGCCTGTGCAACGCGCGGATCATCGAGCTCCGTACCCGACCTATGGGCTTCTTTAGGGCGCAGGATAGTGGAAAAGAGTTTTGGGCTATCGTTACGCACGCGATTCAGTATGCTTTACTCGCTGATCCGACGTGTACTGAAGGCTTCCAGGCCAAGTTATTCAACGCTCTCGATTTCGCTGCCTCTTACCTTGCCAACCGGGAAGAGGAAGGAAGCATTCCCTATACTCAAGGGATTGCGAACAAGCTTAATGTGCCATCAATTCATTGGACGGCTGTCGAGGAACGGTGTTCCTTGAACAGGTCCTTTTTGCATCTCGCCATCCAAAGCTGTCTCTTTGAGTACGTCCGTGAGGCCGCGTCACCATTCTACGGCGCAGAACCTGCAGAGCTATCTCACGGACTTCTAGTGGCTGTCTCACAAAACCAGAAGGACACTGACCTCCCGCTCCCAAAACCTCCGCGAGGAGCAGCCGCGAGGCACCCGATGGACCTCGTACCTCTGCTGCTATCACGCGGCGCTGATCCCAACCTTCCTATTCGGGACGCGCTAAAATACACCTTTGGACAGCCTGAGGCCTTCTCTCCATGGCAGGTGTTCCTACTAAGGCTGGGACTTATGAATCCACGAACTCCACGGGCTCCGGGCTTCGACCCTGATGTGTATCTTCGGAACCAAGAGCTCCAAATATTAGAGGCCCGCAGGTTGGATAATCCTAACCCGCCACCCATTCTGCCGGCGCCCTACCACTCATCAACACCAACCATACACCAGAGCAGGTCCGAGATCGCGCCTGCCTCCTTGTTGGTCATCGCAAAGTCATTTCTCGAACACGGCGCTGATCCCAGTCTGGTGGGAAGGGAGCATGGACGTGAGATTTCGGCATGGGCGAAAAGGAAGCTCGGTGAAAGAAGGGCGAGAGGGATTTTGAGTGTCGTGTTTAAGCCTCGCAAGAGCTGAGCAATTATTCGAGAGTTTAGGCAGCGCAGCTGCTCTTGTCTTAGATTGATGGGTCAGTGTGTAGGAAGAAGTGTTAGTAAAATCGAATAGTGAGGGGTTTCTCTAGAGGAATAGCCCCTGGATAAGCACACCTCTCTCGAATCTTCATCGCCTGGATTGATTCCGCATGCTTAATCCATCAGACGAGCACTACTTCTGCAGTGCATATAGCTGTAGATCTAATTGATACTGCATATGCTCCTGCCAACCACTCGCTCCATTCTTACGCCCGTCTAGTGCCGAGCGGCCACCATCAGCATTCGCGCTTTTTCTTTGGAAACTCGCACTTGTACAGTACATCCTCGTCTGTCATATATTGGCAAGCAAAAACATATGGGTGCCGCGTCTGATACGCGTAGTGCTTAGTCGGGGGGTGCTATCAATCCCAAGTAGACGAAGATGATACCTCCACTTGCTGCGCCCTGAGCTGTCAGGCAAACTCAAGCTCCAAAATGCACTGAGGCAGCATACGACCTTGCTCCTTCCACATCATTCCTTCTCAGCGCCCTACTTGCCAGCCTGTTTCGATCCGACATCACTCTCTTTTCTCTTCGAAAACCGGAGAATCGATCGGAAAAGTCAAGCATGCAATAAGGCAGCACGTTGACGTTGATCAGTCCTGCTTTCTTCTTCTGAACTGGGCGCACGTCGGGGATAACCGACGTTACCACCGTTATGTCTTCGTGCGTCGCATTATAAGTTAATGCTAGCCAGCCTCCCATATGTCGCCACGCTATTGACCTTGAGTTTCTCCACATGTTGTTGAAGTTTGGCTCCCAGAGCGGATCCATCACCCGTGTCGCCAATGCGCCGTCCGAGTACAGCATCGACCGCCTCAGTCTCAACCAGAAGCGAGAGTGTCTGCGGAGGGAATACTAAGCGGTTTGCCATCCTTCGCCGCATAGTCGTGCTTCTCGAGCTTCTCAGAAGGGCGTGCAACATTACCATAATCGACTTCTTCCCCTGGGTGCTATGTACATATGCGTCAAGTCCTCACCTATTGAAGACCTTCGGGAGTGGCTTTCCGGCGAGTAGACGGATCTTGATTACCTCCATCTCTACTAGAGTTCCTAGACATGGCCCTCGAAGGACGAGGTTTCTAGTAGGATTTAGCGCCTTTTGGTTCTCTAAATGAGGGGCTCGATATTTAGTGGCGACGGCAGCGCTTGGATTTGGCTGAGATGGGTGTATGAGCTCGAGAGCGGCTAACGGTTGCGTTGGACGACCACCGGTGGGATAGGAGATAGAGAACGTGCTGCTTCTGCTTTGGGATAAGTCCTCCTGGAGGCCTCCAGTAGTCTGGCAGGAGTTTGCTGTCCTGTAGGGCTGGATGACTGGTTAGCCGAGCTAGATCCAATCAGATGGGTGAGAGACCTCCACTGGCGGTGCTTGAGCCGCAATGTGAACGCCATGTGACCTAGCTCCAGATCAGAAGCTACTCGCAAACGGCCCGAGACCACCAAGCCTCTGTATGTCTCTCATCTATAAGGAGCCATACCGAGAGGAAACCATGTGCTATAAGAATCCGCCGGTTGTGTTGCTCCAACATGCTCTCTTATTCCCAGCACCAGCGCTTGGTGTCATGATTGAGATGGTGGCCTATAATTCCGACACGATGCTGAAAGCTCAATTTCTTCGCACATGCCTTCATCGAATGGACGGCTTCCCAGACATACGATGCCCTGTCTGCTTAGACGATCTCGACGAGAACCACTAACCTGTCCAGATCATCAACCACCCAACCTGCCGCCATATTTTCGGTGAGAAATGCCTACTCAAATGGCTCCAGCACTCGCACACCTGTCCCTGCTGCCGCGCCGTGTTATTTGCCCCGCGGTATCCGAAGAGCACAGCGCATGCCGTCCGAACAAACGCCCCCCGCCACTCCGCCCGTTTGTCCAGGGAAGCACAACTGAACGCTTACATTGACGAATCGACCGCGACGTCGGGTATGTCTCCAGCTAACATCCGGGGATTCGTGCAGCGGCTATGGCGTGACACCTGGGATCTTGTGGAGCAGTCCCGACGGGGATGCGCAGAGCGTCGTGCCCAACTTATCACTACCGCGCGACTCCAGCGCCTGGTCAAGCAACTGTGTGCAGACAAGCACTTGGATGGACCGCTGATGGACAGGCTGACGCTAAGAGCTCGCAAGATGATCGAGACGCACCGGCAGAACGGCGTGTTTGTTCGGAGGGTGTCACTCAGGCATGAGGTCGACGATGTCGAGTTGGCGTTCTTTCAGGCGGGCGATATTCGAGGTTCTCTGTGAGGTTTTGTCAGCTGAGGTTGGGGCGCGAGAGCATAGCGGCTTCATTGAAGGCGTGGGTTGGTATTGTACTAGTTGCTGAGGGCCTTCGGGCTTGCCTTTCTGGTGTCGGCGGTGAGGACGAAGGGCTCGCGGTTGGAACAATGCTGAGGATGTCTCTTTGGTGTTCCTCCGGCGGACGATATTCGAGGCGCTTCAGGAACCTACCGGGTCGGCAAACGGTGCGGGAGAGGAAACGCTTTCAGCGACGGGTTGGTTGATATTAGGGTCTGGAGGACATCAGAGTCGCGTTTGCAGTGTCGAAACGGCGAAGTCGCTCGAACGGCGGGCAGGCTTGAGGCTGGAGTCTGGTGACGTTGTAGTCCGCGGCGTTCTGTGTGCGAGGCACTTTGCGAAGCGTCTGGCTAGGTATCGGTGCGCGGGAACGCCTCTCTCGTCGACGCAGGGCGTAATAGCTGGTCTGAAGGCCATCAGGCTCGAGTATGCGGTATCTGGCTGGTCAGGACGGCCTTGAGGGCAGTTAGCAGGCGGAGTTGAGGCAATGTTATGATACCCATACGAACTCCATAGCGACTTCACCCGCCTTCCAGCGACGATATGGCCTCATGTGTGCATCCCAATGTAGCTAGGCTTGCCCCTCGCAGCTCTATCGATGATCTTATGCTGTTTTCCTGCCCTTTTGCGTCCTCCACTGCCCTCTACAGCCCTTCTGCCTCCATTTTCGCCCTCAATTTCGCCTCGTGTGCGGTCACCCACCCCACTGTCGCGACCTCACCGCTGAATCTCCCGCCCTCTGATTGGCCAAAAAGGCAGTCCGAGCGCGGTCCCGTGACTTTTAGCGCGCCAAGAGCGCCAAGAATCCCAGAGGGTAGTTAAGCCTGCCCTCCCCATGCCCCTTACACGACCGGAGCTCTGTTCGTATCCCCCACCCCACCCCTATGGTTGACTCTTCAGCTAACAGCCTCAACAGCTTTGCCTTTTGGCTTAGATCAAGTGTAGTATCTGTTCTTTTCAGGTTCGTCTCCCCTCTTCCATACTCGTCAAGCTTTCCACTGACTGACTTGACTACAGTTTAATCTCTGAAACATCTCTACGGAGATATCAAGATTATTCCTATTTTTGGACCCAGGCCTCCTCTCACTGGGCTTGCTCATAGTTGAGGCCACAGTGTCGCCGGTAAGCATTGTTACCTTCTATGCCTTATTGGGCTTAGCGCGCTAATTTTTTTCTAGGTATTGCACTACCTCCGGCTGACGCGACTTCTTTCATTCTTTTTCATTGAGTCTTCCAGTGTTTACTGGATGCTCGAGGAAGAAGTCTTTCTCTCTCACTCTTCCGTCGCTTTCGGGTGTTGTCTTTCTGCTTTGGCTGTTGTGTTACTGACTCTCTATGATGTCAGGGTAAACAAAGTACTCACCGGGGACAACATGCCACCGGAGGGAAGTGCGAACATCGGCTCTGCCTCTTGCCTGCTCTACACGCCGCCGTCGCTGGCACGCAGCGCCTTCCTCACACTCTGCGCTACTTCCCCAGTCAGCCGGCTTTGTCGCCCTATTCACCACTTCGATGAGAGCCAAGTCCCTATTTGGCGCTGAACGTCCATACTCGGACCGAGATGAGCCTCTTTGAACCACTTCAGGCCGCTTCAAACTAGGCTAGCATGGCTTCGCACAACGAGATGAAGTGATGCGGCGGTGTCACATTCATAGTCATACAATGTACATTCATGGTCATGAGTGACGCTGCTCCACCATATAGCCAGGTCGGGGCAAGCTACTCCACCTTTGGGAAGTCGACCCTACCAAGTCGTTCCCCCAGTCCTCTGCAAGATATTCCGCATCTGAAACACCCTGGCGCGACCCCCCGAAAACACTGTCCAGTTTACTGAAGGCCTTCGGGCTAGGTTTTCCGCCGACGAGTTGCCTGTCGCTCAAGTTATCCTCACCTCTGTGGTCTTCATAATTCCTCCAGACGCAGCCCCAGAGCTTTCCTCGTCCACGCTGCTCTCGGCACTACTTGCCACCCTCCTAATACTCTTCGCATCTTCACCCCCGTCATATGGCGTCTCGCCGCTTGTGATGCTGACCGCATAGCCAGTCCTGAGGTCCGTCGCGTCATCGTCCATGTCGCTCAAGCCCTTGCTGCATGTTCGTGCGCGGGAGGCGGGTCGCTCGTCTTCAAATGGCGCTGCCAGGTGTGTATTTGTGAAGTTGGAGAAAGCAGTCAAATTGGAAGGGTGCCGGCTATGTGTGCGGGTTCGAGATCGTGGGGTCTCGAGATCAAAGTCTAGACCTGAGCCGTGGTCGTAGTAGCGGGTTGGAAAGCAGGCGGGTTTTGGCCTGGTGAGCGAGAAGTTGCGGAGCGAGAAGAAGGTTGACTGTTGAGGCTGCGGTGAAGATGGTTCGGAGCGGTCCGTTGGTTCCGCGGGAGCATGCGGCAGCGGTGGGAACGTAATATTCGAGAAGAAGGTTTGGACGGTCGTAAGAAGCGGCTTGAGAGCAGGAAGGCAGGCTGCGATCATTCCGGTCGCCATTTCGATGCTGGTCTCTTGGTCAGAGAGTATGAATGTATCAGGTCGATAGATCGTAGGGGGGTGGGGGGGGCTGGGTTGAAGGTGCAAGCGAAATATCGTGTCTGAAGTCATCGCCCACGAGGCGCCGAAACCAATATAACAATCGGTCATGTGGAGAAGGTCCGTGAGGAGCAATATGGAACTGCCTGAAAAGATGGTGGACCGTTGTACATGTGCGCCCATTCGCGACACCGGCAAACACCCGATCGTGGTTCTGCGTAACCATGGCCAGATCTCAAACACATGACTGCCGGATCGCGAGCAACCGACGTGCACCCGTGTATGGAAAGTGGCTGTACTCACACGCTCCAAATGCATAACGACGCGCTATTGCTGAGAAATCGGTCAGCTGCACGACCGCCAAAGGGTAACGGGACCATCGACTTACACAAAGGGGTCTTCCGCGTTCCACATGTCGTATATCAGGGGTATTCGAACGATGGATGCGGCACAGGCGCTGTGGGAGGATGTGAGCGTCGGACAAACATTGTGCGAGGCGACCGTACATGAAGCCCAAACTGAGCGCGGGTATGAGCGCGATCTTAGTCCGATGACTTACGCGGAGTCTCCATATGATGAGTAAGGAAAGAATCGAGAGAACCAGATCAGTGGCGACATTGATCGCTACGTCTGTAAGCATGTCCACTTGTGAGACTAAGATGAGGCAGTACTACAGCTGTTAAAGAGTCCTAAGTTCCTGTACGTGACGTGAGACATGCAACGTGCTTGTGATCGAACGCGCGGATCCCAAGCCGCAGCGATTGGAATGCATTGAAAGAGGAGAGTTGTGAACCAGACTAGGGTCAAGAATATGAGAGTACCTAGACATGTCAGCAAGGAGTCCGTGCTGACGGCTGGTTCCAGATGCACGTACAAATCATGTCGTATAAAGTCCGTCGTAAGTACTTCCCATGAATGACACGGAGCAGGAAGAAGGCTACTGAGAGCTTGACGAAACTGATCCCGACAACCATAAGAAGGGCGAAGCACCATAGGTAAGAACCCATCGCTAGCATGCTTCTAATGGGAACTGGCTCGCTATGCTTGCTCCCAAATCCGAGATTTACAAGCACGCTGAAGGTTGCCAGGGACCCCGATGCACAGACCTGCGTGACTGTATTAACATGACCATCTCTGCAACTGCGAGTTGCGTCTCATGTACTTACCACAGCGACCAGCATGAGCCAGTCATCGATGCCGAAGAAGCGGAGAAGTCTGATACGAGTGTAGACCCTTAGCAAGAAGATCAACAGCGCGATTGAGACCAGCGTAGCGACAATGACAAGGAAGAAAGGCCCCTTGTTGTAAGTCAGGTCCTCTAGATTTGTCGAGGGTGGAGTAGGCGGGAGCCATCTGACAGCGGCAGGCATGTCTTGCTTTGAGTTCTGTCGCGTGGTGACTTTCGGCAACCATTCGTGAGAACAAAGCGTGGTTCCAATAGAGAGAGGATATAGGAAACCAAACAACAGGACAGCGCACATTGAGATTCTTTGAAGGGAGCCAACGTGTGCGACCACCCAAAAGCGTGGCAGACGATCTCGGGTGTCACTGCAGCCATCCTCCGCGTCCACCTAATCTACCGTAGGATGCTGAGAGGGCGAAAGGTCTGCGGAGCGCCTCAATAGCAAATCTGGGGAAGCGAGAGCAGGGATAACCACTATGATAGAGTGCTTAATCCAGTTGCGGAGAAAGGTGGTGATCGTATTCGTGCGGTTGCTTCATCAAAATTCGGAACGACCTGCAGATGCGAGCGCCACAACCGGGATCCCTTGGCCCGCCTTGTCAAAGGTCGCCGTGGATCCCCGAAAGAAGCCCTTAATTTGTATGACGATCTTCAGAGGATCCGTTGAAGGTAGTTCGTTGCTCCTGTCGGATGAAAAAGACTTCCCCGTCCCGCTCCGCCAGACATCGCTTATATAGTTGAAGAACCGACGGTCGAGTGCAGTTTGCTAATTCTCCCATGAGAGGATTAGCTGCATTGGCTGGACGAAGTGATATCTGGCGGAAGCGAAGCGATGAGTTAGCTTGGGAAGATGCTCAGAGCAATAAAGAGATGCCCCCCCCATCGAGCTTTGACTCTGCACGTTTTGCATGCGAGCCTGCATCCATCGGAAGCGGCATGTTTGCGAAGAAGTAGATATCGTGTGAATGAGTTCCTGCTGAGCGGTGGACGCGTTTGCGGATCCAAGACTCTGGCCTGTCGCGCTGGGTACGGGAATGACCTGGACCCAGATTGTTTGGGGCTACATCCGTTTGGTTGCATGAGAAAAGAGTATTGAAGAACGCAGCCTTAGAAAGGAGGAGGGACGTTATGGAAAGCGGGGAAAGTGCTGCCGACTGGTCTTGGCACGCTAATGCTGTCTTGCAGATGCTTCTCGTCATTCCTCCACCAATCCTCCTTTGCGCCTCTCCGTGACCAGCTGTTATCCAACATTGACAGTGGAACGTATATGCCCGAACGGTAACTGGACGAATGCCCATGGAGTCTGACAGTGCCGAGAACCGGCCGTCAGGGGCGAATATGTGTTTGTTTCCTTCCAACGTTCCCTTGTCTGCTGATTTTGTCATGGAAAGATGAAAAGACTCACCGGAGTACACGATCCGGATGCAATCAACCGACAGTACCTACGGCAACGATGCATTGCCGCGATACCTGCCAGAACGGGAGGCGTTCGGTCTCGACTGGATCACCGTCCCCATTGAACGAGAGGGATCTTAGGACACAACACATGTCTTGAAGCCTCGTCGATCGGAATCCCTTTCTGCATCGTGTGCATGGTCGCTTATCCTTTGTGTCACTTCGGGGAGATTGGGTGGTAACGCTGCTATTTCTGGATTGGAAGTAGAAGGCTGTGGGCAGTGATAAATCTCTGCGTTAGAAAGAGGGAGTCTTTCCGCCACGAGCCTTTCGGCATCTGCGTCCGGATGTTACCACAACGCATCGTTCTCGCTTGGAAGGTCTCTTGCAGAACCGGGCCGCCATTGCATGTCTTTTTGGACCACAAAGAAAATCAGTTCCGGATCTTCGGTTTGTTTCTCGTCATCAGGGCAGTGACGTCTAGCTGAGCCGACCAGGAAGGCAACTCGTCGCGAGAAAGAGAAAATACAGCGGATACCTCGTGTTGAACCTGGCCAGCTGTTAGCAACCGGTGAACCTCTGTGAAGATTCTTTCGCATCAGGAAGCACTCGCATTTACAGCACACACCGTTCGATTGCCTGTGGCTTATACCTGCCGAATTGATCCTTCAGGTTTCGACGTTGCGCCTCGTCAATTCCAGCTCGCTTGGACATGCAGCGAATAACCTCATCGCCAACAGTGATCGATGCAACGCAACCGCGTCCTGTTTCTCGACAGCGGCCTTCCACGCCATCTATTGACGGTTGCCAGTCTTTACAGGTCCTTTGAAGAGTGGTAAGGCATCACTAAGGAGAGAGATTTCGAGAGCAGCGTTTCGAAACCCTTCACGTTTGAGTTCGCGCTCCTTCGAAATTCCGAGTTCCGAGCTCGGACTATTCTTAGTGCTTATGGGGCGGCCAAGACGCTGCCAAGCAGCGCTTGCACCAGCCACGAGGCCCCCTCGCTGGCTCACATCCTCTCCACCCCTATCCATCTGGGTCACCACCAGCCAGATGTACCTGTCTACCTGACTGTCAGCACATTGCTGCTTTCCGCTTCTAGTTTTCTTTACGATGCCCCACTCGTCCGAGCTTCTGCTCTCTTGGACTGCTCAATCATCCTCCTTTCTCATGCGTTAGGCGCGTACAATGCTTCATGCAATCTTGTTTTGTTGGTCGTGCATATCAGCCGCAGCGAACTCGTCTCGGGTCGCGAAAGGAAGCCTCCAGCCATGTCCGTTTGTCTCTTTTCGCACGGTGGCTTTTGGCCCCTAAGCTTAACTTGGAATTCCCTAGCGTTAGGGGTTCAGCTGGTCTTGGCAGTTCCATGTGCGGCCAGCCTTTACTCCCCAGCCTTATACTGGCTCGTCCCTGGTGGTGGCTGTGGTCTACGGGCCAATCGCTTCATCAGGATCTGCGGCGCGGTCGACAGCCCCAGGAAACATTAAATTGCAGCCTTCCGCATCCTCTGTTTTTTCTATTATCCTCTCTTCCCCACAGCTCCACAGTTTCGTCCTCTGTAGGTCCGCTTTGTGAGAGACCGGCCGCTTCGCAAGGGGCCATTTTTTGTTTTGATACCCCTCGTTTCGTTCCGATTCAGATGCTTTTCGATTTGCTCGTCGTGAGCGCCGCTGTTCTGCTTAACAGCAGGACAGCGGCAGCAGCTGGTACCCCATGCCAGTCTGTCAGCTCCATGTCTGCTGCTTTCATGTCGGTATATCCCTCCGCGACGCAAGCCCTGGTTCCCGCGCAAGCTGCCGAAGATTGCCTAAAGTCCGTACCGATCGACAAGGATGAAGATCTCGCCTTGATCGACGAGATGCAGCTTTTTATAAATTGGCAAAGTAAGTCGTCTCCGATTGGTCTCCAAAGGACTTGAGGCTGACTGTAGCTAAGGTAATCTGGCCTATCTACGCGAACCCCCAGAAGGCTATAACGAGGAGCGCCTGGATGTAGAAGAGGAGATCAAGAAGATCAGGGATGACTTGGATAACGACAAGTACGAGGACGAATACACGCTCATGTTTGACCTGTCGACTACGTTGTCAAAAGCCTACGACTTCCACTTCGGCTTCCGCCCAGACATTCGCAATGTATTCCGGTTCAGGCGAGGAAACATTGGCCGCGGTCTGAAGGATGAGTTCGGCATTGTATCTGTTTCAAAGGATGGCAAAGAAGTACCGAAATTATATAACTACTGTGAGTCCATCTCCTCCAACCCCCTCACATAAGCTAACCCTATGGATTAGATGACATCATGTTTTCCGCAGAGGAGGGCTGGACGCCTTCACCTATTTCTCAAATCAACAATCAGTCTGCCGAGGAGTATGTACAGGCCTGGTCGGACATATTCGAATATCATGAGGATCACGCGCGTTACAACCGGCTCTTTCCCAACCAGGCGCAGAATTCAATGGGTAGCCCTGTCAACCAATTCGGCCGCAGCAACGTCCCAGACGGGGACTACACCACTGTCGAGCACGAAAACGGCACCATTTCTCAATACATCAACAACGCGATACTTGAGCTGGATGTCTTCGAAGGTGTTGAATCCGGTGAAGATTTCTGGACACGTTTCCTCAATCTAGGCCCGCCAACGACTAACTCAAAGCGCGATGCTACCAAGATCAAGCGCCAAAGTGAGCCCACTGCTACGGGCTATCCGACGCCCGAGATCCTGCATTCGGAGGGTGTCATTGGAGGATACTACCTAAGCGGACAAGGCTATGACGACGTCGCAGTTCTCAGCGTGCCGTCGTTCTCGCCAGAGACTGATGATGGCCCAGAAGAGTTCCAGGATCTGATTGGTACCTTTCTAAAGGATGCTACCGATTCCGGCAAGAAGAAACTTGTCATTGACTTGCGAGGCAATGGTGGAGGCCGTGTCTTCCTGGGTTACGATCTCTTCAAGCAGCTGTTTCCGTCTGAGGATCCCTATGGCGCCTCGACATTCCGCGCGAATCAGGCCTTCAACATTACCGGTCTGTTCATGACTGCCGTCTTGGAGGATTCCACGTATGAGGATGCGCTCGATGACTTCAGCGCCAACGGACTTAATGGCCAACTCGCAAGTCTGTGGACCAGCATCTTCAACTACAAGCTCCCGCTCACCATCGATAACGATAACTTCACGTCCTGGGAAGACTACTTCGGCCCGGAGGTCCGCAACAACGATAACTTCACCGTGCCCTCTCGGAAGGACCTCAACAACTTCTTCTCCGATGACTTGACACTGGACGTCACCGGCTACCGTACCCGCGCCAACAAGCTAAACAAGAACCAACCCTTCAAGTCCGAGGACATTGTGCTTCTGCAAGACGGTGGCTGCGGCTCCACCTGCGCTGTATTCACCGAGTTCACGAAGACGCAGGGTGGCGTCAAGCAGGTGGTTGTGGGCGGCAAGCCTGAGACCGGTCCTATGCAGGGTGTTGCAGGGTCAAAGGGCTCGCAGGTGTTTTCTTGGACTCAGGTCTACAATCAGGCTGTCCTTGCGTATGAAAACATGCCAGAGTACCAGGAACAACTCAACGAGACGGAGCTCGGTCAGTTGGTGTTCTCTCAGCGTCCGTTGATGCGGACGTCGTATCAAGCGAGCGGGCTGTCATCCTCTGGCATCAACCTCCGTGACAACATACGCATGTGAGTTTCTCCAACCTTCCTTTTCCCTTCCTCGGCGTCTCGCTAACATGCTTCTTAGGAACGACACCTCTGTTACGCCTCTCGAGTTCGTGTATGAGGCAGCCGACTGCCGTCTCTTCTACACCGCAGACATGGTCCGCGACGTCACCAATGTGTGGAAGAAGACGGTCGATGGCCAATGGGGCGATGCGAATAGCGTCTGTGTTGACGGCAGCACGGGCCAGGAGAGCTCGACACCCACGGCGCAAGGACAGAAGACGAGTGCGGCATCTACGATGGGCGCTAGCGGAGTATTGGTGGCTATTGCGGCTTTCGTGATGGCCTTCCTGATGTTGTAGATGGATATATTCCTAAGCATCATTCCTAGGTAATAGAGGGGAGAGGATGATGATACCCGGCTTTTAGTGATCTGTTTTGCATAGCGATGGCGTTGGTGGTGTCAATGCAACCTCATCTGGAAACTGGATCTTTCATCTTCAAATATCTTGGTTCGTGAAGGTGTTGGCAAAATTCAGACGCACTCCAGGCGGTCTATGAACGTTGTTCTCCTTTCGGACTAGCTCGACTTAGCGTAGTCTGATTCCCGAGGTCCCGAGGTCGTGATCCCGCTTCTCGAACCTTACACCTCACTACATCTCAAGTCCGGTATTGACGTCCTCTTGTTAATGTCGTTTCGCTGGCGTGTCACACCATGATGTCTCGAAGGCGTGGGAGGAGGTGGGCGACGGAGACGCGCTCACAGAACGAAATGGCTAGCAAACTAGGAAGAGCCTTGGAGAATGTTATTTTCGAATGCTGTGCATGGTGTTTCGGCCACATGGACAGTTCCTGCGAAGGCGATTCAGTCGAAAGGTAGAAACCCTCTACAAGGGAGCCGTATGGTGCCGCTCCTATCTCCTATCATCATTACAACTCGCACTACATCCTATACCCCAATGCACCCTCTATAAATATTATCAAGTCTAAAAATCTTTGTTTTCACCAACGAACCTCGGAACAACGCCATGCGGTCTTCCATCGACACACTAGGATACCCTGTCTAGCTCCACAAGAAATTGTCCGCCTGGTTAATTACCTGGTTAATTCTAGAACGATGACTTCACGAGTCCGCATCTCACCTCCACCATTATCCTGGATCAGAAGGATACCAAAAAGCCCCCGTCTCATTGGCCGTCTAATTAACATCCCAGGCGCGCGTTCGCACCGGAACACAACCCCGGAACACATTTCTCCATATGATCGACAAGGTGGGGAACAGACCAAGGCACCCGAACGCCCGATCATGAAAGAATCTCTTCCAGATATATTGGCCGCACAGGTCCCGGGGTGCTATAATGCAGGTACCGCCGCTTTGCGGGGTGCCTGGGCGCGTCACCTTTCTAAAAATCCTGTCCAGCGACCGCAATGCTGAGCGTCTACGCGACGTGGGCGCTATGCTTGGCTGGCGCAAATGCTGCGCCGGCGAACGATGCAAGCGTGGAGTCTAGGTGGAGCGCTGGTGCGTCGGCGAATTTAAGCGTCGACCTTAATTATGCTGTATACCAGGGCGTCTACAATGCGACGACTGACCTCAATGTTTGGAAAGGGTATGCTAATTCTCCTACGGCATCTGCTATGGGACCATGTGCTGAAGGTATCCAGGATCCGCTATGCAGCTCCCCCAACGGGCAACCTCCGCTGGAAAGCACCGCAAGCGCCAGAGAAAAATCGCACGACGCAGTTGGCGACTTCTTTCGGGCCGGCGTGTCCTCAGGTATATCCGGCTGTTCCCAATGCGCCGTTCGTTCCCGGTAAGCTTCCGGAGACCTCGGGACCTATTGAAGGGGCCTGTTGCGGAGCAGAAGCTGACATATAATGGACAGGCAACGAGGACTGTCTATTCCTAAACGTCTACGCACCGCCGCTGAATGACACGAAGAAGCTCCTTCCTGTGCTAGTGTGGATTCACGGCGGTGGATACGGCATCGGCGATGGGACGCAGGATATGAGTACGATTATCAATGCGAATGAGAAGGGGTTTGTGGCTGTGGCGATTCAGTATAGGGTATGTCGACTCGACCATTTTAGAAGAAATTTGGAGTGAGCTAACTGATATATAGCTCGGTGCTTTCGGGTTTCTCTCATCTGAGGAGGTCAAGGCGAATGGCGTCACGAATGCTGCGCTCCTCGATATGGCCTTCGCACTTCAGTGGGTGCAAACGCACATCGAGAAGTTCGGCGGGGACAAGAAGAAAGTGACGATTTCCGGGGAATCAGCAGGTGGCGGCGCGGTTATGCTGCTCGGAATCGCGAAAGGAGGAATACTAGGGACCTCTTTATTCAGAAGCGTAAATATACAACCCCGTCTCCTGAACGAAAGACTTACTAAAGGTGTAAACTAGGGCATCACTGCATCCCCCTACCTCCCCCCGCAATACCCCTTCAACGCCAGCATCCCCACCCAACACTTCCGCGACTTCTCTGCTCAAGCTGGCTGTGGTTCCAACTCAACCTCCGCCACTTCTACCCTCTCCTGCCTTCGCTCCGCCGACAGCCTCGCCCTTCAAATGGCAAACTACAACGTCACTATAACGGGCACCTTCGGCACCTGGGCCTTCCTCCCCGTTACCGACTATTCCTTCATCCCGTCCACGCCCAGCGTCGCTCTCGCCGCCAAGCGCGTAAACGGCAAGAGTATGCTAGTCGGGAACAATGCGAATGAAGGCCCCCTGTTTGTCCCGCCGACGATTACTACCCTGGTGGATCTGAGAGCGTGGTTGCATCTCGAATTCCCGACCCTGAACGACGCAGATATCCAGGCCATTCTAGATGCCTACCCGAGCAGTGATGCGCCGGTCGATCCCATGGCGCTGCGGTTTGCGACGGATGGCTTGAATCCGCCGTTTGCCGTTAATGTTAGCCAGGCGGCGACGGGGCAGCTGCAGAGGGGATATGTACGTCTCCGTCTCCGTCTCCGTCACTCTCTTTCTTCTCTTTCTGAGCGACAGCGGATGCATTTGCTGACCATCTGGGATGAAAGAACATATACGCCGAAGCGACGTTCATCTGCCCCGGCTACTGGCTCAACAGCGCCTATGCCTCCAACTCCAGCTCCGGCGGCTCCTCCTCGTACCACTACCAATACAGCGTCCCGTTCGGCTCGCACGGCGACGACGTAGCCGGATACTTCGGTCCCAGCACGCCGAATCAATCGCCCAGCTTCTCCCTCGCGTTTCGCCAAATTTGGGGGAACTTTATCCGCACCTCTAACCCCTCCGTGGCTTCGGACCCTGTGTTGGCTAGTTTCCCGACCTGGACGGGTGGGCAGGCGACTAGGATGCTGAATCTGAATCAGACGGGTGGGACGCCGTATGTGGCGGCGTCGAATGCGGGCGTGAACGTGACGCAGTTTACGGAGCCGGGGTTGCAGAATGATTTCAGGGCTGTGGATGCGTTTGCTTGGGAGGGTGGACGGGGGAAGCGCTGTGAGTTTTGGCGGAGCATCGCGGATCGGATTCCGATCTAGGGGCGGAAAGGGGTCGGGTTTTGAGGGCATAAGACACGGCGTAATAAACAACAAATGTTGGTCAATGGTGAGGAACAGCGAACGTTCTCTTTTGAATACCCAATGCGCCAACTATGATATGTTAACATAGATAGCCCGTCCAACATTACCTGGACTCTACCTTGAATAGTCCGCGTGCCGACGGTCGAGCCAGGTACGATGCCCGATGCTCTTGAATTTTTCAGCCCCCCAGCTCGACCCACGCCGCTATCTTCTCCTTTTCTCTCAAAATCGCCGCATCCCCCGGAACCAACCGCAGCGCCTGCTCCACCCAAGCCATCGCAGCCCCCGCATGCTCCATCCTCCCCTCCAACCTCAAAAACAGCGCCGTCCTATAGCACAACTTCGCCTTCTGCACAGCGCTCGGCTGCCACTTCCAGTCATCCGCCCAGAAACTCTTCTTGATCGAGGATCTAGCCATTTCTAGCGCCTGCTCAGCCTGAAAGTCAAAAGTAGGGTAGTTGGGGATGCCGCGCTCCATGCCGATGAGATGGACATGCGCAATGTTAAGCTCGAGAAGGAAGTAGAGCTCGGCCATGCGGGCGAGGAAATCGGGACCGCCGCGCGTGGCGAGACCGGCCCACGAGCTGCCGCGGTGGATGCGTTCGATGTCTAGGGCAGTATCTTGCCAGGCGAGCAAGGCGGCGGTGAGGTCTTTGGCGCGGAAGTGGGCGAGCCCGCGTTCCTTAGCGGCAGCGAAATCATCGAAGACTTTCTGGTGGTCCGCGCATTCGTCTTGTGCTATCTCGGTTTGCACGGCTTTGGCAAGGTCCGGGGAGACGCATCCCGTGACGCAGATGCCTTTATGGCCTCGAAGGCGGGACCTGAAGGGATGCAACAGGGTCTTTTGCGTGGTTTCCCCGAAGAAGTCTGTGAGAGTGTTTTTGTACCGGGGGACTGGGTGGGCGACGGCAGGCCCCACGGTGATGGTCAAGCTCAGATTGGCGCTGAAGCCGGGCATGTGGTTATCGCCGTCGGTAAAAGCCTCGCAGAAAAGACGCACATCCCTTCCGAGGATCATGAGGCCACAGGGCCCGGTCGGTATTGCCTCATCATCCCTCCATGCCGGCTTTTTTGTGGATAGCGATACGGCCAGCACGTAGCCCTTAAACCTTTGGGCACAGTCTCTATCTGCTGTAATCACGGGTACACGGAGACCGCCCATGATGCTACGAATGGGCAGGCCGCCTGCAGATTCGATGAGGACGAAGCGATTCGTTTTGACCATGACGTCGTACGCTTCACGGTGGATCTGGGTACTTGTACGAAGGACGGCAGTATCGATGGAGTGCTTGGCCTGCTCGAATGTGAACATGGTGCTTGGAAGGACCTTGGTCGGGGGAGGGTCGAAGTTGCATAGTAATTCGCGGTAGACCTTGTCGCGGATTTCGCGGGGGAAACTGAGGAATGGAAATGGGCGGGCGGTGGCCGGGGCCATGTTTTCGAGGGGTTGATCTGGCGATGGTGAGGGATATGGATTGATGATGGAAGTGATGGAGTTTGCGAGATATTCATAGTAGGGTAGGAAAGAGCGACGATTGGCGGATCAGGGGCTGGGAACGGGACGCGTCTCAAAAAACGCGCTAGTGACACGCTAAGTCGCGGGTCACGTGTGGCTTCCTCGGGCCATCCGTAGAGAAGTTCTCCAATTGATGAGGTGCACTTTCATTTCTGGGCTCGCTGTTCGTTCCCTGGGGTAAAGTCGACTCTGCATATTCTTCGTGTAGTTAATACTTGACTAGAAAGAAGTGGCTGGGTACAATCGATCCATATGCGGCTGCTGGAGGCGCACGACGCTGACTCGGCATTCCAAATCGGTGAGCGCTGACGAAGCAGGGTGGACTTGCCGCGAAAGGAAGAAAGCGGCACGAGAACGCCGAGCGAGTAGCTGAAGATGTGCTTAGCAGAAAGAAATATATTAGTGTCTGTGCAGGGAAGGCGAGGTATGGTGAGCTGAGCGAAAGAGCTCGCGTATGTATATGAGATGCGGCGGTCGTCGTTGCAGCTGGCGAAGGAAGGCACAATGGGCTGGGGAGTAAACAAATACTTCACCTCACCTGGACATGCGCGGAACATCACGAATGGAGGATCTAGGAGAATGAGAAAGAAACCGTGTATTGGATTCCGGATCCTAGGAGCCACTCCGTCTAGCCCATCCCATATATCAACCTGTTATGTAGGTATATCGGCGACCGATCTCCACCGAACGCCATGCTAAGAGGTCATTGAGCTGCCTATAGAACCGAAAGACGATGCTATGCCGACGAGTCGATACAGCTCGGAGAGAAGAGGTGTAAGAGACAGCCTGAAGGTAGTCAGCGAAGGATCAGTAAACAGAGAGAAAGAGATGCACTCACCTCCTACATGCCCGCCGAAGCGTCATGAGGGACCGTCTCGAGGATGATGTTGGCAGGCCTAGCGAAACTGCCAACGCCACCTTCAGTGCAGGCGTAGGACTTGAAGAGGTTGCCAGCGGGAGTCTTGAGATCCGGAATGTCGCCAGGGCCTGAGGCCTCGGCGCACCAATCGTCACCCTCAGAACCGTCGCACTTGTCGCCCGTGTAGAAGCGGCAGTGGACGTTCTGACAGATCTGCACCGCACCGATGTGCATGCCCCTTCGGAGGCAGTCAGCAAATGTCCCCGCTACGACATTGACTGCCATTGGTGTGGGAAAACTTACTGGGCCTTGTCATTCATGCCGACGTTGATGGGATAGCATTGCAGGTCCTTGCGGTTCTCGAGGATGAACTGAGACACACCCTGGTAGTTGGCCTCGGTGTGGATGGTGCCCACGTCGCGGAGCTCGGCCGTGTCGATCATGCCGGAGTGCGGAGCAGCAACGGCAGCGCCGACGAGGCAGAAGAGAACCTGGGTGAAACGCATGGTGGGGGAGGGTGTGGAAGTGTTGAGGAGTTGGAGAATTGAGGAGTGTGGATGAGACTTGAGAAGATTGGAAGACTGTCGAAGAGTTGGCTGAGCATTCGAGGATGAGAAGAGGAAGAGGGTTTGGCGAGTGGAAGGTAGGTTTATATACCTAGGTAGGTGGTCGGGAGCTCTCTGGCTGTGGGAGTGGACCGGCTCGAAGTGCCTTCACCAAGCAACGAAAGCTTTGAAGCGGTGACGACAGCCGCGCCTTCCGTTTGGGATTCGACTCCCGCGGCGCTCTCACCAGACACAAAGGTGTCACGATGGCGAGGCGGGTCGCTGAGGCTGTAGCAAGACGCCCGGCCTGCAGGCAAACGCCCAATCCGCCTACAGCCGCGCCCAGATGACTACCCTACTATACCACTTCCTGGATATGTCTGCGCCCCGGTCGAAAACGTCCTTGAAGGCCGACAGCAGGGCTCGTGCCCCAAAAACATGTTGGGACGATGTCGGGTGCTTTAGCTACCAACGAGGAAGGTTCGACACCGATGGAGTGGAGCAGCCGAACATCGGAGCGCTCGCCGTTGCAGTATCTGCGACTCTGTTCTGTCGAGACGGAAATCGGGCGTTTGAATACCGTCTTCAGGACGTATTCGGATGACGGAGCGTCGAGTCTGACACCATTGGGATGTGTATGTCCAACGGCGAGCATTGAGGAAGACGGTCACTGCTAGATTCACGCTTCCAGCCTACTTCGAGTCAGCCGTTACACCTTAGCACCACATCTTGGACCTCTAGGCTTCCGTCCACTTCATGAGAATTCTGTGGAGTTCTTACTATCTGCAGCTCTCTATACCGCTAGGAAAACAAAGCTTTCCCCAACAGCGGAGAACTCGATGGTCGAGTGGCATCTCCAAGCGACGCTCTTCCATGTCGAGTGCATTGTATAGGTGCGCTTGGGGCATGCGCAGTCAGTGAGAGGAATCTTCAGAGTTGTAAGGAGCCGCATCACTTACAAGAATGGCATGAATACCTCAGAGCCAAGAGCGTGACGGGAGATTCCCCTGTCTAACGCCCGAAGGCATTGGATGGATCGACAGTCGCCTTCCCAGACAACCAGCAACCGCGACTGCCTTCCACCGCCGACCACCGCACATGTTCGAAATTTCGTACGGCAGTCATGTCGAGACAGTGTCAAATTCTACCTTTCTACCCCTCGGACGCGGATCGGCGAGGCAGAGACGATGGAGAAATGGTTCCATGGGCTAAATACCGATCCCCCACTTCTTCATCGCCGCCCGATAAGACCAGGAACCGGATTCTTGAGCGGAAACCTGCTTTACAAAGCGATGAGGCCCTTCCCCTCCGAGAAGCTTGACTGCTTGCCACCTCCAGATGATTTCTAAGCAATCCTAGAACAGGCGGGCCTCAATGGAAGACATCATTTTCGGGGTATTTCCGTTTGAGGTGCGTTCGCGAGGCGATTACGCTGTTGATGGGCTTTCTTGCATCCATAACCTCGAATCATCGAACCAGGACCCGCACCGTCGACTGCTTGCAAAGCTCCCAATTGACTTACAAAGTTCCTAACTTTGGAAACTATCTCTTGCCCCGAGGCGCAAATAATGGGGAGCACGCTGATCGCCGTACAGACACGCCATCCGCGACGATCTTATACCCCGGCTTCTTCCTTTTTGCGCCTATTCTGCACAGCGCTGAACATGTCCCCTTGTTTCCCACCCCCGATTGTGCGCATGTCTCATTGGATGACATTGGGGTCCGGACGATCTTGCGAAGAAGTACTCCATGAGCGTCTCGTGTCTGGAAATATCTAATCCACTTAGATGCGGCTGCGAGGGATCGGATCGAGTCTGAGGGAGAGGCCTTATGCTTCAGCCCGCCACACGTGAGCTTGTCTTATCCTCCGGCCATGGCGAGAAGAAGATGCAACTCATGCCGACTTCGACGACCCACGCAGGTCCTGTGTTGCTTCCGCTGACGAGCGTGTCCAGGTACGTGGAGTCGCTGTGACGCGATCCTTCAAGCCTTACATACGGTGCGCTAGGCTGGAGGCGGCTAATACCAGCCAGAACCGCGCTGAGGCGAAACGCATGACTAACAGGGCTAGCGGTCGTGATTGGACGAGAGCTGAGGTCTAAATTCGGGTCTTCGCCGTAGCTCTTGCGCACCGCCTCTTCACACATCTCCACATCGTCTCCCAGCTATGGCACGTTGCAATGGCGCGCGTAGAGAGGGACGGTGAGACCCGCGTAACGTCCGTTATATGACGTGAACGCATTGATGAGGCTTGCTGCGCCTCCGGCGGCTGAACCCGGTAGGCTGTTCGTAACTGCACCGTTGTATCTCGGTGTATCACTGACCCTGTGGCTAGGGATTCGAGGACAGCAGGAACGCGAGCAGGTTCTGCCGACAAGGGCGTTCAGACGTTCTAGAGTGTCGGTGGGATGATCAGTCGCCGACAAGGCGACAGCCCTCAGCGCTAAGCCTAAAATGGCTATACAACGTCGAAAGACAGGGATGGCGAAGCTACTACACCTCGATAAGGTGATTATTCACCCGCCATCCACATAATTTTAGATGTTGATCTTGGCATCTGGCGACGATGCATGCGGGAATCTCCCAATCATGACTCTTCGCTTAAGAGTTAGCACGCTAGATCTTGCCCTGTCCTTTTCTCCGCATTCGCGGCAGCAGTTCCATGTCTCTCAGTCCAGCTCGAAGCTTGACGGAATTTTCAGCCTTGAGGTAACTCTGGACGTGCACGTCAGTCGCAGCTCTACGTACGAAAATTTCCTCAAGTGGCCAAGATATTCAATGGAGCGAAGACCAAAGCGGCGTATAAAGACGGCGGATCTTCCTCCGACGGGTAACCGCAGATGCGTACGGATCTATGCGAAAGTGTCAAGAAAAATGCTCCCGTCGTCTTCCTCGCCTCTTTCCAGAAAGGGTGACAAAGCCCCTCGTTCCAACTTACTAAGCCGCCAGCCCTCGCCTTTCGAAGAACCTCCAGAGTTGTCCGACGTCCCTTGCTATACTTGCCGACGTCGACATGTCAAGTGTGACCGCATACTGCCTACTTGGTATGTATGGCCTATTCGTTGCCAACTATGCAGTCACTAACATACTTCGGAGCGCCAAATGCAGAAAGAAAGGAGTGCCATGTCTGGGCTATCAAAAGCCGCTAAGGTACCGATCCCCCGTGCGAGAAGCAGAATTAGCCTCTATGCATCAATCGTTTGAGACATCATTGACCCGGTATCTGGCATGATAATTTTTGGCTCGACCAGTTTTTGGTCTGCCTAGCGCTCGTTCTCCTCAACGACGTAGAACTTTTTCTAACCCTTCTTGAAACGGGCAGGTGGGCGGACGGTGTTGCGGTTAGGGGAAAGCTCAAGGGCAAGTCCCAACCAGTCGTCGACAGTGAGTACAGCGTACCCAGAAGATTCCCCAAAAATCGACTAAGCAACGGCTAGGCAAGGTCATGAGCATCGTACGGAACAATGTGCAGCTACAAGCAAATTCTGCCATGAAGGAGGCAGCTCATTTTGGTCTTCACACAACCGATAATTGCTGCAACGAGGTGGTGGCCGATCAAAGCCAGCTATTGAAACTGATGACTTACCGTAAGTTCATCTTTTACCTCAATGAAGAAGGGGTAAAACACTCACGCCTTGGGTGGCTAGACAACTCGACGATATGTTCCGAAATGATTACCATGGGAGAATCTAATTTCATCGATCGCCGTATTGCGCCGCTGACTCAGGAGACCGCTCAGAGGCTACCAAGAAGCATCGTCAACTGTATACTCGGGATTGCCGCTGTGCATATGGCATCGAGGAATCCTGGTCATCGTGCCTTGGAGCGACTTGCGTTAGAGACTAAAGTCAACGTCTTCCAGAGTCACAATTATCTACTGCAGACACCCCAGAGTCAACTCGACCAGCAGCCGGATGTGATCATCTGTAGCGGCATCCTAATCTTCGCGATGGATGTACGTCGTCTGCATCTGCTCAATCACCGCTTGCTGACCTCTTTCTAGCTTATCGAGCACGGTATGAGCAGGTGGATGATCCATACACTCGGCTCCATGCAAGTCATGTCCTCTTTCGGTGGGATTGAGAATCTCTCCCTTTTTTATCCACATTTGCACGTACCCCTATTCCACGTGGCTCATTTCGAAACGGTACGTCTTAATAAGCCATAAATTACCTCGACAGGGCTAATAGAGAAGCAGTCATGGATTATTTTATCCCACGTTCCGCTCACAAAGACAAAACAGGCTTCGCGGAGAGCCATGGAAATGTTGTGCAACGCTTCTCTCCCCAAGCGAAAGATTTACAACCCCTGCCCGACTCAGCTGACCCTCGCTTTATGGGATATCGGAGCATGCGCGCAGAAGATGCTCAATAGCCCGCATCCAATCAGCTTTGCGGAGATGCACAACAGAGAACAGATCCTCCTTGACTTGCTTGGCTTTCAGCCAGAAGACGCCACTAAGGCCATAAAGGAGGAATATTACAAAGACAGCGCAGTGTAAGCATGCAAAGCTCCTCTTCCACACATGCGGCTAAGTCGGTACTCGCAGAACAGAGGCGAGGTTCAAGTCCTGGGATTTGATAAGCAGGGCATGGAAGGCCGCGATCACCATCCTGGCGCTTCGCTATCTGTACTTCGGACGGCCGAACTTAGCGCCACAGTCGCAAATTCGAACGTCGCCAACGCCGTCATTCGCCACTCGAGCTGGATCTTCATCAGCAGCTCAGCATGAGCTTGGCGCTTATCATCACAATATAGAAGATTTCGATTTGAGTGAGTTCGTTGACGAGTCTGCAGGCGAGGAGAATCTACCCGACTACCTTACGGCCGGATTGTACCTCAACGACCCGCTATCGCGAAGTCCGTCGCCCATGCCGTCGCCTCTTCCCTATACTGAGCCGCCCGCTTCGAACCTTTGGGACACTCGATACGAGATCCATGACGAGGCATTTACCGTTCTCTCGACGAACTTCATCGCGCTCCACGATGACCTCGATCCGGTCTGCCTCCGCTACATCCTCGTACCGCTGCTCATACTCTCGCTCGTCAGCCGCCCCAATAGCGATGAGCGAGCTCTCTGTCTGTCATACTTTGCGAAGTTCAAGGCGTTCATGGCGGGCCCTTCCGAAAGCGCTAGTGCCGGCTCGCCAGCGCCGGTGAGTCCGATTGGCGGCGAGGAGTTGGAGTTAGACATCTCTTGGGAGAAACTGGATGCATATTCCGAGATTGTTGACCGCGAGAGAAGGGAGAATTTACTCTCCACGAACGTTCCTATGGATAGATCGGCGCCGGAGTGGAACTGGTGGGACATGCTGAAGCATATCGATCTGAACTTGGCTTGTAAGTGACCATTTTCGTTCACATTATTCCGGAAGGAGATATCCCATGGCCTCTATCAGCATACTTTTCGGTCATGACGCACCGTGTTCTATGTCGCAAAGCAGAGAAGACCACGCTTAGTCCGACATCGATTTGATTTCCACCATTACGAAGCTACGACACGGTGCGGTAAATCCACCCGAACATTCGGTTTGCGGCGAAACGATCTGGAGTAAGGGGAAATGGTGACCTGGTGAGAATCAGCGATTGAAGCGATTCGTTCCTACGGAGAAGGCTTTCCCTAGCCGTTGTTGCTATAGAGGCACCGCATCCGACTCGAAAAGCGCTCCTCGCCGACTGGACGTCATTATGCGCCTTTCCCTTGTGCTCAGGCATCGGCACCAAGGGATTTCTTTGGCTGCCTCGATAACCCATTCTTCGAATCTGCTGCTAACTGACTTCAAGGGCCCCTGACGTCCGGCACGTCCCATTTCGAGCGCGGTTCCGAATTCTGGGCTTTCAAGCTCATGTCGTCCGTCGTCAACGATGATTGCTTCAACGTCTGGCTCAATGCCTCGAGTTTCTCACAGGCGTCTTCATCCTCCACATAGTTCATGGTATTTGGTTTGGAACCCGTTTGAGCGGTATTGATATCATCGGCGGTGTTGAATCGGCGTCGTATGAGAGATACACAGAGGCAACGAGAGAAGAGGTGAATTCTCAACGGTGCTGGCACCTCGGGGCGCTGAGATGAGTAAGTGTGCGATGGAATTTGGCATCTTTCGCTTTTCCTTTCCTCTCCTTCATTCTTCTCTTTCTCCTGTTTTCCCTTGTCTCCTTCAGTCGCTCCTTCCTCTGAATTCTCCGTTCTCATCCGCTTCATGTCATTCTCGTCTCTCGTTTTACCCTTTTATCCCGAGCATGCCGCTGGTGGCGGGGGCTGGCTCCTTCACCTGTCCGTCTCGTTATCCTCCGTAGTTCTCACTCAGTCATTCATTATGCCTTGCGGTCCTGCTTCGTCATTTGGGTTGCGATTCTATTTGCTATCTCAGTGCGTCTGCTCTATATGTTTTTCGCAAACCAATGGTTTACTATCCCGCGAATATGTGCTGACCAGTCATAGAGAGGCTTCCGTCCCGCCAACAAGTATATTCCGCATGCTCATACCGCATAACACGATCCAGGAGCCGCTCATTCATTTGCCACCAAAAGAGACTGCATCTCGACACCGAAAAAGCGTTCTTGAATACCCTCAGGGGGTGATTGCAAGAGCGATGTGAGCACTCTTCGTTGTTCTAAGGAGATCAGCCTCCGCTTTGACAGCTCGAAGACCGCACCATCCGCCGTTTTAGAACCTCGCACGTCCCGTGCATAGAAAAGCAGAACCCCTTTGTTGCATCCGCTGTGGATGTCCATCCAGATCCCCTTTCGGAGTCGCCGCGATGGGCTTCGCTAAAAATGTGGAGATCGAGCTAGTCGCTATTCCGGCTTGGGTGCATGGCTTGTGCATAGCTATGATGAACATGCTGCTCGAGAGGTTGGAATGGACATGGTCGGTGCACGATTGTTCGGAGCGTGCTGTGCATCGGGTACGGAATTAAGTTCCCTCACGGCTACATTGCATGTTGGAGTTGTGTTCAAGCCTGCCATATCGCACTGTGGTTACCAGGCATGCCAGTGCCGCTATACGTACGGCCTGATGGAGAGCCAGGTAGCAAAACAAGACAATCAAACCAAACCGACGCCGCCTATGGAGCGAACTCTTCTACTTCTCCTCCATGCCTCCACTTGCCGAAACCCAAAATGAGCCGCGACGACGATAAATTCAATCAGACGAACACTTACCCCCTTATGTATATACGTGAGCCCTCCCGTGTAATTCCCGACTTCAGCCCGAAGTAGAAAGCGTAGCCGTCCTTTCTGCATAACATACGGCCCTTGCGTCATCCTCCCATTTTATAAGTCTAACCGCGCCAAGGGGTGGGTGCTCACTGATATAAGGCTGAAGCTGACGCCAACGCTCCCCCACTCCCGAATCCCGAGTACCAAGGAAACACGTCCTGCATGCCATGCATGTGCGAGCGCGTCTACACCGTCTACTGTATACAGATGTTGTGCCCGACCGAATATAGAGGCCCACATGGCATGGCGCAGCTGTCACCTAAGAAGCTTGACTCGACAGTTGGCGTGAAACCGGGTGCGTGATCGAGCGAGGGTCGGTCTACTCACTACTGTACTCTCGTATGCACCTGAATATGCTTACGAAGCATCGCTGGCATTTTGCGTGGGAGCCACAGCACGCCATACGATACGAAGCTCGAAGATTGTATCGAAAAGTATGACTTGGCTTGGATTGGCTCGCAATAGCGATGGGGTTCGCGAGGCATCGTGTCAGCGCAGGCAGGCGCTTGGTCGTGAAGGAAAAGCGACTTGTCCATATGCACTATAGACGCCCAAAAAACCAGCAAGAAGTTAGAAAGAAGGAGAGTTAGCAACGTACGTCAAGAAGTAATCCCCCAACAATCGAAAGAGAGCAACACCCAGTCAAGTCCCTCGCACGACTCGAGCGAGTCATTCGGACGAAACAAACATCTCACACCCGCGCCCGCCCTGCAGCTCTGAAACACCACGTACATATACTTAGCACCTCGCACATACATAGCCCGCCTACATTAGCGTATGTGCTGCCACGTGCTGTGGTCGGGTTGCCCGGCCGGCAAGCGGGCGGACTGCTGCCTCGCTCGCTCAGTGGTGTCTGAGACATTGGCCGTCGTCCGGGTCCATGGGACGTGCATCACTGACAGGTGTCCCACGTGTGCGCGGTGCTACAAAGGTAGATGCCCTGACGATCGATTCCCTAAATGCATGGATGGATGGATGGATGGGCTCGCTGATGCACACATGGTCCGGGTCGCACGCACGCTGCTGGCGTCACGTCACCGACGGGCGGGTTTTCCACGTGCGTATGTACAACGTGCGTGGTTGATCTTCAGGACTAGGTCTAATAGATCCCTATATCAACCAGACAAAGGAGACAACAGCAAGCATTCCAGAGCGCCCTTGCTGTGCTGAAGGCCTCGCTCTAGGGGCAATTTCCCGCTGTCTGTCATTTTCCAGTGTTGTCGAGAAGGCCGCGGCGGGAGAAAGTTAGCGCGGTGGAAAGCGCGTAGGCGCTGGAGTGCGAGTGCGTGGATGTGCTTCCCTCGATATTTAGTAGTCGTTATCATTCCGTGATTTGCATTCGATATTGAGGGTATAGATCCTCGAGCTTGAAGCTTTGAGATGCCTCCTCACCGGCATCACGCGGTCGAGGCTACAGCGCGCGTTATCAATCATTACCTAGGTATGGTAGAACCGGCACGGTAAGTGAGGCCTAGAAGCCTTTCAACTCCAAATCCTCCTTCCCGGGGCCCTTGCGGGAAATTGGTGAAACGATTTTGCGGATTCTATCGGGGTCCATTCGATTGATTGACCACTACTTGACACTTTCGCAGTTAAACTTGGATTCAGAAATGAAGTATCATGAAAATTATCCATTATACACAGCATGAAAATACGGTTCTACTTTATTTACCAGTTTTGGAGAATGTCCAGGAAAATGCACTATTGGACCGACCTCCCAAAATGCATCAGCAGCGCCGATGGAACGCCGCAAGACACCCCCCTAAATATGTATACAAACGCCGGATATTAACCAAGTTGAAGTTGAAGAGTCACCGTCGTGAGAATGAGTAGTCGTCGAACTTCCGATTACCACTTTAGTCGATCGAAAAGCGGGGCCCTCTTAACGTCGCGCTTAGCGCTGCCACCAGGTAGCGCAGACGTGCAGTCTGTTAGCTCCCCTTGAACACCCATCATTGACATCTTCGTCATCGCAGGCACAAACGCGGCAGCCCATGCCGCCTTGCTCGCCGCGAAAGCCGCGAATGGGCCGGTGGTAACTAGGTTCTTCGCGAGGTTCTTGTCGGACTCCAGGGTAAAGGGTGCCTGGCCCTTGAGCGTCTCCGAGTAGAACTTGGTATCAAACTCGCCAGGAGTAGAGTCCATGGCAGCGCCGGCTTGCGATGGGTCGGTAACGAACTGCTTGGCTGTACTGTGGGCGCCAACGAGGGCAGCGAGGTCGATAGCTGAAAATCCCTTGGAGGCGAAGAGCTTGATGAGGTCGTCGGCTTTAGCATTGCCTGGAGGGAGGATACCGAGGGGAGCCGGGGTGCTAGAGTCCTTGCGGCCAACCTTAAAGGGGATGGTTGGGCCTCCTGGACATGTCTTGATGGCATGGGCTAAGAGGAGAGTCAGTTGACTGAATGTATATCTTAGGTTGGGCGAAGACACGTACCGGCTGCGAACTGGATGAGATCGGCTACACCGACATTCTTGTCCTTCGCCAGATCTGCAAGGTTGGGGCATAGAGTCCCTAGGCCTCCATTCTCTGAGTTGGAGCACTCGTCGGCGAGGATGAGGGAGCCGTCACAGGCGCCGTTGAAGCAATCATGGAAAGCGCCTCGGATGGCTGCGCGGGCAGCATCGGTGCATTGACCATCTGCGAGGAATTGCGCCGTGAGGGTAGTCGAGATGTCCTTCCAGACCGCGCAGACGTCATCCCGCGCGAATAGGGAAGAGGCAGCTTCACTGACGGAGCGCTTGATGTCCGAGGCCGCCGATGTGATATCCGAGAATTGGAAGGCCTGGGTGGTGCTGGCCGCAGCTAGGATGGCAATGAAGGAAGTCGAAATATACATTATTACGAAGATCAGATCCGATTGAATGAAAGACCAAGCAAGATCAACAGATCAAGGATGAAAACGAAAGGTGGATGTCGACTGGGTAATTTAGGCAAGAAACACAGATGCCCTTTATACATGTTGAAGGACATCTGGGCAAGGGACGAAAATAGGAAGTTATGGCGACAATCCCGCCCGTGTCCGCGGTCCGCAGTGAAGTAACCCCGGTCGACCATCGTGCTAAGAACGCCCGAGCGGTGCTGAGTTTGACCTGCAAAGCCTATGGGATGGTGCGCATATTGTCAAGGGATTGGCTCAAGGCTGTACCCAGCTCAGGGCGCCGCCAAGAAGACCGAGATCTGTTGTCATACATGCTGCGCTAGTAGGATGACAGGTAGCCATCAGCGTTGATCATAACCTAACTTCGACGGACGGGTAGGATGCAGTGCCCCAGTTGGGCAGGCTGTGTGCATGCTAAGAATATTGAATCTGCGAGGTTAACGAGCAGTCGCGGGGTGCGAACCGTCCGGCCCTTCTCGTATACCGACGCGGCGGATTGTGCGAGAGAATCCTCCATCCCACGAGGTTGAATCTGGTTGGAAAACCGGTTTTTGCCCTAGCAGAATCATTTGCGGGAGTTCCAAAGCGGTGGAAATTATCTTCGGTCCTTCCGTTTGAGTCGGAAAGGTGTTCGAAACAGTAGAAAGGAGTGTTTCCGTCCTCAAAGGTGTTCGGTGGTACCAGGTCGGGTTGAGCGTCTAAAACGACGATCTCACGGCCCCACGGGTCCTCATGATGCCGCGTGCGCTTGCGGCGCAGACAAGCTTTCAGTGTCTTGAGATGGCCAATCGAGGGGATAGCTAGCCGAGCACTTTGCATTGTTGAACCCGGGAATGGTCACGGCTTCGAGGCCACCAAGAGCCTCTCTCAACGTAAGGCTGATGCTGACTGTACCGTTTACCTCCGCAGCCTGCGAGGGGGAATTAGTTTCCGTGGCTGTCCGGTACACGTGTAGAATTGATATCGCTATGTCGAAAAGGAGATTGAGTGGCGGATAATAGCCAAGTGGGAGAAGTTCTTTGAGCTGAAAATTGTGGCACTTTGTCGGCGGTCCTGGTATTGACGAAGCGACTAGACCACGGTCGCACGAGTGGTCTTGCAGAGCGGCACTGCAAAACTTGGGTCGGCAAGAACGTGGGTCACTGTAAGAAGTTCCCAATGAGGCTACTTTTGCAACCAATGGTGGTGAGGGCATTTGAGGGAGTACTGGCATGGAAGTGGAGCGCAGCAGTGGCGTTGCTGATGGGCGCCGGAGAGTTTCGAGGGGAGCCGAATTTAGGTCACCTATAAGGTTAAGCTAGGCAGATCATCGCCCCAAGCGCCCGACACGTCGAATCGCATCCCTGCTATTATTCACGCCATCTCTTGTTGATGATGTGAGGACAGCACAGCAAAGCTCAGCGCGAGCTCGACAAGATGCTTCGCCGACCGCTTCGCTTCTCACGGAAGTCCGACATCCTCATGCGGTCAAGAAAACGGAATTGCGATCGCTGCGGCTGCTGGCGGCTCGCGTGATGGCACGACGGAGGTCTGCACAGCAATGGAGGCGTCTCTGGATCTACATCTGCTTGCGCATTGCCAATCGATGCTGCCGTACGAGTGTCACCCAAGCCTTGCTGGATTCTCGTTGCGTCTCCGGAGAATTTGCCTCTCGGCACAGGAAGAGCGCCCTGCTTCCTGGTCAGTTCATGCTGGCTCGATCTCTCAGCCTCGCCGAATCTTTTGCCTAGTAGAGAAGCTAAGCATGCGTTGAGAGGCAGTACGACTGACACAGCGTCGGTAGTAGGCACCTGAGTGGGCCCAATCTCACCCAGCTCTCCTTCCACCGCCATGGCTATGCCTAGTCTCGCAGCATCGAATGCATCTCGGGACCTTCTACTGTCTCACAAGCGCGTGGTTGTATTGCAGCCTTAGTGCTTAGGCGGGGCGCTCATGAAGCCATCGAAGGTCGTGCCAGCGGGGTAGTGGCAGCAAGATTTTCGGGGAGGCATGCAGAGCAGTGGGGTGAGAATCGAAAGCACAAGACACAATGCGTTGCATACTGGAGGTAGGGGAGACGAGGTGGCGGTGAGTTGAGATGCGACGGGATGGCGAGGCGAGGTAGGCGTCGCACCTTCCATCCGTGCGGTCCCGTGACTTCGCGATGATGTCGTGCCGTGCGGGAACACGTCGATAAGGAAGGAGCAACTGGCCGGCGGTCAACGCGAATTTCACTCACACCTCACCACCACTCAACCACCATCGTCCGCCATCGCCGCCATCGCCGCCGGATGTCATGATGGCCATGCCCCGCCCACGGAATGCTTTTCAAGTGCTTGGCTCGGGACCCAAACGAAGGGCGATGCCGAAGCGCCTAGCCAAGAAGGTTTCGCGCACGAGGAGTGAGAGCTTATCACTTAGCAAATTTTGAGCAGCCGCCTGACCCCTTTCCAGAACCCAAGAGCATAGACAAGCGGAAGATACCTCTAGGCGCGACGCCTTCCTCTGCAGTCATGCAGCGATACCTCAAAGGAATTCAACCAGGGGACAGGTGTGTAAACCACGATAGACCTATATGGGCAAGTATAGACCACAGCTCTGCAAAGCCCATCGTGGAGACCTTCAGTAGATGTGGAGGCAATGCTGAATGAACATTCAGATAGGAGTTGGCTCCCTTCTGCCCCTCTGATACACCAGACACTAGCTAATGTGTACCCCACGCTCACAGCACCCTTCCATCGGAGCTCATTCAGACCATCGCTGCCTACCTATCAATGCCGGCCCTTGGTAATCTCCGTCTCTCCTGCAAAGAGCTTGAAAGCGAGACGCTTTGGTATTTCACTCAGACATACTTTCGAGAGGTGAACTTCATGCCCTCTAAGTACGCACTGGAAGCGCTCTTTGCCATGTCGAAGTCAAGAATGGCGTATTATGTGCGAACGCTTGGCTTAGGCCCGCCTTCCAACGACCAGAGCCCGATCGTCTTCCACAACGTAAAACCGAGGTCGAAAGGAAAGAAAGAGAAGATTAGGTCCGAGATGTACGAGTACGGCGAAGTGAACCGCGAGATGCGAGCCGTAGGCGAGGATACGTTTCTGATCAGGAGTGCGCTGCAGAATCTCCGATGGATTACCAAACTCGAGTTTTTGGATCCCTTCACGTGCTACTGCGGCACTTGCCTTCCGCATCGGTCGTATGGCATGCACTACCTATACAAGACTGTTGGTTCAGGCATCGCTCGCTTCTCCTATGGCGCCGAGCTTGAAGCTAGTCAGTCTCTCGCTAAGCTCTTCCACGTCGCACTCCACGCCTGCCAAGCTGCTGACCTCCGCCTCGAATGCGTCGATGCTCATATCCGACACTTTCCTCTTCCCATATCCGACGAGATTCGCTTTACTGGATTCAGCACCTATCCTCTGCAATTTCCCAGTGTCCGTCCGCGAGAGAATCCGTCCAATTCCGCGTTTGCGGATCTCACAATCCTGAAACTCTTCATTGCTCATACCGAGACCACGCGCAATGACATCGGCTATGTACGCTTAGCCCATCGCATTGCTTCGTTCCTGGTCCGGGCACCCAAGCTTCGTACATTAGCTCTGACATTCGGCGAGGTCGATGGGAGCGCGTTCATTCTCGAAGACATTGCGGGGCAATTATCCAACCTCCGGGAGCTCGAACTAATTGGGCTTCGAATTACATGGGATAGGCTTTGCAATGCCCTTTGCTGTGTCCGGACACACCTATGCTGCCTCAAGTCCTGGGATTTCACTTTGACAGACGACAAGTGGTGCGAAATGCTGGCCTGGCTCCGCGACTCCATGCAGCGTCTGAAGGAGATGCACCTCAGACCCTCTCCGATGTATGACCGCATGGGAATCTACTACCAGGGCGACGCATTGAAGGACTTCCTGAACGAGACGATCGAGCGTTGGGAAAAGACTAAGGGAGAGCGGACCTGATGTTTCAGATCTCTTCACGGCTTCCTTCCACTCTGACAGATGCGGTCTCTCCAACATCAACTACTTCTCTCTTCTCGATGTCTTAGCATCTACACTTCTGCGGAGCCTTTTCTACCTAGATACATCCCTGCATCAGGCAGTATACTATACGATTTACGCCCTCCTATTCGACCACCTACAGCTCACAAACCCCCCTGAAATGTACCCACACATCTTTAATGTAGACCACAAAGCCAATGAATCGCTTCAATCATTTTCAACTGCAAATTGGAAACATGCTCCCACTCGCTCCTCCCACCGCCCACCTCCTCGCTCACGACAAAAAGTGAATGCCCGAAGCGAGTAGAGTAAGTAGACTGAACTGACTATCTCCAACGCAACTTAGCGACGTCAAATGTCAAATCGACACAGCAACCGATCTAATTTTTCTATGCCTCCTTCCCACTCCGGCATCCCATCCTCTCCACTTGAAAAACTCAAGGAATGAATAAATGGCAAGAGCCCTGAACCCAAATCTCATTCATTGTGCGCGCCAAGAGGAAAAAAAGGTTCGGTATTATTAATATATTCACCCTATCCCCATATCGCACCACCCCTCTTTTCACCCTCCCTCCCGTCCTATCCTAATGCCATACATGTACGCGGATATGCAGCCGAATAACTCCATGTGGTATGCTTCCAAGGCAAGACTACGCAAGACGCAAGCGGCAAGCGCAAGCATGATATACAAAACCCCCCTCCTTTCGCTCGCTCGCTGGCAGTGCTCACTGTGCATGCATGCAAGAAACGAAAGCGAAACAGAAAGCGGAGACGGAAGAAGCTCAGAAGAGGCTCACAACATGAAGATATGCTAAAGAGGCTCCCCTCCAAATGCGCTTGCTTACAGAGCGACTCAAAAAAACAAGAGAAACGAAAAAAGAAGCTGTGCGGATTGTACTGTACATACAACAACAGTACAGCGGCGGCCCCTTGCTCTCCAAACGATGCGGCATTCCAAAAGAAAAGAAAAGAAAAGAAAAGAAAGAAAGAGAAAAGGTACATCATGACTCCGGCGGCGGCGTAGGCAGTTCCCTCTCTTCCTTTCTGCTCTGGTCTGGTGACGGCGGGCTGACGATTGTGACTGGCGTTGTTACACCCGTGCTCTCCGTCCCGTCTCCGGATACCACGCTTCCTCTTCGCTCGTCCTCCTCGAGTATCGTGTCCGTCGGGCTCATCAACCCGCCATCCTCACTCCTTGCACTGCTCGCTGTGCTGGTAGCCTGCTGTCTTCTTCTGCGCCGTCTCTCGCGCTCGTCGCCCGCGTTCTCTCGTCTCCGCCGCACCGATAATGAACCGTCTTTGTTTAGGGACGATCCGCCTTGGAGACCTTCTAACATCGCCGCCGCCCGATCCGCAACATCGCCGCCCGCCGGGTCTACAGGACTAGTGACAGCACCGGCCTCGCTTTCACCGGCCTCGCTCCTCGGACTCAGCATACTTTTACCAGCCGCATTGTCGTCTCCTCCTTCACCCTCCTCATCCGCAATATTGACGCCCAGCTCGGGGATCTTCTGACCGGAGGCCACGCGGACTTGATGTCGATCTTTGAGGCGGGCGCGTCTGCGGCGGTCGCGCTGGTCTCGTGCTTCGGGCTTGGCGGCACGAAGTTTCTGGAGGAGGTCGTCCATGGCGCCGGTGCTTGCGGGGGACTTGGGTCCGTCGGAAGAGTCGGAGAGCGCGGCGGGGGAGAGGGGGTTGAGGTTGCCTGCTTTGCGGCGCATCGAAGCTTCGTTGCGGCGGTGGGTTTCTTCGAGTTGGATGTTCTTTTCTCTAGATTTCTATGCTTCCCATTAGCATCATGTTTGTGGTTTGTTGACGGGACGGAATACTCACCTTCCACTCGACGACGAAATTTGCCAGCTTAGCAAAGAAGTCCCTCCTCGCGCTGTCGTCCTGCGGATCCTCGCCATAGAACGCCATAATATCATCGTACATCTTCTGCATATCCTCCAGGAAGACTTGCAACTGCTCGGCCTTCCTTCGTGCCTCCTTCATACTCCTTTGTACGACAATCGCCACCTTATCTTCGGGATGGAACTTGCTTGGATCGGAGAGGTTACCTGAGTCGAGCGACATTTGTATATTCTTGATGTTCTCAATGTACTTTTTGGCATCGGTTTGTAGTTGTTCGACGTTGATCTTCTGCGCGGTGACGACGCCGCCGATTTCTTCGGTGAAGGTCTCCCAGCCGGGGTACTGATTGCGGACTATGCGCTCAACGAGGTCGGCGAAGGTTGATTGGTTCTTGTCGTCTTTGAGCATGCCGAGACGGGAGAGTGTTGAGAGCTTGAAGCCGTTCGCCTGCTTGTTGGCGTCGTTCATGAAGTTACCAATGTCGAGGATCAGGCCTAGGACGCTGATCAAGCTAGACGAACTTCTGAGGCTGTCTGCCACGCGAGACACTTCAAGAAGCTTGTTGGAGATCTCGTCGTACTCTGGTTCGAAAGTGCGAGTGAGCGAAAGCGCCCTCATCCTACTCTTCCAATAGTGATGCAGCTCGTACGCGGTGTACAGATAGATCTGGTCCTCTCTTGTAAGCTCATTCGGATCCTGCTCGCGCTTGCTTTCGCCCGCATTCGGTCCGGTCCAATCCTTGGAGTACGGCGCCATAAGCTTCGCAATATTGTCCGGGATATCGCAAAGATCGTTCTTCTGCAGGAACTCCATAACAACTGGATCATCCAATATCTTCTTATCACAGTGGATGATCATGCGCACGACCTCATCAGCCGAATACTGAGAGTACTTGGCCATGGAGATCTGGAAATTCTGCATGAGATCGCGGGAGATAATCTGCTTCTTCTCATCTTTCTTGGATGACTTCTTGCCGATGGCTTTGATTTCCTTTGCCAGGAAGAGCTTCTCGACTTCGTCCAGGACACCCTTTTTCGACAGCTCCCGATACTTCTCTTCCTTCTCCTCGGAGGTCAAACCGTGAGCGGCCCATACTGTGCTCTGAGGCGCATCGACCTTGTCCCAATGTAGTGCCTTGAGCTTCTTCTTCGGTCGTGGTCCGGTCATCGTGAGAGATGGTGCTACATTGAAAGCAGACTTCGGTAGAAATCCTGGACGTTTTGCGCCGGGCATTGGTGGCGGAGGAGGGGGAGGCGGTGGAGGAGGCATGCTGCCATCGACCTGGCCGGGCATAGGAGGTGGCGGAGGGATACCGGGAGCAGCAGGGAATCCGAGCTGGCCTGGAGGGGGAGGCGGTGGCGGTGGAGGTGGTCCATTAGCATTAGAGCCGGGCATAGGCGGCGGGGGAGGTATATTAGTAGGAAATCCAAGCTGACCAGGGGGGGGCGGAGGAGGTGGAGGAATAACCCCAGGGGGCTTCGGCGCAGCGGCATTGGCTTCACCAGATTCAAGGCTGGCCTGCGCAGGACCTTCATCTCCGTACTTATCGTACGGCTTGACTTTGGCGGTAATTTCATCAAGAAGGCCAGTAGCTTGCGTAGCGCTGAGCTTCGGCCTGTGCATCTGGATGAGCCTCGGCTTCTCAATGATGGCGTCGTCTTCGTCGTCTTCTCGCACTTCTGGCATGGGCTCATCGTCTGCAACGTCGCCACCAACTGGTTTTCTTCGGACTATACCGCTCTTCGCTCTTGAAGTCCCGAGATAGTTAGGATCCAATCCGGAGAAGTTCTCGGGCACTTCACCCATTGCACCATCCATCTTCTCTCTTAGCTCCCTAAGCTTCTCGCTAGGCTGCATCTGCGCAAGGTTCTTGCCCTCAAGAGTTGCCTGAGTCTTCGCTCTTTGCAGTTGAATCTCGAGCCTGTTCATCAAGCGTTCACGATCCAGAATTCCCGCCATTTGCGTAGGGTCAGTCGCGCCGAGTGCCTCCTTGCCGGTCTTCTTGGCCGCAGATGCCGCAACGTCTTGAGCATCTCTTAGCATCAAGTACAGCTCACGCGTCTCCAACTCATTCCGTTGCAGCTCTTGCGCTCGTATTCTTTGGATCTCAGCGAGTTCAGCTTTCATTTGCTCGATCTGCCTGCCGCGGACTTCGATGATGCGTTCTTGCTCTGCTAGCTGTTTCTGAAGTTTCTGTACCATGCCATCTGCACCGAGCTCAAGCTGCGCCTTCATTTCATCGCGTTCTGCAATAGCCGAGTCGGCGATTTGGCGTGCTTCAATCGCTTCGTCTCGCACTTGCCGGGCTTCGGAGTCGGTGTACAGCTTGTCGAGCAAAGACTGGACCGTAAAGTTCAAGCTCTGCTTCAGGTCCATATCCGGTAGCCGGCGGTCCATTGCTACGTAGCTGAGCATCGCATCCACGAGCTGGAACATCCTGAGCCGATCTTCCCCGTCGGTGTCCCGGATGATAAGCAGATGCTGCATTGCAGACACAAAGTAGTCCTGCGCCCGGCTTCCACCGATCTTGCTCAAGATGGCATCCGCAATCTGCGTTGGGTCATTGAGATCCTTGACTTCGCCCTCGATGCTATCCACCATTGAGCTGTTCTCTCGCTCGAGGTAGTCTTCATAGTCGATGGCCTCATTGCCCATGTATCGCTCGATCTGCTTGTCAATGACCTCGTACTGGAAGCCCTCCATCTTCTTAAAGATGCGCTTGATACCACATCCTGTGAACTGGGCTCGAATATGCATCCTCAGCTGCAGGTCCCGCTCTGGAGCATCCACAATCATGTTGATGAGGAAGAGCGTGGCGATCGCATATTCCATCAGCAGATTTTCCACACCAATGCCTCCGCTGCGGACTTCGTCTGAGGCGCCAACCATGGAACCCATCTTGCCGCGTCCATCCACGGTAACCTCAACAATGCGCATCCATGCATCGAAGCGTCCGTTCTCATTATACTGCGCCTTGAGGCTGTCGAGAGCCTGGAGGACCTTTTCGTGACCGACGCCATCTCCCCAGTGGCATAGAAAGGTCAACACATCGGAGACGAGCTTTCTTGTGTTCAGTCGTGTGGAGATCAAAGATCCAGCGAGCGCCTGAATGATTGAAGGGTGCTGTAACGCATTGTCCGCGCCATACTTGTTGTTCATCAACGCCTTTAAGCACTTGATGATTTCGTACTCGCGTTCTACGTCATTCTCCGCCTTTGCCGCAAGCGCACTTGGTGGTGGTGCTGGTCCCTGCCCTTTTCTGCGGTTGATCTTGGCCAAGACGTTTGTGAGCGCAATTTGACCCTGTGCTTCAATGAACCCTCGAACCCATGCAATCGGCTGTGTCCTCAAGCTGATCTCCAAGCTAGACATCTGCTTTATCGTAATCGAGTTGTCCATGACCTTCTTGACATACCACTCCGGCGATCCCTCCTCTTCGGCCCTTGCCAATATGTCTGGGTTCGCCCCACCCACATACGTATTCCTTTGTGTCTGCCTCTTCTTCTCGTCATGCTTGAATTCCGCTAGTTTATCCTGATACACCAGCGTCCACTTCTTGTCAATCTTGTACGCCTCCATCTGCCGCCGCGCCTGCTCCGGTAGGCTCTTCCACCCTCTCTTCACCATCAGGTTCATAAACTCCTGCTCCACAACATGATCCGGCGGTCTTTGTATGCTGAAGCCGTTCTGGCCAAACGAGGAGGTGGAGGAGAAAGCGGAGGGCTGGTTCGAATGCAGAAGGTGCCGATGCGAGTCGCGCGGGGTAGACATTGCGGTGGGAAGAAGGCTCCCCGGATCAAGCCCGATGGAGGAGAAGGTCGATTGTGACGGGTTCTGCGGGTAGAAGGCATTGGAGGCGCGTGTCTTGGAGTCATTTGAGTAGACGCTCGCCTGGTCCGAGGACGTGCGCGTGTTTGTCGAGGAATCTGTTCCGGCGTACGAAGTGAACCCATTGCTGCCCCGACCCGATCCCCATTGCTGCATCGACACGCCGCGGTCGCCCGGCTGGCTCGAGGCCATGGCTGTCCCAGTGCCGTGTGGCGGCGGGCGCGGGGGCGGCCCGGGGTTCGCATAGCCATTCTGCTGCATCTTCGAGGGGTCGAAGATGGGGTACTGGTGGAAGTCTCCTCCGCCTTTGTTTAAATGATGCGGCAGCGGTTCGCCGTGGCGTGTGCTCCGCTCGTCGCCGTGCTGCGGGGAGCGTCCTTCGGCGGTCTGTTCGTAGGGTATCGAAGAGTATACGCCCGCCTGCATAGCCAGCCCCGGCTCCAGTCCCATAGAAACGGGGCGTTCTATCGATGCGGCCGAGTTGGAGTGTCTGTGGGAGTGTCGTGATGACTGCGAGCCGGGCGCGCTGCCGGGGGGGCTCTGAGTCGAGAGGTGGGTTTCATTGCTGGGCCGGTCCTTGTGCAGGCGGCGGCCGAAGAATTTGCCTGTGGATGATTTGCGTCCATCCTGCGACGTGCTGGGAGGCATCGCTATGCGTTTCTATGCGTTGTGCCGGAGGCGTGACAGCGCGCCGTTAATAGCAGCCGCCCGGTATTGAGCGCCCTTTCTCTCGACGTGCCCCGGTGGGCGTGGAGTGCGAGTCGTGAGCCAGCCCTCCCAGAATGCTGAAACGGCGTCTGCGGGGCAGTCGAAGGCGTGCGAAGGCCGTGAATTGCGGCGGTGACGTGAAAGAGGGCGATATGCGGGTCGCTGCTGCGGTCGCGGGTTTGCCGAGTCGAGCGGCGCTGTGGCGGGCGGGCGCGCATTCACTGCTCTATTATGTGTCGGATTCAGCACCCTCGCGCAGCGGTCGGGACGATATGCAGGGCAGCGAGGGCTGAAGCAGCGCTGCACTCGTCGCGTTTCGTGGCCTGGGGACGCAGACGGGCGCTCTTGAATAATGTTTCCGCTTTGGGCGTTGAGACACGATTGAGAGTTCTCCTGAAACACGTGCATGGGGCGCATCCCGGCTCGAGTGCTGCATGGGCTTGCGCGTGAACGCCCGCCGTCTACTCCGCCATCGCAAGCTCTATCGCGAGCCCGACGGCTTTGTCTGGACCTCACCCCTCGACCATCCTGCCCCTCCGCTCTGCGAGCGCGGCAGCAGTCCGACGAGTGACGACGCCGCAGTCCCTGCAGCTGCGGCCACCACCCGCAGGAGTCGGCGCACGCAGCGCAGCCCGTCAGCCTGCCAGGAGAACCAAAAGATCAGATAGCAGGCGTCAGCTCCCCGACAGCCCTCCACCCGCAGCCATGGCTGGGTTCACGCACTTTCTCAAGGTGAGTGGTAAACCGTCTGCCACTTGCACCGCAACCTTGGGCGGCTTGGCCAAGCACAACCGTCCAGCGTCACTGCAACCAGACCAACCCAGCTGAACGGCCAGCTGAACCTCCGGCTGACTGACACCGCCCACAGACAATCTTCATACCGCTCTTCCTCGCCGCCCTCCTCTACATCGCCCTCGCGCACGTCCTCCTCCCCTTCATCCGGCGCCACCGCACCCGCTACTCGCAGTACCTCCCCATGCCCAGCACCGCTCTGACCTCCACCACCGCCTCCTGGCGCACCCGCATATCGGACGCCCTATTCAACCTCTTCGTGCCCTCGTCCTGGCGAGCCCGGACCGTCGTCGACGGCAGCGGCGCCGAGCACAACGAGGACGAGCTGTTTGACGACGAGGAGGGCGAGGGCATGATCGGCTTTGATCCGATTGATGAGCGGAGGAGGGAGGCGCTTGAACAAAGGAGGAGTATGATGGGGGAGGACGAGCGGAGGCTGAGTAGGGAGCTCGAGGAGGGGTTTAAGGATGACAGTGATGACGAGGGGGAGGATGAGAGGCGGAGGTCGCTTTCAAGGTCGAGGGGTAGAGGGCGGGTGTTCTGATACAATAGTTTGCATACGGCCGGTTTTGACGCTCGCAGGCGCTCGATATTATGCGCATTGCAGGCACCGTAGATACTTCTGGTTCGGATACCCATATTTTTTGGCGCCACTCGGCCGGGCATAGGACGAGGTCATTAGGAGCATATTGCATCGCACGGTAGAGGTGTTCAATTGGATTCATTGGTTTGCATATACAGCCGAGACGTTACCCGTTCCACCTCCCGGGAAGAAAGGAAATGAAAAGTCCATCAACCGAGCCAAGGCGCTTATTTCTTTTCACGCTGGCCGTACGCCTTGGTGGCGTAGTCGCCCTTGTGGACGATGAGGTCCTCGGGTCGGTAGTCCTCGCGGCCGGAGAAGTACGAGTCGAGGATGGCCTTGGTGCCGGCGGCGTATCGCTAGAAACCATCAACACATGCACAGGGAGAAGTGGGCGTACAGGACATACCTTCTGGGCATCGATCGAGGTACCAGACATGTGCGGGACCATGGCATTGCCTCCGCCCCATGGGTTCTTGGCAGTTCGGAGCGGGTGCTCCTTTGGCGCGGGCTGCGGGAACCAGACGTCACCGCCGTATCCGCGGAGGTGGCCGGACTTGAGCGCATCAGCGACATCCTCCTTGACCACGATAGCGCCACGGGCGGTGTTGACGAGCCAGGAGCCTGGGACAGTCAGTGGTGGACCCCAGCCTCAAAAGAAGGTCACTTACCCTTCTTCATCTTGGAGATGAGCTCCTTGTTGAACAAGCCACGGGTCTTCTCGTGCAGCGGGCAGTTGATGGTGACAACGTCGCACTGGGCCAGCATCTCCTCGAGGTTCTCAACCCGTCGGCAGCCAATCTCCTTCTCCTTCTCGGGGGACAGCGGCTGGTAGTCGAAGTAGAGCAGCTCCTTGCAGTCGAAGGGCTTCAGACGGCGCAGCACGCGCTCGCCAATGCGGCCGACAGCGACGGTACCGACGACCTTGTCCTCGAGGTCATACTCGTTCTTGGCGACGGCAGCGACGTTCCAGTCGCCGGCCTCAATCTGCTCGTGGGCGGGCACGAAGTTGCGGACGAGGGCGAGAATGGTCATGACAACGTGCTCGGCGACCGAGACGACGTTGGAGCCCGTGACTTCGGCAACGGTGACGCCGCCATTGGTCTTGTTCGCGGCGTTGAGGTCGACGTGGTCGGAGCCGATGCCAGCAGTGACGGCAAGCTTGAGCTTCTTGGCCTTCGCAAGGCGCTCTGCGGTCAGGTAGCCCGGGTGAAAGCTGCATGCATTAAATGTCAGCGCATGCTCTGCTGCTTTGGGTCACACAGTGGTGGGGTGAGCTCTCTTCCTCTCTTCCGAGTGTTGCGGGGCAGCCTTGGAAGCTTCGCAAAGTGCGGGGTAGCTCGAACGTACGGCGTTGTGATGATGACCTCCGCGTCCACGAGCTCCTTGTCGAACTTGGAGTTCTCGCCCTCCTTGTCGGACGTGGTGACGAGCGAGTGGCCCTGCTCCTCAATCCACTTCCTCAGGCCCAGCTCGTTCTCCGTCGTTCCCAGAAGCTGCGGCTCCTGCTCGGCGTGCTCCCCGCCCTATGACGTCGTCAGCCGTGTCCGCGCGCAGCAGCCGCAATTGAGGCGCAATGGGAGCGCGATTGACTTACATCGTAGAGTACAAGAAGGACTTTGCCCTGTTGCGATGCACTCGCCGTTAGCGTTCTGAAGGCACTCGGCTGACGGACGAAAGAAGCTCCCGCAGACACCCTAGGAGCAGCGCGAGCGGAAAGGATGGAGGAGGCTGGGCGGGCAAGCCGGGAAACTGAGCGGAGAAATACCATGGTTGACTGTTGAAGTGTAGAGTACAAGAGGTGCGGCTCTGATAAGGTTTATGTAGCTGCGGCGGGCAAGGTCCCCAAAAAGTACCTTGATACGTGGATCTGACGCAGCCAATGTCAGCCCTGTCTAAGCAATTCACTCGCGGGAGGGACAGGTGAAGTTATACCTCTTGCAGCACTAGGTGACGTAGGATTCGGGAATAGCTCCTCGACGCTTGTATGCACGAAAGAGGATGGTTGCTGGGAGAACCCTCAAGGGGAGGAGGGGTCTATATATACCAGACAAAGAACGGACTGCCGACCCCCGTACGCCCATCCAGCCCCCGGTACGTGCTCATTTGAAGCGTAACACAATCTTAGCTTCCCCACTCCATCGTGCAGAACCGCCTAGCAAGCGAGTGGTCAGGCGTGGTGCGGGAATCGCAGTCGTCTGTGGATTAACTCCTCATCGCAGATGGGTGCGGGGTTGTAGCGAATGGCACCGGCGCGTCCATGGACGCGCCGGCGGAGCACAGATGCCTGCTTACCGTTTAATTGAAAATGGTTCCTCCGTGTTTGCATTGGTAGTGGCTGTTCCTGAGCTGCGGGCCACCGTAGAACGTGGTTGTGGATGGGGTCGGGCTCAAATGTGTGTCCGATACCGCTCTACAATACGTAAACCCAGCTTAGACAGCTGCTAGGAGCTGCAAGTCATGCTCTCAAGTCCTAGATGGCGATGTGGCGAGTGAGCTGTAGCTCCATTCCGAGCTGGCTTCCGATATACTGATCGCCGCGGGACAACGGAGGTGCCGCCCTTGTGACGGCTTGGACAGATAGGTGCCCAGGACCCAGTAGTAATGCCTCGGACTGCTGCCTGAAAGCTCCACCTCGCGTTCAGCGTCCTGTTGTGCCCATTGACTCTGGTTGCGGGCGTGCCCGTCTGGAATTGCTTGCCATGTTGAGTCCAAAAGAGCGAACCTGTGGCGCGAGGCACAACACCTTCAACAAGGTGCTCCGCGTCGTTTGCTAGGCGCCGGCAGGAGGTGGGGCAGGGACATCCTGAGACGCATTTAGAAGGAGTGATAGCCCGCAGCCAAGTACGGGATGCGGAGTGCATGCGGTTCAGATCCGCCAGAGCAGCGGCTGCGAAATGTCTCCAGAGTTGCGCCGCTGAAACTCGGTTTTGTCGCGGCCTCTTCGCTTGAAAGCCGGGAAACGCTCGGGATAAGGGGAGATGGCTCGGCGAAATTCGGTCGGGCAGCGCTTAAGAAGACCGAGGACCCACGGCACGGTTGCGAAGAAGTTTGCCGTGAGTATCCCGTTCTAGATGTCAATTCCTGACTGAGCGAGCAGAATTGAGTCATCACCGCGGCTCCTACCTTTCGAGTTTCGGTCGTCGATAAGCGCACAGGCCAGCGAAGATGACGACTTCAGACCATCACTCGTCGGCTTCGCTCTTCGGCAGCATCAACAAACTCTTACATTGTCTTAGTCACCTTCTCTAGACACTTTCTCATGTAATGATATAGCGCAAGAAGAGCTGGGGAAACCATATAGCGCGGACTTATGAGTCTCTTAGGACAACGCCTCCAGCCGACATCTTTGGATAACAGAAAGCCCTGGAAGGCGCAGCGACTACGGTCCACGAACGGTCGACTCTGAAAAGGCGCTCCTCCATACCTTCATTGGGCTGTTGCAAGCTCGAATTGAGCACACTCCGCTTTTTATACGGAGACTACCCTCCGCTTTGAAAGCTGGAAGAATGCTTCGCTAGCAAGAAATTGTGGGAAACGACGACGCATTGGGGAGGCTTGAAAACAGTTAAGCTACCGCTACTAATGATCGTCCTAGCGTTCGTCGCTCTGACGTGATAGCGAAACATACTTCAGTAAAGGCGTCCGCATTCTCCCACGCCTTCGGTAGGAACAAGACCATGGGTGCCCTTGGATTCAGAACTCGCTGCCTGGTTTACTTTAGATATCCGGGGGCGGTGAATGAGTTGCTGAAGCCCTTCTCGCTGGCATTTGTCCGGACGCCAACGCCGCCTTATTGGAGCAAAAGAGAGCTCAAAGGCATACTGATCGGAATATGAAATCGAAAAAACGGCCAAGACCGCTAGAAGCATTTGAGGTTGCCACAAACTTTTCATCTGCTTGTTGAAGCTTCGTCCCCGAAAAAGGAGTGACTGGGCGAATTTCAATACGCCTGACGTCGCCCTTCACCGCTTCGTCAAACCCGACATTAGCGAGAATGAAATTACCAGAGGTCGGGTGAAAGTAGGAAGGTCCTTCACTTCACTTCACTTCACGTGGCTCTCGCTCTCTACTCAAGTCATAAAAGATCCTCTCTCTGGATTTTTTCTTCCGCCAGCTCGACAACAGACTCAACTGATCCACGTAAAACTCCGGGTTCAGCACAGTTACATTGTGGTCGTGAAGGTCTTCAACTAACCTACGAAAGTGAGCGGCTCTAGCAATAAATATGTTGAAGAAACTGACGCAAAAGTGGCAGTTCTCGCCATGCCCATCCCGCCCAGTTCTCCCGGCGGATCCCCGTCGACCGTCATCCTCTCCAAATGCGGCGACGTCGTTCTCGTTCCCAGCAAGGGCAATCAGGCGCCTGGAAAGCTCCTCGTATCTTCAGCGTTCCTGCGCGGAGCGTCTTCCGTTTTCGATAAGATGTTAGATGGGCGGTTCGCCGAAGGCCAGGCTTTGTCATCTGCCAACCCGAGTGAGATACCACTTCCAGATGATGACTTCGGATGCATGCTGCTTCTCTGCATGATCATTCACCTGCAGACCTCCGACATCCCGAGGCGGCTCGATATCATTCCTTTGGCCGACTTCGCCATCCTCTGCGACAAGTATGACTGCGTCGATGCTGTCCGACCTTGGAGCAGGGTCTGGGTCTTGGAATTGCTTCCCAAGCCGGATGTCGCTGGCTTTGAGAAGCTTCTCATGGTGGCATACGCTCTCGACTTGCCAGATGAGTTCTACAAGGTCACTCAGAGCCTCATACGAGACCGCACTTTCTCTTTCGACACTGAGGTAGCGAGCCATGGAACCGATTTCCTTCCTCTGGTTGTGTTCGGTAAGTGGTTCCATGCAGAATCATCTCGTTCTTTACAACTGACGTACGATGCAGCTCGTCTCCAGAAGGGCCAGAAGCTATACCAGCACCTAGCAGTCGCCGCTCTGAACCCCGACTATGTGAACCAGGTCTTGTTCAGCGGCTGTACCCATTCAAAAGAGGTATATTGCAATTATCTAATAAAGCTCAAGAGCGCAGGACTCTGGCCGACAAAAGCCCTGGATTTGGCGGAGTATCGCCGTCGGTTGTCACGAATCGATTCCGTCGCGAACGGCTCATGCAACACGTACTACTGCGGTTGCAAGCGAGGAACAAATATCATGTCGGTCGTCATAGAAAAGGTGGATCATGTCCTCAACTCGGTGACCGGAATGTGCTTGGACTGTGTCTATCAAGCAGCGATGAAGGGCAAGGAGGGCGAATGCCGGCTACAGCATTCTGAAGGGGCGTTTTAGTCTCCTTGCAATGGAGTCAATCGCCGAAGGCACATGGTATGGGTCCTTTCCTTTACCTGTGCATCAGGCCTAACAATAGAAAGAGACGCGAGTCAAGCTTATGGAACGAGCGCATACGAAAAACGGCCCTTCGTAAGTGCTCAGAGTTCGATCGCGAGCACAGCATCAAAGCAAACAAAGACAAGCCCAGCATGACTATCATGCCAGCATGGGCGACATCAAGTATGCTGGTTCTTTGCTAAACAAGCTTGAATATCCAAGAGCTGAGGTAGCGCTGGAGGGAGGCTCACTCTCCTAGGGTTTGCTTTTCCTGTATGAGCCAGTCTACATTCTTCTTCAACTAGTACTATCTCAGATGTCGGGCCTCTGAATTCGAATACACAATTGCTACCTCGATGGCTACTTTTCTTCATTTCGCGCATCTCCCTCTGCTATGGATGAAGTAACACCCGGATTCAGCCTTTCTTCTGCTGTTGTTTCCGTCTGATATTTTGCGAGCGCTTCGGCGACTCAGACGTGGATGGCTGAGGCTGCATAGACGCCCGCGTCAAAAGGTGATATAGATTACACAACGAAAAGAGCATCGAGGGCCTCCGTGTGCAGAACTTTAACCGTTGGATGCGCCATGCGTAAGGACCAATGGCATGTCCTCCCATGAAGCATTTGCTTACATACTACCGAGGTAACGATGCTTCAATACTACATCAAGCGGACGGCACCTCTTCTTTCAGGGTCTGATCAATCATCGCCTGCGCCGCCGCTCTCCCCCTCTCCGCTACGACCAACTTTCCGATCCTAACAGCGACTCCCTTGAGCCCAGAAAAAGGCTCCAACACGCTAGCCTTCAACCCGACATCATCCTCCCCAACCGCATCCGGAAAATCGTCTACCCAATGCACACTCACAACCCTCAAATTCAGCGCATACTTCCCCAGCACCGCACATAGCGCGCGACTCCGCGGCTGAACCTTCTTAACGCATTCCGCCAAGCTGATTTCGCGCGCCGGCCACAGTTCTTCTTTCACGCCCGACGGCCAGACGTAGACTTTCCGCTGTGTCTGCATCCACGTGAGATCGATGCGGACGACTATTTTGCTGAGGAGAGCGACGTAGGGAGAGCGAGCGAGCGAACGATATGTGCGGTCGAGGCTGTAGCGGAAGGTTTTATCGTGCGATGTCAGAGGATCGACTTCGAAAGCGACGCGGGAGAGGACTTCGGAGGCGATTTGCTTGCACACGAGAAGCAAGTTGGTCGGTGGTAGAGCGCCGTGGAAAGCTAGGATGCCGAGGTCGTCGTGGCGGTTGGTGCGGTAGTGGACGTTATCTTCCGTGCCGGCAGGGAAGACCCCTTTGTGGATATACGGCCACGCGGACCAATTAATGTATGGGTTGTTCAAATCGATGAGTATGGGGATTCGCAGTTCCTGTAACGAGCTGGCGTAGGATGCGTATATCATATCTCTTATTTCTCTGGGGAGCTGCAGAAATGGGAACGGTTTGGGTTTTAAGAGGCGTTTGTAGCTGGCCTTTCGATTCTGCGCGGGTCGGTCGAGCCATCGACGCTTGCGGTACCACGAAGCTGGTGGAAGTAATGGAGCAGACTTCTCTCGACCTCGCATCTTCTCGTTTTCCTCTTCATCATTCGTCCTGCCGCGTCCTGGGAATGGCATTTCGCTGCACAGGCTGAGAGATGCGGCGACTGGGATAAAGCAGCACACAAAGAATAAGAATCTTGAAAGGGCGTGGTATGTGGAGTGTGGTAGTGATAGTGATGGAGGAGGTCAATGAGCGTTCTAAGATTATAGGGTGTCTCGTTGCCTTGAGGATGTCCGTTGCAAGAGTGAATTGCGAGCCCGAACTCAGCCGCAGCCGCAGCGATAAGATGGAAAATAGGCAGCTAAAGGCGTCGTAGAGCTATTGGGATTGCAGAGGCCGCGGTGGCGAAGATCGTCGTCAAAACAGCGTCGTTTGCGTTTGTAGGTAGGCAACAGTGGTCCCAGCCACGGAAAGTCCAACCGGATCAGCGCTATCCAAAAGCGGCCTAGCATCTCGGCAACCCCAACCCCTTGGCGGCGCAGGTATACGCAACCCCAGCCACAACCCCAACCCTCCGCTGACGGATTCCTTGGAGATGACCCGGCTGAACAGGATAAACACCTCGCCCTCGCATTTGCACTGTACATCTACCGGAACCTTCAATATCGATATCGCCGCTTCTCGTCGTACAGACCTCGACATTTTCATCCCTCGCTCCTCCAATTCGCCGTGTGTCACCGTGGCGGCGCCGTGGCGTCCCTCACTCTCCGGTCGTACCAAATTTTCCGGGCTCCATTTCAAATACCTTCCTCGCGTCTCCCAGGGTGTAGATATCTACCTTGGCTTTAGATCTTGCGATTGAGGAAAGGTCTACGCCAGTTACAGGGGCCGTTCGCCTCGCATTCGAACCGCGGGCGAAGCGCATGTGAAAGAAGACTTGGTTTATTTGCCCACGGACCTGAGATTGAGGAGAGCCGGCGTAACTTGGTTGGCCATAGCGCTTCATTTAAGCTGCAGTATGAGGAGGGCCTCGTAGGCTAATCGCCCCGTTCCGGACCTGGTCAACGGATTTGTTTCTCCACGTACTGGGTTTGGGTCGCAAGGACGACATTGCGTACGACTGCCGCAATATAAAGAGCGTGGGAATTTCGCGGTCTCGACTTTTCTCGCCTTTACGCCCGACCGACTCTACTCTCCCCCCCCCTCTACGCCGCTCACCATGCGTTCAATTCTCGCCCCGGTGGTCCTGCTTTCGTCGGCGCTTCTTGCGCGCGCTGGAGGCATTGCGCAGAAAGATTTCTCGGGCATCGGGAATATATTTGTTCTGAACTCGAGCGACTGGCCGAGTGCGACGCCCGATCAGAAGGTCGGCTGCTTGGACGACAATGGGAAGTTCATCAATCCAGATGATGAGGAGGACTGCGGCGTATTCACAAGACTGGCCAACTATCCCTACACGCTCTCGACCAAGAAGGGCAACTGCACGTTCGACGACGCGACACAAGAGAAGAACACGGATAGCTGGTATGGCAAGAGCGATAATGCGTGGAACTGCAACGGTACCCACAAGGCTGTGATCTACGATGAGCTCTACACTATCGTAAGTCGTCAGCTCCGATAATGCCCCCACCGTGCTAACTATCTCGCAGGATGGCTTCCCATACGTCTTCTTATGCTGGGGCGACATCGCTTGCTACTATGATGTTAAGAAGGTTCCGGGGAAGAACGAGACATTGTCGCTGTGGCAATTCCGATGGGGCTCCCACCAGATGGGCATAACACCAGGACACATGCAGGCGCAGCTGCTGTGGAACAAGATTGGAGATCTACCGAAGAGGGAGGACATGGAGAATATTCCGAGCCCGAGGATTACACTGGAAGATGGATTACAGATACCTCTGGAAGGTCAACAGTTGAGCGCATAAAGATCGCACACGTGGTCAATATTAAGGATGGGGGCGCAAGAAGGGCGTTGATTATGTGAATGAAAAGATACCTGGTTCCGACCTCTAATGTGCATGATATTCGGTGCATACGTACCTCCACTGCTGCATGTTCTTATCTCTTTTCCGCCCAAGTTCATCTCTCTAATTCCCCGTTCGAGCACGTCCTCGCATATCAGACTCATACTAGGGAAAGCGGAGCCTGGAGGTCCTCAACCAACTGAGCGCACTCGATTTGTACGACGGCTTAGCGGTACGGATACCTTTTGGATCTTTATACTGCGCTCGAAGTTCCGCTTCGAAACCCGACGCCTAGGTATAGGATGACAGAAACGCAAGCAGAGAAGTCTGAGGGGAACCACGACGCGCAGGCTTTTCTCATCCGTGGCGGCGGTCGAAATGATTACTATTGAAGGCCACCTGCTCGAGCTTGACCAAGACTTCATGCCTCGGCACATATTCTTCAAAGGGAGCATCGCCCCACTGGAGCCTTAACCACCGAAGTAGTATGTTTCACTATCTATCTGACTCCTAACGCACGTCAAATACAAGAAGCCGGTCGGAGTTAGGTTTTCTTAACCCCGAGACCCGCACATAGCTTCCCAGCTTATCACAAACCTTCGTGGCACCACTTCCTACCTGCCTTACACCGCAACCCTACCAGAATCTACCGGAGGTCGTTCAGTACTGTAGATATCACGGAATAGATGCATGATGTTACGCTGGCCAAGCATCCAAAATACTCTTTTGAGGAAGCAATGCGGCTCGGCGTCTTACATATTGCTGGATAGAGCAAGTGAGTAAGCCGTATACCTGATGAGCTTAGTGCACATTTAGAGCTTGGATTTCCCCTCTTGGCGCGCGGGGCGCTGCTTCTTGCATTATTAATGTTTGGCAAACGTTGCACCATGCGGCAGTGGTGGCACGGATTCGTCCCGCCGGTGGCTCTGGGTGAGATAGTGCGAGAATTGTACTTCCGCCGAGCTGTGATCGATGTGGAGCGCAGGGTCCGGAGCGGCGACTGCGAGGGCGAGAGATGGGCCAAATGTCAAATGATGGTACGATCTTACTATAGGGCAGCATGGATACGCTGACGACAGCTGTTAATGGAGGCTGCCTGTGGAGTGCCTGAAAGCGATCGATACTTTAAGCTGTGGCATAGCTAGAGGTGTATAAAGCTTGTCCGTCCCACATACTTCGTTCCTAGGCTTCAGACTTCCTTTCTACCACTTCAATCCAAAGCATCAAAGCAAAATTCCTTCAAAATGGCAACCAACTTCCACTTCATCAACAACGAGGTACATCGCCCTCTTATCTCTTCCAACGTTTACTAATCTTTCTTCTAGTTCATCCCCGGCTCATCCACCGCCACCTACGCCGTCTACAACCCCGCCAGCGACTCCCTCGTCGGCAACATCAACCTCGCCCGCGAGTCCGAAGTCGACTCCGCCGTATCTGCCGCCCGCGCGGCCTACGAGTCTGGACCATGGAGCACCATGACCGGCGCCCAGCGCGCAGCCCTCATGCTCAAGTTCGCCGACCTGCTCGAAGCCAATGCTGGAGAGATTGCGAAGGCAGAGGTTCAAGCTATGGGCCAGCCTGTGGGAATCATGCAAGGCGCAATTGTGCCGAGTTGTGCGGGGACTTGGAGGTACTACGCAGGCTGGGCGGATAAGATTGAGGGGCAGACGTTCCCGGAGGAGGGCGGTTGGTGGAGATGTACGCAGTATGAGCCGTATGGTGTTTGTGCGGGAATTGGGCCTTGGAATGTGACAATTCTGTAAGTTTGATCGAATCAACTTAGATATCTAGCGTGCGAGTTGAGATGTTAATGGTGGCTGCGGATAGCTTCCTAAGGGGTCCTCGGGGATTTCGTGAGCGGATTTCTCGTGCGGCTTGCTGACGGATACAGGACCATGGCGTGGAAAATGGCTCCCGCGCTGGCCGCCGGAAATACATTCGTCTTCAAGGCGTCAGAGAAGTCGCCGTATAGTGTCCTGATTCTAGCTCGTCTGTTCAAGGAAGCCGGGTTCCCGGCTGGAGTTGTCAACATCCTCTCTGGAGATGGCGCGACCGGCGCTCTTATGGCCTCGCATATGGACATTGATAAGATCTCGTTCACTGGCAGCGGCGCCAGCGGGCGTAAGGTCATCGATGCGGCGCAAAAGAGCAACATGAAGAAGGTGACTCTGGAATTGGGCGGCAAGTCGCCATCTCTCGTGTTTGCTGATGCGGATATCGAGAATGCGCTCACTGGGTACGTACCGCATTGCACTTCCCATCCCTCCGGCATTTTGAAAAGAAGCGGATACGAGCGGAATTCATTGACCATGGGTTTAATGACTTGCATATTCTCGTTTTGGTGTCGAAAAGTTACTTCCGAAGGCACTCGATCGGTTGTGTATGTAGCTAACGGCATCCTAGAAACTCCCAAGGCTTTCTCTTCAACAGCAGTCAAGCTTGCATCGCCGCCTCGCGGCTCTTCGTCCACTCCTCCATCGCCGACAAATTCATCGAGGGCCTGAAGGCGCGCTTCGCCGGCGCAGAGGGCATCATGGGCGACCCCTCCGAGCCGACCACCATGCTGGGTCCGCTTGCCGACACTAAGCAGCTAGAGCGCGTACTGGGCTTCATCGAGTCCGGCAAGTCCGAAGCGAAGCTGCTTGTCGGCGGCGAGCGTAAGGGTGACAAGGGCGCATTTGTGCAGCCGACGATTTTTCTGAACCCGGGCAAGGAGAGCAAGATTTATAAGGAGGAAATCTTCGGCCCAGTATTATCCGTATTGACATTTGAGACAGAGGAGGAGGCTATTAAGCTGGCGAATGATACGTCGTATGGCCTTTCTGGTACGTATTGCTTTTCCTGCTCCTATGTTAGCGTTAGGAACGCTTCAACTGACGCGCCAACAGCTTGCATATACACCGGAAGCGCATCGCGCGCTCTCCGTCTCGCGTCCAAGATCAAGGCTGGCACCATTGCGGTTAACGGCTCCTTCATGCCAGACAACAACACGCCCTTCGGCGGGTACAAGATGAGTGGTACCGGCAGGGAACTCGGAAAGGAGGGTTTGATGGCGTATCTGCAGGCGAAGACGATCAAGATCAACATGGGTGTGTAAGCGCGATGGGCGCAGTCAGTAAAGCCAATAGTGAGAGATGGACATAGTTAGTTCTTGTATCGCATCTAAATGAAGCCGATGGGTTAACATACTTTGAGCTTATATCCTCTTCCTGTCCGCCAAAGTGTATGCCTTAAGTGGGGATACTTTGCGTCCCTTAGTTCACGCGCCTCCCGGAAGAAGCACAGTGGCAGCACGGTGATCTCGTCAGCGTGCCAGGAGCCTTGGAGGGCTCCGCAGCGTTTTGTATGAAGGGGTAGTGAAGTGGATAGCATGCTGAAGTCCTCAGGATCGTGCATAGAAAGGTGGATGAGTTGCTGTCATCGCAAAGCTTAGTCCCACTCGCACCTGCACCACTCTCTCCTCAGCTTTTGTGCTCCTTCCATATCCTCATCTCGCCCAAAAAAAGTGTAAACAAACCACCCTCACGCTCCTGCCTTCACCCACGCGGCCGCCTACGCACGTGCACCCTGCCTCATCCCTCACCTGCACTCTTACCCGCCCACACATTTAATTGTCCTATATATATTATTTAAAAACCGCTCCATTTCATAATTCGCATCATGGGTGGGCTAGTGGTCAAACCGGGGAAACAAAAAGCTCATCGCACATCGAGCAACCCCAACGGGCTATCGAAGGTACAACTCACAACGGTCTGGAATATTGACCGCGAGCTACCGCCACTAGGAAGCTAATAGCCTATTACAGCGTTAAGGCTATAGCTGGGATAGCAGATGCCGGGAGTAGTCGACGGTTCGAATCCGTTGTTCTACAAATCCCAATTTGAACGCTAAAAGAAATAACTTCTAAAGTTATTTTTTTGCGAATTTTATTTCACCTTAGATTCTTTTTTTTACTGCCATGCGTGGAGGGTAGAGGGTAGCACAGCAGGTAGGAGTAGGGAGAAAGGAAGTAGGATAGTAAAGATGGCGTAGAAGCGGGTACGAAAGAATCTCTCAACTACATCTACTCTGACTCATGCGGCGGCGCGCCCCATCCCCCACCACCAGGCGTCTTGATGATAAACTGCTCTCCCTCCTTCAACTTCACGATGCCCCGCGGCCCTAGACTCACAATCCTGCTCTCGCCATCCTCCACCTTCTTGATCAAGTTCTGCCCCGCCTCTCCCTCCTCACCACCGTCCATACCATAAGGCCGACTCACCCTCCGCTCCGAAATCATCGAGAAGGTTAAGGGCTCCCTGCATTCAATAACCCTGGTGACGCCGTCGCCACCGTTGCGCTGACCTCTCCCACCAGAACCGCGTCTGATGCTGAATTCGCGGAGGAGGATCGGGTATCGCTTTTCGAGAACCTCGACGTCGGAGATGCGCGTGTTGGTCATGTGGACGTGGACGGCGGACGCGCCGTTCCAAGTCGGACCCGCGCCTGCGCCACCGCAGATCGTCTCGCCGTAGGCGAACTTGTACCCGTCGCCTTCTTTGCGGTCGCGGCCGCCGAAGAAACCGATGCTGTTCATGCAGCCGTGCGAGGCTGCGCAAGCACGAAAGGCCTTGAGGATGACGTCGACGATGCGCTGCGAGGTCTGCGTGTTGCCCGCGTATACCGCGGCGTAGTGGCTTGGGTTCAGGATTGAGCCTTTTGGGTTGATGACGTTGATGGAGGAGAGGCAGCCTTGGTTGAGCGGGATGTCTTCGTTGATGAGGCAGCGGAGGGAGTAGATGATTGCGCTGAGGCAGATGCTGGGCGGTGCGTTGTTGTTTCCCAGGCATTCGGGGCCGGTGCCGGCGAAGTCGAAGTCTGCAGAGCCGTCTTCTCTTGTGCGGATCGAGAGTGCAATACGTGTGCCGTTATCGAGGGAGTCGGTGGCGCGAAGAGGGCGGCCGCGCACGCGGGTGTGCGTTTGCTGCAAGAATTTGCGAACTGCGATTTCAGCGTTCGATTGGATGGCGGACATGTAGAACTGCACTGTGTGCTGGCCATACTCCGTGATAAGGTCTTCAATGAGTGAAGCGCCTTTCGCGTTGGCTGCGATCTGTGCCTTGAGATCCGACAGGTTGTCTGATAAGCTTCGCGTTCCCACGCAATTTGGATGCTGGGCAGGTTCATCGACGAGGATCCTGGTGATGCCAGCTTCATCGAACACACCACCGGAGACTAGTTTGAAAGAAATGATGCTAGCACCTTCCTGATGCAATGTCGTCGCATTCGCATTTCCCGAAATGCCTTCGTAACCGCCGATATCGCGGTGGTGACCGCGCGACGCTGTGTAGAAGACGATGTTGCCCAGCGCGCCGAAGACAGGTGTGATGACTGTAATGTCGGGGAGGTGGGTACCGCCGGAGATGGGATGATTGGCGACAAGAACATCACCAGGTTGGAGCGTTGAGCCGTGGCGCTCATGCTGATATTTTACAGCATATGCCATGCTGCCCAAGTGGACAGGCACATGCGGCGCATTCGCCACCAGGTCTCCAGTCGGGCCGAAGATGGCACAAGAGAAGTCAAGACGCTCCTTGATGTTGATGCTCACGGAAGTTTTCTGTAGTGTGCGGCCCATTTGTTCCGCTATCGACATGAAGCGGTGTCCGAAAATGGATAGTTGGATGGCATCCGGAGCTTTTGGTAGGCTGGAGTCCCTCGGGCAGCTTTCTTCTCTCCCTTCGGAATCAGGATCCCCCCGCTCGCCAACCTCCGGCTTCCTTAGCTCGATTTCGGAGTTGGGACTGCTCTTCTCCACGGCTCCGACGTGGAGGATGACATGATCTCTAAGGATACTTGCTATAGATGAGGGCGTGACTACGATGGTCTGGGTATTGTCGATGATGACTGCAGGGCCGGGTATATGAGTTTTCGCGACCAGAGAACTTAAGCGGAATACTGGAACATCTAGCCATCCATGCTGTTGAAAGTAGGCTCGAGAGTGCCTTTCTGGCTTCACGGAGTTTGGTGCCGTTGCGGCACTCAACTCCTTCATGAAATTGTACTCTGGCCTGCTGTACTCCTTTGCGACGCCGCGGACGCGGACGTCATCGATCAAGATCTTGCGCCCAGGCAGCAGGAAGGTGAACTCCCTCTTGTGTCTCTCCTCGAAGGCTGCCTTGAAGTTGCCATCAACTGGAAGCGGCGTCATGATTTGGGTGTCGGAGCCGTCATATCTGAGGTTCAAAAATCTCTGAATTTCGAGACCAGGCGCTGATGTTGCTCCCTGGTCAGCCAGACCTAGAAGTACGCGATCTTCTATCTGCTTGAACCTCTTGGCAATCAGCTGTTCGGAAGAATGTTCAAGCGTCAGCGAGCAGGGCTCCTGAGCTTCTTCAACGAGGTCTGCGAGTGCCATTCCGTACGCGGAGAGCACGCTGGAGTACTTGTGGATGATGACAGTATGAATTCCAAGCTTTTCGGCGATGGAGCATGCGTGCTGCCCACCGGCCCCGCCAAACACCGCGAGCCGGTGATGCGACGTATTGAAGCCTTTGCCCTCAGTTAAGGCGCGAATGGGTCGACACATTGCTTCATTTGCGACGTTTAGGAACCCTTCCGCGATTTCTTCTGGTGATATAAGTCTCTGAATATCCTCGCTAATCGAGGTGGCCAGCTCATGGAAAAGGGCAGCGGTTCGCTCATGATCTAGTGGGAGGTTCTCTTCGGGACCGAAGATGCACGGAAAGTATGCGGGGATTAAGCGGCCTAAGAATAGATTTGCGTCGGTGACAGTAAGTGGTCCTCCTGCGAGCATGGTTAGCCTATACCCTGCGTCGAGAAAGCTGAGGAAGTCGACATATCTTAGCTTTACCTGTTGAAGGTCTCCGGGAACGCCGTTCCCGAGTCCAAGCTACGACATGCCGGTAGGCTTACTGCGATAAACGTACCTTTCCTGTAGCACGCCGGCCCCGGATGAGCGGAGGCGCTTTCAGGACCGACGTGGAACAAGCCATTCTTCCAGGCTAATATACTTCCACCACCAGCAGCAACTGTATTGATATCTAGTTGTGGGCACTGGATCGTAACACCGGCGGTAGTAGTCTCGAAGACGTGTTCGAGCTCTCCACCAAAACGACTGACATCCGTAGAGGTCCCGCCCATGTCGAAGCCAATGACAGGTACCTTGTCAATAGTATAACTAGTCCTGGCGTAGCCAACGACCCCACCAGCAGGCCCAGAGAGGATTGCGCGAAGCCCAGTCAAGCGATCGATATCGACGAGACCACCGTCGCTCTGCATGAATTGACACTGCGCTCCTGCCAAGGATCTGCGGAAACCGCTCTTAAATGTCCTGGCATAGTCTTTGATCGCTGGAGTCAAATACGCATCTGCGGAGGCGCTCATGCCTCGTGAGATCAGTTTGATCATTGGAAGTAATGCTGAGCTCTTGGATATGCTCGTGAAGCCCTCCTCTTCTGCCAGCTGCCCTGCGATGTTCTCGTGGTCCGGAAAAGTGTAACTGTGGGCGAAGCAGATACTTACGCTAGTGAAGCCTCTGGATCGGAGATCTCGGAGCGAACGTCTTGTTGCTTCAATTTCGAGGGGCAGGAGCACTCGTACCACATCGCCGCTCTGGCCTATGCGGAGACGAGAATCGGAAGCTACGTCTATGCATCCGGCAAAGGGATCTTTCGCGGAATCTTCCAACGTGACGCGCTCCTCAACCTCGACGACTTCGGAGTAGAGAACATCTGGCTTGTTGATGGCAAGGTCGAAAAGCTTTGGTCGCGCTTGGTAGCCGATCTCGAGGGCGTCCCTGAAGCCCTTCGTAATGAGCAATGCAATGCGCTCGCCTTTTCTCTCTAAGAGCGCATTCGTCGCGACCGTCCTGCTCCGATATCAGCATCCGAATGGCGAACGACGGGTTCAAGCGCTTACGTTCCCATCCGTATTACTCCAATTCGTGAATAGTCAAGCTTGTCATTGCGAGGAATATTCGCGCCAGTAAAATTTTCTAGTATTCGCCGTATGCCTTCTGTAGGAGCATCTTGGTAGTTCTCGGGATCGACCGACAGCAGCTTCACGACAATGTCCTCGCCACGATTGTCTTGCGGTATGCCAATGCAATCCGTGAATGTGCCACCTCTCTAGAAAGCATGTTAGCGAAACCGAATACTCGGGCTAGATGACTAACGTCGATGAAGATATCTATCTTCGGTTCCACTTCGTTGGGGCCGGAAGGCATTGTGTCAGGTGATCTATGGCTGGGCTACCAAGTAAATGCTTGTGTGAGGGCCATTGCAGGCCTTTTGATGCCGGGTAGTAGCAGGCTTATTCCCGCAGGCAGACCCACTGTAGGCGATGAAAGTGCGCGCATCGGAGAAAAGCGACGATTGCCGTTCCCCACATCGGAGGTATGCGATAACCCCTCGCGCAGCCGCCCCCATCCTTGGAGGCGTAGCACCTACCCTGAAAGAAACAAAACCGAACCTTCGGTCTGCTGCGACGGTATCCACGCTAGGTTTTTCTCCACCGGGGTCGGTTCTGTGCCGTCTTTCTCGTCTCAGCGGAGGAGGAATAATACTCCGCTCTCGCCTCTCTTTCGCTCATGTGCGATTCAACCGCCTGACTGCGAGGAGTCTGAAGATGCAATGGCTGGGACGCCAGCGACCGCTGTATCGAACCGACTAAGCCGAAGTGCCAACGCCTGCCAAAGATGTCGGCGGCGGAAGCAGAAAGTGAGCCTTCCGCAGAGAGAATAATTCTCAGTGTTGCATCCATGCTAACGTCGCCTGAAGTGTGATCTCAAATATCCGAGATGCTCCAGCTGTGAAAACGCTGGTGTTGCTTGCTTAAGCTACCATGCCGGCAAACAAGCAGAGGTGCCAAGGAACTATATCTCGAACCTTGAGACGGAGCTCGCAAGACTGAAGAAAGAACTGGAGGAGCTCCGTGGTTCGGTACCTCAAGAGAATGGATCACCCTCCAATGCTGTTTCGCCTCGTGGTGAAGTCGCTGCCATCACGCCGGCAAGGTCAAGCAGCATGAGTGGGTTAGAGGAGCATTTCGTGAACCAGCAAGAGCTTGTGAAGTCGATGGGGCTCGTTGTGCTGGAGCCGTCCAACCAGCCAAGATTCCTGGGAACCTCCAGTGGCGTAACGCTTGCGAAGATCGTTATGGCTTCAATGCAATGCCACATTTTGCCAACTCCGCCTTCTCCAACTGTCGAACTTGGTAGCGAGCCGGTATACAGCAGGCAGTCTTCGCTGCCTCCTCGCAGGGCTGCTGCACAGATCATCGACGCGTACTTCGAGTATCGGACCCCACATTATCCGATCGTAGATAGAACGGAGGTCGGTATGGCCATTGAGCAGGCGTATGGGAGAGCGAGAAGTACCTTAGTCCATGATGGCGAGATGGATCAAAGTCTGTTTATCTGTTTCATGGTCTTCGGGATCGGGTTATGCGGAATGCTTAACGCTGCTGGCGAACGTCCGCCGGAAAGCGAAGGCTGCTTCAACTCAGCCCTGCAATATCTGGACACCGTCTTGTCCTACTCTAAGAGTGACCTAGACACGCTGAGAACCATCCTCCTACTGGCTCAGTATATCTCCTTGATGCCGTCGAGAGGTAGTCTTTGGAGGTTGACGGGCCATGCGCTCCGAGTCGCTATTGATATTGGCTTGCATTGGGAAACAGATGCGATTCTCGGACTTGACCCCACCCTCCTTAACCGACGACGGCGACTGTTCTGGGCAGCATACCAGTTCGATAGGCTGTTAGCCATTACACTTGGACGACCGTTTGGCGTCGTCGATCCCAGCACAAGCGTCGGTTTCCCTAATCCGTACGAAGAGCGGCATCCGATAGCTGCGGCCGATGTCCATTTCCAAAAGATAGCGAACCACGTCGCCGCGCTTGCCAAGCTTGAGTCAGAGATCAAGCATGTATTGTATCATCAACTCCGCGAAAACTCGATTGCATATCCACGACCGAATTACTCCATCTGGCTGCAAAGCATCCAGCCACGACTCCAAGAGTGGCAGGCGACGGTCCCAGCGCCAACGAGCTCCTCTCCCCGGAGCATTTACTCCTGCGATAGTTGGTGGAGTGCCGTGTACAATAACGCCCTTTTGTTGCTGCACAGGCCGAATCCTCTCGTGCCGCAGCCGTCGGTGGAATCCTTGCGTATATGCTTCGAATCATCAACCCGACTGATTCGGGATGTGAAGGCCTTGCAGCGAGAGCATCGAATTGATATTCTTTGGGTTTGGACTCATCGGCTATTCATAGCTGGCCTGACCTTGATGTACTCCATCTGGAATTCTGAAGAGATCAAGGCGGCTTATCCGGTCGACGAAATCGTAAACACCATCCACTGCGGCGCCTCGACCCTCTCGGCGATCACAGAGCGGTTTCCAGGTGCGAATGGGTGCCGCGACGCTTTCGAAACACTAGCATCCGCCACAATGAAGAGGCTGCTGTCTCCTCAAAACCCGGTGACTCTTGGTCCCGACCTCGAGACGTTACAGCACAATTTCCCGAGCGCCCCCTGGACCCAGAACTTACAGCCTGAGAACTCCATAGAGGATGTATTCTCAATGCTGTCCAATGAGACCTTTTCGTTCAGCGAGATGCTTGGTTCCAACGCCCAGTGGGCGGCGGAATTCGTCGGCCTGGACCAGGACATCAGCTTTGAGTGGTAGTGGATCCATATTAGTGTCCCAAAACATCTTTGACGGTCGTCGCAAGGCCTGGCAAATCGTCGGCCGCCAGTACGGTCATCGTGCAGATTGACGGCTCCGTCTGCGACTGCGAAGGTAGATGGACATGGGCGAGAATGGGTTCAGGGGCTCGAGATGCATTTCTGAAGTGAGATGGGACGAAGCAGGCGTGAGGGAAGAACTCAGGAGGTCGGGAGGACGCTAGTGACTAATCAGATTTTGGCCCGTGCGTACCCCTCTTTCGGCCAGGCCATTTTCATGTAGACTTTAGAATCTTGAATCCGCCTAGTCGCTATGTTCATGTGGTGATTCTGGTTGCTGAACCCAGAAATGCCGCGAGTTAGGCACTGGAGCCCTGGTCACTCTGCGCCTTGAGCATATACGAGAGGCGGGGTAAATCCTACCCGGCAGACGTTGGACTCGGGACCTGCGCATATACATATCGGCTTCTTTCTTGATAAGCTGGCGGACCAAGTCGCAGAGTCGCTCTTATCCTCCTTACTTGAGTTTGTTGGCCATGCCTTTCCTCGAGCACCAAGGCGCGAATCTATTCTACACAAGCCACGGCAGCGGACCACCAGCTCTGCTCTTGCATGGCTGGGGCTGCGACTCGAATGACTGGAGCTTTCAGATCCCGTTCCTCACTTCGCTCGGTCTGCGCGTTATAGCACTCGATCACCGCGGTCATGGCTGTTCCAGCGCACCAGCCGATATCAACAGCTACGCAGCGCGTACATTAGTAGAAGACGCAATCGCCTTGCTGAACCATCTTCAGAGTGGCCCAGTCACCCTGATCGCACACTCGATGGGCACGGTCACTGCATCCATTCTTGCGGCGGAGCATCCTGACGCCGTCAAAGCGCTCGTGCTCGTCCATCCGATCTACAGCGGCGTGCCACCAGCATTGCCGCGGATGGGCGAGGCGATGCAGAAGGACATCGGACGCGCACCGGAACTGGCGGTAGAGTTTTTCGAGAAGCTCATGTACACGCCCCGGACGCCGGAATGGCTGAAGACGTGGCAACTCCGCCGACTGCTTGGGACGGATCCAGTAGCGCTTGCCGGATGTGTCGTCGGCCTAGTTGGCACTTTCGGATCGGTAATGGGACAGAGTGAGGAGGCCAGGATGTTTATGCGTAAGAGAGAGTGTCCTAGGCTTGCTGTGTGCACCACGGTGTTGGAGGCTGAGGCACCAGCGGGGTGGGAAAGGGAGGTCGGCCTAAAGGAGGGAAGGGACAAGGTCGAAGTCCTTACTGAAGGCGTCTTTTCGCACATGGTGGAGAGCGACAAGTTCAATCAAGTTCTGGGCGATTGGCTGCGAGAGAGGAGCCTTCTTTCGTCATAGTGGCTCTGACTAAGCAATGGCAGACCGTGCGGCGCGCGTCTTTCTACGCGTCGACTTTGGTCAGTCGACGTATCCATCATGTCCATCACTGGCACTCGCCAACTGCGCATTCCATGCCTTCTAGCATTCGGCCTTCATGAAGTGCTTCCGTGCCCCTTACAAAAGTGACAGATAACGCTTATATGAGTGCGAAGCGCCTCAGGCTTTGTGGGAGGCACCGCCGAGTGTTGCGATTTGATTATCGAAGCTATCTAGGTATGCCTCTACAGCTTTGCTAACTCATTGAGCTTCCAGTCTGCTATGGTAGCCATCTGCTGCCTCTCCCACACTCTTGATCCGGCCTCTCCTTCCTCCAGCCCATTTTTCGGGCCGGAATCAACGTTTCGCCATCTCCAAAGCATACCGTACTCATTCTTCTCCGGCTTCTCGATGATGCGGACCACTTCACGTCCCAGGATTGGGAAAAATTTGAACCCGTGGCCGGAGCCTCCGCTGCAGACCATCAACCCTTGATCATCCGGATCCCGGTCAATGACGAAGGCGTTGTCAAGGCTGTCGGTGTACCAACAGTTGCGCACGCCGGAGATACCGAATGGGATCAGGTCTGGTAGGACGTCGCGAACGACGCCCTTGATAGCATCCACGGCTTGCTTCGTAATCTGGGGCTCTCGCCTCTCGGGCCAGTACGCTGTCACAGGCTGACTAATTCTTAGAGATCTCCCCGTCCTCGGATCCTTCACAGTCTTGTAGCTCGTGTACTTTGTCCCGCGGAAGCCAATCTTCATCACACCGTCCTCGGTTCGCGGAAAGCCACCCAGCCCACTACCTTTTCCCCAGCCGCCCCACGAATAGACAGGGAAGCGTTCCGGTGCATACTTGTCCCACAGATCCGGCCTCTCCTCCTTCGGTGGTAGCTGGATATAAGCGACGCTTCCTGCTGTCGCTTCCAACATGTCGGAAACGTGTGGTAGCAAAGTCGGCGTCCATGGCCCGGCAGCCACCACGACGAGATCAGCCTTGTGGGTGAGGCCATCTACCGTCTTGATGCCGATTGTCCGTCCCTGGGATGAGCGAACGAACTTTGCGACCGTGCCCTGCTTCTGCCCAAGCACCAATTTCACGTCTGTTTTCGACAGCAAATGCAGGACCCAGGCGCAGGCTTTGCTCGCGTTGACGAAGCCGCCGAGAGTGTCATACACGCCTACCAGTTTCCCTCTTCGTTGCTGCAAGCCCATGGGATCGAGCTTTCTAAGCATTCCCTTCCTCGCTGCGCGTTCTCTGTCACTCGAATCGTCCAACACGTATTGTGTATCCCGAAGGCCTTCAGCCCCCAATCCAGCCAACGTATCCTCTTCGAATTGACTGATCTTGTCATCCTTGCTGAGCCTTAGAAACCCGCAGTTGTTCCACACCTTGTCGCTTGGTCGGATGCTCTTGGGCAGATCTTCCGGTTTCGCCTTTCCTATCTGCTCGTTCCATTCGCCCCAGATGTCGATTGCTTCGAATGCAAGCTTTTGGTGCAACACCTCTTTTCCGTATGATACCCTCATCACTTTATTCATGTCTGCGCTGGCGGCATCCGCGCCATCCTTCGTTGAGTAGGCATTATCGAGGTACGGTTGACGGTCGAAGACAACGATGTCTGAATATCCGGCTTTGCTCAAATGGAGGGCGGTAGACAAGCCGAATACACCTGCGCCGACGATGATGATCGGTGAGGTTTTCGAGAGTCGCGAAGTCATGATGTCACGTGGGTGGCCGGGCCAGGTGTGCAGGGTCGAAGTATGATATCCCTTCCGCTTGCCTCTTTGCTACTTACGTTGATAGCTGGCTGGTTTTGAGGCTCGCTTCCACTCTAACGCGCCGGTATTATCGGGGAGTAAGGCGGCTGCCTCGCTGATAGCCGACACGGCCGATATCCAAGCAAGGTGAGGGGCTCCTCCACCTTCGGGAATAAGCGACAAGCGCCGATAACCGCAGCCTCATGCCGATCTCCTACCTACGCGGGACGACCCCAGAAATCAAGATGTTGTTGATAGCGAAAAGTGTAAAGGCGGCGTGTGCCCGCTTTTCCGTATCGCAGCCTGATAGAGAATTGATACTCCTATCAGGTCTCCGCTTCCCTAGGAATTGACCTAGTCGCATCTCAGCCTCCTGCGTTCTGGCCCAGGTGACATTTAAGGAGAGCTACTGGCAACACCGACAATCAGACTCACCTCTCCTGATCTAGGAAGCTTCAACGAGTTTTCCAAAGTTTTTACACCGACGACATGCGGTTCCGAAACCCCACTCGTGTCTCAGACGTACCACCGACTGCGGACGGGCCATTGGAAGGTGCGCCCGAGCCGAACAGCGCCTCAAAACCTACGCGATTCTTCCTGTGGACCCGTCCTGGTACCTCACACCAGGAGAAGAAGTTGGTGCAGAAACTCGACCTTTGCGTCTTGACCTTCTGCTGTCTGACCTTCTTTGCTAAGGATTTGGATCGCAACAACATCAATAATGCATTCGTCTCGGGCATGAAGGAAGACCTAGGACTCTATGGCAACGAACTCAACTGGCTCATCACCTTCTTCCAAGTAGGATACATCACGGGTCAGATTCCGGCGAATATACTCCTGACCAAGCTTCCCCCGAGATACTATCTACCGGCAGCGGAGTTCTTGTGGAGCATTTTCGTGCTGTTCCTGTACAAGTGCAACAATATCCACCAGATGTATGCGCTTCGCTTCTGCATCGGTTTCGTGGAAGCTGCTTCATGGCCCTGTCTCCACTTTATGATCGGCACCTGGTACCGCAACCACGAGATCAACAAGAGGAGCGGCATCTTGACGGCAGCCGGTATCGCAGCCACCATGTTCTCGGGTTACATCCAAGCCGGTATCTATGTACACATGGACGGCCACCTTGGCCTTCGCGGATGGCGATGGCTCTTCATAGTCGGTAAGCGCATCCAGCACCCATACTACCTTCGATACATCTCACTGACATCAACCAGACTTCCTAATCACCTGCCCAATGGTCTTTATTGGCCTTGTTTTCATCCCTGACTCGCTCTACAAGAAGAAGTCCTGGTGGATGACCGAACCCGAACGCCAACTCTGCATCAAGCGCCTCGAAGCTGACAATCGCGAGCCGCTCGGCAAATTCGACCGCACGCTCTTCCAGCGCGTCTTCGGTCGCTGGCACTGGTGGATTATGGTAACTTGGTTTTCCCTTATGTATTTCACCTATCAAGCACCGACCACCTCGACCATGGCACTGTGGCTCAAAGCGGACCACTACTCCGTGCCAGACGTCAACAATCTGCCGACCGTTTATTCCGCTATCTCTATCGTCTGGATGCTGTTCTCCGGTGTGTATAATGACTGGCGCGGATCAAGATGGGAGAGCGTGGCGGTCATTTGCGTATGCAATATTGTTTCCGAGGCCATCCTCGTCGCGTGGGATGTCAGCAAGCCGGCGAAGTTTTTCGCTTTCTATATCGCGGGCACTATCCAGTCGCTGTTCCCAATCATCATCAGCGCCGTGCACGAGGCTTGCAGTGCGGATGCAGAGGAGCGCGCTATTACTATTGCGTCCTGCAACTCCATCGGATTGGCACACGGAACTTGGTGGAATCAGGTTTGTCTTACCTCCTTCCTCGTGCTGGATATACATGTCTGACTCGCGATAGGTATTCGTGCCCACCATAGAGGCACCACGCTTCTACAGAGGTTATCGGGCCGGACTTGGCGCGTCGCTGGCGATGACGGCTTGGACGCCAGTGGTGTGGTTTTTCACGCGCAGACAGCGGCTAGAACAGCAGAAGTTGGACGGAGTTCCAGAATCCCAGAGGGAGAGCCAGGCTAGTTTGCCAGAGGCGCCGGATGTGTATGGCGAGTCGAAGAACGTGGGGGCTATTGGGATTCATGAGAAGTAGAGAAGAGGTGGAGGTCAAGCTGAAGGACATGAGTGTAGTTGGATAACGATGATGAGAGTTTTTGGATTCTTAATGGCGAAACCTGAACGCCTGGGATCCGAATGGGACCAGCCTTATACACTTTCATATCGCGGTACTTTGATCTCCGCATGCGGCGTCCCGAAGTCCCTTACTGCCATATCTCATCACGGTCGGACGGTACCTTCCCCACGAGTTCCTTCAACCTCCAGATTCCACGAGAGCGAACAATAACTACCCGAAGGCATACTCTATGGACTACTGTGGCTCGCTCAAGCACTCACAGCCATCTCCCTCGTCGCCATCTCCTTCGCCGGCCCCTCCGGCTGCTGACCCGGTGCAGGCGCATATAGCGTCCCATCATTCCACTCGCTCCCCGCCATATCCTTCTTCCACGTCGGCGTCCAGCCCTCTGCACTCTTCAACGCCGCCCCTTCAAACGCCTGCTCGAAGTCATGAATAATATCGTTGATGTGCTCGAGCCCTAGACTGATTCGAATCATATCGGGCGTTACGCCGCCCTTGATCTTCTCTTCGTCCGGGATTTGCTGATGTGTGGTGCGCCAGGGGTGGATGATGAGCGTTTTCGCGTCGCCGACATTGGCGAGGTGGCTGCAGAGCTTCAGATTGTCGACGACGGCGGCGACTTCGCGGATGTTGCCGGCCACGCCGAAAGTTAGAACGCCGCCCTGCCCTTTGGGTAGAACGCGCTGCGCGAGTGCGTAGTCCGGGTGTGATTCTAGACCAGGGTAGTTGACCCATGAAACACGGGGATGCTTTTCCAGCCAGCGCGCGAAGGTCAGCGTGTTGTAGACGTGGCGCTCGCCGCGGAGAGCAATTGTTTCAAGGCCCTGGAGGAATAACCAGGCGTTGAAGGGCGACATGCAGGCACCTAGGTCGCGCATAGCGTCCATGCGGACCTTCGCCGAGAGCGCCTTGTAGCCGTACGTCTCCCAGAACTTCATCCCGTGGTAGCCGTCCGCTGGCTCGGTCATGCAGGGGAACTTCCCGGAAGCAGACCAGTCGAAATGCCCGCCATCGATGACAATACCGCCCATTGACGTCCCATGACCCCCGATCCACTTCGTACACGAATGCGTCACGATATCCGCGCCCATCGTAATCGGCTTACACAAATAGCCGCCCATGCCAAAGGTATTGTCCACGATCAGCGGGATGCCCGCGTCATGGCAGACTTTCGCAATAGCAGCGAGATCCGGCACGTTGAACTGCGGGTTCCCGATCGTTTCGACGTAGACGGCGCGTGTGTTGTCGTCGATTGCGGCGGCGATATCGGCGGGGTCCTGGCCCTCGACGAATTTGCAGGCGATGTTGAATTTTTTGAAGTAGACGCGGAATTGGTTGAAGGTGCCGCCGTAGAGGTTCATGGTGGAGACGAAGTTGTGACCCGGCTCGAGGATGGAGGTTATGGCCATAAACTATTATGCCTCACTCATCAGCCGTATTCGCGCCAATGAGGGGTGGTTGAGAAGGTAGGAGAAGCTTACCTGTGCAGCATGCCCGCTTGCTGTAGCCACAGCGCCAACACCACCTTCTAGCATCGCCATGCGCTGCTCAAAGACTGCATTCGTGGGATTGCCCATGCGCGTGTAGACATATCCCTCCTTCGACCACGCGAACTTCGAAGCGCCATCTGCGGCATCGGTGAAGTCTGAGGGGCAGTCAGTATGCGCAGTTTCGTGCCAGAGGCGGGCACTCACTGTAGGAGCATGTTTGGTACAAGGGCAGGGCGCGGGAGCCGTTGATGGGGTCCGGCTCTTGAGCGCCGTGGAGTGCGATTGTCTCGTACTCGGGGGCTTTGGTTACGTTGCCTAGGTGGCCGGATACCATTGTGGACGCTGAAGGGGGTCGATGGGTTGAGGAGAGGCTCTTCGGTATTTGAAAAGAGGCGTGAAGGACTTTAGGCCGGGTTTTACCGGTGTGGAATGTGGAGCAGAAGAGTTAGAGTTATCATGGGAGGACTTCGAAGGCCCTCGACGATCTATATTTTCCACTCAACGACCTTCATGCCCCAAGGTTTAGGGCGTTCGTTGCGGCCGGCAGTCTATTCTAAGTCTCAGCTCGCACTCCCTTATCGCGGCATTATCGACTGATGGATGATCGTCAAAGCCTCTTCCCCTCCTCTTTCGGAATCATACAGCATGTCTGCCGTCATCTCCAAAGGCGGTAATGGAAGAAAGCGATCTCTGATCGCGGAGAACTGTAAGCCGGCAGTTTCCTTATCAGTGGCCTATGCGCGAACGTTGCGGGAGGTACGGAGAAGCCTGGCTGTATGTCTGCCGTGTTGCGGATTCTAACTGTCTGGGGTAACGGATGGGATGAGATGAGGTCGATGCGGGAAAAGGTGAGGATGCCGATGGTAATGCCGAAGATGCCGACGCTAGGGACGCGTTTCGCGGTTCCACGCGTTGCTCCGTCCGCATCTCCCAACTCTCCTCTCGCCATCCTGCGAACGACGCCCCACCTCTCGGAGAAAGCTCTCTCACGAGTGGGATTGCTAGAATCTGTCTTTCCCTCTTTGTTTTTGTGCGCAGGCCACCAAAATCCCGAGGTCGAACTGCTTCATTCGACTGCACCCGTGCAGGCAAGCAGGCAAGCATGACCACAATCACCGGCTGTGGTTCATAGAATGGGATCGGCACATTCGAGAGCATGAGAAGTTGATCGCATGACATCATGAATTTCTCAGAGCTAAATTTTCGGGTCTCGACTAGTCTCTACCTATCCTGGAGGCCTTCAGCTCCGGTTCCATCTTCCGGCCATTTCATTCAAACGAGACGTTTGCTACAGGCTTTGCATTTACAGTCAGGGTGCTACCATCCACATCAGTCTAAAGGACCACGCTCCTTGGATGGACTACTCACAAGATATCAGGCCTTGCGTAACTGCCGACGGCGTCAAAGTCCATCTACAGATGTCAGATAGAGTGTAGAGCTGCACGAAGGCTGGCAACGCTTACCCTAGACTCGATAAGCTCGTCTCTGTTCAACTCGGCATAGACAATTTCCTCCCTATCCCATACAGGCTCGGCCAAGAACGTTCCCAGAGGGCCGACAATGCACGATCCGCCATGGCTGAGAACCGCTTCAGGGGTCCACGGTGAGCCATCAGACTGGCGATCATGGTGTTCCGGCGTGAAGGGTGGGTAGTCTGAAGGGAAGTCGGACACCTAGCCTTGGAATCAGCTGCCGCCTTCGAAGAGTGCGACGGAGATGCTGACTTTGCAGAATTGGTTGACGGAGATGACGAAGCATCGGCCCTCCTTCGCGATATGCTGCATAGAAGCAACCCAGCTGGGAAGGTCATCCGCGTTGGGTGCGATGTAGATCCTGAACGCACTATCAGTCGGTCGCTATGTAACTACGAGAGGGGGAAGGGGGGGTGTATACTCGATTCCCTGCTGATACAAGGTCAATCGCGCTGCCGGCATATAGTTCTCCCAGCATATCAGACCGCCGACCTTGCCGAGCTCAGTATCGATGACCTTCAACCCATCGCCCGCCCCTTGGCCCCACACTAGCCTTTCAGCAGCGGTCGGGATGAGCTGAACGGGTAAGCTTTCGACTATGCTGCTTATCCATGAATTCAAACCTTGCGGTGCGCAGATAATAGCTCTCCGCCTCTGTCGATCAGTACTGCTGTGCAATACAGAGTCGCACCGTCTTTCTCAATGATTCCCACTGACAGGAAGACGCTATTCTGCTCCGCGATGCTTCGCAGATTGCCGAACTCTGGAGATGAGAGACTGATAGCTGAGTTGTAGTACTTGGCATACCACTTCCGACCTGTCCACTTCAGCAAAGTACACACTCTTCGTTGGACGGTGCTTACCTCGTGGTTCTCGGGCGCCAATCGTAGCGTCGAATGCATAACGCCAAGGATATGCTGAGAGAAAGCCTTCGCTGCGATGTTGATAAGCCAACTAGACATGCTATTCCTCTCCAGTGCAGCGACGTACGGAAACACGACAAGATCGGCGCCGGACCGCGCAGCCTCTGCGGTGAACTTCGCGACCCTTTCAAGGCTTCTTTCCAGATCAAACGCTACCGGAGCGGCTTGCACAGCGGCAACTTTGACAAGTTTGGACACCATGTTCAAGCTACGGTTTCGAAACTAAAAGCAACGCCGGTGCAAATCGTATCCCAGAGGACTTAAGAGCATAAAGACGAGTAAGTTCCTAAGGACTATTACCTCTCGAAGTAAGTCTGGTTCGGCAATGCAGGGCTGATCGGTAATGTAGCGCAGGCTTACTCGTGACCGAGCCTAGACTACATGCCGAAGGAGATAAGCAGTCGGCAGTAAGATTAAAGCTGACATGCGGTAGATTGCGATAATCTCTCGGCTGACGAAGTGCCGCAAGATAGAGAGGCTGTCGCCGAAATGGCGTGCTCTCAAACCGCGAGGACATGCAGTTGCTGAGTTGCCAGCACGGTCCTTGCCTAGTAATGCTCAGCCACCACACTCTGCTCGACTTGCTCTATCCGGAGCAGACGACTAGACCTGCCCGTCGCATTTGGTCACTTGAAGCAACACTCATCGACGCAGATTCACAAGTCCAGCTTCAGTCCTCTTTTTACGATAATCGCCGGCTGTCTCATCTTTAACTGTTTCCATCATTGCGCAGCATCGGAAAAGACGCCATGCTTCTCCGGTTCGAAGAGGCTACGGAATATTCCGCCACGATCTGTAAGTTTACCGCTAATCTCCGGATTTTTGTCTGGATGGCTAATGGGCAGCAAGCGCTGCACTGCAACGAAGATCCGAACAATTACTACTCAGCGCTGGTGCAGAGCCAGAGCATCGCCACTATTCCGTCATTCACGCTCGAATCCGGCGTTACATTGCAATCAGTCCCCGTTGCCTACTCGACATGGGGCTCGCTGAACGAAGAACGCGATAATGTACTCGTGGTCTGCCACGCCTTGACCGGCAGTAGCGACGCCTTGGACTGGTGGCGCCCTTTGATTGGTCCTGGGAACGCTCTGGACTATACGCGTTACTTCGTCTTCTGCGCGAATGTACTAGGGTCTCCATACGGTTCAGCGTCGCCACTATGTGCGAACCCGACCACTGGACGGCCATATGGTCCTGCGTTTCCGGAAACTACAATTCGAGATGATGTCCGGTAAGCTGTGTATCCATGGCCCCTGGAATATTAGATTAATGAGCTCCAGCATTCACAAGCTTGTTCTTGATGCGCTCCGTGTTCGAAGCATCGCAGCTGTCATTGGAGGTTCGATGGGCGGCATGACGACGCTCGAGTGGCCACTTTGCACTCCCCATGGCTACGTGAAGAACATCATACCTATCGCTACTTCCGCATATCACGGCGCATGGGGAATTTCTTGGGGCGAAACCCAACGGCAAGCCATCTACTCCGACGCTGCCTTCAAGAGTGGCTGGTACGAACCAACACCGGAAGGGCAGCCTAAGAAAGGCCTCGGAACTGCCCGCATGATCGCAATGCTCACATACCGCTCGCACTGCTCGTTCGAGTCGCGGTTTAGTCGAAAACCCGCTGCGAGCGCGACGAAAGTATTATCTGCTGGAGGGCTACCCACTCCGCCATCGTCGCACCGAGGGAGCTTGTCACCCGACACTGAAGTCCTCCAGGAACAGCAATCCCCCATCAACTTCTCAGCGCAAAGTTACCTCCACTACCAAGCCGACAAGTTCCTCAAACGCTTCGATGCGAATTGCTACATCCATCTCACAAAAAAAATAGACACGCATGATGTCACCCGCGACCGCGTCCCATGCGTCTCGCGCCCTCCTAGCGAAGAGCAGCTACATGCTGTGCTCGGCGTCGTCCCACCAAAGGCCCTGGTTGTCAGCGTGGAAACGGACGTGCTGTTTCGGCCGGAGCAGCAGCTAGAGCTTGCGAAGTGCCTGCCAGATGCAAAGCTTGTAGTTCTGGAGAGCCCAGATGGTCACGATGGGTTCTTGTTAGAGTTTGAAACGCTGAATAGGGCTATTAAGGCGCATCTAGAGGAGCGGTGTCCCTGGGTGTATGAAAGCGAGGCGAACGAAGACGCCGATAAGGAAGCGGAGGGAGTTGTGAATAGCGTCTTTGGTGAAGCTGAGTGCGTCGAGTTCTAGGTCATCTTGAATTAAAAATGTCTGTTCCAGCCCTGGGCCATAGCGGGTTTCGCTGACAGTGGAAGACGGAGCCTGATCGGCTTCAAAGCACGATGGAGATTTTTTTGCGCTGCGAAAAAATCGCTGAAGGGCTTCGGGCACTGGGATACGGAGCGCACTTTAAGTGAACACGTCTCAAGGCTTTCGTGAATACTGCTCGCCCGTCTGGTACAGATAGATGTTCGGACGGGATTGTTAATAATTGCTCAACTTCAAACTTGGCAAGAATATTGCACAGAATTTTGCAGCGTTTAAGCCCTCTCTCCCGATCCAAGAAATGCACGCCGAGGTGTGAATGGAGTTATCACGTGCTATTTCTTGGCACGCTAACCCTCATCAACAAGCGTCTTCGGCAGCCCACCTCCCACCTTCAATCTTTCATCAACATCGAATTTTCATCCGCTCTCATCTTTCCTCGACGGCACTCATGCATCTATCACGCAATCCGACTTCAAACGTCCAGCAGGCGCAGTGCGTGTATCCCAAAGATGCCGATGGACGAGATGCCGAACGATAACGGCGCCTCTGCCGCTGCGATAGCACCGCACGTATGCAGGATGCCGAATCCGTGATCAAGTATACGCACCCTTTGTATCTACAAGCACAATCTAAGGGCATGAGTGCGATCCGCGACGAGAAGTAGCAGCAGGGCTGGATAAAGACACCCTGCTTCAGAACCAGAACCCGCTCCACGTCCTAATCTCCAGTCTATTCAACCTATACCTCCGAAGATATCATTCAACATGCCTTCCGCAGATACCCTTCCTACAAAGCAAATCCTGGATTGTCCAGAAGTATGGCGGGACTAGCATCGGGAAACTACTCCGCAGCATAACTTCCTCTATTATCCCTCTAGAAACCGGACCTTCAGTTAGCGATAGCGGCTGACAAATATTGCCCTTGCACGGTGTTGGTACGCATCCAATTTTCTGCTCTAGCTGCTCCTGAGAATAGTACAGGCGGGCCCAGAATTAGTCCCAATGTAACCAAGATACCCAAGACCGCCAAGTGCTCAAGAACGCCGTGTTCTCAAGGCCTCCCTGTTCTCAAGACAGCCTATTTTCAAGACGACTACATTCTCAAGACAACTATATTCCGTAAACACCCCCTCTTCCCCCTCTGTGCTGAAAAAACCATACGTACCGGAAGCTAAGCGAAGAGTTTTATATTAAATAAGCGATTATAAGTTAAAGCACGGCGGCGTCTATCCTGCCAGGGCGCCCACCATTACATGGCGAGCGCTGGCACATGTTGCGTGGGAAGTGACCCGTTACTACGATAACGTTAATATACGTTTCCCATCCCTTCCCTTCCCAAGCCAGTAAGCTATTTTCTCTCATCTTTTTTTCGGGTGCCATTTGTAGACGCCGCTGTTTCTGCGGCAAATTATCAAGACCTTCAGGGTTTCCTGCCTAATACTCCGTTCCACAATCTTGGTGGCGAGACGTTTAACCTTCGCTGTACGCTTTGCAAACTTAAGACAGAGCCTTTACTATGTTGGAATTTTCTTCGCGTGGACCTTGGGGGCGAGCCCGATCCAGCCTTTCACAATGTAGCTGCTTGAGAAGTAAACTTAAGAATAAGTCCGAGCTAACCCTTATATGCACACAATGTAACCTTTGAGAAGTAGCTTAATAATGAGTCCGAGCTAACTCTTATATGCATACAATGTAACCTTTGAGAAATAACTCAACAATGAGTCCGAGCTAAGAACCGTATGTGTATTTAATCCCGCAACTTTTCCTGAATTAACTCTATCAATCATCTCGCCAACTGCTATTCCAAAGTTCGCATTCGCCCTTAAACCAACATCAAATCCTCCCTAAAGCTTCGACGGATCTCCGAGTCGGATCTATCTTACGTCTTACAAGGTGAGTTACTCACCGGTGTTCTGGGTCGAATTAACATTGTATTGCTGCTATCTAGGTTGCTAGACTATCCCCTGCTTAAGCCACAAGCCTGCAGAGTTTCTTTGCAAGACGAGTTGTTGAAGCATTTTTCCTTCATTAGGCAAGGAACTGCAGGTTTTAGTAGTGAGGGGTAGGCCCTACTTCTTTGGGTTTGGAAAGAGTGTACAGAAAAGGAACGTCTCGCAGGCGAGGTTTTGCTTTTCCTTTACCTCACTCGCGTTTATACTGAATTACTGTACAATAGTTGCACAGTCTAGAAGACTAGGTCAAGACTAGGTCAATTCCAACTGAATTCAGTCAGTCAGATCAGCATCATGACGAAGAACAAACCTCAGGACTCCCTTCCTCCGCAATCCATCAACGACTCGGCACTAGCTCAGCCGTCCAGCACAAATGAGGCGCCATGCTGCCCCTGCAGTATCTCCAAGTGTTGCAACAACTGCAAGTGCTCCGGTAAAAATCCTTGCGAAGCAGCCCCACGACCCGACGACGAGCTGCCAACCACCGTATATCCCAGCAACGACGATACGCCAACACAGCCTCTCTCCAAGAAATACAAATGGCATAAGAAACCCTGGGACTTGCAGACATTCCGTCAAGTGGCTGAAATTTGGAACTTCAATGTGTCCCTCATGGAGCAGAAACCAGAAGTGCTTAGCGCCGCCGAAGAACTCCTTTTCGATGTTACTCCGAGCTCACCGGTTAGCGGAGAGCTACGAGCATGCGAAATATATTCTGCGGTGTTCGACCGGTTGCGATATACAATTGAGAAGTATGGTTACAGAGTCCAGTTCCGAACCTGTGATGCCCCCGTAATTGTTTGGGCATACGCCAAACCCGGTATCACTCCGGGACCCATTCCAGACTGGCTGCCTTTTGTGAAAGTACGAGAGAATTACTACCTCGGTCCATGGGCGCGGGAACCCGGCCCCCAGCTCTGATAGTTTTCGGGTCGACCCCGTATTATAGACGCAGGCCCATTCCTCACTCTCGTCACAGCGCTCTCGGTCGCAAGGTTACTTCCCTATCCCACAGATTGGAAACTTCCCGGGATCCTCCAACTTATGGTTTCCAGTCCCTAAAACTCCAGTCCACACGTTTTCATATTCGATTTGTCCTCACCAACCCTGAATTGCTGCGGTTATTTATAGCTTGAACTCAGGTAGAATAGAATGGAATTGATTGATTAAGTTTTCTCGTTTTGAGTCACCAACCTATAGAGGTTATGCTAGCTAACGGCAAAGCAGAGCTTCTGCCTACGTACAAAGGGACTCAAAAGACGCCAAAATTAAGAGAAGGGAATAGGGTATCACAGAACCACGGGCAGGTGGCATAAGTCAACAGAAAAGAACGGTTTGGGCGCTCTTCTCTTCAAAGTCTTTCCCGCATATGGGTGCTCGTATCATGCGGCTCTCGATTTCAAATATGCAACAGGCTGCCTGTGATGCTTTAGACTTGAATGGCAATTGAAATAGCACCAGCGAAAGTTATCCCTATCTACGCAAACTGCAAATCCAGGCCATACAGTATACCCTCCAGCATGAACGTCTCAATTGACAGGAATATACTGTCACCGTCCTCAATACATATGTGAATGCCGAGGGGTACAACACAGCTGTCCTCAATGGCATAGACAAGAGCGCCACTATCCCCGGGGCCCGTAAACGTGTGGTCGCTCCGCTTGACCACCCCAACCCATCGTCTGTCATGGTCGCCCGCAATTGTCTCTTGATACCTCTGGCCAGAAGGACTGTCCAGTTCTTCTTCATCAGGGTGCGGATGGTTACCACCCAGATGCGCCGCAGGCAACTCATGAACGACCTTATACAGCGTACCCACTGTATGCCCTGTAGCTTCACCCTCTTTGTAAACTCGAATACCACGTTCATCGTCTACTCGCTTCCAGATTGCGCTCCATCGCGCACGGTGATGCTGCAAGTCCAGGTAACGAGGTGCTCCGCCGCCGAAACCGTTCACGTCCAGTCGTGGGATGAGGGCGTCAATGGCACTGGCGTCTTCGGGAGCAACTTCCAGTAAGGCGACTTCGCTCGCGAGTTCATCGTAGAGGCTTGTACGGAAGTTCGGAACGTGGGTGGCCCGAATGACAGCGCGAGGGAATCGGCGGTTTTTTAGTGTGTCTGAACGTGGTCATCGTATCAGTCGCTGAAGCTTCACAGGAGTAGGTTTGTAGAGGTAGGCTTACAGAGGCATCCCGGAGGACCGGCAACGCGTCCAGCTGTCACTGCGTAGTATGTTCCTTTGCGTGCATCCTTGAGGAAACAACCGACGGTGCCCGTCCACTCAGAGTTGGTGTTTGGATCGAAGACAGAAACCGTATCCCCGGATCGAATTGCGTTTTCGGCGGCTGTGGCGCGTGACACGGTATGTGTTGAGAATAGTGTAGCGAACGAAGAGAGCGTACTGAGGATGAAGCTAGCGAGATGTGATGTAAAGCCTTTGCACAACTCACAGAAGACGCGGAAAAGTCCCGCCATGGGTTGCGAGTAGTGTAGAACCCAGATGCGAGAAAGATTGGACGAGATGATATTCGTGATCTACGGACGCGAGACGTCTCTATATAGGCGTGAGCTTATGTTTGTGCGTACGCAATCCATCTACAAACTAATTAGGCATGAGATGAAAGAAGTGAACGCTGTTTCCATCAGGTTCCAAGGTTAGCGTACCAAACAAGGGCATCTTTGGGCGGGAGGATAGAATGGTTCCCTGGTGTAAGCGCGATGTTCAGGGCGGAATAGTTGAAGGTGGTGTAGCTGAGACCGAAGCCGAACTCGAAGGGTAGTGCGATGTCACGTTTTCTTGAAGTAGCGGCAGTTAATGTACACGTCTTCGGACTAGTTTGCTTGCGGGAACTTGGTTGGCGAACATATTGTGGGTGGTGACGTTGAAGGGGGCATACAGCGGACCGTAGTCAGATTCGTTCTTCGCGAGAGTATAGGGAAGCTCGTCTAAAGGGGAGACTTTGCTGTATAGCACGGCTGCAATAGCGCGCCCACTATCACTGCATCACGAAGCTGCACCATAGCTGTCGTGGGCTGATTGGGTTTACAAGCTGGGGGCGTGCTAGCTGACTCCGCAACAGCGACATGCAACCTGCAGGTATGTACGCAGCCCTTTCCCGAAACTCGCTCCACTTTACCACTTCCACAGCATCTGTCCAGGGCTTCTACGAGTAGCTAGCTGCACTATCTTCGCCGGCCTGCGACCGGCGGGGTTTATCAGACCGCGCACTCTCCGTCCTATCCTACCCCCCTAAACCCTCACACAATACCAACACCCCCTTCCCACCCCCCCAGCCCCTCGGCGCCACCAGCATAATGCAGCACCTCTCCATCATCAGCGTGGTCGGGCACAAAATGCGCAACATGGTCGGCACGGCGGCCGAGATCTTCAGCGCGCTGGCCAGCGCGCGCGTGAACATCTATCTGATCAGCCAGGGGGCGAGCGAGATAAATATATCGTTTGTAGTGAGGCAGGAAGAGGCGCTAAGGGCGATGCGGGTGGTGCATGGAACGGTTTTGAGGGTGCCCGGGCAGGGGGAGAGGGAGAGTGCGTTTGGGAAGGGGCCGTGGCTGTATTAGTGGGTGGATGATGGAGGGTTGCTCCTGCCCAAATGGCACTTCTAGTCCTCTCTTCGCGGAAGGCGCGCTACCCGGATCGAAGGAGACCTGTTTGTGCTACACTGACAACAACTCTCACCGAAAGAAACAATGGCCATGGTCTAAGAATAAACATTACAATTTGTGTCGTTCTAGCGTACTTATTACTCATTATTCAACCCGTCAAACCCACTCGTGCCTTCCCCTCTCACTCCCTCACCCCGCAAACACTCCACACTTCGCCCCGCCCCGCTCCACGCTCTCCCTGACCCCACCTCCAGCTCAATTAAACTTCCGATAGACCTCCACCTTCTGGCAACTCGGATTCTGCGGCTTCCCCTGCACGCCAATCTTCCACACCAGCGTCTGGTACAGATACCCATACCTCGTCAAACACACATACCACTCCGTGAGCTTCTTCGGCGGGCTGAAGTAGCCGGGCGGGCTGACGGTATCGTCCACGGACTTTGGAATGTACATGCATCCGTCGTCGGCGAAGTTGACGGCGGTGTAACTGGAGTTGCCGGGCATGAAGATGGGGAGGGCGACGTTGGAGGTGACATCGATGCTGAAGCGCATGGCGGACGGATAAGTGATGTTGTTACCGATGGACAGGTTCCAGTAGAGGATGCCGGGGTTTTCCAGGGGGGGCTGGGCGCTGGATGTTGTGTGGAAGAAGGTGGTATAGGAGGATGGCGCGTCTGAGGGCTTCTCCTTGGTGAGGCAGAGGCCTTCGATGGCGGCGCCTTCGTGGCAGGCGCCGAGGGCTGCGGAGGGCGGTTAGTAAGGCGCTTTTTGCTAAGTGGTTGTGGGAGTGGATGAAGTTACCGGTGTTGTCTAGCGTCTTGTTGTGGGACTTGAGGAAGAGGCGAAATGGTGCGGAATCCGCATCGTACTGGGCCAGAGCAGCGCCTGCAAGGGCTGCGAGGGCGAGGATGGCCTTCATGGTGTTGGGGAGATGGTGCAGCGCAATGTTGATGGCGTTGGTGACACTTCGATGCCGTCACAGAACAATGGAACGATGATAGGAGAGAACGGCGAGGCAGCGCGGCTCAGGGAACTATTTATCGAGGTGGAGTGAGGCCACCGCATCGCTGGAGGTGCCCGTACTGCGCAGCACGTGAGGGCAGGCGCGAGGGTGTGTGTGAGGTTCAATAATTGAAATGACGTCGGACACCCTTGCAGCGTGCCCGCAGGAAGCTACCTCCGTTACGAATGAGGTCCCGTATACGGGGCGAAGCTCTCACCATCGCGCAGGTGTACGCACGTTGGTAACCCCCATCTCGAGGGTGAGGATACAGAGAGGAGGAGCTGCGTTGCACAGCCCCGCGTCGCACCGTCCCGCATCCGGCTGAGGATCTGTGCAACAGTCGGTGAAGAATGAACTTGGGGAGAGCGTACTTGAGGGATGGATTGATTCTTCGCGTATGTGGCTAGTATATCGGCACTGGGTCGCAATGCAATATCGACCTCATGACCAGCAATAGACCCGAGTGGGGACGAGGCTAGGGTGCGGGGTCGAGCCTCGCATTGCGCTACAAAACTACAAAGGGTACGCAGTGCCTGAAACACGTTGTTCAAAGTCGGATGCGGAAATGCAGGTACCCTTTGGCCCGACCTTTGTGGTAGCAATCGACAGGCTCGTGCCACAGCCTACTCCACCAGGAACCAACCTGCGCAACTCCAACACTCTGTGGCGTACGTTTAACAGCGAGAGAAACTTCCCATATTGCTCGGTCCGAGAACGGATGGATATACTGCAAGGTAAATATAGCGTGGCGAACGCAAATCGCTTGGTCTCGTGGGTCTGGGACCGGGTTCGGATCTCGAGACTAGACGGTTCGGAGAAGCGGCGGTGCAGAGGTATTGTACAAAGGGGGAAATCATGCCCAGATCGATGGGCTGCGAAAGGATGCAGTGCATCTAGCGGCAAGGCTATCACGGTTGTGGCGTCGATGTTGCTGCGTTAAGCAATGCCAAGCCTGTGGGCGTGCTGAGACGCGAGCGAGTATGGCAACCGACTTCCTGTGTCCGCTTTTAGGAGTCCTTCAAGCTTTCGAGGCATTTCCTGGTGCTCTTTGATCCACCGGGCGTGCTCCAGGTCTCCGTCTGGTTCGACGATCTGGGGAAAGCAATGCGTCCGCAAGTTGATTGGGACAGAAAGCGTTACTTGCAGAACTCCCTACTTGAATTAGCGCGCACGTGATGCCACCAAAGTGATGCCACCAAAGACTACAGGTGCTCGGCGTCCTACGCTGCTGGATCTTCCGGCTTCATTTGATCGTTTGAGCTCCGTGAGCCGTAGCCGTGTGGAGTGCGGCGGCAGTGTGGAGAAAGCGAAGCAGACATCCATGCAAGCTTAGTCTAAACCTGCGCGCTTTTTTACAACTTCTCTCTACCCCTGACGTAACTTCTTCAACATACGCTACCTAGGTAATAATTTTTTTTTTCAAGATTTGAAGAAACGTACCGAGAATCAGAGTGGTTACTAAAAACGGCTAGCGTGGAGGGGCATACTCGATACGAAGTTTTGCCTCACTTCGTATCGAGGTGCCAAGTTTTACACCTCCTGCGACCGCGAAGCAATCAGCCATTATGCAAGACGCACCCTTACGATACCTGCTCACCTCCCCATGAACTCGGTCCATTTCCGGCCACTCGTGCCCGGCCCGCCGCCGCGCACGTCACTAGACTCCAAGCCGCTGCGCAAGAAGCAGCGCGTCTCGGTCGCGTGCAATGAGTGCAGGGCCAAGAAAACCGCCGTGAGTCCCCCCGCCCCGCCTGGAGGCCCGCCTACCCTGACGTACGTCTGCCGCCAGTGCGATGGACGCAAGCCAGTCTGCGCGGCATGCCAGGCACGGCCATCGGAGTGCACCTACCGGAACACAGAGGAGCACGAGACGCCCACCATGGCCCTCAAACGAGAGAACGACACGCTGCGAGAGAACGTTACCACACTCGAGGTATTCATAAAACAGCTCCGATCCGCGCCTGATGACATTGCCCGCGACATCCTACAGAAGCTGCGATCCGCTCCGGACCTCTTCGCCGTGGTCAGGGCAGCCACAGGAGAGGTCATTAATGGGCAGCCTTCGGAGAAGACGACCGCGCTCGGAATCCTACCCCAAATCCACTCTGACGCCGAGTTCGAGCTCATGGTGCGCCATCCAAATGCTTACCCAACGGTGGACCTGTCAAAAGACAGGCTACTATCGAGTGAGGCTCCCCTCGGTGCGCCTGCTCCGGATGGTGACCTGGCCCCTCCTACCGCCAGAGCCTCTGTGCCCACCGTGTCGGTATATGAGATTGCAGACGCCGATACAGCCGGCCGGGAACGACAACGCACCGCGCCCCCCCTTAGCACCGCATCGAGCAGTGACGGAGAAACGGTCCCTCGTTACTTCGATTCCCGCCTGGCTCGACTCAAGATAGCATTCTGGACCAGTGTGGGAGCCACTGATGAATATGCCGCCCGCGCCATCTCCCTGTACCTGCAGACTGATTATCCCGTCTTCGGCCTCTTCGACGCCGACCTGTTCATTCGTGACCTTGTCGAGTTCAATTTCGATTATTGTTCCGCTTTCATGGTTAGCTCGCTCCTGGCATTCGCATCCGTAAGTTCCACTACCTCGGATATAAGTGTGCAGAACTCATGAGCCCAGCAAGGCTACACTTCCAGAGATCCGCAGGCAGAGCCACTGAGTTACGAATTTGAGAAAGAGGCGCAGAGGTTATGGCTGGTCGAGCAGGCGTCTGATTCTATTACTACCTTGGCCGGCGCCATTCTTTTATCCATGTCTTTGGGGGGCCACGGGCAGAGCGAGGATAGACAAGCTGTCGTCGACGCTGCTTACGATATGGCGAAGCGCATGGAGCTGTTTGGGGTTCCACATGCGCTTAGAGACTTGCCTCTGCTCCCGGAAGAGACTCAGAGAGCAACCGCTCACACCGCGTGGGGCGCATTCAACAGCATCATGTAGGTTGTGACACGGCGATACGGGGGACCACGAGCGAAGTAGTGCTGACATGCACGAGGCTGCAGGCGCTCTTCTACATTACGCAACCAACTCCATACACACCGGCATTGCCGGTTCCGGAAGGTCCTCCAGCATGCGATGAGCACGCTGACGACACCAACGACCACTCTTCTTGCGCTCTAGGCATTCATCGGACTTTTGTCGCGTTTTGTGGGCTCTCCCACATCCTTTCCGAGATTTTGTGCACGTATCGGTGTAACCAGCCTCCACGCCCAGCTTTGGCATTCGCTCTGTCGAGGTTCCAGAAGCTGTTGGCACTAGCTGACAAACTGCCCAAGTTCGCGCTGCGGAGTGGCACCCCTGCAGATCACGCCCTTGTATTCCAGTAAGTCGCCTCTGTTGAGAAACTGACGTCTGAGGGCTTCACGTCAGTATCGCGTTGAAGCCGTTCAGTGAGCAGGGCACCCTCCTCTCGAGCTCCCGCCTTATACCATGCCCGATTGGGTACCATCTACCGACATTATGATGGGTATGGAAGACTGTCTTCCGTGAATAGAGTAAAGCTTTCATCGGCCGGCCAACGTATCTCACCGGCCTTTTCTTTTCGCCTCGCGCATTTGCGCATGGTGCCCAAGCCCAGATATGAAGGCGACGCTATGAGCGGAGATCACTTGAGGGTCATCTACCTCCTGGCTCGGGCAGCAACCGCACAGAAACCGATCGTTAACATTATGTCTAGAGCAACGCTGACGTCTTCAAGCATATTCTATCACATAGCGGTGTTAGACACAGTCCGCCCATTTATCCCTCCCCCGAAGCAACACGGCTTCACATCATACTTGGCGCATGTCTCGTCACCAGACGCCATATTCGCCGCTTCTCTTAAGCAGCTTAAAAGTTAGGGCTTGCCCCTCCTACCGCTTGCTCTGCCAAGGCTAAAAGATCGGATATAGGTCTCATCTTCCAGTACACAAGCCAGTACCATACAGCGACTTGTTCGCTACTCTGGACCTGTGGCCTCATCCCGCTTGCCAACGCCGTGCTCAAGGACCGCGTAGACTTGAATCGACGCTCTGATTTCCTCTACATCATTCGTATTCTCCAGAGTCTGCGCCCGGCGTACGCATTGGTCGATGTTGCCATGCGGGGCCAGCTGGCGCTTGCGCTCGATGACAATGCTATCACTAAAGAAGAGGCTCGCGTTCTAATGGACGGATTGGATAAGCATGCCCACGCGAGCATAGACAAGCCCATTACCGGAGGTTTTGCGGTGGATTTGGATCTTGCGGCTACGGATCCGGTGAATGCGCAGGTTGACGTGCTGGCAGAGCGGTTTGAGGAGATTACGGTGTTTGATGAGTTCACGGAGGGTATTCTCTAACAGATGGAGTCGAGGGCGCATAGGAAGAGGATTGCGTGGTATGCGAACCCTTTGAGTCTGAGTAGGATTCAGGGCAAGATGAACGGAGTCCGGATAGACACTAATCGCGTCCTTTTTCGCTGGCAAAGCGGTCGGTACGACCATCGTACGCTCACCGGTGGGGGTGAATACCTTTCGGTGAGGTTGGCGTTAGTCGGAGAGCTTTTGTTTTAGCACCTAATACACTTCAGGCTAGAGTCCGGCGGCTCACCACATATCACGTGATGTTCTGAGCTTCCTGGGTATAAATCCTCCGCTTCAACCGCCATCGCTTCCCATTCTCCACAAGTACGGTTGTCCGGCACAATACTCGTACTATAAGGCTTAGATACATGGTGCCATGTGTCTCCTCCCCGGGCTTTAAAATCTTTCAGCACACCACATAATGTCCCCGGAGCCAAACCGGTCAGGAATCAGCTTTCACGGAGATCAGAGAAGCACCATGCCGCGTATCAGCCATTCCCCAAAGCCGTACGCAATGGGGTCATGGAGTCCAGTCTGGAAGCCATCGCGAAGTCATCACATACAGGAGGATTCTCACGCATCGCTGCGCGACAAAGATGGATGCGCGACCCTCCCATGCGTCTTCTGGAAAATCGCTCCGATCTTCGCCATCGACTCCGGCCCCGTCTTCGTGTTCTCGTTAGCTTCAGCTATTCGCCAGTTCTGAAGCCCTGACGCCCGCTCTGGGTGTTCCTTTCCACCCCACACACAGTTTACGAAGGCGCGTAGTAAAGTCGACATACAAGCTCACGATATCTCTAAAAGAGCCCTGCGCTCTCCAAAACGTCCAGGCTATATTTCAACGTCCGAAAGGACTAAAAACGCCAGCACAGCTTTGTCATGGGAGACTGGAAGCTGTCAGTCTTCAAACGCGTCTCTCTCTGAAAGTGTAAGAGGAGGTATCTATTGCTGCTGTGGGGTTCAAAAGTGGGATAAAACTTCCATATGGAGCTTTCTGCTTCTCCTGGAACCGCTTGGGCTGCCGCCGCCTCATACTCGGACACTTTGAGAGATTGATGCGGCATCTGCGTCTGTTTGAAGGACTGTTTACACGACTATATGTCACTGCAAGCGTCCTTTCCCTGCACTACAAACGTACACGCTCAAAGGTGACAACTTGTCTGGCGCACTAAAAGGCGTCAACTCTCGTCCTTGGAGTCCTCGCCACACAATGGAGGTTTAGAGATGCACTGCGCAGTCTGCATGTCCGCGAGCGGGAAGACCTCGTCGGACTTTCCGCGGACGTGGTGTGGCTTGCTTCAGTACTCTTTGTCCACTTTTTATCCCACCTCGATTGAATTGTGACTTGAGGCATGGCAGTGTGCTGGCCTTCCTCGGATCTACATACCAGAATGATAACAAGAATTGGCTTATAGGGATTTCTCTGCTTGGATACAAAGCTCTGGGCATATGGATAATGTGCTCCTGGGGGCGAGAGCTGTAAAAGTAGGTGAGGGAAGACGTGATGAGAGTCCCAGTTTTTCGGCGCTGCGCTGTGCAATCTGGACTCAAGGCCAAGGCCTGGGAGTCGCGTTGCGACTAGAGTGCACTACGACAGCTCGTGTGGGGGAGTTCTCCTTCGTTCCCCCTCCCCCGTTGGCTGTGGCTGGGCGCGCAGGAGGCTCCGAGGAGGTCGCAAGAAACTCCTGAGTGATTGATTGATTGATTTCTCTCGTTTTAAGTCACCAACCTATAGAGGTTATGCTGACTACGCCTACGCACAAAAGGACTCAAAAGACGCCAAAATTAAGAGAAGGGAACAGGGTATCACAGAACCACGGGCAGGTGGCATAAGTCGACAGAAAAGAACGGTTCGGGCGCGGATGAGGGCGTAGCCCACCGCGAACCATGGCACGAAGCTGCCAACAAAAAAGGAGCCCCAGAAAGTTCCTTAACAATGACGATGGTCATCGAAAAGGGCGCAAACAACACCAGCAAAAGGGCAGTGAGGGCGGACAGCCATGAACGCTGCGCGCGAGGCCCACAGGTATAAAACGGAGTCTCTTTCCGCTCCCAGTCCACCACATCTTGCACAATATTCGATCGAGCAGCTCACACTACACACGAACGATGGCACCTCCGATTCTCCTCTCCGTCGAAGGACCGCCGAACAACTCCTGAGTGGATATGTGGATCTCTGTCTGGAGCTGAAAGGCTTATTGCAAGTTCGCATGCTCTGGATTGTCGAAAGCATCATTGCGGAAGGCGATGTGAGGCACGGGACGCGTTTCTCTTTCGACAGAGCTAAAAACAGTTATCACACGTATGTATGCTGCCGAAAACGGTCATGTCAAGCCTTGGATGTGGGAGTTGGAGACCCAGCGGAGGGCGAGGGGAGAGGTATTGCGAGATATCCGAAACTCCATTCCTCCTCATTATGTTCCGGACTGGCGGCAGGCAGTACGATAGACCGATTATGGTTCCGGTTGGATATCTCACTCGGGACACTCAGGCCGGCCTTCGCTCCACCCCCCAGTTCAAATCTCAACGAAAGCTCAAGATGTTGAAGCAAACTCATGGAAGACAATGCAGTAGGTGTCTTGTTCCAAAAGTCCAAGAATCGAAGCAAGCCGTCCAAATCTCCCGGAACCCGTCGAAGCGCAATGGCCGAGTGAACGCAGACTGAAAAGTTACCGCTGCCTGCGTACGAAACCAGAAGACTTCACGTGTGGCGAGTATGCTGACGGTTCGAGAGGTGCCGCCAATCGCGACGTATGGAGGAGACCGGGTATTAGAAGAAGATTCAGGCCTTCAAACTTTCGCAGATTGAGCCGGAATACTGCTGGAAGGATCTCGCCGTGCGTGAAGCGATGAAAACCAGCCAACTGGCCCACGATGCTTGGAAGGGGACCGAAAAGCGGATTGCCATGTCGTCCATGTGGCATGCTGGCTGCTGTCGCATGTTCGGACCGCGAAATTCATGAGCATTGCGTTTGATGCGAGACGCACTGCTCCGGCCTTTATCGCATTGAGCCGTATTACGTAGCCGCGCAATGATCTAGAAGTTTCGAGCAGAACTATTGACGTCGGGATGAAAGACGACTGGCTCTGGAGCAAGGAATAGCCACTAAAATCAAAAATTGATCTCGGTATGCTGCTGTGAAGGTAGAGCGAGCGAAAAGGAGCCTTGTGCCATTTTCATCCGGGAAGAGCCATGGCACCAGGTTTCGCGTTCCTTTCATAAAGCCTGAAAGTGTAGTATGACGCCCTTTATATCGGAGGGAGAACTAGGGAAGCCACAAGACGACAAAGTATCGAAACATGGGTCTCTTTGAGCCCAGCCATCGAAGTTCAAAAGATTGGCGCTTGCTTCGTTCGTGTGCTGTTGTGTCCAAATTCATTGTCCAAATTCACTGGACAACATAGCCGGGATGGAGAACCTCGGCTTCGAAAGATAAAGTACGAGATCCCCGATGCCTACGGGGCAATCATTCGAGAAATATAAGTCGAGTGCGCGGAGAGCTTCAAAGATACCGACACTTACATCTGTCTATGTGGAGCGTAGAGAGTGGAAGACGATGGATGAGCGAGCGCACTAGAAAAGCCGCTGCGAGCGTCAAATGTCTCGGATGTGAAAATAATGGCAACGACAGATTGATAGAGGGCGAGGGGTGGAGAAAAAATCGGGTCTGTAAGTCGTTCAAGTGCAGTGATGCTCTGCATCATCCATCATACCTGCATGCGACAGCTCATCTTGCTAGACTACCCTCGCTTCGATTCTCCGGTATCGCTTGATATTCCCATAAGGCTTGAAGCACCTCAGCCTTCCATATCCACACTTCGCCTGAGCTAACTAGATCTAGCGGCGCGACCGCTAGCATGTGCAAGCATACTAGCAAGTTTTAGTTCAGCCCCAGGCCAGAGAACATTTTCAGCTTTGCGTGTGTCTTTTAGGGTAGAAATAACTCCCAGGGAGGCGAGTGTGTGTAGTAGAAGCTAACTTTGACGCGAAGAGGAAAGACTTTATACTTGATCCCGGGCGCAATACTGGGCATTAGATGAAGACGCACTAATAGCCAGCTATGCGTCATCTCGCGTGGAGAGACGGAAGTAAGAGCAGAGCTTCGTGCCAGTATCATCGGGACGTGCGATGACACTCACCATCTTCGCATTTTCCCATGCTGCTGCATCTCAAGACTTATTCAAAAGTCTCATGAACAACAACGCCGTGGTCCTACCGGAGCACACAGAAGAGCCATGAGTTCCTTCGCCAGGTGGTTTTCAATTCCTAGGAAAACAAGTGATCCCGGAGGGAAAACAGAAGGTACTGCACATGCCAGACGGGGGAATATGCTTTTAGTCCAGCGGCTACAGGGGCACAATATAGGTTTGCTGAATCAGGATTTTAGTCCCGCGATTGCGGCTTAGTGCTTCGGAGTGAGGGAAGCAGCGTTACTAAAAAACTGAAGTAGCTTATATACCCACAATCAGGGGGTAAAGAACTGCAGGATACTTACTTCTTGCGAAGACGAACTGTCAGCGGACATGGAGTCATTCCCTCCTCGCGAAGACTGGACTCATTTCCTTTTATTCTGCCACCTCCGGCAAGCAGCCGCGGAGTTCTATCAGCACGCTGTGATGCTCACCTCCATCCCCTCTTCCGCCGTACTTCAAGCCAACAAACGTCCAGCCCATGCAGCGCTCTCTTGCAATCCCCTCACCGTGATCTCAGACCCACCATACGCTTGACTAGGGACGCCTTTCAGTCCTGCGAAACGCGTGCTGCCACAGTATAGGACGCTGGCAAGTGCGACGAGGGGCCTTCCTATGACAGTGTTTTCCAAACGTTTTTAGTTCAGCTACGTAGAGATACACACCTCTACTCTCTGAGTCCGGCTTAGTTACCTAGCGCCTCGTGGATGAAGTGTGGGAAGAAGTGAAGGAAAAGAATGGCGTCTTTTATATACCCATGGTTAGCGTGCGAACGAAGTCGAGCCGAGCCAACGGGGTCCCACCACTTTACTTTTGTAGAGAAGGAGGACACATGGATCATTTCAGGAGCAAAAGGATCGCCAATCCTTCTGCTCTTTCAGTTATGACGCCTTATATATCCGCCAACAGATCGGGATCCTAACGCGGTGGTACTCACTGCCGTAGTGGTGGTCCCTGGGGAAGAGCAAGGCGTAGGTGCCTTTCCACGATAAGACCTCCAGGCAGACGGATCCACATGGCAACCGTGTCTCTGAATTTATTTCTTTTAGCTCGGGTCCGCTACCACGCGCATAGCTCGCTGGAGTGGGTACTTTAGCACAGGCGCCATCTGGCATGTATCAATGGAAGCAGCTCGCCGGTCCCTGAGGTTAGTAAATCTGATATTTATACCAGCCCCTCATCTCAATTGCTCGCATGGTCTTAAGCAAGGAGGGAAAATTTCCACATGTCGTCGTCTCCATTGCCCTTTTAGTTTCCACTCGCAGCGAGGGCATACGAACGGATGCTCAGGGTTTTAGTCAACCGCTCCCTCAGCTATCAAGAGTGCAGAGGGGGCTGAACTGCTCAAGAGACTGACAGCAGCTGCACAAGCGCCATCCATACTGCGCTACCAGGTTCGATTCTAGTCCGATTCGATTCGCTCGTTCTGACCGACTGAGTGCAGACAAGCGCGGTTTTTCATTCATCCCCAACCTCTTTTACGCAGGAGTTCAACCCCGTCCGTCGTTCCTGGGAGTGGTAGTGCAAGAAACCTCGCGCGCGCGTAGAAGCGAAGCACAGACGATCTTGGGGATTTTTGCATCTGTCTCCACGATAGAAAGAAACGCCACGGCCACAACCGCAACCGCAGCAAGACTCCCACAGGCACTCCAGAGGAGATCCCGCAATCAGCTCAGCCGCCCTACCGCCCGACCGAGAAAGAGAAGCCGTCAGCTATCGACACCTCCTCCATGAGTAGGTGTCTTCCCATCCCTCCAGCCGCTATGCTATGAGCGAAAACCAAGCACATAAGAGCCCCCGCAGCACCGCCAGCCATACTGATGAAGGAGGGGACATCTATCTATCCGCTTCTCCACCACAGTAACGAAATGGAGGCGGAGCTGGGACGAACGATGACGACCAAGCGAGCGAGTGCTATTGGGGGGACGCCCATCCGCATCGACGCGCCGAAGGGCACGTTTTGGTCGCGCGCGCTCGCTGCAAGGGAGGAGTGGAATATGGCACTGGCGAACCGAAGGTTTTGGTGCCTTGCTTGCTTCGTGTGGGTTGTATAGATACCTACGTAAGCGTCGGCATGAGTGCTTTGGGATGGCATGGGGTGGGATTAGCTCACTTCGGTTCATCAGCCATCTCACTATGTGGACCACACGCTCCAGCTCTATGAATCAAGGACCCCACAGTTGACACGCTTAGTAGTATATACTTCATCATGATCATTTTCCACAGCCTCTCCCCCAGCCGCCACCTCAGCGCTATATACATACTCTGCCAAGTCAAATAGGTGATCCCTAGCTTATCGTATGCAGCACATCCCAGTCAGACCCAAAATGCCAACCATACCCAATGCAGCACCTTTACTCCGTATCCAGCCCAATGAACGCCGCCGAATGCAGCCCAAGTGCGCAAAGATCGAAGATTCAAAACCACAATGAAATGCTCTACGCGGGATCAGAACCCGTTGAACCCTAGCAGAATCCCCGCGCCCGCTGCCGCCGCGCCGGCCGCGTGCCACGGATTCGCCGTAGCCGCCGGCATTCCCGCACCACGGGATCCTGTCGCACCCACAACACCGCTAGGATTGATGCTCGGGCCGTTTATCCTGCCGCCACCGGAGCCGACGGCGAGCGAAGAAACGGCGTTGGCGACTTCTGAGGCGTTCGGTACGCCGTCCTCTCCGGACTGAATCTCCTGGATATTGGAGCTGGTAGCGTTGAAGTTCGTCTGCGCGAGGGCAATCTCGTTGTTCTCGAGGTCGTACACGACGTACGCAGAGCGCAGGAAGGTGTCGCCGAGGACAGAGATAGAGTCGCCGGCAGGGCCGACACCGAGGATGCAGACGGGTTCGCCGCCCTGGTAGCCGGCGACGATGACGAGCTCGTTGAGCGGGACGGAGATGGTGGGCTCGGAAAAGGTGAATTCGAGCGAGCCGTCCTGGTTAGCGAGGTCGCAGTCGACGAAGGCAGCGCCTTGCGAGGAGTCGTACTGCGCATTGTACGTCTGGTACAGGGCGCGTACGACGTTGTCGGGGAGGTACATGAGCGAGGATCCGGAGTCGAGGAGCACGGCGATGGTTTCGTTATCGAAAAGGGAGCCAGCGTTGCCGTTCATGCCCATGCCCGTCAGCGCGATGATAAACTCGGCGTAGATGCCCTGCTCGGGGACGATGGGGAGTTTGCTCAGTGTGCCCTCGTACTTGTCCGTGTCGACGCCGCCAAACAGGATGCTTCCCGTCGACGCATCCAAGTCGTTCAACCAGAGCGAGTAGGCGTTGGTGGTGATGTCGCCGTCGTCGACGAGCTTCTGCGGCAAGTTTGGGTATGCCTTCAGGCCAGCGCGGTTGACCTGGACCTCATTGATGGTATATCCAATGCCGAGAATACCTTCGGGCGAAGTCGATTCGTATCCAATGCCGAACTGCAGGTCGTCGATGGTCTTGCCGCCGAATGTAAAAGTGTCCGTCGCATAGTCTCCCGACGCGCCCGAGCCGTCTACGTATGAGATGTTGAAGACGCTGTTGACGTACGTGTACGTTGACGAGGAGTTCGCATCATACGTCCCCGACTCGGAGCACTCGTTGCCGCCTGATGAGCAGAGCGACGAATCCGCAGCATTGGCCCACAGATCGCTACTGCCGGTGTCGATGTGTAACCGTAGACTCTGCTCGGGCGTGCCTAAGCTTGCGTTCGCGAAGTAGAGCGTCTCGAGGTTGTCAAGCGTCTGCTGGACCGTTTTCTGCCGCCGTCGTAACCGGTCGTGTGCAATGGGGTTGACAACGTGTCGTCGTTGGATATCGAGCGCTACTACCCTCGGATTCTACCCAAGTCAGCTCGTTTCTACTCAGAAACGTCGGCGTGCAGGCTCTCGCAATCTCGGATAGATGCCGATGCCCAGCCGGGAGGATTGCTGTCGGATACGAGATCGTGGGGAAGCCAAGAGAGCGCTTACCTCTCGCGGAACCAGCTTGAACGCGGTTGTCGACGTCACCAACTGCGCGGCCAGCGCCAGCGTCAAATACTTCATTATGGGTGGGAGGCGGGTGGGAATGACGATTATATTCGGGCGGCCCTATGGTATATACAGCGAGCCCAGGCGGTGGGTCGGGCAGAAGGTAACCTGACGCTCAGCGAGTTAGAGTCGAGTCTGGCGCCAATAATAGGCACAGGTGGAGCGTACCTCTTCAGCAGCCTATACTCTGCGCGGAAAAAGACCCTGGGTGAGCACAAGGCCAAGAGGACGGTAACGCAGCAAAGGCGGAGTAGGAAACGGCCAAGAGGAATAGGAAACGTAGGTGAGTGCAGGCCAGAGGTGACGGCTCTATGTCGAGGTCTTATGCGCAGGGAGGCGAACGACGGTGATGACGCGTATGGAGTCAGGCCTGGAAAGTGTTTCAACGCCGAGGGACGGATCTAGCGGCTCGAGCTGCGCAAGCAGTCGGCGGACCGTCCTTGTTAAGATAGACGCCGGGCTTCAGGCTTGGTGCTCGACAGCTAACAGGATTTTTCTTTTGTTCGACGGCTTGCGTGGATTTGTGGCGGTGCTACTCACGCTCGACGCTCTAATGCAGGCGGCTTACCGGCGAGCTAAGTGCTGGGCCTCGATCTTCTTAAAGCCGGCGATGGCACTACTAGAGGTTGTCTTTGAGCCTGACGCGTCCCATTGCCGCCGACAAACGCCGCGAGAACGCTGAAGCTGCGCTCTCTTGGCCGACGACAAAGCGTCGGCCAAGGGCGATTGTGCGCCCGCTCAGTAGTCACCCGACGCCCTGAATAGCGGCGGAGCGCCTCATACGTAAGAATCCGCAAGGCACAAGATCGCCATTGTCGACCCCCGCCAGCAGTCCGACGACTCCGAGAAGCTGCTTAGAGAAGATGAGCACACTCGACGACGATGAACAAGCGCGCGGTCGTCCCGGCGAAGCGCTGAGCCTCGGAAGGGCCTCGACTGCTATCTTAAGACTCGAGATCGCTTGAGATCTGAGGTGCGCAGGTTATGCAGGTGAAACGGGTGCGAGACAGATATTTTTGGCGTTCAGGTGTCAGGAACAGGCAATGAGGGTCAGGCCCTGCGGCTCCCCAGCGTAAGATGGAGCGCCGCATGTCTGGGGATGCTCTTTGTTGGAAAAGGGAGGCTGAAGGCCTGCAGAGCACGATACGCAGCCGATGCGAAAGCAAGTTATAATGGAGTGAAGTGAATCCGCAGGAACGCAGATGCTCGTTCCTGAATCCAAGACCTGGGCGCTGGGTCGGAATGAAAGCCGCACGTGTTCGCTTAATGACCCGTGTTGGGTCTAGCTTGGATCTGAACGTTGAATACCGGATGAGGTATCGCTCCGCGTGAAGCCCTTCAGTGGGATAAACAGAGGCGAATCCCTAATTTTACATCACTCACCCGGAAGGCCTTCGCACTTTAACACAGAGTTCAATCAATCGAATTAGCCCACGCCAGAAACTGCTATCCACCAAAACTGTATACAAGAAGCAAAGTGCTCATCATACCATCGTGAACGCATAACCCATGCTGGAGGCCATCAAGACCTCATGCAAAAAGTAAGTAAAACAGAACCAAGCAAGACAAAAAGCCAAACAACGCAAACTCATCCTAAAGGCCTTCAAAGACCAATGGCAAACGCAAACTCGCACCCGCTATGCCGCGAAAACGCATCCCGTCGCCCTCCAACGCCTAATACCCGCCAATGCCGAAGAAACGCTTGAACCGCTTGATCTGAAGAAGAAAACACACACATTAACATCAAAAGATCTCATGCCCCAACCCGCCATACCCATCATCCTTTCTACTCACCGCAGCCCGCTTCCCATCAACACCCTTCGGAATCGAAGGAATTGGCGGCACGCTAACGCCATCCGGCACCACAATCACAACCTCCTCCTTCGTCGTGACTGTCGACTTTTTCTTCGTCAGCCGCGACGAACTCTTCTTCCGCACCACGTTCTTCTTGCTCCTCTTGCTCTCGCGCTCGGAATCGAGCGACTTTTCGCTATCCGTTGGGATGGGCTTGTATTCGTCGTCGTTATCTGCTCCACTGGCTTTGCGCTTCTTGGTGATTTTGCCGGCGGGCTTGGACGCGGAAGCGGAAGCGGACTCGGCGTGATTGTGGGGGGAGAGCTCGTTCTCGCTCCAGAAGTGGTTCGTGGAGCTATTCGGGGTTGGAGGTAGGGTGGACGGGAGCGGCGGCACGGGGGGCACGCTGGGGCTTCCCAGGGCGAGGGTAAGCTCCTTCCTGGCTTCGGCGAGCTTGTGCTCGAGGTCGGAGACGCGTTTGGAGAGCTTCTTCTGCTTGTGGAGGTCTTTCTTCGAGGGGGACTTGTGGAGCGTGGGGGTCTGCGGCGGGGCGAGGGCGCTCGGAGTAGGCGTCGGTGTGTCTGGGAGGAGGTTGGATGCTGCATCGTCATCACTAGTTAGCCTGAATGCCTTCAATCCGTCTACGCTGGTCAGAACGGGGACAGACATACGCATACTAGCTTTGCGAGCCCGCGACACAGGGCGCACGAACACCTTGGGTGTCGGCAGCAAGCCCAGCTCCTTGGCTTCCTTGTACGCTGCCTCAGCTCTCTTCTTCCTATCATCATCGCCTCCGGCTTGGCCAGGTGCATGGCTATCTCTATCCTTGAGGCCCTTCTCTGCATGCTCATTGCCCGCCTTCCGCTTCCCGAGCGCCGAGAACGTGGCTCCATTGAAGAAGCTCGCGACGGCACGAGAAAACCGGCCGAGCGGTCCTTCAGCGGCAGGCGCAACCGAGGATACGGGTGCGGGCGTCATCACCGCGGAGCTCTCGCCCACAGCAACTCGCTCGAGTCTTTTACGGACAACAGCAGCAGCAGTAGCAGCAGCAGCAGGGGCATTAGCCTCCTGGTTGTATTTCTCAATCAGGCCCTCGATGCCCAGATCGTCCCACAGCATATCGGGCGGAGCATGGATGGAGCTCGTGCTGTTCATCGTGGCCTCTCTGAACTTGGACGCACGCACAGGCGCGGGGGTCTCGTTCTCCTTGTTCGACGCCATGGCGAGAGAGGCAGGTGCGATTCCGAGGGCGGGGGATCGCTGGAGGAAGGGGCAATCGATCGCACGTGGGGGGCGGGGACGTGGGAAGCCGCAATCGCTGCAAGGGCGGGCGGTGGAATGTGTTGTTTGTGGCATCTGCGAAGCTGCGAGGGACCGCGACTTTTGGGCGCGAGGCGCGGTGTCCCGTGCGCTGGGTTACATCATCCCTTGGCGTGCAATTCACAGCAAACTACTCAATTACTTCTACCTGCCCTCAGCTTCCAACCATATCGCACTTCTCGGCGATCCCATCTCGCCAATTCCCACCGTACTGCTCTTCACATCCGGTACCACCATGACACACTCGCTGTAGCTCAAGTAATCTGTCTCGCAGTTCAACTCCTCTTCACCTGCACCCGGCCCTATATGCCCAGCAACGCTCTGTCTTCTTTGCTCGTCCTTCGGCTTTATCCTCGCTCGGATCTCCACATTCGGGAGCAATGCACTCCCAGCCTTCAGCGGTATCAACATAATCGGAAACCTGTGTTCTTCGTCCTCCGTTGCGGTAAAGTGCGCGCGGCGTTGGCCTGCAACGAGCCAGGTCTCGGGGTTTGCTTCGAGCGTGTAGACAAACTCGATGGGATCATTGGGTGAGCTAAGGTTGGCTACAGATCTGAGACTCGCTGGTGAGCACCACATGCGTGTATGCTTGATGCGCAGTTCGGCCATGAGCGGCTGCCCTGCGACTGCGACTGTCATGCCGTGGGATGAGGACGGTTCCGGCGAGGTGAGCGATAGCGATGCGGTATGGAGAATGTGTGTCTGCGGTATGGAGACTGTTATGATCATACGACGGGGAGGGTGGGGGGACGGCGGCGCAATGCCTGTGGAGGGCAATTTGGGATCTGGTTTCTGCGAGAGGAGGATGGACCTGTGGTTCTGAGAAAGAAGTTAGTAACGCCAGCACCACAATCATGTTTACCACCTCACCTCATGCCACTTATGCAGCCATTTCCGAGTGTCGTCGCGAACGATGTGTGGCAGACTCTCGATGCACTCTGTCCAGCCCATTTCCTCAAACGGCCCGAGGTTGACCTTATGTAGGAGCGCAATTTTCTCAAACTGGTGGGGTAGGATCCGATGTTCTAGACGGTCGACGAACGTATCGATGAGCAAACGTGCAAGCCGATGAACAGGGCTATTCTCCACGGCCCTGGCGAATACCTGCCGCAGCCTATCTAGGACGTCTTCGTCCAGGCAACGGTACTCTACGGATAGGGCAAGGCTGCCGTTGTGGGTTGCTTGGCTTCTCCTGCGCGTGCTGACGTCGAGGTCCTTCTTGGTGATCTTGTAAGTGACCGCCAAGGGCCGCTTCAGGAAGACATAGGTAGGGCCTTGAGGTATCTTTGGCGCAAAGACGTCAAAGTCTTCGGAACCCTCAAGCGATACGTCCAAGACTTCCAACGGTACGTGACTGGCGGTCTTTATGTTGAACTTTGAGAAGAGGGCATGGTTCTTGAAGTGGTCGTGCACGTTGACGTCTAGTGGTAGTTCGACGGGAATTGTGAAGGCCGAGTGGTGCTGAAATTGCCCGTTCTCGGTATAGTAGTCGACCTCCACCTTGACTGTTATGTCCGGAAGTATCGTCTCCATCTCGTACGGCACCTTGAACGTTGCAGTAGTATCCGCAGCCATAGAACCAATCGCAATGACACCCGGGCTTGGTTTATCCTCGATTGTCACCTCTCCTGAGGCGATAGTAGCGTTGGCAGTACGCAGCCTGAGGCCAGCCGACGCGGACCTCAGTCGTATCTCCGCGCGTTGTATCTCGTTCCATCCGCTCGAGCACTCAATTTCGATATGCCGTGGCTTGTCAATGTGTATAAAGTGCGACAAGTATACCCTTGCCTGGAAAGCCTCCATACGTGGGAAGCATAGGATTCGGGACTTTTTTGCAGCCTGGAGCGACGTCGCAGAGACGGAGGTGATGATACCGAGAGGAGTTGTCGCCTCCGCTTTCTTGAAGGGCTCATGAACTAGGGCGATACGCTTGGCCTGGAGCACGATCTTGTCGACAATATAGGGGCCAGACGTGTTTACCTAGGGGAGTAAGTATGCAGACACAAATGGAAAGTTTATACGCACATTTGAGTCGAGCCACATTCGACAGACACCTTGCTTGACCCATGTAGGCTCCGAGCTCTCCAGCCAGATCTCTTTGCCTTGCGCTGAGGTAGCACTGATGATTCGCAGCTTTGCTTGTTCGAACTCAATGTCGTCCTCCAGAACATGCCTGAACTGAAGCCGTAGCTGAAAGCCGTCCCTGTCGTCGAAATGGCGCACGTAGGGCTCGACAACGATATCATTGAAGTACTTGGCCAGCGGGACGTTCACATCGTACGGTAGCTGATGAGAGAAGTCTACTAGCTCCGCAAATACTCCCGCAGTATCGACCTTGTCGTCGTCTAACCAGTCCTTTGGCATCCGGGGCACACCTGAGGAGCTCGTTCGCTTGAAGGATGTTCGTATCGACTTTCTGCTAGCGGTAGACTTTGCGAGCAAATCGAGGAGAGATCGAACGTATTCGTCTTTTCGGTTAAGTTTCTTGAGGCATTGCGCATACATCTTCAGCATCGTAGTTTCAACAGTGTTCCACCTAGTCTCCGCGAAGAGCGAAGCCATGCGTCCAAAGTACATGGCGGCAGCAGCATAATCGCCGAGCTCGCTAGGCGTCATCAGCATGTTATCGTAAGGGTTAAGAGAATTGTGACATACAATCGAAGCGCGGCCAGGTCCCCCAGGATACTCTCGCTGGACTTGGTTTGTCCCGCCGCCATGTAGTGCTTGACGATAAGATCGCTCAACATCTAGTGATATCAGCGAGACGCAAGTAGGCTAGAGGGCGGAGATACTGACCTCGTAGTACTGCCGGAATTGATCGATAGAGGAGACCGCGTTGACTACTGGGGCGGCCGAAAGTCCAACGGTAGGGGTGGTGAGCGCCGCTTCTTTCTCAGGTTCTTTCTCGAGCTCGGCGCTTTCTTCGTCAGAGCTGCCCTTGCCATCCAAATCGACGTCGCTCAGCTCTTCTTTCGGATTGAGAATAGATAGTACAGCCGCCCAGCCGATACTCCAGCCCAACGATTTGCCCACTTGCTCAAGGATGCGTCTCTGCACACCTAGTAAATGAGCCCGACTTCCAGCTAGCTCTTGAAGTCCTGTTTTGGCCTGCGGTAGCGTGCTTTCCTGATTCGGGGCCGGGCGATCGTGGTACTGCCCGTTCTCAAAGACCACCTGCCCACTTGCCGTAGGCTGCGCGTATGGTGGGTCTGCAGAGTTAGAGCGACCGTAGTTCAGGGATGAAGATCGTGTCGGATGTATCATCGATTTTGGCTCTGCTACGCTGATCTTTTGCTCTTTAGCGTGTTTGCCAAAAGGCAGAATTTTGCTTGAGGAGCGTGTGCCGGGATCGCTAAGATACTTCGTGAAAGGCAGTGAAGTTGTTGTCGTCTCTCTCAGGATTTGCTCGAGAGCAGCAAATGTCCATGAACGTACGATATTATCGACGAGCCGATCGGGGAATCGCGTTTCATGAGCCTTGGCCCTTTTATACTGTTAGCAATTTCGTGAATCTGCATTTTCAGATAGTTCGTACCCGTTGATCAAGTCTTCTCGTAGAAGTCGTCCAGCGAAAGTGATGAAATTTAGCGCTCGCGAACAAAGCTCGGCCAAGGACAGAAGGTCCTCGGAGTCACTTGAAGAGATCTCAGACTTGGTCCCGACGCTGCTGTCGTCTACGGAGCGCTGAAGCACAGCCGCATTAGGTCTTGGCTGCAGTTTTGCTGCTAGGTCAGATCTCGCAGATTGAGAATTGCCGAGACGCAAGAGTAGCGACATCTGACGAGCGAATATGTACGATCGGAAGTCGAATATTGAGATGTTGTTTGAAAGGATTAGACCCCGATAATCCTTCTTCCGCGCATTTATCGGCTTGTCATGGTGGAGCTGCGGTTGAGGCTCCTTGCGCCCTCCGTCATCCTTCTGGGATCGCTTGAGAATTTCAGAGGCCTGTTGATATAGGTCCTCCGAGTAATTAAGTAGAACGCCGCCTTGGCCCTCGGTGCCTTCGTTCGCCTGGTCGCGAATGATGGAATCCAGACCAATAGAAAGCTCATCATATCCAAGAAGAGCGTCCTCAACCAGACCAACACTTTCGAATCCTCTAGCGAGACCCTCTTTCAGGATGAAGAACGTGCAGAAATTCCACCCTGGAAGTGCGCGCTGTGAATCCTTCTCTCGAATATCTTCCTCATACTGGCTCACGCGCAAGTCAAAGGAGAGCAGTATCAGAGTTTTGAATTTGGCTATGACGTCGTTCCATACTCTTTCCTGCTCTTGGGGGCTCTCCGTGATGGGCGGACTCGTGACCGGTGCCGGAGCAGGTAGCATATGAGGTGGCACAGCATCCTTCTGGAGGCGGACCTGCGCAACTCGATCTGGAGCCGATTTTGACGCGCTATTGAAGTCGGCCCGTATCTTCTCAAGGATGGTCGTGGTTCCGCGCGTCCAGCGGGATGTAGAACTGGTCTTTTCTTTCTCCCCGGTGGCCGTATTCGCGGATCCGCGTGGTTGACTTGCAGCCGGGGTATCCGGTATCACGACGTGAAGGATCATCCACTCGAAGGCATCGTGATTCTCTTGAGTATTTGCAGAAGAGCTGCTCTGGGAGGGTGGCGTGTGTGCCTTGACCCATTCTCTTAGCTGCTTCCGTACGGTAGACTTATACGTGTCAGAGTCATCGCATCTGAGTAAATAGACCTTCAGGTACGGTGTTTGGCGGAGGCCCGGGATTTGATGTCTTCTTTCTTTCGCAGGACCCCGGATATGCTCCGAATTCGTCGGCGTTGCAGTCCTCGGGGTGAGCTCTGGCGGCGCTAGACCCGGAGAGGTGACGCCGGATATATGTACAGTGTCTTCGCTCGGCACCAGATCCACGTGAAGGGAGTCGATAGATCTCAGTGGCCGGGTTGGCGCCTTCCAGTGCAGATTCCTGAGTGGAAGTCGAGAGGTGAGTTGATCTTGAATGAGAGGATATAGGCCCGATGGGTCGTGATATTCGACTTCACATCTATTAGCAATCTATTAAAAGACTCAGCGTTCGTTGGAGCTGTCAATACCCGTGACTTTGGAGCTCGAAAGCCCATCCATCATCGCGGGCTCAGATTGCTTTTGCCTGGAAGCAATTTCTGCGGCCCCCAGAGCTGGCGCACCATCTCCAGCACTGCTCATGAAACACCCGCACCACGATTATCAGGGAAGCTTTCGTGAAATGGGTGCAAGGCGACGTTTCTTCGTCCTCTTGTGGATTGCTTAGGAGTCTGCGTCCAAGGGTCGCGTTTGAGGCTTGTGCGCTAATGCCACACTGATTTAACTTTAGGCTTAGCGTCAGTCTTGGTCAGCACCGCATCACGCGACCTACATGTCGCCCAAAAGAAGTCCATATGTTCTTAATATCGGCCACTTTCTGGCTCTCCTGGAGTTACCCGATGCTCGCTCGAAACCATTAAGATCTACACCACCCGTGGACAATGCTAAGCCCATCACGTGCAGAACCCCCTAACAAGACACGCTATGACCACATAGCTTGCGCCCATCCTACCACATTCCGGTGAACGTTCCCCAAGGCGGTTTCGTGTCCCCAGAGCCTTTATCGCTCAAAAGCCTCACGTCACAGCGTCCTCCGATTTACATTTTCTTTGACGGCGTATTCGCTTTCCCTGCCAATTAAAAAAAGACGCAGCATCCTAGCGAGACGCCGTTCAAGCGCCACGAAGGCACTGCGCAAGGCTGAATTCCGATACCCGAGATGGCTCGCCTCGCATTCTTCGTATCGGCGGTTCTATGGCAGGGGAATAACTTTGTGATGGACCCTTTTCCACAACGCATGCCCGCAAAATAAGGCACAGCCCCAATCTGGCTCTGCAACTCGCAGCAGCATTCTCGCGCTGAGCGACTTGTTGTTTGGCTCAGCGACGGCAGGAAGCCTTACGTCGTGTTCATTCGATACTTAGAGGACCTTCTTTGCCTGAGATCAGCACTCAAAGCTTCGGGCGATTAAGCTTCTTCAGCTTCTGAGTACCCCACACTGTCTCAAGCCTAATCGGACATCAACACCGTCAAGATGGGGATGGGAGATTACTGTATGTCTCTTCTACACACCGGCACTCCATCAACACTCACTAACGTCTCGCAGCACCCGGCAGCATTTGGTACTATGCACCGAACAAAGTCGCCCCGATTATCTTCATCGTCCTATTCTTCATCTCAGGATGTGTCCACGCCTGGCAAACCATGTATGCCGCCCCAGCACATCGCTGAGATCCCTACTAACAGTCCCCAGCAAACACAAATCATGGCGCACCACCATCCTTCTCCCGTGGGCGGCGGCACTCATGATAGCCGGCTTCACCATCCGCGAAGTCGGCGCCTACAATACCTCCAACCTAACCTACCTAATCGCCAGCACCGTTCTCATCATGTCTGGCCCTCCCGTCTACGCTCTCATCAACTACTTCATCCTATCCCGCGTCCTATACTACATCCCCTACCTCGCGCCCATGCACCCCGGCCGTGTAGCAACAACCTTCGTCGGGTTGGACGCCGTCTGCGAGATCCTCATCGGGCAGGGTGCGTGGCGCATGGCGAACTCCGACCTGACCGAAAAGGAGAGGCAAATCGGGGCACATCTAGTCACAGCCTCGCTCTGTCTCCAAGCAGCGCTGTTCGGCTCCTTCGGTCTCCTTGCAGCGCAGTTCCACCGCCGGGCGAACAAAGAGAACCTGCTATCGAAAGACCTGCGCATCGTGCTCTACGTCCTCTACGTCAGCGCCACCATCGTAACCATCCGCTGCATATACCGCCTCGTCGAGTACATCGAAGGCTGGGACAGCACCGTCTACAAGAACGAAGTCTTCTTCTGGATCTTCGAGGCTGTCATCATGTTCCTCAACACCCTGCTGCTGAACTTCTACCACCCCGGCAAACGACTCCCGCGCTCTAACTCCATCTTTCTGGACCGGGATGGCGTGACGGAGAGGAGGGGACCTGGGTGGGCGGACGATAGGCCGTGGATTGTGACGGTCTTCGATCCGTTTGACATTTGGGGTTTGGTGACAGGGCGGGATAAAAAGACGCAGTTCTGGGACATGTCGGACGATGAGCTTGCGCGGCTGAGGGCGGAGGCTAAGGCGAACAAACGGAGCTTCGTTGCCGCTTTTCTGGATCCATTCCATCTTTGGGGAAGAAGGGGGTATATTGGGAAGCACCTCACGAAAAAGCCGCTGAGCGGAAATGAGCGGGCCATTCCATCCGTGGCTGAAGTCAAGACAGAGGAGAACACGAAGAGCGGCCAGGATGTGAAGGACTTGGTGTGAAGGGGACATCGCCGTTTGTCCACCAACGTTGCTTTCTTCGACCTGCTTCTTCGATTCCCGTTTCGCTTTCGGCACTTTGCGTCTCTCCCCGGGCCTCTCTATGGCGCCCCATTCTATTGTATTCGATACCCCTTTCTTGCTCCCTCTCCATCTCGCTTGTTTGTCGCTGGCCTAGCTCCGTTTAATGGAAACTTCGCTTCCTTTCAATCCCCGCGCGCGAATCTTCATGCTCCATTCAGCACGATCACGCGGATTCCACCACGCGTTTGCCTTTCCAAACTTTCCATTCGTCAAACTGTGTAGTAGAACAGCATATAAACGCACCTAATTCTGCCATTCTGTCCACTATCATATCCCAATCTCCAGAAGCATCAACGGAGTGAGACAAGCGCCATGGTCAGCATTGCAGGAGTCTTGGTAGCCGTAGGCTGCGGCGCCATCGTTATCTGGTTCTGTTTCAGTGGCAGTGGCCAGAACACAGCGCAGCGCGATCGGCACCTGCTGCTGCAACAGGTACGTTCTCACCAAGCGCCCGCTCTTCAACCCTCTGTGACTCTAGACTTACACAACGCAGCATCATCACCATCAGCATGCACAATCCGACAACAACAACGCGAACCCCGAAGACGATGAACCAAACGTGGACATCCCGAATGACGACACCAACTCACCTCTCTCCGGGGACGACATCCCAATAGACAGCGCTTCAGATGCCACTGATGCACCCTCTTCTGCGCAGCCTCCGCGTCCGTCATCTCAACGCAGCATATCCCCCCAACCCCTGCTCCCAAAAATGTTCCCCACCCTGCGCCCAACGCCGATCCATCATCCAGCATCCACGGATGAAACGCCACAGGCTCACAACGGACACGACGAGGACTTGGGAGGCTCACGATCGCCATCGCCATCGCCAACGGAGGACGACTGGGAGAACGTTTCGTGGCCAGGGTCTGAGGACGAGAATGCAACGGGAGAGGAGGCGCACGGCCAAGGGAAGGTGCAAGGTGAGAAGAAGAAGGGATTCTGGGGGAGGGGGAACTAGGCGAGTTGCGCCGGATGAACTGAACTGGGCGGCGTATGTGAACGAGGGGCCTGGTGGCATTTGCTCTCATGCATGAAGTCACCGCAACAGGCACGGATAGATATGGAGTGGAATGGAATGGATAGATAGATAGAAATTCGGATGTGGGATTGTCGCTCACGGCGCGGTTTTGCACGTGGATCCTATCTCTCGAATGTGACGACTAGCATACGGACGTGACATATTCCCTCCAGAAGCCCCTTCCCCCAGGATAGTTTCCCTGCGCCAGACGCCATGCTAAATGCCAAACAAGTATATGGGGGTGCTTTATTTCGTCGCAAGGGAGAAGAGCTGCGGATTCATATTGATCTTGCAAAGCCGCGCGACGCAGCCAGAGAGCTGGAGGAGAGTCTGAACGCCTTCAAGGATGCGCATGTGCGTGAAGCCGATTTCCTATCCCCTTGTTAGCACATTTCTCCACTTCCCACACCATCCTGTCTCTCCCAGAACCCACATACCTTGATAAACTCCAGCTTCGCATGCTCGCTCAAACTCTCAATGCTCTTCGTCACCTTAAACATCGTGCTGATAATATCATGGCACGAGTACCCCAAATCCCACAGCTCCTTCAACACGGTCAACGCATCGTCCACCCGCTGCTCATAGCACGCCTTTATCATCGCTTGCACCTTGATCGGATGCGGGCTATCCACCACCTTGAACACATTATCCCCATTCACGAAGCCGAACCCGGCGTGCGTGGACTGCAGGTTGTTGATCGCTTGTCGCATATCGCCCTCAGCGGAGAAAACGAGCGCAGCAATCCCGTCGTCGGACCATTGCACCTTCTCGGCTTCGCAGATCTGCATGAGGCGCTGGACGATTTGCGCGTCCGTGAGGCGGGCGTAGCGCAGGATGGCGCAACGGGATTGGAGCGGTTCGATGATCTTATTCGACTGATTGCAGGCGAATGCGAATCTCGTCGTCGAACTGTATATCTCCATCGTGCGGCGTAGGGCCTGTTGCGCGCCGCTTGTCATGCTGTCTGCTTCGTCGAGAATCACTAGCTTTTGTTTCCCCGGCGGGAGCGTTACTTTCTTCTGCGCGAAGCCCTTTATTCTGTTCCGTACGACGTCGATACCGCGCTCATCAGAGGCGTTGAGCTCCAGGACGGCTTCCTTGTATGCGTCGCCGAGGAGCTGGCGCGCGAGGCAGAGAATCGAGGTCGTCTTTCCAATGCCCGGCATGCCCGAGATGATGACGTGCGGCATGTTGCCATCCTTTGCTATTATCTTGAGGCGCTCGATTGTTTCGGTGTTGCCGACGACGTCGTCGAGGAAGACGGGGCGGTATTTCTCGACCCTGAGCAGACGTCAGTGAGGATGGTGCGCGGGGGCACAGAACGGGACGCTTACCAGGGCAATTCATAGTTTGCCCCTCCTTGCGCATTTGGGTTCACTTTGACGCCGTTGCTGGCAGCTTTTGAGGACTCTGCTTTCGCCATGGTGGGTTGGAGTGGGAGGTGTCGACGCGAGACGCGTCTGGCGCGGGCACGCTTTCACGGGTCATCTGCGCTAATCCGAATATGGGACTATTAGCGAGGACTCCCATCAGACGAGAACACCATCACCCTTAGACCTTAACGATATCGAGGAACGGCGCATCTAGCGCATCTGTCAATACTTGCCGTGGCCCTTTGTGAAAGCTGAATAAAGCGGAATGCGACCGGGCTCGCCACCAGCCTGACCATGCTTCGACGGCACTCACTCTCGTAAGAGGCACATACATTGTGATGTGGAGAAGGCTCATGCTGCACCTCGAGCGCAATCTTAAGGAGACAAAAGATAGATACTTCACACTGCAAGGGTTTGGGAATACTTATCGTAAGCTCCCAGCTTGGATACTACTTTATCTCAGAGACCACAGATGGCTGATTGCAAAAAGTTCACTAACAGCCTTGAGGCACCAATACGCGGGAACGCGGGAACGCCCCGAGGGCCTCCCCTCCCAATAAACGATTCGTTTCCGCTACTTGTGCTAGGTGCCGTGGTGATCCTGGGATGTTGGAATCTATGATGGAGATGCGGGCGTCGCGTTTATGCGGATTACGCATACACATAGGGACTTCGATGCCATCAGAGTGTGCAATAGAGAGGGCGAAGGACTCCGACAACACCATATATCTGGCAGGAGAGCCGGTGTATGACTGATGGAGACGTGTAGATTAATTGAGCATACGTGCCTATACCTAAGTTCTCTAGTCTGCCATCACAGCGACCGTCCCAGCTTCCAGCCCCTCCGCACTTGCAGTAACCGTCATCGATCCCGCAGCCCCGGCTTTCCCTCGCACAATAGCCAGCGCCAGTCCACTGAACGCTTTCCTCTGCGGCGACGGGAACGCGGTGAAGTCCGCCGGATCCCCGTTATCAGTCGCCACAAGCTCTCCCGCACCAGACACGTCAAACGTGATCTCGTTGTCCGCCATCGGGACCACATTCCCCTCCGCATCCAGCACCACGGCCGTGATGAAGGAGAGATCGTCGCCATCCGCTGTGATGCTAGTCCGGTCCGCGGCGAGACGAAGCGAAGCGGCCGGCCCAGCTGTTTTCACCGTAGCGTCTGCCCACTCCGTCCCGTTCTTGTAGGTGACGACGTGAAGTTCGCCGGGCGCATACACGACTTCATCCCACCGGAACCTATACTCATACTCGCCTTTCGTCTTGCGCCCCTGAGACTCGCCATTCACAAATAACTCCGCCTCATCCCCCGAAGAAAAGACATGCACGGGCGTCACCTTGCCCACTCTATCCGGCCACGTCCAATGCGGCAATATATGCGCCATCTTCAAGTCGCTCCTCCACCTCGCCTGGTACAAGTAGAACCTATCCTTTGGGAAGCCCGCTAGGTCGATGGGTCCGAAGTACGAACTCCGCGCGTCGTAGTACGGCGTCGGTTCGCCTAGGTAGTCGAAACCGCTCCATACGAATTCACCCGCGACGAAGGGATTGCGGTCCTGGCTCGAGAAGACTTTGTCGGGCGAGGCGCCGAAGTCGGCGCTGTAGAGCGAGTAGTCGCTGACTTGCAGCGAGGTGCTATTCCCGCCTGATGTGTCGTTCACGGGGGCGCTGGTTAGGTTGGCAACGGGGAAGATGTAAGTACCGCGTGTGGAAAGGGCGGCTGCTGATTCGCTGGTCATGAGCATTTTGCCCGGGAAGGCGGAGTGGAAGGCTGGGTACTGGGGCGGCGTGGCAATCCCCCTGAGCTGCGAGTACGCTGGCGTATCTCTTATCCCCTCGCCTTGGTAGTTGAGACTTAGTACGTCGAAGACGCGCGGGAAGGGCTGGTAGGGTTTCGCGGAGTTCATGGAGGCGGTGACCGGGCGCGTTGGATCTTCCTCGTGCACGATGTCACGCAGCATTTCTGCGACTGCGGCGCCGGTCTCGTTGGTTTGCTGCTCGGCGACTTCGTTGCCGACGCTCCAGACGAAAATTGAGGGATGATTTCTATCCGCTCTAATGAAGGCGCGCAGATCGGGCTCGTGCCAGTCGTCGAAGATGAGGTGGAAGTCGTTGGCTGTTTTGTTGTGCTGCCACGTGTCGAAGATCTCGTCGAAGACAAGGAAGCCCATGCGGTCTGTAAGATCAAGGAGTTCGGGTGCGGGCGGATTGTGCGAGGTGCGGATCGCATTCACGCCCATTTCGCGGAGGATTTCGAGCTGGCGAGTAGCGGCGCGGACGTTGAAAGCTGCGCCGATTGCGCCGAGGTCGTGGTGCTGGTTTACGCCTTGGATGCGGATATGCTCTCCGTTGACTAACAGGCCATCGTCCCCACTGTAGGTGAGCGAGCGGATGCCGAAAGGAGTTTCGTAGGTGTCCATTGTGCCGTTGCGACTGGAGATGCGCGTGATGGCCACATACATGTTCGGTGTCTGTGATGGTAAGGGACCCCATAGTGCCGGATTTTGGATCGTGATGGACTGATTGATCTGCTGCTTCCCAGCTCCTGCGAGGTTCAATGTCGCCTGAGGAAACTCAGCAACTTTTTCTCCAGCCTCTCCAGTATGAGAATCCACCACATACACCTCGGTGACAACTTGCACCTGCTGACTGCTGTTCCCCTTGTTCTCAACTTGCAACGCCAGATTGACCTTAGCCGACTCTTCCGAAACATCTTCTGTAGTGACATACGTCCCCCACTGCGCAACATGCACCTTCTCGACCTTCGTAAGCCAGACGTTGCGATAGATACCTCCCCCAGGGTACCATCTCGAAGAATCCAGGGGATTATCTAGCCGGATAGCTAGCTGATCTTCCCCGTCGAACTTCATATAAGGCGTCAAGTCCAACCGGAACCGAGCATAGCCATACGGCCATCCGCCGACGAGGTGTCCATTAAGCCACACTATGGCGTAGGACTGCGCGCCATCAAGGTCAAGATAGATCGATTTGCCCTTATCCAGAGACGTCATGCTGAGATTCCGGCGATACCAGCCCACTCCCTGCGAAGGTAGCCGTCCCATACCGCCGGTGACGGGAACATCATCGCCAACATAGAAAGGTCCTTTGATCGCCCAGTCATGTGGCAGCGCCACCGCCTCCCAGGCGTTATCGTCGAAGTCCTTTTGCACGAAAGGCACATCGCTACCTGGGTTCCCGGCTGGACGTTCATGGCGGTTCGCTGGGTCCTGGATGAAGTCGTTCGCTGAGGGGAGGATATACGGCTTCAGGACTTCCACGCCTGTGCCGTTGAGATAGGCGAGGTCGGAGCGGTAGTCGTAGATCAGTCCATCTGTGTTATTTTCCGTGCGCTGGAAGCGCCAGTCGGCGTTGAGACTGATGCGTTCGCGTCCGAGGGTCGTGTTGTTTTGCTGGTAGTTCTGGATTGGAGAGGCCGCAATTGGTTTGAGGTTGGTCAATAACACCAGGCCCGCAAGGAGCCTGCACGCATTGAAGGCCATGTTCCTGTTTCGCGTCTCCAACAAGGACGCTTATAGACAGCCTCGACGCTCCACAAAGACACGTGGAAGGTCGCACCGCAACCCTCATGGCCTTTTGATATTCTCATAGCGGAGAAATTCATTCCGTGCATCCTATAAAATGACAACATTGTACCGTGATACCAGAGCCAAGTCAGCTAATATTTGCGCGGAAGGAAACTACGGATGCGCGTTAGCAACGCATCTAAGCAATAAAGAAGATGATCGACAACTTTCGAACGGATTTCCACCCATACAACGCCTGGCGGGTGGAGTGCCGCAGATAGCGCATCCCCTGTCTTCGGGATATCAAAGAAGGTCGAACGCGGGGTTTGAACCGAAAACCCTCCGAATACGTATACGGTGATCGGGAAATACGAGCTCCCCGTAACCACGGATGAATTCAGGGGAGAAGCATCGAGCTCACTCTTCTCGCTCCTTTATTGGTTCGAGACGTCTCTTCGATTTGGTGTGCTTTCTATGCTGTTTAGTTTAGTCTGCCCTTCGTACATCAAGAGTTCTTGATCCTCCATATCGCACAAGAAGGGTGTTGTATGCAAGGTACCTGGCTAAATTGCGGATGAGATCTGCCAGAGCACGTTAGCGTGAACAACGGATGATGTCATCGCTCGTAGAAAGCTCCGGCAACACTACACGCTGCTTTACCAAAGCCGTCAAAATATTCTCCAGCTATGGCGATACTATCTTTACCTCTCTTACTGTCATTTCTCTCACAGGAAAGTTGGAGTGAATAAAGAATGTGGACTATAAATTATACATTAAGAATAAGTAGGAAAGGGGTATCAAACCAAATCAAAGAAATACTAAACCTCTCAACCCGGTCCCTGGTAAGGAGGAGGCGCACCATCCTCATCAAACTCCGGGGGCCTCTCCTCTGCTACCAGCATCTCTCTCCGAGGCCTCTCCACATCCGCCACAACGACCACCCTCCCAAACGCTCCCACGACCTCAAACTTCTCCTTAGCGCACTCGCCCCAAATCCTCACCTCCAACTGATGCTCCAAATGCATCGCATAACTCGAAAACCCCGGCGCTATCTCTTCGGGAAACCTGACCGTAGCCAGCTCCAGCCCGTCATACAGCAGCATCTCGTTCCCGGTTTTGTACTCTTGATCGAGCAGAGTGCCCTTATTGCGGTGCGAATCCCGAAGCGCCTGACGCGTGCTAAAGACTGAATAGCGTGCGATGCGGACGTCGAGGGTGGAGGTGAGTCTGACGCGCACGCGGCGCAGATAGATAGGCGGGGGATCGGGAATGTCTTTCGAACGATCCATATGCAAGAGGCTGAGGGATATGGGGATCGGGCAGCCAGTGGTTAGGACGGCGGGACAGGTCGCCGACACCCGGAATCTCGCGAACGGGGTCGAGGCGTTGTGCTTCGTCCAGCTGTGTTTAATCTTTGCTAGCAGCTTCTCATTCGGATCGTAGTGTGGGTGTAGCCTGTACGTCCGCGCATACGTACCGCGGAGGCCGTAGTAAGTCGGTTGCGGCAGCGCGGTAGGAATCGCAGGCAGGGCAGGCGCCGGCGGTCGATACGACAACCAAGACCGTACCTGGGCACTCGGTGACCCAGTCGACGACGTATACAGCTTCGCCTCTAGAAAGTAATCAACCCGCTGGGAGCTCTCACCTCCGTGGTAGAGACCATCAAACATCCCAAAGCTCGGTGGCAGCACATGGCCCGGCTGGCTTTCAAATCCGTCTTCCGGCCTATACAATCCGCCTCCATCGCCCTCTACACACTCGGGGAACTCAAATTCGAAGGGGAGTTCAACCCTGTCGTCCCCTGTAACGCCGTGCACGCGCACGATATCGTAGCTCGCGCCAGGCGTCGGCGACGAGAAGAGAATGAGCTCGCGTGAGAAGAGCTCGGGCTTTGCTTTGAAAGTTTGTGAGCTTTGGCCGTTGCTGCGAACGATAACGACATGTAGTCGGCCCGTGAATGTTAGAACGATGCGGTGTGGGCGCGTTTTGGGATCCACGCGGACCACCCCACGGACTAGCTCGCCGCTCGTGTACGTGTGGAGCGCGCGGTGTGCGATGAAAATAGGGCAATGTTCATGGTTGGCATATTTCGTCATTTCGAATCTTCATCGATCTGGAGTTCTGAGTCATTGTAGGCTGGAGAGAGATGTGGGGTTATAGATGGATGTTGGGGTGAGCGCAAGGCTGTCTTTGGCTAGGCAAGTACGAGGCGCAGGGAGCACAGCCTCGCATCCTTCCAATATTAGGCAGGCTCTCGAAGGAACGGGAACTCCGGAAATAAGGCCAGCCATCAACACCATCCACCCACCCACACCAACGCAAGTAATAATCTTTATATATTACTTTTACAGCTATTTTCGCGCATATCGGATATTCTCTCGCTAAATTGCAGTATCGCAGAATGCCGCAGAGGCGAAAACGACGTCGTTTTTCCACTCCGCCGCCCGTCGTAGCCACCGAGGAATTCGCGTCGCATCAACAAGCTCAACTCGAAACTCCACAACGCTCCGCCGTACTTTCTACGCTGTATTTCTGTGAGGTTAAAGGCATTGCCTGTAACCTAGCAGAAATCAGAGAGGTTTTTAATATACCTGAGAGCACTGCCAGCAATATTATCAAGTCAAAGCGCGCCCAACGATTACAGAACGCCGACGAACCTAACACGCGCGGAGCTCTCCGAGAACTTACAAATTCGGACGCCAACGCTATCGCCACCTATATTAACGAAGCTCCTTTTAAGGAGAAAGGTGATCCTTAGGTGGACCTTGCTTTTAGAGCTAGCGTCAATCCACCTCCTAGCAAGAAGGAGTGGTCAAGAAGGATCGTACAAAAACGCGTCACCGAAGTTTCCGGCATCAAAACCCACAGGGCAGCTGTAAAAGAGGACCACCCAGAGCCCACCCAGAAGGAGCGCGTACGCTGGTGTATATACTAGCTACTATACAAGCCTCATAGGAAGGATTGGTATACTGTTATTTAGTGCGATAAGCTCCACTGGGCAACTAGCCCCCAGCACGTCAAGGACATCAAACGTTGGCCAGGCACAGAGCAGCGATACAGGGAGGATAATATACAGTACCAAAACGACGCTCGCCGGGACCCAAAGAAGAAGAAATAGTTTCATATATTTATAGCTGTTGGCTACGATTTCGCATAGTGTATGCCCTACGACGCTGGAAACTCCAACGGCAAGATAAACGCCGTAACTTTCCTCAAGATCCTACCTCACCTACGCGACGCTACATTGGGCAGAGAGGTGGCTATATATATGGACTGCGACTCTGCGCATAAGTTAAAAAAGGTCCTTGAGTGGATGGACGCGAACGGCATGGATTATATTATTGGGGCGCCTTCAAGCCCTGATCTATTGGTGATGGAGACTTGGGTAAAACCTCTCCGCGATCGCTTCAAAGCTCGGAGAAGTCAAACAATCTAGCAGGGCTGCGAGCGCTTCTACTACTGCTGGGACTAGCTGAAAGCTGAGAAGATAAATAAGACTATTGACAGCTATCTAGCGCGCCTGTGGGAGTGTCGGCGCTTGAAGGGCAAGGCTACAAAGTACTGAGGGCTCCGGAGCTCTCCTAGAGTCGCTACACCAAGAAAATTATGTATATACAACTCTCCAGCAATCTCTACAGCCTCAAAAAGCTCGATAAACTATTAAAAAACCTTCTGAAATGCTAAAGTCGCGATATTTGCTGTGGTTTTCTGGCTTCTGGCATTTTCGGTGGTCCGGGCTTATTTCCGGAGAAACCGTTCCTTTGAGAGGCAGGGTCGACTTCCGATTTACGAACGATCACCAGACCAGTGCTTTGACGAGCAAGATTATTTTGCATCATCCTATGGCTCCTTCTACCTACTAGCGCTGGGAGTAAAGGTAGGTTCGTCGCGAAGCGAAAGGAGCATGTGACCGAAGGGACCTGTCACATATGCAACCACAGACTTTACGTAAGCAGTGAAGAGGCATAGAGTACCAGCGGGATAGCAACACTTTGGTTAAACATTCTATGAATCAGCGTTATCATATTACCCCACGTCCTTCTCAAAGAGCGAATGATATGAATTAGAAGACACGGTTATGCGGGAACGAGTGTATCTGTCTCGAAACGCATTCCTTGGCCGACTCTAATCCCACCTCTTCTTGATGTACTCGGGCATGTGGCCACCGGGAAGTTCATTGACCCCTTCAAGCCGTTAGCCATGCCATAAATGATGACTAGGGAAGGGGCTACTCACAGGCATCAACCTCCTCTCGCACAACGCGGTCCTTCTTGCACGCGTTCATAGCGGCCGCGTTCTGCGTCTGGAGCGTCGGGCAGTTCTGGTAGCACGGGCTGTCCATGGCGCGCTGGAGGGAGTCATCTTTCCAGCCGAAGACGTAGTCGCCGTGATTGGCATAACCAGTTCTACGAAGAGAGTCAGTTCATGGTGTAGAGGTGGTTGGATGAAGACCCTGCACGTGATTTGGATACGTGAGAGACTTGGACCTACCCATCGCCAAAGCTCCAGACAAACGGCTGAGTGCCATCGGAAGGCCAGTCGGCCTTGTTGTTGAACTGCTTGGTCTCCCAGATCACCTCGTAGAAGAGCTGAGGCATGCGCACGGGGTGGGATGCTGGGCATGGGCCGCCAGACTCAAAGGTGCCGTACTCGGGATATGCCCTAATGCCCGTCAGTCGATGTCTGGATGTTTTGGAGGGTGATTGCTTACATATGAGACATATGGTCAGGCGAGTCAAGATTCTTGCCATCCCAGCAGCTAATACGCGTGTTAGCGGCTTCTCTCGATCAAACTGAGGGCTCTGGGGATTAAAAGCTGAAGCCTGGTGCTTGTAGGCTACTCACGTTGGGAATCGGACTGCCGTCATGATACCAGCGGGGCAAGGTTGCGTGGGGAACTCCAGCGTCTGGGGGTCGCGTGTATTCATATCTTGAAGACAAGTGAAGGTGAGCTGTCTGAAGCGCTCTGCCTGCTCCTTTGTTCGTGCATTGACGTCGCCAATGTACATGCGGAAGCCCTGGTATCGGTGTCAGCGATACTGGTCGAGCAGTGCATTAAGGCCACTTCATGGAGGGTGCGAGACATACTGGCTTAAAGGCCGTAACTTTAGAAGTTTGCTGGAAGTTGTATAGGCCATCCTGCATGTAATACACCGTCATGCCACCTTGCACGCCATCGAAACCAACGTTCTGCTTTTGGGGGACGCGCTTGTAGGTGCCATTTTTGGCCTTGAAGTAACTGTCATCAAGTCAGTCTCACTCCTCAATGGAAGCTTGAGCTCTTCATATGAAACTCACAGAATAGCAGTCCAGTAGTTACTGAAATCTGTTGAACGTATAGAGTCAGCAAAGTTCAGAAAAGTGGAGAATGGTGCGCGTATTTTCCGAACTGAAGCTGCTCCACCACTACATCGTCATGTCATGGCGTTTTGTGCCCTTTGAGTTGAGGTAGCGAGTTTGTAGAACTTGCCTTCGCTGAACTGCAGGGGGTTAGTGTCCATCTCTAGCCTAGTATTGATCTTGTGATAGGCATACCTGGCACGTAGTACACGTGGATTCTGTGGGCATGTCTTTGCTGGGCGCCATGGTCACATTGAAAGAATTCTACTTGACGTTAGTCGCGTGAGTATCCTCCAAGGAAGTCAGGAGTACTCACTCCTCCCACAATCTGATGAAGATGCGGAGAGGGCGCCATGCCAGGAGTGACCAGCGGATCCAGGCGGTCAATGACGAGCTGCGCACAGGGGAATCGCAGCAGCGCATTGGCAGGCGCCAGAAGGGCGAGCGCAACGGTCGAAGTCCACTTCATTTTGGTGTCCGTCTAGAGTCGCTGTAGCGTCTGAGACAGAATGGGGGCAGAACGGACAGCCTCAGAGTGCTTAGTCCCCTTATATGGACTGAGCCGAAAGAATATCACTGTCGCCAAGGGCGTCAAAATGCCGGCTGGGCATTCACGTATGCTGCTGGGCAGGAAGTCGATGGTGGGGCTTAGCAATCACAGACTCGTGAGAGAATCTGGAGCTCTTCTTCCCGATACCCGGCCTAAGGATAACAATGACGCCTCTGTATTCAGTCCAAGCCTCGTGTATGTATCGAACATTCCTGAATGGCTGTTAAAAGGCTTATCGTAGGAGATCCACGCCATTGTGGGGTCCCTTTGGGTGTCAACATCAGGTGCGCTGATAGCTACGCATCGCGAGACGGCGTCCACTGGGCTTTTATGCTTGGCATCGCTCAGGATCGGCTCGTCGGTCTCGATCTAGAAGCACACCGCGATTGGGCGATGTTCCTCTGAGCCCCAAAGCGACGAGTCGCCGTCCTCGTTGATATTCTCTCAATATCTGCCCTTCTCGGCCAAGTATCGGCAGTTGCATTCCAAGGCCAGCATGGAGTCGCAGTCGTCAATACTTGTCACCGGTGTGACTATCTCATATTGCGCACGGCGGCTGAAGGGCGCTGAGTGGGTGTCCAGGCAAGGTTGGTGTTGGCTGTTGTGCGCTCAAAGTTACACGAACTCTGTAAAACGCTTCATTCCCATGTCGCCAAGCTGCGGGGGTATAACCGCCCCATATTGGCCCCATACACATATATTGTCCGCTGCCGCGTTCATCTCTTTTCCTCTCGCCTACGAATGCCGTTAGACTTTCATTCAAAGGCGGATATCCGCCTTCTTTATTTTTCTTGGAGGAAGACAAGCTTCCAATCGGTGACTGTCGAAATACGAAGACAGGTCTTGTCCCGCATCATTGTGAACAGAGCCGTCGGCGATGGCGAACGCAACCCTTCTTCCAAGCCCGCCTAGGCGCGATCCTGTAGAATAATAATTTCGAACCGGGTAGACGCCGCTGATTGCTATCGTATCTGTTGCAATCCTTAGCTGTGATTCCTCGCATTTTAAAAGATCCTTCTGCAAAGTCAGGTCCGTCCTGTTTCGAGCGCCAAAGTCATTTTTACTCCCTTGGGCCGCACTGCTGTACCCCTCTAACTCACCTCCTATTGGCAAAGATCACACCTTCGTCGGCCAACATGAGAATTTCCACCTTCCTCAGCTCGGCTTGTTGGGTATCCAGTGTCCTAGCGGCATTCGACCTCAACCGTGCAGGTGCGGCTCTGAAAGCACCTGCCGGAGACTCATTCGCCTCTGTGAGCGGCACCTTCACCGTCCCTAACCTCTCGGGCACCAACCGGCTCTCCATTTGGGTAGGCCTCGGCGACAGCCTTGAGCAAACCTATGTCCTCGGCGGTGGTATTCTGTTCAACAGGACATATTCGAGCTGGGCCGCCTTCTTCCCCGGCCAAGCAACCGACACGACGTCGCAGGTGCCTGTCGCCAATGGAAACCAAATCACGGTCACGGTCACGGCCCAGGCAAGTGGTGGGACGGTGACCATCGAGAACAAAACGCAGAATAGGAGGGCGACTCAGACGATTGCAGCTCCCGCGGGTGCAGATCCATCGGCGCTCACCGCGGCGGATTGGTGGGTGCAGGCTTATCAGGTCGTCCCTGGAGAACTCGTCAAGACTCCCAGCTACGGTACTGTCTCATTCACGAGCTGCACGACGACGACGAAGAGTGGGACCAGCGTACCCATCTCTAATGCAGGACGTTATGAGATCCAAGGCACCAGGTAAGGCAGACCTTCTCTTTCAGCGTAGTCGGCTGCTAACTCGGCGCAGTGGACAGATGTATTCGTCGACGACCGTCTCGGGCACCGGAGTCTCCGTCAGACGAACTGGCTAGTGCTGTTAGTGGTGGGTTTCGAGCAAGGCAAAGAATGGCAGAACGAAGAGGAGGAAGGTGAAATTGTTGTATACCTACCTTGAATAGACATGTACATACGCTTCCCCCTTATATATACCCCTTCGGCACATCTTCCACTGCCGGCCTGTTGTTAGATGAGGGCAAAATACATCCTTGTTCCCCCGCAATGATCGACAAATCGTGAAGAGAGCTGTATTGCTAGTAAATACTCGTAGAGACGAAGGACGGCCGGATGAATCGGCTCTAGAAATCTATTCGAGATGCTGGTGAAGCCGGCAGCTGAGCGGCAGTTCTCTGGGCCAGGACTCAGGGCCGAATCCGTGCGGATAGACAACGCATGCTTTTCCATTGGTGGGAGCAGTCGCGTTTGTGCGAGTCGGCAATGGATTATCCATCCTCGAGATATATGAGAGACGAAGGGGACACTGGGGAGTGGTCATCCGGGGTCGAGGAAGACGGACGCTGCAAGCCCGCACGGGCCACACCCCCGCATCGTTCAATTTGGACGCGACGCGACCTGCCACACCCCGTCGTCGCCCACGATGCGCTTCAAGGCGTCGATACAGAACATCACCACCTTCACGAGTGAGCCGGCGGCTGGAGCAGTATGGAGCGGAAGCTAATGCTTTGCAGAGCTGACGGCGTCGCTCAATTCGCTCGGCCCGCTTGCGTGGGTCAAGCTCAGCGACGACCAGGTGTGCTTCACCATCATACCGGAGCAGGGCACGCAGGTGTGGGCGTGAGTGGGCGATATTGCGTCCCCTGATAGTGCTTTGTATTGACGTAGCACAGCGCCCTGTCCATTGTAAGCGCGCCATTGCAACCTTCCGCGCCCGTATCCTAACACTACGAAGGACACCATCTTCGAGACGTACACGGTCCAGTCGGCAGCCAACAATGTCATCAACCTCGAGGTCCCGCTCGGCCCGCTCAATCGCGCCCTCAAGTCGGCATTGAATGCGACGTCGGCCCAGATCCGCCTCACGAAGAAGGACAGCATGCCGCTGCTCGCCCTCACCATCGTGACCACCTCGTCCTCGAACTCGTACTCCGCATTCCCCACAGGCGCCAGCAATGACGGTGGCCTTGACGCGCCCTTTGACGACTCGTTCGGCGGCGGCAACCGCGAGACCATCATCACCCAGGAAGTGCCTGTTAGGGTGCTCGCGCCGGATACAGTGGCAGGGCTGCACGAACCGCAGTGCCGGGAGCCTGATGTGCACATCATCCTACCGCCGCTCCTACAGCTGAAAAGTATCAGCGACCGATTCACAAAGCTTGCACTCGCAGGAGCGAGGTCAGGACCAGGCAGCACGGCATCAAGAACGAGACTAGAAATGGCTGCGAACATGCATGGGTGCCTCAAGATGAGCATAAAGACGGATGCCATGAGCATTTCGTCCGTCTGGACCGACTTGAGCAACCCGGAACTAGATCCAGGTCAAGTGGCTGGAGGAGAAATCGGCATCTCGGAGCACCCTAGTACGAGAATGAAACTGCTCGGCTCTGCTGATGGACGCAGCGAGGAAGGATGGGCATCAGTGAGGATAGATGGACGCGACTGGGGAAAGGTGATGAGTGTGGGTAGGCTCGGAGGGAGAGTCATCGCATGTGAGTATTCTACGCGTTGAATTGGCGTTAGTGCTTTGCGAGTTTCAAACACGGGAACCGCATGGTCGACGACTCTGACAACAGCCAGGTTTTTGCCATGAGCATGCGCTAATCCTATATGTCTACCTGCCCAGCGACAACGGCGAAGATGAATCGGTCCTAACGGTACGTGACCTCGCACTTGCTTTTCTGATCACTCCTTTGAACAACTAACGAGCCTTGCAGTACTATGTCAGTTCCTACAGCGCTTAAGCGACATGCGCGGATTCACGACGTTCCATGAATAATGATCTAGACACCTATCTCCCACGAGACGTATACTATACTAAGATAATGCCAAGCAAATTCCTGTCTAACCGGTTGAAGTTCACTCACAACTGCAATATTAATCAGCACTCACGCTGGTACCCTATTTTGCTCGCACCTCGCTCACCATGACAAATACAGCGCATCTGACTCTCTGTCAGCCCCCAATCGAGCTACCTTCTAGAAGCCCGACGAAGGCCTCTTAATTCCCGAGAAGCGCTCACTCAACCCCCACGAACAAAACGCCTGCCGATTTGTCCTACCAAGGTATCTTTGCGACCCATGTCGACAACGAACCATAGTTCTGGGTTCTGCTGCTCTTTAAAGGCCCCAGACAAGGCGCATTCGGACTGCATCTCGCAACATCGAACCTTTTCCGAGCGAATACTGCGCCCAGTGGATTTGTCACGGGAGTGCTCATGCTTCACATCGATATTGGGCTCAGGCTACGCCGCACTTTTGGGTGATGCCTGATATCAGGATGAGGGGTGCCCAGCTCCGCCCGTTGCCCTACAGTATGCAGCCCTGTCAAAATGGCTGCGTCCGTCAGAACATTTGGAAGCGAGTATTCGCCCCCGCCATTGTCCCGTGCTGCCTCTGTCCAGGGTCACTCATCACTCCTCAGCATGTGTGCTATACTGACAGTGCCACATCGCTGCGTACTATCGCTTGCTATTGCGTCTTACCCCTTCGAAGAGAGTAAAAAGTTCCAGGCAAGCATGCATAGCCTTCCTGTGAAACGCACGAGACACGCCCGCACCGCAATCTTCAAGATCCTGGACCCGCATAGCAAGGTTGATTCGCCATTATGAGCGGCAAGCACAACATGAACGGAGGATGATCGAGTGCGTGGGACAGGGTGCGCATTGCATTGAGTAAGAATGCAGCGGCGGGAATCTCGGTCGATCGTGAGACTGCTGATATTGGGGCCCGGAGCGAGATGGAGGGATGTAGTGGCCGTATGGGAAGGTTGTTGTTGGTGAGAGAGTGGGTGAGTCCAATGAATAAGGACTGCAAACATCCAGTGACTGATTTCATGCCAGGTGATGATGGCTACACGCTGGAAGGGGGCCCTCAGTTTCTTATCAAGACAAATCGTGCTTGCACGCACTGATCTCGCCAACTGCGAAGGGCGTGCTCCACCAACAGAACAATCCTCATTGCGAGCGCGACTTCTGACCTGGTATGTTCTCTCTTTCGAGCTAATTAGATGCCGCAATTAGTTCTTTCTGTAGGCAAGCAAGTAAATGAGAACAAGACTCGGAGTACGTACGCCATTGCAAGAGCCGGGAAAAGCACGTTGTGATGAGCGAGACGGAAGAAGCTAGATTTTTCTATACAGAATTGGTCTATCAACCTATACCCACCCAGTAGCGTAGCGCCGACGAGCAGCGAGCAAGGTGGTAGAAGTAATGTGGCTAGGTTTGGATTCGCCAACGCGGACAAATCGCCTACGATATGGTTAGAGTACCGCAAGAGTTGGTGAACAGATGCGAACGACCACAACGATAGCAGGCTAAATAATGCATCATTCCATCTATCTATCGACGTGTACCCGCGATGCGATCCTACTACAGCGGCATTCTAACTACAATTCCTGCAAGTACGCAGCAATGCGGAACACGAACACGAGCGCTGGCCTCGGCTTTCTTGGACGAACCGCTACGTTTGATGAGTAGCCAGCCGCTGCATACGTACCCCCTCTCCTCTCCTCCTTGGAGGGGGTGAGAGAAGCGAAGGAGAAGATTGAACAGAAGTGCTTCTTTAGCACGCGTTCAGGCCGGGAACCTATTGGGATAGAGGGGACTAGACTTCTGTGAGCGTACGGGGCAACAACTCTTTTTTTTTTACAAGTGTAGGGAGCATATGGATCATCTGTAGGGGTTGCCCAGGGGTGTGGAGTCAATTGGTAAGCTATGGCCAAGGAACTAGAGCATTGCATTTCAAACGCTTGTCGTCGTGGAACGAGAAGGCAGGAGTTGGCGGACGGAACGTAGAAGATGTGGACTTCGCAAAGTAAAATTGATATATTATAATTGGTCTTCGCAACGTTTGACCAGAGCTGAAGGTGGGAATACCGCCCGCCTAGCATGCTGGCGTGCGTATGCACTGCTAGGCTCCGACGATGCGCGACGAAAATTCGATCGATTAAACGAATGTACCGAGAGTACTAGCGAAATACCTTCTTGGACATGCAGGCGGTGTGATTTATTCGCGTGGCTGTCCTACAGCACGATAAGTACCAGGTCAGTTCAACTCAATTTGCAAAAAGGACCTCTCTCCAGAGGACAAAGTATACCCTCCCATCCTCCCTCAACCCAAATCCAAATCCGGCAGTCTCGCAGAACCCAGCATCAGCGCCCTCTCCCGAAGCGGAAGCCTTCCAGAAGGAATCCTTCGTGAGCGCGAGGGGGGCTTGCTGTGCTGACATGCATAGCGCCCGAGCGGCTGATGGCGCAAGCAAGCACCTGCCTGCACGCGCAATCTTACGAAGTGCGCAATCTTGCACGGTTCGGTTCGTCGTCCACGGACTTTCGAAATACTGGGGTCTATGCAGGTGCGTGCGGCCACGTTGTTTGATGCCCGGTGTCCGGGGAGGGGAGGGAAGGATACCGAGGCAGAGTGAGTGCATGGGAAGTGGGTGTACGTACGGGGGATTAGGCAACTGAGACGGATTGGGGTGAGGGTAAGCGAGCGAGAAACGCGACAGAGAGCTCGCTTTTGGCAGCCTGAAGTGGAGAGGCTATGTATGCCGCATGCGTGCGTGCGAGTGTGTCGTGCGAGGGCGGAGTCAGGAGGCAGTTTTGGTTTGCCCTACACGACTCGCATTTGTACTCCAACTCCAGGGCTCGGTGACTCCTTGGTGGAAGCTTAGTCGCTTCGCCTCATGGAGGAAGGGACTCTCGCCTTTTTGGCGCCGCCGACCCGCTGTTCCGGAAGCATTCTGCGCCCGTATCGCTTATTCTCACTACATCCAGTAAGTCATCGTTCGTCACATCTTCGAGAAGGTGTGGGCATAGGTGGAGATCCGACCCAGCAGCTTGGTCCCCGGATTCCGAAGGATGAGAGCCGCAGGGTATTGATGGCCGTGCTAGGGGCGTGGCTTGTGGATGGTTGGTGTAGCAGTTGCCGTTTCTTGGCATACTCTGTGTAGTGAGATTGAAGACACGGTGTTGAAGTCGAACAGTAGTACGAATACTACTCTTAAGCGAAGGCGTTCCTGCCGCCTGGTGGACCTGATGAAAACTCTGTCAGTGACGGTATAGTCAACATCTGGAGTTCGGAACGCGAAGTATTTGGGGGCTAAGGCGTACAGCTAGGCAGACTTCACTGCACTACCTTATCGCAGCCTCCACTCCACACTTACAGTTGCACAAGGATGCCAGTCCGAGAGACATTGACGTCATGCTTGTCCCTTCTGCCACGTTTCGCAGGATTCGCCGGCCTTGCAGAGTCCGGGGAGCACGTGAGCTGCTCACTCAAGAAGGCGTGCTAAGCTTCAACGTCTAAGCACTATATTTGAGACAGCTGACCGCCCGAGGTATACTTAGGGGGCCGTGTGCTGCTGCGGAGGCGTTAAGAGCGTCTAGCTCTTCGGGCGTGTGTGGCCGCCAGATGACTGTGATCAGTGCTGAGAGGGGGCCTGAAATACAGGAGCCACAGACTGAGTGGAGGCGGGTCAATAAGCTAGGTGCGACGGCCTGTAGAGATGTAGTGCGGGACGGGCCGTTGCAGTGATGCGATGTGGTAGAAGTGTTTGTCAAAAGTCGCGAGCGTGAGCGCATGGCGAACCGAGACGGATATGGCAATCATGACTCAGGCACCTGAGGGCTTTATGAGGATACTTGTAGAGTACTTCTCCTTTTTTGGACCCCGAGAAGCTGCGAGATTTGATGAGCTATTATCTCCCTGGAGAAACACTTACTCGGACTTCCAGCGTGCCTCCTGTATGCCCCACATCGCATATGGCGTTTACTTGAGCGTCCGGTATCCATGTCCATTGCGCACGGCAGAGCTCTTGTAAAGTCGAATACGTACACTGCTCTGGGCTCAGTGAACCACTGAACTGTCGACCTACGTGATGTGAATGCCATGAAACCACCCGCGTCCAGTACGGACGAGAGGAGGTCCTGACGGAGAGGTAGGATGGAGCGGCGGATCTCGTGTTACGGCACGCAAGAATGGCGCTAGAGGCTCACAGGGATACACATCTCTCGGACAAAATTGCTGCTCCAAGGGGACAGTTGCCTGCGCAGACCGGACAACTTCTGAAAGCGACGGAGAAGACATTCCATTTCCTTCGCCTTCACAATGCTGCGCCTTCCACATGCAAAGGCAATTTCTTCGCAGCATTCGACGTCGCCATGCTCTCTCCGCCATGCCTGCCACTGTGCATACGTCCGTGCGATCCAACGAATCGCCCATGGAGTCACTAGATCTTGATCTCCGGTGAAGCCGTGAAGTCGGATGTACGCACTAACACGCTTGATCAGTCACAAGGCCTTCCATCTCTTTACATCCATGTCATCGAATGCCACCTCAAGATCTCTCGCATCAAAATGACTCAAAGCGGCATTATGGTCGAGGATGTTAGAGCGCGAGGCATCAAGGCATAGAGCTCGGACACGCCGAGCCGCGCGGGGTCGCAGCGTTTCATCCCCAAGGCTTCAACCTTCTTGGAAGGACCCTGAGAATTAGTCTACGATGACTTACGCTTTGGAGTATCCCGCACAGACTCACCTTGGCGCACAACGCGATCGCAAACAGCCTCCGCTTATCGTGGTCCGCGATCGAAAATGATGACAAACTCGCTCGGCTGTAACTACTCGGGAATTCTAAACTAGGTCAGTGATCAGCAGTTTTATGTCTCCATGGAACATGGTGCAGAGCTAGTGCTCCAGTCGTCTCAGCCTTACTGCCTTACGTGAACATCGCGAGGCTGTATTTCCAATCTTCGACGAGGCTGCTGACCAAAAAGCGGGGTTTTTGTGATTCGCGCTTCGGAAAGCCCTAGCTGCTTCGCACATCTTGCCCCTTCGTGGTCAACGCTGGTATTGATCGTGCGATCGATAGTTTACGAAAGACGTCGTGAAACATTGCGAAAATGGTCGAATGCATGGGGTTGGGGGTTTCGCGACGCAGGGAAGTGCATCGGACGAAAATGCTCAGGCACGTGCAACAAATGAGTCGAACCCGCATGCAAATGACTCTTCTGTGCGCGTAAGGCATAACAGTGAGTCAACTCTTTTTGCGCAGAAACGCGCAGTGGCCGGCGGGCGGGACGAAAAAGCCTTGTGTAATGTGTTACAGGTTCTCGCCCCGAGGAAGCGACATGTTCGGCCTTTATTTTGGTATTCGGGTGGGACGCCATGTGCGACGGAAGGAACCGAGAAAGAGCCGATGGAACACCTGTTCGTTACGCTTCCGTGGCTCCCGAAGAAGGGGACGTGTCTGACGTGGCTTCGATAGTGGGTCTGCAAGAAAGTAAAACCGAGTCGGGATGGGTAAAGGGGTTTGCGAGAATAGAAGGGCATTGCGCAAGGCTAACAGGGCGAGCCAAGGGGAGATGAAGGGTCGCCGTTCGAATCGCAAGATGGGGCCAAGTTTCCGGAATTTCAGTATAGTAGATGAGGTGTCGTGGATTTCAAAGCGCTCGGCCCAGAAACCTGAGGCATTCACGCATCCCATCCGAAAGCAGTAACTCTTCAGACCCCAAAATAGCCCTCTTCCAGACCGTCCCTTTAGCTAATCGCACAAATACACCTGCTAAAGGAAAGCGTAGCTGCTGACTCTGCATAATAATAGGCTTAATTGCCACACCCTCCTCCAATGAGGGGACTTCAGCTTTTCCATGCGCCATTACCGGTTTGGGCAAATGGCTGAGATAATGCTGCGGCACAGCCATGAGGTCAGCCCTACGACCAGGGAGGCCCAGTCTAGCCGCGGCTATCGCGTCTAGCAGCTAGATCGGATACCTATTTTTGGAGGGTGGTGTGCTGCACTCCGATGTGTGTGGAGCTGCGGAGGGTTCCTGCAGCCGTGGCCTTTTGTCGGGTCTTTGAGAGGGGCACCGAAGGGATGGCGCAAGTGTGAAAGGCTGAAGCCTGGTGAACTGGTGAACGGAAGCTTGCGGCAGGCTTGCGGAGGGCAACGTTTCGAATCTTTCATTGTGAGATGCTGCGTCTGCGCTCCATTCGCGGAAGGGTTCCTTTTTGCGCAGCCTCTCTTATCGATTCAATAAACCCGTCACTGCCGACTCGCTTCCGCACGATAATGCCATCTGTCTTAGGGGACTCCTTTGCCTTGCCAGGCATCTTCCCCTGCGTTGCGCTCCTCGCTGTCACGGGTCCTGCGGCCCCCAAAGATAGATTCGCTCAGGGGCTCCCGTGGTACACTGAGTTGCTAATCGATTCCCTTCCCACGTAGTCGGGACGGATGCATACTGCATATGCAATACACCTCGTGGCGTGTGGTCACACGAAAGAGGCTCAATCCCGACGGCGGGATGATCTGCGCAGAGAAACGTAATGCTCGTGGTCAGTAAATGATGTGAGAGGGCCAGGGACCTTGATGCACTGAACTTCCATCTAGTAGGATGACAACGCAGGCCCCAGTCTTCCACGCAACGGCACATTTGTAACACTATAGGTTCGCTCGTAAGTGTGCATACGCGAGCTTTATTGGCGTATGCCTTTATCACGGGTTAAGAGAGTCGTTTTCCGAAAGCTTATTGGAGTGTTGAATGCCGGGGCCCGTGCGCTCGAGTAGTGAGTATCGAGAATATTATTTTCGGACACCACCAATTGCACTCGTATACTTCGCTTTGCCTTCTTCTCACATGAAGGCCGTGGCCGATTTGCCTGGCGTCCGGTGAAGGGCAATACTCAGAGTTCCAGGCGTTGTGGTTCAGCAGGCTCAAGGCAGCGCATGGTGAATCGGACTGCGCAAACACGGGAGCGTAGAAAATAGTACTGGGGTCTGCGGAAAGCTCGTGTTTGTGGCAGCGGCAGCCTTTCCGATCCGGAACACGCGCCGAAGAGCTTGAACTGCGCACTGGCGTGCCGGCGCCCGCTGTCCAGCTGAAGCTGCTCCGCTCGAACGGTGCCGGCTGGAATTGGCGGGCATTGAGATCCACTCAGGAACATCGTGCAGAGTGCAGCACAATCGCTGAGCGCTCACATGCGATGCTACTGGTCCCCGGCTCCGCTCCCAGCACGTAGGCACAACGGTCGGTCGTCTTTCCGGTCGTCGGGCTCGACACGATGGCTTGCGAGCTGGAGCCCTCTCAGGCTCTGAGTCCTCTGCTGCTCCGCCATGCGCTGTATTCCCCGTAATTATCACTCAGTAGTCTATGGGCCCTCATTCGTCAGTAGTGATGTCGCAGAATCCTCGAAACAGGTAGCCGGCGCTGTAACGTCGTCCCAACTAAAGTTCCGCACATGGCAAGGCAGGCCTCGCGTTCCATCCTGTCCAACAGCGCGCAAAGGCCCGCTGGTGTCCCTGATCGCGATCTTGACAAATATGTCGCACCGCGATAATTGACTGTCTTCCAAGAATCCCCGTCCCCAAGCGGCGACGGGGTTGCCGTTGATCGTCGCGAAGTCGACCGGACGGAAAGAAAGGAAGAAGGAATGCGAAATCGGTGTAACGGCGACGGGATGGCGGACGATAGGCGGCGCCGCCATCTCGTAGTTCCCCATTCGCGGGTCGCAGCGGCCGGGGTCCAGGGGCACGATGATGGCGGATGATGATGTATGACTGTGCTGCGCGTATCCAAGCATGGCCAATGAGAGGGCGTGTAGCGCTTGTGAGGGCGAGATGGAGGAGGACCGCTGGAAAGCCTGCAATGCTGCACCCCACGCTTTTGGACCCGTGATGGGGAGTTGGAGGACGGCGAGAGAGGAATATGTGTCTTAGCGGGGGAGGGTGGAGGGCGAGAGGGAGGCAGGCAGCACCTCTGAATGACGCGGCCGCGCCTTCCTCATCTCCACGCCGTGGTAGTAGCAGTGCCGTCTTTCACAATCGCAAATCAACCAAACCATACAGGCCATCTCCGTCCTATCGTTCAATCCTGCCCTAGCACACATCCCTCCAGCGCCGTCGCTGCCATAATCACAGGGTCCAGTGGGCAGCACCAGCACCAGCATCAGCCGCGCCGCCGCCGCTCGGCGTCCGTGCACTGCGGCTCATGGCACCCCTGCACCACACCATCACACTGCCACACCCCAGTCCAGCTCCCTCGGCCTGCGCTCTACCTATTCCTGTCGCATGCTGAATACTGCAACGGTACAGAGCGGCCAAGCCTCGTCCCCGAGCGGTAGCAGGGTCCAGGGGGCCCGGGTGCTGATGACTAGATGCCTGAGCGTGGCTTGCCAGGGCAGAAGCCCGAGCCCACCGTATGGAACGTCTGTGGAGGGAGCGCAGCGCACTTGGTATAAAGATGCCTGGCCAGGGCACCCGTAAACAGGCAGCTCAGTTTCAAACTATCAGTCATTCAGTCACCGTTTTCTTTTATATTCTTCGGGAATCTCCTTTGAGTCAGTCGCTTGCTCATTTCAGTCATCAACTTCTTCGACACCCTTCTACAGCCGTCTCAGTCTATAAACGCTCCTCGACTCATACACTCAGCATACTCCTCCCATCTCAGACAGCTACAACAATCTCGTCGTAATCACCACCATCATCGCCATCTTCTCCTACTCGACCCGGCTCCAGTCAGTGTCGGCTAGTCAAGCGATCCTCGACATCTTCACCCAGACTACACTTGCAATGGGCAGGGGTATGTTACTCCATTCTCTCACTGTGTGCTAAGAAGCGCTTGCTAACGACGAGAAGGAGGCTACAACTAAACCACCACCTCAACCTTATCCACCAAGCCAAGAGGCGCCCTACCAACACCACAACATCAGCGATCACACCGTTACCATGGGTCGCGGCGGATACAACTAAATCCCCAGCGGGTGATCCCGCAGCCAGCAACACTCGAGAAGCCGATTGAAGCCTTCAGCAAGACCACATCTCGAAACGCCACATGGCTCCCTCCACCGAAGGTCCACCGCATCGTCTTCGGCCAGCATTCAAAATGCTCCGCAAGAAGCGCGTTGAACGGTGGCGCGCTTGACGCCACCGTCAGCAGCCTCTTCTCTTCTTTCTATTGTCTTATTTCCTTCCAGGCCTCGGCCGTGTATTATCCTCTGTACTTCTACCAGCATAGCGCAGCATCTGTGGTTTCTTCTCCTTTCGGTCGTTTCGTCATTTCGTTCTCGTTTTTGTCGGTAGCATTCCAGCGAGCGGGTTTGGGTCAACGGACATGATTATGGGTTATGGGCAACGGGTAACGGGTTACGGACACGGTACGGACGAGATATCCAGGGCAATGGCGTTATAGACGGTGGAAATATCGCTCTTCGCTGAGCGCTGGCGGGGATTTGGACGCTTTCGCGTTCTGGCGTTATCTTGTTCTTTTGTTTCCCAAATTGTAATCTTTGCTCTTAGACTGCGCGTTCTTGTCTTTTTGGGTTGAGCTGGCGGTATGCGCTCCCCATGGTCGATCTCATACCCTGGCGGTATCTCAAATCCACAACAATACTCCTTATATCCTGTGCGCGATCGAGCGATGGTTTGGCGGGGTTCGTGATGCGATCCTCATTTTCCGACGCAAAACCTAAATTATGAAAAACGGGTTAGCACTCAAGCGAGGAGTAACTCCAGACGAGAGTGGGGACGGAGGTGTGCGCAAATGAACAGTGGAAACTGCCGGGTGACTGTCTGTGCCGCATCCGTTGCCGCAGCGCCTCAACCGATGGATGTCATCAGCAAAAAGGGCGGTGGCTGGCCTGTGTGCGGCACGGTCAGGTAGTACCCGACTGGTATGGGGTCCAGAAGCGCGATATGGATGCTCAAAGAACGAAACATCCTCGTGCTACCGCAAGGGTTGTTGTTGTGGTTATGTATCTGCATTGTCCGAGATATGCAGCTAAGTAACAAATGGCGGACTTACTTTTCGAACACAACGCCCAAGACTTCTTCCACATCGCCACTTTCTCCACGCCCAGTAATCCTGGCTAGCGCATCCGCAGCGAGGCGGAGCGACTCAGCGGCCACAACGATGTCCACTTCATCCGTTAGGTCAGGCTGGTCAAATCCTAGGCCAAGTGGGCCACTTGTGGGGGCTGCGCCATCTAAATTTACTTCGGCGGGAGGACGGCCGTGAACGGCTCTCAGGAATGCTTCAAGATGAGAAAGGCATTCGGAAAGCAGGACGCGCTGGCGCTCAGTTGCACCAAGTGACTCTTGCCAAATGCACGGGTCGGGTTCTGAGTCGGGTACCAAGGCCGCGGTCATGTCGTTGAAAGTTTGGAGCAGACCTTGGAGGAATGATTGGATATTGCCGGGGTCCCTAGGTTGCACTTCGGGGAGAACAGCAGCTTCTCTGCAAGAGACGAAGAATATGCGGTCGGAAGGAATATCGAGGCCAGACTGTAACTTTTCTTTCCAGTTCTCGGTGGATTGTAGTGGTTCCGGTAGTTGGTCAGTCTTATTGATAGCAACAACGACATTGATGCCCATTTCAACACACTCCTGTGCTGTTTCCGTGACCTCGGGATCCATCTCGGCTGTGGCGTCTTGAACGACGATTAGGACGTTCGACTCCAGCGCGCGTTGCTTAGCGCGCTTGATGCCCTCTTGCTCGATAGCGCCAACGACATCGGCGCCGACAACGCCAGCCTTCCGCAGGCCAGCCATGTCTCCAATCTTGACCAACCATCCACCCAAATCGATGCCGACCTCGACGACGTCTCTGGTTGTGCCAGCTTCGTGAGAGACAATTGCGGCATCTCGGCCTACGATGCGGTTGAGCAGGCTGCTCTTCCCTGCGTTAGGCGCCCCAAGGAGCGCAACGCTAATGCCGCTTCGCAAGAGCTCGCCTCGGACCGCGTTTGCTATGTGCGCTTCCATTTGAATGGTCAATTCTCGCACCTGATCCGCCACAGATGCGCAAAGGGCCGCCGGTGACTCATCGAAGTGCTGGTCCTCGGAGAAGTCAATCAGCGCCTCCAGCTCCCCTCGTGCTTGGAGTAATAGCATGCGCCAGCGCTCATACCGCGCGGCTAACGAGGAGGTCGTGCCGCGCACCGAAAGCATGCGCTGTTGCTCCGTGGTAGCGGAAAGAGTCTCGCCTAGCGACTCGATTTGCGGAAGATTCATGCGATTGTTGGCGAAGGCGCGCCTGGTGAACTCGCCGGGCTCTGCATATCTGATGGGGTGAGTTGCACCCAAAGCACCAAGGCTAGGAGATGATGCGCATTGGGGTATAGCAGTCAACACGGCACGGACAATGGCTGGCCCGCCGTGCACATGGAGTTCAAGCACATCCTCCCCTGTTACAGTGTTCGGGGCTGGGAAGTAGAGCACAAGGGCGCCCGAGTCGAGCAACGTTGCCGGAGAAGGAGGAAGATGCGGCGCATAGAGCTTGCGAAGCGTGGCATGCCGAGGGTTCGGAAAGGGGTTTGAAGGACACAAGCATTCGTAGATCTTGCGACTGGTTTAGAATGGTTTGCCCGGCGACTAGGGAGGAGCCGTACCTGTCTGCATGCTGGACCCGAGATGCGAATGACAGCTATCGCGGCTTTTCCGGAAGCTGTTGAAAGGGCATATATAGTGGGCTCATCTGGATCCGAAATGGTGAAATGAGAAGAGCGGCTCTGAGGAAGGTTCAGGAGCCTCCGTTTGTGTGGTGTGACGCCATGGCGGTGAGCGAGCCACGACCGTTCAATTGGCAGTTGAACAGGTCGGACGAGGGAAGCAATTGCCCTTCTTGAGCACAATTGATGGATTCTTTGCAGCGACGAGATGGACGCTCTCATTCCGAGAGCAGCTTTGGCGATGACATGGTGGTGTTGAGATTTGCGACGAACTGATCTCCGCATTGCGCATGGGCCCTCCGAAATCTTGGCGGCGCGCTAGTTAGAGGACCTGGAAAATTATTAACAACCACCTTCGAAGCCAACAACAAACCGACGACCATATTGCAATCCGCCAACTTGCGAAAGCTCTACTTTGCGCCCCGCTATGGCTTCCGACGACATCGTCTGGAACAGTAAGATCCCTTGGTGGACTCGTTGTCTTGCGTCAGTGCCTTCACATCTCGAAATACCACTAGGTGGCGTCTTGCGAGATGTCGCTAGTATTTGGCTAAGACGTGGAGATGACCCCCTTAGTTTATGAGCTGCGCTAACTTTATGCCCCCGATTTAGTCATTGGCACTGACTTCTGTGCGTTCAAGCTTAAGACCACGAAGGACCAGACCTTCTGCAGAAACGAACACAACGGTGCGTAGACCGATTTCCAAAGCCGGATTCCACCCAAACGCATCCTTCGGCGGCGCTACGAACCTTCTTCACGATTAGAACGTGTCTTGGCGGCCTTGTGAATCATAGCGGGGTCGATGGACGAGGGCGTACGCATACTAGAGCTTGGATAAGCAGCATCCGAGGATGGATATACTAGGGCCCTATCGGCGTTGTGCTCTGCTCCCGGTGCACTTCGCGAGCGGGTCGGGATGCTGGACATCGTCTCATGAACGCCGTTTGGTGTAACTTGCTGAGGCATGCTCGCTGTTGCTTTTCGAACCCAACTAATTTGGCCGCCTCTAGTCAGCGGTTTCTGCTCCAGGCAGTCCTGTCCTTTGGCCAACTCGCGATATGCTACGATTAGAAGCGATCCCGCCACCGGCAACCTCTATCTGTACATCAAGGCCATCGAGAGGAGCCATCTGCCTTCCAAATGGGTAAACATCCCTCATATTGGAGGATCTACTTCGGTTCCGCTGACAAGTCATTAGTGGGAACGCATCAAGCTCCCGCGAAACTACACCCAGGCCCTTGAACTAGTAGACGAACACCTCAAATACTACCCTAAATTCCTTGTGTAAGTAAATACAGGATAGGCTTTGAACGATGGCTAACTGGAGGCCAACTTAGGCACAAGAACAAGCAGCGTTTAACCAGACTTACCCAAGTAAATATTCGAATACGCAAGCTCGAAAAAGAGCAAGAGCGCTTGGGCGAGAAGCTCGTTCCGAGGTTAGCACCGAAAGTACGACGACGTGAAGAAGGGAGAGAAAGGAAGGCTCTTGCTGCCGCGAAGGTTGAGCGCGCTATCGAGCGTGTGCTGATCGATCGTTTACGCTCTGGTGGTAAGTGCAGTCGGGGCTCAGAGAACTGCCTCAATTTTTCATCCCCTCCCCTGAATTTATCCTCCGATCTCCGAACCTTGCTGACTATACCCCCCTTAGCATATGGAGATAGGCCTTTGAATGTGGAACCTAACGTGTGGAAGAAGGTTTTGCGAGGGTAAGTCTCTATTCTTCCTCCCAGACGTAGGGGTTTGCTGATGATGGGACAGATTAGAGAAGGAAGGTGCAACACGCGACGAGGACCTAGATGAGGGTATAGAAGAGGAGGACGAGGAAGTCGAGTACGAACAAGAACTCGAAAACGAGGGTGCAGAAGTCGAATACGTGAGCGACATTGAGGGAGAGTCGGACGATGATCTAGAGGACTTCGAGGATTGGATTGGAGGCCAAAGCCCGGATGAAGATGAGGAGAGTGGAGAGGAGGAGAGTGAGAGCGCTGCGGATACCGAGGAAGGCGAGGACGAGTCCGAAGATGAGGACGTGGAGGCTCTCAAGAAGACGCTCGCAAATCTGAAGCGCAAGCGACCGACCGGGCCACCCCCCAAGCCGAAGAAGAAACCCACCAAGAAGGACTCGAAGGGGCCACGTCGCGAGATCGAATACGAGATCGAGAGGGAACCCGCTGCAAGGGAGGTTCTGCGGACGTAAAGAGCTTGAGGATTTCGCATGACTCTGGTATTAGCTATTGGAGAGATTCAGCAGAATACCATTTGGTTCCACATGCAAAAGTTTTCCGGGATAGGTGAAGGTATTCATACGGTTTTCGGTGTTTTCGTATCCATCATCACGATTCACGAGGTGGCCGTTCGACCTTCGAGAACCAGCCTCGAGTAAACACGCATCATTTGCAATTACTACCTCCAAACTTCTTCCATTCTCCCACTTCAGGCCAGTATTCTGTCTGTTTCCCGTGCTTGAAATAATTCGCATTGTCCGTTCAGGACCTGCACGCAAGACGAGAAGATTGTATGCCGCCCCGCATTGTTTACCACTACTTCCCCCTCCCAAGCATGACATACATTGTGTGCTCCACTCCATGCTCTCTATAACTCTACCCCCGCTCACCGTCATATGCTTCATGCCCGTCATTCCATCACAACTCACTACAGAACAAACACCTCTCTAGCATGTCCACCCGCACTCCCACAAGCAACCCAGCCCAAGCCGGCTCTTGGGCCAACACCGACACCGCTCATACCGCGGAAGCCCAGAGCGCGCAGCAAGAATGGATTACCACTGTCTTGCAGACGCAGCATGACCGCGTAGTTGCCGTGGTGGATGAACTGCTTGACAATCCCTTTGCCGAAGCAGAGGAATCTACCAGCACCTCCCGGCCTAGCATCCCAACGGCACCATCACTGTACCAGCCCTCCTCGTCCTCCCTTTCCTACTCCTCCTCCCCCGATGGTGACGAGGAAGAATTCGGACCCTTCCAGTCCGCCTCCACACCCACCCCACTCCCCTCATCTCCCACTCCCACCCCTCCCACAAATCCCTTCAAACACCCCATCTACCTCCCCAAACCCGCACAAGACACCGACAAACTCATCCCCTCCTCCTCACACCCAGCCCCAGCCCCTGCTTCCGAAACCCATCCCATGGCCTTAGAATACGGGACGCTCGTCGCACACGGCGTCATCGGAGCAGTGCAGGCGCGCTTCGACGCCGGCACGCGCCGCGTGCGGAGGGCGGGCAAGCTGGCGCTGAGGAAGCTGCAGATTGCGCGGGAGAAGGCGGGGCGGGAGGCGCGGGAGGCTCGGGAGGCGGTGGTGGTTGGCGAGTATATGCGGCGGGAAGCACCTGCTGCGGAACGTGGGAAGGGGAGTGATGTGGAAGGGAGTGGGGGTATAAAGGCTAAGGCTGAAGGGAAGGAGGAGAAGAAGAAGAAGAAGGAGAAAAGGGTGGATATGAATGGGGTGGTGAAGCCGGTTAGCTGGGGGACTGTTGGGGAGGGCGCTCATGCTGAGATGGGGGGCATGCAGGAGGAGGTGGACGAGTTTATGGAGGCGGAGAAGAAGGTGTGGGAGGGGTGGGTTTCTGTGCCTTTCGGCTCTAGTTGAGGGATTAACCCCTGCCTGGGGCGAATGGGGTTTCTCGCTGCGCTTTTGTTTGGATGGGAAGGGTGGAATCGCATCAGACTGTAAGTTTTTCTCCTCGACTTAGATTGATATGACTTCAGGCTCCGTTGCCCAATTACCGATGGAAATGCATATATGTAGACAAGCACACGAATGTAAAGTGACCACAAGTACTTAGCGGCCAGGCTATGCACGAAGGACTGCATATAAGCCCTCGCAGTGAGTGATGTAAGCCTATGCCTCAGCCATGCCCGTCCTGTCCCTCCTATACACTTCTTCCTCAGTGTATTCCTCTCACTCCTTATACTCCCTAGCTCCCTTCTCCTCATCCCCCACTCCATTAACACCATTCATCATCCCCGTCGGCATACCTCCCTGGGCCGCAATACTGCTCCTTCTCCTCTCAGCCATCACATGTGCCTCCTCCGTCTCCTCGTAGCTGATCAGCAGCTCGCCATGCTTATCGTAGCGATGCGGCAAGTCATTTGCGATCTGGACCACGTTGAACGCGTTCGTCGTCTTGTGGAAGATCTCGTCCATTTCCTCGAGCGAGCGGTAGGCGGTTTCGGGAAAGAAGAAGTACACGCAGGGGACCATGAAGGCGTTGATTACGGCGAAGATGACGTAGGTCTTGTACCCGATGTTGGCGAAGGCAACGGGTGTGACCATTACGACCATGAAATTGAAGATCCAGTTTGCGGTCGTGGAAATAGCGTTAGCTGGGGCACGGATGCTGAGGGGTGTGATCTCGGCGGGGTATAGCCATGTCATCCCGAGCCAGCCTATGGCGAAGAAAGAGTTGAACACGAAGAGGAACACAGCCGCTGTGATACCCATACCGGTGCTGACTTTACTGGTTGTGCCGGCTAGGACGGCCATCGATGCTGCCTGGCCTGCAGCGCCAAAGATCATGAGCGAACGTCGCCCGAATTTTTCGATGGTAAAGATGGCGATCCAGGATGCCATCCAATACTCCGTGCCATTGCAAGCAGCCAGCAGGCGGCTGAGAAAGCCGGAAAGACCGATGTTTTGCTCGAAGATTGTCGCGGCGTAGTACGTAATAATATTGATACCGCTGATCTGTTATAGTGTTAGAATACTCGTTACAGAGCAAAGCCATTAGGGGTCACGTACCTGCTGAAACATCTGGTTGACATAAGCCAGCGCCGTCCGATGAAAGTTCCGATTCCGATTCATCTTAAAGCAATCCTTGAACCCTCCTCTCGACATCTCAAACACCGTATCCTTGACGGCCTGGAATTCGCTCTGAATCTTCTTGTCCTCGGGCGGGAGGTCGCTAAGCGCACAAAGCACTTGAAGGGCGGCATCTTCCCTCCCTTTAAGGACGAGCCATCGGGGGGATTCAGGGAGACCCGGGATAGTGGCGAGGATGAAGAGGGCGAGGACAATCTGGAAGGCGATGGGGAAGCGCCAGGAGATGGTGCTGGGTTCGAGGAAGGAGAAGCCGAGATCAAGCCAGTAACTGAGCATGACGCCGAAAACAATGAGGGAGCCCTGGAAGGATGTGGTTAGGTTGAGTCCTAATTAGGGGCGAGCCGGAATATACCTCTATCATGACCATCTGCCCACGTCGATGGGACTTGGAAGTCTCAGCCTGCCACGTCGGTACACTATGTCTCGTCAACTCTGCTGCCTCTACTCTCCGGTCACTACTTACGTGGACGTATTCATGCCGTTCCCGAAGCCCGTAATCAATCGCCCAACGATAAGCTGGGGCAGGCCAAACGAAGAAGCCTGCAGGATGGCCCCAATGACCATAATGGAACTTCCGGTGAAAATAGTGCGTTTACGTCCGAGCATGTTACCGAGCCAGATGGTCGCGACAGCGCCGAAGAAGCAGCCGAGTGTGTATCCGCCGACGGTGATGCCCTGGATGTTGGAGGCATGGCTGGGGTTGCTTCCCGGCGGCGGGTTTGCAGTGTCGATTTGAGGAAAGTGAGCTAGGAAGGAGGGCAGCGTGAGGAGGCCACCCATAACACCCTGATCTGTTTATCGTGAGTATGAGGCTGCCGCGGTGACGACCGGGGACTTACCATAGCCGAACAGGGCGAAATCAGTGCCTGCCACAATGGCGATGGCGATGTTGAGTTTAAGGCCTGTGAGGCCGTAGAACTTCTTCATGTTGGTTGAAGAAGGAAAGTTATTCCCGGGCTGCGAACAAGCCGAAGAAAAAATTTAATCCTGGGGGGAAATTGCGGTGAACTTTGAGGCAGTTGCGACCCGCTGTACACCGCTACCATTGAACCACCGTCCGAAGTGGATCCAATTGAGATATAAGAGTCTCCATCGCGGCCTCCAAGCTGCCCTAGCATCGCAGGGACCGTGGCGACTTTCCCGGTTCATCCAAGTCCCAAAGCCGACGATGACGTTTGGGTGGTTGAGCCTGGTGCGGGGATGTCGACAGATCTGCGCCTGTATGCACGCCCCATGGGGAATTTTAGCACTCACACTCACGCGTGCATCTCAAAATCCTCTCTTCTAATTGGATACATGAAGAGGGCATCTTGAGGAATCTCAGGAATGCTGACCGCATTACCGTATCAGGCAAACCCGGTCGCTAGTGAAACAAATCCTGGGCGTCGGCGCACGGAAACTGGCGTTGTTGTGGAGAGTTTAGAACAGCCGAAGAACAGGCGCTAGAGTGGCGGCTCCGAGAAAGCACCGCGGACAGGGGCGCCGCGTGCTCTGTTCTCCGCGAAAATCGAGTGAGCAAGCAACGGATTGCCGCAAAGGGTATGCCGCAACGTGTGCTGGCTGGTGAGGGTGAGAGATGGACGGAGATTTGGGTGAAAGGCTGGATGTATGAAAGGGACTCAGAACTGGGTTGAGACGAGAAATCTTGTTCCATTCTGCAAGGTATATCTTGGCTAGCACCTTCGTATCCCGTAGTAAGGGAGAAAGGAGGGCTTGATGCTGCTGGCCTGGTGATATCGGGGGCCTCGATGAAGCCTTGCTTGCCCTGAGAAGCCGCACTCCTTGTAGTACTTCTGAATGAAATAGCCTCCACTCCGACTTCTAGATCGAGGGAGGCAGACAGCGCCGTTATCCCTTCGCCCGCGTCGTCGCCATCAGTCTCCTCGTTTCAAAGACTATCGCGTACCTCGATGCCCCTGTCAGGGTGGGCGACGATGTTCGAGGTGCTGGCGTGGTAGCAACCGCGAAAGACTTGAGCCCACCTTCCGGAACTCATGCGACCAAGCGGCCAACCCGTTATCGGTAAGTGAGGTATTCCGTTTACTCCAACCTCATCCGTTTGTGTTCACATATCAGGCTGAGCCGTACGAGTTGAAAAGAGAATCCAGGTCAGCGAAAGTCAACTCTCCGCACAATTCCATGTCGTCCAGCGCCGTCACCGAACTATCCGATGAATTGGGGTTACCCGGGTGAGCAGTGGCCAACCCGCCTGAAAATTCGCAATGACCACCTCCACATTGTGACAGGTCCAAACCCTCCAAGGGATCAATTTCGCCTCCAGCAGGTAGCTGCGTTGGGGCATAAAGGGGATCTATGACATCCCTGGGCCGGGGCAAGTCGTTGCTAGAAGGACCAGTCTTTCGCGATTCAGGTGCAAGAGCCATGGTGAACTGGTCCACGGCTGCCACGGACTGCCACAGCTCTTCCATCTCGAGTTTGCGGCGTTTGACTGAGGAAGCTGCGGTCATCTCGGTTTGTACAATGCGGATTGCTGGTTGAGGTGGCGGACCGGGGAGGAGAGGAGGCAACGTGTCAAATGCATCCCGCATAGCGGGCATGGAAATGTTGCTCGCTAAGTAGGGTTCGATACCGTCTTTAGGAACTGCGCCGGTATATGGGGCACTGTTGATATAGCCTATCATGGAAGGGTGATCATAGCCCTGTGCCAGAAATTGCGGCTCCTCCGTGTAGTTGATGGAGTCGTTCATGGCTGAGTCGTACGACGATTCCACTAAAAGTGACGTCCAGTCTTCTGGATCGACTCCATCATCGAAAGCTGGCGGCGCACCACACTCTCCAATGTTTTCTGACGGCGCCGAGCGCGAATCGGTCGAGCACGTCGAAGGTATATCAATCGCGGTCGATTCGGATTGACCGGGATCCTCTTCCCGGCTAGTCACCGTGGCGGATCCTGTTCGTTGGGTTCCTGCACCTGTCTCTATGTTGCGGGATGTCCTTCTGGGCCGTCCGACAGATATAGGCCGTGAAAGCAGAATACGCGTACTGCGAGCCTCCTTTTCCGGACTAAGCCTCTGCTTAAGGAGTTCAGCCTCCGCTAAGACGATGCTATTAAAGTGGTATAGCAGCACCTCCTCCCATTGCGATTCTGGAAGCTGGCGACGCAAGGTCTGAAGAAGCCTTGATCGGTATTCATCTTGACGTTCCGGGTCGATGCTGCGGGCAATGTCGTCGTCTTCGTAAACTTGGCAGTGTCAGCGGCGATCCGCCTTTCCAACGCAGAGTACTGACAACATGATGGCAGTTCAACATCATGACCGAAAAGCGTTCGGTATATGTCGTTCCACTGTTCTATTTCCCTAGCCTGAGAGGCCCCAGCCTTAGGCCCCCTCTTTGCTTTGGGAAGGGCTCTGCGTATCCTCATACCGACTCCTTCGGCTGGGTAGTATGGCTCTGCTGCGTCGCATTGTTGGGCGCAAAATCCATCATTGTCGAGATCATTCTCGGTCGAGAATACACGAAGGCATCGGACGCATTCTTGCAGTTCATGCGGACTTCCCTGCCTGGATAAATGGCCTCTGTCGTTGGTTAGTGGCCCTTCAGGCCAATGCAAGCTTGACCACTCACTTGAGGCGAGAGAAGTCAGAATACCCCGAACTGCATGACACGACATGCCGAAACCTGTGGGGGTTGTTCTTGAAGAAGGGGCAAGCGTATTTTTGGTTTGGTGCACCATCAGTGCCCTGTACCTCAAGATCTTGTGGCAGCCTCGGTTTCTCGTCATTGGAATCGCTCTCGTCGTGTCTTCTCTTAGTGTCATCTTTGTCATGCTTTCGAGCTTGACTTTTTTCTGACCGACCCGCCGCTTGGAGCAGGGAAGATTTCCGCCGACCAGCTGAGGACGCTCCAGCCGTGGGGCATTCTTTGTATCCAGATATAGAGGGAAGGCTATCATTTGAGGGTAAAGTGTGCAGGAAATCCAGGACCGTAAGGGTAGCCTGTCGTGCGATGTTCGCCAAGGATTCCTCAGGCTTATGACCCGGCGCGTGCGGCGTATCCTTCGAAGGACGATCCTTCCTTTTGCCCCGGGAATCATGTCGTGTGTCAGGTTCCTTATCCTCCGGAGAAACGATGGATCGCAATTCGTCCTCCGCTGGGACCGGCTTTGCGATGTCGGAAGGGGAAGCGGCATTCTTACGAGTAGCATCGTATATGTAAGATGTAGGTGGCGGAGACCTAGGGGGGGTCATCGGATTGGTACCCGGACTGCATCGCTTGTGAAAGTTGCATGTATCGTTAGGGCAGTATGAGTTGTTCGCCAATGAAAACGGGCCATCTTCGCAATTGCAGCAGTACCAAACGTAGCTTCGGCCGACTTTATCGACTCTGCAAGGCATCTGGGCGGAAGTGGCAGCCACTCAATGCAGTTAGTCACCAATGTGAATATCGAGGGCGCTGAGTCGAAGGCGAAAGGCTGAGGCTCATGATGAAAGCGGCTCTGCATTCAAAGAACATTATGAAGAAAGTGTCTGCTGGTGAGAATTCATCGCAGGAAAGAGCAAAGCCGCGAGAAACCTCAGGAGGCAGATGATGGCATATCCGCGGCAGCTCTTATTGGAGGGGCGACCGGTCAGGTCCTGCAGCAGCATGTTCTCGAGAAGAGGCACGACGGGGCAGCCAATCATCTAGCTCACCGCTCAACGCCATCGTCCTTCTGTTCAGGGGTCGGCGACTGCGCTGTCAACCTCGAGTGTTGCCTGAGGAATTAAGTACAGAAAGGCGCAGAATGTGGGGAAAAAAATGAGGTCTGGGAGGCCGGAGACACATCGCTCGTCGCTCCTCAAACCGGTAGACGGCATGTTCCGGGGGCGAGAAGATGCCGAAATGGCAGATAACTCTGATGAACTGGACATGCATCGCATTGTTCAGTGTGAGATAGAATGCCGTACTGATCGCGACCTCCCCGGACTGCCGATGCGCCTGCGGATTCAGTTGCGTGTGGTTGACTTGGCGATCATGCTTGCGTAAAAAAGAAAAGCAGGCCGACGGGATGGTGTTGAAGGTGGAAAGGAGGGGTCAGGGTAAGCGACGGAGCTGAAGTCCGAGGGCCCCGGGGTTCGTTTCCCGCTAACTTGAAATAGACAGCGAGACATCCGTGTCTTCAACCCACGCTACAGTGCGGGAGAATGTACCAAAACCGCTTCAGAGACTTAAAACAAACCTCCAACGCATTAGTTTTATCCACTCACTTATGTTAAAGTTGCGAAAGCTTGGATTAAAATGCATACCGTGGCATATTTGTCCGTGGGGTGTTGTCCCACGAACCGACCGGGATGCCCCAGGCAATAATGGCACATAGCACTCGCACCGTGGCACTTGCCACCTTTACCTCTCCTCCTACACGACACAACTACATTGGATCCCACCGCCCCGGAAAGCCCATCCATTCCAACGGTTCGTCCAGCCAGCACCCGAGACGCAGGGTTGCAACACGGCATTTACTCCAGCCGCCATGAACCGACAGCGCTTTGCGAAACGCGTGCGAGAGGACGCCCAGACCTGGAGAGACCGCGTCATTGGGAAGAGGATTACAACAGGAGATCCTCATATCGCTGCGTACCCCGCCTGGAAATGCACCGACCCACTGGTCTGGGAGCCACGGATTTATCTCTGCCAACCCATCGGAAAAGGACTTGATAAGGATTTGCGGTACGAAGCCCAACCCGATTCTCGTCTGCTACAAATGCCCGCCGAGATACGCAACCGCATCCTCGAGCTTGCCTTGGCGTCGCAAACGATTCCGTCGTTGCCGGCCCTCGATCCTATCCCGCGGATGGACCCCCTGTGGACGTGCACGTCGGCTGTTATCTTCACGTGCAAGCAGCTGTACGATGAGGGTAGGGCTTTGGCAGTAGCAGAGAATACCTTTAAGTATGAGGAGTTTCCGAAGAAGACGCGGTTCTGCGCTACGTCAAGAGAAGAATATAATTACATTTGGGATCTGTAAGTATTCCTCGCCTTATGGAATAGGCACTAAACGCATCGGTTTCTCACGTTCTGCAGGCTGAACATCGTCTGTGACATGAAAACTAATGTAATCAAGCAGGCATATTATGGATGACATTTCAAACTGGGAGCTTAGTCGGGGGCCCAATATACGTGTTTTACATGCAAGCACCAGCACCAACGCCGACCGTGTTCGCTCATCTCACAACTGAACCCGCGCCTTGCACATGAGTAAATATTTACAACTCCTCCTTGTCCTCCTCGTCAATACCGACGCGACCCTTGATAGGATCCTTTTCGGCATCCCAAATTGCATCGAGAAACTTCTCTCCCGTCTTGTGGTCTGTAGCAAACATGTGGTCCACAACCAGCTTTCGAGGAGTCTCGCCCAACCACTGGAAGAGCGAGAAGTCTTTGAACTCGTCTGCGCGGAAGATTTCCAGCACCTCAAGCGGCTCGTCGTCGCTCAGGTTCTCGATGAAATGGCCCATGTTCTTCGGGACGATGCCCACGTCGCCCGCCTGATAGTCGAATGTCCTTGCGTTTCCTTTACCTGCGAAGATGGTCACACGTGCCCGACCCTTGATGAAGAAGCTCCATTCGTCTGCGGTCGGGTGCCAGTGCATCTCCCTCAACGCACCCGGTTGAATATCCAAATGTGCCGCGGCTACTGTCTTGGAGAGGGGGAAGTTGGTGGAGTCCGTGATACGGACCAGTCCTCCGGTAGTATTCATGGGCTCTTGAGCAAGCATCTTGTGGGTGAACTGCAGCTTGGACTTCTTGTAACCCTTACCTTTGGGGAGCTCCTTATCGATGGAGTCAGGCTCGCGGCCCTGGAAGATGTACTTTTCTTTGTCCGGGGTCGCTTCGAATACTTCCGGGGCGACGCGGAAGTTCTCTGAAAGAACCTTCTTCGGCGTCCGAGCGACCCAGTCGGTCAGCAAGAAGGTTGAATCTTCGGAGAAGTGGCCGTCGTCGAAAATGAGAAGGAACTCGGTGCCGTTGGGACTGAGTCCCTGAAGAGAGTGAGGATGGCCGGCGGGAAAGTACCAGAGATCGCCCTTCTCGAGATCGTCGACGAAGCTGCCACCTTCAGTGTCGAGCGCAGTGATGCGGACGCGACCTTCCAGGACGTAAGCCCATTCGGCCTCCTTGTGCCAATGGAGCTCTCGGATCACGCCCTCTTCGAGTCGCATATTGACGCCAGCTAGCTCTATGCTGGTAGGGAGCTCGCGGATAGTCGTCTCTCGCGTCCAGCCGCCTTCCTCGATGCGGATATGCGAGTCGGCGAACGACCAGCGCATGTTCTGCATGGTGCCGTGATCGGTGCTAGGTGGGCGGATAATATCGGGGTTCTCTCGCTCACGCGGCTTGTTGCGTGGGCCCAGCATGGTCGCACCATCTCCATTTCTCTGATCAGAGAGTTAGCACATGCTTTCTGCGCTCATTTGGCAGAGCGGCGCTGTATCGCGAGGGTGCAGCCCAGAGAGCCAAGGCGCTTTACGATGCTTGGTTGGATTACGCGACACTTTTGGACGGCATTGTTAACTTACCCATGGCAGAGGCTGAAGCTTGTCTCCGATGGCGTCGATTTTCCCATCGTACGGGTCGCGATGCTCTGGCGTGTAGGGCTTCCCATGCGGCCCAGCGTGACGTCCGTTTCCGGTTAGCGGCTGCTGCTCGACGGGGGCGGCCGAGACGCCGCTGCAGGCACCCAGCACCACGAGCAACGGTGAGAAATGCATGGCTCCTCTTCAACTGATTTCGGTCGATTCTGCTGGAACTTCTGCGCGTCGCAGACTGATGGTATGGCGCTCCTTAAGACGTCTTCCGGCCACTCTCCCGCTCCCCGCTCGGGCCTTTTCCCATGACGACATTTCCGGGGCTTTCCTTTCATCGCTTGGCCCGCCAGCTGCTTTCTACTCGTGGATTATTGTTTTATCCCTGCGGACTCGTCCTCTCGAAACATTAAATGCATCTGCTTCTGCAGCGTTACTGGTCTTTAGTCACTCCTCCGGCCATATCCTAGAATTGCCGCGGTTTGTTGTCGTCGCGGAAACATCCAGCCCCCCCGATCTGTGTGCGGAGTTGCTTGGCGACTTGCCGTTCCCGCGCTAGTATTCTATTAAGTCCGCCCCTCGCCCTCACTTCTGGACACCGAAGCCGCCTTCAGCAAATTCAGCAACATGAACAATCTCAATTCGCACCGACGCAATGCCGCCGACGAGGAAACCCCGCTGCTGCCCCGACCCGCGAAACCTTCGGATCCAGCTCGGCCATGGAATCGCCTGAAGAAACACATGATGGTAAATGTCCACAAGGACTGGGCAGACCTGGTCTTGCTGTTTTGCTACATCATCACGGGGCTGCTGGATAGCTCCGCCGTGTTTATCTGGGGCTCGTTCGTAAGCATGCAAACTGGTGAGTAAGAAGCGCTTGATCCCATCTCATGTGTTGTAGAAATGATCACTAACACAAGACTAGGGAACACCGTGTACCTGGGCTTAGGTCTCATAGCACCCAACGAAGGCATACGCTGGGTCAAAGCCCTAACCTCGATAACCTTCTTCTGTCTCGGCTCCTTCTTCTTCAGCCGCTTCCATCGCCACCTCTCGCCGCGCAGACGCTGGGTCCTTGTTGCTTCCTATCTCATCCAACTCGTCCTCATCCTCCTGGCTGCATTGATTGTCACTCTCGGGACCGAATCCTCGAATGGCCTCCACTGGCAGGTGCTCATCCCGCTTGCTTCAGTCGCATTCCAATCGAGCGGACAGGCGGTCACCTCACGAGTGTTGCAGTATGGCGGGCTCACGAGCGTCGTTCTGACAAGCAACTACTGCGATCTCTTTTCCGACCCGAAGCTGTTTGCCCTGACCAACGTGGAGCGGAATAGGAGGACCGCTGCGCCGATTCTGCTTTTGATTGGCGCCGTGTTTGGGGGTCTGTGGGCGCATAGTTCTGTCGGCCTGGCCGGAGCGCTTTGGACTGCTTTCGCGTTGAAAGCAGTTGCTGTCGGTGCGTGGCTGTTCTGGAAGGCTGACCCGGAGGACGAGTGAGAGAGCTGAACAGCGAACGTCGTGCAATGAGGTCCGTCATCTATTCATCCGATCGCGATATCATTCCCCAGCAGAAGAAGATTAAAATGTCGTCGCTGCACGCTGTGCTTCATCGTTGTCTTTTTTTGCAGATACTCCTTGTACAAAAATAGCCTTCCCGACGATTGTTGACCGATCAAATCTGTGGAAGCATGGACTGCAGATGTTGCTTGAAATAGTACGTAGGAGCCATACCATTGGTGTCCTCTGCGAAACATTGCACCTTGAAACCGCATGCGTTGCACGTCGCATATAGATAATAGAGTCTGGAGCATCAGGCAATGCGCCCACACTACTGTATGGAGACCTCAACCCACAATTTCTCAACCATCCGATTTTCCCTTCCTCAATTATCCAGGCGAGTTTCCACCCACTTCATCGCTGACCATCGCGGACCCGGCGAACCAGTTCTTGACCCGGTTACTGCTTCGCCCTATCTTATACCATTCTGTCGGGATCCTTTGTTTTAAAACACCCCCGCATCGTCGCAGGATCCCGTTACAGGCCATAGATGGCGATCTCGGTCAAAGAGCAAAAGCTTCTTTCTACTTTTCCGCGTCCTCCATCGAGCGCATCCGCAGTATCCCCTCCGAGAGCTTCGGCGCAGGCTTCCGATTCAGTCTACCGCGCTTCCGACTTTGGCTTCATACAAGTTGGACTGTGTCCAGAAGATGATAATCGCTCGCTCTACGATGACCCCATCGCGGAGACTCATAGCAATGCCTCTCAAGCTCCCATACCCGTGTCGCTTCCGTCCTCCCATACCGCAGAGTTGCAACTTGTCCTTGACAATCCATCTCGAGCCTATTCCCCTGGAGAAAGTATAACGGGCTATATCTTAGGCTGGACTCCCTCTTCAAACACACATATCCATCTCATCCTCGAAGGACGCGCAACAACGTACATCCGCGGCGACAAAACCGAGCACAAAAACCACGCACCGCTGCTCTATCAAATCCTGCACTTCAAGCCCGAAACTCACAACGCAATCCCGCGGTTCTGCATCACGATTCCCGAGCGCTCCACCAGCGGCTTCGATGAGACCCTGAACAGCCTCTCCTCAGACCACCCTACGCATACTCCGTTCTGGACACATACCTGGCCAGCCCAAGAACCATATGAATCCAGCGCAGCGCACCCCCTCCCCCCATCCATGACTCTCCCCCTCCGCACCTCCACCACCCTCACATCCCTCGCCTCAGGCCGCGCCTCCATATCCTACTCCCTCATCGCCGTGCGCTCCACGCCCTCCCCATCCCCATCCCCATCCCCCAACACCCTCATCCCAAACGCCACGCACGCCTTCCCCATCCACCTCACTACCCTGCGCCTCCCCCCTCCCCGCCTGCAATCCCTGACCTCCCCCTCCAACACAACAACAACCCGCCACAACCTCTCCGTGCAAACCGCCGCCCTCACCAAAGAACGCCGGCTCTCCCTGCGCGAGCAACTCCGCGACGCCTTCAACCCCTCCGCCCCAAGCTTCTACTTCGCCGCGCAGATCCGCAGCCCCAAGCTCGCCACCCCAGGCTCCGACCTCCACCTCCCGATTACTCTCTCCGTGCTCCCGCCCCCGCTGGGCAAACTGTACAACTTCGCAGTCCCGGATATCTGCATCGCGTCGCTGGACGCGCGGGTCAAATCGTTCACGGGTCTGCGGGTTCTGCATCCAAGTCCAAATCCAAGTCCAAATCCAAGTCCAATATCAAACCACGCCCTCGGGGCACAGGCGAAATCCCACTCGCACACCTTCAAATCCACCGCTCTCCGCAGCACCACGCTCCCGTCCTCCCGAACATTCATACCCATCGACGGTGACTTCTCCTCGCAAAGCATCACCCTGACTCTCACGCTCCCAGCAACCATGCTCCCGAGTTTTGCAACGTACAACATCTGGCGCAGCTACAGACTAGAATGCGAGGTCCGTTTCGCCGTCGCGGGGAAAGAAGTCGCGGCGCACACGCAGAGCGATTTGAATATTGTTGCGCGGGGGGCTGGGAGTGTGGAGACTAGGGGTGGGATGGTAAGGGATGGGATGGAGAGGGTGGATGATGCGGAGAGTCTGGAGGTGGCGAGGAAGGTGGTGGGGATGGTGGGGGTTATGTGAATTGGGGATTAGGGAGCGTGGAGGCCTTTAGAGGCTTGTACGGTGGGTGGGATGGGCGTGAGGGTGGGGATGGAGTTGTATATATCTGAGGAGGGAATAGGGAGGCTGATGGCTCTCAGCTAGCTTTACGTCATATCACGTGGCATATGAATATGTATGGATACGAGGACATCTGGTGTTCATTGAGGTGCAGTAACTACCCAGTAAAGCCACCACTATCCAGCCCAGTCATCCCAACTCTCATCAAATGCCGGATAGGCCTAGATACATGCACATATGAGTGGCCGCTGCCGGGACGATGCCAGCACCGTCCCGGCCACCGCGGACCACTCAGTTCTGCCCCCACCAAAGCTCGGCCTCCTCCGCCTTCCACTCGTCGTACAGGCCTGCGGCCCGCTCGACGACTGCCTGCTGGGCAGCTGCCTGCCACCCTTTGGCGAGGTGGCCGTTCTTCAGGTCCTCGACGAACTTGGCGACGTCCGTCCGGAACAGGTTGAAGTTCCTGCTGAACTCCCGTGGCCGCTCAGCGGCAGCAGCCTCGCCCGAGACGATCTTGCTGAGGAGAACGACATTCTCCTGGCTCTTGGGGAGCATGTCGAGGAGGATCTGCTTCTGGGCGAGGGTCAGGCAGACCCAGGGAGCATCTTCGAGCAGCATGTGGTAGATGTCGGCCTTGCCAAGGCGCGACGTGGAGTTGGTGGTGATGTAGACTGGGTCGAAGACCTTGCTGGCGGTCTTGCGGGGAGCAGCGGGCTTCTTGGGCGGCTCCTTCATGTCGGTGAAGCGCTCTGGGGCCTTGCGGCTGCGCGTGGGACGAGTGCTGGTGCGCGGAGAGGATGGCTTGGACACCTTGTTGAGCTTCTTGGACTTGGAGACAGGAGTGGAAGGGTCGTGACTGTCACGGCGGGAACGCTTCTTGCTCATGTTGGAAGTGGTCGACTTGGTCGAGCCAGGGGACACTGGAGCAGGAGGCGGGGTGGCTGCGTTCTTGGTGTTGACTGAGTCGGTCTTGGTGAGATCGCGAGAGGCTTTGGCGCTGTTCCACGCACCAGGCGCGGCGGGAAGCGGAGAGCCCGGCGAAGAGAGAGGAGACGAGTCGATGAGAGGACCACACATGGTTGCTGAATTGTTGTTTGGTGTAGTGGGAAGTGCTTGGTTGGTTTGCTGTGATTGCTGTGATGGAAGCTGAGAGATGTCGAACGAGTCGAAAGTCGAAGTGGGTTGTTGAGGATCTGGAGGAAAGTCTTGAGAAGCAGAGGAAGGCCTTGGGTTTTGTGTCAGTAACGACTCGGTTAAGACGTGGCCGGCCGCGGCGATTGTTGAGATTGGTATTGTCGAATAACGCGGAAGAATAGGGAAGCGAAGAACAATAAGAATGAATACGGAGAATGGAACGACGCCGGCGAGCAATCGGCGATTTGGTTGGAGTGAAAGCGACGGCTGCGATCGAGAGCGTTGGTTGTGCGTGCGAATAAGAGTACAATAGCTGGAGTGCTGCAGGTGAAACGCGGCAGGGCAACGAGAACCAGAATCAGGGTAAGAATGGAGCGCAGAATAGGGCTCTGGAACAATAGCGTCCTGATTAAATGAAAGCTAGATGTTGAATTGAACATACCGCACTGGGAGAGACATGGCGAGCTCTATGGTGGCACACCGCCAAGACGATGTTATCGTTGGAAAACGGCGTGCAATCCTTTCAGACAAGCACCAGCCTTTTCACTACCGATGTAGCGTGGAATGGCAGTCAGGGGTTGATTAGACTCTCAAATGACTGCAGATCCGGTAAGGGGCTGTGGCGATTGATAAACGCTCGTGTTGGGCAAGGCAGCAGAGGGGCGTTGTCAGGCTAGACAAAGGTAGGAAACCGACTGAGAGGTGGTAGGCTCAGGGAGCTGAAGTTGAGTTAAAGAACCAGAAATAAGCCCTGGACTGTGGCTTCCGCTTGGAGACTGCTCCTGAGGGGTGCGGAGGACAGAGTGACTGGATGACGGAAGGTTGATCGAACATGGTGTCCAGAGCGTTCGTCGTACGGAAGTGCCGCCCCTGTGCACCCAAAAATGCCAATGGCAGTGGTCCAAGAAGGTGTTGCTAAGCTTTGGTTCTCGAATCAACGAGGCCGAAGAGCCACAGTCATATTCCGAGGGGCAGGTTGAAGGGTGGTGGGCCGCGGCGAAGTCACGATGTTTTTTGGTCGGTGGCCCGAGCTTCTCCGCATGCTTTCCGCATTTCCATAGCTTCAACACCGACACGTAGCCTCTCCCCCTGCCCCACGACCACCCGAAATCGCCCTGATTGCGACTGCTCCTCTTTTCGAAGATACCCACTGGCTAGGACCGCTACACAGCAATCACGCACACACCATGATTAAGATGACGTGGATTTCGCGGGTGGACGACGGTCAGTTGTGTTCCACGACGCGGGCGCTGAGGGCCATACAGCAAGCTAACGGCAGCCCAGGCATCATATTAGCAAGTGGGGGAGATGAGACAAAGGTGCGTCCGACTGTCGTGCTCGTCGTGCCCCGTACCATCGGCTCACGGTCAACAGATAGACGCGCAGCTGCAGGAGGCCACGTCTAGGGCGAAGCTCATCCAGCGCCGCATGAACCGCAATTCCGAGCCGCAAGCCAGCGTCGAGACCGGCGCCTACACATACCAGTATGCGCATCCTGCTGCTGCCCCTCGCCCCATCCGCGTCGCCATTTGAGCACCGACGCATAGGACCGCCGACGCTGACACATGGACGCAGTTACATCGTCAAGGACGGGCTCTGCTACCTCACCCTATGCGAGCGTTCCTACCCGCGCAAACTAGCCTTCGCATACCTCGCCGACCTCGCAAACGAATTCAACGTCAGCCACCAGCCCTCCGACTACCTCGCCCCGGGCGTGAAGTCCTTCGCCTATGTTGGCTTCGAGCGAACCATCCACAAAACCATGAAGACGTATCAGGACTCGCGGATGCCCGCGAACCTGGACCGGCTGAACGACGAGCTCAAGGACGTGACCAAGGTCATGACGAAGAATATAGAGGATCTGCTGTACAGGGGGGATAGTCTGGAGCGCATGGGCGATATCTCGAGTAGGTTGCGGGAGGATAGTAGGAAGTACAGGAAGGCGGCGGTGCGGATCAATTGGGAGTTGCTGCTGAAGCAGGTGAGTGGCATAATTTCGCGGCCCCCACAGGCTTGCGCGGATGCTAACTGTGCTCCAGTACGGGCCGGTCGGCGCGCTGGTGTTCATCATAATCGTCTTCATCTGGTGGCGGTTCTTTTGAGAGGTTTGGGTACTGCGATTCGGTGCATAACGGACTAGATGCTTCTTGCGCAAGAGCCGGCGTTCAGGGTCTTCTACTATAGGTCGGGAAGGTATGCTAGAAGACGTAATAATACCCACATCTACCTTTCGCGGTGGCCTTTAACTCGGATTGCGCTTTTCAATACCATCTTTGCTTCCCGGCCCTACCCAGAATGAGCAGCGACATACAGTAATTTTGGCTGGCGCGAATTCGATAGTTCATGGATGGCCAACGTGCCTCGGCAAACCGGGAGTCGACAACTTCAATAGACAACCAGACGAACTAGCTTTCATTCCGCCCATTGCACCGTGCCCCACGGTCAAAAGATGCTCCGTATCTCGTGCGATACAGCAAGCGTGCCTGTATACGACTCCCGAACGACCAGCAGATGTACAGCCTGCTGAAGATGGGGCAGGCAGTCTTAGACACATTCTCATTGGCCACCCTGTGTACTCCGACCGTACTATGCCGCAGCCACACAGACCTAGACCCTTCCCCTCGCCATACCTCATTGGACAAGCCTGCTGGAGGGAGTGCCTTAGGGCCACCCCACCCATGTATACATAAGTGCTGACTCTCTCGCGAGCTAGGGAGGAACGAGCTTGTGGATTTGTATAAATGCAGGCGAGCTGCCCACTACTCTTGAAAGCTCGAGCTCGGTCTCAGACGAGTAGTCTCAGTGCTGTTGAGCGAGAGCGGACTTGCCCCGCCGTCGTCAGTACACTGTCAGCAGCACAGCACATCCAGAGTCTCACTCCTTGGTCCATTGACGCTTTTCTTTTCAGTACTTTTCCACGCCTAAATCTTCTTTTTGGCGGCACGCGGATTCCCAGCGATTTTCCTACAGCATAACTACGCCCTTCCTCCAGCTCATACCTAATACCTCTCAATAATTCCTCCTCCGCCTTCCATCAGATCAGTCTCGAACTCCCGCCCACCATGACCAAGCCCCAACTCGTCCTAATCCCCGGCGCCTGGCACACCCCCGAATGCTTCTCCCTCATCACTCCGAAGCTGCAAGCCGCCGGCTACGCAGTCCACACGCGCCAGCTCCCCTCAGTCGGGAGCGCGAACCCTCCGCCGGATCTCTCGCAAGACATCGCGGCCGTCAGGGAACTTGTGACCGCCGCGATCGGAGACGGGAACGACGTGCTGGTCGTGCCGCACAGCTGGTCTGGCATCGTGGCCGGCAGCGCTCTGACCGGCATGGGGAAGAAGCAGAGGGAGGAGAGGGGCGAGAAGGGCGGCGTGGTCAGGGTGGCGTATATGTGTAGTTTTATTGCGCCTGAGGGGGTGAGCTTGATGGATGCTCTTCAGGGCGAGATTCCGCATTGGTGGGAGGTGCAGGTATGTCCTCAGCCCATCTCATCCCATTCCATGCCTCTTCAACCCCCCCTCGTTGACACTGGCTCCACAGGGCGACTACTCCATCACCAAGCCCCACGCAGCCGGCGTCTTCTACAACGACCTGCCCGAAGCAGACCAGCAGTACTGGTACGCGAAGACGTCGACGCACTCGTTCGGCACGAAAACGGCCAAGGCGACGGCCGCGAGCTGGAAGGAGATCCCGACGGGCTATCTGCTGTGCGAGGAGGACATTCCGATTCCGCCGTTTGCGCAGGAGCTGATGACGGGGCAGGTGCGGGAGATGGGCGGTGAGATCGAGATCACTAGGATTAAGAGCGGGCATAGTCCGTTTTTGAGCAGGGTAGATGAGACGGTGGCGTGGATTAGGAGGGCCGCTGGGGAGGACGTTTAAGTGCGTGGAGAGGGGAGAGGGGAATGGGTGAGAGAGGAGTCCCTTAGAACTGCCCGGTTCAATCTAGGCTTTGCTGGGAAGGGGACTTGGAATGTGTGACCATTCTCCTGGGTAGAGTTGCTGGCTCATTCCATTGAGATGCTGGTGTTTCTGGAGAGGACCGAATTGATCTCAACTGGCCAGCTAAATGGGCGATGAACGCGTCGACGTTTCCGTGGAATCGGGCCTGTCTTAGGCTTTAATGCGCATTGTCAGATGGAGCTTGCTGCTCAGGATGTTCGTGTAACTTACATGTGCAGGATCGTCTTGAGAATCAAAAGCGGCGGCCGTTTCCCCGTCTTGATCGCTTCCTCTGCAACCATCTTAGCGGCTTCAAGACGAATCCCATCTTCAGAGTGCTCTAGTAACAATCGGAATGACTCAACACTGCGTGAGGCCGCAGCTTTGAACAGCGCCGAGCGACCCTTTTTATCTCGATGATTGACCTTGATGCCTTGCTGCTTGAGAAGGAGTCTCAGGTTTTCTACTTCCCCCGCGAGAGCGGCGAAGTGTAACGGCGTCCAGCCTTGCTCATCTTCAGCATTCACATCAATGCTGCCCTTCTCAAGGATCAGCTCCAGCCCCGCAGCCGATTCAGCCAAGGCCACGTTATGCAAGATCGTTTTCCCGTCCTGGTCCACGGCATTTATAGCAACGTTTGATTGCCTCATTAGAAGCTCCATATTCCTAACCACTCCTGCGGAAGCGGCCAGGTGTAATGGCGTCTCACCCAAGGGAGTGACTTCAGTGCACAGCTTGGGACATTCTCTCAAGAGATATTCGACCACTCCGATACTGCGTAGGTACGGGCTCGCGAGATGAAGAGCAGTCCAATGGTGAAAGTCGCCCCTAGAATTCTCAGCTGGGGCTCCTACAAAGCCGCCTAACCCCTTGATGGATCCGAACAAGGCGTCTAGTAAGGCGTAAGGCTTTTCGCCGACTTTTAGTCTTGGATCCATCCCGGACACAATCAGCTCCTTGACGACTTGAAGCTTTCCTTTCTTAGCTGCCTTGTGCAGTGCTGTCTGGCCGTCGGAGTCTTGTATGTTCTTGTCGATGTGCGGGCTGCGCAAAAGAGTCCGGAGCGCTTCGATGTTGCCTTCCCTTGCTGCGAAATGTAATGCAGTACGACCATCGGCCTGAGCATAGACCTTGAAGTTGTTTCTCACACAGAGTTTGTCCTCTTTCTTTCGAAGTTCGAATTCTATCATCTGATGTTCCATGTCGACGGGTAGCCTTGTTTGGGCGTTAATGTTACCCTGAATTGGAGCTCTCTGCAACAGTGTATCGATTACGCCATTGTGGCCGAACATGGCAGCCACAATCAACGGTGTAGCACCAAGCGAACTTCGACAGCCGGGGTCAGCATTTTCGTCGAGCAGGATGTTGACAATGTCTTGATAGCCGCCTCTAGCTGCCCAGTGCATCGGCGCGAAAGCAATGGGTTCCGAAGTCGGTTCGTTGACGTACTCCCGCGGACGTTCATCTATCAGCTTTTGGGCCAAAGTGCGATAGCCATAAAGACAGGCAAGATGGAGGCCGTTGAACCCATTAGGCATGAAAGGATCCGACAAGCCGTCGTCCTTAATCAGAATGATTTTCCATGGGGCTGTGGCATTTGCTGGGGTCTCTCGGCGTAAGGCCTGGAGGCCTCGGTCTGGGAACAATGTAATCTGATACGACGCCTCGACGTGAGAGTCTTTCCTGAGATATTGCAGGGCGAGTGTGTGGAAGGACCCCGAACTATGATCTTCTGGAGTCACGATGTGCCCCAGGCTTTGCTCGAAACGCGTGAGATGGTCTTGCCAGTATCTTGCGGCGTAATCTAAGAGGGGCCACCGTTCTAATCGTTCGGTCAGAGACTCCCGAGTGTTGCATACACCCTCACGGCAGAACTCGAATGTAAGATAGGCGGTACATCTCTTCCCCAGCTGCTCGTTCTGGGTTGGTATCCTTTCGAGACCAGCGCCTTGCTTAAGGTATCTCTCGAGTGATTCGTGTAAATAATATACGTGGTCGTCTCTCGCTGTAATTAGCCCCTGGCAAGACTGTTGGATGGTTTCCCACAAAGGGGAGTCGCCTTGACATGGCTCTCCACCACTTAGCGTTATGCTGAGCAACGTCTGAAGCTCCAGGATGGACAATACTCGAGCTGCGTCTCGAATGAACCCTAGGGTCCTCTCGACTTCATGCCGCATCAGCGGGTGGTTCTGGTATAATACCCGTTCCAGATTCCGGTCGAAGGCCTTCTTGAGCACACAATCAAGATACAGGTCTTGGCCATCGTCATCATATGTCAGCTTCTCGACGGCTAGGAGACTCGTCTTTAGATCCTTAGCGCCATAGGCTCCCGAAACGAATTGAAGATTCGACTCCACGAGGAGAAAACTGAAGCACAAGTCAGAGAGCAATAACCTTACAGATTGGAGTTGTTGACTTACATGCCACCAGACGATTTGGTAATAACGCTTATAACATCCGTACGATGAGATTCGCCCTTCGCCCAGGTGTAGCGCCCCGGGTTGGTGCTGGACAGTTGATCTAAACATGCTTTCAGATAGTCCCGGACATCCCTTTCGTCGGCACTCAATATGCGCCCACAGCTTTCGTCGAAGATATTCTGCCATTTGCTAGTGTCCAGTCGATCGGTCATCACGAGTCCGACCTTCGTCGCATCTTGGATGACTTTGAGCTGTCGTAGGATTGGCTGGAGGCTCGGCTTGAAGCACTCATCTAGTGCGTCTAGAAAAATACAAGCGGGGTTACCTCTTTCGAGCACGGAGATAATCCCAGCCGCGATATTTTCTGCCGAGGGACCCGCGTTCCTGCTTTTTTCATACAGGTCTTTGACATGTCTCATGCTATTAGGAATTTGTTGGACGAGACTCTGTAAGACCCACATCAGGATCTGCGCGGCATCGTGTTTTTCCTGCTCGCTACCATTGAAGAACACCGAAGCCACGACGACATCGGAAGGCATGGAAGGTAGGACACCAGTCTGCCTTTCCTGCTCCTGCTCTTCCGTCTCGTGCTCCTCTGCGTCGTGTAAGCGGTCTGTGATCTCCCTGAACAATTCCTCTAGTTCTTGCTCTTGTTCTTCTTGCTTTCCCATCTCGTGCTCATTTGTTTCCTGCTCTCTGGTAAGTTGCTCCCCCGTGGCGTCATTGAGATTTTTCTGCTTTTCCTCAGCCGCGGCTTCGCGAAGTTGATCGAGTCTTTTAAGGATGCCGAGCATCGTCATAGTCTTCCCCACCCCCATCTTGCCCTGCAGGATAAGAGACTCGCCCTGGTTGTTGAGACATCGCTGCAGGCGTTCGTCTCTAAAGATGCTATCCGTTAGTTTTTCAACGAATGGTCGAACAGAAGATAGCTGAACCGGCTTGAGTGGACTGGAATGCAAGCTCATCCACTTCTCGATTGCTGCATTTCCTCCTGCTCATTTAGGTCAGTCATGTACTGATCTCGGCTAGCCTCTGAAGATTGTGGGTGAGCATACCGTCGTTGACATTGATGTTACCAACAGCGTGGCCGCGCCCACCGAGACTATTGATATTGAGATCGATGAAATAAGTCTCGGGGCTGGGGGTATCGTCCATGGCGAACAATTCTGTGAAAATAGAGTCGTATCCCCAGGACGTATGAGCTGTATAGTGTCTCTAGTTGCGTACCTATGCTGTCGTTGGTTCCAGGACCGTCTTCAGCCTGGGGCATTGCGCTAGTTAACAGGTCGAACTGTAGCTGGATTTTCTCCCACCTATCTGGGAGGCTGAGCGGAGCATTGTTGGCCTGAAGGGCCATAGGCGTAATCGTGTGGCCGAGTTCACAATGGGACATGCCTTGAAGCTGCATACTGCAACGCCACGCGCGGGATACATCCCGCATTGGCCGTCAGCGCAGCCTGACGTCCTCATACTGACCGACTGAGTCCATGCTCTTCTGCGGTATGTCAATGCTTCTCATCCGTGCGAGCTCGCGAACTTGATGAATTGCGAGGCAATATGGCCGGATAGCTCGTTCGGTGGCAGTAAGCTAGCCTACTGCGCATTAGACATGAAGATAGAAGGCAGAGAAAGAGATAGGAGGCAGAGGACAGGGCAACAGGCGCAAGGCGTATCGACCTTGAGGGAAAGGCGAGGGCTGCAGTGCGCTTGCCAAATCCGGCGATCAACCGGTTGCCACCACAACACACCTTCACTGCGCCACACTTACACAACGGCTCGTGCTCGAATCGCCGCGCGCAAACATCGCCTTCCTTATCGCCATTTTACGCGTTACATGCCACATGTTCCGGTGAGCGAGCCGGAACAGCAGGATTGTCGCACTCTCCAAGCGCACAGCCAATCATCCATGAGCCCACTTGGGTAGAGACCGCACGTTGCTAAGCTGTTGCTATCACCCAGTTGTAAGTGAGGGTGTATTCATCTTGGATGTGCTCAAGCTAATATACCAGACAGGTCAATCCAGCTGCAGCGCCCAATTTCAGATATCGAGAAGCTTAAATTGATCAGCCAAGCCGAGAAAAAGGTCACTGAGATGGCTCCTCCTGAGCAAGAATACAACGCCAACTCGTACCGGAGGGATCCTGGCCGAAGCGCTGGATCTAGGTCGCCCTCTTCGGTCACTTCTTCGGAGGATCATGGACGGCGGTCTGTACGCGAGAACCGCCATCTTTTGCCCACCTCTGATGGAGCAAATGAGAGTCAAGCTACTCCCCACCCAAAACATTTCCAGCAGCAATCGGACTCTGGTGATGAAGACGACTCTGCCGAAGGTAGATCCGGGGATACGGAGTCGGTGTATCCTCCCCTGTCTCAAGTACGCCCTCTTTATGATCATCCACATGCGAACGCCTCCTTGAACCAGCAGTACAACCCAAGGCATCAGACATCACAAGCTGCTGGGCGTGATGGTACGCCGGAGAAGGGTAAGGCGTTTGGTTCTGAGAGGTGCATGATGGTTGAGCCTGATGAGCACGACGTTCCACCCAGTCCACAACAGGCCGGAGATGCAGCCCGCGACTACGCCAGAGGCACGAGAGATGGAATGAAAAACCGGAATACCTTCACAATCGGGCAAATAGGAGGTCAAAAGCACCGCGTTGGGAACATCGACAATGCTAGATATCTCGGCAGCACCGACAATAGCTTCAAGATCGATACCGTGACCAACACCTCAGAAGGCTTGGATATTGGAAACATCAATGCGCTTGGACGAGGGGAGTGACCAGCAGTTGGTTCCATGACACGTGTGCTTGAGGAATGGGTACAGCATGGCTGAGGTGGAAGCCGCACTATTGGGTTAATTGAGGCATGGCTACCCAGCTAACCATGTCTTGGACTTCGTCTAGCGGGGTATACCATTTGTTTTGACACGACTTTACCTTTATGATACTTATGGATGCAACGAGGTATTAGTTGAGACGCTTACCATAGTGACGGTCACAGACCTCTAGTTAAGTCGGACCATGCTCCCGCAACCCTGCTCGCTTCCATACCCCTTCTTAGTGCCGTATAGCTCCTTGTGTCTAACGCTCAAACACTCCCTCAAGCGACCGCACTTACTCGCCCAGTACCAGCCGCGCTACCGTACTCATCCATTGCAACGCTCTGAGCCGAGCTCATATCCAAATATGACGCTAGCTAGCTAGAAAACTACGGAGCGTAAAGTCTGGACCGCGGGAGAGGGGGTTATGGTGGCGGTATGAGCGAGAGAGGACGACGCAACCGAAGAGGTGGAATGATGCCTTCGAGATCCTACATACGCAGTGAACGATCGAACTCAATCGACATGTTATATTCTATCAGAGCGTGCAAGGGACGTAAGTGCAGCTCGCTCGGCAAACCCGATAAGGCCGAACGATCAAGAACGAGCGAGCGTAGAGAATACAACACAACTAACTAACCAATTATCTCATTGACGCATCGAGCTGGTACGTACGCCAAGTTGGCCTTTCACCCGGTAAGTAAGTAAGCCTAGGCAAGCTTTTTCTTGTCTGTCTGCTCTCGCCATCTGCGCATGCAGGCCTTCCTCATGCATAGAAAGAGAAAAAAAAATTCGGAGGGCCATGAGACTACTAACGCCGTAGCCGTACTTGCTTTTGTCCGCTCGAGCACCGATTGAGCTTCTACAAATTTTTCTTGTCATGCCTGCCAGTAGCAACTTCTTTGCAGGTCAGTTAGTCAGTCAGTCCTGCAAGATGTCAGCCGGAGTCAAGCGGCCCTGCTGTCGAGACCTTCAGGAATGGAATTGAAGCACTTGCCGCACTACCCTTCCGCTCCCTCATCACCCCGTCGAGCTCCTGCAACGCATCAGTCACAAGGTCACCAGACGCATAGGTACGCATAGCATAGTATCTCTCCCCTCTCTGCGTTCACATGCCCGCATACGTGCAGTATCAACAACTTCCCTCCCTCCAATGCACATGCACACACACACCCAAGACCCGCCCGACCAAATCCCCGGGAAAGCATCGTCCGACCACCGACCGACACCGCCAACTACCGTGGCACGCGTAGCACAGTACAATTTCTCCGACATTGATTAGCGTCGCGGTATGGGCACCCCGCCAAAATGCCGGGGGAAATGGCGTGACGAGTCGGCCGACCGAACGACAGTTGATGGTCACTCCACTCTTTGCATGAAGCGATTCCCGTTTCGCAGCGTTGCACACCCCCACGCATTCCAGAAATGCGGCACTGTACCCCACGAACGAATGTCGGACGAGAATTGAATTGGTGATGTGGAGGCTAGTAATGCTTGAGACACGTTACAGGTATGAGGGGGAGGCGGCGCATTCCGATGGGTGGAGGAGCACGTGAGGAGTGGCTGGAAGAGGATGTTTGTTTGAGCATGGGGCTAAACGGTTAGCTTATGCTGGAACAGAGGAATGGAGGATGATGTAGTCGAGGAATGAATGCTCCATAATGTTTCCTCGTATGCTAGCTCATGACCCAGATTTCCTTTTCGGCTCAGCTACCGATGCAGAAACATACACCGCCAGCTCCCTTCGTCCTTACATTGTCCTTCCATATGTCTCTCGCCGCACTCTACGTCAGTTGCCCTCGCATCACGGCAGATCAGTCAGCTTCTGGATGACCGGAAACCGCGCCCTTGACTCTTGCGACAGCGGCGCGTTGCCGGGACGATCCACCAGTATGGTGAGCACACCCGCATCGGTCGCAGCTTCGGCTTCTGTTTACCCAAATGTCAGTAAACAGCTTATGACGGAGTGGTATGCGGGGTATTTTGATTGCGGCAGATCAAGGGAGAACAGAGCGAGCAGGAGATCGACTGCCAGAGACGCGGAGTTGGGATTCGCGGGCTTTTGCGGGCTTTTGCGGAGATTAATAGAAAAGCGCGATGACGGCGGGGTTAGTTTGAAGGGTTTAGCGAAGAGTAAGCGATAAGGATGGTGGTTTTGCCATATTAATAGAGTGCTGAGCCCGCCGATCCAGTAATCTGTCGGAAGCGTTTCATGTAGAAACATACAGAAGCGACGCGTAGCGACCGGGGTGACCACGTATAGACAAACCGCGTGTACGGAGCAACGTAGAAAAGGGATGAGAGAGAGACCCGGACATGGTGTAGAATTGCACTGTACATACCTTTCACGTTGTCTGTCAGGAAGGTCACTTCTGCAGCCTCCTGGCCAAGATCGCGGCAGATCTTCTCGTATGATTTCGTCTCGAGCTTTGAACCCGCTATGGTGGGGTCAAAGTGCGCTGCAAAGAGAGGCTTCAAATCTCGTGTAGTGGAGCCATCTTCGACGACTGAGAAGAACTGCAACTGAGCTTGCACACTGCCGGAGGAGAAGACAGCCAAAGTTTTGCCGGCACCCTTCCAGGCTCCCAATGTCGGGATCACATCGTCAAAGAGCGGGGTCTTAAGGTCACCGTTGTCGTATCCGGTCTTCCAGATCTTGCCTATACGCCAGCGTTAGTGCACCCGTAGTAGCACCCATCTTCGACGAATGGGCATCGAAAGCGATCTGCTTGAAAGGGGCTGAGGTGAGTGTGATGAAACAAAACAATCTATGTTTATTCTCATATAGCTGCGGTCAGCGCGTATGGGCGAGACAGTGGTAAGCGCGTCTGGGGCCGAAGAGCCAACTCAGCATCTCCACATTTGGGAGTGATAGCGAAGGCGAATATCACAGGGAGTCGGCCTTCCGACTCTAATTGCCGGCCCGCATCGTTTCGTACCGATTCCCGATCGAACACGGCGGAGATCGCGCCCCGGCTTCTTGACGTGTCGATGATCTCTAGGAATGACCCTGGGCCGAACGCGCACCCACAAAGACAAAACGAGGAGCATGCTTGAGGGCGCGCGAGAGACACGTAAAGGAAAAGAAGACCCACCTTGTAGCTGCTTCAGATACACAGCCTTGACGTCTCTACGCGTAAGGTCCTCAACATGCGCAAGCAGTGTCTGGGCGTCCGCCTTTGTCTCTTCTGGGAACCCCGCAATTAGGTCTTGAAAAGCCGGATCGTCCCACGAGTGGCGTGCTAGTGTTGTGAGACGGTCAAGTGCGTAGGCATACTGCGGCTATCGTGAGAACAGGACTGGAATAGGGAGTGACCCTCTGCTACTGGGCGCGTGACGGACTATAGAAGCTTAAAGAAGACGAGAGAAAAGAGAGCAGGGGCATCACGCAGGCGTGGGATGGAATGAGTGGCTTGACGCTCCCCGAGAAGGCGCCAAAGGGCTGGAAGCGCGGGCCGTCTCGAGGTCGAGTTAAGTTTGGTGTTGGTGATCACACGCGCTCCGATTGCGGGGAAACAGGTAGCCTCGACGCGATGGGGACGACTAATGAGTAAGTGCAGCGGAACAGAAGCCGGCTCACCAGAACGTCCTTGACGAAGGAAATGCTTGAGATGGTCCCCTCTGGATGGGTGACACAGCGCGGTCAGTATTGTCTTGAGTAACAATTGCACGCGTCGCTGGACAGGGTCGAGACGTGGAGATGGCTGGGGTCGGCGCAAGCAAAACCTGGGGTAGAGTTGCCCGGCCACGAAAACAAGAAACGCCAGCATGCTGCAAGAAAGCGCGTGGTTCGTTTTTGGCTTCGCAAGTGTGTCGGCAGGCTGCTGGCCAGACCATACCAGAACTGCCGCATGCATTGGAGAACGGAAGGCTGCATGCAGACTTTGACTTTGAGGAAAAACAGGAGAGAACTACTGCAAACTCACCAATGTCGAGGAGGACAGTCCGACACTGCACCCAGCGATTCAGCTCGATGGACATGCTGGGCATTGTTGTTGTTGTTGATTATTGTTTAGGAGCGGTGAAGGGCGGTGAAGACAGAAAAATTTTCGACATTTGAACAATGGCTGTTGTGTGCCGGCCTCACGCTCTGGTTGGTGCAAATATCGCGAGAACAGAACTTACAACATGGTGGTCTGAAGTGTAGTGCAGACCCTGGTCTTGATAAGGACTGTAATGGCCGAATAGGGTACAGCTCGTTGTAGGCGTGAAGATGTGAAGAAAATTTTCTGAGGAAGACGGACCGCCCTGAGGATTTGTTGATGGCTGTCAACATGGCAGGTGCGAAGGCGCGAGCGTACTTTCCTCAGCTGCCTCTGCCCCTGCCAATTGAGCATAATTGAGCTTCTTTCCACTTCCACACACACGTCGTGGAGATAGCACGAATATGGCCAAAGTATTGTCTCTCCAGACAGCGATCGCAATTGCTAACTGTCGTGCAGTAGGGTTTTCCAACAATTCGATGTCTGCATCTAGACGGTGCGGTATCCGCGGGTAGGCTCCGCAGGCCCACCGTGTGCGACAGATCCGACCAGGGGGCTCCCGCTATTTCGAGAAATGTACGAATTCCCATAGGCCGCAGAGCCCGCAAATACGATGTGTTGTTGGTCGAAAAATTTGCCGTCGCTTCACCGCCGTGGAAACCTCAGGGACTGAGTGGGTACAGGCGTGTTTCCTGCAGTAGTGCTCTCGGGAGGCCGTCGAGTACCTGTCTAGCACGCTTCGGTGGTGGCGAGGTGTCACGCACGCTTCTCGACATGCGTCTCTTAGCTATGCAGGCTGCTGCAGACTACTGCAGCATCCCCTTTGCAGACCAGTCGAGACGTTGCTACGGAGCCTCGGCAGCACTCCGGAGCGATGGCACTGGTCGACGACCCCGAAGCCGGACAACAAACAGCAGGAAGGCAGAAAATAGCTAGCAGGATTGCCTCCTCGCACTGCTATTCGCGCGAGGCGGTCTACACCGACTTTGTTTCATCTCCGGTGCAGCCCTCTCGCGCCAGTCTACAGAGGCCACGATGCTCGAAGCGATTCGCGCTGCGGCGGGGCTCGCAAGCAGCTCGATGGCGAGAGCTTTCCCCAGAGTCCAGGACGTCGCCGCCACTACCCGCCGGCCGTGCTTGGAGGTGGAACGCGAGGGGAACACAGAGCCTAGAGGGCATGGGTGCGCGCACCAGAGGGTTTCCGAGCGCTAACCACTTGAAACGCTTGCATGGCTTGATCGGGCGAGCAGTTCAAAGCGGCCCCTGAGACGTACAGGTTGCAATGCTGCCGTCTGCGGCTGCGACGACTGCTATCAAAGGGCAGGCGGGGAGGGAAATGACGAGCGAATCTCGATAGATGAACGATAACGGCTTCGCGAGGGTTGCTCGTGGTGGAGGGTGGGCGAGGATCGGCGGGGCCAATGAGAGGCCAGGTGGCAACTTGCCGTGCGACTCGACGGATGTTGGACAAAGCAGGACGACGGGCGGCCTGCTGACAGCCCTGAGCCCTCTGCTGATCGGCGCCGCGCCGTCCCCAAGCAGACGAGCGCACTCGTTGGCTGGCTGCTAGCGCCGTCACCGCCCCAACTCGTGTTGGCCCAGCGCCGCCCCGGCCAGCACTGCGAGGCAAGGAGCTGTTTCAGTGCACCACCTGCTGGCCGTCCGCAGCGTCATTATCCACGCACTCGTCCGAGGCCGCACGCAGCGACGGGCTCCACCGCGCGGGCTTTCAGCGCCAGAATCACGCAACGCCCGACCGAGCGCGGCGGCAGAATGCACAAGTGGTGCGACGCGCGCGGCGGGGGATGACGAGCCTTGGAGTCGGCGTCGGCAGAAATGGGAGAAGCTCATGGAACCTGGCCGACCGCTGCAGGCCCCGGTCAGCGTGATGCAAGCCACGCCGCCCGATGCAGGCAAGCGCTCTTTGTCCAAGTCTGTCACCGCCCCTTCCCCAGCAGCTCCCGTTTCAATAAGACTGCCTGCCCGCTCCGGCTCACGCATCGCCTGCACCACACCTCACCTTGCCATGTCCTGAAGCCTGACCCCCTCGTGCCTCTCGTCGTTCTTCGCCGTCGCAGCAGCAACGCCCGTCCTCATTCCTTCCTCCTGTGCTTTCTCTCGCCCTAATATCCCCTCGCATTCCGCCGCTCGTTGTTGCCGCTCCCACGCCCACGCCGCTGCACTGCTTAGACGACCCGACCACAACATCCCGCCCTCCGCCCCAGGCTTCACCCATCGACACACTGCCCGCCCCGCTCCACGTCAACCATCTAGTCGACCATCTACACGCCCGCGCTGGTCATTGATGTGATAAAGAGAGCTCTGCTGGCGACCCTCGGCCACCTGCACCTGCTCCTGCACCTGCCCGTCCTCGCTCTCCGCCCTCACATCAGCCCGCCCGACGACCCGCGCCGCACCCCAGCTTCTTGGACAGACATTTGATGCTCAGATCCATCAGACTCTCCCAGCGAAAGCCGCCAACCTCCGCACCCTCGCACCTCCGAGTACCTTGCTAGCTACCTGCGAGCCCGTGCCGCTGACTCACGCCCGCCGACGAGTCCTCCGTAGACAGCCCACCCTGTCTACAGCCCTACGCCCCTCCACGTGTTACGACCTTCTCTCACGCAGCGATCCTCCTCTCGTTCTTGCTTCCCGGACGGCTAGCACCTCCACACCACGCAGCTTCCCTTTCCGACCGCTCGTTGACTCGGGTTATCCATACAACAAATTAATACACCAAATGAGCACCACACTCTCTTGAGCTTTTCCTTGTCTTTCCAGTCGACGGACCCCTGTGCATATCACCGACGGCTTTTCCCTTGTTTGCGGTTTTCCTGGCGCGGCCTGCTGCAACCTGCAGCCTGTTTACTTGACGACGATATCTCTTCTATCTGCTTTTTACCCCATCCCGGATCGGACGTCTATCATAGCCATTTATTACTATCTTCTTCGAAGCTCTGCCGACACCTCAAAAGTGCAATACATTCATCGCTTCGTGGGTTGACTGCCGTCGACCCTTGTTTGATTACGACTTCGAACCTCATATATCGGCGTATCCACCTCTTCTCGCTTATCGGCCTTCACCTTCGACTCAGCTCTCTGCCACCGGGTGTACCTTCGGATTCCCTTTGGCCAGCTGTCTATTACCCGTCCACCAGCCACCCTTATGGAGTGCATGCGAAATCAGCTTCACGAAGGTGCTGTGCTCAATGGACGATATGAAACCATCTCTCCACTCAACCATGGCTCCTTTGGAATGGTCTTCCAGGCCAAGGACCTTGTAACTGGCGAACACGTTGCTATCAAAGTCATCACCAAAACTGGCGCCACTCTTTCCTGGCCCTCCGCCTTTGCTGTCGACGAGCGCTCTGAGGAACTCGGCATCCATCTCCGTATCGGCTCCTCGCACCCGAACGTTGTCAACCTGATTCAGTCCTTCGAGACCCAGAACCACGTCTACCTGGTCCTCGAGTTCTGCACGAATGGCGACCTCTACGAAGCCATCCGCCTCGGTAAGGGTCCGGGAGAGACCGAGCACGTGCGCGACTTCATGCTTCAACTGGTCGGTGCGGTCGAGTTCATTCACTCCAAGGGCATCTACCACCGCGACATCAAGCCAGAGAACATCTTCCTTACCCAAGATGGTGCGATGAAGCTTGGTGACTTTGGCCTCGCCACCACAGATTCTTGGTCCTGGGAGATTGCTGTAGGCAGCGACCGCTACATGGCTCCCGAGCAATACGATCCCACCAGCGCCGGTTACTCCACGGCCAAAGCAGACATCTGGGCAATTGGCATCTGCCTGTTGAACGTACTGTTCTCTCGCAATCCGTTTGCCGTTCCATCAACCTCGGATCCTCTCTATGCTGACTTCGCTCTCGACCGTCAAACCCTCTTCGATGTCTTCCCTAACCTGTCTCAGGACACCTTCGAAGTCCTCAGGCACTGTTTGGCCATCGATCCCGAGAAGCGTGATCTGTCGCTCGTCAAGGAGGCTCTCGCTCGTGTCATCAGCTTCACCACCGATGATGAAAGCCTCGACGAGTTCTGCACAGAGGAGCGTGACACAGTCGTTGCTAGCGCCAACCGTGAGCCTCTGCGCACACCCTCCATTTCCACGCCTCAGCTGGACAAGGGTGGCTCGTTCCCTTGGGCTAAGGCTCTGGCTATGTCCCCACCTCAACCAATCCGCCAGCTCTCGGCTATCCCGGATACTGAGATCTATTCAGAGGACCTCTTCCCTGGCTCCGAACGTTCCGACCGCGCATGGTACGATGTCAAGCCAGACAATGCCTCTACGGTTTCGTTCGTTGACTCTGGGCTGGGCCTGTCGTTCAAGTCAAGCGACGCCAGCGGACCGGAACCGATCAAGATTGCCCGGTCAAGGCCGGTTCCCATTTCGGGCTCGCTTCCGGCCAATGCTGCCAGGCCATTCAATAGCATGGCAGCTGTGTTTGGCAAGAAACGCGATGTCATCTCCAAGAGCTGGAGTGATCTATGGGACGAGGAAGAGGAAGAGCATGCCATTGCTGAGATTGAGAACAACTATCTCCCCTTCGACAGCTTCAAGAAGCAGATGCCAGCTGTCCAATCCGAGAGCGGATCCGGTGTTTCTACTCCTCGCGGTGGGCTTTCTGAGTTGAAGAACCCTGCTATCGTGAACAACAGCAGGAGCCGATCTCCAAAGCAGAACCGCCGCGGACCCGACCATGTGAGCGAACACACTGGATTTGTCTTCGAGGAACACGTTGCCGCGGCCGGCCGCTACTCCCCTCCCTCCAAGCGCAGCATTATGGACAAGTGGGCTGCACTTGGTGACCGCAGGCGCGGCCAGCAGCAACAGAAGCAGCAGCCTCAACACACAACATCCAAGACCGTTAAAGCACCCAAGCAATCGCCAGGCACTCCGAACTCCGCCCGGAAGCGAAGCCGAACCGGAAGCTGGCGACGTCCGATCCACTGGGGCCCAAGTCACCATGAGAATGGGGTTTTGGAGCAACCGCAACCACAACATCAAAAGAAGGATTATCAATGGAGTTTGAGCAAGGATTGGCGGCAGCACCCGGTGCCGTCTCAGGACGACATCGGAGACCTAGAGTGGGTTGGGGGTTGGAACGATTCCACCTTCCACTTGTAGTCTTGACACTTTTCATCCCTTTTACTTTCTTTACCTTGGAACGCAGAAAAATGATTTTAACCTTCAGAGCAAAACGAACCCTAGGATGAGCGTCCCTTTTCCCCGTCAATTTGTAGCGCTAGAGATACCATTTCCTTACCTTACCTTCTCCTCTCCTCTCTCCTCTCTCGATACCCCACCTCAGCATATACCATCTTCTCCTGTACTCTACCTTTGGTATCTCCTTTGTTACTTGCCTCTTGGGTTGCATATTGGGAAACTCGGACGCATGGGGTTGGGACAAACTAGCATTATGCGAAACTGTACGGAAGATGGGTTTCCTTTTTTTTACTTTAAGCTTCTGTTCTTAGGGATGATTAGTTAGTCAAGACTCGTATCCGTCGGGAGTCTTCGGCCGTCTTTCAAGTGTTGAGGACGACCGGGGCTCCGGGATTTACCCACTCAGAATGATGGTGCACTGCGATTTGCGATGTGATCTGTGATGATGTCATGTGGTATAAAGTAGATAGGTGTCCTCTGCGGCTTCCGCAACGACCGTCGTGGTGGTGGTCCGTCGCCCCTTCCCCTCTCCGGCACATCACGGATGTTTGTCACCAAGGCAACCACATAATCATAATCAGTTGACAAGTTAATCCTTTAATTGGCCTAAAGCCCTGAATTATGATTCTCCCACTTTCGTATCAGTATCACCTGCACCTGGCACATGAGCAAGCAAGCAGGCTTTCGCTAAATCCAGCCCCATTTCTCAGCTCGGCTGCCACGTTCAATAAAACGGTAGCTCGGGCGGGTCCAAGCCTCGTGGGCATACGTGGATGTGGGCCTCAGCTACCGGAAAGGGTACCTGAATGACGCCACTCCCATCCCATGGTGGCGGCACTGTGATAGGTAGGAGTCATGTATGCAATCTCTGGGTATCATGAACAAAGGAATCCGTGGGCTCCGTCCCCGGTGCTGTTGCGCCTCTAGATAGACAGGTACTCAAGTCCGCTTTTTCACGGGGCTGCTGGCGTCGTCGGGCTAGTCAGGCCTTTGGACTTGCGCCTCTTCTCCTTGCCCGGCTTTGGCAGGCTCGCTGTGCTGGCTTTCCTGCTCTGCGCTTCCGGAGCTGCCGGGGCAGGCGCAGGCGCGGCCGCGGCCTTGGGCGTCGCGGCTATCGAATTCACGCTTTGAGTCTCAGCCTTGATGTTTCCTGCTGCGGGAGTAGTGGTAGACGCACCGCTTGCTGCTTGAGCTGCCTGCTGCTGTTGTTGTTGCTGTTGCTGTTGCTGTGCTTTGTTTCGAGCATCGACGTGCGCGAGCGTGTTGGCGAAGACGAAGGATCCGGGCTCGCCTTGCAGAGGGTTCTCGTCCATGTACTCGTTGCCGAAGGCGTTGGTGAGGGCGAGCGATTGGAAGAAGAAGGGGTCTGAGAACTCGGTGGGGTTGGTTTCCGCGTCAAGGGTTTGCGGTTGCGACTGCGTTTGGGAGGCCGCCGCAGGGGCATCGATGGCGGCGAGCGCTGGGCTGCCAATGCGGCTTCCGGCGCGACTCGCAGTTGCAGCTTTCGGCGGCTCGTAGGACGGCGGCAAGTACGTGTGCCCCATCGCCGGCGAAAAGTGCGAGAGATTCTTCGACAGCTCGAAGAAGTCCTGCAGCTGCGTGCTCACGCTCAACAACCGCAGCTGCAGCACATCCAGCAAGCTCGGCGCCATGAGAATCTTGGTCCCCTGCGTATACCACGTGCCCTCCACCACAATCTCCGCGCTTCCTTGGTCCTTCCTCTGCCGCTGGATCACCCATGGCTCGCCCTCTCTCTTCGGCTCCGATGCTACGACGAAATATGACCCGTGGTTGTACTTGCTGAGGAGCGCCTCCTCGAACGCGTGGCGGCTGTCTAGCGTGGGTTGGCCGGCGGGACCCAGTTGCCGCAGGTGGTTGAAGAGCGCGACGTTGTTGGAGGACGCGTCGAAGAAGGGGCTGCCCATGAAGTACCACAGGATGGACTCGGAGTTGAGGGTGCCGCCCGGGAGGCCACGCAGAGCGGCGGGTTCGTCGTATTCGGACTCGTCGAGGGGCTGGAGTTGCGGGGGCATGGTTGCGGGCTCGGAGGTGGGCAGATGGAAGGTAGGAGATTATGTAGAGCTTTGAAGTTGTGAAGTAAATTGAAGGCAGCTATGAAGATGCTTTCACGCGGGGCTGGCAAGGTGGCCCAAGCTCCAAGGCGATGTTGAAGACCTCCGCGCTCACTCCGCACTTCGTCACCAACACCACACTCCCTCGCACCGCAACCATGGATCTCGTGCAGACTGTGCGCAAAGAAGGCAGTCGGTAAGTCCTCAAACCTCGTGTCTTTCTCCGAATACAGCTAATTTCTATCCCAGCGGCGGCCGCGCCGAGTTCAAGTGGGAAGACGTTAAGCAAGATGCGCAGCGCGAAAACTACCTCGGCCACTCACTCATGGCGCCCGTGGGCCGTTGGCAACAGGGCCGCGATCTCAACTGGTACGCCAAGGGCGATAAGGAGGGCGACGAACAGACCGAAGCCGAGAAACTCGCCGAAGAGAAGCGCAGGCTAAAGGAAGCGGAGGAAGATGCTATGCTGAAGGCTATGGGGCTTCCGGTACCGGATCGCTCGGCGGGGAATGCGAATTTGACGCCGTTGGGCAAGAAGGCTATGGATGAGAAAGCTCAAGATGGTGAGCGAGGGAAGAGGAAGGAGAGGAAGGAGCGCTCGAGAAGGGACCGTGGGGATGGCGACCGCGAGGGGAAGGAGCGCTCAAGAAGGGACCGGGGCGATGATGACCGCGAGAGGAAGAGGCGGCGACGGTCTCGGAGCCGTTCACGAGACCGCGACAGGCGACGAGACCGGTCAAGATCGCAGAGGCGAAGAGATAAGGAAAGGGATAGGAGTGGAGAGAGGCGTAGGCACCGCTCCAGAAGCCGCGAGCATAGGCGACGAGAAGATCGTCACGAACGGCGTAGGGAGCCAATTTCGGATGACGAGCGATCCCGCTCGCGATCAAGGGAACGCTACCGAAAGCGCAGGAGCAGGTCGCCTTATGACAGGCCTGAGAGACGGAGAGGTTAAGCGCTTGTCAGGGGGAAACCACTTAGATACCCTGACTTTACATTTCATGGAGTGTTCTGGTTCGATCACAATAGGTAGAAAACGAATTAGGACCTCCATGCATCATTCATTGATCTTTTTCTTAGTGTCCTTCCGCCTACTCCTCTAATATGCCTTCCATGAGCTTGAGTATGTCCATCAACTCCTCGTCCTTCATGGGCTTTCCCATGACCTGAACGTGCGCTGGCATACCTTCGAACGTCTCGGGGTTATCTGAAGGTGGTCAGTTTGTGTCAAGACATAGCTAAGGAAGGGTGGCGTACAAGGGGGTTCATAAACCGCCTCAGCCTTGAAGAAGGGCTCATCCAACTCCTTATTGGCCTTCAGATAGGGTAGGATACCGGAAGGGTACTACAAGGCGTTAGTGACTTCTATTTCCTTCACTAGCTCCTGTTGACTTACATTCAGCAGGTTCTGCAGCACAGTATATATGGTCACACCGTAAGTATCATGCGGCGGCGCGCACGCGTTATACCCCGTCATGAGCACAGCATCCAGCTCATTCTCGACAATCAGATCATGATATCTCTTCACAATCTTCGCTCTCTCGAGATTCATATCCCACAGCTCATCCAAGCTTGGCTCCCACCCATTCAACTCTTCAAACCGACAGGTCGCAATCGACGGCACCCATGGCTCGCCGCTCGCCGTGATATGCTGCACCGGCGTCTTCTTCGGATCCAGCAGGAAGAACTTCCAAGCCAGAATTGCACTCTCCCAGAGATCGGGGATCTTGTCATCCAACAGCACGACTTGATGACCTTTCTCTTTTAGCTTCGTAGCAGCGGAATGCAGGGCCCTCGCAATCGGTGGATGCAGCGGGCGCTTTGGATGCCCGCGTATGAGTCCAAATCGCAGTGGACGAGTGGTGGGCTGGATGCGCCGCCACGGAATGTTCAGCACGTTCTCATCGAATCTCCACGCGTCGCTGTCGCATATGGTCTGCATCACCAACTCTAGATCTCTCACGCTCCACCCCATAGGTCCGATAACCGGCACAATGCTACTCGGACTGCCCAGTCTCCCCGGCGGCGCGCCGCCTCCGAACGGCACTCTCCCCGCGCTCGGCTTAAAGCTCTTGACGCCATTGCAAAGCGCAGGTATCCTATTACTACCCGCGACATCAGTGGCTAGTCCCAGGATGCTTCCCCGCATGGCTATTAAAGAGCCTTCGCCGCCGGTGCTGCCGCCGGATGTGAGCGAGAGATTGTTGGGGTTGAGCGTGCGGCCGAAGACGTTGTTGTGGCTATCAGCTGTCATCATGGTTTGCGGGAGATTCGTTTTGCAGTAGAAGACTGCGCCGGCAGCGAAGAGAAGGTCGACGAGGTTGGAGTTTGAGCTCGCCGGCGGGTGGGAGATCCAGGAGACGTAGCCGATGGTGGATTGGGTGCCTTTGACGTTGAACGAATCCTATTATATTTCGTTAGTAGAGCTTCTCGGAGACTTTTCAATTATCTCTTGCTTTGAGAGGCATGGTGGAGGGCACGCACTTTGAGAGAAATCGGGACACCGTGGAGTGGACCCATGGATTTCCCTTCCCGCGCAAGGTATTCGTCGCACTCCCTCGCTCTCGCGATCGCCTCGTCGAACATGGTCTCCGTCAAGCAGTTTACGCACTGCTGCGCTATAGCCGCCCGCTTACAGAACGCGGTTACTACATCCACGCTCGTGGCTTTGCCGCTACTCATAAGATGGGCGAGTTCCGTAGCGTGGTAGTTCTCGGTCAATTCGAGCTCCTTTTCGGTGAGCAGGCCGCAGGTTCGAGGCACGTCGAGGACGTTGAGCGTCGAGGTTTCGGTGAACTGGGCGGTTAGGGAAGATGGGAGGCGCCATTCTGCGGGAATCTTGTTCGCATTGGCTGCTCTTTTCGAGGCGGCGAGAGTCTGCCAGTCTGCAATGGCTGGTGCCGCCATGTTGTCGTCTCCGCTTGCGATGTCTGAAAAGGTAAAGCTGCAGCTCTGATCTTAGGGCCAAAGGGATAGTGAGAGGATTCAGAGGAATGGAGCAGAAAGTGGCTTTTCAGCCGTATATGGATTTGGACTCAGCTACTTTATTTCGAATAAGACATGTCATGCTTGCAGGCCGTAGGTCCATATGCGGTGTAAGTGGAGAACACATGGGGATCCGATGCTGTTCCGAGTCGGAACTGACGTTGGACCCCTCATCTCTCGGTCTCCGGTGATGACGAGGTCACTCCACTACAGTTTACCAGCATGTCCTGTGCCTTCTCCCCGCAATCTTTGGTGACTGTCCGACTATTCACTCCTCGGCTGCATGTACACATGAGAGAAAGGGTACCTGCAGTGGACTATCCGCGCCTGACTCGTATTGTGACACAATAGGCAAGCGGGGCTCGCGGACTCGACTCGATCTTCCCGTCTTTTCACCACCACAACAAAAACATTTCACCCACGCGTCACTCCTCACCCCTCCCGTCTCCCAACTAAGCCTTCACCTCGTTCCCAACTCTTACAACATACCAACCAACCTCACAACTTTTGGCTCGCAACAACTACAACCAACATACCTACATGCGATGCACAGAAAGACTCCAACCCAGAAAAGCTGGCTGCTCGCTATCCCGACAGAATTACGACTGCAGATCTACCAGCACATTCTCGCAGACTCAAGTGCATTTACTATCAGCGCGGCGCCCCTCACCGTCTTCGGCCACCGCATCCGCGACACCGCACGAGCGAAGGAAATAGCAGGCCTGCCGCTCGAACTCGTGCCGCTGGTGCGCTGCGGATACGATCACACCCTCCTCAGCATCACGAATCCGCCAGAGATCGCGCTGGACAATGGCTTAGCGCATACAAAGCAGGGCGGCGAAGTGCTCTGGCCGGCTACAATGGCATTGCTGCGGACGTGCCAGCTCACTCGCCATGAGTTAATGGATTGCATGCAGAGAAGAATGAGGCGAGATGAGGAAGAGGAAGGATTGACGCTATATGTCACGTACCCGTACGGCTTAATAGTGCTGAAAGAGTGCTATCCCGAGCTGCTCAAGCAGGCGAGCAGAGTGGATATCTCGGGATGCTACGCTAGTCCCCAGGCGAAAGAGAATGTGGACCCTGAGCTGCAGCATTCATTCGGCACAGTCGGCATGGAAGTTTCCAGCTCGCGATATGTCTCCGAACGGCCCCGGCTCGAAGATCCAGCGCCCATGCGAGGAGAAGACGCGAGCGGTCGGCGCCTCCGATTACGCCTCGACCCGCCCCTTCGCCAGCGGTCTAACAAGACTCCCACCCTGCTTCACCAACCCATCGCAAGCCTCACAGCTGCCACTACCGCCATCGCGTCGCTGGCCCGCACGCTCTTCCCGCCTTTCTCTTCGGCCCCGGTCAAACTCACAACGCGCATCCTGTACCCTGGCCCGGCCTCTTACCCCACGGTGTGGAGCGACGATGGCAGCCCCATCGTGCGCATCTTGCAGAACACTTACGGTGGCGAGATCGACACCAAGGTGTTTCGCGGGAGGCATGGTAGTGGAGTACAAATGACGGTGAAGCCGCGTCCAAACGGAAGGATGCTGACTACGGGGTGGGGAAAGTTGAGTGGAGAGTGGTGGCAGGTCGATGATTGGGTTGCGGGGGATAGGGGCGCTGAGGAGGAGGGGGAGTAAAAGGGCTGATGGTGGTTGGATGGATTGGTTCCGGAGGGGCTTTAGGACATCATTTTGCTTATTGGGGTTTGGGGGCTTTTTCGATGCTTTGGCATTCTTTGATAACATTGGCTTGGAGTGCATTGGCCTTTTGCATAGGTGTGGCATTGTGGTTTACTCCCCAGGGGGTCATTTTTCCTTGCATTTGAACGGGCATTCTGTCGCCTGCATTGGTTCGTTTGGGGATCTGGCTGAAGTCCCTCACATCCTCTTCATTCTTACTAAAGAGAAACAACACTATAGGGAATAGTGCACTGACTATCCATACATATCAGTGTGCACTTCTCCTACTCCTCGCAATCACCCATCCTACCACAATCCTCCCCAACCAAACACACCCTCCTTCCCGTCAGCCTCCACATCAACCCAGCCCACTCTCACATAACCCTCCTCGGATCCAAGCTCTTCAAATCCGCACTCCTAACCGCCCCCTCCCACACCAACTCACTCAGACACTTCCCCGTCCCCGGCGCATTCTGAATCCCCCAACACGTATGCCCCGCGCCCACCAGCAACCCCTTCACACCCGTCTCGCCCACCAGCGGGCCCCGCCCACTACTCACATTCGGCAGATAGCACGCCTGGCGCGCCGTCACCTCGCCGTCCCGCAACTCCTCGGAGATAGAGCATACCTGCTCGACGACGTCGTCGCAGCGCGCCTGGTCGACCTGCACTAAGTCGCTGCTGGTCGGCAGCGGGATCAGCGTGTCGCCCTCGCCGCAGGCGTAGACTTCGTTGTTGGGGCGCGCGTAGATCTCGGGTGTTACGGTCTGCGCCTTGCGACCACTCTTGTCGCGGGGGAGCTCGATGGATGTGAAGAGGCAGTAAGCGGAGACGGGGCGACTGGGCCGGATGGTCACGGAGTGCGCGCGCAGCGCGGAGATGGGTGCGGCCGGGTAGATGGATTTCGTCCAGGGGCCTGCGGTGAGGATGACGGTGGTGGCGGGGAGCTGTTTTTCCTCCCCTGTTTCTTTGTCGGTGTAGGAGACGGAGGTTACGGCGCCGTCGGGTTGCTCCTGGTTGATGGAGGTTGCGGCGCCGTAGAGGACGGAGACGCCTTTTTCTTGCGCGAGCTGCACCATGCTCGTTGTGAACTGGTAGGGGTGGACTTGCGCGGTGGTGCTGGGGTCGCCCATGGCGTCGTAGCTCTGGAGGCCTTCGGCGGCGAGCCAGTCGAGCTCTTTTGGGACGCCGGCGGCGCGGAGGAGGCGCTTGGCTTTTTCGGAGCGCTTTTGCAGGGAGATGGAGTCCAGGTTGGAGGAGGAGTCAGTGGAGGAGGGCGCTTTGGATTTGGCGAGTATGCCGTACATGTCGACTTGGCCGCAGTGCACGGCGCGGTAGCCCCAGCGCTCCGCTCCTCCATGTTTTTCCGCAAGCTGGCGGCATTGTGTCAGCCTCGCACTCTTCTCTGCAGTATCATTCGAGCACTGTCGATGTAATCCACAGCCTTCCTTCCCCCAGGAGGAGCTCGCTCCCCACACATTCCCAACTCTTTCCTACCATTCTCCTTCCACATAGCCCTCAGAACACAAAACAAACACACTATCAGAAACCACTACATCTACTAACTCACCTCCCTATGCAACCGATAGCTCAGCGGAACAATACAACTCGGATACGCCCACAGCGCCAGCAATCCGCCCGCCTTGCCCGACGCACCGCCCGCAATCTGCGTCGCCTCCAGCAGCGTTATGGAATCCCGCTCTTTATCAAACTTCTCATGGTGCGAGAGGAAGTATGCGGTTGTGGAACCAATGATACCGCCACCTGATTGCGGATAGATTAGCTTTGGACTTTTTTCCTTTCCTCTGTTTTTCATGTACCGATTATTACGATATTCTTCTTCTTTTGCTGCTCGGAGGCCATGATGCCGGAGACGGGAAGCAGATCTGAGCATGGAAGGTTGGTTTGGTTCAGGGATGGAATGAACAGTGGTTGTGGCGCAACGGTATTTGAAGCTCTGAAGCTTGACGTCTTGGCTTGCAGGAATTGGGATAACGTCATAGGTGGGATGGCAAAGCTCAAGCTTCACAGCTGCAAGACACATGCATGCAATACTCAAAAGAAGGCCATGGAATTATATATAATAGCTAAAGCAGGTCAGAGGCCTCATAGTCATAAGCCACGCATTAGTCCATGACACAGCACCCAGCGCGTCAATCCATCTAGAAATCCCCACCGCCCATATCACCACCACCCATATCGCCGCCGCCAAAGTCACCCCCTCCATCGCCGCCTCCAAAGTCGCCGCCACCATCACCGCCATAGTCTCCACCACCGTCTCCCGCATCGCCCAATGCGCTCCCAATCAGCGCGCCTCCTACCAATCCACCACCGAGGCCTAGCGCGGCAGCACCACCGGCGCCCATGCCTCCGCCCGTTCTCCCGGGCCTGCCATACATCTGCTGCTGGGGGTACGCAGCATACTGCGGCTGGCCGCCATAGTATCCACCGGGCGGGGCTCCATACCCACCCTGCTGCGGATACCCGTGCTGCTGGTGACTCGAGCTGCTATGAGAAGCCTTACCCAGCAGCTTCCCCAGCAACCCGCCTTTCGACTTGCCCTTCTCCTGCGTAGCCGGCTGCTCATAGGGGCTCTGAGCCTGCGGATACGGACTCGAGCCTTGCCCATAGCCGCCGTACTGGTTCGGCTGCGGCGCGCCTCCTTGCCCATAGTATGCGTCCGCCGCGCCTCTGCTATCGCCGCCGTGTGCGCGCGCCCGCGCGTCTTCTTCCTCCTGCAATTGCCGCGCTAGGCGCTCATCCTCGCTTATATCGGCTTTGCCCGCGTATGGGTTGTTGCTGCCGAACGTCTTCTTGTCGGTCGAGGATCGCGGCGATGCACCGCCGGGAGGTGGAGCGTACGAGGGAGGCGGGCCGTCTGGCGGGCCTTCGCCGGGCGGGTAGACGGGCTCGGTGGGCTTGTCCCATTGCGACTTCTTGGTGTAGATGTTGACGAAGAACCATTCACTGTACTGTTCTGTGTCGCGTTAGCGTCGCAGCTTCGATTCGCATGGAGTTGTGGCGAAGCGTACGATTCCAGACGGCTTTCCAGCCCTCAGGCAACTTGGGCGGAGGCGGTCCCTGTATGCGACGTAAGCAACTACTTCCGAGCTTCCGCTTGTACCTGACGTACCGTTGGGGGAGCGTAGTCTGCCATCGTTTGAGCCTACTGTGTGTGTCAAGTAGTGAGAGATGATGCGTATGTCGACTTGAAGGCGTTTAGGAAGCTTGCGAGTGATCAAAGGTGCGGGAGGGTCGCCTAGATGGGTTATATGCGGAGGAGGGGCAAGGATGAGCTAACGCGGAATATCCGGCCGAGAAATGAATGCGCGCTCAATGGCCTACGCGTCATCGTGGCGGCATGTGGCTGTGCGCGCGGTAGTTTCAAACCACGTGCGCTTCCAAATTCGGAGGGCATCCTACCCTTTTGCGAGGCAATCGGTAAGAATACAGCCTTAACCAGGTAGAGGCGCTACATTAAGTGAGTGTGCCAAGCCCCGTTGGAACATAAGAAAGAACATTAATTACTACCAAGTATGTGCAGAGCGAAAGTCGTCAGTAACCGCCCAAAGCAACCGAAACCAAACGAATGCCATGCCGCGAAAGACAGACCAAAGTATGGGGATGGTCCAAAGAATCATAACCGGGGCCTTTGCATGCGCGCTGATTGTTGCTGCAAACCAAAGAACCAACGCTCAAGGGTATGGAAAGCAGGTCAATGTTCGCGGGTGGGAAGTCCATTTAGAAACGTAGTATTCATACAACAACTTGATCCAAGATGCTGCACGCCGGTACAAATAACGGGGGATGTACGCTGATCCATTTTCCATTGGCTGGTTTGCGAACGGTTTGCGCACATTGAAGGGCCGTTTGTATCCGTATCGGCTAGGGTGCAGTTTCAATTTAACACGTCAAGGGAGTTCCACCTAGTGGTTCGATGTCAGGTAGTCGGCCGCCTATTTGGACGTTAGTGGTGCGAAAGAGTCGTGGCAGGGCTCGTTCCCCACCTTGTTGATGTCGTAGTCAAATTTCTCCAAGGCAGTCAAAGCGTCCGTCCGTGGATAGCCCATACCAGTCAGCTTCTTCAAGATCGGATCATCGTGCTCCGTTCCCGCGCTGAGGGCGCGACCGAGCTGGGGCATCGTAGGGGACTTTGCGGAAGAAGCAGCAGCCTCTTCTCTGTCAAGCGTATCAAACACAGACTTGCCAAGATCACCGGGCGTCTGCTGCGAGGTTTTGTCTTGTGAAGAGTCCATGCTTGAGAAGATGGCGTCCCAGTCCTGGGATGGGGCAGCCGGTTGGGGTCCCTTTGGCTGTCCAAAGCTCTGAGTCAAGTGCTCGAAGTCGCCGAAACTGTCGTCGCCATGTGGTTTGCCAGTGGGTGTCTGTTGGGAAGCCATCGTGTTTGATTTAGATGCAGCAGGAGAATCAAAGACTGGGTTGAACTCGTCAAAACCCTCACGATGTTGGGAAGAGAAAAGATCATCATCCGCCTTATCATCGGCCTCCTTCGCCTCCGTCAGGTCATCGAACCCGGCGTCGAAGTCGTCATTGAAAGTGGACTTTCCCGGCTGGCTTTTGGCATCACCGGCAGGTTGGGACACTGCCGAATGGTACGCATCGGATGGAACGGTAGACGAAGGCGTATCAGTCGGAGGCGGCGATGTGGTCGCTGATTTTGCGGAAGCAGAGCCGCCGAATAGTGCAGCGCCTTGACCACCTGAGCTAGCGTTGAATGACTTCTCCGGTGACTGAGAGGTAGGTGGCGAAGTGGGATCAGTGCGGGCTGGGAGGAGCCCTCCAAATTCGTGCGGGAACTGGTTTGAGCCGCTCCTATTTTGGCCGACAGTAGCATCATATGTTGGAGGGGATTTCTGTGCGCCAGGCGAGGGCAAACCGCTCGTGCTGGAGTCGAGCCGTGTGGTTGGGGGCGGAGGTGCATAAAGATCATCATGCGAAGCATCGCCTCCAATCGTTGTTGTGCTGGGCTGTGGACGCTGAGTCTGTCTAGTGCTTGATCGATTCTGATGGGGTGATGCCGAAGTGAAGTTATCAGCAAAACCTTGCTCGCTTGTGCTGTCGCTGTCATCGTCGCGACTGAGATCCTCGATCGGCGGAAACTCTTTGTTAAATTTGCTCGCAAGTTTTGACGACCCGTTGGCTCCGCTGGACTCCGAATTTTGACGCACGGTGCCGAATCCAGCGAATGCTGCATCGAAGTCAACTTTTCCGCCTTGGCGGGGCTGGTCGCTGCCGACGGGACCGAAGGCATCCGCGCGATTGTTAGCCTTGCTTTGTTCGCTCAAGCTACTCCCTCCCGTGGGCATTTGTTGAAGCGGGGAGCTGGTATCCCTAGGGAAAGCGCCGGGGATATCCTTATTGGGCAACGGGCCTCCAAAGCCTGGAAAGGTATCCTTCCGCTCTTCGGCCTTGGGAATGGACTTCGTATCACTGGTAGTACTTGCCACTGGAGACGCGGTTGTGTTCCTGTCGAAGAGAGAAGGCTGGAAGTTGTCGGTCTCTGTCCGCTGCGTGTCGGTACGTTCAACAGCGGGCTTCTCCGGAACTGGGGTACTGGCCGGGGAGGCCTTGGAAATCGTGGGTGTCTCGTTCCCAGGGCCGCCGGGACCGCCATACCTGCTTGCTGGTGCGGACACCTTGACCGATGAGCTAAACGAGTCTGATCGGGGCACATTATCCCTCAGCGGTAAGAAAGCGGAAGCAAACTGGCGCGATTCCGGCGGAGCTGGGGGCTCTCCACCCCGCGGGCTCTCTTGGTAGGAAGAAAGGGGAGGGGATGTTGATGGCGTCGGCACATCTGGGCCCTCGGATGAGCGAACAGAATGGCCCGACGGAGCAGAGAAGGTTGGAATCTGGTTCTGGCTCTCGGATCGGAAAGATGTCGGAGGAACGGTAGATTGGGGAGAAGCGAAAGTTCCAAAGACGCTGTCAAAATCTTTATGGGGCCCATCGCGAGCGAACCCGGATGGGGACATGGTATTGTCAGTGGTGGGTTGAGGTGACTTGCGGAAGAACGGATTGGTGTTGTGGCTCGCGGTGGAAGTGGCTGGGCTAGCAACACTTGGAGTTGGCCCTTGGGGGTTACGGAATTCTTCTGCGGCTTTGCTCAGATCGTTCATCTCGTTCTTAATCTTATCCCGCTCGCCCTCGTTGGTAGCGAGTTGCTTCTTGTTGATGGCCACCATGCCCTTCTGTTGTCGGGCGTCAGACCTCATCTTGTCAAGCTGAGGACGCAGTTGCGCGATTTCTGTATTGGCTTGTCGAATGCGCTCTTTCAAGTTGTTGTTTTCGCGCTGATCGGCTTCCAGGGCGCTTGCCACTTGGCGATGTTGGGCCTGAAGGTCCTGACGTGTCCCTTCTAGCATAGCGATGTCCTGCTGGAGCTTGCGGATCTCGGTCCTCGATGCTGCTAGGCGATCTTCTATTGCCTTTACGGCCTTGACCTCTTGCTCGTACTGGGACTTGAATTGCGAAAGTCGAACCTCAAGATCACGCTTCTGCGAGCTCACACTGTTCAGATCGCTCTCGGTAGTGACCTTCTTATTCTGCACCTCCTGCATCTGGTTCCGAAGGGTGGTCATCTGATTCGACATGTTCGCCAGCTCAGTCGATTCTTGTGTCAGTTTCTTATTGATTTCGGGATCGCTCTCGCCGCCTAATAGATCATCCATGGCAGACGGAGGCGCTCGAGATTGTGACGCGGATGTTCCAGACGCTCCGGTAGAGTGAGAGGTAAGAGTTTGACCGAAAGACGAGGTAGGCATAAAAGGCTTGAAGGTCGATGCCGGATTGCGCGGCGATGGCTGGAACGGCTGCGACGGCGAAGTCGGGGAGGCGGCCTTGCTTGCAAACGGGTCATTGTCGAAGGGCCTACTGAAGGAACCTGAACCACCCGTCGATTGCTGGATCTGCGGAGGGGCAGGGGCGGGCGCGGTGAAGGCGTCTAAACCGAACAGATCTTCTGCTGCTGACTTTGGCAATGGAGCGGGAGGTGCTGGCTCTGGAGCACCGACCGGTGGTGGCCGAACCTGGTTGCGCATGGTAGGAGGAATAAGATTTAGAGGTAGCGCCGCAGGAAGCGGTGTCCGGTCAGGCTTTCGCTGTTGTCGGATTAGGTACATGGCCACTGCGAACTCATCCTTGGATAGCTGGCCCTCTGAGTTGATGTCTGCTAGGTCCCATATTCCAGCTAGAATATCCTCGGGCAGACCTGAGTCGCTGAAGAAATGTACTGCCTGCTCTCCGGTGATGTATCCACGGCCCGTTGTGTCGACCTTGCTGAAGAGGTTATCATAGGAGGCTTTCTCCTGCGGCGAGATCAGCCAATCGCTTCCGGTCGGCTGGCTTGACTGCGGGGGCGTGCTGTAAGCGGATCGCCCCAGTGGACTCTGATTCCTCTGTCCACTGAACTGTCGAGGAATAGGCGCAGCGAAGTTCGGTCGTCCTGGCGGTGGGACAGGTCCTCTTCGCGAAGCAGCTTCATACAGTCCCGCTGGCAGAGTGTTGGGCAATTTATCCATGGCACCAGTGCGAATCGAGGCGAGCAGATGCATAGCGATAACGAACTCTGTCACACCGAGGGCTCCGCGCTGTTCGGTGTCCGCCAGGTTCCATATGCGACCCAGAGTTTCGTTCGGTAACCTGGCCTTTTCGAATATCTGTTTTGCGTTCTCACCTGGCGTGGCAGGTCAGTTGACGGCCCTCTAATCCTACCGGGAGGGCTTACCTGATAGAAGGCCATTGACGGCGCCTGACTTCTCGAAGAGACCCGCATATTCGGCGGCTTTCGCGGGAGACAGCGGAGGGACCCGGATTGGGCCGCCGCTCATCTGCGGTTGTATACCAGCGGCGGGCGGCTGCGAAGAGCTGGGGCCGGGTGCAGGGCCAGCCGGGATGGTCAAGCCCTCGAACTTGGGGAGCGGTGCGGCTACAGCTGTCAGCTGGCATCACAATAACAGGCGCAAGGTTATATACGCCTAAAGGCCAGCTCTGGCGATGGATCTTTTCCGGCCTGGTAGTGTCCGATCAGGCGCAGGACCTGGCAGAAGCCTGACGAGGTCAAGAGACCGCGGTTCTCTGTATCTGCAATCTGCCATATCTCGCCCAGCACGGCCGGCGCCAGCTTTGTCCGCTCGAAGAACTTGACGGCGACCTCGCCTGTTACTACGCCGAGCTTCTCCGTGTCGGCCTGCTGGAAGAGGTACTGGAAGGCGCGCTTTTCTTCGGGCGTGAGGTTGAGGATGGGGTGGTCTGCGTCCAAATAAGCTCTCTGTCTGCGCTGTGACAGCTGTCGCGGGCTGCAATGACGTACTCAATTCTCCACTCGATGAGAGGTCCGCCATGGCTGCGGCAGGTTGAACAATGCAGCGCGTCGATGAGGGAGGAGCTGCAATGAGGCTGAAGCTCTGGCGCTGTCGTGTAATCGGGCGGGGAAGCTAGGCGTGCGCTGGCAGCCGGTAGTGAAAGTCGGGGGGCTGGCAATACGCCGACAGCGCCAAACTGCTCAACGACAGTGATTGTTGCGGCCGCAGCACGGGGCGGAGATGAGAGGATAGAGATGCTGGAGGAGCGATGGGGAGAGATGCGCGGAACGACGAGGATGATGCCTCGCCAATCCACGTCGTCGCTGCTAGCTCCCAGCTTGGGATTACTGGGGTCGCGGACCTGGCCTCGCCTGATTGGCTGGCCACTGGCTGCCCCATCACGCCCGCACCTGTCAGCGCCGTTGGAGGTCTCTCTGCCTCTCCCAGCCAGCTTACCCGCGCATGGCGTGCAGCATACGTTTTCCCGGTTGTATCCATTCAGGATCCACCCTGCGCTGCACATGACCTCCCCCACGCTGCCGACATATGCATCTTCAGGAGAGGAATGGGGCTTGTATTGCGTATGCTACCCTACAGAGGTCGAAGAGGACGTGGCCTCTAGTTACACATTTTGGTACAGTGGCGTCTGAGAACCCGAGCTGCATACTGCGGGGGCCTAGGATAATCAAAGGCAAGAAATCGCTGCTAGCCAATGGCCCGCAGGCTATCGTCCCACGAGCGGGAAATGGACGGCCATGACATACATCGTGCAAGTGGGCGTGGTACAGGGGGAAGAGCGGAACGACAGCAGAGTCTCCCGGCCCCCTCACGCTGAACTGTTCAACAAGCAATGAGTCTCATATCCAAAGAGCGGGCGATGCCCTCACCGCTGTCCTTTGGGATGCCCAGTCTCCTTCGCCCTCACGCTCTTAGAGAACGCCAGGCTTGGAGCGCCCTCTTCGCGCCTGCCCCAAGCCCGACCCAGCAGCCAGTCGGTGACGGAGATGACCTTCGCCGTCTTGTCCCATTGTCCATTCTCTTCAACATGCTCAATGGTGTGCTGGGCGATCCTCCCCTGTTCATCGAACTCGAATATGAACAGGCCAGAAAACTTCTCGTCAGGCCGTCTTGAACCCCCGACAATGTTCTTGATCTTTTCCACTGCTTCGCTAACCTGACCATGCTCTTTCTCCTCTGATTTCCCGCACGTCTCCCACTTGACGATGAGCTTCTCGTGTCGCATATCGGCAGGCGTGGATGTGCCTCCATTCTTGATCATGCGCTCAGACAAGATCTTGAGCTTTACATTGCCCACAACGGGCACCCTTCCCCATGCGACTGGAGCGGTATATAGCGCGGCTGTATATGCAAGCTTTCCACTCACGGTCGGGAGATGCGGGTGCGTCGAAGGAAATAGGTGGAGACTAATCCGCGGGGAAAGGATATCTTGCGGCAGCGGCGACACTAATAGCGTCGGAAGACGTTCTTGGAGTATGCGAATGGCTATCACTGTCAGTAGCTGTTTGCTTCAATTAGAAGGTGGTTCATACTCTTCCCAAGTTTGAGATTGCGCTCATCCGGGGGCGGATGGTCGCTGCCTGCCCCTGGATAGAGGGACGGTGTCGAGCTCGTAAACCATGATCGCGATACTGAGGCCTGCCGCGGACGGACGTCGGTAATGGTCCTCTGGTATTGCTTGAGGCCCAGCAACCGGGGCGTGGTGAGATGGGTTGAGGTAGATCGCGGCGGCAGATGTGCTCGGGTCGACGACGAAAATAACCGCCGCATTAGACCGGTGGTCATCTGTAGGAATATGCGACCATAGAGAGAAAGCGGCAGTTCCTAGGGCGCCTTAGGTCAAGAGTCTTTGGTGATGCGGCAGAAGGTGGAGAAACAATTAGTGGTCGGCTGAGGGAGTTGCAGAATCGATAAGCGGGCAGAATGACGTGGGTGACCTCCGTTTACGGCAGGCATTAATCAATTTGAGTTGCTCCTGCTGAATGCACCCCGCGATATAAAATCTGAAACCCGGAGAACTGTGAATTGATCGTTCCAAGTCACTAGATCGACCGCTACATGCACAAATTTCTTCGATCTTCTCTCGTTCGACGACCATTCACTACGGCCTCATTCAATATGACTTCTTTTTCCGCCAAACGCATCGTCTTCACTGGCGGCTCTGGGAAAGCAGGTAGACATGCGATTCCCGAATTGATTACAAGAGGCTATGATGTGCTCAACGTGGATATGGTGGATTTTCCCGACCCTAGTGCGAACGTATTTACGCTCAAGACGGACCTGACGGATAGCGGCCAAGTCTTCAACGCCCTGGTACGTAGTGTTAACGTGTCTTATTCAGGGCATTGCTAATGCGTACCGTCACTTTCTCAGACATCGCATTTCAACTTCGGCGGCTACGAAGGGCCAAATGTCCCAGGACCGCCTGATGCTGTCGTACACTTTGCTGCGTATGCCAGGAATATGTTAGTGCCGGATAACGAGGTGAGGCTTCCCCCCGTCCGATTCATAGTAGATTCATACGATTGAGTTATCCACCAGTGCTTCAAGGGAAACGTAACGTCCACCTACAACGTCATCGAAGCCGCCTGCAAGCTTGGAGTGAGGAAAATCATCATTGCCAGCAGCGAAACCACGTATGAAGTCTGTTTCGGACAGGGCGACCTGGACTACAGCGCGTTTCCTTTAGATGAGGATGCCGATGTGAATCCCATGGACACCTACGCCATTTCCAAGCTGTGCGGTGAGCGAGTAGCTCGTGGGTTCGCCCGAAGATTCGACGCCGATATCTATGCTCTGCGGATTGGCAACGTCGTCGAGCCTCATGAGTATGAGCGTGACTTCCCCAAGTACATCAACGATCCGAAGCTACGAAAGAGGAATGCCTGGTCGTACATTGACGCCAGAGACCTGGGCCAGATCTGCGATCTATGCATCCAGAAAGATGGACTGGGATTCCAGGTATTCAATGCGACAAATGACACCATTACCGCGACGTTCCCGACGCGCCAATTCCTCGAGCAGTGGTGCCCGAACACCCCGATAACGAGGGAGATGAGTGAGTGGGAAGCGCCATTGAGTAACAGGAAGATCCGGGAAGTGCTAGGATTCAAGGAGAACCATAATTGGAGGAAGTACTACAATCCCGAATGACGGACTGTGAGAATGAAGATTTGAGGTTCAGATAGAAATTGAATCCCATGTCCATGATTTGCTTCTAGACTAGCGTCTTGGCAGCACACTCCGATGTTCGCGAGCTGCGACTTATCTCGACTTTTTTTTCCGGTTGATCACAAGCCTCGATACAGTCTGCGCCCATTGATACCCAGCTTTGCGTGCATTTATTCAGTTTCCCCTTAGTTAGATAAGACCTTTTCCTCAGACTTGTTCTGCCATCGCATTCGATCCGAACATGGCCCCATCGGCATCTGAAGCCGCGGCGAAAGTCGCGAACGTTGCCGCGGGCACGTCATCGTCGGCGAAGGAGTTCAAGAAGGAATCGGCGACAGCAAGATTCGTGGGCGCAGGTATACATCGCGATTTTCGTATGCATACGGTATAGCTAACAATTGGCAGGAACGGCCGGTATTGCTGAGCTTATGGTCTTCCACCCCGTCGACACCACCGCGAAGCGATTGATGAGCAATTACGGCAAAGTATGCCCTCTAATTGCGTCGTAAACCACGCGTGCTGACAATACGCCCTATCAGATCACCTCTGCCTCGCAGTTGAACTCGGTCATCTTCAAGGACAAGGCACAAGCATCGGTTGGGGGTCGGTTCATATCTTTGTTCCCTGGTCTAGGCTATGCGGCCGTTTACAAGGTACATGCCACGCTCATGAAGAACGAGGCACTGTATTGATATTGTCAGGTCCTCCAACGTGTGTACAAGTATGGCGGCCAACCCTTCGTCAGGGATTACCTCGCAACGCACCACGGAGGCAGCTTCGATCGCACATTCGGCAAGGGCAACGGCAAGGCGATAATGCATGCGACGGCAGGAAGTTTGATTGGTATTGGCGAAATCGTCATCTTGCCTCTGGATGTTCTTAAGATCAAGCGACAAACCAACCCAGAAGCTTTCAGAGGACGGGGACTGTTCAGGATCATTGCCGATGAAGGGTTTGGCCTGTATCGTGGCTGGGGCTGGACAGCGGCACGCAACGCACCTGGTTCATTCGCGGTAGGTCAAACCGCTATGCATTCGATTCATAGTCTAACATTTCCAACAGCTGTTCGGTGGCTCTGCGGCTGCCAAGGAATACCTGTACAAGCTGAACGACTACAACGCTGCCAGCTGGACGCAGAACTTCGTTGCCTCGATCGCCGGTGCCAGCGCTTCCCTTCTCGTGTCCGCTCCGCTCGATGTCATCAAGACGAGGATCCAGAACAGGAATTTCGAAAACCCAGAGAGCGGCTTCCGGATCGTTTCCAACATGATCCGCCACGAGGGCTTCACGTCGTTCTTCAAGGGACTGACGCCAAAGCTTCTGATGACCGGCCCCAAGCTCGTGTTCTCCTTCTGGCTAGCTCAAACGCTTATACCTGCATTCAGCAAGGTAATGTAAGCGGGTCGTCGCCGAGGGATGGTGTTCTGTACAATAGTAGGGTTCCGGGATTCTGGGTGGTTTATAAAAGGTTCCTAATCTAGCGCTGCAAGAGCTTACTCGGGCGGATGCATCCGCGAGCTCTTGGAATTAATATATCCTTCTCCATTCCACGCGTTTTGTTGAGCCGCATTGCCCTTTTGTGCGTCGTAAGCAGGCGGTTCGTCCCCAGCTGACCAGATGCATCGCATCACGTGTCGGCTCGTTCGCGCCCTGCCGAGGTGCTTCACCATGTGAGGTTTTGGCGAAAACGAATGAGAATCACAGGCCAGACACGAGGTGAGACCTATGAGTCTATCACGACCAAACGCGACCAAGGCAGCAGAGATACAGTGCGAATGTGATGTACCCGACCTGTGACCGCGGGCGGGCTGAACGTTGACGCACAGGCGCGCCAAGCCAACGCTTGCCAGGTGCCTTTCAACCTCACTGCGCATCAACGCCGACCCTCTACCTAACCCCGTCCACCCCAGCGTCTGCCATCCCCGCCTCCTGCCTTCGCCTCGCCGAACCCCACTGACACAACTCTTCATCTTCTTCCACAGACTTCAATATCCGTCGCCAGCATGAATCCTGAGTAGTACGTAACCTCCGCCAACTCCCAGCGCCACTGGTCTCGCGACCTTGATGGCCGATATCACTATGGAAGATCGCTGACTTAGTCGCATATAGAGTATCTTCGATTCCCTCGCAAGCCTCGGTGTCCTCGGATTCTCTATCGAAGGTCTAGCTGACCCTTCGCTCTGCACAGATACGACTACCTCTTCAAGCTCCTCCTGATCGGCGACTCCGGCGTCGGAAAGTCATGCCTGCTCCTTCGTTTTGCCGATGATACATACACGGAGAGCTACATCTCCACCATCGGCGTCGACTTCGTACGTTCACTGCCAATGCTCGCTGCCTGGCAACCTGCGATAGGCTAACCTGAGCGCAGAAAATCCGAACCATCGAGCTGGACGGCAAGACGGTCAAGCTACAAATCGTGCGTACACCTGCTGCCTACAACTTTTGCTTTTTCTGACAAGAACTGCAGTGGGATACCGCCGGTCAGGAGCGATTCCGAACCATCACATCCTCGTACTATCGGGGCGCCCACGGCATCTGCGTCGTCTACGATGTCACGGACATGGACTCGTTCAACAACGTGAAGCAGTGGCTCCAGGAGATCGACCGATATGCCACCGAGGGTGTCAACAAGTTGCTAGTGGGCAACAAGTCCGATATGGCGGACAAGAAGGTGGTTGAGTACACCGTGGCGAAGGTGCGTTGAGAGAAGGCCACACTTGAAAACGAAGAGTCATTCTGATGGTGTATATAGGAGTTCGCAGACAGCCTCGGTATCCCCTTCCTGGAGACGTCCGCAAAAAGCGCCACCAACGTCGAGCAAGCCTTCTTGACCATGGCCCGCCAGATCAAGGAGCGCATGGGAACCACAACCGTCAATAACAAGCCCACAGTGCCGATCGGTCAAGGCCAGGGCGTGCAGAGCGGGTCAGGCGGTGGCTGCTGCTAGAGGGGGTGAGCAGGATGGGTGAAGATAACGACTGCCAGTTTCAAGGCGTGGGTGTTCGTCCGGGTTGGTACCTAATGGTTTCCCTCTACAACAGCAAGCCGCCGTCCATGTCCATCTTTCCTCGGTCTTCTATGCATGGCTCACATGAGGTGGTTGTGTTGGATTCTCCTTCTGGGTCTCGGTAGCAATCTTTTTCTGCATCCTTGGGGAGGGCAGTGATCGCGGCAGACGGATATGGTAGCAGATTGTGGAGCCCTTTGGACCGGAGACTAGAAGAGACTGCTATCATGGCCATCTTGTGTTGATCACTGGGGTCTTCCTTTTACTTTCTTTGTTGGGTGTCTCTTAGTCTGAGCAATCATATCACCTACAAGCCTTCTTTCGTGTCGCCATATTTTCATTTCTTGTACTACGAGGAATGGTGATTGAATCCCATCCCCAGCTGTGGAAACCTGCCATCCAATATGTATCCGTGGCTTTGGAGATAAATATCCAAGCTGTAGGCATGATTGAGCGCATGCAGCAAACAGTAATCACAAAAGAGTGGTAATGGAGAATCGGCTACATCCTTCCAGAGCTTGTACTCGGTTTCGTATGCAGTCGAAGGCGGAGTCGCCTCTTGGCAGAACGAACGCACCCCATTACCTCAATAAGTCTTCCTCTACGCCATCTCCTCGTGCTGCGTCTCCTACAATACATTTTAAATGTCCACGCCTCGCGATGATCGGGGGCCTCCTGTCGCTCTCGCGTCCATTATATTCCTCTGCTGATGTTGCGTGGACCCGTCGATCCTTCCGTATTCGGCAATGCTCGTAACTGACGTATGCGGGAATCCTCCCAAGGCACCTGCATCCTCAAACACTCCAACATGGCTGTGCATGTCGCGTCCTCCCACATTCTCTTCCTCTTACATTACTTTTCGACGCGTCTTTCATTTGCCTTATAGCCCTGTTCGCTCATGACAACTTCTCGAAAAACTCCCGCTTTGTCCGACCTTTGCCGAACTCTGGGCTGCTTACGGCTAAAGCTCGACCTACTCGATCCGACCTGGCTTCCATATCTCTCGCTGCTAGTTGATTGAAGCTTCCCTGGGGCTCAGATTGCTGACGCGAATGGCGAATAACTCGCTTCAATTCCTTGCTTAAACTTTAGGGAAAGGATGTCGTTGGGGAATGGCATCACGAAGGCTGCAGGATGGCTTGCCAACGAGCTCGGGCTCAGGACTATGGGATCTGCCGGAAAGGATGTCTACATCATCATCCTCGCTCGCTACTTGCGGCTTTTTGCGTACGGAGCCGTCGCTCTAATTATTGCCCTTTACTTTGAAGCGCTGGGCTTCTCGGACTCGCAGATTGGCCTCTTCATGACCCTGACGCTCCTTGGGGATGTCATCATCAGCTTGCTTCTTACCCTCATCGCCGACTCCCTCGGACGAAGGAGGACGCTTTTGCTCGGCGCGATTGCCATGGCTATCTCTGGTGCTGTTTTCGCCCTCACGAGCAATTACCTCGCATTGCTTCTGGCGGCAATCATTGGCGTTATTAGTCCAACAGGCAATGAGATCGGGCCCTTCAGAGCCATCGAAGAATCGACACTGGCCCATCTAGTACAGGAGTCACAGCGACCCGATGTGTTTACCTGGTATGTGGTCCTGGCTGTGCTGGGAACGTCTACCGGATTGATCGTCGGAGGACAAGCTGTGGACCGATTGCAGGCTCTGGAAGGGTGGACCGAGTTGGATGCCTACCGTATGATCTTCTGGATATACACTGGCGTCGGAGCTGCAAAAGCAATCATGACTCTTCTGCTAAGTAAACATTGCGAGCATAGCCACAAGGAAGAGCAGTATGACCAATACCACGAGGACGCAAACGAGGCGGAACCCCTTCTGGATGGTCAGGACGGCACTGGTCCTCCCGAGCAAGTCACTTTACCGAGGCCGAAGACCCCGAAACGATGGGCTCCGATTAGCACGATATCCAAGCCCACGCGCTGGATTCTCTTCAAGCTCTGTGGCCTGTTCTTTCTGGATTCCTTAGGCAGTGGGATGGCGCCCTTCTCCTTGATCAACTTCTACATGGAACGAAAGTTTCGGCTTGACAAAAGCAAGCTCGGTGGTATTATGTCAGCGACATGGTAAGCATGAAGGCGGATATCCCTGCGGCGTGCAAACTAACCTCAGCAGGTTTATCTCAACCATAGGGAACATCTTCGCCTCTTCCCTCGCTAAGCGCATCGGGCTCATTCAGGCGATGGTAGCCACACATCTACCCAGCTCCATCTTTCTAGCACTCCTACCCGCTCCACCGGGTCTGCCGTTGACCATTTGCCTGCTAATCGCCCGTGCGATCCTTAATAGCATGGATCAGGCTCCGCGGTCGGCGTTCCTATCAGTTGTCGTTCTCCCCCAAGAGCGGACCGCGGTAATGGGCGTCGTTAACATCCTCAAAACGCTTTCTCAGAGCGCCGGGCCATGGGCCACGGGGCTGTTGGCTGACCACGAGCATTTCTGGATGGCTTTCGTCGTAGCTGGCTCGATGAAGGGTGCCTACGACCTCCTGCTTCTGGCCTTTTTCGCTGGTCGCATACGTCAACGGAACGATGCAGCAGCAGAGTCAGCCGCTCATCATGACGACCTCCCGGATAATGTCGACGCAGAGACGGAAACGGAAGGCCTCACCGAAGCCGAGGCGGATGTGGAGGACGACTCCTCAACGAAGATCCCTTGCTCGCCTTCGGGTAGCCAAAAAGTGGCGGGCTCCCTCACTGCCTCGGGGTCCAGTTCGGCACGCTCGCGACAGTGAAGGGAGACTTGAATAGTTAGTGCTGCGTATCACTGCTCTTCATATAGATGCCGTGGCCAAATGTGGGCATGCGCTGCAGCTGATCTAGGTTTGCGCTGGATGAATCAGGCGCTTGATCGGCCCAGCTGATGCTGCTGCCGATGCCGCTAGCGCTAAATGCGGCTTGGAGCGGTCTGGAGCAGCGCCAAGCTGGACCCTGCATGCCACGCGACAGGGGGTTCGGAAACGTCACGATAAGTAGCCGTATCGCTCACTCATCATTTCGCAGTCATACATTCTCTCCTGCCGGCCCACAGTGCTCCTGTGCGCTTTCGTCGTTCCTTTGTCCCGCGTCCTTCTGGGCGGTTTGCAGCCTGGCCGCGGCCCTCCCTTTTGTGCGTCCCGGCGTTCCGGCGGCTTCTTTTTTTAGGTTCCGCGACAACTCAGCCCTATCAAACTTTTGTTCTACATTTTTCTCGGGTCACGACAACAAAGCAAATCGGCCTTGGGCACTGCTGTCCACTTTCTCACATTGTCCCGAGAACTTTCACGCCCGTTCCTGGACCTTTCTTTCTGGGATCTTGGAAACCCGATGCTCTGACCGCCCATCGCGGAGCCTGTATCGTTCGCGATGGCACCTGCAATTCTGGCTAGGCGACCGAGAATTCTGTATTTGGACGCCTACGACTCCTTCTCGAACAATATCATCGCCTTGGTCGAACACTGCATCGATGCTGATGTTGTCAAATGCCACATCGATGATGGTCCCGTTTTCCTGGGCTACGAGCGATTACTGCGCTTCGTGGAATACCTCAAGGAGTTCGATGCTGTCATCGCGGGACCCGGACCTGGCTGGGCGAAATGTGACAAGGACGTCGGACTCATGAAAGAGCTTTGGACACTCCAAGACACGCATATGCTCCCTGTTTTGGGCATATGCCTCGGCTTCCAATCCATGTGTCTAGCATTTGGCGCAGACATCGAAAGGCTCGTCGAACCTAGACATGGCCTCGTCTCGGAAATTTTGCATCGAGGGCGATCAATTTTTGCCGGAGTCGAAGAAATGCTCGCTACGCAGTATCATTCGCTGCAGGTCATGATTGGCCATTCCATTCAGACGAAGAAAGCTGTCAGGTATCCAGCGGAGCTCTGGGAAGCTACCAAAACATGTCCCCAGCTAGAACCGCTAGCATGGGATTTCGACTGCAGGCGCAACGGTGCCGTCCTTATGGCCGCAAAGCATTCAGACAAGCCATTCTGGGGCGTTCAATTTCATCCGGAGTCCATCTGTACGAACAGCGAAGGCACGCACATCATCCAGAACTGGTGGCATGACGTCCAACTCTGGGCTCATAAACGCGGGTCCAGTCATGTACTGGGGAAGAACTCTCTGTCATCATCTTCCGACGGCTCGATAGCTATCGAAGCTCTTCGTTACCCCCTCGACTCGAGCGAGCTGAAGCGAGAAAGTCGAGAACGGCGGTCACTAGCTGAGATGGCTCAGGATATACCGCCCATTTCGAGATTGCTCAAGAGCGCTAAGTTCAAGGGTGACCAACTCCTCCACGTAGAAGAATTAGCCTCCCTTATTGCGTATGGAGACCAGAAGTCGCTGCCGAATCTGCCGCCTACCATGGTCCATTGCGGCACAACAGGGAGTGGCAGGCTGACTGTGGCCGATATCGTTGAAGTACTGGATATACCTCGGTACGAAGCCATAATTCTGGAGTCAGGACTACAGCGAAATTTGCTCCCCATGGCGGTAGGGACGGGTCGATATAGCATTATCGGTCTGGTCATCCCAGGAGAGACCTTGCGGCTGCATTACTACACCGGAAGCCGGCTGATGCAGTTAAGGAATGGTATGGATGAAGTGCATAGCGAGTGGCGTGTCTCGGACCCTTGGAAGTACATTCGTGGGGTCATGGTGTACCTGCAGCGAATGATGCGGCGACCGCCGACCACACCCACCTGGGCACCGTTCTGGGGAGGCTTGATGGGCTATGCCTCGTACGAGGCTGGCTTAGAGACGATTGATGTGCAATCGGGACAAGATGCGGCGTATCCAGATGTCTGCTTCGCCTATGTTACGCGCACTATTGTAATCGACCACCAGCTCAAGAAGATATATGCACAGAGCATTCGCGGTCCGGATGACGAACACTGGGTGAACAGAGCGCTGGACAAGATCTACGAAGCTGCCGGTAGAAAGAGCCTGGAGTCAACCCCGAATTCGACACCCATGCCTAAGCTCAACAACCCTTTCGAGCAAGACGCGACATTCAATAACTACCTCGCCTCCTGCAAACAATATGTCGCCGACCAAGAGGAATACTGCGCCTCAGTCGCATCCTGCCAGGCCCACATCGCAGACGGCCAAAGCTACGAGATCTGTCTGACCACTACAAACGAGATTCGCGCACGTAGGCCCCGGATCTGCCGACTGTCTAAATTTGACAACAATGAGCTTTCGTGGAAGCTCTACAAAGGCCTCGCTTCACAGAATCCGGCTCCCTTTAGCGCCTACATGCGCCTCCACAACATACACATCGTCAGCTCGTCGCCCGAAAGGTACATCAGCTGGGACCGCATGCAGACCGCACAATGCCGCCCTATCAAAGGCACCGTAGCTAAGAAACCCGGCATTACCGCTGCGGACGCACATGCCATACTCTCCTCGCCTAAAGAACGGGCGGAGAACCTGATGATCGTCGACCTAGTTCGGCATCAACTGCACGGCGTATACGGCTCCGGAAATGTGAACGTGCGACAACTCATGGAAGTCGAAGAGTACGAGACGCTATGGCAGCTCGTCTCCGTCGTCGATGCGGTACCTCGCGATGCACGTAAACCACGGACGCCTGATGAATGGGAGGAGCCGCCCAATTACGTCTCCGCGTCGAAGTCGCCCCTGCCGTCGGAGGTTGCCTATCTCGGATTCGACGCATTCGTCGAGTCCCTCCCGCCAGGCAGCATGACCGGCGCACCCAAGAAACGCAGCTGCGAGCTTCTCCAGCGCGAGGAACCGAACCGCCGGCGTGGAATATACTCCGGCGTACTGGGCTATCTGGATGTCGGCGGCGGCGGCGACTTCTCCGTCGTCATCCGCACAGCTGTCAAGATTGACGAACCCTCTTCTTCAGCCTCATCAAACACCACTTCCCAAGAAGACGTCTGGCAGATCGGCGCCGGCGGCGCAATCACCTCGCAAAGCGTACCGGACGCCGAGTACGAAGAGATGCTGGGCAAGTTCCAGAGCACAGCGAGAGCGTTCACGGCCGATGTTGGGCCTGCTACTGCTGGGTCCGAGGGCGCTGGTGCGGCAGCGAAGCTGTCTTCTTTATTTACGGATGGCCACTCAGTCGTTCCGGAAATTGAGGGGCTCGAGAGGTTGGAGAGTGAGATCAGGAGGTTAGGATTTCAGCGCTTTGGGATGCAGGATTAGGTGATGACCGACCCAGCTGATGGGTGGGTGTTGTGTCGGCTGCTATGGCGTTTGGGGTTGCATTTTGCTAGCTTACTTTGCTTGCATTTGGCGTTTAACTCAGCTCAACGAGGATAGGATGGGATACCATAGATTTAGAAACTCTCGACGAATGTTTCAACACAATGCAAGACCAATTTTTTAAATAGCAGATGCGTCCTTGCAGTGTAAATCACAAGTTGTTAATGGTGCAAGGGAACCTCTGATGCGTCTGAAGCGGGACTAGCGCAGAGGACCTTTGGGAAACGAGCTACTGACATCCAACCCAACCCTCACATTCCACCTACGAGATGATTGGAACTGCATGAGCAAGTGTCCTGATAGCGGAGGTACGCAGATTCAGCTTCGCTGAGTATGTAGTTTAAAGGTTCTTTCTTGACGTATCTATCTATGCTAGTAGTGCAAAAAGCAGATACGTTTTCTTCGCGTAATCGGCTGCGTTCTTCCGCAGCCTAGCCATACTGCTCTCATCCAGACTATTTTCGGCGGCCATGCTTCGCGCCAGCCGCTCGATGGCGTCATCCGACTTGCCAGCCTCGCCCACGAAGCGGTGTATGTAGAGCATGTCAAAGAGCGCTTGCTTCAGCTTCTGGTCTTTCAGGTCTTGCATAGCAGTGGCAGGAGACGGATGGGTGGTGTCTGTCTCGCCGTTGAGCTTGGGCTGGGCTTCCGCATCGGCGTCATCTTTGATTTCTTGGGTGGGCTTCTCGCTGCCTATCTTGCTGATGGCATCCATGTTCTCCATGAGGACTGGAGGGAGCTGTTCGCAAGCTAATGTCTTAAGGACTTTGACACCACTCGGAGCCCACAGGTCACTTCCATAGCCTGCCATGCTCTTGTTTAGATCTTGAAGGAACCTAAAGGCGCTTGGAGTCGGTTGGGCTGGCAACACTGGATTGCCCTCCCAGAGGATGTGGCTCTTTGAGCTCGCTTTGGTCGCAGCAGCTAGCGACTTCTTATACGCTTTGGTAGACGGCTGGACAATTTGGCGGCCGAGCGCGCCGTGCAGCGGCTTCGACAGCTCAGTCGTGAAGGGCGTCGCAAGTGGCGTCGCCTTGTCCTGCAGCCTCAGCTTTGGAATCCTCTCTCCGATCTCTCTCATGACTCTTAGCACAAAGCAAGCCTGCTGTACGCCTCCATCCTCACTAGCCCCGGCCAGATGCTGTACAATTTGATTAAAGCTCTTTCCTAGATTCTTCAACGCTTCACTAAGCGCCTCTTGTGTCACTTCTTCCAGCAGTCGGGGGTCGTCGTGGCTGAGCAGGATTTGCTTTGAATCTCCGAAGTCGTCATCATCGTCATCGCCTACATCATCCGCGAAGGTATCATCCCACCGTGCTTCTTTCATCGATTTCGCGATGCTTTTCACTTCGAGCACGGAGTCCATCCACTTGTCAAATGTGGATACGATATCGATGACGGAGGCGTCGCGGCCTTGATGTGTGTTTAGGATCCTGGATTTGAAGGCTTGAGCGCCGTTGCTTAGATCCGCGGGTTTTGGTACTGTACTCCACAGGGATAGAGAAGTGTGCGCTTTCGCGGACGTTCCCGACTCGAGCATGCGTGTCAGTTCGGATACCACGTTTTCTAGGTATTGTGTTCGAGATCGGATGATGGATTCCAGGTGGCTGTTTATCGTGTCGCGCAGGTCGTCCAGGACATTCGCTGATTTTACGCCTGCCATCCGCGAGCCGGACAGGATCCAAGTTTCGATTAGTTCCTGTCGCAACGATGCGACTTCTTTAAGCCGGTCATCTTTCCCAAGTGCCGTTTTGATGCCCTTGAGGAATGCAGCAATAGCTTGCCTGGACCATTGGTGCAGTATCCTTTCCGCCTCCGATCTCTGGAGCTCGTCGTGCCGCGGCCAGGGAGTATAATTGCGAGCCTCGTCTCCTATCCATCGATCATGGACATCTAGATTCAGCTCGTATAGCCCACGAACCTCTGAATCCTTGACAAGAGGTAGTGATTTGAGCTTCGCGAGAGACTCTGCCAACCGCCGCGGAAATATCGCCTGTGTATCCTGACACGTCTGAATACACAACCGTAGAGCACTAATCCCGTGCTTAGCCAGCTCATCGCCATGCTGCAACGAGGCGGTAATCTTCTCCATCCGAATCTTGTGGAAATGTTGCAGCACATCGGTAGGCGTCGAACTCGTCGCAAGAGCGTACGCGCACATGCTTTCAACTAGCGTCGACGTGTCTCCCGTAGTGCTCGCTAGGCACTTATCTATGCGCCGCAGGAGCTTCCGTCGTACGGAAAGAAGCCTCTCCCAAAGCTGATCCACAATGGGCGGCTTGCTCATCGACTGCGAGAGCGCCTTGTGCAGCAACCTCGAGATAACGAGGACTTTCGCAATGAGCAGGTACGAGCTTCCGGATTTCATCAACCGTGTCATAACGACGGGGCAATTCCGCAGGACAGCGAGCTGCGAAGCGAACGTGTACCGCTCCAGGTCTGTTTCCGTCGTCAACCACTCGCCCCCTAGAGTGCTATAGCAGCCGGAGACTGACCGCGACTCCGCTTATGTGTATCCATTTTGACCGCATTGCCCGTTATACGTTCCAAGTTCCGGGAATTGCAGTTCTGCCCTACTCTTGCCAGCTTAGATTCCACCTGCTCCATCCGGGCTTCCATGTCAATGATAGTCTCGGCGGTGTCGAGGAGGCTGCGGTAGCTTGCTCTACAATAATTTGTTAGATTTAATCCGCTCTCATAGATAAGTTGCCGATGTTGCTTACCCCACGAGTGACCGCAGCTTCTCGCGATTCTCATCGGCGTTGGAGCGAAGCTGTTGCTCCAGCTTCCGGACCACGGGAATGGGATATTGGAAGGCATCTTCCCAGCTTTTGAACGTTCGCGGGTCTGGCGCTTCATTCGCCATGTTGATTGCACCTGAAATGGGGGTTCCCCAGCTTGTGGAGGGGTGATGTTGACACGATGAGATTCGAGACGGAGCGGGGAAACGATTGGCCGTGCTTAGTCATATCCAAGGACATTGTAGGAGAAAGATGGAGAGGCGGGAGTTTTCCCTTGAGTCGAAGAATTTATATTGAATTCTGCCCATTTGCGGCCGGCTCTGTGCGGACGCGCCATGATGCAAAAGACCCGCTTGGTCTTTCATACTAAAGTACCTCAACCAAGTCTAGCCCCTGATCGCAGGTCCCACGTTTTCCACTAATCATCTTCGCTATCCTCCGCTCTCTGCTGTTCTGCCAGCCTTTGCGCCTCCTGCCACTGGAGCGCGAATTCTCTCAGGTTTCCCTCCCCTCCTCTGCTAGCATCTACGACGTCCTTCGGAAGCTTGTGCGCGCTATACTGAGGAGTGGTAAACCCATAAGCTTCCGGATCGTCTCGCCGAACGAGACGGAACTCTGGCCGCCACATCTCGGTGATTTCTTCATCTCCTTCGGCGCCCGCAGAATCTTCTTCCTCCGAACGCTCTTGATATTCATTCATCTCAGACTCAGGTAGCGTCAGAAGCTCAAGCCAACTAAACAGGAGCGGATCGGTCCTCTGCGCCCAAGGATTGAAGTCCATCAGCCAGACGCGATCGTGCGGAGGCGGGATGTAGACGTCGAAAGTAAAGTTGCGGTCGGGGAAGGTGTCCCGTATCCGAATGTCGAAGAATTCCTGGATGGACTGACGTAGCTTGTCTTGCATCTTGAAGAGAAAGTCGAAATGATTGAGGTCTCGCTGGCAGATGGCAATCAGCTTGCGGTTGCGCACGAAGCAGCGGAACTCCACGGAGGGATTGAGCGTTATCCATTTACGAAGGACGAGATGGTAGGGAACAGCAGGACCAAATGGCCCTGTAGGGTCTCCTTCATCGGCGGTATCGTCGAAAGCGTGTTGGAGATCGTGGGCGACAAAGTCGCTAGACTTCAGGAGTAGATAGATGTCGTTCGGCGTCCGGCACTCCATGCTATTCGTCGCAGCGATCCATGTAGCATCCTTTGGTGCTGACCAGTTTAACTTCGGCGCAACCTTCCCGCCCAGCTCCTCTATTGTGCGTTCAATCGCTTCGTGAGTATCACGCCAGTTGGCGGAGGGGTCGTAGTCGGCTCCGTCATCATCGTCGGTCTCGTTGTCGGCCCCAGAGAAGATTCCACTGTCCGAATCGGACCATTCTGGGCGGTCGTTGTCCTCGGGAGGAAGCATGATGCCGTCTTCACGCAAGTACGAGATGAAAGCATCCGGAAGTGGCACAAGCCGTGCTTTGGGTGTGATGGCTCGATACCTGGGACACCGTCAGCTGTTGTACTTTGAAATCCGAACGTGTGCTAAGGATAAGCCTTACTTCGGATGCCAGTTGTGATATGAGCAGTTCAGGACATGGCTTTTCGTCACCGGAGGGAACGGAAGCTCCTTGAAGGAACCCTCCAAGGGCGACGAAGAGGGTTGAGGCTGGCTGCTCTCAGATTGAGAGCTCATGGTGGATGTTCTAGTGATAAAGTTGAAGAATGAAGCGAAGAGTATTGTTGATGTCGGGGATATGACTCCATGGCTGGGTTGTGACTTATGAGTCTTCTGTAACTTCCAAAGAATTCGCGGGGCAAGTGCGGGAGCTCGGGCCACCTTGACCTCCGAAAACTCCGCATCGACGCCTCCCTCGAATCCGCATCCACTGCCCATCTGCAGACCACAACTCGTACCTTAGCACTCACCATGTCGTCCAACGTCGGTCTCTCTACTCCCCGCGGCAGCGGTACCTCCGGATACGTCCAGAAGAACAGATCACTCCTCAAGCCGCGCGACAAGGCGGCACCCTATCCCCAGGACTGGGAGCAGACGAAGCACCGCCAGCGCCAGCCAGACCCAGAAATCCTGGAGCACGAGCGCAAACGAGATATTGAAGTCAAGGTTATGGAGCTCCGCGACAAGCTCGAAGATGAAGGGTATGTACAAGCCCCACAATCTCCAGCATGCAAAGTAACAGCGGATAGTGTCGATGACGACGAAATCGACGACCGATGCGATGGCCTCCGCAGGAAGCTCGAAGAAGATCACAAAGCTGGCAAAGACACAGGGCCGAATGCGCGGACCCTAAAAGCGCATCAGGTACACGACCTTGCGAAAGCGAAGATCGAGGAGAGCGAGCGGTTACGGAAGGCGCTCGGCATCTCTGAGGACTACGAGGAGGGAAGCCATTGGAGGAAGCAAGAAGAGCGGCTACGGGAGTCGTTGGCGCAGCGGGAGAGGGAAGATGAAGAGCACTTGGAGAAGGCGAAGGAGGCGCGACGGTATAAGGACGAGTCTGACTGAACGATAGTCATCGGACGGCTCTCTTTCTATAGATGGCTGGCGTTTGGATGGTGTTTATTGATACCCTCGACGACTGCAATGAATACGAGTGCATAGACGGTAGCGAACGGATAGGTTTTTCAAACTAACCCCAAGATGGGCTTCCTCCCATCCCAAACCAAGTGCGATCCGCGCAAGGAATAACTAAAGGCGATTCACAACGGCTTTCCTGGGCATCACCTGGCAACCTGTGGCGGTACGAGGATCTCGCAGCTGGCTCGTTGGATATGGAACCCAGCCCGTCGGAGCGAGAACTGCTGGTGTGGAAACTTCCGTGTATATCTTGAGACTGGCTCGGCGTGGTATCCCATTCTATCATGTTTGTGCTCATTTATTAGGATTTAGATTGGTGAGGCTCAGCCCTGTGTGCCGAACACCCGTCTCTTCCCAATCAAGACTTCACAAGCTCCACACATGGTCTGCCTTTCTCAGCGTTGAACCCAGATCTGAGGTCAAATGCAAGCAAAGAGCCACACAGTCTTATTTCAACGTCGCATTACAGGAGCCAAGGTATATAAAAAGAGATCTCATGAGGTGGCTTTCTTGTCCGATCTTAACTGAGATATGCCAATTCTTGGGCCAGTATATATGAGGCTTTCCCCAACCTCAACTGCAACCGCAACCCTACTGTCGAACCTCTTCAACCCTGCAGGAGGACGGCCCAGGACACATCGCACTTTCGATTTTCCTACGACATCGAGGGGATCGAGGAACGTCGCAATGCCACCGTTTAGAAACGCGAAGACCCGTTTACCACGAAAGAATTGACCAGGAACGGTCTAATGAAAGGACCTGGTCCAGTTCCCAGGTGCCGCCAACAAGAGGATGAGGACTTCTGCCGCCTAACGCGCAATGGGGTTGGCAGCTCCCGCTGCGTTATTCGCGGACATTTCACAGACCCCAGGACTTGTCGAGCCCTCTCATCGCACCTTCCCTTCCCGCCACAAGACGGACCGATAAAGGGCTTACGCACTTCCTGCGGATATCCCCAGCATCCTTTCTCACACGGTCGCATGCATAGTCTTGCGGGGCTAGAAGAGTTTGGATGAGACTTCAAGGGCGCTATTCCGGGGCCGGGCTCGGTGGGAGAGATCCACGATCCAACGACAGATTGCAAGGCCAATGCATCTCCCTCGATCCACTGTCTGCCTCACCGGAGTGCCTCCGGGCGTCCTTCGACAAAACGCCTAATGCAAATTTCTGCTTATCTTGATTGCTGCTCAGGCGCCGTCGTCGTTCCCTCCGTGTCCATTTTTCGAACCATTTGGCCAGATCCTGTGCTCTCGCCGCGATAGCACCGCTCTGCAGATGTATCCACGACTTTGTGGCGGAAAACGTGCTCTATGCTGGCGATTTGGTTCGCTACTGCGCAATTCACGCCACTTCCGCCGAGCGGCCAAGATATCCCGCCCAGACTGAGCATCGCTTGACTTCACGAAGATGTATCGCAAGAGGAATGATGGCTTCGAAGAACGAATCTAGAAAATGCCTCTAGCTGACATCGAGATTATCGGTTCCACTGAGGAGTGGATGGAATGTCGCTGGTACGCCTATGTGCGGTTCTGGAATCCTCATTGGTCTGATGCTCAGCCTTCTATGCAGCTGTCGCAGCAGAACGAGCAGTTTCTAGAGTATAAACACTTCTTAGAGGACCCGTTTTCTGCTTTCCTTCCTCCATCAGCTTGCTTCGGCATCTAGTTGCACAGCGGCCCCTTTTCTGTCTTTCTCATCCATCTATCTCTTGACTCTCCTTCACTGAGCGGAAGCCGTCAAGATGGTGCTCTCAGATTACACCTACGTCTTCGTCATCGGCACATTCTTTGCGATGCTCGATGCCTATAACAACGGTGCAAGTAAGTAGAGAACTTCGTCCTCTTCGAAGACTGCAAATGCTAAATGCTTCAGACGATGTCGCCAATGCATGGGCCACCAGCGTCTCCTCGAGATCCATCTCATACAGACAGGCCATGGTATTCGGCACCATATTCGAAATGCTAGGAGCCATAACCGTCGGCGCACGAACGGCAGATACAATCAAGAACGGCATCATTCCCAACTCGGCATTTAAGGGCGATGCCAACGTACAGATGCTTGCTTTCACCTGTGCCCTGGCAGGTGCTTCGACTTGGGTCATGTGGTGCACTCGCCACTCAGCTCATGTCTCCTCGACCTATTCCTTGATATCTTCCGTGGCCGGCGTAGGGGTCGCTACCGTGGGAGCCTCTAAGGTGCAATGGGGATGGAATAACGGCAAAGGTCTCGGTGCTATCTTCGCAGGCTTGGGCATGGCTCCCGCCATCTCAGGCGGCTTTGCAGCGACCATCTTCATGCTCATCAAGGTCATCGTGCATATGCGCAAGAACTCTGTCCCGTGGGCTATCTATACTGCGCCGTTCTTCTTTCTCATCGCGGGAACCATCTGCACGCTCTCGATCGTCTACAAGGGCTCGCCCAACCTCGGTCTGAACAAGAAGCCGTCCTGGTACGTGGCGTCCGTTACCATGGGTACTGGCGCCGGCGTCTGCCTCCTCTCGGCTCTCTTCTTCGTCCCGTTCGTCTACGCGAAGGTCATTCAAAAGGACCACAGCGTCAAATGGTACCACTTTCTCCAAGGCCCCCTGCTCTTCAAGCGCCCCGCCCCTGCCGAAGCCGACCGTGCAAACGTACCCAACTACGCTGTCGTCCAAGAGGATGACCAGCCAGAAATTGAGACGCGGTCGCCATCCTTCAGCGACTCCGACGACAACAACACTAAAGGCGCCGATGCTATCGTATCCGCCGATAGTGAGAAAGGCGCCGTTGTCACCGAGACCAAGCAACTCACCTATAAGGAGCTTGTAGCCCAGGGCGAGGAGCGCTTCCACGCGAGGCTCAGGGCCAAGCGTGGGCCCCTTGGCTGGGCTATGCGCTTGTTGCACGAGAATCCCATGGCGGCCGGCGAGATCTACGAATGGCACAACATGAAGATTCTCTGCAAGCGTATTCCCGCCATGATTGTTGTGGGTGCTCTTTATGGCCTGCACTACGATATTCATGCGGCACAGACTGGTATCGCTGGTACGCCGGAAGGTGCTCGCATGCAGCGCGTGTATGCGGCTGCGGAGAAGTATCCCAACGAAGTTGAGCATACGTACTCGTTTGTTCAGATTCTTACTGCTTGCACTGCGTCTTTCGCCCATGGTGCTAACGACATCGGTAACTCTGTTGGTCCCTGGGCTGTCATTTACTCCGCGTGGCACACCGGCAACGCGGCGGCGTCGAAAGCTCCAGTCCCCGTCTGGCAGCTTGCCGTTCTGTCTGCCACCATCTCCCTTGGTCTGATCACCTACGGCTATAACATCATGAAGGTTATGGGCAACAAGATCACTTACCACTCTCCCAGCCGAGGTTCGTAATCTCCTCTCATCCCCTCTACTCACACCGAATGCTAACCGCTGATTAGGCTGCTCGATGGAAATGGGCGCCGCCATCACCGTCCTGCTTTTTTCGCAGTACTCCCTCCCCGTCTCGACATCTATGTGCATCACTGGCGCCACCGTCGGCGTCGGCCTGTGCAACGGCACCTTCAAGGCTGTTAACTTCCAGCGTGTAGGTCTGCTTATGCTGTCTTGGGTCATGACGATCCCTGTTGCGGGGACTATTGGCGGTGTGCTAATGGGCATTATCCTTAATGCGCCGCACTTTAAGTCGTAGCTGTGCGGCCGGGGTGGCCGGTCTAGTTGGTTGGTTCCTTGCGGATGGTGATACCCTCTTTGGGGTTGTGGTGGGCCGGCGTGTAATTGGCAACTATAGTGATTTCGCTTGCTTGAGTCATGGTTATGGTTTGCAACGTCGTTGGTAGACTGGACATCCTACTTATGCATCAACACGAGTCGAAAGTACTACCATCTTCCATTTCATCCGTTCTTCGAAACTGGTCACGCGATGTTTATCGCGCTTCTCCCGCCTAGCCTTCGATACAGCCTTCCGTGCAGCGAGTCCCACTTCAGCTGCATGCAGCTGTAAGTCGCTCGATTTACTGGATCATATCGCCTTCAGCTGAGCCTGGATTGTCGGAGTCTTCTCCGCCTTCGCAGTATCTCTCTCCGAGGGTCTCTAGCCGAAACACGTGGGCTGTCTTCGAAGTACGTTTGGTCAGTTTACCGCCAAGATGAGGGCGGAGCGCGAAGCTTTCTTGGCTTTGGGAGGGCATAGATGTGTAGCGTAAGTTAAGTGTGCTGTTTTTGAGAGGCATATGCAGCTAAACAGACTTTGAATTCTTGCGAATGATCGGAGAATGAAAGAACTTAGGACCCGTTCAACTGCGCGGCTTCACTGCCTGCGCTAGGAAACACTCAATCTTCAGCACCTCTAGGCTCGGCAGCTCGACCTCATATTTCTCCGGGAGCACTTCCATCTTATACTCCGTCAAGCCCGCCTTTTCCATAACCTCCTTCAGGCCCTCCTCGGTGAAACCCTTCGGTCTCTTAGCAGCTTCCACCTTCCCCTCTCCGCCATCTGCATCCTTTCTGGAATCGGAATCGAACAGGTCGCAGATTAGAAGCACACCTCCTGGTCTCAAGCGCGCTGCGAGAGCGTGGACCGCAGAGGGGACAGAGGGAAAGTGGTGCAGTGCTGCGCCGACGGTGATGAGATCAAATTCGTGGTATTCTGGTGATGATAGGGAGGCCGGCTCTGGAGGTTCAACCAGCAGATTCCCCACCAGCGCGTTCACTTTCCCCGTCGATATTCCATAGGTTCCGATGTTTGATCTGTACCGATCTAGCATCGTATCTGAGATGTCGATTGCGGCGATGGAGGATACGTGCGGGCCGTAGATCTACGCTCCTTCAGTGGTTGCACCAGAAAGAGGAGAAAGGAGATAAGGGTTTACCCGCGACAGGAAACCCGGACCGCAGGCGTAGTCTAGCATTTTGACTTGTTTCGCCCAGTCCAGTCCGACAAATGCGAGACGGTCGCGTAGGGCTTGGGCTTGGAGGTCGCGACTTTTTTTGTTTATCGGACGGTTATCGAACCAGTCCGCCATTGCTCTTTGGAGAGTAAGTATGGTGTAGGGGGTAGGAAAGGTAGATACGTACCCGACATCTTGAGGGTTGGGAGTGGTGGCCATTGTGTGGGCCTTGTTCCGAGACGATGGAGCAGCACGTTTCGAATCTGCGCTCTCGGGAAAGGAGTGGAATTATATATTATACGGCTGTAATGTGCTCATGGTCACGCCGGAGAGTATCTTGCGACTCAACAACCATCTCAAATTCACGCGTCTCCCGTCGGAGACATTCTGGGTGGTACGGACCTGCTCGGAGACATATCGTACGCCATCACGGTGCTATGTACTGCAACAGTAGGAACAAGCGGGCATGATGAGGTATACGCATGAGTTCTTCAGATTTCCCTGTCCTCGATGAAAGATGTTGAGCCGCAGGTTAGTGAATCCAGCCAACGGCGGGCATTCCGGATTGGGAAAGGGGAGTGAACCGTTCTTGAGGACGGCCTAAAAGGCCGGAGAGAGGCAGAAGTAAGCCTCAGGCCGTAAAATGTGCCAAGTCTTCATATTTTCGTAATAAACAGAGCGTCTCTAATCATCAAGTGAACGAGTGAGATGGTTTTAGCGCCCGCGCAGGTTGCGATCGCTGAGAGCAAGCTAGTCAAAAGCGGTCTAGCCCGAAAGCTTGGGCGTCCCCCATTATAAACCTGTCCTCTCCCTCACATCCCCTCTCTGTTCTAACCTCATCCTTCCAACTCCTCTGGCTCCTCGCACATCGTGCCCAACATCGATCCTCGCCTCGCAATCGGCCCAGTGGACGTCCTCTTTGCATCTTTGATCATTTTCCTCAATCCCATCTCGAATTCCTTCCGGACATTCAGGACCTGCTCAATATGCTTCAGATGAAGCCTGCCGCCTTCGAACCTCGCAAGAGTCTGTGCCGTGTTGATAGTGTTCGAGATCTCTCTTCCGTTGAGATTGGTGCGGATGAAGACGTCGATCGCTTCCTCCACCTCGGCCTCCAATTCGCCCCCGGTTGCTGTTTTCAGGCTCTTGGTCCACAGCATGCGACGCATTTCGAGCTCAGGTGGATTGTACCCTAGAGCGAGGTGGATGCGACTCTTCATGGCTTCATCGAACACGTGAATCCTGTTCGTTGTCAGGAAGACAATACCGCTAAAGTACTCCAGGTGTCGGAGGAAGACGGCGACTAGTCCGTTGCGCTCGGATGAATCTGCGACGTCGTCTCTTCGCTGCTCCAAGAACACATCTGCTTCGTCCAGCAAGACGCAGGCTCTCCATATCGTCGCGTACTGCAGGACCGTGACCAGCCGACGTTCGAAATACCAGGCAAAGTTCTCTTTATTCAGTTCCGCCAAGCTTGTGCTGAACAGCGCTCGGCCAGTGATTTCGGCGCAGCATTCAGCAGTCAAAGTCTTGCCCGTACCTGGCGAACCGTGCAGGAGAACTACCAGTCCTTTGCCCTTCTGCTTGGTCTGGTCGCGCGGATTCTCTGGGAAGTCGTGGCTCGAGACCATCGCCTGCAATAAGGATTTCTGCTCTTCCTTCATAACTAAAGCATCCATACAGCCCTTGTTCCACTGTACATCACGAATGTACTCGAGGTAAAAACGGCACCACTCCTTGATTGCCAATGAGAAGCCGTACACGAATGGCGGACAAAGGATCTTGTCAACGTCCTCTTGAGATGCCGGGATGGCAACCCGCGTCAGATTTTTATCCTCCTGGAACGTCTTGCGGTCGACCATGATCCTTCCCGTCTCTTTATACGTAATCCAAACCGGATCGAAAAGCGCCATGTCCGGGTCCCAGAAGCTGTATGGGGGCTCTTTGATGTGCTCAGCGAGACCATCATACTGACGAACGCAGGTTTCCGTCAAAGCCAGAAAGCGGTCACCCCGCTCGGTGAGGCGCCTCTCCAGACTTTCCCCCTCGTTGTAATATTTTCGCGGATATACGAGCAAATCCTTGATGTTGGCTGGATTCTCTGAAGCGAAGAATTGCTTTTGATGGATCTTGGTAATGAGGGTCGCCTCCCCAACGTGTCTCCCGTCGAAATCGGTGTGCGTACAATGGACTTCGATCCATTTACCTTGTCTTGTATTCTCTTCGTATGCCGTCTTCACACACTTAAGCAACCATGGATGGTCATGTTCAAACTTGATCTGGATGTCCCCCGGCCGATATAAGGTCCACGCCCGGGAGAAATCGATCTGGCCTTTCTTGATCTGGGTTTCCACTCTCTTCTTCTCGGGCCCCATCGTTATCTCCATGAAGTCGAACAGGAGGTTCATATGCATCCGCGCTACGTCGTCCTCCACGGCCTCCTTGTAAGCGTCCAGCTCGTGCCAGAAATGGAATAGCATTTGGAACGGACTTTCCATGTCGAACGGCTCGGAGAAGTCGGCTGCTACCGTTGGATATGATCCGATAACCTCTCTGAAGGCCTCCAAGATGTGCTCAGAGTTGATCGTCGCGATTTCTTTATCAAGAAGGTTCTTCTCGGTAAAGATCTGGTTAACGACGACCGCGTACGGTTTGTCGAATCCATGACCGCGGGGAAGCTTCAAGCTGTCGACCACGACATCTTCTGCATTCCCGCTTCGATCGAATCGCTGCTGCCGAACGCGCAGCTCACATGTCTTTCCCACCTCCTCGTTACTGGTCTCCGACTTGTCCGTATTAACCTTGTCTTTCTCGGTCATGGTGTGCGATTTGGCAGGATGTCCACATCAAAGACACAGGCTGGTTTATCAGGACCCCCTCCAGCCTGCACTTCAGCTTTCAGCCTTGCGCAGGCGGTGAAGCTCCGACGCACATAAGCAAAAAGAAATCTTTAGGTGCAGGGGTCTGCTTCCAGCCTCCTGAGTGGGGCTGAAATGGACCCCAAACTTGCCCTTTCGGGTATGGTCAGGCGATACGGCATGCACTCAAAAGCCCACTTTCTCCTTCCGACATGCTCCAAGCGCGGGGTCGAGTCTGTTATCCAGTCGTTTGGCCATGAGTAATCGCACCCCAATCCCTTTGCCTCGTTGCCTTCTTCGCAGATTTAGGACGGCATTTGAAGGTGGAGTGAACCAACACACTCACCCAAGGCTGGCAACCTACGTCCGCACCCAAAGCCAGCGATGGCGACCACCGGTACGAATACTTTCGCCCTGTCTCTCGAAGCGTTCATTTCCGGCGTCAAGCGCGATGAAGACATCCGCAGCCCGTTTTACAAAGAGGTCCTTTCGCAGCTCCTTTCAAGCCCCTCCGACAGCAACTCGCATGACCACAGTAGCCGGAGCTCGGAGCAGCTTGCACTTTACGTCAAGGAACTAGACAAGAAGCAGAAGCGCAGCAGCTATACCAGACGTATCTCTGAGAGGTTGGATCCGCTATTAACAGGCCTCTCTCAGTACACGCAAGCCTGCGATGTCATGATCCAGGCCGGGCCCGCAGCATCTGCAGTGCTATACGGGGGGGCTCGCATTGTTCTCATGCTGGCTGAAAAGTTCCGAAAATGCTTCGAAGATGTTCTGTCAATGATGGAAAGCGTTGGCGATCTGTTGAAATGCTACCACGTCTTCGCCAAAGCATATGAAGCATCCGCAGACATGCAACGGCTTCTTGTCGAGACCTACAAGAACATCGTGTCATTCTGGCAGAAAGCAGCGGCGCTTTTCAGTCGTAAGGCGTACAAAACATTACTCACTGGCATCGTCAAACCGTTGGATGCTGAGTGGCAACGATGTCGCCAAACCTTGGAGGCGGATGCGAAGAAAGTCCAAATGCTAGCACAGGCAACTGAGGCGGACCTGGGCAGGGAGAGGGACCTTGCAAAATCGACGAGTCAGCAATCGAAGCTGCGAAGCCACATCGTAGACTGGATCAAAGCAGGTCAGGAGGAGGATAGGCTCGACGTCCGGCAAGATATCCGGACACACCTCGAAATCCGTCACGATGAAAGCTGCGAGTGGTTGTTTCAACATCCGACTATGGAAAAGTGGCTGGCAATGAAGAAGTCGACATCGCTCTGGTACAACGCAGCTCCCGGGGCCGGGAAGACGATCTTATCGTCAACACTCGTCCGGAAGCTACAGGAAAAAGGTTACCGGACGGCAACTTTCTTCTGTTCTTTCAACGATTTTGTGCGGAAGAAAGCCATCAATGTTCTCCGATCTATTGCTCTCCAGATACTCACCCATTCTGATTCCATCCCCGAACGAGTACAGCGACTCTACGAGGAAGATCTGAAGAATCATTGCTCCAAATTGAACGATCCAAAGACTGCGTCCGAAATCATAGAGGCACTTCTGAAACAGCAAAGCCGCATCCATATCATCATCGACGGGCTCGACGAGTGCGAAGATAGGGGACTTCTTCTGCTGTCGTTTTGTCATCTCCTTCACGCGAAGACGTACGGCATCGCAAAATTCTTCTTTGCTAGTCGACCAGACTCCGATATCCGCACAATGATGCGAAAGCATAATGTCACGGAACTCGAAGCCTCCGGCGAGGGCCTCACAGAGGACATCAGAAGATATGTTACCGATCGTATCGATCATGAATGCGACAGCTGCGTTGAATACTGGACAAGCCATGCACAAGGCAATTTCTTGTGGGTGCGCCACATGATGGACATCCTAGACGGGGAGGGTGCCACCTGTGAAGAAGAAATTGAAGAAGAGCTAGACAAATTTCCGAAAGGTCTAACTGGCGCTTACACGCGGAGCTTGTCACGATTGTTGATGCGCCCCGAACGCCACCAGCAGCTTGCGCGCTCGATCTTCACGATGCTCGTTGGAGCTGCCCAGCCGCTTCATTTGAGCGAGCTCACTCATGCTCTTGCTGCTTTGAAAGGCATCCCGGACTTCTCTCCGAGAAGCTTACCGAAACCTGAGCTCATAGAAGAGCTGTGTTCTAATCTTGTCTTGTTCGATCGAACTATGAAGGGCACTGAAGATGATCCGTTACTAAAGGTCGCTCATAAGTCGGTGCAGGACTTTTTCGTACAAGATCCTGATGTCTTGCAACTGCCAGACGAGCGCCTGCGCCAGTACTTCGTGTCGCCAGCGAAAGCAAACCTCGAGTTAGGACTATCAGCCCTTTCGTACCTTAGCTATGAGAGGTACCATGCAACCCTAGACGTCTCGACCGTTATTACAGCGAACGACCATTCCTTCCTTCGACACGCTGCAACATTTTGGCACGGGTACCTCAGCAATGCGGAACGTTCAGAGGAGCTCTACAAGAAGATCATCGATTTCACGAAGACGAAGGCATTCTGGGCTTGTGTGGCTGTGCAGACTCGGGTCGTGCCCTATCTTTTCGCGACGTATACGAAAGATGGCGGACGTTATCTTGGCGGCTATCATCTCACTGCTACGGCGCCTAAGCTTAAAACGCAGTGTGTGGATGATGTGTGCTTCGCAATTCCACTTCCTGAGTGGCTGGATACAGATGTGTATGGCTCAGAGGGGGCGCGCATCTTCAAGGCATTCCACAACTTCGTGACTGAGTGGCATCCGCTACTCAACTCGCACCCTGCAGCAGTGGCTCAGTGCGCTATGGATGATGAATGGGACGGAATTCTTCCTGGAAGGGCGCCGTGGCGAGATGAGCGTGTAAAAATGCACAAGATTTCGCAGGGCACCTCGCCCGACGCCCTGGTGGATATACAGCTCGACGCCGGCTCTCTCAAAGCCCTCACCCTCGCCCACAGAAGCTCTTCCAGCCGATACCACATTAAGTGGTCAACACTACCAACGGCCAATGGAAGTTCTTCGTCCGACCCTCCAAGAACTGCTACTCAGCTAATCTGCGCACCTGTAGCGGGGCATTCGTATTTCTTCGGCGGCATACCGGATATTGACCAAGGGTATTGGCTCGTGGATACGGCTCGACTGTCGACCAGTTACTATTCGAGCGCGGACGAAGGTGTTGACGCTAGCCACGCAGACACCTATACCTCGGAACGAACAATCGGGCTTTGGCAGGGCGTCTGCAAAGTTACCACGGCTCCTCATGATCACTCGCCGACGTCGCACCGCGCAATTGCTATCCATTGCATGCGGGACTTACCGAGCCACAGTGACACGATGTCGACCCAGTCAAGCCAAGAATCGGGGTACGGTTCCATGAGTTCTTCTGACATAGAGTCTGATTCGGACGCGGACGACGACTCGCCTGACACTGGCGACTCACTCTCGCAGCACTGCATGTTCATAGTGAGAAGTGGTGGTGCACCAATTTGGCACTTCTGGAAGTCCAAAATCGATATGGATGCTGTATGCGCATTCCATCCTACCGAAGCGACTGCGGTGTGGAGCCCATCTCCGCACCAGCTCTGCATAATGGACATTGCATCTGGCAACGTGCAATCTACGATCTTACCCGAGCCTGTAGACACTCAGGTCTCTACTACCTGCGCTATGCGCAAGGAGTTCAAGTTTTCGGAATCCGGCAAAACGCTATACTATCTGCTCTACACCGCCGCACACTCGGACACTGGCTTCAAGCAGACACTTTCGCTCTCATCATTTCTGTTTTGCAGTTCTGGAGACCCAGAGTGCGTCTTAGAGCGGACACATGCTACGGTATCCGTCGCTTATGAGAGTGCTGGAGCGATGCAGCATCCGCTGATCCTGACGTACTGGGACTCTAACTACGTCTACGTCGCTTTGCCCCCGCTATCCTGCAACACAAAGCTCCTTCGCATGCATCTCCCGAAAGCCGAGTCTCCTTCCGTGCCTCCCGCATCCAACATACAGACTCTGCGCGACCCCGTTTACTTCCCCTACTCAACGCCCTACCGTAGCCCGCAACTCAAGCTCCTTCCCAACAACACCGGCAAAGAAATGCTCATCCTCGCACTCGATGCAGAATACTGCTCCACCGCCGAAGCCGAAATGACGACACCGCCAGTCGTGATGACTTGGGATATCCCATCGGAAGAAGGCTGGCGACCTTGGGATGAAAACCTCGATGCGAAGGAGAAAGGCGCCAAGGCTAACGGGGAAACATATGAGCTGCTGAGGGGCAGTTTCGTGGATAGGGAGAGGAGATTTGAGGTCCCTGTGAGGAGCGGGTTGGACTGGAGGAGGAAGGCGTTTTTGAGCTGTCACTGAGACGACTTGTGAGATATTGGCTTCTTTGACTGACTTCTGGAAATTGCTATTTTGTCAGGATATACGTTGATCAATGTATTTTCATTAATTAAATTATGGCCAAACGTGGAAGACCTGCGAACGACATATCTTCTCCCTAGGCATGGCTCGAGTGACGTAGCTAATGCATTCATGGTACAAATATATAGCGGCATGGATAGTGAAGGATTTTGTTAAGTAACTTGTATTACCTCATTGCTGCTTCACGCCGTTGCCATAGTTCTCAAACTGCTCCCATCATCCCGACCGTTACAAACGGAGTACCCAATTGCGTCCTCATTCCACTCGCCTCCGAAGGGCCACGTGGAGGTTCCGACCGACGAAGCTATGGTATCTGTCAGTAGAAGCAACCTAGTGCTTTTGGCATACACTTACTATGTGAATAGAAGATCAATCCATTTCATATCGTCATCAGTCGTATTGTGAATCTCCACATGGAACTTTCTGAAAAGATTTGCCAGCAAGGTGTACATCTCGCAGAACGCAAGGCTGCGATTCATTAAATCAGCGCCTTTCTTCCAATTGCACGGAGAAAAATGCCATACTCTTTGCCGAGACATTGTCTCGTGCCACGGTAGAAGCTCGCCATGTATTTGTCGAGATGTGCAGAGTCTCCTTCGAGCCAGCGTTCGGGGATAAATTTACTTGGTTCGGACCAAACTCTCTGGTGCTTGTTGAGAAGGTAAGCTGACGTATTGATGACGGTCTAAAGACGAGGTTAGTAGTTAGAGTGCGAGAAGGTGGAACGGGCATGGCTTACCTTGGGCGGAAGCTTATGGCCATAAAGCGTCCAGCCATCTTGGGGCACAATCCGAGGAGCTTTCCCAGGTAGTGGGCTACTGTACCTCAATATCTCCTTTATGACTGCTGTCTACCGATGTGTCAGCTCGTTTTGGAGCGGGAGCCGCAGTCCTCTTACCAGATACGGCAGCTTCTTGATCCTCTCGTATGTAATGTCGTCGTGTACACTGGGGAACGCTTGTTGGAGCTCTTGAGCGAGTTTTTCGTGTATTTCGGAGTGCTTGAGGATCTGATAGGTGCCAGAGATCATGGCATCGGATGTAGTATCGTTGCCGGCTGACAGCAGCATGATAACTTCTTCTGCCAGCTGGCTGGCATCAAGCGTGCTGTGGTCCTTCGCCGACTCGGGGTCGACTAGCAGGTCAATGGCGATGGACCTGTCGAAGTCGGTCTTCTTGTTCGCTCCATTTTGGGCGTGGAGGGTTGGCGCATCGCGGTCTTGAAGGTAGTTGTCCATGAGCCCAATGCATTTCTTAAGTTTTTATTAGCCTGTCTTCCTTACACTGAGTTAGGTTTTACGTGGGAAGCTACGTCATATAGAGCCGGCCTTCCTTGCATTGCTGGGACACCATAATCGCTTACCTTCTTAAACTCCATGATGGGTATGGGGAAAAGTTTCTCCGACACCCACTCAGGTAAAGAGAGTGAAAAGGCAGTGAGATTGGGGAACGCAGTGGCAGTCCAGCCCATTTCGAATGTGGAATGGAGATACTCGATGAATTGGTTGCGAAATTCAGGATCGTCAATACATCCGAGTCCCTTTCCAAAGACGATTGTAGAGACGACGTCCATGGTAAATGCTTTTGTTGCTCTGAACATGTTGACAGGTTCAGAGCGAGCAGCGAATTCGTCGAAACGCTCAAGTAGTCGGTCGACCTTGGCTCTTACCATGGGAGCGATCTCCTGCACGCGTAGAGGAGAGAAAGCAGGTGTGAGGACCTGCCGTCGAATCCGATGACGAATGGGGTCTGTCTCTCCGATCGAGGTGCCCGGAAAGGTGATGTAGTCGTAGAAGCCTGGATCTTTGGTGAATTGCGAACCGACCTTGGTGATCTCAAGGAACATGTCGGGATCGTTGATATGGAGTTCATTGGGAGCAATGCGGATCACGGGCCCTCCGAAGTCAGTAAGTAGGATCACAACTCGTCTGGATATTCACCTAAACGTTCGTGGAGTCGCTCGATCTCAAACACCAACTGTCCCTTCTGATAGAAGTTCCAATACCATTCATACCTACAGCAGGGGCGATTAGGAATACAGACGAGACCTATTGAGCAACTCTCATGAACGACACGTACCATGGCTTCGAAATGGCCGCAAGAAGTGGACCCGGATAGCGTGATAGCGGATGGAAGAAAAGTCTATATGCAGCTCGTAGGATCCAAAAAAAGAGGTATGTTCCAAGCAAGGTAATGGTTAACCTCAAGGCGGTCTTCATCGTGGCTGAGTATACAGGAGCGAAAGTGCTGCTGCGATTATCCACAGTCATGCAGTGGAAGTCGGCTCGTCTAGAAGGAAAGCTTCTGAGGTTGTTGTTGTCGGGAGACGGTTGAGGCTTCGCCGCACTGGCGCAGTTCCCAGCCCCCACGCTGTGTCTGGTTCTTTTCCTGCTTCCCCGAACTTTGATTAAGCCTCGTGAACCCCGCCCCGTTACCTCGTTTGCCTCGTCCCGTCAGCTGAGGTTGGGCTTTCGACATCATCTATTTTCATCACAGCTATGTTAGTGGAATGAAACGTCGAAGGCCAATTGCGTCTCGACCAACATCTGTATGGGGCGTAGAGTGTAGTGACTGGAGCCATTGCGATGTTAATTGAGAATTAGTCTTTTTTTCGCGGTAACCGATGTGCCCTTTTTTTGACCCGATTACTGGTAAAGCCATCAGCTAGTACGTAGCCCGGATCATCACAATCATCGTGCCTTCACATGTGCAAACATTTTCCACAATGCAGCCCTTTTTACTCAGTACATTGGCTCTTTTTGTTATCTTCCCCGCCTCGTTGGGTTTTGTCAGCTTTGCTGAGAGACGACTTGATCAACTATCAAAGAGCTCGGCGTGTTCTCGGATCGCCATACCAAATGCCGCCACGATCGTAACCTTAGTGCACTGTATACTGAGCTGCGAGAAGCACATTGATAGGCTGATGTAAACGGCTCCAGCAGCCAATGGAAAGGCTAACTCAATACATAGGTCACAAACAGCATGGAAATATCCTGCATGCATTTTCACTCCTACTTCCGTCGACGAACTCCGATCTGCTCTTTCCCTTTTGATTGCCTCCAACCAAACGTTCACCATTCGGGGTGCAGGACACTCGCCCCTACCCTCTTAGGCAAATTTAGACGGGGGAGTGCTCCTTTCTACCAAGAGGATCAACGCTATCGTGTATGACGAAGGGTCCCAAACCGTCCGAGTCGGACTTGGAAATACCTGGGGAGACTTATATGGATATCTCGAGAGTCTCAATCGGATCACTCCCGGCGGTAGATCTCTCACCGTTGGCCTGGCAACTATCATGGGAGGTACACAGTGCTCTTGGTCTTGCTATGGTAGTATTCGAGCACTGACAAAGCGTAGGTGGTTTGTCCCAATTATCGAATTTACCCAGGTAAATGGTTTTGTGGCAGACAGAGTTCTCGGGTTCGAGCTTATAGATGCTAGCAGCAACTTGGTATTTGCGAACGCTACAAAGAACGAGGATTTGTTCTTTGCTCTTAAAGCAGGAGCCACAACCTTTGGTGTGTTACTGAAACCCCCTGACTCGTAGACACAACCTAAAATCCAGTTTTACAATGAAAGATTAAAAATGCTGCGATGACGGATTGCTAGCTTAGATTTGTTATGCGGCCGAAAACTCTTATTTAATGCTACCGGTATACTGCTTGTATATGGACAAGCGGACGGAAACGCTCTTTCTCTCGGAGACCACCGTGCCTTGGTTTGGATGATTTACTGGACGAATATTGACAAGTAATTGGGCCTCAATAAAGTAAAGAAACGCAGTGGTATCATGAATGTAATGATAAAAAGACGATTACAATCCATCAGCCAGCCTGTCAAGCACCATATGTAGCCCCTTCGTCTCCAGGACGCCTCCCGTTGCGGCTCCGACATCATCAACCAAAGTCCTTGCACGGCAAATATGCGTCAAGATGAGGTCTCTCGTATGCTTCAGACTGCCCGTGCTCTCTATGTAGTCCAACGCCACCTTCTTCACCCCATCACTGGTACTTCTGAGCTTCAGTATTTGGAAGAGGTGCGGATTTGCCTTATTGGACTGGATGCTATGTATCACTGGGTACGAGAACTTTCCCTCAGTGAGATCCTCGCAGGATCCCTTTTGATCGCGATATTCGCTCGATACCAGATTCTGATAGTCATCGCGGATCTGGAACAAGATGCCGAGGCTTTCCACGAGGGGAATGCAGCCTTCGAGGACCGGCCTGGCGGACTCGGCTTGCATGAGCCGAACAGCAAGGCGAAAGAGGCCGCCGGTTTTCTTGCTGGCCATGTCGAAGTACTCCGCTTCTGTGGGGCACTGGAGCATGTCGCGCCAGTAGAGATCCATGCCTTGGCCGAGATGCAGTTGTAGGAGTTCTTCGGTGAAGATGTTTAGAACCCGAGGATTCCTAAAACTTTGGAGTTCTTTCAGTGCCGCAAAATACATGTAGTTGGCACTGTTGATCGTTTGTGGTGTTCCGTAAATCGTGTGTGCAGCTGGGTTCCCTCGACGAAGCGGGGAGTCATCTTGTATATCGTCGACCAGTAGTGAGGCCGTGTGAAGGATACCGATAGCTGTCGTGATGTGTTCAAGGGCCGGAGGTGGTACTGCAAACCAAGCATTAAAGGCTTTGATGAGTTTCTCTCTTATGCCCTTGCTTGGCGAGGCGGCCACATAGTCGAAAGGCAGTCTGACGATGGTCTCGTAGTGGTTAGTCTGAGATTCGAAGGGCTCCACGATTGGTGCTGTGCCGTTTACATGCGTCGTTGTCGACAGCGTGTAGGTCGTGCCATTCTCTTGTGGGCCATCGGGAGCTTGATTGCGCCTTGGAGATTTCGAGATCGGCCTAGCTGACTGTACCGCAAAGGCTTCATTAGGCCGATGAAGCACCTGTTGTGGTCCGGGCTCCCATAACGAAGGCATTCGGAAAGTTTCGCGGGTTTCTGATGCGACACTCATGAAGTCCGGTTGCTGAAGTGGGACTTCGAATCCTTGAAATATGGCCAGTGGATAAAAGTTTGAGTACAGGCACCCGTTGTGTTACCTATCCTAGGGTAGCACAAGGTACTCCAATTGGCGTTCTGTCGTAATATGCGATGTTTCTGGAACGTGAAGAGGCTGGGCTCGACTTAGATCCGACATCCAAAGTCAGTGAGTAGATGCAGTAGAACCTTGATAATTTCTCTGGCACTTCGAACCAGGTCATTGTTCTTGCTTCGAAGCTAAGTCCTGCGAATGAGTCACATGCTTCGCAGCTTCTCCACTAGTACTAGCTGGGGAAGCTTAGTGACCAATTCGGGTTATATCCCGATTGCTGAGGTAAGATTCCCAAACCATTCAGTTTATGAATCGAGGTGTACTCTAACGTCTCATTCAGGGTTGTGGTCGGAGTTACTACTTCGGGAAAGCCCTTAATTTTGACAAGCTAAGTTTCGGGTCGAGCGCATAGTCGTTGAGAGCATTGTGAACAAGATGTACGCATTTACTAAAGGCACTTCGTTAGAGTCGATGGTTTTTAACACACTAATACTTATTTTGCTTTTCGTTCGTCTGGGATATTCCCAAGCAAGAATATGGCTACCACAATCACAACCACAAGCGAAACTGTCTCGGTGCTAAAAAGCTCTAAAATCACCTCGCCCCCATTGACTTCTCTTTTCGCCTGCAACAAGCACGAGAAATTTCGCGAATGTGTCGCGTACGCAAATGCCAGCTATGCCGAGTCGCTCGAGCCGGTTGCCATCATTGAAAGCAGCACACCGCACAGCCAACTCCCGATGTTGGGCTCATGCACAGCAGTACTGTACCCTCGAGGGGACTTTCACCGTCTACCGGTAACAATTGATGGCTATATGGCTTTCCTGTTTTTGGACGATCTCATCGACAACTCGACAGACATGACATACATATCGGAGATCGTGGACAGGTTCATGGCCACTTCTGGAGGGATACCGACCGATGACGCAAGATTTTTCTTGCTGGCCAGGTTCATGACGGATAAGCGCTGGGATCCAACGAACCTGGCTGAGACCATAGCTGAAGCTCAACGCTTCATGGATGGCGCATTGGCTCTGCGGGCGATCGAAATCGAAGAACGTATCATCACTGTCGAAGAATACCTCAACATCCGAGTTCCCAATACGGCAATGGGCTTCATGTTCCGCGTTATCGGTTTCGCGCAGGCAGAGTTGACGGCGGATTTCAACCGTTTGATGGCCGAAGAGCCTGACTTGTGGGACCGGGTGGAACAGCCTTCGGGGAAGTCTGTTGGGATTGCACTGGATCTCTACAAACTCAATGGGTCGCATGCGGAGATCTGCGAGTACACCAACGTGGTCAAGATTTGGCAGCGCGAGTCACCTGTTCCTATCGATCTTAGCGACGCTATCCAATTTATGGTGGATGAGTTCTACAGATATGAGAAAGAGATGGCTGATGCGGTGGATGAGCTCGCAGGCTTCAGCCCAGGCCTTGCTCAAGCAGTGCGGGACGTGCATGGTGGCACTCTTAAATGGATGACCGGCGAGCGTGGTGGAAGATATTCGAAGATCTGATGGTATGTTGAGATTCCGGATCTCTAGAGCAGGAAGGCGGCACATGTATTGGTGGCGCATGGCCTTCCTTTGAAAACAGCGTCGCGTATAGATGAATGAAACTTCCCATCTGCACTTGACTTGACTTGACTTGAACTCATTGAATTGACCTGGCTCTGAGAGCTATGCAATTATTCCACAATTCTTCCTGCAGGGCAGATGAAGGAAAACCACGCGAAGTGATGAAAAACCTCCCTCTTTTTGCCTATGGTCTTCAAACTGAAACTGCATTTGAAAAGGAAGTGGGCCGCTACCCCTCATCAATGTTGATCCTGCATGTCCTTTCCCAATGGAGAAGGATCCTTGTCCAGCAATGAAAATTCTGCAGCGTTGAAGGCGAAAGTTGTGAGAGAAGCAGGATTCGAACCTACGCTTGCTGCGGCGACGGCGAACCGTCGAGCAAGCCCCAGGTGTAGCCGCCAACCATCTACACCATTCTCCCTTCCCATCTGCACGTGTCAAATATGCACCATGTGCTCTTCGGCAAGCTCGATTGCAATCATGTCTTGCACAGAGCTGTCCAGCACCACTTGATGCGGGAAGGCAATCGCGAGATCTTGGCAAGTGATCCACACATCGGTAATAGCGGGCACTGAGATAGATCAATCGGGGCCCAAAGTATCCACTGTGATCACGTTCCATACCTAGGTACCATCCTGCGGATGGACGCCTACACTCCCTAAAGAAGTATGACTGCCTAGCGCGTGAGGGGTTTTGCTCTTGTAAAAGAGTCTAATCACTCCAGCCACGATAGGTAGTGGCACTTGTTTGCAGGGTATACGCTTCGTAGACACCTGCGCAATCTCACCTTGAGATCGTCAGCATTTGAAGAGCGTGGGGCTAGCCTCTGTTTCTCCGTCTTGAGTTTTGCCGGATCTTTACCCTGGTCGTTTTAGCCCTACTTACCTAGGTTCTCTTTTGCGCACAGAAACACGGTGCTAGACTACGCCGCAAGATGGGGAGGATCAGAAAGGGCTGCTAGCAATTGGGGCGGACCTGCCAGCAATTTTCATTCAACCCTTGCATGTGTAGCTGAGGGTGATGCTGCCAAATCAGCGCGAAATGGTGTTACAGCTGTATGCCAAGGGTGAAGCCGCATTCGCTAGCGACTGTATGGTCCCTCGTCCGATAACAGAACTCGGAGTTACGCTAAAGGGAAGTGGGGGCCAAGAAACTTTAATCCCATTATTAGGACGAAAACGGTGCGTTCTTTTCGTGCATAGTACTCGAAGCAGCCAGCACGAGTGGTGCAGACTTGCCTATTCAAGGAAATAGAACATGCACCTATTAAAGCAACATCCACGCTAAGCCTCGCGAGATTCTAGACCTACGTTTAGGGAAAGCGCCTAGTTAGAGCCTGAGGGACTGATTACCACAATGAACCGGCTCAAACTTTCTAGGCTAGTCAGTCGGACCTCGCCTCTTGTGGAAGTATTAGGCCACGCACATGTGCACGACAATGTTCTCTTTCCTACCATCGTAGTCTTGAACTCGTATGAGACTTTGATCTTCTCGAATCCATCGACTCCATTGTTCTTTGAACTCGTTTCCATTTATTCGATACTCTCAGATTTCATCTCGCTGATACGGTGACATCAATATGGCTATAAGGGACGTCTTGCAAGAGCACCTAGATACAATCTCAACTGTTGACCTGGCAATCTTCCTTCTTTCCACGGTTCTTATTTGGCTGGCCATACGAAAGGCTCACCATGCTACTCGCGGGCCACTCAGTGCCTTCCCCGGCCCTCGCTTGTGTGCTTGGACGGATCTACCGCAAGGATACTGGAAAGTTACAGGCAGAGAGCATGAGATCATGGCCGACATTCACTCAAAATATGGGCCGGTGGTCCGAATAGGTCCAAGGCACCTCTCGTACATCGGAACGGCGACGATATGGCCAGAGATCTACGGCGAGAAGGTGGGCTACGCGAAATGCCTCCCAAAGGACAAGCGGCTCTACGACCTGATAGAAGACTGCTTTGGTTGGAAAGATTCTCTGGCAGCTGCGCCAGACGACGTGGGTAAGTAAATATCATCGTCGATTGTTTTCGTTCGCTAACACGTCTGCTAGTAAGATTGTGACCTCGCGCTCCCTTTCAGTCCAAAATGCTCATTGAATACAGCACAAGGTGATCCGCAAGCTTGTGGTCTCGAGTTTCAGCCCTCGCATGAACGTTCACTTTGAGCCACGTTACAAAGGATGGATGAAAAAGATGGTCGAGCAACTCGTGCCGATAGCCGAACGAGCAGAAATCATGGATCTGGGTAAGGCATTCCAATGTGTCGCAGTCGACTTGCAGACCGATCTGGTTCTTAGCGTGGATGCGGGGTCGCTCAAAACTCTTGACTACCCACCCACTAAAGTTGTTGTGAACGGGTCATTGCAGGGAGTCGCGGTCGCTCATGCCTTACGTCTCTTTTCACCTACTATTGGCAGAGCGGTCCAGAAGACCATCGTAAACATTCCTCACGTCAGGAAGTTGCTCGATAACTTTGCTGTTACGCTCTCCAAGCGTATTGACGCCCGATTGGCCGATCCACCTCCTACGAATGATGTCTTGACGGAAGTCTTGAGGAAGACCGAACTGTCCCCCGTGCCCATACCAAAGGATCAATTCTACTCCACTACAAAGATTCTGACGGTAAGTCTCGTTCAAAGACAAGGTCCAGGCCATTGCTGATGTATGGTGCAGGTCGCGGGTCCCGAGGCCATGACTTCTGCAATGAACACTATTGGCTACCACCTGTTCCGCGAGCCGGAGACATTCAAAACTCTGGTCAATCAAATACGCACCCGCTTCAAGACACAAGATGACCTGAGCGTAAAAGCCTTGTCTGAGATGGACCTATTGACGGCTGTCATCAAGGAAGGCCATCGCCTATACCCGCTTCCACCGGGTATCCTTCCCCGCTGTACGCCGAAAGAAGGCGCATGGGTCCAAGGAGTCTGGATCCCACCAAACACCAGTCTTGGAGTTCACCAATGGGCTACCTATCGGTCCGATACCAACTTTCACGACGCCAATGGTTATCACCCTGAGCGATGGATGGGGCATCCCAAATTCAAGAACGATCGACTCGATTGCGTGCAAATATTCTCAGTAGGCGCAAGAAGATGCCCTGCAGAGGTGAGCCAAACCAACAGGGTTCTTGAGCTTCGGTGATACTGACCCGCTCCAGATATTCTCATGGTATGTCATTCGTCTTGTCTTCGCATCTCTCCTGCTCAATTTCGATATTGAGCTGGCAGATGAGGCGTCCGAGTGGCCTCAGCAAAAGTCATACTGGATCTGGAGGACCAGGCCGTTGATGTGCAGGATTCGCCCGGCAAAGAAGACTGTTGCGGCTTGAAAGGCCCAGGCGGCATTGCTATGAATTAGCGGGCTGGCAGTGATCTTGCATTGGGCTTCGTTAGGGAGAGATGGCGGAACCTAGTGCGTACATATCGATGAGTCGATTCCATAGATTGGACTGAGTCATATGTAGCTTTGAACGGTTGACTTTCGTTGATTGCATAAGATGCTTTTCACATGTTGGTGACCACCTAGGCACCCTATTTAGAAATGGGGGACTCGCACAACTTCAAGTGCGAGAGGATCCTGCAGGTGCGAGCGTAGTTCCTTTTTTCAGCACATATTAATCATAGTTGATTGGTATGTTTTGGAACCGGGCTGTTTCGACGAAGGTGTATAGCCGCTTTTGATGTAAGGTAGCAATGCTTCGCAGTCTACTGCAGCATGCGCCACCAATGATCCTAGAGTGGAGCTGTACGACTATCTGATCGCGTTGAACCAGAGTTGACTATTTTGTTGAGGGCAGCGTTCCTGCACGTGCCTCCCCATATAAATGAACCGATCGGAAAGAACGCAGACATAGAATCATGTACACTAAGAGAACATTGTCAACAGTTTGCAACGTATTCGCCATCTATCTGACTCGCTAGTCTACCGATATGAGCCCGAGAATATCGCACGACGTCCTCCTCACGCTGCCGAATTCTCCGTTGGTTCCTCAACTTCTGCGACTTCTTCGTTTTTTCTCTCCCTTTTCAAATTCCTGTTATCGAATATCAGAATTGCAAAAGCAAGCAGCAACCCAACAGCTCCACAGGTGATGGCGAGATAATATCCGGCTCTCAAGCCGTCAAGGTATATCTCAAGGATCGCATGCAGCTCTTCTCCGGAAAACACTCTTCGTAGCTCTGTCGCCCCGGTGTTGATCAGCTTGGCTGTGTCAACTTGTGGAAGGTTTTCCTTCGCTTCTTCGATGATCCTGTTGGTGAAGAGCGACTGCGCAATGGCGATGAAGACGGCTCCGGTCGCTGTCTGAACATAGAGCATGATAGCAGAGACATTAGACATGTCGGCCTTTTCGACGATCCCCTGAGAGACGACTATTGGAGTCTGGAGAACCATGCCACTCCCTATGCCGATAATCACCTGGTATCCGATCCATGCGCTGCTAGGGCTGCCAATGTCAAGCTTTAGCATGAGGCCAGCACCTATCGTTATCAATGTCGATCCGAGCAATAGGAGTCCAGCATAGTGACCAGTACCACCGACAATGAACCCAGAAGTGATGCTGAAGAGTGCGACTCCGATGATGAAGGGGATGTTCCGCACTCCAGACTCGGCAGGAGAGATTCCGTCAACTGACTGAAAGTAGACCGGGAGGTAGTAAAGGACGATAAAGAAGCTGGCAGCGCTAAACACCACGAAGCTGGACATTAGGGCCAGTGTTTTTGTCTTGATCAATCGAGGAACCAGGAGAGAGCGCTCGCCCATCCACCACTCGTTGACTACAAAGAGGCCGAGAAGAAGAGCGAATGCAACTAGGCTTCCAATGACACTTCCGTCGCTCCAAGGCTTTGCGACTCCACCCCATTGAAGCGCAAGTGTGAGGCAAGACAGAGCCGCCACGGAAAGTAACATGCCATTGAAATCCAGGGCGAGGATTTTCTGGGGCAATGGGGCAGGCGAAGGTGTAGCAGCGTCCGGTGTCTTGAACAGGAAAGCGATGATAAGTATGCTCAGCCCACCGATTGGGAGGTTGATGTAGAAACACCATCGCCACGAGACGTAGTCTGTGAAGGCACCACCTAGCAGAGGTCCGATGACTGCTGCGCTGCCGTAGGTAGCTCCCAGCACGCCGGCCATGCGTGCTACCTTCTCAGGAGGAAGTGAAAAGGCTAGAATGGTCCATGCCCCCGAGGTGATTCCGGCTCCCCCCGCACCTGCAATGGCGCGACCTGCAATGAGGACGTTGCTGCTTTTCGTGACTCCAGAGATAAGATTGCCCAGCTCGAAGACAACGTTGGCCAGCAGGAAGGTCGATTTTAGAGGGAAGTATTTGTAACCTTTGCCCCAGACAACCTGGAAAGACGAAAGGGTAATGTAGAAGGAGGCGCCGTACCAGCCGATTTGGTCCAAAGATCCGAATTCATCGGTGATGCGTGGGATGGCGGTGGCAACGATCGTGGAGTCGAGAGATGTGAGAAAGACCGAGAGAATGATGGCCAATAAGACGGGGAAGAGCTTTGCTCGCGCGAGCCGCTTTGAATTCTGTCCAGTTGGTGACTGAGCTGGCTGAGCGGGCTGACCAGAGCTATGCGATGCCCGGAGCTGCAACGTCTCTGGAGATTCTTTCTGTTCGAACGACGTACGAGATTCCATGGTATCGGCAATGACAAGATGGGTGAGTGGACGAGGGACGCGACAATTCGACTGTTTCCGCGATTGAGAACGCAACAAGGCTGATCAAGCGTGACAATACAAGGCTGTCCTCCGGCTAAATAGGCCTTCGTCTGCATGCGTACCTCTATGGCGAATGCCGACAAGCAGTTGACGGTGCAGATTGCCAAAATGGCACAAATTGTCAAGCCAGCACAGATCATCCATGCGGGGTCCTTGGAGTCTGTGAGAATGACCCTGCGCTTTGCGGAGATACGCCGCTTCCTGCGAGCATCATGTTGGCCGAGATCCGTGGCTTGCATGGTGTCTTAGGTGTGCTTACGGCGGCGGTTGTGCAGATCAGATGCGGGAGCTAATTGCTTTGGGATAGTGTCCGCAAGGCGTGGCCGCCCGCGTTTTGCGGAGATACGCCGCTTCCTGCGATTCGTGGCTTGCATGGTGTCTCGGGTGTGGTGCAGGTCAGATGCGGGAGCTAAATTGTTTTGGGATAGCGCCGCACGTGCCCGCGTGGAATGCCCGATTTAGCCGCTTCGGGATAGCGTCCGCAAGTCAAGGCAGCCCTCGCGCGCTCTCCGAATCCTTCGACACTTTCAGCGTCTCACCATCCTCCTTCATTCACCTCTTCCCAACGTATTGTTCCGCCAACTACACTCCCATGTCCGCCATTGCCACTGGCAGGTCCTGCAGTCGGTGCCATGAAGCCAAACGAAAGTGCGATCAGATGTCACCATCATGCCGTCTCTGCAGGAGAAAAGGACTAGCATGCGTGTATCCATCTCGCAGGCCATCGAGCTTCGTACCAATCGAAACAATCGATCCTTATAGCCTTCCTCCTAGTACCAATTCACCTGACCTCCAGACGATGAGCAATGAGCTCTCCTTCGCCGGAATCTCCCCTGAGCTCGCTCTGGATTTTGCAAATCCAACAGACCTACCTCTCACCAACGATGCGCGTGCTTCTTGGTTTACAGCACCCGAAGCCTTCATGGTTGATCACTCGCCTATGCCTTTACCACCAAACTTCAAGATCCAAGATCTGAAAGAGTTTGTGCGGCTTATCGAGAGCTGGCTGACGATCTGGGTAACCACCGGGAGCAACGCTTTCATCCATGCTCATCTGTATGGCAACAGCCTTCCATCATGTCTGCAGATTGCCTTTGCTACGTATTCGGCCTATATCAACAGGACACCCACCGCGAGCGAGATTATTCTTCGTACCGTCAACGATCAAGCGACGGCCTTGGTATCCGAATTGGACCAAATCCACGGCTCGAAAGACCTCGTGAAAGATCTCGCCTATATTCACGCCTTATTCGCATATCAAATGATAGGCCTGTTTGATGGTGATATACGTTCGCGCCACCTTGCAGAGAGCCGCGCCCCGGTTCTAGCAGAACTGCTTGATCGCACCCTCAAGAATGCCAGCGCGACGCTGAAACAAGAGATGTCGATGGACGGGCCTACCTTCTCTCTCGCTCATTTGCTTGCACCTGCTGAGCTATTGTGGCGATCATGGATCATTTCTGAGAGCTTGAGGCGAACGTGGCTCGTAATCCAAGGCATCAGTGCCTCATATGACGGCCTTAAACAAGGATGGGCACCATGCAATGGCGATGTCATGTTCACTACTCGCGAAGGGCTGTGGTCAGCGGACTCAGCGTCGGTGTGGGCCAAGATGTCTATAGACCAAGATGTGCGGTTTGTCGGACGCACTCACGCGGAGTGTCTTTTCATGGTCGCACCAGAAGAGACTGATGAGTTCGCAAAGTTCATGCTGGAGAATATCTTTGGGAAAGAGAGGTCTTCGAATTGGTTGTCCGGGACACGGTGTGTGGACACTGCGACTACGTTCGAGCCTCTTAGTTCCAGACACCTCCAGGCTTAGCATCGAGGTAGTTAAGAAGGTGTCTTTTCCTTGATGGTTCGCGTTATTGTCATCATGTACTCTACCTAAGGCCCTGGGTTATCGGTTCGCTAATGAACCAAGCTCGAGGCTACCAGGGAATTCTCGATGTGTGCGTATGGCATTGGAGCACGATGCGACCCTTGCAAGATCGAGGAAAGAGATTCCTCCCTATGAGGTCCTCCCCCAGCTGCCGTCGTGAGGCATGCATCGCAGCAGGCTGATCGATCTACCGTATCGAGTCCCAGATATAGTTCACGTGTCGAATGACCATGTGGGCCATGTCAGCAACCCTAATGCCAAGTCGTAGGGGTAAGCGCTATCAAGGGCCATATCCACAGAGCCACACGACGACTGCACCATGTCTATCCCTGGGCCGTGTCTGTTGACGTGCCAAGAGTCGGTCCTGGTTGGTATGACGCGCCTCGCAGGATTTTTTGCCGCTGGTGAGTACCTGGTACAGGCATCAATGTGCGAATTTCGCTAACAAACCGAAGATAAAGAGATCTTGGCATTCTCTGCGCTCATGCCGTGGGTGTCTTCTGGGGGTCACGTCAGCCCTTACTCGTGGTACAGATTCTCTGCAGGTGAGTCGCCTAGATGGGTCACTTGGCGCCATGCTAGCAACAAGTGTTATGCGACACGTAGCAATAATGGGCTTGATCTGGAGCACCATGTTTGAATCACCAATTCTTTTGAAACAGATCTAAGTCTAAAGGATGTTCTATGATCTACCATGGCTACTGCCTGTTCATCCTACAGATGACCTTCCCACAATAGAAGGGCCGATATTATGCGCATCAAAGAAGACCCTGTAGGCCCACTTGAAGCAATCCTAAGCGCTTTTGCCCTTTTTCTAACTGGTCCAGCTGCGGCTGCAAATCCTGAGCCAGACACACCTGATGGATCTCAGTGATAACGGTTCTCAGAGCACCCACTATCGGTAGGAGAAGTGGGCTATACATCCTACCAAACTCTTCCGCGGTGTCGACGCCATATTGGTTCCAGACCGAAGCCTCAGCTCTGATGTTATGGTCGCTTAGGAGCTTGAGTGCGTTATCGACGGCATCCAATAGAGCATTGATGTTGATCACCATCAAAACCAAGAATGGTGAGCATTCTATGCACATGCTGCACCTGGCCAGCTTCGCCAGAGAGCGCGCACTGCTCTTCGCGTTTGCGAGGGATCGCAGGAGGTCCTCCACAGTCACTTGGGTTTTCGGGCCAGCCATTAAGACCTCTAGAACGCGTAGAGCATTTGCTGTGCATTGATGATCCGTAAGGGCAGATTGACTGCTGCTGGATGGCTTCTTCGATCGAGTTTGGATAGACGGTGATGACTGTGCGTGACTGATATTTTGAAAGAATAGAGCAGACGAACACACGCTTTGCTGTGCACCCAGCACGGTTTGCTGACCCATTTCGATGCTCCTGTCGGTCGGGCTTGCATCCAGCGACCGCGTATCCGATGAAAGTATTCCTGGCATGGAAAGGATTTCGTCAACGTCGAAGTCCAAGTTCATCGCCAATCCATCAGTAGCATCTTGCTGTATGTGGCCTTGGCCACTCAAGCTAAAGCTGTGATCGTGACCGCCGTTGAGCATGCTCCAGCTAGACATGGCATCCATCGGAAAGAGTTCGGGGCTTGCTCTTGGGGAAGGTGGTATTTGCATTGCCTCGATCTGCCATGAATTATCGTTAAAGTTGATCATCTCGTTCGCGGTTGTTATTGCCGAATCGTCAGGGCACGTCGATGGTGTCATAGACTGGGAGTGCGTGCGAGCCCTAGGAAGAGACCTTTTGCTTTCGGTCGATCTTTGGACCCCCGGATCTGTCGTGCTAGAGGACTTTCGTTTGCCAGTTGTGGCCAGTGAATTTTGTCTTGATCGTAGCCTTCCCGGATAGGTACATTGCCATCCGTTGGCCAAACACCGATCGCACCCACTCCTCTCTCCAGTACATCTGAGCTGCCGAGGTCAGTCTAAGGCACCCTTCGTGGGAGATACCGTTTAAGTACCTTTTTCTCTCTGCACCTACGGCATGCGTCGGATTGTGCGCCTTTGGGAACTGGTGGATCGGTGGTTTCTCTCACTGCGTCCAACGAGTCTTTATCCTGATTATGGCGAAAGGTTACAAACATCCCGCATCCAGGCGACCTTGTGATTCTTGAAAATATTGTGAAGGAAGAAAGGTGGGGTTGGAGCGTGTGTCAAACACGCACGCAATGAGCATATATTACGCTAGACGCAGTGAAAGGATAAACAGGTCTACTGGCGTTTAATAACGAAGTGTCGTATAGGAAGAAATCAGCCAAAGTTATATCCACGTACGAATTCATAGGCGAGAAGTGTGGATAGTTAAGGCGTGACATTAACACATCTCTACAAATCTTTCGTACAGCATTGATCATGCTAGTGCTGAGCCAATGTAGAGATACACGGTGCTGGACTACTGTGGTCTCAGGGATAAGTTTTGTAAGTTGGGGGAGTGGGGCGCGGCAGAAGGATTTCGGTTCAATATCCCTCTCAACGCTCGGTGCAAAGACCTCCCTAAATGCCGTGATCCCTCATCCTACTAGCTCCTACCCCTCTGCTATTGGCCTCCTTACAAAACTTATCCCTGAGACCACAGTGCGCCCGAATATTGGAAGGATCACAAAGGGCGGCTAGCCAGAATTCCGAATATGCAGCTTGATCAGATAGTCGCGCGCACTGGGAGGTCCAAATAACGGGGGACTGTCACCCAGTCGTCGACATGTTGTGCATTAAGGGGGAACCCTGTCTGAAATGATCCTCTGGAGTGGGAATATGTTGGTCCGGGTCTGCTTAAGGCAATTCTTTCGCTCGCATCCCTGGAATTGCACGCCTTAGGCACACCGCAAACGTACCTTATCACGCATGATTGAATAAAGTAACTGAGAATTGGCCACAGTCATGGTATGGTAACGAAACCGACGTAGTGGCGAACATCTGAAGGTAGATGGCCGACCCGCTCCCGCCACAACCTTGCCATGAAGGCGATGCTTTTTTAGTCGAAACCTGCCGTGCAAGGTAGGCGATCCGCACTGCGAACGGTGAGCGATCTAGGATAAGGCTAAGCAAAGAGCCAGACTAAATTGGTGGAAGCATGAAGCAGCTGTTAACGATGCGATTAATACGACCACCAAGCAAGATAAAAACTCTTTTCAGCAGGCTAGAAAAGTAATTTGCGGTCCGTAGAAGAGCCCTATAAGCCCTTCTTGTACAACGTTCAGTAGCGTAGCTTTACCGCGCCTGGCGGTATGTTCTAAGCAACGCAATGAACAACCTCAAGGCGATCTTCATCGTGACTGAGTATGCAAGAACAAGAATTCCTACGATTATCAATTTCCATGCTATCAAAGTTGGCTTGACTCGGACGAAAGCCGGTTGTTGTTGTCAGACGGTTGCTGCTTCCCCGCACTAGCGCGGTTTTCTACTCCTTCCGCGGAGTCCGACGGAGCCGTGCCGCTTGGATCAATTTGGCCCCCACACCTCCTCTCACCCTACGCCATCTCACCCACTTCCTCAACCTACTTGCTCGACATCACCATGGGCGGCTTTCTGGGATTTTGCTACCGTCAATTGACATACAGACCGCACCCGCTACCGACAAGCGCGTCGCTGAAGGGGCAGACGGCACTCATCACAGGCGCAAACAGCGGGCTCGGGCTAGAAGCAGCTCGTGAGCTCGCTGCACACAAGCTTTCCCGCCTCATCTTGGCCGTGCGCGATGCTTCCAAAGGGGAAGCGGCGAAAAAATCGATACTAGCCACCTCACCCGAATGCGCCGTCGAGGTTTGGAGCCTTGATCACGAGTCGTACGACAGCATTGCCGAGTTTGGGAAGCGCGTTGCTGCTTTGGATCGCATCGACTACGCGTTGTTGAATGCGGGAGTGAAAAAGCTAGAATATTCCGCTTCTTCGAGCACCGGACATGAACTCAATGTTCAAGTCAACCATATCGGAACCTCCGCCGTGTCTCTTGCCGTACTTCCCGTGCTTAGGAACACGGCTAGGAAGGTCAACTCGCCAACCCGGCTGACTATTGTTTCATCGGAAGGTCATTTTTGGATTCCTTTCAAGGAGCAAAGCGCGCCGGACATCCTGAAGCGTATGGATGACAAAGAGACGTTCGGGACAGCCATGCAGCGATACTATACTTCCAAGCTCCTGAACGTGCTTTGGGCCAGAGAACTAGCAAGCAAGGTCTCTCCAGAGGAAGTCGTTATCAATACCGTCAATCCAGGCTTCTGCTACAGTGGACTACACCGACACGAGAGCACGGGCATCATTAAGATCTTTTTGTGGATGCTCGGCTGGAGTAGCGTGCAGGGTGGACACTGTCTGACCGATGCTCTTGTGCAGCATCGTGATTCGCATGGCGAGTATTTCAGCGAACAACGCCAGGTACCGTACGTTTATCACTCTATTTGGTTTCTGAGCCTGGCTGACTGTCTTCAGCCCATCGAGTTTCGTCTTGTCGCCGCAGGGGCAGAACGCGCAGAAGAAGATATGGCAGGAGACAATCGCGCTTTTAAAGGAATAAGCTCCTGGGGTGGATACTTCCGTGGTAGCTTGAGTGAATCGGTTTGGTGCTCAAGGTGCGATGGGGGTTCCGAATAAGATAGCGGGTCGTGGTATGATACTTACGCACCACGTGACAAAATACACGCGGTCATAGTTCGGAGATGCCATGAAACAAGATGCGCTTCGCAAGGCTTGAACCAGCTAAATTGTGGAGACTCCGCCTAACCCCACCTAGGGTGGGGATTTCGGCGAGGACTTTCCAAGACTCCTCGACTAACAACTCACACGAGCAGCTCTCAAAGGATGCCGATGTTCGAACCAACTTTCGCAGGGCATCAACTCGCACCTGGCTGCGCCAGCCTCGTCGATGCTCCAATCATTATCTCCGATTCCGACTACGAGGGAGTCCTCATAGCAGCGGAAACTCTGTCGGCCGATTTCGCAAGAGTCACGGGCGACGCGCCGAACCTAATCATTTCAGAGCCTGGCATCAGGACTAAGTATGGAATAATTGCTGGTAGCCTGGAGAAATCGTCCGTCATCCACAGTCTCGTCTCCAGTGGGAAACTAGACCCTTCGAGCATCAGAGGGAAATGGGAGTCATATATTACGACGCTGGTTGAGATGCCATGGGAAGGATGCGAGAAGGCTGTTGTTATTTGCGGCAGCGATAAGAGAGGGACAATATTCGGGATATATTCGCTGTCGGAGCAGATCGGGGTGTCGCCGTAGGTCGCCGCCGTCGACAATCATAATCTACACTGACTTTATTCCTCTAGATGGTACTGGTGGGCAGACGTCCCGATAAAAAAGAGCTCCACCATATACGCATACAACGTCGAAACCCACGCCGGGCCCCCTTCCGTCAAATACAGAGGAATATTCGTTAACGACGAGGCGCCCGCCCTATCGGGTTGGGTCCACGAGAAGTACGGCCCAAAGTACAACGCAGAGTTCTACAAGTGCATCTTCGAACTTCTCTTGCGCCTTAAAGCGAACTTCCTCTGGCCAGCTATGTGGTTCGGCTTCCCGCATCCCGGAAATAACTTCTTCATGGACGATCCTTTGAACCAGGAGCTTGCTGATCGGTATGGCATTGTGGTGTCGACGTCGCATCATGAGCCGATGCAGAGGGCGATGAATGAGTGGTTTGATAAGCCGTATCACATGCCGGAGAAGAGCTGGAGCTGGGTTAAGAATAAGCAGCTGATTACCGAATATTTTCGCGAGGGAGCAGAGAGGGCGAAGGCTTTTGAAAGTTATGTAACGGTGGGGATGAGAGGGGATGGAGATCGGGAGATGGATGTGGAGAATCCTGAGGAGGTGCTGAGGGAGGTGCTGGATACGCAGAGGGAGATTATACGGGAGGCTTATGGGAAGGAGGATGGAGTTCCTCGTGAGTGTGTTCTCACGAAGTAGCGAGAGATTGCTGAGGTTCGCAGAGCTCGTTGCGCTGTACAAGGAGGTGCAAGAGTATTACGAGAATGGCTTGGAGATCCCTCAAGACGTCACCTTACTTTTCGCAGACGACAATTTCGGGACCATACGAAGACTTCCCACTGGTGAGGAGAGAAAGCGTAAAGGAGGCGCTGGCGTAAGTCCCTTTCCATCATTCCTATCACGCATGCTAAACTCGTTCTGAACTAGATATACTATCACCTCGAATACGTCGGCGAGCCGCGAAGCTATAAGTGGCTCAATAGCAATTCACTCGCAAAAGTATGGCAGCAGCTTGATTTAGCCCATCGCCGCGGCGCGAACCGGATATGGGTCTTCAATGTTGGTGACATCAAGCCACTGGAGATTCCGATATCCTTCGTGATGGGCCTCGCCTGGAATGCCGATGCCCTTCCACGAGGTCAGCTACCGACCTTCTTTAAAGCCTTCTCTGAGCAGACCTTTGGCGGTGGCATTGCAGATCAATGCGTAGATATGCTTCTCAGATACGACAAGCTTATCGCTATGCGGAAGCACGAACACATCGAGCCCGAAACCTTCTCGATTATCAATTATCGTGAAGCAGACACTATCCTTGAACGATGGCAATCACTGCTCCACGATGCCGAAACGCTCTACACCCGTATCTCCACCGCAATGCAACCCTCGTTCTTCCAACTCGTCCTCCATCCCATAAAAGCGGCCACCATCTACGTCCACCTCCAAATCACGCGGGCTAGAAACCAGCTCTACGCCCTCCAACGCCGCACATCCGCAAACCACTACTTCGACCTCGCCATCTCTCTCTTCAAGCAAGACTTCCACCTCAGCCAAGAATACCACTCCCTCCTCGACGGGAAATGGAACCACATTATGCAGCAACCACATCTCGGATACCGCGATACATGGCACGCACCCTCGCGCGATATGATTAGCGGACTGTGTCTCGTGCAGGCGGGACAGGACTCTAATCCACTTGTGGGAAATATTGGAGTCGTGGTGGAGGGGCATGAGGGTGTGAGACCGGGATTGTGCAATGAGGAGAGTGATCGGACGCATCCGAGTCGGAGAGATTTGGTGCCCGGGATTACGGTGCCGGTTGTGGAGCCGTATGGGCCGAAGATGTTCTTTGAGCTGTATTCGAGGAGTAGCAGGGTGGTAAAGTGGAGCCTGAGGAGTCCGGTGGAGTGGTTGCATGTCGAGCCTGCTGAGGGAGTCATGGATCCGAAAGTTCCCGAGCACGATGTGAGGATCTCGGTATCGGTCGAGTGGGCCAAGGTGCCAGAGGCTTTTGATGACGAAGTCCTGGTTGTTCTGGAAAGCGATCTCGGCGATTACGAGAACGTTCACGTCCCCGTTATCAACCGCCGCGTAACTGATTCCTTCATCGGACACGTCGAATCCGATCGACATGTCTCCATCCCGGCTACTCGGTTCACAGACGCAGCGCCTGGCGCTGTAATAAATCCTCATCTCGGTCGCGAGGAGTCAGGCGCTGTATATGTCTCACTGCAAGATACCATAGACGAAGCGACTTGCACCCTCCGCTATCCCTTCTACACCTTCACCTCCGCGCCAAAAGCCACCTTCTCCTTCTACTTCGCTCTCACTCTCGACACCGATCCAAGCTCGGCTCTGTCATACAACTTCTCACTTGAAGGCCGCCCAGCCGAATCCCACCGACTTGTTCAATCTCCGCGAAAAGCAGGCGAGCTGCCTCCTGATTGGTCGGCGTCGGTGATGGACTGCGCCTGGACGAGGAGACATGAAGCCGACATGTCCGAGACTGGGAACCATGTTTTGACGATCAGTTTGAGGGATGGGAATATAGCTTTGGAGAAGATTGTTGTGGACTTAGGTGGTGTGAGGGAGAGTTATTTGGGACCGCCCGAGAGTTATTACTTGAAAGCGTGACTACGGGTAATCATGTGATGGCAGGTCGACAGTCTGACCCCTATATGGTGCCTTCTCCTGAGACATTACTCGAAGATATTCCTGCCTTTTGCGCCTTGAGTTCGGAAATCCCCTCTTCCAGTCGCCGAGCGCAATCCCAGTGAGAATGAGCTCGGGCGGAGTCTACAGCACTTAAGCCCCATCCATTTCTCCATTCGAGGTACTCGACGGGGCAATGACGTAGAAAAGTGTCCAGGACACGTAGACACCCATGTGAAGCGGCGTCCATCAGAGGAGTATGCCCTCTATTGTCAAGAGCGTAAAGATCCACGCTGGTATTTTTGATGAGATACTCTGTTTCTCTATGCCTATTATAGAGAGCAAGAATATGCAGAGCTGTTTGTCTAGTGAGGCATGTCTTGGCGTTCACATCCGCTCCCCGATTAATGAGTAACTTCGCGACCTCGGAATCGCGATATCGAATGGCCCACAGGAAAGCGCTATATCCAACGATATCCGTATTGGCATCGGTCCCAGTGTCGAGGAGATGCTGAACGAACGATGAATTCCCGACTCGTATCGCCGAGAACAGCAGTGGGAGAAATTGACGGTATGTCGCCGGATTAGAGCCAATAGTGGAATGAATCTTTTCAGCAACTGAAAAGTGATTGTTCGCAATCGCATAATCCAGCGGTGTACTTTGAACATCATCCCAAGCTTCAAAGTCCACTTCCGAAAGGGAGCTCAGGGTCTGGCAGATCTCCAATGATCCACTTGCGGCCGCAAGATGAAGAGGGGTCAGTTCGCAGAGGGTTCTTGCCATTGGATTCGCTCCCTTATCCAATAATACCTTGGCGATAGACGTGTAGCCTCTTTGACATGCGATATGTAAAGCCGTTCTTCCGAGGATATCGCGTTTATCAACGTGAAGTCCTTGTGGAGCCCTTGAGATCTTCATTTGAAATTCTTCAAGCCTAGCTTCCAAGGTGGCTCTACTCGACCTCGTCGAAGGACGCAAATCGAGCATTTGATGCAGATGCGTCCTCCCCAGGCAATCTGCCTCATCTTCAACCATTCCAGGGATAAGGAAAAGTGACACTTCGGTTGCGCGGAGAATGATCTCGTCGGAGATAAAATACGGATATGGCCGCATAATATCTGGGAACAGGTTGAAGAGGCCCAAGCTTTTGAGTAGAAGACGGAGTTCGGAGGGAGCCGTATGCGATAAGTTAAGGCATCGCCACAGTGCTATACGAAGGGGCTCATCCGAGTACGTACGGTGTTTCTTGCATGTGCGAAGGGAAGTCGCAACAAGTTCCACCACAAGCAAGTGCGGAGTCCCTTCCCAAGGCGCGGACTTCTCGTTCACATGGTTGAATGATCTCAGAATGTCGTTCTTTGACCAGGATTGCTCGTGGCATAGTAGACAACGAAGCGTTTCGGAGTGAGCATGTTCCAAGGTTAAGCGTGCTTGTGCCATGCGAGCGTCCGCGAACTCATCTCCTTCCGCTGTGTAGTGGATTAACTGAGTCGCTGCGTTGCTAATCATAGCATCAAGCTTGCCGCAGAATACCTGGAACTGATCTATGGTTTTCGAGTCTCCATAAAAGCCGAGACCTTCTTTACCATATATAGGAAGGAGCTCTTCCAATTCCTGTTCCAGGCCTCTTAAGCGGTCCAATGCCACCCTTAGGTTTCTGCGATATAACATCAAGAATGACCTAAATCGGCAGTATCAGTGGCAACTCATCGGCCTTTGGGAAAGGAGCCTGCCGTACATGTGGCGAATCTCGATGCCCAGAGGATCTGCTGCGACCTGGGCTGGGACACTATCGAGTGCCATCGGCGCTTCAGTCGATCCGGCCGGTGCAAACAGGCACTGCCTGACAGCTTGCTTACAATTCGTACATCCAGAGCCGTCGCCAGTGTCGCCAGGACAAGTGATATTTTGTATCCTACAGTGAGCGCAAGCCCCTGAAATTGGGCGGTCTGTCGGAGTGCTGTCTGCCGAGGCGTTTCCATCCGGTAAAGGCCTCAAAAAATTAGGCCAGTTCGTTCACAAGCCGGAGCCACGATAGATTGCACTTACGAATCGAGCGTGCCAATATTTGGAGGATCGACCGGAATCCCCGCGGTGCTACTAGGATCTGGTAGCGGAGCCGCATTTGCGCTTTCTCCCTTCCGCCTTCTCGGTGCTCTCCTACCCTCCGAACAGGGCAGGCCTCTCTTCTCGCAGCGGTTGCACTTCGTTGGCCATGTTCTCCGGAGTGGTAAACACTGTCCCAAGGATGAGTATCTGAGTTCTGACGGACGGACTCACGTACCTTTTGCTTGTCCTCTCGGCACTGATCGCAGCGTATCATGCTCAACTGGCCTCTGTCGCGGGTTACTCTTTTGGAAGCGACTGGTCTGTCAATATGCTGCAAAGGAAGGAGCGACGCCATGATGGTAGCATAACAAGAACAGTGTCCAAGTAGAACGCAAAGCGCTCAATGGAACAGAAAACGTGATGGGACCGAGACGGATGTGCTGAGCAAGAAGAGAAAGCAATATCGTCAGCCAAGAGGAGTTGCGGAAAGTGCGACAAAGTGCGGGGCGCGATATTCCAAGTCGACCAGGCTGACACGTGCATATGCTCTACAGCGTTGGGGCAAAGGTGACTAAGAAGAGGAATCCTCTCACGAACGCGGCGGGGCAAAGATAACTGAGAAGAGGATTTCTCTCACGAACGCGGCGGGGCAAAGATGACTGAGAAGAGGATTTCTCTCACGAACGCGGCGGTGCCAAGATGACTGAGAAGAGGTTTTCTCTCCCCCATACGCCTATCGCATTGGCTGCGCACCTTGCGCACTTTGTAGCCTCCACGTTCTCAACCGGTCAAGCTTGTGTGGCACGGTCCACGGAGCGGGCTTTCATAGCTGCGCACATTTCGCGTGTCACATTTGCTTGTCCCTTCGTCGATCTTGGCCTACTAAGCCTCTGATAGGCTGCGCACCTTCGCACCTCTGCTGCCTAGTCCACCGTTCGACATGCGCCCGCGCCGGAATTCCAGGGATACTCGCTGCCCTATGCTGAATATGGAAGAGCTGCTTGTTCCTACGGCCGACGCCAGTAACGCCGGTCTGTATCGCTGGAGCTTGCGGCTGCGTGACCGCCCGTGCGCCCGCATCTACCCCTGTTTGGAATACTTGCTCCTCACTGCTCCTGCATCCGCCTCTAAACACTACCGACCCTTGACAGAAACCTCTTAATGGTTACCTCTCGTCCAGCGAAAGCCCGGCTGTCTCTCATAGGCCGCGCACCTTGCGCACCTCTCCCCGGGTCCCAGATCTTCTCAGCCACGCCAATATTCTCGACTTCACGAGGCAGCATTATTCAGGGAAGCCACCACGATTGACGCTCCCCTCGATTAGCCACGCACTATCGCACTTCCAATTATGTCTTTCTGCTCGTTGATAGAGGCCTCATCCCTCGACCAGGCATGCGTCCTTCCCATTCCACCTCCCTGGATGTCTCGTTCATAGGCTTCGCACTTTCGCATCTGCGCGCGGGAGAGAGCATGCCCTCACGCAACGTTTGCAGCCCGCAGGCTTCCCGGACCGAACGCCTCATCCCTCGGGATCGCCTTCTTGGACTTGAAAATAAATATCCCACACCCATCCAAGGAGTCTTCATTGCTTCAGTCACCCTTTGAATCTCTTCTTCCCTCATCTTACCTGTCCCATCTACCGCTCTACCTCAGGCACACGCAGCCTCTCCTCTCTCCTTCCGATATCCGACATGCCACCCCAGTCCACCCTCCTCGTACAATTCGTGTCGACGGCCACTTCCACTATACCAGAACAAACCTCTCCAACCCAAGCTCCCGACATCTTCACAGGTCCTTCATCCGACCTAGAAGCCCGCAGTACGATTGTGTTTGGCGTCTTCGGCACGTTCCTCGCTACCGTCGGCCTCGTTCTTACTGGCATGACCCTTCGTGTCATGTATCGCAACCACAAGGCGAGACACAATGCCGAGAGCGACCGTCATATGGGCGAGATTGTGGAGATGGAGATGCAGGACATTGAGCGCCAAGACACGGAAGCCCGCCATAACGAGAGAAATGCTGAAGGCGGGGACATCGAGACTGTCACTGCCATGGAATATGCCCCAAGAACCCCATAGATGGAAACAATTTTCGAACCGATTTGGAGAGGTTGGTGTAAGTACAAGTCGTCGGAGTGCCTTCTCTCGCTGACTTCGTTCTGAGGGTAACGCAGCCGCGGCAGTGTACTGGCCAGTCTCGATTTGGATGCCTCAACTGCTCTCAAGCTAGGCCTCTATATCGTCATGCTTGCGTTCTTGACTGTCTGAGGGTCGGACGTTGCTATCGGACTACATCGCCCGGGACCTAGCATTGGAGACAGGGTAGGGTACACATGTAGCTAGGGTGCTGTTCATAGGTCCGGCGCAGAAGTATGTGAGGCTCATTCTCGATTAGTCAAAAGGTATGGTTAGGTTTGAACCAATAGAGCGCGGTATCGCCTATTTTCATGCGCGCGTTCTGTTCCCATCTGATCACGTCGTACTGAATGCACGCTCTCGCTGTTCTGCAGCATTGTCAACCACTCGAATTTTTTCAATCAGTTATTTTTACGCCGTCTTCTTTTCTTCGAGGCTCTCAAAGAAAGTTCAACACACCTAGATTGCTTTCGCTTCCCGTCCACACCACACTAGCTGTCTTCAAAACCATGTCGCTTACCCAGCCTATTCACCAATTGACACTCCTTCCAGTCCGTATGGATACAGCATCCCACGTCACCCCCACACTAAGCTTGACTGACCGATCTTTCGTCGGTTCTGATATGACTGCGTCGCCGAATAATTATAATATACTTGGGATCGTTAAGATCTTGACCTCCTCTTCCATTCTGAAATGCTGCCTGTCTTTTCTTGTCTCACTGATCTTTGAGCAGGAGCGAAGCTTAACGCGTGGTGGATTTGCATCTCCGAAGCCCCTTTGTATGCGGCGGAAGGAGATTGAAGTGAGCGCGATTGGGCGCGGTGACCCGGTTCGGCGCTTTGATTGCACCCTGGCGTCAGTAACTGGCTTGTCATGTGTCTTCGAATAGAACTCACGACGAATTGAAGGTACTAGTGCCAATGCATTCCATTCTCTCCACGAACCCGGTATGTTTGAAGGTCCCAGAGTTGGTTCATGGGCATGGAAGCTACCTGCCAGACTACTCCGTGAGATGAGTTAGCTGCGTATCATGGTGCCTTGGAGTGTCTGGTGTGCTGGAACACTCCGGAAGTGCTTACTCCTAAGTGAAGGCCGTGATCTGACTTGCCTATATCGAGGGCGTTGCTAACGCTTCGCTCTTATACCTCGTCTAGCTCGGGCGTGGATGGATGGTTCCTGCTCACCATTACCGATAACCAGGCTGAGGTACGTCCGATAGTCTGTTGCGTCCGAATGACATACTTTGCCAACAGTCAGGCGAGTGCAAGCGGCGACTGACAGGGCGTCCTCTAAACTTGAAGGCAAGACCCAAAACTGCGCCGGCGGCCCACGAGAGCTGGTCTAGTTCCCTCCCAGTCTTCCTTTTCCCTTCCAACATTGGCCCGTTGTTTACGAGACTGAGAATCAGGCGAACCCATCAGCTGGACCAATTGCTCCAGGTCTGCAGCCTCTCCAGACTTCGCCCGACTACCTCAGGTACTGGTACATGCATTCCGGTGAGCCTTTTGCTGGGGAGAAGGTAGACGTACTTCGTGGCAGAGCTGCAGGCAAGAAGCGGGGTAAAGTACTGGTACGGCCATGCCGGTGAACATCTTGCGGAGGAGGAGGGACAGCTACATGAAACGAGCTGCAGGCAAGAAGCGGGGTAGAGTCACTCCAGCCCAGGTATTGGTACATGAACCCTGTCGGGCTTTTAGCTGAGGAGGGGGTAGAGGTACTTATGACGAAGTTGCAGGCTTGGAGCGCAGTAGAGTCGGTGAGAGCGTGCCAGAGCACGCAGGCCCAGCCAAAGGCATCGCGAAGCCGCCCACCACCAGGCCTTTGGGGGTAGAGCACAGCCGGGGGCCGAGCTTCGTTGTACTGGTCGATACAAGATCCTGCGCGCGAAGACAGAAGGATACTTAAGCCTGCCTCTCCACTGGCTGCCCAAGTCAATTCCTTTCCATCAATGACATACATCAACATACCTTTAGCAGTCCTTACTACGCTTACATCTTTCTGCTCCCAAAGGAGAAGCCATGTCGGAGATCCAAACCTCGAACCAATCCACTCCCGCCTCTGCTCCGTCTCCCACCAGTACATACCTCATCGAGACCACAACCTTATTGCAGCTTCCCTCTTCCAATCCAGCGTACTCAAGCAAAGACGTGATATTCGGAGTCTTTGGTACCCTGATTGGATTCACCGGGATCTTTCTAGCAGCAATGACGCTACGCTTCATGTACAAGCAAAAGAAGGGAAATATTACGTAAGTACCTGGGTAGTTCACAACGCACACGATAGCTCAGTGCGCAGTGCATGAGCTTATAGCTAATGTAATTCAGTAGAGATGCACCCTGATGGCAGTGAGTGCGGGTCCGGCCTGGGTGTAAGTCGTTACTGTGTGTAGGATATGTGTTCTGGAACCTTGGCGAAATACGGATTATTAGCTGCTTGGACTTAATCGCATCGAAAATGGAACTTACAGTACCTTTGCGTGCCAGCTTGAGTATTCTTCGAGTGACTATACCTGCATCTGTGATACATGGTCTGGCACTCGTTGATCGTCACTAATGCTGGGCGACAACTGGCTCCTTGAAGGATGATTGTCATATTTACGTTCAAATTACAGCCTAGCTTTCCCGTCAACTCTCAAAAACCTCCCAAAGTATCTCTTCAACTTCTCCTCGGCCCTCGCCCCCATCTCCACCACTGTCCCCACCCACCCATCAGGCCTCAGTACGAAGACAGCGCCCCCTTGCGCGCTTACGCCATACCGCTCATGAGCGCTATGATCCTCGTCGTAGAACACCCTGCCGAAGGGCATACCACCAAGCGTCTCATACGCAGAGGGTCCTCCAGGCCCATCGAAGATGGATATCCACGATATGGGGTACTTCGAATCAAAAAGCCATTGAGAGTTCGCCACCGACTTGGTAAAGGCGGCGAGGGCAGGTTTAGTGAGCGCGATGTCGCCTACGAAGAGCACGATGTAGAAGCGAGCAATGTTGGGTGTTTCAGCCTGCAGGCGTGTAGGCTCGAAAGTGGCTGGTTTCTGGAGAGAGACGTCCGGTGCGCGCTGACCTGGTTGCACTGAGGATAAGCCGGAGCCCTGCAAGAGATTGAGGTACGTATCCGGCTCGTAGAAGATACCGAGTCCGCTACTGAACGTCGCGGCCTCCGCCATGACGGTACCCAGAATCTCATTCGGATCAGCGTCCGGATCGCCTTTCCAGTTCTCAGGGAGCTGCATGGTCATGAGGCGCGAGATATCCTTGTCGTAATTGATGAGCTTTTGGACATTCGGTAACCGCTCCGCCTCGTAGGTGGATAAGAGATCCGGCTTAGCGAGACCTTGCAGCACGAGCGACAGTTTCCAGCCCAGGTTGACGGTGTCGTGCATACCGGTGTTCATACCTTGTGCGGCACCGGAGCTGTGCGTGTGGCATGCATCGCCGGCGAGGAAGACGCAGTCTTTGACGAAGAAGGAGCGGGCGATGCGCTGGCCGACGACATAGATGGTCCACCAGTCGACTTGCTTGAATTTGAGGGAGAATGGCTTCACAGATGCGATGGCCTCCTTGACGGCGGCTTCTTCGTTGAACTCTTTGTAGGCTTTTTGTCGCTCGGCGGTGAATGCGTATCCGATTCGCGTGGCTCCATGGTCAAGCGCGGCCCAGAGAACGTTCCCGTGGGTGGGACTTTCGATGGCGCAGTACGTCCTCGGTTTGGGTAGATCCGTCTCGATCACGCCGTCGACGCGTACCCACTTATCCTCGCTGGAAGATCCGTCGAATGGTACGTTCATCGCTCTTCGAACGAACGATCTCCCGCCATCAGCGCCAATGAGATACTTGCACTTCACCACCTTCTTGACCCTTGTCTCCACATTCTCAATGCCGGCAAGCACCTTGTATCCACCTGTACCCGCACCCTCTATCACTTCAATGCCTTTCAGATCCCATGGCGCTTCCAATTCTACTCCCTCTTTCCTCAGCGCACTTTTGAATATCTCTTCCTGGTATTTCTGCCTCAACACCAGCGCAAAGTCCCACTTTGTATCCTTCATTTGCTCCATGAAGCTCCATCCTCTACCAGGAAACTCCTTTCCATCCTTGTCATAATTAACGGTGTGTCGACAAGCGAAGCACTGCTGGGCAAGCTCTTCGGCCAGACCCAGCTGGTCTAGCATTTCCGACGAGCGGGGGAACAACGTGATGGCGCGGCCATATTGGTCTTGGGAGGACTTGGGGTGTTTCTCGATAATTCGGATGCGGTGAGCGGAAGTTGGGAGGTTGCGGGCGAGTTGGTAGGCGGTTACGAGGCCTATTGGTTGTTAGAAGAGGAGTGGACCGACCAGGGATGGATGTCCGTACCAACGGGTCCTCCACCTACGACCAGAACATCCGCATACTCGACAGCCGGCTCTACTGCAGCCATATTCTTCAGTGTTCCAAGATCTTGAATTGAGCTCCGAGAGGCTCTGCAGCTGCATAGTGGCTCATTTTATCGAGCTTCATGTCGTGGGACGAAGCTTTTCCGTCGGGAATAACGGGCTGTTTGTGCCACGCGATAAGGCTCCGTCCATTCGATTGGAGCAATTGCTTCTGCCATGGCGAAATGCGGTGGAGTTTTCCGCAGGCTGATGCGACGTTGACCAAAGGATGCAGGCGAGCGAAAGATGGGGGTTTGATAAGAAGCAAAACGCCGATGACTAATCTCCGACATTCGAAGGATCCGTCGGAGAAGCATCTCTTTGATTACGACAACTACGACAGGTAGGCAACTGAATAGTAGACTCAGTCATCCACTGTTCATAACGCACTATCATTGCTCTTGTTTTGATGGCTACAAGCTGCGGAGAGAAGGCTGAAGTGAGAGAGTTGACGTCTGGGATTTCTTTTCCATTCCGACATCGATTCCGAGCTAATTGCACCCTTTTCTTGGGATAAGGTAAGGCATTGCGTTGACTGTACGAAGACTCAGTCTTCCGAAGAGTATACGATAGTGCGATCAGAGTTGATATAACCGGGTTTCCGGGTTAGGCCTCCCTAAGATTCCAGGGCTTTAACCGCCATCCTGGGTTCAGGCAAGCAGTCGTCAAGATGTAGAACGTAAGCTTGAGCACTTTCAAACTTCAATTACAGGATTTTCGTCAATTTTATACATCTTAAGAGTTACTAGTACTCCCCATTCTTCACCCTCTCGTCATAATACAGTACCGAATCTAGCAATATCTGCGCACCCAACGCACAATGTTCCGGGCTCGTATACTCATGCGGATTATGACTGATCCCATCTTTACTCGGAACGAAGATCATGCTCGTGGGACAGACGCGCGAGGTCCACGCGCTGTCGTGACCAGCACGACTCTTCATATCCATGATTTGATCCTTGCCAACTGCCTTAAGTGCAGAAGCGCGGACAGCGTCGATACAGCGCGGGTGAAATATCGACTCCGGAAGGCCCCACGTGCGCTGTGTAGAGTACGACGTGCCGTTCTTCTCCTCGGCGATGATTGCGTCGAAAGCTTTGAATATCGCGGTTGCAAGTTGATCAACCATTTCGTCTGTAGAGCATCGGATGTCGATTATGAAGTCAATGCCGGCTGGAATCGTAGCTTGGCTATAGGTATCACTCCTGATGACTCCCACCGTAGCCACGCCGAGTCCGGTCTTGAGCGCAGTATCACGCACCGCAGCGATGAGTCGGGATGCCATGACGAGCGCATCCGAGCGACCAGGCATCGGCGTGGTCCCTGAATGTCCTTCCACGCCCGTCACGCGGATCGCAAACCACTTCATGCCTTGCACGGATGTAACGACTCCTACACTCTTTCCTTCTCTTTCCAGAATCGGGCCTTGCTCAATGTGCAGCTCAAAATGGCATTCCAGTCCATTCTCGCGGTGATCGCACTTTGTATCGCCCAGGTATCCGATCTCCTCAAGCGCTTGCTTCATCCGCATTCCCTCCTTGTCCAGTGTATCCCAGCAGGCTTCTAGCGGTGTTGAGCTCTTCGTACTCCACACACCGGAAGCCATCATGGCTCCAGGAAACCGCGCGCCTTCCTCGTTTGTCCAGTCTATAAGCGCGATCGGGCAGTGGGTTTGAATATTGTTGTCGTGCAACGTGCGGAGGACTTCAAGCGCCGCTTGGACGCCGAGGATGCCGTCGTATCTTCCCCCTGAGTACTCTTGTCAGGCTTTAACCCAGTGTGTGATTTGGGAGAGATCACATACCTGCTGGCTGGGTATCCAAATGGCTGCCCATCGCGATCGGCTTCCTATCGTTCGCCACACCTGGTCGTACGGCGAAAATATTGCCAATCTGGTCGACCTTTATCCCGCATCCAAGGCTCTTGCACTCCTGTACAAGCCAGTCCCGCACCTCCTTATCCTCCTGGCTGAGCGTCAAGCGACACATGCCCGTCGACGGTTCCGAAAGCGCACCCCATTGCGTACAAGTACTCTGCAGCGTCTTGTTCAGCCGATCCGCATTGATCCTCAAGGACGAAGAAGTGGCCATAGCGAAGCCGATGGAAGTTTTAGCAGCTCCGCGCTGCGGGCGATGCGCATGGTGTTGAAGATTCTACGCGTTCTGTGTAGCACGCGTTCTCCGATGGGAAACCCTGGACATCGCGGGAATCATGACAGATAAGTATGACTATGTAGCAGGCAGAATCCTTGCGAGATGCCGTTCACGGATAGCGGCGTTGTGATGATAAGCTACGTCGGAGGAGAACGACGCTGAGGTGCTGCTCCTCGGCGCGGGGCACGAATGAGGGGTTGCGATAGGGAGAGACCGTTTGAAGCTAGCCGGTCATCCAACCTCCACTTCAATCGTCGAGACGCAATAGCCGCCCATGGCTCCTATATACGAGCGAGAGCCCCCTAGGTTGGGACTCCTAGATTTCTCCAAAGAGCTAGGAAAGAATGGCTACGGATTATGACCTTATCATCGTCAATGGCGTCGTGGTGTCGGATACAGAGATTGGAGAGTACGATATCGCTGTTAGGGACGAGAAGATCGCGAAAGTAGTGTCAAGAGGAGGCCTGAACGATGCGAAAGCTGCGAAGATGATTGATGCAGAGGGCGGCTACGTGATGGTACCTCTTTCCGCATCCCAACCTCGTTACGACGGCTGACCATCTATAGCCGGGAGGTGTAGACGCACATGTCCATCTCCAGGAACCCCCATTATTCGGCAAAGGATCAACAGCAGACAATTACGAGTCCGGTATGCACCCTCAAAGCGTCCTTACTCCTCATGGCCGCTCAACCATCCCTTAGGTAGCCGATCCGCAGTATGCGGTGGCACGACCACCATGGTAACATTTGCGCCTCAGAAAAAGAGTGAAGACACTCTCCTGGACACTCTATATGCCACTCATGAAAAAGCAAAGGACAACTGTTACATCGACTACTCGTTTCATCTCCTCGTTGGTAATCCCTCCGCAAAGGCGCTATCAGAGTTCAAGACTCTCCGCAAAGAGGGTGTCTCATCCCTGAAAATTTACATGACCTACCAAGCGCTTCAACTGCATGACGGCGAGATTCTTGACGTCCTGCTAGAAGCCAGAAAGCAGCAGATCACGACAATGGTGCACGCCGAGAACGGCCAGGTAATAGACTGGATGACTGCGCAGCTTGAGAAACGCAAACTCTTCGCTCCGAAATATCACGGAACTTCACATCCGTCTATGGCTGAAACCGAAGCCACCTACCGCGCCATCTGCCTCTCCGAGTTTATGGACAGCCCTATTCTGATCGTGCACGTCTCCACTCCCGCCGCAGCAGCACACATCAAATCCGCCCAAGACCGCGGCATCCCCATCTACGCCGAAACCTGTCCACAGTACCTCTTCCTCACGAAGGCCGATCTAGACCAGCCCGGATTCGAGGGCGCGAAATGCGTATGCAGTCCGCCACCCCGCGAAAGCGAAGCAGACTGCGACGTCATCTGGGACGGCCTCGCAAACGGCACCTTCACCATCCTGTCCTCGGACCACTGCCCGTTCCGCTTCGACGACAATGTCATCGGAAAGAAGTCAAGTATCAACGACGAATACCCGCTTGGCCACTTCAAATACATCCCCAACGGCATCGCAGGCATCGAAACGCGTCTTGCGCTCACACTTTCCGCCAATCGCCTCGACCTAAAGAGATTCGTCGAAGTAACGTGCTCTAACCCGGCGAAACTGTACGGTCTGTACCCGCTCAAGGGCGCGCTTGTTGAGGGACAGTCCGATGCGGATATCAATATCTGGTATCCGCCGGGCAAGATGCAAGAGTTTGAGCTGAAGAACGAGATGCTGCATCATGATGTGGATTACACGCCTTTCGAGGGCCGGAAGCTGAAGCAGTGGCCGCGGTATACGATCCTGCGAGGACAGGTGGTGTGGGATAAGGAGAATGGTGGATTGCTTGGGAAGAAGGGGTATGGCAAGTTCATCAAGAGGGAAGCGAGTTCGTTGGCGAAACCCAGACGTGTTGGTGAGTGGGACATACATCCAGATGGTTCTTTTGGTATCTATTGAGAATTCGGGTTGCTGTGTTGCTTCATTTTATCCAATATACAGGTCATCTCTTTACAGCCACGGCGAGCTCGGTTTCGCCGTCGTCAACGCTATCATCTCAACGTCGAATATCTAAGCCTAGAATTGCGCTCAAACGACAAAGACGGGGGAATCGCGCGGTTAAAGAGCTTGGAGCCATATCGGATACCGACCTTCCTATTGCCTAGTGGACTCCAGCAGTCTTTCACAATGTGAGCAGACCGCCGCGCAAGTCTTGCATTCTCGCACGACGATATTACGGCAACCTGCAGGTGCGTGTCCCCCAAACAGGTAGGCAAAAGCGTCGGAGCCGAAGCCGAAGCCAAGATCTGCGGTTATTGCGCTGGACATGTTCCGCTTCCGACGGACCAGGCTGAAGTGCGGGACCCGGAGCCAAGATCTACAGTTATTGCGGTGAACGTGTCGCACTTCCGACGGACAAGGCTGAGGCTTGCGAGCCGAACATCTGCAATTCCGCGCACGATTCCAGAGAGTGCAACCAAGCCAAGAAAGTCTTTCTTGTCAAACCTTATCGAGAACACTAAAAGCACGACCATACACCGAACGATGATCGTAACTATACGTACAAGCGACCGATGCCCCGTTCGAAGTGTGCGCAGCGCAGACCCCGCGCCGATCCTAGATTCCCTCCAGAACTCCTCGGCACGCGACCAACGCCCTTCCAAAAGTTGGGTGTAAGAGGTAATGAGCGAAGGACGAGCTCATGCTTTTAAGGCAGGACAATGTGATCCTATGGTAGGATAACGTAGTTCTAAGGCTCTCCTCTATCGAATTTACATCAGCATCAGGTCGAGAGAGATGACCAATCCGCCCGAGCAAAGTGAAGGCACGTACGCGGGGCTTCCATGCCTTTTCCTTTGCAAGTACATGAATCGAAGTGTTATGGCTGTGAGTACCAGGCCGGCAAGCCCGATCAAGGATCCTATAACCCCAAAGATGATTTCGCTATGAGCCGAGTCTGACGCATCTGAAGAAGCGAGTGGAGTTGCGATTGGGCTTGGTGTAGCCATGCTGAGAACGTAACACGGCTGAACGAAGTTGGGTCTTTGGAAAGGGAGGCGATGGAATTAGAAACCTGTTCTTTAGAAGGGGTCGCTAACTTTGAGTAGAGGAAGAATAGAGAAGCCTGGATTTTGGAAGCAGATATCTATAAATCAGCTCCTGTCTACACAAGGTTTTCATCCTACCTACCCTTGCAATATGACCTCGAAAAGGTGCGCTAAGCCCCCCGCGCTAGTCGCTTTGGACTAACTCGGCCCGATTACTCCAGTGCCTTCGCTGTCCTCCGCAAAACGACGCAACCTCTCGCGCCGTCCGCCGCAACGCCGCCGCAACGACGCACACGACGCCTAGTTCGCCATCCCGCCAAGATAATAGCGCTTCTCCAGTCTTCCTCAGCAAAAGTTTCCTCTTTTATCATCCCCACCCACTCTTTTCGCGTATCTTGCAACCGATTACAGTCACTTCACTCGAAATGAGAGTTAAACGACTCCTCGTCTTGGGCGTTTCACCACCGTTAGTCGCTCTGCAGCCTTCCTTAGTCAACCGGCCCACAATTCTCTCTTTATGAGAGATCTCTTGAAGACTCTACTTTGGATTTGCCTGGAATCTAAGGCTACTTAGGTACGTAGGCTACGGTCCACACGCCAACATACTCTTGTTTTCCTCAACATATGAGGGCCTATAGTAGGAGAAGTCTTCTAGAGCCAAGACCGTAAACATTCCCCGCCAATCTTCGGCTGCAAAAGTCGGCTTGAAGACCCGTAGACTATTTTCCAAGCCCAGACTAAATTTGTTCGGTTTGTACGGATGAGGGACCTGTACCGCAGGATACTTTTATCATCGACAATGTTTCCGTACATGGGCCGTTTGAGGTTGAAGGCAGAGACGGGAGGATGCCGTAAGGCCTTGGTGGTGTCGAGGATATTGAAACAGTGGAAGATCCGTTTGAAAGTATCCTCTAAGTATCCCTCTTAGTCTCCTTGTGGCGTCTCCTTGTGGCGGATCGTGGTGACTAATAGACTAGGATACGAGAATATCGGAGCAAGGGGTCAGTGGACATGTTCGTTAAAGTCTCTTCATAGCTCTGGAATCTACCGATTCTTCCGAGGTGTATGTTGCAGTCCCTTTTAGCCTCTTCAATGTTACCCCCCATTCCAGTTATAGTCCATGGCTAGCGTCTCAGAGTCGGCCAAGAAAGCATCAGCAAGAGCAGTATCCAATCCATCTGGAAAAGCAAAATAGCCATCCAGGCCATCCGTATCCGATGTTTGGCGTTCTCTATTATCGCTCCCTAGTCCCGCCAGGACCGGCAAAGCAGCGCCCTGCTCCATTGCGTCACAGAAGAAACCCCTGGCATGGGCTCGCTCGCCTCCTTTATCAGTCATCTCTAGGACAGATGTCCGGGAGCTCTCCGGCGTCAGCTCGGTGTCCAGTGAATTCGGCTCGAAAGTCTGCAGTGACGAGTGGTCCGATGTGGATACAGAGTGGCTCGAAGTTTGACTGAGGTGAAGGGGCGTCGATTGGAGCTGGAAGGGGAAGTGCTCCGTAGTGCTACCCTGATTGTAGTTCCTTGGCATTTGGTGTGAATCTGAGAAAGGGTTGTCGAACCCTCCGCGGTGAAGACCGTTAGCTAGCGTGGGGCCGGGGTATTCGAGTACAGGTTGCTGTGCGATAGGCAGGTTGGAAAGTCCGCTATTCCCATTATGGGGATAGGTGACTCTGGGGTGGCGCATTGATCTATCGAAATGCAGATTTGAAACGTAACCGCTGGAAATGCCATTCTCCTGAGTGGGAGTTAGATGACCACTGAGAGACCTGTCGACAGCATCGCCAGCCCGACCTAGTTTCTCGTTCGAGAACAACCCTGTCTCTTGTTCGACCGAGCTCATTGACGCCGCCATCTCCAAAGAGGAGCCCTCGTGCGTATGGTCACGCAACTTGGCTTTGCAAATCCTAATGACCTCGGGAATTTTCTCTTTAATCCTCGGCATGATGGAAGCAAATTCTTGCGAAAATACCTCCTCCAGCGCGCATACGAGTAAGCGTTCCAGTTCGGACATGATGAATGACCGTTCGTCTATCATTACAATTAGCTTTCCACTAGTACGGTGTTCAGAATGATGGGCTTACACGGAGAAGGCAAGTCGACGGCGGTTCCGAACAAAGCCTGATACAACTGCGTATACTTCTCTTCCACGCTTTTGGAACTCGTCGCATACTCTTTCGCAGAGTCAATACGCTCCCACTGCTCCTGGCTGATCCGATCATCATCCGGCTCCGGAAGCACCTCACACCTTTCGCTGCTGCGTAGATGCTCTTTCAATAATGATCTAGACTTCATTTCGGCCTGGCAACAGGGGCACCGTAATGGCTGGGTGTGGACTCTCTTCAGGTGGAACTTCAGTCTACTCATGTCTTCGAAGCCCATGCCGCTGCTACATGCTTGGAGATGGCCGTATTTCTTAGGATCCCAGAGGTAGAACGGACATCTAAGTCTCCTGCGCAGCATTGGGTCATCCGCAACTTTGGGTTTCTTCTTCTTTCGTGGATCGTCTTCATCGTCGCCTGAGTCATCTCCACCGTCATTGAGATCCTTTTCGGCGCCTTGACATCTTTTCCTGGGCGCGTTCCCATGTGACTGCTGGGTCTCCTTTGTAGGACGAGACGACTCGGTGTTCCTGTTCTGCTGTGCTGAATTTGAGGTCCCCGGGGCGACAGTGCGCTGTAAGGAGAGTGACTGGATGAGCTTGCTGATGTTCGGGGCTTTGAGACTGTCTTTATGAGTGCCCAAGGTTGCTGCACTGATATCTTGCCCTTCGAAACGTGTGATGTTTGAGGCCCGGCCGAGAGAACGCCGTTCATGTTTCGTGTCTTGTGACAAGGACGCTGTTGATGCTTTGCCATCGGGAGTTTGAGAGGGATTTCTGGCTTTGCCGGATTGCATGGGTATGCATGGCCGGCCTGCATTTTCAATTACAGCATCTGTACTGACGTTCACCTTGGACACTGGGGATTCAGAGACCTCAGTGCTGCCTTTTAGAGACGGATCCGGTAGGGTTTCTTACATAGCGTATCATGTTTCACTAACTCGGCTCCCCGATACCCACTATCTTTGCTCGTACTTTGCCTCTGTTCTTTATGAGGGGTCAATGGCCATACGGTGCCACGAATTTGATCAGCACGAGGCTGAAATTTCTTGGTAGTCTTGCGAGATTTTTTCGCCGGTGTCGTGGCATGCACATCAGTTCCGAAGTGAGAGCCGCCATGGGGTCCGCAGGCTTCGCCCACTAACACCGTCTTCTCCTGGGCAGCATGGCCACTCTGTCCATGCGCAGCACATGGATCGATGGCGTGCTTGTAGTAGAGACAGCGACAAACAGAATAGCGCTCGACAACTTGGAAGCACATAGTGAATGAGAACGGCGGAGGCTGGAGCGTGAGAACGATGAATTGTTTTAGTCTGTGTGGTGCTGAATTATGTTCATATTGAAAAATAGGCGGCCGTCCTGCGGGAAGCCGCACAAATGTGCCAGATGTGGCTGAGTATTGTGGCTGGAGACACTAGCCAATTAGAAGACCTCGGGACGACGTCATCAATTCCTGCCTTCACCCTTCAAGACGGAACCACCTCCCTCAAGCTTCACCTTATCACAATCTGGCATGCATATTACCTGCTACAGAACTTGCAGGCCCTGTACCGTCTCTCCATCAAACCTCTTGCGATTCAGCAATTGCACTCTCCAACGCTTTTCTGTTCCACTCTCTACTCTCTCCTTCCACACATCTGCAGCAATGGCAAGCCCGCTGAAGCGCAAGGCCGGAAAACTGAAGGCTTCATCACCGAAAGCCAAGAGGTCGAAGATTGAAATCCCAGAATATCATCTGACGCCGTCCAGACGGGACGAGGCGGGTGAGATAATATGGCCCGCACCGAAAGAGCAGATCGAGCGAGCGAGGGACATCATCAAGGAATGGTATGCACAGCATGCACCTGATCCTCTAGCTCGGATTCGAACTTAGGAATGCGCGACATGGCGGGTAGCTAACGTCCTCATAGCGCTCGAGCCAACAAACCGACTCTTATCCTACCCGACAAGGACGCAGACGGCTTGTCCTCAGGCGCTATACTCCATCACACGCTTACTTCCCGTGGACTACCATCTTCTTTGATCTCAGTTTATTTCCCGCCGAAAGGAACGACCGTACACGACCAGGTCACGCGAGATGCGATATCCGCGAAATCGCCGTCCTTTATCTTCGTCCTAGACCAAGGCAGCAGGAAAAGCGGTCCTCTTTACGACATACCTCACACCTGCCTGGTCATCGACCATCACTTTGCGGAGGAGGGCGGCTTTCCTGAAGGCGCAGAATATGTAACTGCGCACGACTGCCCGCCAGTAGCGACGAGTTCGCTGTTAACTTACCACATCTGTTTGCCTCTGCACCCGGATCTTGACGAGAAGATATCTTGGCTCGCCGCTCTCGGAACGCACGGCGATCTAGGAAGCACCATAAAATGGCAGCCCCCCTTCCCCGACATGACAGCAACATTCAAGCAGCACCCCAAGAAGTCCATCAACGACGCCGTCGGGCTAGTCAACTCGCCCCGTCGCTCAGCAGCCTACAACGTGCAAGATGCCTGGGATGCAGTCCTCTCGGCATCTAGTCCGGAGCCCTTGCTGAAGAACAAGAAACTCTACGACGCGAACTGGGAAGTCCGACAAGAAACCGAGCGCTGCACGCACACGCCTCCAAAGTTCTCCTGCGACGCCACAATCGCCGTCCTCACCATCTCTTCCGCCGCGCAGGTCCACCCCGTCATCGCCACGCGCTGGTCCGGCCACCTCAAGTCCGACAAGCTGGAAGTCGTCATGTGCGCGAACGAAGGCTACTTACCCGGCATGGTCAACTTCTCGTGTAGAATCGCGAAGAATGCGAGGGCAAGGGAGGGCGATGCGAAGGTCGATATTATCAAGAAGCTAGAAGGTATCGTGGCAGACGATAAGGAGCTGAGGGGGAGATTGGGCGAGAGCTTCGCGAGGGGGCATAAGGAGGCTAGCGGGGGGATCGTGAAGAAGGAGGTCTGGGAGGAGTTCAAGAAAGCAATGGGTGTGGGTGAGAATACGAGGAAGAAGGCTGAGGGGAGCCCGAAGAAGGAGAAGAAGCCGGTGCAGAAGAATACTCTGGCGAATTACTTTGTGAAGGCATCGTGATTCGCTTCGATGAGGGATGGGATGCAATTTGCTTTCTGGCCGCTCTATGTCCGTCGCGCCGGAGTATTCGTCCACCTCAGACAAACGGCATCAGAGCGAATTTTATGTACGGAGTAACTTTCCCCCTCATGTCATGAGCATTCTGCAGCGGGCGACAAAAGCGCGGGTCGTCTAAAATTGAGTGCTGCGTACCGAGCAGACGCATGTACACTCGAGAGACGGAAGTGGCTGGCTCAAAACCGGGAAATCGGACGTACAGAACCGGTTCGCGGTAAAAAGTCAGCTTTGGATATCCACTCTCCTTATCGGGAGTGTCAATTATACTGCGATTAGATATCCGTTTCGTGGGAAGTGGCTCCGTTTTGAAGTGATGGTGGAGAGCAATACGAAAGCTCACATATACCCAGGAACTCGTTTAGCGTACACATCCGCTTAAATACCGTACTCGTTTCTCGACGTTCGTTACGACCGCAGAATAGCATGCGTCTCGACCGGGTAGCCACTGAACAACGAAGCGGCCGGCGCACTACTTCCTCCCCTTTCGTTTCGATTCAACTCAAGGCTGGTGCCAGACTGTGCAGTCTAGACGGTCGCGCTTACACACGATAGCAAGGCGACACACCCACGCATACCACCCACCTCATATACAAAGGGCAGCACTGCAGGTAGCGCACCTCGACTCATGACACAAAACATCCCCCTCCGCACTCTTTTCGGAAACGCCGCACAAGAACCTGGGGTGCGTTTTCATTAAATTTTCCGGCATATTGCGGGGATACGAGCGCAGCCAGTGGTTCCAGATCGGCAAATATACCTAGACGCCCAGCCGCTGTAATTGAAACATAGAGGGCTTGTCTTGGCCTCCTTGGCGACTAGCGCTTTCGATGCGGATTGATTGGCTCAGATGGGGATAAAGAGTCTGAATGTGGAGGGCGTGTTTCTATGCGAGAAATTGAGGTGCGGCGGTATGACGATCGGTGGCTCAACGGGCCGGCATACTCTTGTAGAGGTCTGCAGTATAGAGGGTAATATAGGGAAAGATCCTGGGGAAGATAAATACCGCGGACTCCTCTGCATCCTGGATTCTCTTCTCGTCCGTGGCACTCGCAGCTCATCACGCCGACCGGTTTTCCCTCGCTACTTCGACTTCTCCCCGACGGACAGTACAGTCCCTGAGACACATATCCAAGATGAAGGCGGCCTTCCTTCTCCTTGCGGCGGTAGCCTCCGTCTCCGCGCACTCCACCTGGCAGGATATGTGGGTGGGCAGCGAAGACAAAGCGACGACGTGCGCCCGCACAGTCAAGGACAACAACCCGATTACCTCGCTCACGTCCGCTGACATGTTCTGCGGCCGAGGGCCCGCCGCTTCCTCAGGCATCTGCGAAGTCGCCGGTAACATCTCCCTCGCCCCTCTCTCCCAGCACCAAAATACTAACCAGGAATCGTAACAGCCGGCAGCTCCCTGACCGTCGAAATGCACGCCCAGCCCGGCGACCGCAAGTGCGCTAATGCGGCCATCGGCGGCAACCACTACGGCCCGGTGCTCATCTACATGGCCAAGGTCAGCGACGCGAAGACAGCCACCTCCGGCTCTTTCTTCAAGGTCGCCGAGGACGGATACACGGGCACGACCGCGTCGTGGGGCACCGAGATCCTCAACGCCAACTGCGGAAAGCGCGCCTTCACGGTGCCCAAGTCGCTTGCGTCCGGCGACTATCTCGTCCGCGCCGAGGCGATCGCGCTGCACGCCGGCGCCGGGCAGCCCCAGCCGTACGTTACCTGCTTCCAGGTCAAGGTCACTGGCGGCGGCAGCGCGACCCCGAGCGGCGTGTCGTTCCCCGGTGGTTATAAGCTCAGGTACGTGATTACTTCGTTCGCCTATAGGCTTGCCAGTATGCTGATGCTGATTGCTTCGCAGCGACGCGCTCTTCACCAAGGCCATCTACGACTCGTCGTTCAAGTACGTCAGCCCCGGCCCTGCTGTCTGGACCGGTTAGAGAACGCGATGCGTTGGCGTGTAGGCTATTTGCTTTGTCCGCGAATGGATGGCCTCGCGTGTTTGTTTTCTTCTTTGCATGTGTGTCTCAGCATCGTCGGCGTACGCTCGCTTTTCGGGCATGAAGGGAGGATGTGTATAGCATTAGTATTCCAAACAGCATGATTTACATCGCATACTGTTTCTGAGATGTGACTCGGTGGCCGTTGATATGCAGTGTATCCTCGCTGAGAGGTAGCATCTTTATCTTTTCGGGAGATTTGCAGTAGAAGCGCGCTCTTGGACGATAAATCGGATGGATGTGAGGCGAGAGAGCGCTCGAGTTAAAACCTTGGAAGCCACGGTTGATCGCCAAGGCGCTAGCCTATTTCCGCTTAGTGCAACGAGGCTAAAGTTTTAGTGACGTTGGACTTCCTAAAAAGGCAGTTCTCGATTTCCGTTGAAAACTGCGACAATAGTGCACGAGTTTTCACTTTCACCGGGTTCGCATTCACCGTTGGGGAAGAATCGTGGAGCCAAGGTGCGCTAGCCCGTTTCTGCCGAGAGAATGGCTCGGAAGTCAAAACGTGAGCAGTTGACGATGCTCGTCCAACGAAGACACCACAGACGTGTATACAGGCAAGCTCGCAAGCAGCGAACATTCACATATTCAAACAGGATCATCATTTCCTATATTGTGGTATACTCAAGAATACAATTAGAGATTACTCGCTCTCCAAAACGGCGACATGCTCTTAGGTTGCATGCCTGCCCAGCCTTCCGCGCATCCAACAACGCGTTGCCCGAGCCCGCATTCTTCGCTTACTCGTCCTCTTCCTCCTCCGCAGCTCTCTGAGCAAGTACGTACCGCTCCACCCCGTGCTTGTCTTTGCCATGCTCAAGTGCCAGCTTGCTCAGAGCCGCAATCATGTTCTCGATCTGCGGGTCCTTCCTGCTGCGGTCCTTGCGGCCGAGGTCGTTGAGCCATGCGATCTTGTTGAGCAGGTAGTAAACGATAGCGATCACAATAGTGACGCCCAAGCTATACGCCCAAATCACAACGACGGTGACAATATCGACCCAGCCGTCCGCACGGAAGTGAGCCACGTCAGCCGGGTTGGTCTCGTAAGGGGCGCCGGAAAGCCAGCCGAAGAGACAGAAGAGGGTTGCGATGGCGTCGACGGCGAGGATGGCGCCCACGAGCTGGAAGCTGGGAAACGTTTTCCCGCCGCGTGTCACGAAGATGAGCCAATTTTCTGTGAGGGCTATTTCGAGGAAGAGGATCTCTTGGACTGAGCCAAAGTTCTGGATGATGCCACCGTTGGGGAGGAACATGGTGCCGCGGATGACCCAAGTGCCGAGCGCGAGCAGAATGCCCAGGATGACAGAGATGACCCAGATCTTTGGCAGCTGCCATTCGACAGGACGCTCCTCAGAGTAGGCATTCTATAACAATGGTCAGATCACTAGCTGCTAATCTTAAGGTCCATGAGCCTTACGTCATATGCTACAGCGACGGTTGCAAGATCGGCGAACAGGGCGATGAAGACAATGAGCTCCGCGCGGACAGTCTCATTAATAATGATCATCTATACGAGTAAGCGTGGACCATTGGCAGGAGGCGAACGGGCAAGGCATACCGAAGTCACCAGGTAGATTTCCAAGTGCAGACAGAGAGCGATACGGTACTGGATATATGCCTTCATGCGCTGGAAGATCTCTCGAGCGGTCTTAATAGCCAACACAATCGTGCTAAGACCGGGAGCTAGGAAGACGATATCGGCGGCGGCTTGAGCTGCTTCCGAAGCACCTTCGACGGCGATACCGCAGTCAGCTTTCTTTAGGGAAGGAGCATCGTTGACACCTAATTAGATCAGCATTACGCGATCGGCGCGTTTGTAGACCGCTTACCGTCTCCAGTCATAGCAGTCAAATGGCCTCGCTGCTGCAGCATTTCCACAACTTGATACTTGTGCTCGGGGAAGACCTCCGCAAAACCATCGGCGCGTTCGACAAGATCGTGTTGCGTAGTGCCGGAGAGACCTCCATAGATCAGCTTCTGTGAGTTGTAGACCTTGGTGCCAAGAGCAAGCATCTTGCACGTCTCCTTTGCGATAGCGATAGCATCACCACTGGAGATATCGTTAGCATTTGCAAAAGTGGTTGAGCGTTATTTTGCTTACGTCAACATCTTGACAGGTACACCGAGCTGCTGAGCCTCGACAATAGTCTGTGCGGTATCCTCGCGGGGCGGATCGAACATGGAGAGCAGACCAAGGAGGATCCAGTCACCGTCATTCTTCTGGTACGCAACACCGAGAGATCGGAAACCTCGGCGAGCGAAATCAGCAGCCTTCTCTCGGAACAGCCTGGCAGTTTCCTCGTCGCAATTTGAGAGTTGGAGAATGGCCTTAGGAGCTCCCTTCGCGCAGACATACTTATCGCCGCCCATGTGGCAGACTGTGGTGATACGCTTAGAGACAGGATCGAAAGGCGTGAACTTCTCGGTCTTCCAGCCCATACCCAGAATTTCTCTGGCCTTGGGGTATCGCCTGATAGTAAGAAGAGTGATCTTGTCGATAGGGTCGAGCGATTTGAGGTTATGCGAAGAAGCGAGGGCAGCGACGGCCATCATCCAATTGACATCTTGGCCCTCGGCGACGTAAGGTTCTCGGATGCTAAGCTGATTGGCGGTCAAGGTTCCAGTCTTGTCAGAGCAAAGAACGTCGACACCGGCCAGAGATTCGATAGCCGTCAGCTTCTGCACAATAGCCTTTTGCTTTGCGAGGTAGGCGGCACCGACAGCCAAGGTGGTAGTCGTGACGACTGGGAGACCGACAGGAACACCAATGATGAGAAGGATCAAAGCATAATCAAGCAGATTGACTGAGTTGTCGGTACCGGCGCGATTCGTGGCGATCCCCAGATGCCGGAAGAAGCCACCGATCCATGCGGCTAGGATCCAGAACATGACCAACACAAGTAGCGCCGTACCGATGGAGTTCATGATAGCCTTGAAATGTCCTAAAAACACAGTTTAGCTCGGGTGTCTGACAAACATGAAACACGGTGAACTACATACCTTGATCCTTTGCGCCCTGCACCAGGCTTGCGGTCCGACCGACGAAAGAGTGCTTAGCGGAGCACAAGGCGATCCCGTATGCTTTTCCGCGCTTGCAGCCTGTCGTGTAATAGGCGACTTCTCCCATGTACTTTTCAACGGCAAGAGACTCTCCAGTGATGGCCGACTGGTCCGCCGCGATGAGGGCGACTCCCTGGCTAATCGGGCGCTCCTCGTCGTCGTCGTCTTCCTTTTTCTTCTCGTCATCAGGATCGGACGAATCATCGAAGAGATCTTCATCCTTCATCTCCTTGTATTTTTCGAAGTCTTCTGGGTGGTCGTAGTTGCAGATCAGTCGGCAGTCAGCGGGAACGGATTGGCCTTCCTCGATGACCACCTGTAGAGTGTGAGCGCGCGAAGCGTGTTTTGACTGATAGCGCTCACGATGTCTCCCGGAACGATTTCACGCGCAAGGATGGTCTCTTCTCCGCCGTCTCGAATGACCACGGCCTTCATCGCAATGTCGCCCTTCAAGCTCGCCCTGTAAGCCAAGTCAGTTGGACTGTCGGCGAAGCCGGGAAGAGGGCTACCGACACAACATCTGCGGCCTGCTTCTCCTGGTACCAACCGACGGTTGCGTTGAGCATAAGGATACCGCAGATGACGCCGAAGTCGATCTACAACAGGTTAGCGGCGCGCTGCGCTGCGCTAGCGGGATGACACATACCCAGTCCCCAAGACCGGCAGCAAGCAAGGCGGCAATTTCCATAACTGCACCAAGTCAGCCAGTGCCAGCAGAAGCAGAATAAGAACAGTACCCCAAAGAATAGGTCCCATGAAGTAGCTGAGGAATTGCTTCAGCCAGTTTGTCTTCTCCGTAGAGATCTCATTCCAGCCAAAGCGCCTGCGACGGGCCTCGACGTCGTTCGTAAACAGGCCCTGGCGGATATCGGTATCGAGCATCTACCAAAGTCAGCGAGGCCCATAGCTCGAGACGCGCTCGACTGCGCGCAATGCCTGGAAGAGCACCACGCACCTCCTCTGGGACGGTGCCAGGATCAGCACCCGGCTTGGCCTGGGGAGAGTCGCCCGACCGCCAGAACTGCCACCAATGGTGGCTCTTTTTCGCATCGGCCGCATCTTTCTGCTGGCCGTCGGCGCTGTCGGAAGGCTGAGTTCTCGGGTCCCGGTACAATTGGATATATCTCTGCAAAGCCGTGTATTCGTCCATGCCCTCAAACGCCGTGATTGACACGATCGACTTGGAGCGCGTCGCGACCGACGTTCTCCGGTTAGCCTCGACATCGTCTGCCATGGTGGAGAGAAGGAGAAGGTGCCGCCAGAGGCAACTACGCAAGCGTCACAGTAGCAGACGCTCAGCGGTCCAGCGAGCAAGTGTGCGGGATGGAGATAAGGGAGGGAAGCAGAAGCTCAGTGCGAGGCAGAAGTGACGCAGCCCAGGCCTTCCGGCGTCAATTGAGAGGGGTAGCTGCGCTTTATTACCCATTGGACCCTTTGACGTCGACGCGCGGGACCGGCGCGCCGGCCTACAGCATGCGCGATAATTTTTCCTGCCTGGCTGCGGGAACGCCTATCAGTTGGCAAGCCGGCCGATCCGTCCGTGAGAGCCGCGGGATTTTCTAGTGCTGCTGCGGCCAAACAGGGCAAGTGGTGATGTAGCTCGACGTGGGAGCTTACCCCGGACGCATCGCTAACGCGTCTACCAGCACCGCGATCTGCTGCGATTGGCGGCGCGCAGGCACGGCAGCCATGGCAGGTGGCCCTGCTCAGATTGCTTGCCCCGGCACGGCGTCTTGGTAAAGTCTTCAACTGACCTCGCCCGCCTGTTGCGCCAGCTTACTGCTGGTTGTGCGCGATTAACGGCACCTCAGCACGAGGCGGTCTCCAGCACCGGGCCCGGCTCGACAGCCGGAAGGGGTCGGCCGAGCAGCAGACTAAGCCTTGTAGCGCAGGCAATGGCGTCGATTCGTCCACGGGCGGCATCGCTGGACGACGGATGACGTTGGTGGAGGGGTCGTTGCCGAAGATGCGAAGCACCGGATTTGTCAAGCTCTTACCCATGTTTAAGCTTCTGATCGCCGGAGAAACAAGCTTTACCGTATCTTGGCGAGCCGCCGTTCCTCGTCCCAAGCGACGACGACGACGATAAGGTGGACCCCTTCAGGCACAGCGCAAGCTATCGAGTTCTTTTGAACGTCCAGACGCCGCGAGTGCATATTCGCCGCACGAGGGCGTGTCTCGAGCTTCACTGGGCGAGTTTTCGCCCGTTTTTTTTTTGTCGCCTGTCGACCCCCGTCGCGCGCCTTATCGCATCCGGCAGCCTAAGTTGGCTGCGCGGGAGAAGAAATATGCCTCATCACCGCCGTTTCTTCTTCCTGTGCCAGGGAACAGAGATTGCGCCGCGGACGGGTGTCGATAATAGAGTGGCGTGGAGGCCTTCCCCGCTCGTCGGGCGGCGGCGGCAGCAACAGGCCGAACCCTCTCCTCTGCCCAGGTGGAATAAGCACCCGCTGAGCCTGACGGACGACGCTTGCAGTTCAAGGGGACTTACGTAGCAAGGGCGTTGCGGACTACTCATCATCACTATGCATACATCAGCGGCGGTGGAGCGACTTCTAAGCCTGCCGGGCGGGCGCCACGTGATCTCTGATTACGTGATTAGTGCCCTTAGCGTGGTTTGTCTGCGGCGAAGCCTGACCGTTTGCGACCCGTCCTGCCGTCCTCCACCGCTCCGGGAATAACTCACGCACCGTGACGCACGCACCGTTCCGTGCTCAAGAGCCATGGCCGCCAATGACCGTCGCGAGGCCGTTGCCTCAAGGTCACGCTCCTCCACACCGTCTCTTCCACCAGAGATTTGGGCAAACGTCGTGCGGCACGTCTCTGACGACTGCTTCGCTTGGTTCGTCCTGCGCCGCGTCTGTCGCTTCCTCCGCCACATCACAGAAGACGTCTTCAGCCGATACGTGCTCCATAATCTCACCGTCCGCTTTGCTGGAGAACATGCTAGGAGGATTCTCTTCGACGTCTGGGACTGGAACGAGTACGGCGTTGACAATGGTGGCGGCGACATCGGCTACTGGCCCTGGGAACGCGTCTCTCCTCTCCAGGAGCAGTTCGCGACCTTCCCCTTCAAATCTTTCACCTTCTCACCTGCCGACACCAAGGACAGGGTGATCCTCACGCTGCGAGACCAGAGCATTGACTACGAGGCCGGTACCAATGACGACTACTTCGTGAGGGGAGACTGGACGCGAGAGTGTACTTATACGCGGACCTTCTACCTCCGCCGTCAATGTTGCACCTGTGACACCCGGATCGAGACCACCGACGAAGTCGCTAGGTGCGATTGCCTGGCCAGCCTCTTCTTCAACCCTTCTTCTGCAGACGACCTGAAGCGCCTCATCAATGAATCCCACTTCGTGCTTCTGAACGACCAGCTGAGGAGTATCCCAATCCCCTCCATTGCAGTCAACGAGCAAACCCGTGCCATCTCCCTGGACTGGCGCCGACTCTGCCAGAGCTTCTACCTCAACGAGCTTCAGTGTCGGCGCGCCGCCGCACCATGGCTTCGCTATGTTTCGATGGACGACGCATCTGGTGATGTGAGGGTGCACGAGGATGAGGATGGTTATCATCATGCTTCCTTTGAGGGCTGGAGGACGCAGCCGTTTCTGGAGTTCCTAGGGCGAGAGGGTTGGCTCTTCTGGGACCAGGCGCCCACTGGGCCTTACCGTCGCTTGCGGACGCGCGACGGCCGAGTGACTGCGATGGATCCGGATGTGCTACGCCGTACGGCCTGATCGATACCATCTCACCTCTTTCCACCGGCTCATCCTTCGATCACTAAACGTCTCCGGTCATCTCGAGTCGGATCGTGAGCCTTTCCAGCAGCAACGAAGGTTTCTCTGGGTACTCACTCCCCCGCTAGATGGCTGCTCTTTTTCGTTCTCGTTTATGTTTCAATGTCGCTACGCTCCGTGTATGATCATTAAGGAGTCTCAAGAAGCTAATTCGTGTTGCTATAGTTCCTATGCTGTATTCAAATCCGGGGTTTCCATGGCCGCCGGAGTGCTTTCGCACGATCGGAATGAAGGGCGCCTTGAGATTACCCAGCGCCTGTGTTATCTGTGCGGTTCAATGTTTCTTTCGATGTACGTGGGGCGTATTGTATGGCCTTATGTTATAAGGCCAAAGATGATTTTTCTCGTCGGTGGAGTGAAGGGCAAAGTCAGAGTCAAGAGGGATGCGGATGCGTTTAATGTGCGCGACTCAGCAATTCCGGTGTTCATTTTCCGTTGTAAGCAAGTATAGACCTCAATCATGCAATGGCTTTCTCCGCGCGTGCTTCACCCATTATAATTTCCAACTATTTTCCCATTCTCCGATATGCGCGAACGAATCGTTTAGTCGTCCCAAACGGGTAAAGCGCGATGAGCAGCCGCTTACTTGATATTTTTGGCACTACCCACTTAAAGTAGGCCAGTTTCGACCCGCTCCTTTCATCTTACAGCTCGCACTTCAGCCTCACTACCCTACTAAACACCCTGCGCCCCCTACAGGCGGTTGAGCTAACGACAGCAACGGATGATGATGCTACAGCCTCCTTCGCAGCGCCAATGATCATGTCAAACGGACGGCCCAGCTGGGCGAATGTCCAATTGCGCGGCTCGCTGATGGCCAGGCACGGAGGGATGAGAGCTGAGATGGCTGGATTGCTGCGAAGTGTGACTGCTGCGATGAAGCTGCTCTCGAATCATTCCAAGTGCTGGCCTCTGACCGAAAGTTCCGCACGACGCCACGATGGTGGCGAGAGCATGCTATTTCTCCTTGAACACTTAGGCGGAGTAATTCGCTCCTCTCTTACTATGTGCGTATGTGCTGACTCGCGTTAGAGATGTGATTACGCGCTGGACATTAGACGGGACCCTAGGGCGGACCGGGTAGCTGAGCTGATTAAGAACGGCCCCTGCTGAGCTGTTCTACTAGAACACTAATCAGCGCCCAACTGGACCTTCTGTCAAGGCTACTGGTCGAAGCCTTTCGATCTCCGGATCGTTGTAGATCCCTTGATCGGCTTGTCCAAGTAAATTTCCTAGTCGCTTCCGACAGACGTAGGCTGACGCTGTACCTGGCTAACATTCTCCATATGTTGAACACGTCAAATTCGTTCTTGGTGGAGTAGTTGCCTTGCTGTGAATATTGCTGGAAGCCTACATCATCGTGGTGTTAATGGGTAGGGCGTATCTGAAGCGACCATGGCACGGGCTGCCATGCGGCTGATGTCAGTCACAGCATTACCATGATGCCTCTTGCTAACGCAGACTTCAGATAGTTTCATCTAGCCACCCACAGGACGATCAGAACACCATATTCCGCTTTGCGATCGTATACGAGTCAAAACATGATTACTTTTTCTTCCGGCGCTCAGCCACCCGCGAAGCTTGATCAACACGCTCACTCAATGACACTAGGAGCACAGATACCCGACCGGGGTGCAGCCACGATGTCAGCTTTCCGGCCCCCGTAGTAGTGGGCTTTAGCCACCTTCATCCCCGATGTCGTCTGTATATAGGGATAAGATCCTCAGCATGCTATCGATCTGTACGAGTACGAACACTCGTTCAGTCCCGCCATTGTCACCAAGCCTCTCGTTAACGATGAGGACCTTGTCTTTCCTTCTAATCGCTGGTGCCACCGTGCATGCCCAGGCCATCGTACCGAAGCTTGTGGGCTCTATCGAGCAACGGTCGCCGCCGCCGACCCTCTTCAAGCGCCAGCAGTTCCAGGAACCATGCGAAGAAGTAGCCGCATCATGGGTAGCCCAGAAGGCGAATGCTACCTCTGACCAGATCTACGTCCCAGCTCAGGTCGCCTATGATTGTCTACAGTCCGTGCCGGTCGACAAGGACGGGGATGTGAAGCAAATCGAAGAGCTTAAGCAATTCTTGCAATTCCAGTCAACACTCAGCTACCTGAAAGACCGCCCGGAGAACCAGACCAAGCCAGTCGATATCATCGGGGAGCTAGACGCAATCTCCAGCAGAGTTCAGCAAGGGGCTTACACGAGCGACTACGAAGTCCAGCTTGCGATCAAGGTCCTCCTTGACAGCGCCGTCGACTTCCACCTTCGCTGGTCATCAGATATTCTGGAGCCTTTCGTGTTCCAGAGATACGGGGTACTTCTGACGTCGCTCTCCCAGGATGGACTCTCGCCACCCAGTATCTATCTTGCAACCGATCTGGCCGCCATGGAGAGCTTCAACTTCACACCCTCGCCAATCAAGTCTATCAACGGGAAAAATGCAACTGAATACCTTTACAATATCTCCATGCAGGCAAATTACCACGACGCGGACGCCAGGTATAACCGGCTTTTTCTCAACAAACCCCGCGTGTCAAGCGGCAGCGTCGAGCCCGGCCCCTTTGCTCAGGGCGGTCTCTTTGATGGACCAACTACGTCTTTTGTCTTTGCAAATGGCACCAACAAGACCGTAGAGAACCTTGCCTTCGTCGGACCTAATTTCGACTTTACCAATGTAACAGACGCCCGACTATTTGCCAGACAGCAACTAACATGATCAGGTAACCGATGGCGAATCTTTTTTCAGTACGTTTTGTCAAGGTGGTCCTCCCGACGACACAGAAGAGGCGACGCCTACTCCAACACCAACTTCCCGCAATCAGACTTCTTCCACGGCAACTCCGACGCCAGAAGCTACACCCACGGGATACCCTACGCCAATATTCTTCCAGAGTTCCCTTGCAGTGCAAGGATACTATCTGAATGACACCGGATACGATGATACCGCCGTCCTCGCAATCCCCAACTTCGGCCCTAAGACCAAGGCTACGAACGAGACAGGCGCGATGGAGACTCAGAGACTCCTACGCGCCTTCTTTGCCGACTGTATCAAGCAAAAGAAGACCAAGCTCATCATCGATCTTCGCGGAAACGGCGGTGGTACGATCGACGTGGGCTTCGAAGTCTTCAAGCAGCTCTTCCCAACTGTCCAACCATATGGAGCCTCGCGATATCGCGCCCATGATGCGTTCCACATCTTCAGCGCTGCCATTGCCGACTTCGCGTCGAATACGACGGTCGAAGGAATAGATCCCGACGCATATGCATATGGCAGCGAGAACAATTTCTACTTCGGCAACATCATGAATGTGGATGGTCAACCATTCAAATCCTTCCAGGACTATTATGGCCCATACACATTCCACAATGACACGTTCATATCTCCTCGACGGTACAACGTAAGTCCTCTTCCCTCGTATCTAACACGCAGTATGGCCTGGATATTAAATAATGTCATCAGTTCTCCAACCACGCAGGCGGCTACACCAGCTCCGCGTCCTTCAACCTCACCGGCTACGCCCCCGAACCCACACCACCCCAACCCTTCGACGCCTCCAACATGCTCATCATCCAAGACGGCCTCTGCGGCTCCACCTGCGCCATCTTCTCCGAGCTCATGCGCGAGCAAGCACACGTCCCCACCATCTTCGTCGGCGGCCGCCCCATGAACAGCCCCGCGCAAGGTGTCGGGGGCAGCAAGGGCGCACAGGTCCTCCCAATCGATGCCTTAGTGGAAAATGCAGAACTTGTCGCGCAATACACTCTCGCCGTCGACGGCGCCGCGATGTCCAAGCTGCTGAATGAGAGCGCGTTCGGGGTCCTAGCGAACCCCGAGCAGCTGAAGAAGAGGTCGGCGCATTACACGGCCGAGACGATTGCGGGGGCGATGAACGCGCTGGACAACCTCAAGCAGAACGACAGCACGCAAACGCCGTTGGAGTTTATCTACGAGGCTGCTGACTGCCGCCTCTTCGACACGTTCGAGTCGTTCTTCAGCCCTGTACCGTTGTGGAAGAGAGCTGTCGACGCTAGGTGGGGGAGTGGGAAGTGTGTGGAGGGGAGTATGGGGCATTCGACGGCGATTAGTGTGATGAAGGGGGAGGGGTTTAATAAGCAGCAGGTTAATGCGACAGAGCCGTTTACGGGTGCTGCTGAGGGCTTGCGGATGTCGGGGTTGATGGCGGGTGGTGTTGCGGTGGTGGTGGCAGCTCTGATGCTGTGAGAGTGATGATGGTATGTGGATTGGAGTCTTTTTTGTTACTTTCGCTTCTTGTATTATCCCTTGCTCAGCATGATACCAACTATCTTCGAGTTTGCAGCCGAATATTCCTGCTCCGCTACCAATCGTCTAAACGAAAGCAGATGCGCATCATCATCACCACCACCATCCACGTCATCCTCCTCACGCACTAGCTGACACAGAACCCCCCGCGCTCCCCTGACCCCACTCCCCACCTAGAAGATCCCAATCCAAGAAACCGCATCGATACAGTCCGCTTCCTTTTTTGAGTCCCACAGCCTCGTCATATGAAGCTCGCGCGATGATTTCGAAAGGCCCGAGCGCAGGACATGATAGTCTTTTCCATTGTTTTTCCAAGACCGCTACGAAGCCGGGCACCCCATTGAACGGCAAGTGTCACTATAGTTTCCCAAGGCGCATACGGGAAGTGCCTCAAGCTTCCAGATGCAGTATGCGGAACTCCACCATACGCATTGGCTCGACCTTCTTTCCTTCTTTCCATAGCATGAAACCCACTCGTAGAGCTTTGTGAGAGCCGGAGAAGGCAAGCAGCATGCATATAACGCACTGCAATTTCACGAGACCGCGCGGGGTCTTTAGCTTTCCTTCTCATTTCCAGCTGTCAAACCCTTTTTTGGCCCGCATACCCCAATCCAGTTGACAGTTTGGTAGGTGTGTAGGCTCGTTCCGCCTGAAGCGCATGAAGTCGCGCCCACGTTCATTTTCCTCTCCTCTCATTTCCGTCCACGCATAGTTGAGGTAGATAGTATTTTAGGAAAGAAGAGGAAGGAAGACATAGTACATACTGTTAGAATGTTTTGGAGGACGAGTCCGCATAGCTTAGTAGCCGAGTTTTTCCCCCGGCTCGGTTCCGTGCGTGAATGGGGGTATTGGAGCTTTTTAAAGCTCTCTGGGCAGATCTCAGGCATGGATCTGGTGCGGAGATGTTCTGGAAGAAACGTGTCGCTTGGTCTCGCCACTGTTTGTTTTGGCGGAGGAACGACCAGAGGCCATAGTCTCCCGGAACGACCTCTTTTGATCGTCTGGGCGTCTGGATATCGAGTATGGTCCAAGCTCTTTGGGATGCACAAATGTCCTCCAAGTCCGGGAGAAAAGGGCCTGAAATATTCTGAAGCGTGCTTACGGGGTTTCGCAGAAGCTGAGGAGGCCTTCCGAAGAAAACGGCTAAAATCTTGCGTTTGCGTCTTCTCATGCGGCGCAACGTGCAGCCCTTTGTCACACCATGAAGATCCAATTCTTCAAATTTAGTGCCAACGGAACCAGTGCTATAAAGTCTAACAGACTTCCGCTCTGGACCGCGGATATTGAGATCCGTCGACTCTCCTCCGCAGCCATGCATATTGTTTCCGTCCACTTTAGTCCAGACGCGCATCGATGTTAATGGGTATGTTTTAGTTGCGTTCTCGGAAGCGGATCTACTCCATGACTATGTTATAGAGAACGTTTGGGATCGAGCAGGAGAGGATAGAGGGTCAGTGGAGTTATCACGCCCAGCGGAGGAAGCGTATGAAGTGGCGGGTACTCCATCATTCCACACATTCTAGGCTCGTATCCATTTTTCTTGCTCGGGCATGCTGTTCTCTTGGTCCTTTTCGGGAACGCAACCATGCTCCAGCGACGCATGTCTTTTCGGTGTTGTTGGAGGTACCGCAGGTATGACGCGGAGGGTAACAACGGAAGGGACCAAGACGGACGAGGGCTGTGTTTGTTCCCCATTCGAATGAGCACAACAAAACGCAGGGAACTCCTTCCCCTCATGAAAGACCAAGCCTTCCCTGTTTTGAAGTCCGAAATCTTCTCGGCGGCGCATTTAACCTTTCTTGCAGGTTTTCGGAGAAAGCGTCGCTCGGTGCGCCATCAGTTCCCCGTCTTCCGTAGTATTGCGCAGGCATCGGTACGTCATCGCTGTCATTTTTCTTTAACTCGCGTGGTTTCAACTTTAGCGTGTACCCGCCGCTCTCCCCCTCCGGCCATCACTTCGCGGTTCCATTACTTCAGTCGCATTGCGCGAAGAGGTTCCACCTTTTCGTTTTCGTTTTCCTTTCATTCCAGAGCCATATGGCTTCGCCGTGTGGAATCAAACATAAGGCCCTGCCGTTCTTCTACGTGGTTTGAGTTCTTTCTTTGTTGTGGCCCGCGCGGACAGAAGCGCAGGCATGCTCCGAGCCCGTGTGAACTTTTGGAAGCCGAGGATCTCTTCGTAATTGTATGCATACTCTATATTCTGCGTTCGTTGGGAAGATAGAAAACTCGCTCCCGTCTCGGCACGCAAATCCATTATCTTACTGAAGTCGACTGTGGCGGGAACGAGCACATATTCCTTGGGGAAGTCGGGTTTCGGATCCCAGGAGTCTCAATGACATGGTTCGGGAGGGATGTGGTTGGGCTCGAATTACGAGTTAGGATAGCTGATTTTCGAGCTCGGTTCCAAACTGAACACATCGAGTAGCCTGGTCTGTTCTTTGAGAGACGGACAGTACCGCATAGGTTGCCATATGCCGCGACTTTTCCACTCTCTCCTTCAATCTCTTGGAATTTCTAAGCCCATGCTTCCCCCCATTATAGTTTCATCTCCCGGTTTTGATATCATGCACACTAGTGCATATTGTTCTGGAAGCAGGGCCCAAAGACGTCGGTCTTGTTCATATGGTATTTTGGTCCAACGCGTTTTGGATTGGTGCTGGCTTTCGAGTCCGGAATCTGCCTTCCCATTATGCAGGTAGCTCAATCGTTTTAGTCGTTTCAGCGCGCAGATGTGCGGAAGAAAGCAGGAGAGTGACGAAGACAAGAAAGCGACTCTAATATCGAAGCTGGAACTGCTGAGCAAAGCAAACTGGAGTCATAAACCTCCACCCCAATCAATTCTCGCGCAGCATGATCTCCCGGCAGCCTGAGGCATTTCTGTCCCGAGAAGTACTCGTTCCCATGTGTTCGTATGCGGATTTCTTTTGATATGCCCCTCGTAGCGTTCGTGAAGAGAAATAAGCGCGTCGTAGGACGCTTTTGCGCATCCAGAGAAGCGGGAACGAGCGACATACGTCTCCGTAGCGAAGCGTTTGTTCCTATGTCCATAGGGCCGCTCTCTACTCGCATTCTTCGAAGGTCCTTTTCTTTTGGTCCAAAGAGGGAACGGCGCATCGGGCTGTCGCGCTGTTGTTTGGCGCGAGGCGCGGTGCTCCATCGTACGAATACGTGCTGTATTCTTGTTCTCGTATGCTCGCCAGAAATCTTTGGGGCTTGGCCGGTGTCCTAGATGCGCTTCCTCTTCACGCACACATACGGGCGTGGTATCTGGGATTGTGGTCCATTGGATCGTCCTCCGTATCATTCGGAAGCACGCAGCCATAGTCCGCACACTGATCAGCTCTTCGAGCCTCCATTACTTCTATCTTTCTGTGTTTTGAGCCTTTGTCTCATTCAGGCTCTTCTCTCCTCCCTCGCAACCCCGGCGCGGTCGTTGTCGACTCTTCAGGTATGTCTTGTTGCATTGCTATTGCTGGAGCCGCAGTCATAGTACTCGAGCGCTGCAATTTCGACATTCTTTATTTCCCAGCGGGAGATCCTCCAAGCCATGCCCTCCCAGTAGATGCAGCTTTCGAACCCAAGAATGGACGTAGTAGAATAACCGTGGGCGTTGGCAAGCCTACTACGCCCCAGGTTGCGGGGCCGCTTGAAGCCATCCATACGGGCAAACAAAAATTTCGTTCGCGAATGCTTCGGACCCGCCCTTCGCAACTATCCTTCAGGAGACCAAATGCTGCCCAGATAACCAAGAGCGACACATAGCAAAGCGTGTCAGCAGATTCCTAAGTCGAACCGGCGCCCCTCGGAAGTCGACAGCCATACCGGCGAGAAATGTGATATTGAAGCAAACCAGGCTTCGGCATCGCATGGCACTCCAGGCTTTTTGTTTGATCCCCTCATAGCGTGTTCGGTTAACGGTTTCAGCTTCGACCCCAGGACTTCTCTCCGCATGCCCATTGTGCGAAACCTTTTCTGGACTGTAATATCAGTGTGATATCATTGCGAGCACGCTGGACTCGCAGACATGCAAATCTCGTGTCTGGATTTAGAAAAGGCCAGGGCGCATCGGAAGGATGTAGTTCCGTGCGGGCGTCCATCTGAAAAGCATGAGTGGATGAGCGGAGGAACTGCAGAGCAAGGCGCAGAAAACCAACCCATCCGTGGGCAACATTCGCGCTCCCATGTTGAACCCGCTCCGTCCATTCTTGTTGAGGTAATTGGCTTGTTGAGAGAAATATCTGCCGGAAGCCTACATCACCGCCATGTCGATGGGGAGGCGGAACCATGGTCGTGTGAAGGAGCTCGCAGCGTTCCACAAGACACGTCGAGAATAGTTTTCCACACCGAGCATTCATGCGCTGTTAGAAGGATGGCTGGGGGGAGAAACGCCATGTCGCCATCTACTGCGGCTTTTTAGTCGCAGTCCTCGTCTCATGAATTAGATGGGGGTGCTTTTGGATCCAGTTCCCAGAAAACAGGGACATTGTCGCGATAGCAGGCGTTTTCGAGGCATACGTAGTCGGGCGGAGGCGTTTTAGTGTCCAGGTTGGATCTTGAAAGTGTAGTAGTAGTGGACTCGCGATACCGAGCGGAGGGGGGCTTATATAGGCTCGTGGCCGGATTCGGAGGTGCAATCGGGTTATATAATTGGCTCGTTGGTATGCTCCCCCCCCCAGTTGCGCAGCGAAGTAACCGCGGAACACGATAGGAACAGCCACGCACGACATGCGAAGAGAAAAAAGCAACACAGCAGGCAATAATAAGACAGAAATATCCAAAGAAAAACATGGTATATCATTCTGAAGTATACAAAATAGTGTGTACACATATGCCCTCCTCACCAGTTCATCGACCGTCTCTCGCCTCAACTCCCCAACACCCGCTTCATTTCTCATACAATCCAACGTATGCATAGCAGCAACTCCATTTCCATGTGATAACGTCCGCCTCCCGCATGCCCTTTCGACGGCTTTCCTTCGCTCAATAATCCGCCAGTTTCAGCCTTCTTCCGATGTTCCGCCGGACGACTTCGCGCTGGTCGACGGGCTCGTCTTCTTCCTTGGCCTTGAGCGCCGACAGAAGCATGCCCGCATCGAAAAAACCATCTAAAGAAAAGGAAATCAGCAAATGAAATAATGAGAAGAGATGGCGGGGGTGTGATGCAACGCGGGGAAGGGGTAGTGAAGCGAAATCTTGTCTATAGGGGGTATATGGGGAAGTGTATGTGCGCGAAGGTGATATGCAGGAGTAAAGCAAGGGTAGAGAGGATATTCAAGAAGAGCAGAAGGTGTTCGGGTACAGCCTCCTCACCACCGCCTTTGTGCACTTCCGGGTTTTGAACGTCCTAATGGGGCGTCGCGGAGAGCTCACGTGGACGGTGGTGAGGGGCTTGAAGGGCGGAGAGTGTGGCGGCGAATAGGGAGGGGTGAGGGGGGCAGCAGGGCGTAAGGTGATGTTGACTGTGTCGAGGTACAAAGAAGGAGGGGAAGGGGGAGCCATACATCCACCGAGACCATCGTCATCCGACTCAGTAATCTCCTCTACAGCGGGAGCCTGAGTCTTTCCATCCGATAGGATAATGCGGCCGCGGCTCTTGAGCCGGCCGGTCTTGGGCCGATCTTCTGCCTCGCGGGCGCGTGAAGCGGTCTTGTCGGCCGAAGTACCGCGTCGCTTCAATTGTCGCAGGAGTTTCCGGATCTCAAGGAAGTACGATTCAAGCGCGTCAATGAAACGAGAGGTCTGTCTGTGCTTGGAGGATGCGCAAATGGAGATGCTGCCGTCCTTGATGATGTATCCGATACCAAAGCCGTCGCCTGACGTAGGGCCGAAGCCGAACTGTCGAAGCGAAGGGTTGCCGCAATTTGATGTCGACAGAACCGTGGTGTTGATCTTGTCCCAGCCGGCATCCGCGAAGAGGGCGGGCATCGAGTGCTGAACAGGGGCAGGAGGTGAGCTGCTGATTGAACCATTCTCAGAAAGGACAGAGTTGCGCTTCGGGGAGTTGACGGCGGAGTTCGCGTCCGGGCTCGACGGTCGCGTGGAATCCCAGCCATCACTGCTTGCCATTTCGGCACCTTCTTCATCGATTGCTCGTTGCCAGATGCAGTACAGCGCGTATAGATGTCGATCGGGACCTTGTGCTTTGGCGCAATCCTTGGTGATGTCTACATGCTTCACGCAAGCTTTGCGAAGAGAGTCAATCTTGGCACCTGGAGGGTTTTCTCCCCAGAAAGTCCTCACAAAGTCGACGGATTCTTCGGAGACAGATCGAATCGCTTCTGTTCTTCCATGGTAGTAGATCTTGGTCATGGCGGGCTCGTACACACACTCAGTCCTGCCGTAGAGCCCGTAGTATGCAGCTTGGAATGCCATCTGCACGAAGGCATCCGGGGAGAAGCCCATCGAGGTCATGAAGTTCTTGCCATAATGCGGGAACTCTAGGGTTGCGAACTCGTTCTGCTGGATCAAGTCTGCAAGACGGGTCTCGGCAAATCGGAGGGCGGTGCTGAGCTCTGGCACCATGTCCCACTCAAGTTTGTGCGGGGTAGTCTGAACATCGCCAAAGCTGTCGGGGTCTCGCTTCGCTGGATCAGGGCTGGAGGATGCCCATAGACTAGGTGCGTTGCCGTTGATGGTTCTCGCGAACCGCAGTATGGTGTCCGTGTAAAGATCCGAAGCGAATCGCAGCACCGTGTGACCGTCCACACCGGTGTGCTCAAAGTTGATGCCCGCACTTCCGTTCTTGCACACAATGATCTGCAGCTTATCGTACCATCGATTCGTGCAGGTACCGACCTGGACTCCCTGTTCGACCTTGCTTGACCCGCACAACATGTTCATGCAGAGCTCTGCGCCTGTCTGCGGTTCGGTGTAGTCCAGGCATAGGACGAAGAGAGCCGAGTCCACGATGTTCAAGCAGTCAGAGTTGTTCGAGCCTTCTTCCCGATGGAGGATATCGCGCAGACCTGACCATACCTTGCGGTTCTCGGTGCTGAGGACACCAAGCGCTCCTTTGGCAGCATCCCGGATGGGTATCTGCGCCGCATCCTCGATGATGACCTGTAGATTCAGAGAGATGTCCTTCTCGGTCATGATAAGATCGGAGTTGTCGTCGAGGACATCGAACCAATAGAACTGGCCATGGCAAAGGACGACAATATGCTTCGAGGTTGGGTCTTGGCCGATCTGGCAGCCATTCTCGGTGGGTATTCGCGCGGTTCCGAAGAGTCTGGAGTACTGGTACATACAGAGGGGTTGGCCGCGGATAGTGTCAGGTGGCAACTCCTCTCGGCGCACCGCTCGCACGAAGGAAAGTGCCGAGACTACTAGCGAGGCTGCGCGAGTGACTTGGTTATTGCGGGCTGGGGTGGGGTCGTCCTCCAGTAGGAAAAAGGGATTTAGATTAAGCACCACCGGATTGTCAAAATTCAAATAAGAATCATACCCTAGCAGCAGGTCAGCGCGTGCTTCATATCTTTGAGTTTGTCGTTTAGTGGCCCGATTTAGAACAAATTGAGATCGAGCGGCCGGGGGTCCGAACGACGTAGGAATGACAGGGTAAGGGTACTTACAGAACTGCTCGATGTAGTTGGCCTTGCCAGCGGCATACTTCTTGAGCTTGTCTTGCAGCACTGGCCCGTCTGACTTGAGGAACTCCTGAACAGCAATGACAGTGTCGTTGTGCTCTTTGGGACTCTGAAGCGGCTTGAGAGCTGCAAGATACTTGTTGCATGAGCTGTCGAGGTCGGGGATCGGAAGCTTTGGGAGCTTGTCTTGGCTGGCGAAGGTGATGCCGGGCTTCGAGTTCGGATTCGTAGAGTGGCCGAGAGGATCTCTTGCTTCTGATGGGAATGAGCCCTGGCTATCCTTTGCGGACACCTCGGAGCGGACTGAGCCGTTCATCTCTGGGGCGGACATGAGGGTGCCGTTCAGTGACGAAGGCTTAGTGAAGGTTCGGACTGCCATGAGGAGTGGATTAGCTAAGCGTAGAGAGGCGAGATGTAAGTGCTAATAGAGAGTAACCGCAAGGCGCTGCGGTAGAAGTAGTGGCAATCCTGGAGACAGTAGGCCGGCATTGAGAGCGCTACGCAGCGTGGGCGAGCGGTCCGCCAGAACAGAGAGAAGACAGGGCACGGGGGAGGTCTTATATGGAACAGGACGAATGGGGAAAGTGGGAAGAGGCGGATACCCCCCCGCCAGCGGTCGAGGCTTGGAGGCATGTGAAACGGGCGATAGGCTTTGTAATTACGGGGCCCTTAATCCAAGTAGCAGAGGCAGCGGACCGCCAGCTCGGAAGATGACCCGCAGATGGCGCGATTGGAAGGTGTGGTATGGGCCGATGAGGAGAACCAACGGCACGGCCGCGCAGGAGAGAGTGCACTTACCGCGTAGTGCTGAGCTCACGGCGAGCTACAGGCGTACGGTACCCGCAAACACGACGTGCTATCGGACCTGGGACAGTCAATCTGCTTCTCCACGTTGTCGCTTACCGCACTATCAGCACTCTGAGACTGGGGAGGCCGTCCAAGACGAGCGTGACGAGGATAAAGAGCCGGAAAAGGACTGCCGCCGCAGCTTCTCGCGCAAGTATTAGACAATTTCGGCCAAGAGGATACCGGCGTGAGGGTAGGATGCCCCGAGGTGCACCAGGAACCCTGTTGGGCTGGCAGCTGTCAGTTGCTGCGGACGAGTGGAAGTGTCAGTGGTAGGGCGAGCTTTAAAAGACGCGCCGTCCGACGGCTGGCCAGGCGGCGCCGGCTAATCGGAGCAAGGTCGAGTCTGGGGAAGAGGGCAGGGCAGCTCGCCTGGACGGCAGAGTAGTCCAGCAGTGTGACGCCGGAATTGCCAGCACGCAGGCAGAGGGTGATGCTGCGACGTTCATGCGGTCATTGCGTGCGGTGCGCGCGGAGGGGCACGAGCAGACATCACAAGGCTGGGGGCGAGCTGCAGGCGTGGCTGAGGCTGCCAATGCGGGCGACCCGGGGCGATTGGGTGTCGAACGCGCGGGGAAGCGCTCGGCGCGCGTGGCGTGTGCGGCCGGGGGTGACGTCCACGCGGAGCAAAGGAACGTCGATGGTTGGAGTCGTGGGGGAGCGTCACGTGACCGTCCGCGCGCTTCCAGCACCTCACGCGTCGAACTTCGTCGCCGGGCGATGCCGTACTGTCGCGCCACGACCTCGCCATCCCACGCGCTCCAACTCTTCAGCCGACGAGGCCGTCTGCTGTTCCCGGCACCGGGACGCCGTTGCGCATGCCACTCCGCAGAGCCGCGCAAATAATGACGCCGGCCGCGAACCGATGACGGATCTGCTGCAGGTGCTGCCCGACTTTGATGCGCGGCCGTATACTCACCTGCTGCCCTCGCTCGACAAGGCCCTGATCACCACCAACGACCTGCTCACCCTCGAGCCCGCCGATGCAGCGCGCCGCGCCCAGCTGCCGCCCGGCGACCTGAGGAGGCTCGTGGACGCCGTCGTGCGTGCCCTGCACGCCGACCTTGGGTTCGGAGGAGAGGAAGCCTGCGGCAATTCTTTTCTGTCTGCGTCTGGCAGTGCGCGCGCCGAAAAGGGCGAAGGGGGCGGTATCAGCACCTTGGATGAAAAGCTTGACGCGGGCCTCGGCGGCGGCATTCGTCCTGGCTACCTGGTCGAGGTCACTGGCGAGAGGTACGGCACTCACCCAATCTAGCTCTCGACGTAGTACAATGCACCGTCTCGCCGCATAGACCCCCAATCTATCGCTATACCACGCGCATGCGGAGACTTTACCGTTCATGTACAGTGCTGACAGCTCGCAGTGGCGCCGGTAAAACGCAGCTACTCCTCACGCTGCTGCTGGCCGCACAGCTCCCTCCTCCGCACGGCCTCTCCAAGTCAGCCGTCTACATCTCCACCGAAGCACCGCTCGTTACCAATCGCCTCACGCAATTGCTCTCTGCCCATCCCGCCCTCGCCTCGCTACCGCCCAAGGAGAAACCGTCCCTGTCGCGAATACTGAGCATCCAGACCCCCGACCTCGAGTCCCAAGAGCACATCCTGCGATACCAACTCCCGGTGGCTATAAAGAAGCACAATGTGGGTCTCGTCGTTCTCGATTCAGTCGCCGCAAATTACCGTGCAGAGTTCGAGAGGCAGGGCCCGAGAGATGGCGCTGCGTCCATGGCGAAGCGAGGGGCGCAGCTCGTGCAGCTAGGAGCTTTACTACGTGATATGGCGCGCACAGAAGGAATTGCCATAGTCGTCGCAAATCAGGTTGCAGATCGGTTCTCAAAAGGGTATTCGAACCCTACTTCCAATGCGCCCTCACGAACCACGTCTACCAACAGTCAGGGACCCGATCGAGAAAACACCCCACAGGCACAAAGCGACCATCCGCCATTACATGCTCCTCCACAGATGGAAGAAGGTCTAGTACTGTCTCCGGATCCCCTGGCCCTCGATCATCAGCAATGCTGGTTTACTGGCTGGGGAGACGTCCAGTCTGATCCCCCACATACCCTAAAGACCCCGTCACTGGGTCTCGTATGGACTAATCAAATAGCATGTCGGATCGCCCTGCATAAGAAGCCTGTATACGCCAGTCGACCGCTAGTGGTAAGCGTCAATGGGGAGGAGCAGTGGAACGATGAGGAGAACCGCATCTCCAAGTGGCGCAGGTGGTTCAAGGTCGTCTTCGCGCCATGGGCTCCGCCATCAGAGGGTCGCGGCATTGAATATGAAGTGCTGAAGAGCGGACTACGGCATGTATCCAAAGACACATAGATGCATAGACAAGCCATGTCGAAATCTATATTCTGAATTGCCAGCCTGGTCATATCTTCGCCCTCACCACCGTACCTTCGCCCTCGCTCTGCTTCGCGACCAACCTCGCAGCCGCCCGTCCCGCCCTTCTCCCAAATACCGCCCCGCTAGTCAACCCGCTTCCCCCAGGATAGTTCCCGTAAAACAGTCCCCCCATCATCTCGCCCACAGCATACAACCCCTCGATCTCCCTCCCCGTTTGATTGATCACAGCCGCAGTCTCCGGCTTGACCGCCAGCCCGCCAAACGTAAATGTGATCCCGCAGGTGACCTTGACCGCCAAGAAAGGCGGTACGTCGATCGAAAGCGCCCAGTTAGATTTCGGCAGCGAAAGGGCGCTCGAAGAAGACTGAGTTGACAAGCCGTCCTTGACCGCGGGATCGAATTGCACGTCCGGGTTCTCCTTCCGGTGCTGGTAGACCGCCGCATTATACTCCTCGAGCGTTTGCACGAACCTCTGCCTCCCGCTCAATCCCCCCTGCGCACACTTCTCTGCGAGCTCCTCGATGCTGCGCGCCGTGATCCTTTCCACGACTTCCTCCCGATACTCCTCGCCCCGCAGCAGCGCTGCGCCCTTGCTGTCCCACACCTGCCACGCCACGCCGTCTGGCTGCTGCAAGATCGCCCGGCCAAACTTCGCATACGTGTAGTTCCGGAAGTCTACGCCTTCGTCCACGAAGCGCTCGCCGTGGCAGTTCACCATGATGCCCAGCGGATACCCGGACTTGGTGTACTCGTTGCTAACCTCGCGATTCCCTGAGTCCGGCGGCGCGTTCGCGTCCCACGCAACGGAGTGGCAGCCCGACCAGTTACCCGCGGGCCGCGCGTGCAGCTGCGCGATGCACGACGCAAGCAGCTCGCCGGTGTTGTACGGCGTGCCGCGGACGTGCGCGAGATCCCAGCCGGGGCCCAGATACTGAGTTCGCAGCTGCGGGTTTGCCTCGAAGCCGCCGGCCGCCATGATGACCGCCGTGCACGTGATCACTTCTTCCTTCCCGTCACTTTCCACCAGAACACCGCAGACCGCGCCGGTAGAAGGATCGCGCAGTATGCTCTTCGCCGCCGTGTCGAAGCGAACAGCTACGCCGTGGCGCCGCGCAGCCGCCATGTGGTCCGCTATCAGCCCCTTCCCGCCATCCTGCGTCTTGAGATGCAGACCGCCCCAGAACTTCCAGCGCCCGGCCACTTGATACGCCTGCCTATTAAAGCTAAGCTGGAAGCGCACGCCGGCATCCCTCTTCAGCCACTCGACGGCCGCCCTGCTCTCTCGCACCAGCGCTTTCCCGAGCTCCTCATTGCTCCGCCCATTCGTCACTCTCTTCAGATCAGCCGAGAAATCGTCCTCGGTGTACGGATCTAGGTCGATAGCCCTCGCCGTCTCGTCGTCCACGTTGTTGACTAGTGGAAGCAGGTCGGCCAGGCCGCCGTGCGCGGTGCGAAACGCGCCGGCGGTGAAGAACGAGTTCCCGCCCGCCCAGGCCGCGGGGCATTTGTCGATGAGGAGGATGTTGGAGGCGCCGGCTTGCGCGGCGGAGAGCGCGGCGGAGAAGCCTGCGTTGCCGGAGCCGATGACGAGGATGGAGCAGTGGGTGGGCATGGTGACGAGCTGGGCCGGGCTTTTTGGGGAGGTCAGATGGATGGCCGGAGAATGAATGGAAGTAGGAGTTAAATAGAATCCAAGGACTTTCTTTCTGCAAATGTAAGATTATTCGTTACCGCCAATCTAACACGTCTGAGACGTAGGGCAGAATTCAGGGGAGGTTCGTCGCGATTTGCGCTTGCCAGCCTATGCTTTCTCTTCTCTTTCTCCACGAACGTGCTCGCAGCAATTGAAGCACCGCGATCTGCTCCTCATAAAAAAACGAGACTTTTTCAAAAGGAAAGCAGCAGAACATTTAAACGTCGGAATCGGCATCGGCATTGAGAAACGGGAGAAGGGTGTGGGCGATGTTCGGAGACTTTATTCCCGAAGCATTCCATTTCGTGTTCGTCACTGATGTGCTCTCGGCTAATCTTGCCACCTGGAGGACTAAGAAGGCGGGACGTAACTCTCCGATCATGAAGAGGACTTGCGTGAAGCGTGGAAGAATGCATACATGTAAGCTATCCTTCGGCAGCGACGATATGCCGCATGTTGGAGCCAGCCTTGGACGAAGCCACGATCCCCAGGCAGTCATGTTACACTAACAATATAGGATCGCTCATTGCCAGCATACGTCCATCGTGCAGGAACCAGCGCAAATCACTCGTCCCTAAAAATCCACTTCCCGTTCCTGCGCATAGCCTCCAGCCACCTGTCCCGCACCATCTCCCTCTCCATCTTCGCCGCCATCTCCCTATCCTCCTCCTGCTCCTGCGTGTTCGGAAACCCCACCCTCCAGAACCCCGGCGGCGTCTTCCTACCCTCATATGCCTGTCTATGTTTGCCATGGTCCTTGGACATTTTCCTAGTTCGCGCCTGCAGCACCAACTCTTCTCGCTCCTTCTGGGACATCTGCGTGAGTCCGAAGCTATCGTATGCATCGCCGAGATAGTCTTGAAGGAGTTCTTCTTCCTGAGAGCGGGATAAGGGAGCTGCGGCTGCGGCGAGAGACCGGAACGTGGAGCCGCAGCAGGATGGATTGGTGCAGCCGGGGAGACACATGCGGTCGCCGCGTTTGCGGACGGTTTCAGAGAAGGCGTAGGTGTAGCCTTGGTTGTATTTTGGGTTTGGTTTGAAGTCTTTCAACTGCAGCTCTGAGATGGGCTTGGGTCGAAGCGGTACGTTCTTCTTTGGCGGAGGGGCTGGGGCCTTTCGCGGTGGCTCGCTTGAGGGGCCCATCGTCCAGATTGGTCGCGTATCGGAAGGGGCAGCGCGAGGGCTAGGACGTGATTCGGCTGCTTGAGCTTTGCCATAAACACGAAGAGCGGAGGGGGCGTTTGAAGGGCGGTCCGTAGAAGGTGGCGGAGTCGGAACCTGGCCTGCATTGCTCCTCCTAGGTGCTGCTTTGGGCGTTCGATGTGCGCTCTTCGCTAGTATTCTATCATCCTTATTGATCTTCAGTCTTCGATTGTGCTGTGCTCGCGCTATGCTCGGCGGCAGTCGGGTATCGTTCTCGTCCATCAGAGGCGGTGTTTCCCCAGACTCTCCGAGGATCTCATATGCAGCGGCTCGTCTAGCCTCCTTTTTTTGGATACGCTTGTTAGGCGTGTCTTCATTCGCATTGGCAACCACATTCGGGTCCAAGGGCTGCAGAACATCTCGTGGAATCGCGATAGAGTCTCCTGGCTCACTGAGTGTCGTGTCTGCCCTTCGCAAAGTCAGGATCTGTGGATCAGCGACTTGCACATCATCGTCAGCGGGTTCATTCTTGATCTGATGTCCGCTGAAAGGTGCACTATTAGACCTCTGGTTCCGCAGAGTACCGGTTGAATTCGAGTGGATGGAATGAGTCCTCAGCCGTTTGCGGGGAGTGCGAATCACATGAGCCCCAAGCTCATCAAGGTCCATCGTCTCCTTCCGCTGTAGCTGATACATGGCTGTCTCGGGTGGCGGGCTGCTGAACTGCTCTTCCTTGACTCTAATGGGCCTTGCCGGAGTTCCATCTGATGGAACACGGTCCTGGTGAACATTCAAACTCCTCGATGGCTTCCGCTTCCGCTTTAGAGATCGTGCGGAGACTACCTCAGGCATTTCGTCGTCATCCGCATGAGCAGTCCTTCGTATCTCCGCATCATTGTGCTCAGCTGCCTCATCTTCAGTAGTCTGGCTTGAGCCCAGGTTGTCTGAGCTCCGTTGGCCTAAAAAAGTAGAGTTGCCGTGGCCTGTGCCCGATTCCGTACCTGTAGGAGCGTCGACTTGCCGATGTGACGGTGATCGCGAGCCGGCATGCTCCGCTGCTTGATTCGGCTCTTGTTGTCCTGTCACAACCACATTCTCGAGAACACGACCATCCACAGGCTCGACGGGCTCAGCGCGGATATGCGCGAGCGGAAGGTATTGGACAGGCGATGAACGCTCCTGTCCCGCCAACGACCCAGGCGTTACAACGGCGGATGAGCTTGGAGTGGAAGGCAAATTCAGCCTTGCATCGTACGCCTCAATCGCCGCCAACTGCTTCGAGTGCTCATCCTTAGCCTTCCCCTCCGTCTTCGACCTATTCTTGCCCATGTGCCGATCGCAGTACTCCTGCCACGCTCTCACGCTTTCTTTCATCTCCTTATTCTTCTGCATGACCGCAGCGTTCTTCCGCTCAAGGTACTTCATCTTCTGAGTGGCATCCTGGTATCGCTTGTTCAGGTCGTTGTACTTGTCAGCAATGTGGTGGTAGTCACTGGCCAGGATTGTCGCGTCTGTTGTGCTGGCTTCTAGCTGTTCGGCGGAGGTTGCGGGTTCATTGCTCTGCTTTTGGAGCAGCTTTTTCAGACGCGCGTTTTCTTCGACCAGGCGCGCGTTCTTGATCACTTCGTTGTTGACGTGCGCGTACAGAATCTGCTGATGCTCGTTCTCTGCCTTGGTGTGAGCATTGCACGTGTTGCCGCGAGAATATGCGCACATACTTTGCTTCAGCTCTTTTTCGTGTTCCTCATTCCCTACAGCATTGTTAGTCTGTTACGCCTCGTGAATCAGCAGCATCATACTCCTCTTCCACTCCTGCTCGAGATCCGGCGCGATGACTTCATCGTAAACACGAGCCCACAGCGCCTTATTCTTCTCCAGCCAGGCAGAGAAATCCGACATCTTCTATCCTAGATGTCCTCACAGCGGTAGTCATGAGGGTGCGGGGGTTGATGGCGTTATTAGGATTCGTGAGGCGTGGTTCACGTCGGCTGCCTTGGTTGTCCGCGGAAGTGGGACGCGTCGGCGTTAGCGCGTAGTCACGAGGGATCTTAGCCATCGCGCACGGACCGTCTGGCGGCGATATCGCTCACAACTCCGAAACGTATCTTCGCCCCTCAATCACACATCGACAGCACGCCATGAAGCGGGTGCGCGAGGAGAACGACGGCGGCGAGCGGCCCGCGAAGGTGCGCAGAGTACCTGCGAAAGACCGTCTCTCAAAACTGAGTGACGAGCTGCTTGTGCGCATCCTTTCATTCGTTCCAGTGCCTACGCTGCTCCTCTGCCAACAGTACGCATAATCACTCTCGGAAGGATAGTACATACTAACACGCATTCAGGGTATCCAGGAAGTTTAGCCGTCTTGCCATCGACTCTGAGCTATGGAAAGCCGCATACTACAAACGCTTCGTGCTCCCGCGAGCCACGCGAATACCTGGCATCAAAGACACCAGCGCCTCCGACCACCTGCGCTACTCCTCGCAGCTGTCAAAATGGCTGGATGATGGACACCTTTTGAGGAAGGGAATATGCACAAACTGGAAGCAGCAATATCGGTTACGGCATAACTGGTCGCAAGGGCAGTGTGCAGTCAGCGAAATCGTTGTTGCCGAAAGACCGCCAGACCCGCCACTTCTTGTTATGATGTCAAGCAGCACGATATTCACTGCCGACTCTCTATCAGGGCTACGAGCATTTGACTCTAAGAACGAACGCGAGTTGATTGCTTCCACGCCGCTGCTGAGGCCGGAGGCAACCAACCCACAATTGCCGACTTCGATGGCCATAGACACGTCCGAAAGGGACACGGGACATGAAAGAGTAGTGATAGGTTTCGAAGATGGGTCATTTACTATTTACACGCTCAGGAGAGAGGACCAGTCATTCAGAACGCTCTTTGAGCATGCTCCGTCCACAAACGGAGCTCTGTCGGCCGTCGCCTTCTCCTCACCGTATCTGCTTACTATGACCGAGTACCATCTACTTTCAATGTATGTCTTTCTAGAGGACACGCAGCTAGATGATACCCTCGGACCCCCAAATCTGCTGTACTCTCTCCAATCCCATACTGTATGGCCCCCTGTTTCGCTGTCCATCCGTACCACGACAACAAGTATGACGGCATCAATCGCGTATGCGCTACCGACGTATCTCTCCGGATGGACCGTAGGCATCCAGGAAATGCGACTTACGCACGATGGGGAGCTCCTAGAATCTCGATTAGCCACTGCCGCTGATCAGCACTCTCTCACGCTTTCAGGGCAGCGTTCCATGTCGTCTCCAACCACGCGCTCTTCGTCGCCGTTCCCTGGAGGATCGAGAGAGCCCGCTTTAGCAGACAATCCCAGCAACGCCAAACCCACATCAATGTCATATTCGCATCCATACCTACTCGTAGCGCATCCGGACAACACGCTCAGCTTGTACCTGGTCAAGTCCACGGCTTCTTCGCTCTCAATTAGCGCCGGCACCCGTCTATGGGGCCACACCTCTTCCATCTCTGGCGCCCATGTCGGTGTACGAGGGAAAGCCGTTTCTGTCAGTCGACTAGGAGATGAGCTTCGCGTGTGGGATCTGGAGGGTGGTATGGCATCGTCAACCAACCGCAGACGGTCGAAGAACGGCGAGTTGAGTGTGAGGATCCAACCATCGAAGCCGAACAACAACTCGAACGAGGTTCAGGACGATGGACGCGTTCGGAGGTTTGATCTCCGATTCGCTCTGGACCAAGGCTTCGACGACTCTACCGTAAGTCGGGGCTGGGTTGGATTCGATGAGCAGAATGTGATAGTGCTGAGAGAGAAGCGGGAGGGTAGCCAGGCGCTCGTGGTGTATGACTTCGCCTGAGCGTGTTGATGATACTTGAATATATTCGAACAGTTACTGCGGCATTAGCAACAATAGAACAACTTACTATCAAGCTTGCTCACTATAGGATCGGAATGTGAGCGTTCTAGAGAGCCAGTTTAATTGTTATTCGACGTTGAAAGTCGTTGCCGCGAACTCCCTCAAATCGATGGGAGAGCACTCACGGTTTGCGTTCCTCACTGGCAAAGAAGCCCCAGCACACTTCCCCGTGGGAGCCTCCCAGCGCTTGTTATCCTTAATCGAAGCTGGCCATGTTCTATACCGCTATAACCCGAGCGGTGGAGATAGAGCGCCGTGTCGACCAGGCCATGGCCGTGACCTCCCCGAGTGGCTGGCAACGTCAGCTCTGAAGCAAAACCCACGGACACAGGGCACGTACTCAGGTCGGAGGTCGAGACAGCGACTCTGCTACCAGACCCCAGGAGCAAGCTCATTCTCCCTACCTACCCACCGCAGTCCATCACTTCTCTGGCTCACGAAACCACGCCCACCCCATCCCTGTCCGCCCACCGCGCCGCTCCTAACCGATATCCCTGGATTCCGGCGGGCATGACTGACCCCTGTAGTGCCGCTCGCTTGTTCTGTCAGAGTATACTTTTGCATGCACGCCATACAGTGATCCAGGCGCCATATGCGACGGTCGCTCAATGCCGTGGCTGCTCCGGACTTGCCGCCGCTCGGAAGCCACGCTGCACCGACAGCAGCAAGGTCAGCATACGGAGCGTTCAGCAGGGGGGGAGCACGCTCTTGTGCCGTTTGCCTGAAACTATGACTAGCGAGCGGCTCTCTCATGTCGTCCAATCGTCCGCATTTGTCAAGCCCTTGTTTGGGAGGGGATGCTGTGGGAGCCTAGCGAAATGCTCGAAACGACGCTGGCTGAGCTAGCAGCGGATGGACGTCCGTGGGTGCCCGACCTGCGAGCTTTGTGACGGTGGGTGCTTGTAGGTGGTTGGGCGGTCCCTGTGCATGACTATCGGAGAGGATAGAGTTCGTGCTTGTGCTTGCTGCACGCGCGGTCAGGATCGGCGTCTGCGTTTCCAAGGTTCTCGCGGATTCACCCGTACGGCATGCTTGGGCTTGACATGGCGAGGTATGAGAAATGGGGCGAGATAGTGGGATGGAGACGATAGTGGCTGTACGATGTTCGTGAGAGCAGAATCTTGAGCGTGATGCTCTTGCCAGCTTGAGAATGGCTGTCAGAGAAACTGAGACAAAGTACGAGTCACGAGGACGGCACCTTGGCTCCACTCAAGGAAGGGGCGACCTGTTCGGGCACAGCAAGGCAATATGGCAAGAGCAGAACATTAGTACCCGAACAGAGCAGAAGAGGGTTTACGTTTGCTAGTCAAGTCCTTCGGCTACTCAAGTGTTCTCGCAGAAGTTCGACAAGTAGACCTGATGACACAAAAGGGACAGGAATGGGAGCAGAATGTGCGAAAGATTGTGGATTCAAACTCATTTCCTGTTTAAGCAGCTCCTGGCTTGAACTAAGCACACTGCGGTCTCCGCCGCAGCAACTTCAGCTATACCACTATTGCATTCGTATCCGCTGTCATCAAATCGATCCCTACCTAGGTATCTCTCTAATTGCCCGATTGCTGGGCCGTGTTTTGGACGTGATTTGTCGACGAGCAAATTACGAAGTGATCACGAGCTGATGTTCGAAAGGAGGACGAAAGGGGTTCGAGCGCACTCTCCGTACTGGGAAGGCGGCATGTAACAATTCGCTCTGCGCTTCGACTCGTGCTCAGTAGCATACACAAGGTAAGCCCTGCACTCTTCTGGGTGTGGAGTGCCCGCGGGTGGCATCCTCGTGCGGGCGGAGAGAAGGTCTGAAAAGAGACCCCTGGTCCGTCTGACTTAACTTCGCCGCGTGGGAGTAAAAGCCGCCGCAGGGTGTACTAAGAAGCCTGAGTATTTCAAAGATGCAGCGGTGCTGGTGGCTATTGAGGTGAGGAGGGATGACATGATGCTAGAGTCGGGCAGCACTTCGCACTAACGCGGCCCATGGGTTATATCTGTTGCCACAGTGCGCGGGAATAGAAGAAGCCTAAGCTAGCGAGCAATGCCTGGCACAAGGTAACAAGCAAGTACGTGTAGGAAGTCCTCGCAGTTGGAACTGAGTTCCTTATGGTTCACGTCAAGCGTGTGGAGGGAGGTCTCGGGACTCCCGTGCGTGCGATGGGGTCGTTCAGGGTAGCTACCGGACTTCACCAGCGATGCTGAGATCAGCCTTTGTGGTTTTGAGAGGTCTCGGAGTTGAGGAGATGAGCTCGCTGGTCGCGCGGTGTGACTGCATGCCTCTGTCCTCCCAGTGAGCACGAGTGTCAATCTCGGGGTTCACCTTGAAGGAACTCAGGATCTCTTAGGCGTATAGCTAGAGATGAGCAAGTGTCTTGATATCTCTATTGAGCGGGCGGGCATGCCTAAAAACGGATAGATGGATATGGACGGTTTCGGTGCCCTGGCCTACCCACCGTTCAGCCTGGATGGAATGAGGGTCGAGCGGGCGTGAAGCGGGCTGCGTCGCTCACTCTTTCGGTCAGTAGACTGTATCTTCTGTGCCTTACCGTAGGAGCCGGTATATACGGTGCGGTCTCGCTCGCTGGCTCTACCGTTGTCGCTGAGAGAACATACCGGAGCATCAAGCCGTCACGGTAGACCTCACTCGGGCAGCCTGATGGGGAATCCACAATATGCTTCCTAGGCGCTACTACATCATGTATACCCTCACGCATCGTTGCTGCTGCTGCTGTTGTTGTTCGTGTCGATCTCGGTGCCTGCCCAGGCCAAGGGCCAACACGGCCGACGAGGGCACGCTCGAGTACGACGACGAAAGCTCTTCGGATGAGCGGTGGCTACGCGTATACAGTGCCTTTTGAGGATGGCCATCGTGTGTGACGCTCGATGCGGTTTCTACGCGCGGTAAGGGTGGATTTGGTGTGCGTTCACCCGTCTGGTCGTACATGCCGGAGTGGCACGGCGTCTAACAAGAGGGCCGTTCGACGGTACAGGTACGATGGCGATCGAAGACGAGTGCTCGGTCGAATGGACAGAGGGACGATGAGGAATCGCCAGACACCGCCCGAATCATGATGACGGCGCTGGCAACTGAGGAAGGCACGACTCAACGAAGGCAGTCCACGAAAGGCACGGACAGAGGGCGAGCAGAGAGACATGGCTGGATTCAACGTTGGAAGACCACAGAAGACAGGTTTCAGTTTCACTGCAGACTTTTCCCGACACCCATGGCACGAACAGGTGGGGTAGGAAGCGCTGAGGCAGGAGCATCCTCAGGCTCCTTCCTTCACGAACTTGATGATGATGAGATGGCTCTACGAGCATGGCAGGTGCGAGTCTATCGTGCCTGCTTCTGTTGCGGACGCTGGGAAACGCGACGTGACAGCTTCATCTTCTCGCCCGAGGACGGGCTGACCGATGTGGCAGTGGCCAAGAGCTGAGACTCTAGACCCAATGTATTGATGAAGCATCAGGCACCCAGTGAGAAAGGAGAGCATAGCATGGAGGAGTATCAAGGGGCCCTTCACGATAGCAGTTTCCTACTCGAGTGTTTGCACGAGCCTCTATCGGGTACCATCACCCCCACACTCGCAGCTCGCGGCGGCCATATCCCACAGCTGTGCCTCTTCGGCCTTCTCGAGGGTGATAATCCATCAGCCATGCCTTTTTATAGGCCGCCCCGGCGCTTGCAAAGAGACGGATGCGCCAGCACCATGTACTTGTCTGCCTGCGACTCGCCTCTTGGGCATCAATGACGGACCCACTGATCCACGCTGCAGAAAACTCAATGCATCCCGCTCATGCCCATATTTTCGTGTGATTTACAACTCCTCCATATCCTCATCGCCGATGTCCAGCGGCGGGAAGTCGCCCGATTCGCATCGCTCGGGCCGAACGAAGACGCCGCAGTTCTTGCCACACTCGAAGTACTTTTTGCCCTTCACCGACCCGTCGTTCTTGCCGGTAGGCTCGTCCAGCGTGATACCAATCCACGAGCCTATGCCCGGGATCTCCGGGACAGGGCCAATGTAGGATATTGTTCCTCGCCGGGCGTCTGACTCGGGGAGGAGGCGAACGCGGGCCGAAAGCGTAAGACCTGCCGAGTTTAAGTCAGCTCACTGTTTCGCAATGTTATTAGGCTGTAAAGGCTGCAACAAGCAAGCAGCATCCCATCACGAGCTCTCGCGCAACTCGTGGGCAAGAGAGGAAGCAAAATTTGGGTTTCCGTCCGGTATTGGAATGTGACGTAGAGATCTAAGCGCTTTCAATCGGCCGCATGTCCCACCGATCGCACGTGCGGAGAACCGGTCCCAGAGTGAGGCTGACTTGCAGACGGGGAGGCGGCGCACAGAGATTGCAGGAGATGCTCCATCTCTTCGCTTGACGAAGCAGAGATGTGCAGAAGGGGTCCAGGGACTGGCCGTTGGCTGCCACCACGCCGCCGCACGCGGCTCGTTCCTGAAAGCGTTCATGGCTGCAGCGCGAAACGGCTCGGGAACGCGTATCGGCGCCAGCGCGCCCTGTTCGCAACGGTGAATGGCGAAACGCTATCAACAACAGGTCGCCTCAGTCTTCACTATCTTCCTGCGTGAACGGTGAATATTGGAGAGCAGGTAGATATAGTGAGGCTGGTGGCGAGAATACCGGAAATGAGGTCCAACGGGAGTTGCGGCAGGGAAGGAGGCGGTTTCCAACAATATGGATGGCGGATCAGGATCGGCGAAGCCACCCCGGGCACTGAAAAGACGACTTCCAAAAAGGAAGCGGAGGGTGTTGCGGTGCCTGTCAGAGGCGGTTCAGCTTGCGTTGAGCATTGGAATTGGACGCCATCCACACCTCGCCTGTCGCGATTTTGCTCCACTTGGCCAAGGCGTATATGCAGTTCGCTCGATTCGGAAGTGGCTCATTACAAAGGCAGTAAGAAAAGCGTGTTGCGTAGTGTGACCGCTCGCCGAGGCGCTGGAGAAGCGATGGTCTGGTGAGGGCCTCGTCCGTCACAAATTGCAGGATGAGACATGACGAATCCCCTCTGCAGTAGACATGGCGACTTCGAGAAAGTGAGTCGGCGATATGCAGACGTCCGTTTTCGGTAGTACATGAAGCACCACCGTTTGGCGCTTCGTGCCGGCGCGAGCATATCCTGCCATGGAACGCTTCCACGGCTAGTGATTGCTTTTGTTTTTGCTTCTCCTAATCCGCCACAACCATACGATTTTCTTGAACGCATGACCAAACAACTAGTGCACTTACCTCTCTCTTCGATTTCGCGTTCCGAGGCACGAATCTTCTGTTGTTCGAGGCTCGGCGCATCCGGGTCGAACCGGCCCAGCTGCTGAGCCTTCTTCCACGCTAGAACGCTGTCCGTCCGGGTTTCATACTCAGCACTCGGCAATGTGTACTTCGGCACGGATGACAGATCTGAGAAATCCGTGCGCGCAGAAGGTGGGCGCGTGTCGCCAACCTAACAGCACATAGTCAGAACGGAACCATTTTCTGACCGCGCTCGTTTGCCGCTCGGCCTGTTGCAAGGAGCTTGCCCCGCGACCAGACTCTGATGCAGGGGCTGACAGAAGTAGAAGGTTGTCCTGACTGTTGAGCGAAAAAGAAAAGTAGTAAAACGAGAAGAAGAAAAGGATGAAGCCAAAAATGACGACGACCAGAGCAGCATGGAACTGAAGCCTCCAGGATCTGGAACCCCCGGTCTAGCACGATCTGATAAGGTTGGCAGGCACCCCAGCACGTCGGAATATGCCAAGCCCGTGCCAAAGACGAATTGGGCAAGGCTGGTGACAAAGATAGAGAGGGCTGAGGCGTTTTGTGGCGCGCATTGCTGCATGTCTTTGCTGCAGGACGGGGTTCAAAGCCTCAGAGAAGGAGAAAAAGCAAGGCAAGACGGCAGCAGCGCGGTGAAAACGGTGGAGTTAGCGTGCGCGATGGCTGCTGACAGGGAACCCCGACGGGCTTCAAAGCGGCGAGATGTGGCAGCTTGAGAGAGGACGGCGAGATCAGGCCGCTCAGGGACAAGGCTGGACGGTGCTATTCCATAGGAGGGACGCAATGCACTTACGGTGATCTCCGCATACGGCTGCAGAGGGAAGGCGGCCAGCTGTGTCTGCTCTTCATCAGCAGCAGAGATTGCGATGCCATCCTGGGAGCCAACGCGCAACGTTAGCTGCTGGCTGCCGGCCGGCACGCCGGTGATGGGTTCAAGGCGCGTTTTGAGGTGCGCTATGGTCCATGACGGCGATATGCGGCGCTCCGACGATGAGTTGGGCGAGCTGATGAGGAGGGGCACGTCTGCTGCCGCCTGGAGCGACATGGCGGCTGCCTTCTGTCTCGCTGGAGGCTAGTGACAGACGCCCGGCTTAGCAGGCCAAAAGGAACTGGGTAGTGCGGCGATGGTCGAAGGAACAGGTGATGGGGCCGATGCTGGTGGGATTCCGGTGGGCGACGGCGGGATGGGCCACGACGGTCGACGGCAGCAGGGTCGGGCCTCGGTGGGAGTGAGCTGTCGAGCGGTGCTAGCGGAGCATGCAGAGGATGAGGTGTACCTGGCAGCCTGGGACGTGGTCGGAGAGAGTAATCGCCTCACATCACCATTGACGGAGAATATCTGCGCATGCCTTGTGTAACCGACCGGCGGCCGAGAAGGGAAGCCTTAACGAGCCACCGAGCGTTCCCTCCCCCACGCCTCCAGCGCATCGCTCTGACTGCCGCGCACATTCCGGAACATCCCACGCAGCCGTCGAAACAGCGTTCGCGACCCCGCCAGCTTGCCAGTGGCCGTCCGAGCCGTTTCGACGTCCACGCGCCCGCCAATTGCTTTTGCGCTGGCTCCCTGCCGCCAGCTTCACCCCGCCGCCTCACCCAGAGTTCAAACCGCTCCGTCGTCAGCCAAGCCCCGTGATATTGCACACATTGCACCCAGTGACCGCGCGCCCCTTGCCCTCGGCACGCATCAGCCAGGTACCGTCTCTGCGCGCCGTCGCTCGGCGACTGGCACTCAATATGAGTCGCCACCAGGTCATAGTGCGTCTGAGATGCTCGCATCGGCCAGCCACGCGCTCTTGTGCTGCCAGCGCCGCGACGGCCAGCTCTGCCAGCTCTACCTCCAACATTCCGCTGGCAAGGACGGGCCTCACCGCCTATTTAATGCATCCCTCACTAAAAATACAGAGCGCCAGGATGCATTCCTTCGTATCCAGATTGATGAACTGTTCGGCTGCGAGCCTGCGACTCCCATGGGATTGACAGCCAGCTGGCACTCCATAGCTACCCCAGAGTGCATGGCCAACCGGAGCGGCCACAGCCAGCCAGACGTCGTTGGGGCGTAAGGCCTGCGACACGCAACAAAAGGCCCACGAATTGTGGCTCTGAATCAGCAGCCGCAAGGAGCACGAGACGGACTGTCGGGACGTCACAGCCTGTGACCGGGGCTTTGGAAGAATCAGTTCGCAGCCGCACACAGATTGCAACACAGACTGTGTGGAGAGTCCTTCATCAACCGCTCTCCACCTGAGAAGCACACCACCGTCAAGACGCACGCCTTTTATTCACGAACACTGTCCCCGTGCGCCTCTCCACGCCAGACTAATGCAGTTCGGGCGTTTTAGCACCGATAGCCTGCGTCCAAACTCCTCTCGAACATGGCCCGGAACGCGAGCGTTCGGGCGCGTGAATCAGGCAGCGTTCACCGCCTTATGCGCATCATCATCTATCCCTGATGGGCTTTGTTTGTGATGCAACCGGCCAGACGGCATATCCGGCTCGCTGCTCCCCTGCCGCTGCCGTTTCTTGTTGATGGAGGAGAGCGCTCGCCGTTGCGGACACCTGGGCAGGCCGGCTCTGGGGCCGCCTGATATCACAAGACCGGCAGCCGACAACAACGTGGCACCATCTGCCATCAGCACCGCCGCACTGCCCCGGCGTTCCGGCAGAAGGGCTTTCACGTGGAGCGTGGTGGCACAAGGAGGTTGTTCTGTGCGGGTGAGGCCGGAGCTAGGGCCTCGTTCGGATGCAGAGCGACCTGTTTAACAACGCATTCGAAGCTAGACGTCACGGCGGCCTGCTCGGCAGTTCACCGCATTTCACCGCTCTTCTTCCTGCCCGACGGGCGCCTGCTCCGGACGCTGAGAGAGAGGGCGAGCAGTGGGGGGCTGGCCGAGGCATGAACGCTTGACAGCATAGCGTGCAGGGCGGACAAGCTTTTGGCGTGAACACATCACCAACTGCACCGCCATATTGATGTCAGCGTTCGTGGGTGAGGCTTCGTTCGGTAGCGACTCTTTTGGCGTTAGATAGCCGTAGGGCAGGGCGAAGGATGCTGCAGATCTTCGTTCGCCGCGCCTCGCCATGTCATCGCGCTTCTGCACCCGAACCCGGCCAGGCGTCAGCCATCCCTGAGGCTGTCGCCCGCCCCTGATTCGTCGCCTTTCTCGGTACCCTCGTCGTCGTGGTCGTGATGTCGACGTGCTCGACGATCGAGACAGACGTGACAGCAGCCCAAGCAGCCGCCGAACTGCCCTCTCCGCCGCCGCCCCGTTCCGGCACCGCGTCGAAGCCCGACGGAACAGATGGGGGGCAGCAAATCAAGCCGAGACGTGCGAGTAAGTCGATATGAAGCAATTAGGAAACGGACAGAACTGGAGCGCGAGAGTGAGTAATGCTCCAGGGCTGCGAAGTGGGGGACACGTCATCGGCATGACCTGCTACTGGCAGCGCGGCCGACTGCTTTTTTGTTGCAGCTAACGTTAGTAAATTGGGCTGTGGTCTTTCTTTTGAGCAGCGTCGTTAGATCGCCGGGAGGAGCGTACAGGGTGCAGAGAGTACACACCCTTGACCAGCTGTCTGGCCTGGACAGGGTCCGTGGGCATGGCGGCCGCCAGCAGTGGCGCCGCCAGCACAGAATCGAGGCAGCGTAAAGCGACGCCGGCTGCTAGTCAGTGTCCGTCAGACGAAATGGGGTTGTCCTGAACCCAAGCCCCCGGATCCCTACCGCGGACGGGCGACGAGGCGCCAGCAGGCCCTGTCCACGAACACTGCATTACAGTCGCACGCCGCCGCTAATCCTAACTCCCTCTATTTACCTATCCATGCTCGCAAGTACCGCAGTCCTAATTCTCCGCTCGCCTGGCCGCATCACTCCTCGCACCACGACACGACCTGCTTCCTCACTCTGCCTGCGCTGCCTCTAGTGGCTATGCACGCCTGCCGTTAGAGAGCCATTGGTCGAGCATGTTTCATAACCCGGCCCAGCAGCCCTGTTCCCTATCCTAAATAGCTTCCCAAGGGCAACCACTGAGAGCGAGTATTGCCCAAAGTACCTCGCAACTGGTCACTTCGACCTACGTCGGCACAATTTAGACTCTATTCCAACTTCATCGCCTGGCGGCCGTCCCCTCCGTCTCTCGTCCCAGCCTCAGCACTGCACTGCTCCCGTCGCGCCCTCCGCCTGGCTTTGTTTATCGACGCACACAACACTCAGCTCACTCATCTCACCTCGCATCCGCCGTCCGCAGCCGCTGGTCTCTCCGTCGTCGACGCAGCATCTGGCCGTCTCTTCTGCCTGACGCCGCGCCGCGCAGCTGCACGCATTGCGCCGTGCTTCTCGACGGCCGCTGCCCGGCTCCAGGCTCCCCTCCGCCGCGCCGCCCGTAGAGAAACACGCACCTGGACCGGCAAATCTCCAAGGTGCATCTATTGATCCGGTTTCGCCAGCCAGGGTGCAGCGCCGTCATTGGTATCGACTTCTGCGGGCCACCCTTCGGCCAGCCAACAGCTCCATCGACTGCCACGCCCCGCACCTTCCCTCTCAAATCCCCGGGCCCGGCGCAGGTAGGAGACTCCAGCAAACCCTCATCAACTTATGGGCTGGCTTAGGGCCGGTCCACCCCGCCTATCGTGGATATCAACCTGCTCATCGAGCCTCGCGGCTCCGAGTCTCCCGCGAGCAAGAAGAGCTCGACCTCCGTAGCATCGGCTTCCACTGGGGCAACCAGAGCGTATACGACCGCTCCTTCTGCCTACACGCAGTCCCCCGCGTATGCAACTGCCTCGCCCGCCCACGCCTCTGCGTCGCCAGCATTCGCGACCTCCTCGCCCGCCTATGGCGCAACACCTGCGTATTCAGCGCAGGGCCCGCTGCCGCCCGGATCGATGCAAGGCGGACCGGTCCTCCCAGCTATTTCGGAGCTCCATCGCCATCCGGATCCAGCGCAACACGCGCAGTTCCGCCCCCTCTACTCCGGACCGCCTGTTCCTCCTCCTATTCCCCAGGGACCGCCTGGCCCGAATGGATCTCCCCCCTCGCAGATTGCCAATGTCAAAAGAGCCGCTTCGCAGACGCCGATGCCTGACGAGAGCCCTGCCAAGAAGCAGTCAAAATGGACTCCGGAAGAGGACAACCTCACCATTGAACTCCGAGGTCAAGGCATGAAGTGGGACGATATCGCGAAGCGACTACCCGGACGGAGCTCCATTTCGTGTCGTCTGCGCTATCAAAACTACTTGGAGAAGAGGGCTGTGTGGGACGAAGAGAAAAAGAACAAGCTCGCAAGGCTTTACGCTCGGTATGTAAAACGCACACACCCACAGTGGCTACCAGCCATCGCAACAGGACGGGAATTGCCGCACATTTGGTCCTTCTTGCCCCCTCCCTTGATGTGCTCGGTTCGCTCGCCACCAGCGGCCTGAGCTACATTGCCTTTTTCCTGTATGCGACTGTGTGTTCCAAGGCGCCGTATGGCGAAACGAGTGCTAACAAAAGACCGCAGATTCAAGGACCAAATGTGGCAGAAAGTGGCTACGGAGATGGGCATACCATGGCGTTCGGCTGAGTCGATGCACTGGCAACTTGGGGAACAAGAAATGAGCGCTCGCGCAAACGCTCCCGTCTTCCAACTCCATCCCTCCGCGACTGGGCTCAGCTCACCACCGTCAGTGCCTGCGGTGCCTGCGCCAGCACCGCATGGATTTACGCCTACCAATGCGCCTCAACTGGTTCCGCATCCACCGCCTCCTCCGCCCGCTCTTCCACAGCAGCACCAACCAGGACCGCCTCCCCCTCCAGGCCCAATTCATTCGTATCACCAGCGCTCGGAGAGTGCCACGAGCCAGGGCCGCCGGAGGAATAGCTCGTTCAGTCGGCGCCGAATAGCAAGCTCAAGATCCAGTGTACCACCGCAGCTCGGCCCAACGCTTCCGCAGATACAGCCCCAATCCGAGGCGGATCTTATCAGCGGAGCAAGGACGGCGCCCGCCCCCGAAACCCATTCTGGTGTCAAGAGGTTGGGCGAGGGGGACGCAGGAGGATTGGGCGAGCCGTTCATGAAGAGGAGACGGGAGGAAGAAGGTGGCGGAGCTTTGCGGCCTGGAGTGGAGACGAGAAGCGAGGGAGGAAGGAGCCCCGATCGGGCGTCGCAGCGCAGTGGAACTGGAAGTGTCAAGAGTGCAAAGAGAGGAGATCCAGACGAGCCAGAGCAACCCGCCAACGAGCCTCCTCCCTCTGCCACCTGAGCGAGCGATCGCGCGGACGTAGAACGCTCTAGCCGACTCCACCCGGCGTCACCATGCTGTGGCCCCATAGCATGGCTATTATGATTGTACTTTTGGAGTGACCAAGGATCACAAGGTGGAGGCGGGGCACGGTACGGAAGAGGTGGACATCTACATTTCGGGCAGGAACCGGATAAGAGCATGGACGTAATTTGGTAGTTTCGATGCGCCATATAGGAGGTATGCTACGACATCTTGGGAACGGACGGCATTTGGATCGCATAACGGACGGGTCACGGTCATCATCATCTCGCTTCATCGTCAACTCATCATATCGAGCGGCCTTATGATTGTGGCATTTAGCGCTGGGCGGGTGTTGTCGGTTGATCTTTTCCTTCATCTCGTCTCTTCTCTTTCAAGAATCTACATCATAGCGTTTCATTCGTCTCGTTTCTCTTCTTCCTGCTGTTCTTCTACAGATACACCCATTGGCGGTTATGATTTTGCATTTCCAGCGCTTGCTTCATTTCCTTTTCAATTCTTAGCCTTCTCTCTTGTCTTTAGGTATCTGCTTTTCCAGCGTCACGGTTGTGTGCATTTGAGCGAGCGAGCGGCAGGACTACACGTCCTTTTTGAACTTTCGCAAAAATAACATCGATACGTTTCTTTAATCAAGCATTTCCAGTATATAGAGAGAAAGCCGCATCGCTGCTATGAATTGTAGACTACCACATACACATCCTCTTTCACGCCCCTCTCTGTTCTCTCTCTCCACGTCCAAAAAATTCCTGTCATCTCTCGCATCACAATAGCAGGGCTGTCCCTGGCGGTGAATCATCGCTGATGACGTATCCCGATCACCCCCGCCGTTCTCTCCGAACAGCCGCAGAGAACAGAGCGGGCGAACCCTACGTGGCAACACCTCAAAAATCTGCTCCTGCGCGCTGCGTTGTCAACGGTTGGAAAAGGAGGGCTGGGATGCTGCATGTCAAGCCCCATGGTTACACAAACAAGCCTCACTTTTTGTCATACAAGCCGAACCAGTGGTACGAGTCAACCCATGCAAGATCGCATGAGGCCGCCCTACGATTCTCGCGCAACAACAATCTTCTTGCCTGAACGCTTCCGTTCATCCCGGCCCAATATACTCCCTATTCTGCAAGCGGGCATTACCTTGTCGGGGCGCGATGTGCTTTCGGCCCCACCGGTAACGGTCCGTTCTAGAAAATTTCGAGAAGTGAACATGAGATGGTGGGCTGTTGGTTACAAAAGACGAGGGGTAGTTTGGCTCTTGAAACATGCTTAGCAGCAGGGGAGATCCTTGTCCGGCAAGTTCATGCCGCAACAACTCCTATTTCCACGCACGGAAGGGAGCTGAGTATCCTTCTAGAATGCTGGTATTTGCTATGCTATAGGCTATGGGGGTGCATGTTTGCAATAAATAAACTTTCAACATCTTTCATGGACGCGGCGCGGAAACGTGGGCGGTTTTCAAATAGAGAACGGCAAGTGAGTGTGTGGAACGTGGAGATTTCAAATAGAGGTGCGGGAGGCAGAGCTGTGGGAGGTCGGCATTGTTGCGACAATGTTCATGCTGAGACTAAACCAACCCGACGGAGTCATGGAAGGGGGATGGAAAGTTCGATACAACGGCCGAGCGTCCTTGCCTTGCATTCCCGGAGTAGACTAAAGGGCCGCCGCCATGCGAACATGTTCGAACCTTTATTCATGCGAGCGGGTCAAACAGCATGTCTCGCAGAAGCGAAGGCTCGCTTGGTTTGGCGAGTGCGTTCGAGAAGGACTTGCGACGGCAGTCTACCACTATACATACTTCGAACCGGTGGGAGCGTCAACGGCACGCAATCCACAGGTTCGTCGACTGATGAGTCGTGTGGTGATACACGGCGTTACCGCTCACCTTCGGAGGAGGGCGTGTTCGCCCCCGGAGCGTGCAGGCTCTCTCCTGGCGCGCGTATATAGCCGTCGTTGTCTTTCAGTTATGCCTGGGATCGCAGTCTTAACACTCCGCGAGGTCCCGTTGACGGATGACCGTTGGTCATGGCCTCCTTATGAGGAGGGAAGTATTCCGCTTATATCCTTCCACAACGGGGAATCACCCCGTTCTCTTTTCGAGGCATTATTGCCTATCCTGAAGGCATTCGCGGTACGGCACTTCCAGCGACGTTCGACATCGGGTGCGAGTGCGAGTTCGCTGCCGTCGCCGGCATGAGAACGCAAGCTCCCCGTCAGAAGCAGTGGATGTTACGGTACAGCGTCCGCACCAATCGCCAGATCCGCATCGTCTGAAACTGGCCACGAGAAGGCGGCTCGATTCGGAGGGCGTCGGGATGGCGGTTCAAGTGTTCACCCGAAGTTTGGTTCCGGAAGGGAGGCGGCGTCGAACTGCTCGGGGAAGCTCAGGCGAAACTCTATTGCACCTGCAAGTCAGACAGTCAGTCGACGGCACGACTCAAACTCGGCCAGTTCGGTCAACTCCCTGCCAAAGAAATGCTGAAAGAAGATACAGTCTACCCACCTTAGCTGCCAGCCACCCTGCCAGGCACGGCAACACAGCGATCAATTGCCGGTCGGTGCTTATCGCACACTAATTGCTTCGAGAGAGTAGACATTGCTGCTCGCTGCTGCTGCACAGTCATCCGCTCGCAGTCAGACGACGCTACGGCTCTCGATCGCAAGGCTTCGCCGCACCTGCTTTTAGGCTCGTGCTAATGCGGACTGAGCAGGATCGCTCTCCAATCCCTTGGAGCCGCGTAGTTGCTCGTCATTCACCGGCTGGCCGCTTACTTACTCGACTAGTCAGGACAGCATGCTCGAACAGCTGGGACCGGGGGGAAGTGAGCGTAGTCGCCGTAGCTAGTTCGGGCTTGACTGACTCGTAGGGGGAACATCGCGATTTGGCTTGCAGCCGGGCGAGCTAGTGCATTTGACTACCGAAGCCCTATGCTAGGAGCTACCTTATCGAGCACCCGGATATTGAAGCGATTTGTGAGGCGGTGTTGACGCAGGGTCTGGGATGTGTGTGCTGGATCGTGAGCTGGCTTGCTGTTGCTGCAGAGTGACTTGTTTGAGGATAGGGAGGGAACTTCGATCAGGGCAACCGTTGGGTTGCTTCGGCACTTGGGCAGCAAGTCAGGGACGATTCAGTCGAGCATGTGGCAGGAACCATGGGCGGATTTTGAGGTTTGTGGGCCGAAGTTCGGAGAGCCCGACCCTTGGTCCGACTTCTCTGACGTCTCGTCTGCATGGAACGTCAACAGTCCAGTTTTTCGAGCTCAGCCTCCAGCTCATCACGGAGGCTGAGACACTGCCTTGACTCGTGACGGTCCGGCCGCCCGGTGTTCCAAATTCGCAGTGAGTCTGCTGTGAGAAGAGAGACTGTCGCTTCGAGAGGCGGCTCTTCGAATGATCTGAACTGAACGAAAATAGACAAGGAGCACACTCTCACCTTAGACTACGGCGTGGTGTAGAGTCGTAGAAGGCTACTCAGGGCCTTGAACCACTACAGCTTTCGTAAACTTTGATTGGAGGTTCATGCGCATGTCATCCGAAGAGTTTCGACTTCACGTCTCTCCTTCGTAATACTTCACTTCCAAAAAGCACCACCACTTCAAGCCTCGCCTTCCCAACCATCCCCTATACGCCTCTCCTCTAAGATTATCACGAAGCGACATGATCCCTCAAAAAGCCACTGACAGCGATCCAGATCCTGCCCCAATGCACAGGCAGTAGTGCCTTCTACGACGGAGAACGACGCAACCTCGAAGTCAAGTCGCACAACCCTAGCACCCCTCCAGAACTCCAATACAAAACCACATCCCCTCCCCAAACTCCCCTAATCAGCCATCTAGCCGTCCTCGCGCCGGCCCACGAAACCGCCAACAAACGCCTCTACACCGCCTCTCACCGCCGCCAGCTCAGCTTTCCTCCCCCAACCCGCGGCCCCTCAAACGCAAATCACCAACCTACCAAAAGGTACATGGGAGAAAGCAGCCCCTTACTCACTCATGCGCAAATCCCCTTTCCTCGCGCGGCTCGACCCATACGCTTCGACTCGAGCCGCCCGCCCGCCACAACCACACCGATCAGCGAGCACCTTGCCCCGCAGACAGCCAGCCTGCTCAGCCTTCCACGCACGCCCGCTATCACCGTCACACGGCGCCCCTGGGGGAAAGCGGCAGAGAAGGGGATTCGAAAGGCCGTGCCTGGCACTGCATGCGATCACATCGCGCGCGGTGGCAGAGCAGAGCAGAGCAGAGCAGCTAAGGCAACCAGTCGTACCGTACCAACGGAGCCAAGAAAAGCTCCCCGCAGATGAAAAAGTGTGGTTGCACGAGCCTGAGCAGCGGGAAGGAAGGAAGGAAGGAAGGGGAGGGGAGGAGTGTGCGCCACGGCTCCTTGTTCCTGTCAGCGTCGCACGGCGTTTCGTTTGCGGCGCGTGGGCATGTCAGCACCTTGAGGGGACGTGAGCTGTCACTTTCTCTTCTGCTTCTGCTCAGTGTCGCTTTTGCACGTCTCTGGTAGGCGATTTCTCGCGATATTAACGTGTAGACGCCCCTAATGTCTATTGCACGTTTTGCAGACGCAGAGGTTTCGAGGTCGTGCGACCAACAGCATACAGCTGCAATCGAGCCAACGAACCGTTCCCTCCACCGCTCTTCTTCCGTCGCAAGCCGCTCGTCTCGGGTCCCACAGCGTAAACAAAGATGCTGCGGGGGCCCGGGCCAGAGACGTCTGTTTCCCACCATAGCAATCTTTGTACAACTTCGCTTCGCTTCGCCTTACGATCTTCTACACTGAACTTCGCCCTCTTGGCGCAGACGCGCTCACATCAAACGGGAATCGACGGGAACGGGAGGCAGCGGATCAAGGAATCGATATGCTATACTTAAGTGGCGGTGAAGAAGCTTGAAAGTCGGTGAGTAGGTGCTATGTTGGGGGAGTATGGGGTCGGGGATACTGCGGTCAGCGACAATGGAGGTAGCAGTAGGGCGAGACAAGGAGCGTGGCTTTTGCTGATCGCGAAATAAAAGAACTTGGAAAGACGCATAGCTTAGTAAAGGGCAAACCTTTCGAAAGAAGCCTGAACACCATCGTCAATTCATTACTCAAAACCACGGTTTCCCACAGGCCACCACTTGGGCAGTTTGTAGACGGCATCCTAAAATTACCGATCTCCAGCGTCCACACGCGCATTAACCACAAGCACGCCGGCCAGCATCGAGCTAAACACAGGGCCCCACACCATCGCGAAAACCAGCTTCCGGGATGCAGGAAAACCCCGTCATCTCATGTGCGCCCATTGCAAACAGTCCTTCCGGCCGAGAAAGAAGACGTCACCGCCAGAATGCGCTCTTCACCGCTCATCCGAGGAAGCGAAAGAGCGAGCGCGGGCTAGTAGCCTAGGCGAGCAAGGCCGACGGCGTCAGTTCGAAGCAGACTCATTCCTCGGACGGTCGCGTCTCGCAACCCTGGGCGAAGAAAATGCGACTCGTGCCGGCGCCCACATTCTTGATGCTGTACGTGTTGCCTGTGAACCATGGTTTTAGCTAAGAGGTCCCCACATAGCGGAATACGCGATCATGCGGGACATAGCGACGCTAAACGAGCTGTAGGGAAAAGCGTGGGGACGGCCAAAAGAGGAATAGGCAGTGTGAGTGGTACGAAAGAAGCATGTCGTACACGCATCGGAACAACGATGCAGCCGAAAAAGCAAGTACCGCATTGGGAATGAGGGGGTGAGGGGGATGTGTGGGTGGTTTGTGCGCTGTAGCCGCGCGAACGACAAGAAACGTCGGCCGCATGTTACACAGCATGCGAGGAATGCAGTGTGCAGCTGGCTATTGCACGCTGCAGATGTGGCTGGTGTGCTCGCTTGCCCCGGTCCCACTGTGCGACGTTGCGGATGGATCGCGAAAATGCAGTGCAAACATGCACACTGCCGTGGTGTCGTCGGACCAGGGGATAAGCATAAAGCAACCACCGTCGTACAGAGGGCATGCGCGATAGCGATTGCAGAGTTTGAAGAAAAGTGTGAAAACTTACCACGAGGGACCTGCCATACTCCACCGCGGTGGACCATGAAGACGTTTTCGTGGACCTTTACTTCCACAGCACCGCTCATGACATTGAAGACCATGTGCATGCGCCTGGAGTTCTTCGTGCGCTTCATCTGATCGGCTTGTAGCTCGATACATCCCCAGCTCAGGAAGTTTTCGGCGCCAGCGGATGCCAATTTGGTAAACTTGAACGAAGCATCAGCGACATCCACCGGCTGGATACCTTTCCGAGCCCAGGCAACGGCTGCGTTAGAGTTAGCACAGTAGATGACTATAGCAGAAATGAACAAGGCACATACTAGCTTCGATAAGGTCGCTGGACGAGACTTCGGTGACCGGGTCGAAATCCCGATAGATGCCTGTGAAGATGCCATCGTCCTCCTCCCAAGGCTCAAGCTCTTGCTCCTCCTCTTCCTCAATCGCTGTGAGAGCCCGCTTTTTGCCTTTCACCCTGCCTAGCCCATGCTTTCGGGGCGCGGGCTCTTTGTCCTCGTTGCGAACAATTGCTTGCATATTGCCCTCGGGATCGTACTGAATTTGCTCGTTCTTCCAGAAGTCGATTGGCTTAACGCGATGCCTGCCGGTGCGTCCTATACGTGCAACCGTGTCTGGGTCAAGTTCTCGGAATACTGACAGATGTCGGCCGCGGCCAAATCTCGAACCTGCTGATGTGGTAGACATCTGATCGAGATCGGCCTGGGAAATGGGGTTCCCGTACACATCGACGAGTTTACCGCCCTCGACTTCTTCCTTCTCTGGCTCGTTGCCGTTCGTTGTAGGATCTGCCTTCTTCTTGGGTTTAGTTAAACCCTTTGGCTTCTTGAATACAGGCTCTTCCTCGTCCTCTTTCTCCTTTTGCTTCTCTTTCGCCTTGCCCTTCTTCTCCAGAGGTACAGGCTTCTCGGGTTGTGACTTCGCTTTTGGGGGCCGTCCTCGAGCCTTAGATACAACAGAGGCATCCTCTACTAGCTCTGAAGCGCCTCCGGTCGTATCCAGTGCTGCGCTCGACTCTTCCTCCGTCATGTCCGAGACGCGTTTCGACCTTCGGGGCGCGACGAACTTCTTGCTCTTCTTCTGTGGCTCCGGAACCTTTTCCGGCGCAGCTCCTCGCCTTCGTGTCTTCGGCGCTTCTTGCTCCTCTTCCGCCGCTGACTCTACTGCATCACTCTTTCGTTTCCTGCCCCTCTTCTCTGGCTGCTTGACTGGTAGAGGGATTACCTCAGACTCTTCCACCTCATCAGTACCGTCGATCTGCGCACCAGCGAGGGAGTCGTTTCCTATGTCCGCGACGTAGCTCTCTTCCGCAATTGCATTTACCATTATGGAATCCTCATTCGATGTGATCTCCTCTTGCATGCTTTCCTCGAGCACAGCGCTGTGGGCACGGATTGGTGAAGGCTCAATGTCATACACATCGCGGCGCATTCCACGACGCATTCCACGGCGCTGTGCGGAGCCACTTAGCGCTGGTGTCTCCTGCAAGCTGGATTCCTCTTGATCGAAATCGAGACGTCGATTGACTGCGGGGTGTGATGCGGCACGAAATGGACTGGACACGTTGTTGACTGGCTGCACTCTAGGGCCCATGGACGACTGTCGGCGCGGAGAGGAGCCGAGCGTGGTCTTCATGGGGGAACGCGACTTTGGTGGGGGTAGGTGTGTTCGTTCGTTGCGCACAAGGCGGGTGGACGTCGCGAGGTCTGGGAGAGAACCTGTAATTCGAAACACGGTCAGTATGCGCTCTTTGAGTGACGCGGTGCTAGCACGTACTTTCTTGTATGTCCATCGACTCCGACCCCGTGATGGTCCCGCTCCTGAGAGCCGCTGCGCGTTTTGGGGGAGACTTCTCCGGTGAGGAGAAGATGCCGGAGATAGGTTCGAGGCCATGCTCGTCGCGCACACCTCTATCCTCAAGTGTGATGCCAGTTTTCCTAGTATCAACGTCAGCCTCCACGCGTTGACTGCTGCGCTTCTGGGAGCTCACCGGCCCTGGACGCCGACATCATAAAACTGGTTTTCGCGGTTTTCGCGCTTCCTCGAGGGCGCCATGTTGTGAAGGTCAGTGAGAGTCGGCAGCGAAGCAGAATATAACCTAATTAACGCGTTGGCGGTTGCGCGCTTTAGTGCTCGAGGGAGAGGTTGCGCAGCAATGTTGTTTGAGATGGACGTGTTTTGGTGGCGCTAAACGACGTAAGCGGACTAGTGCCCGCCACCTGTCTTCCCTTTCCCTCACGTGTTCTGTTCGGTCGCACTGTTATCCTTTCACTAGAAATGTAGATGAACATAGCATGAAAGTTTAACAGGGGGGGCCACCGAAATTCACTTCGAGGCCCTCGCCTCCGAGAACTGTCCCACGGTACCGGCTATACGTCAACGCGAGCACGGGGATTCGCGTATGCTAGCTGAATCCCATTGCTACCAGCCATCGGGACTGCAGCCTGGCTTCGGGAGCTTCATGGCTTTCCGGGCTTTCATGTATGTATGCCCGCGATCGATCCAACACCCAGTGCAACTTTGAGAGAGCTCAGAGGGAGGGTTTAGAGCCAAATACAACAAACGTACGCGTAGCTTAAAATTGTTACCGGAAAGCTATCTCAGGAGAAACCAGTACCTGGGGTAAGAATGGGCAACTGGGTGATGAGAACCCGTAAGCGTTTAGACAACACAACAAGTAGATACTAATAGATATGATGTGGGCGGGCTAACTTCGACGTGTTTACCGCAGAGCGCCTGTAGGATGCTCGCGTCTTTCCTTCCGACTACGTCGAGCGAAATTGATGACTCGCAGGGCGCACGCAGCACATCAATGTAGCCGTCCGGCTTGGCTTGTTGAGGCAATAAGGATTCCCCCTCGATCCGGTGCTACACCTGGAAGAGATACCCTCCCAGATCAGCTAACTAGGCTGCTTTATTTCTGACCTTCTGTCAGCTAACTTCAAGTATGGCATGCCATAGGCTTTCCCCATTCACCTAGGTAGATGGTCCTCATGAAATTATCTCCCCTAGTCTCGTACACAATGTTTGACCGAAGTCACTTCACTACTACTCCATTGCTTCTCTCGTCATCCACCCAGGCCGGTGGTTTGCGACGACAGCACAATCGAACATATCTACCCCCCTCGCTTGTAGAAGCAACTCGAAGCAAAGGAAAAATGCCGTCAAGTACGTACTAACCCGTCCAGCTAGCCAGCGGGGTTGCTACTGATAAAAGATTGGGCAATACCCGTTCCACTCAACACTCCCTCTGTACACTACGACCCATAAGAGCAGCCTCGTTGTATAAGATTTCGCGAGGAAGTTCAAGAAGAAGCCTTCACGCATTCGAAACATGACATGAACGGACGTCTTCTGTATTCCTGTGCTATAACGCATCGACTAAGGGAAGCAGCCTACCCTCAACCCAACCCAACCCACAACACTCCACTTCCCGAAGCCCACCATCCTTTTAACCTCCACACCGTCCCCCACCCCCTCACTCCCACCCTCACTTCAATCCAATTCCAACCGCCTCGTGTCGGCGGTCAGACCATTCAAAACCTCTGCAGCGTCATCCGCGGTTCTGCCTGTCCATCCATCCCAGCAGAGCGGTCTCGGGGAAAAGAAACCGGCTTCTAGAAATTCGTTAGCCTTGGCAACGGCGTGATGAAGCGGCTTCGGTTGCGGAAGGATACCTTATTTACTGCAGCTTAATTTAGGCTGAGGTATAATAGATGGGCGATATAGATATCGGCCAACTTCGGCAATACAGCGAACTCGAGATGAGAGGATCACCGGTGGGGTAAAGAGAGGGGAGTGCGGGATGTTAGAGCAGCGGGTGGAGAAGTGAGGAGATAGCTTCAAGTGGCGAAGCGAGAGGAAGGGTAAAGTGGCAGGTCTGCACAAACAGGATAGAAAACTAGTGTAATGAGGAGTGATCAGCATCCACGTCCGCAGACAGGATATCAATTCCGATTTTCCTACGTGATCGACTTCGCATCCAAGGCTCTAGAAATCCTGCGGCAGCAAGAAACTCGAGCGAGACGTCCGCCTACCTCCCGTGCTTTTAAGTATCCAGAAAAGACACCGCTCCCACTGCTCTGCTCCAAAGAATCCTCTCCCCCATCTTCCACCGCGCAAAATCTTTCTGATTCGTGACTTTTCCGTAACCGTTCTCTTGACTGTAGGGCCAGCCAGCCAAGAACCAAGTCCAATAATGGCGGGCGATGATGCTTTTTCGTAAGGGTCGAAAGACGGCAGCCAGCCGCAAACTGAGAACATGTACAAGTGAAGGAAAATCGTAAATGCCGATGGCCCGTGAATCATGGGTTCATGCCAAACTAACGAAGCTCCCGATCCAGCGTGATTGAAAAGGGTGATCGTCGTGTTCAAAATCAAGTCCAGACCAGGCAATCGGCGTTGAAAAGAGGGACCTAGTTCGGGCAGGCATTCTGGACGTGACCGGGCTGCTTGCAGCGGTAGCAAACGCGCTCGGCAGAGGTCTCGGACGGGCAGTCTCGGGAGAGGTGACCGACCTCACCGCCTGTTCGCAGGGTCAGCTAAGCGGGGCATTGACGTTAATGTCTTCAAGTCTCATACAGTTGTAGCACTTCTGGCCTTGGGTGCAGTCGCGGCTCATATGGCCGAAGCCTCCGCATGAGTAGCACGTCGTCTGTCGGGGTCCGCCATAGCCGCCAGCGCCGCCGCCGCCATAGCCTCCTCCATATCCTCCGCCATAGGCAGCACCGCCACCTTGGGTGCAGTTACGGGCGATATGACCCCGCTTTCCGCACTTGTAGCACTCCTGGCCGCCGCCAGCACCGCCCATAGGCGCGCCTCCGTCCTTGGTGCACTCGCGGCTAATGTGTCCAGCGGAACCGCATCGGTAGCAGGTCTTCTCGGCTTGGGGAGCGGTGCATTCGCGGCTCAGATGGCCCTTCTCACCGCAGTTGTAGCAGGTGGGGTTACCCTTGCTGGGGCAGTCGGCCGCGCGATGGGATGGGTCGCCGCCTACAAGAAAAATGAGCACAGTTCCTGAGTGAAACCAAACGTGGCGGAGTGGCGGATAACGAAAGAACGCAACATGAAAAACGGATCAGAGAGAAGTCAGTAAAGGCCAGTTGTCTTGGTCGAACGCTGGGAGCGCGTCACATGACAAGGTGGGTGGTCGGATCGAGGTTCCGTGTCGGATTGGTACCCATGACGTTTTCGTTCCTAGAGGTAAGCCGCAGAATGGCGAATTGGCCGCCATAAGAGAAAGTCGCCTTTGCGAAGGCGCACCAACGTACAGTTGTAGCAGCCGCGACCGCCGGCGCCTCCTGCTGCTTGGTAATCCATGCTTTGGGTAAGGCTTGTTGCTGGACCTGGGGGCGTGTGAGTACCGTCATGAGCGGCGCGCAGCGGGGTGGCCACTCACCTTCAAGGCCGAGTATCAGGCAAACGAGCGATAAGTCTGGGTCGCAGACGAATGTATCCAACTATCCTGCCCGCAAGAGCAAGCGATTCTGGCAATTGAGTCGTCGGCGCGCGAGGTTGACGTGAAGGTGGGAGAAAGCGAGGGGACTTTAAGAGAAAATATCTGCCCGCAAAAGTGGCAGGTGTGGGCGAGCTCAAGCGCTAAACCAAAGGCGGACTAGCGCGACCGTTAGACAACCTTCTCTGGAAACGGAACTGGATGAATGGCGAGCCACAATGTGCGTGATGTTGCAGCTATGGCACCATGGTTTCATTGGCATGTCACGCCTTGGGCTCCTCCGCAATTCTCTGCCTCCACTGGTGTTTGACCCTTCCATCAAACAGGTCGCAGCGTCTCTTTGTTCGCTCCTGCGGTGACATTTCCAGTTTGCAAAGTCCCGCTCGGCATCTCAGACACGGCATGGCACATGCAGATCTTGGGTCCATTGGTGCCGCTAGCGAGACAAAGGAAGCAGTTGGCTACGTGTAGCCGAGCCACAGTTCACATGAGCCCCACTGCGAGCAAGTCCGCGGATGGAGCGGCGAAAGCGTCCGGTGGCGCGCTCTCATCCTTTCTAGCACATCGTCCCAGCTCGAGCACAGCTCCTGCTCGTCAGACCACACTCGCGCTCAAATCAACAAGTCTTTCGTGTATCTCTCCTTTCGGTTTCGCTTAAACCATTCGCATCACCTCGCTATGCAAAGCTGAATCAACCAGTCCACGAGGAATTACCGACGACCGCCACCCTCGCTCTATCTACTCGAATGTACTAGGGAAAGAAAACGCCTCGCCGCATGCAAAATGATGAAGGGGGTATAATGACGATAATGAGAAGCTCGTGTATACGTGTCTGAGATGCCCACCAAGCCGACGCTATGCTCAAACGGAGTACCGTGAAATAGGGGACGAGAGGAAGAACGAATCAGAACTGAAAGGCAAGGCTGAGCATAAGAACTTTGATAGGTAGCCGGATGCTCAGACATTACCTTCGGGCCTGTTCAGCTGTTAGGACTTTCGTTCTGCTTTGAAGGTGGTTGGGGGCGGGATGGCCGGACGAAACTTACCAGACTCCCGTTCCCGCCAACAGCGGTCCTCTGCTTGCCCAGCCAACTCCTCGGCGCCTCGCTCTTCCGCTGCAGAATAACGGTGTTGCTCTGCAAGCGCGTCGTCATATCGTACCAGGCGGACATGATGAGCTTATTTTCGCGGCGTAGATGCTCGAGTTCTTCCTGGAGCTGCTCCTGTGCCGAGTTAGCAAGGAATAGTCGAAGAACGGTTGCGTTGGTAGGGAATGACAATGATAAGGTGTGACAGGGCGAGACCACAAGACTTACGGATCCCTTCTCCACACTCTCGTTCTTCGCCTTCTCAAGCTGCTCGCGCAAGTTACCGTTGGAAATCTTCTGTTCTTCAAGTTCCTGGCTCACAATTAGCGCTCCGTCCAAAATCACAAACACCTCATGCAAACGAGCAGTGCGGGGAGAATAACGCCGCAAAAGGAGAATAAGAAGACTGAAAAGTCGTGCGGATAAGTATACTCTTCAACCGCGCCAAGCACAGAACAACTTGCCAACTTCTTTTTGGGGAATGGAGGAAGCTCCGAAGACAAGTGCATGCCAAACGGATCTCCCGTCGCAAAAGCCGAGGCTCCTTTCGTTGGCGAAAAGAAGTCCGCGATCCTCTCTTCCCACCTGATTTTTGTTGTGCTGGCCGTGGAAGCAGATACTACAGACATCGACTGGTTCCTCGCCTTCTCATTTCCTTTTCCTCTGGCGGGTGTTGAGGGTCCGACAAGGGTAGCAGCGGAGTTGGATATGTCCAAACCCCGCCTTGACCTCGCTGTCGACGTTGGGGATTTGAAAATGATTCCACTTATAGCTTCGACTGCGGGGGAGGACGATGGTTCGCCTTGGGGCAGTTGTTGGGCGCTTACTTTCTTCGCTGAATCTAACGCGGCTTGCGATGCTAGCACTGTCTCCGCGATGTCGGAGGACGTAGCATCGAGGACCTTTGGTTGGGCCTCTGATGGAGCCTTGATCACGTCCTGAATCTGTTCTCTGATCCTTCGTAAGGTCTCCTCTTTCTTGAGCTGTAATAGCTCTGGGCTGAGACTATCTTTGTCTAGAAGTGCCGCTCGTAGGAGGCTGCGGGCTTCTTCGTTCGAAAGTTCGAGATCCCGTAGCTTCTGGTTCATCTTTTGCTGCAAATTGAGTAGACGCTCGTGCTCAGCTTGAACAGCCTCTGTCTTTGCCTCATCGCTAAGGTCGGATTCTGTATGCGGTGAGCTATGGCGGACTAGGGGTTCAGACGGCATACTTTTGTTGAGTTCGTTGCGTAGCTCAGCCACCTGGAGGTCCTTCTCACGTAACCTACGATGCAGCTCCTCAAGCTCTGTCTCGGAGGCTTGAAGCTTCTGATTTTGCTCGAGGAACGGTCTATGTTGGCTAAGAGTCAGCAGGCTGTACCCTTAAGAATCACATGAATGGGCATACCTCTGGCTTTCCTCATCCTTATTAGCCATCATGTCCGACCTCAATCCGAGATTCTCCTGCATCTGCTTGAGCGTCTCCGCCTCTAGCGACTTGAGTCGAGCGGTCAAAATGTCGACCTTCTGCTGTAACGCGATGGCATCTGCGCTTACTCGCCCTTCCAGAGAAGCCTTCGCGCTCGCAGATGCCTCAAGATTGTCCACGCTTCGATCCTGCTCAAGCTCGTCTTCGAGACTGCCTCCGCGACCCGCATGATTTGAAGATTCCAGCTCACGTATCCGATCTTCAAGCTCTTGTTTCGCATCCTCGGCCTTGTACTGCAGCTCGCGGGTCTGCTCCAGCTGCTTCATGAGCAGGATATTCTCATGCTCAACTCTCGTCCTCTTGCCCTTCTCTTCAAATATCGACTGCTCACAGTTGACAAGTGTCTGACTGTTCTCCTTGTTCACCTTCTCGAGCGCCGCACACTTATCCTCCACATCCTCAAGCTCCTGCAACCGTTCGCGAGCTTGCTGGTACTCTTGACGGAGCGTCTCCAGCTGCTTCGTCTCCTTCGTCAGAGACTCAATCTTCTTCTTAAGATTCTCGTTGGCCTTGGCCTTCTGGCTCAGCTCATCGCGCTCGGCCTTAACGAGCTGTAGCTGGTCGCGAAGGTCCTGTTTCGAGCCTTCCTCGGAGTCCATACGCGCGAGCCGTCGCTTTTGACTCTCGAGAACGTCCTTGGCATTAGCAAGGTCGATCTCCAACGAATCGATGTACTGGCGGTCGCGTGTGAGCTCGTTCCGTAGCTGCTCATACTCGTCTGATGAGGTCCTCTTTCCTCTCCGATCGTCCAAGTGTAGCTTCGCCTCAACCAGCTCTTCCTCAAGCTGCGAGATCTTGCTTCTCGATTTCTCCAGCTCTTCCTGGAGCTTCCCGACTTGTGTCCTGAGGGCGTTCCGATCCTTGTTCGCCTCGAAGAGCTGCGCCTCCTGCTCCAGCTCATTGTCTCGCCCTATCGCGGACCCAGCCCCAGATACCGCACGCGTGGGTGTCCTGTACCCCGAGAGGTTGGGCTCCGGGGTCAATTCCTGGTCGACGCCGAGCTCTTGCATGCGTGCATCCAGCGCCTGCATCTCCTGTATGGCACCGGCGATTGCACTCGCCGTCTGCTCGCCCAACTGTTGCATAATGCCCAGCATCCGCTGATTAGACTTGGGCGAGAAGCAAGCCGCACACAGAACAGCCATGGTAAGCTTCGCCGTGAGCATCATTGACCCATCTCGTGCGCCCGTCTTGAGATCTGGGATCATGCGCTTGCTCAGCACAGGGAGCTGCTCGCACTCCTCGCGAATGTACGTCGACACAGCTCGCTCTATGTGCTTCAGATTCTGCCATTTCGGTATCCAATTGTCTGCTATTGATCTGCGGCGGTCGATGCCTTCGTCGAGGTTGGGGAGGGATTCGTTGAAGTAGTCGGCGTCGATGTCAGCCAGTATCTGCCAGAGTATCTGGCCGTCTTCGAGCTGGTTCCATGCGGTGACTCTGCCGGGGAGGTCGAATGTGTTCACCTATTCAATCTACGTTAACCGTTGTAGCTGAGTACGAGGTGGCTTGCACGCGGCATACCCAGTCGAGGAGAGCTTTCAGCAGCTCGGGCTTGAAATCGTCCATGGTGGAATCGCGGGGGCTCAGGCCCCGGAAGCGCGCGTTATTATTCTGGCGGAAATGCGAGTGCAAAGCGAGCGGGTACTATGCATCATGAGCAGGCGTGCGATTCATAGAAGAAAATGGGGCCCGGGGAGCTCTGGCGCGGCAGGTTGACGGTTGACGCGACGATGCTCTCGGCAGTGGCACCACGCTAAAGCGAGACCTTCTCGAAGCACTCCCGCGGCTGCAGGGTCGTGCTGCACGTCAAGCTTAGATCCTCCCGCCGCAGGTGAAGTGACGAGAAAGTAACGTATGTGAAGATCTCTGCGTGAGGGGCATCAGATGCCGTGCATAAGATTGCAGTCATGCCTGAAACGAAGCGCGTCCTCAAAACACGCCCGCCCAGTTCAACCACTTTTGGCGGGGGAGGGGAGCCAATGCCGGAGCGCCATGAAGGCAGCGGCCAGCGTCATGATCCCTCAGCTCGAGCACGTATGTAATCAGACCCTAAGAGCGAACGCCCTCTGTTTGTGAGTGGCTCCTATGCCTTTCTAGGCAGGCATAAACGCTTCGGGGCCGTGACTGTAGAACGCATATCGATTCATGACCTCTGTATAACCATACGAAACTTGATCCAGAACCGCTTTCCCGCAGTTGGACACACGCTCTCCAATAAAGCTATGCATTCCAGGGCTTCCACGCCCCTGCCAAATATCCAATATTCTAGCGTCCAACCTAACTCCAGCCATCATTCCGCAAGGTCGTTAAGAAGGGCAACGTCCGGTATCGGGAATGAGAAGGTCGACCTATCCCCCGTCCACAAGCTCAAACCATGCCCGCCTAATGTCCCGCCTTGCTTTCCTGCTCCTGCGTTGTCATAATCCCATCGCTCTCAATCAGCGCCGGGAACTCGGCGCTCATCGCCGAAACCGTCTCGAGAATACTTGCGGGTGCCTGGCAAGCGAAGCCCTTGATGATATCTGCATTGCACATTAGATTTCTCTTCTTGAATTCCATTCCGCCCTTTCCTAGGCCGTCTGGCGACGTTGCGCCTTCGCTTTCGGGCCCAGAGAGGGAGGAGAGCGAGAGGACAAACTCACTGTACTCGTGTGTAATCACACCGCCGGCCTTCTTGATAGCCTCCTTCGCGCTCTCCAGAAGACTATCCGGCGCCTCCTTCGGGAAGCTGATAATGACGGGTTGAAGCGGAGCGACGGCCATGGTGATGGCGACAAATAGCGCGAGAACAAAGGACAGGAGAGCGAAGCGCATAATGTCGTGGGTTGCAGGTTGCAGCGGCGGCCTCTTATCAATCTCTTCGAGTGCTTGGGGGGTATATGCAATGTTGTGTGAAGAGGAAGGTGGGAAAGGTGGGTGCCTGTTAAATAGATTGAAGGTCGCGCGCTGGGTCGCGAGACCAGGAATGGAATGTGCATCATCGCCGCTCAAACCGGAAGGTGGCGGCTCACATTGAAACCACACGCCACACGCTTAACAGCCACCTCAGCGCCCAAACGTCAACTTGTACCTCTGTACCTCTGTACCTCTGTACCACATAAAACTTGCACTCACATCACCGTCGGTGGGCTGTCATAATTTTATGAATGTTCATTCATATCGACTTCATCTATCTACTACCGAAGGCAGCGCTTTCGCGACGAAGCTGCCAAAGAAAAGCGACGCCAGAGAAACAGCGACCATCTTTTGTTTGGCAAAGACGTGATCGAAGCGTAGTGGAGTCGTTTTTTGAAATAGCCGTCGTCCGTCCAGTCCACGATAAAATATGCCATCAACCAACCACTGCAGTTGTAGCTGAGAATATCCATCGCTGGCACCGCGCGCAATGATGATGAAAGAAGAGCCGCCCTTACTGAAGCATGAAATGCCGTAGAAAAGTTTGGTGTTTTAGGGGTCGTGAGCCGTAGAAATGACAGGGATAGAAAGGAAAGGATGAGTCGCAGCTGTGAAGATGGGGGAAGAATATCGCAAACAATGGGGGAAAAATGCCGAATAGGGATACATGGAATGCAAGGGGATATGATGTCGTTGTGGTGAAAACCCACCGCAAGACCGTTCCGGAGCGCCCGTAGGATGCCGAAAAATAAGCCCAAGCTCCGCTGTGATGCTCGTGTCGCAAGGATACTGTACAGAGCGGCTTGCCAACCGACGATCGATATGACTGAAATGGTGAGCAGCAGCTCAAAGAAATCGGTCTCAACTCATGGCTGGCAAATCGTAAGATATGAAAGAGATCGCTCCTCGAGAAATAGCCGACCAACACCAGCTCGACAGATTGACAACTGGTAAGGATAAAGCGTATTGATGGCGATGTCCCGGGTAACGTATTTGAGCGAGGGCGGCCGTGAGTCGTTAGTTAGGTCGTAACGTCGTCATAGACCATCAGCGCCTAGAAGAAGTTGCCCATGCCGTTGGCCTGAGCAAGGCCGAACTGCTGGTAGGTCTGGTTTTGTACAGAGTTCTGCAGATGGTTTGGAAGCGGCGGATTGCTCATGCGGTGCGGCTGGGGCGAAGCGATGTTGGAGCCATAGTTGGCAGCGGCGGTGTACATAGGAGGGGCCGGATAGCCAGAGGATCCAGGAACTTGACCAGTGAACGCCGTAGCCGTCTCTGGGGATTGGGTGTTGGAGATGCTGTGCGGGGAAACGTGTCCAGAAGCACGACCAGTGTAGGCAGCCAGGCGAGACTCACGCTCTTGGACCTTGCTCTGAATGCGACGACCGTACGGAGTCTGGCGGATAGCTGGCAGGATCGGGCGCATGCTGTCGATGAGGTGGAGGCACAGATCCGCCGGAGCGAACTCAAGAGCAGTCTGGATGACGTAGTTGCCATACGAATCGCGCATGAGTTTCTCTAACTCGTTCGGGTCCATCAGCTCTTCGATCATGAGGGCCTTGGTGGATGCATCAGCGCAACGGATGCACTTCTCGATAACGTTGGAGCTGAACTTCTGCCTCGACAGCTCAGAAATCTTGCCTTGGAAGCCGACACACAACGGCGTCGTGAAGCTCGGATCGTTGAGGTCGAGAATGTACTGGACGACGTAGTTGCCGAACGGGTCCTGCACCAGGTGGAAGCTATTAGCAGTGATCTGGCGAACAAGCTGCACCTTCTGGAAGCCGGAGGCATGGTCGATGCAGCGCTGGAGAACGCAGCAGCCATGACGGTGCGTGCCGACGGTGATGCAGTGCTTGCCGACAGCATCAAAGATGAACTGGGCGTCCTCGGACTTGAGGTGGTTCAAGCACTTCTGGATGACGTGGTTGCCGTTCAGGTCCTGGATAAGATCGACAACCTGACCGCCCAGGGCATTGATGATCATCTGGATCTGTGAAGGGATTAGTACCTCTTGAGCGAGGAAATGTGAAGCTTATGGAACTCACCTGCTCCGAGGTAGAGATGAACTCGATCATCTTCTGGAGCGCACGGGTACCATGCTGGTTGAGGGCGATCTGGACCAAAGACGGAGCAGCGTTGCGCACGAGTGTGTTGCGCTGCTCGTCGTTGGTGTACTCAAGCAACTTCTGGCAGAGATAGTTGCCGAAGGGATCTATATCAAGGTCAGTCAAATATGTCGTAACGGAATTTTTGAGATAAATACCAGTCATCAGCTCGACAACGTGCGGAGCAGTCTCGTCAAAGATAATCTGCAGGTACTCGGTATTGCGTTCCTCAAGCTTCTTCTGGAGGAAGCGGCAGCCATGCTGGTCCTTGCACAGGGTATAGATCTCATGGGGAGCCATGGTCTTCAGGTCGTAGTTGACAAACCGGTTGGCATCTGGATCTGAATTGTTAGAACGCGTGAGAAGCACTGATGAAAGGTATGGAGTACCGTTCTGCATACGACGGGTCTGGATGACTCGAGCCTGGCTGTCCTGGACGCGACCATTCGGACCATACGTGGCATACGGATTGAAGGTCTGCGGAACACCGGAGTACATGCCACCATTAGGGTAGTATGGGGGAGGCGCGCCGACCTGGGGTCCGCCAAGAGAGAGGCCGCTCATGGCACCATTCAGCATAGACATGCCGTAGCCGTAGTACGGGGCGGTAGTAGCAGTGCTGGTGGAGTACTGCGACATAGTCGGGGAGCCGATGGTGGAAGCAGCGGAAGCGTTGACTGGGGCTGCGGAGGTGGTGGAAGGGCCGAAGGGAGCGGCGCTAGCATGAAGTCCGGACTGCATTGGACGATACTCCTGGTCCTTGTAGCCAGTAGACAGCTCTCGGCTGTGGCGGTTGGAGAGAGCGCTCGGTGGTATACGACCCAGGCTAGCGTTGTGGTTCTGGAGGTGCTGCTCTGCGTGAGAGTTAACCCCCGAGGCACCGACACCGTTCACTCCGTCGCCGTTCTTCAGGGTTGGAACATCACTGGTGGAGTACGACTGCTGCAGCTTGGGCATGCCGTTGGAAGGGCTAGCATGGTAGCTAGAGCGCTTCGAAGCTGAGTTCATCGGGCTGAAGCTGAACTCAACGGAACGGCGATTGCCACCCATGGACTTGGTGGGGGTGGTCTCGACGTTGTTGTTGGCTTGTCCAGTCTCGTACTCGTCAACCTGGGAGCCCTTGCGAAAAGTGTTAGTAGGGAGCGACTGCTGTGCTTGGCGGTGGCGGTAACTAGGCCAACCATTGGACTGGCCGTCCGGACCTGGCGATTGTGAAAGAGCAAGATCAAGTGCAGCAGAAGAGGCAGACAACTCCATGCCATTACCGTTGGCATTACGACGTACCAGGATGGGGAACTTGTCGTCCGTGGTGTTCATCTGGAGGTAGGACTTCACGTCGGGAGAGGCGTCGGGGTTCTGCTTCTCCTCGTCTCCAAAGAGATAGGCAGCGGTGTTGATAGTTCCGAGAACTGCAGCGAGATCTGGGAGATCGTTGCGACCGCGCAGATCAAGGTTGGTAACGGGCATGGACATGCGGTTGTGGCTGTTGAAGTCAGATTGTGGTCAGGTAGTTGAGAGAGATTTTCATGTGTTGGAATGTAGGTGAGGGCGACTGTGGGGTTTGTGTAACTGAAGGTGACGCAAGGATTTTCAAAAGTAAAGGTGACGGCGAATTTGACTCACTTGCGGAAGACCGGGCTCATCGGGGTAAAGTCGTCATTGTCGAAGTCGTCGCCGTCCTCGTCAGAACCGCGGCGGGAGCCCGGCATGGACTTGGACGGGAGATAGCCGTTGCCCTGAGAAGCAGATGGGGGAGAGGTAATCTGGGAGCCGGAGCGGCTACCACGGGGAGTGCTCATGCCTGGGGTGATGCTAGACATGCTGAATCGGTTCGGACGTGAGAGGGCAGTCGGGAAGCCGGTGGTCTCGCCGTACTCAGGCGGGGTAGTCGGTTGACTATGCTTGCCGTACTTGATGTCGGAAGAGAGGCGACTGATCTCCTCTTCGTCGCGACGAGACTGCAAATCAATGAGCTCCATTTCGGCTTCAAAACGTCGTCGCTGCTCCTTCAGATATTCGTACTCAAGCTTCTTCTTTTCGAGCTAACAAGCAGTCAGCGGGTCACACGGACTGTCAAGCGCAACTTGTCGAAACGGAAAACACGTAGCACGTGTGACGTAGGAGGCAGGCGGACCGGCGCGGTAGGTTTGATAGAAATGAGAAGAGATGGGGCGGAGATAGATGCGAAATCTCGGATCTCAGAAGAGATAGAGAAGTACAGAGGTGGTGGTAGCAATATGCAGAGAGAAAAGTTGGTTGGAGATGGTGTTGTGGAGAGGGGCGATGAGGGGAGGGCGTGTTTATATGCTGGCCGTCGCCGTGGAGAGAGCCCGCTTGGCGGCAGCGCAATCTCACTTATTGTTCCAATAGAAAGAGCGGTGTCGGGGTAAAAGAGACAAGGTAAACTCGACGTGAAGGAGACCCTCCGATGCTTACCACTTGAAGCTTATGGTACGTCTGCGGGGGTCGTCAGTCTCAACTCTCATTCACCTCGTATTGTACGTGGGCGCACAATAGCAACGAAACCAAAACCAAAAGGAAGAAGAGGCAGATTCCAGCTCAGTCCGAGTTCCACAATAGCATGCTAATGGGGATAACAGCACAGGGACGTCCTGCGATGTTCGCAAAGCAACCACGTCGGCGCCCGCCCTTCCTGCAACGAGACGGTGCTGTTACGTACCGCGGTGGTGAATTCGGTCGGCTCAGCCGCCTGTCTGCGCTGTTGCCCAATTGGCGACAGCGGAGTGCTCTGGGTAGGAATATTGTTGGTCGTAAACCGGCGGTGCAGCTGCCCGCGAGCGTCGTTGGACGAGGAGGCCATCTGGGTGCCGACGCTGCGCAGCGGACTCGCGAGGGAGGCGAAGGAGTCTTCACGGGGGGATTTGAGGGCGCCGCGCTCTCCCATGCCGGCGGGGTAGGCCATTTTCGCTACAAATACACTGCACCACGTCCGGTCAGCGGAGCTCGTCGTCACGTCTCGAGTGTGTGGGGTTGAGGTTGGCGGTGAGGGGGAGTCGAAAAGGAGCGAGCGCACGGCGCGCCGTCACGCTTCACTCACGACAGGAGGCGCAGAAGAGAAGGCACGCACACAGTAATCGGTACACAGGGCCGGTGCCCTCGCTCGCCACGGGTGCTGCGCTCTGGGAGAAGAGGTCGCGGGAGGATGTTCGTGCTGCGAGGGTGCAATGGGCGTGGTTCCTAGCGCTTTGCCGCGGCAGAGTGTGGCCCGTGTGCTTGACAGATGGCGCACGGCGGACGGCGTGCTGGGGCTGCGGGCTGGTGCAGAACTCGAAAAGACCGACTCAAAGGAAACAGGAGTACCAGCCCTCCAGCGCAGCGTTGAGCGAAGATACAGAAATACAGTACAGTGCGGCGGGAAGAGCTGCGAGGGACGGCGGCGGGTTGGACCCTGTTTAAGACGAGGACGACTAGCGCATGCAGCCACCGCAATTCAAGCACAGAGCAGGTCGGAGGAAGCTCGAGTCTCTGCTCCGCAATATATTGGCCGCTTCCTAACTTCTACCGGTCCAGGCTGTGCCGCCCGGCCTGCACGCAATTGCAGCTGTCGGCCTGGCACTTCCTTCCAGCGCTCCATCGGACTGAGGTTTCGTTTTGTGCTCGTCCCTCTGTGCTGCCCGCACCCCAAGACGCTCCCGGGCGCATGAACCTACTCGCCTACAGCGCACCTGGGGCGCGTTTCGTTCAGAGTCCGCGGTACTCCCCCCTCGCAAGTTGGGCCGCCCGCTCTCTCTGCTCTGCGTGCGCGGTAACCGTGGTTGCTGGACGTCTTCGTGACAGTCGCGCTGGCTGGGCCCCTCTCTGCCGAGCGCTGAGTGGCACGTACACAGTACCGTCTTCCCAATCGGACGCCGCAGATCTGCATGCCTGGACAGAGGTGGAGGCAAGGAGGGCCACAATTGCACGTCCACGGCCGCTCAGCGTTCTGGCAGGGCGAGTAGCGACCGGGGTTTTAGAGTGATCGAGGGCGTGCAACCTCGCCCTCCGCCGCTGGAGCAGCACCGGTAGCAGACGCTCGCCTCGCCTTTCCGCAACGCTCCCCCTCTTGCTCGCCCGCCCGGCCTCCCCACGGGTTGCTCTCGGCGCGTTGTTGAGGCGCTCAGCACGCAGCAGGCCGCACTGGGCATCTGGTAGGTACGCTTGCTGCACGGTGATGGACGGCCTGGTCTAGAAAAACGTGTGCGGGCTCACCGCCATCTTGAAACAGAAGGCGCTACTGCACATCCGGCTTAGGCCCGCGGGTATCGATAGGAAGGAGCTTGTTTCAGAATCGGCAGCAGCATTCCCCGCATTCCAATCACCGCCCGACATCGCTCGACACGGTGACCATCCCATGAGGAGCGGGTAACAAAGGTAGAGCAGATGCTGAGGTACTTCGACGAGAGCTATATAAGACTCTAGTACTTAGTCCTGACGATGCCCTCACCTGTGGAATATCTCTACAGGTCCAGTCAAAGTCAGCGCACTGCTCCAACCGAGGCCCTCCTGCCCCGCTCTCCAACACATCCCACTCCAGCCAAGCCTATAACATCCCATTACTCCCACCCTGCAGAACCGCCCTACCCACTTCTATGCGAATCTTCTACTCTGCTCTGTTAAACTAAAAGCAGGCATCCTTGCATACTCGAATATGTATCCAGGATCCGCGGTTTCCCTTCCAATTTGCTCCGGAGGTACGAGGGTACATGCAGGGTGCCGTTCGGAGGCCTCTGCGCCATCCCCGTGACAGCACATACAGATAGCCCGGGCCATTCGCTGCGTAAGGTGCCGCCGATATGCGCTGGCAGACAGATGGCCGCCAAAATCGAGGCCTCAAGCCTCATTATCGAGCGTCGATATGCTCATTTACGAGATAAGACACCTCAGCTTTGCAGACTACAGCCTGGCTGGAGGGGAATCTTCGGCTTCACCGCATCCAGATATGAAAACTTCATGTTCCGACTCGAGGGTTGAGCGCGTCTTCAAGCCACGCAGCCCCGGCTAACTCCTATCATTGAGCCCTGGTGCGACTGGACTCCTTGCGAAGGAGCGATCCGCCGTTTCCAGCTAGTCCTCGAGCAGTGTCCAAGCACCGTACGGTGCGCGCGCTGGGTCTGCGAGGTTTATGGAAGGGACGCAGGAGTAAACCGAAGATCCCGAAGATTCTGCGCCTTGGTCTAGTGATGGGTCAGGGGGAATGACTGAGCAGGTGGGTGACATTGTGCAAAAAGATACAGATAGGTGGAGGGGTAGGATGAAGAGAGTATATGGCAGCGAGAGTCCCATGCTTTTTACAGTTTGGAAAGAGATTGGCAAAAAGAGATAGGTTTTGTATTGGGGATGTGACTGCCGCATATGCGTAGCCGCCCGAGATCTTGACGGCGGCTTCAGCCCCACTTGGCAACTATGCACGAAAGGCTTGTTTCTAGGGCGAGCTTTTGGTCGATAGTACCATCAAGAGAGCTACATCTTCCCCGAACAGTTCTCCAACTTGGCCACCATGGCAGATTGATACGATCCCCAGCTTTCCAACACTATAAACGCGACTAAGCAAGAACACAATGAACCTACTCTCCTACACCCAAACCACCAGCTCTCCCCCCTTCTTTTCGTCTCCTCCCCAACGCTCAATCCACAACCCTTCTCTACTCGAGCCCCTCCGCAGCACAAACAGCGGCCGTCCTACTCGCCGCAAGCACGCACCCCCGCCGTTGACGTCAAGACGAACCGGCGAGCCATGTAGCCCGTCGCGTAGAAGGGCTCGTGGCGGCGGAGAAAGCGCTGCTGCGGGAAGCAACGAGGCCGTGTCGGTGTCAGGACTAGAGGACGAGGTGCTGTCGCGCGGGTTCACCTGGCTAGTATTACTTGCGCCGGTCAATTCATTCCAGACGTGTTGAAAGATTGAGGATGGAGGCCTGGACCGGTGACGAGGGGGCTCCTGGCGGATGTGGTAGACGGGGGAGGTGAAATCGGGCCGTTGCGGAGAGGATGCATGGTGCTCCAAGAGGATTATTTCGTGCCACTCGCGGCCGCCGGGAAGGTGTGGAATGTGGCCGTCCTCGTTGTCGTCGCGCAAAGGGCGACCTGTCCGCCGCTCAAACAACTCCCTCGCCCGAGCCACCCAATCCACACTCGGCCCTGTTTTCGCTCCACAATCGTCCACGTCCTCCTCGTCATCGGTAGACTGTAGGAACCCACCTCCACATCCTACACCAAAACACTGCTCCGGCACCTCAACCTCACCATCTCCGAGCGCCATAACCTCAGACTGGCCATGGCTAGCCCGAATCCAGACCTTCCACTGATGCAAGCGGTCGAAAGAGAATCTGGCTGTGTAACCCCCCGCTTCTTTCTGCTCCACAAACTCTCTTATGCCGACGCTCACGTAGTCGGGTAGGGCAGTGTGGCCGTACGCTTCATCAAGGGCCCAGTCGAGCAGTTCGGCTTCAGGGCAGGTGAGCGGGCATTCGGAGCGAATACGTGCGAGTTGGGAAAGTTTGTATGCATGGGGCGCTGAGTGTATCGGTGTATCAGAGCCTTCGTAGGATGGAGGAATGTTCGGGTCTGATCCTGGATTGCTCTGAGGGCGAATACGATCATCGTCGCTGTCTGGAGGTGCTGCTCGCGCTGTGTCGATGATCTCGTCTTTCAGCGTTGGACACCTGCTGTGTTGGCTGTGCTGCTCACCACTTCTTCGGACCAGACCCGGTTCTGGCGCCGGAGTTTGTGGTTGCAGACTCTCTTGAGCAGCGCTGACCTCGCCCTCTATCCCGCTTTCGGGATTTTGTTTTGACTTGAGCGAGGCGCTAAGCTCCTGCATTTGCTTGTCTGTGTTCTTCTTAGTCGCGATGACTGCTAGCCTTATTTTCAATAATAGCTCGTGTAGTTCATGCTGCTGCTCGGGAGCAAGGCTCACGGAATCCATAGTTGCCAGTTGCGTGAGCTCTGCAATTTGGTCATGCTGCTGCTGGAGTAGCTGGAGTACTTCCTGGAAACAGTGTGATAGCTGGCGTGCGTAGCCCTTGGCGTCACTCATGGTACATGTCCGGACGAACCGGAAATGTCAGCGAGGGTGATTGTGGATATGTATGAACCATCGATAGCGATGGTGCGGTGGATATCGATGCGCGAGCGATTGTCATGTTTTGCTGTGAAGAGATGTCATTCAGATCCAGAAGATGCCGCCTATGGCTTTCCTCTCCATCATTATTTCCTCGTAGACCCAACCGTTAGGGTAGACCTGCCGTCGAGAAGACTCTGGTGGCAGGTGAGATGAACTGTAGCGTCCGTGGCATCGGCGGGATTGGAGAGCTTCATGGCTCCTTCCTGATTTCGAGCGTAACTATTCATACCTAGATATGACTCCATGAGTGGGAAGTAATGAGTGCTTGGCGTAGACTACTCCCTACGGTATCTGGGAGTGGAATTCTGCGGGGGGGTTTATGTTTCAAGAGCGGTGGGATTATTGCCTTGACTTTACGTACCAAGGTCGTCTGAACCCCCAAGCTATCCAGCACCAGCGCTGCCCTACTCAAACTTCATCTTGTTAATCAAGCTCCCAATCCCCTCAACATATATCTCCACTTCGTCACCATCCCCCACGAAACCCTTAGGCTCCATAAACAGCCCCACCCCACTCGGCGTCCCCGTCATAATCGCCGTGCCCGCCCTCAGCGTCGTCCCCCGGCTCAAATGCGCCACGATCTGCGCGACTGTAAAAATCATATCATCCGTCCCCGTCTCCTGCCTCTTCACGCCATTCACCTTGGTCCAATACCGCAGCTTCTGCGGATCGCCCAGCACCTCCTTCGCCACAATGCACGGCCCAATTGGCGCAAACTTGTCGAAGCTCTTCGCGTAGCCGAACTGGCCGCCGCTGACGCTCGCAGGGATTTGGAAGTTCCGTGCTGAGACGTCGTTGCCGACGGTGTAGCCCAGCACGTAGGAGAGCGCGTTGTCGACGGTGGCGTTCTTGCAGTCGCGGCCGATGATGACGGTGAACTCACCTTCGTAGTCGAGTTGCGATTGGCAGTCTTTGTGGATGGGGATGGCGTCGAGGGGGCCGGCGAGGGCGTCCGGGGGCTTGGTGAAGATAGTGGGGTTGCTGGGGATCTGGAGGTTGCATTCTTCGGCGTGTTGGCGGTAGTTGAGGCCTACGCACATGACGATGTTGGTTCGGGGTAGGGGGCAGAGGAGCTACTTCTCGTTAGTACACTGTATCGGGCAAGGTAATTGAGGCATGGGAAAACTTACTTTCGAGACGGTAGCTTCAGACCCTGTTTTCTTGAACCCGCTCTCGATATCTCCCTCTAGCACCGCAACTTTCCTCCCCTCCATCTCCCTCGTCGGAGTCTCCTTCCCCAGGTCTCCAAAGTAAGTCCTCCCGTCCTCCGCCTGGAAGCGGATTAATCGCTCAAAAGCCGCCATCCTTAACCGCGTAGCACTGGAAAACCTCGCCGACCGAAACTGTAACGGCGCACTCGCTGCAGTGGAGTTCTGGGGGCGAGGCAAAGGAATTGACGACGGAAATATACGGCAGAGCAGCGAAGTCGGCCTACTAAACATTCTCCAAGAGGCACCGGATGTCCGACCCGCTCATCTATAAGCAAACGCGGAATTGCCCCACGTCATGCTAGTTCCGTGTCCGAGGAATGGTGGGGTCAAGCTTCGGCATTTGATCTGCCCGAGCCTTTGGAAAATGAGCATGCGGCTCCTGCTTACGGGATTTCGCTGTGTTCACTTGACGAGGCGTTCCGAAGTTCGGAATTAGATTTGCTTCCGAGAATGTGCGAATTGGAACGAAGAACACATAATCGGTCGGGTAATGTGCTCGAGCTCGAACAGCTCTATCCTTTCAGGAGAGAACGAGGTCCATATCTAACCTGTCATAACTACATCTCCGTTGCCCTGAACATCCGGGGCCGGGTTGAGCTGGCTCAAGCAGCCGGGGCAATTATGCAGCACTATATGACAGAACATATCGCAGTCGATACAGAAGTGGCTCTCGCACACTCTACATTCATACCGCGCACTCTCACTTGCCTTTTGCTCCTCGTCTTCACCTTGATTTATTTGCCGCTGGCCTACCGCTCCATCGACCTTCTCCCCGTTCGTCCTGCCTCCCCGCCCCCCCTGGCCGTCTAGTTCTTCAAGAGAAGGTGGTTCAGGGAAGGCAGTAAGACAGCCAACACATTCTTTGCTGCCCTTCTCTCGTGCGCGCTTCCAGCTTACTTCGGCCCAATTGCGGAGGGGAAAGAGATGGTGGTAGCTTCGGGCGAGATGCGTGGATAGAAGGAGGGTGAGTTGGCAGCTGGGACAGGTGACTGGGAGACTGCATACTTTGGCGTTGCATCTCGAGCATGTGTAGCCTCCTGTTGTTAGGATACCGTGACAAGCGCACATTGTCGGCGTATCTTCAACCACGCGCGACGGGAAGCCCATCATCATAAGCGCTGCCGCTGATTCAGGAGGCGCAGTCGCTGCCGATTTGGTTGCGCGAACAACCGGTGGCGTCGTAGTCGCGAGGAGAAGCTCGCGGAGCAGTTCTTGGTCTGTTGCGACGACGTATTCGCTCTCATCGCCTGCATTTGTCCGACTGACGATTTCGGTACAAATTTTCAACCGGGCGCTCATGCCCACGATGCTGACGCGTATTCGATCCCGTACGCAGGCTCGAATCGTCTGATGAATATCTCCAGGATCGAGAGAGAGCAGGGAGCCGAAGACAATGATGACTTCTCGCGTTCCATGACTCGGGGTATGATAAAGCGTCGCTCTCGCCAGCTCCAGCGCGTTCTGTAGACTGGGTGATCCCTTCGGTTCCTTTGGAATATCCTGAGGGCTCCGCGGAAAGCGCAGGCCGTTTATCGCAGCGATGTGCTCCGCAGGGTTGCCAGATAGCTCCGACACTCGTATACAAAGGCCGTCGTGCATGCCTAACACGCTCATCTGAGAGATGGGATTCTGTTCGAAGAACTCGCGGACGTATTCTTGTGTGTATTTAATCATCGTGTGATACCGACTAGGCCGCATATCTTTGTCTAACATGGATTCTGATAGATCGAGGACAAGGACGACATGCCGTATGATACCTCGCTGAAAAGGCTTCGTGTCTTTGCGTAGCCTAGTTCGATCCATGTCAGCGTCGTTCAGCGTGCGGAGGGGTGGCAACCAGCATGCCACCTAAACGGCCTGGGCTGCTCACCTCTTCCGCTTCCTCTCCTCCTCCCTCTCCTGCACACTTTTCTCCAACCTCGATTCATCCTCTATCTCCTCAAAGTCCGGCGCTGTATATTCAAAGTCTTCGATCGGCGTGCTACCTCTCCGTGCCCAAGCCTGCTGTTTGCGCTCCTTCGTCCTCTCCTGTGTCTTTCTCTTCCCACTCGCTTGTGCCCGCGTGCTAGAACTGCTCTTGGACCCGATATATTCGTCGTCGGACGCATCGTCGCCTTCGTACTCGTAATCTGAGTCCACCATTGCTCGTTTCGCGCGTAACGGACCGATGCTAGAAAACCGCCGGCTGTCTGCAGGCTGGAAGAGTTGTCGGGGGGCGTCCGGCGGAAGGTAAATGAAGGAAACAAATACTATAATATCTCCGTCGTTGTGGGGACCGGAGAATGGGTCGATTGCGTCCTTCTGAGGCTGGAGGAAAGCTGGGACGGACGCGGGCGAGCTTTACCTGCAAACTCGTGAAAGGCAGGTCGGTGAAGGTGAAAGCGCTGAGGATGGGGTATGCGGCGCGATCCCTATCATTATCGAGCGCGGAGGCGACCGGGAGAAAATGTTGGTTGGTGGTCTCCAGGCATGCGAGGTAGATCGCGAACGGATCCGTAACGGCGGAACGCATGAGCACGTGATATCATCCTCGAAAACGCGTCCACGGGTCCGTATGATTCGCGTGCTATTGCATGCGAACGCGACCTCGAATTTACATAATACTGCTTCTTTCCAAACTACATTAATTGTGTATCGTAAACTAGTGCTAGCATGACAGCATCCAGGAAAGAGCTCCCAATGTGGTATCCGCTATGCTAGAAAAAGTCATAAAGCATTAAAGCACGCCTTTGTTTCCTATCCTTTCCAAAGCCAACTTTTAGATCTTTATGAATATGCTCCAGATCCAGTAACTGGCATCGGCCAATCGTCCTCGGTGATACTGGACCAGAATACCCAGATCATAACGACTGCGAGTAGTGTAAAGAGGGTTTCAAAGAGGCCTCCATTGATCTTGCCGTCCGTGCCATTACAGATGTGGACACTGATGACGTATTGGAAGATCTGTCCAAGCGCAAAGAGAAGAGCTGCGCCGAAAAGATACACTACAGATAAGTGTCAGATTTGCCACAACTAATTGATGTGGATGGAGCACTCACTCATTGGTTTCCTCTCGCCTAGAATTCGAAGGACGAGGAAGGCTTCCAGACAGAAGAAGACGAACAAGAAGACCAGCGGCACAAGCTGGTAGAGCGTGTACAGCGCATAGCCACGGTTGTCGCCCGACAATGTTGAGTCCCAATATCCCGTCCAGCTGAATCCTGTGTCGAGCGCGATATAGCCCACACCAACGAAAATCATGCCAGCGGAGACGAGAATGAGGCCGATGGACATTGGCGTGCCATCGTCAAGGAGTTGGTAGCCGACAATACCGTTGAGCATTAGGATCCATAGTGTGGCGACGATAGTGGCCATGTGAACGGCAACGAAGCCCTGGCGACCTTGTTAGACGGTATCTTTGCTCGTCCGGCCAGAAACTCACCCTCCGAACAGCGCTATCGAGGGGAAACCCGCCGACGGTGAAGATCTCGCAGATTTCGATGATGATATAGCCAACTAGGAATAATTGCATCTCCCTGCCCAAGGTCAGTCCATCGTTGCGCCCGACGGGTGCAATCATAACGGCGCACCTTCTGCCAACAGCAGCTTTCTTCCGCTCAGACCTCCATATCAAGAAGGCGGCGGCGACTATCGCAATGCCGCAGAGGAGTATCGAACCTAGTACAGTTAACATGGCTCCACTTTAGGCTCTCTCTCTCACATTCACTGACCCAAGTTCGCCAGCTGTTTGTCGCCGTTCAAATCTACGCCCCTCAAGACGCAGCCTCCCCATCCTTGATTAAGCCTTGTAGGAGCTTGATTGAATAGCTATATCGCATCGTGGTTAGCGATTTGGTCGCGGGCATTGGGGGACACGCAGGAGCTGGAGTGCGACGTACGTAGCAGACTGCTGTGAGTCAGTAGATGTTCCAATTGCAATTGAGCGACGCGCGCAACATCAATTCATACCTGGTAATGTGGACCAGAGGTCTCCTGTGTCGCGACAGAAGTCGTGGAAGTTGCCATAGGCCGTAGAAGGCATGACGACGGAGCTGGGCTGGCTGGCGGCGGCGCGTAGCCTCGTGGGTTGCGTCGGTGTCGGGTTTCTCTGCGAATTGATGCGATGCGACGGGCTGCGAGAATATGTCTGCCGCTGAAAGCGGTAAGGGTAGTGAATGATTATGCGGAGGAGATTATTAGGTGGTGGAGGCGTGAGCGAAGGGTGATGCGCTGGCTGAGCGGCTTGGTGGCTGGTCGAAACAGGATTGTTGCTGGGGGCCAGGGGTGTGCGGGAGCTGTGAGGGTTGGCGCAGGCGAGCGGGTGATGCGACGGTTGCCGGCCCACCGAAGCCGATTGCAAGGCTGGCGGAGTCGAGGGCAAAGCGGAGAGTGAATGCAGCTGCTGCGGTGAAGCTCTGTGGTGGTGCAGAGAGCAGCGCGCCGGCGCTGATGAAGGAACAAAGAGCCAGCCCGGTTGCGGCGCCGAGCCATCGAACAGATTAATTGCACGACGGCTGCCCAATCAGGGCGGCTGAGCCGAGGCGTTTCAGGACCTAAAAAAGGAGGCCGTGCAGGCGGGTGCAAGGCGAGTTGATGCAAATAAGACGCCCTCGCATGCACAGCGGCCTCCACAGATCTCGCATCGTCGAAGCCTCGCGCGCCCGCTGAAACAAGGCCTCGGGGCGGCGGCTGCTGCTGCGACCGCACATGGCTTGGGAGCGAGAGAGGGCGGAGAGCGCACTCGCATCGTGCTGCTTGCTGCTGCTCGCACGCCTGCGATAGATGACCTCATATCCTTATTGTGCCCAAGGCCGCGCACAGAGTGCGGGCTAGCATCGAGGCTAAGGCGTCACCCTTCTCATGCATCGTTCACAAAAGCCTCCCTATCGCCATGTCAAACAGCCATCACCCCGGTGTAGCAGATTAGCCCTTATGCGCGCGCCGTGGGGAGCGACAGGAGAAGCGACTTCGTTTTGTTTGTGCGGAGCCCGCGCCGGCTCTGGCTTGGAGACACGAGGTCTGTTTCTTGTCTCGGTTGAGACGGCGGCCCACGAGCAGTCATCGGCCTCGCAGCGTGAATTCGAAGTCACGAGGCCCATGGCCGCAGCCGGCCTAAGCGCACGACGCCCATCAGTGCCTAATGTAGCAATCCGGGAGGCGTCAGCGGTGTGTCTTCTTGTAGGCAGAAGCATCCGAACCGCGCTTCCCTTTGGTGGTTGCAATATGCAGCGAGGAGGAAGATGTGAGCGCAGCAATAACGAATACACCGTCTCCGGTGTCCCAGTGTTGGCATGGTGAATTCAATGTTGTTCCAAGGTTCCATTTAAGTGTCCGCCAATCGAGAGCATTCACGTGCACCACAGGTATTCGCGGAGGATCCGAGCGGAAGGAGCGACTGTCGCTGGTCCTACCACTATTCAAGAGGCGTGCCCTAGGAGCTGTGCCTGTCTGCAACTAGACAGGGTTAATTATATCATCATACAGCGACTCCACTACAACAGCAAATTCTTATCAAAAACTTGCCTTGTGCACGCTCGGGCCGATGCCCTCCAGGCTTGGCGAGCGAGCTGACAAGGCCAGGGACCTCGAGCGCATGCAACCGCCGTCCGCTGCACTCTCTTTTGATCACGAAGCTTGCCGGCGTGGTAACCCTGTCCCCACCCACATGCTTTCCACCCCAATGTGACCCGCTTGATCGCTTCCTCCGCCTATCCGCTTCCCAACCTCTGGGCCCGGTGACGTGCCGCAACCGCAGCCGCTTCTTCCTACAACCGAACGTGGAGATCGGGGCTGCTCCCATCCAGCTCCAACCCACTCAAAATTCCTTCCCACTCATCCAGCAACAGGAGGCCAGCCAACATCCCACTCCACACCCTCTCGTCGTCGGCACGTCACAATCGAGACGCTGATTCCGCTTATCTCCTCGAGGACCACGACAAGGACAGCCCACGCTCCTCCTTCGACACCCCCGAATCCGACTCCGACCTCTCGCTTTGGAGCGACACAGGCGATCTCGTTGACCAGCTCGCTGACCAGGAAGATCCGCTCAGCATCCGCCTGCGGGGATCGCTCGACGGAGCCCACCCTCCCAAGCATCGACGCCAGCAAAAGCGCGTCCGATACCAGTCCCAGGACGGCCTCAACGAAAAGCCTGGTGGCTACCGGGGGGTTCGAAAGGAGGACATTGAGGTACCCGATCCGGGGCCTCGGACTATCTCTAAGGCAGAGAGGATCCTCGCCGCCATCATGGCTCCGCGCGATGGACCCTCCCGTATCCACGGGCTACACGGGAAGAAGTTGATGTAAGTGGAGACAAGAGACTAGATGACTGGCATGCTAACGTCTTCGCAGTTACTTTACCAGCGTCTTTGTATCATTAGGCGTCTTTCTTTTTGGCTATGACCAGGGAGTTATGTCTGGTATCATTACGTGCGGCGCCCCGGACCCTTCGCTTTCGATCGTTTCTGATAACTGTGCAGAGGAGTCTATTTCAAGGACTATTTCAACCAGCCTACAAGTGCGGAGTTGGGCACAATGGTCGCAATCCTGGAGATCGGAGCCTTCGTTTCTTCCTTGATGGTCGGCCGCGTAGGTGATGTACTAGGCCGACGCAGAACTATCCTTTACGGCTCGCTCATTTTCGTCATTGGTGGCGCCTTGCAAACTTTTGCAAACGGCATGCCCATGATGTTGCTGGGCAGGATCATTGCTGGTCTGGGGGTTGGCACCCTGTCCACCATCGTGCCCATCTACCAGTCGGAGATCTCTCCGCCCCACAACAGAGGCAAACTCGCCTGCATCGAATTTACTGGCAACATCACCGGCTATGCTGCAAGTGTCTGGGTCGACTACTTCTGCAGCTATATCACCAATGACTGGGCCTGGAGGATACCTCTGCTCATGCAATGCGTTATGGGCGGCCTCCTCGCCGGAGGGAGTCTGCTCATTTGCGAGTCCCCCAGGTTTGTAGCCGCCTATCTGCCAAGGAAATTGAGTTGACCCGAATCAGGTGGCTGTTGGATAACGATCATGACGAGGAGGGCATTGTTGTCATTGCTAACCTCTACGGCAAGGGCGATATCCACAATCCCAAAGCGCGTGATGAATACCGAGAGATCAAGATGAACGTTCTCTTGCAACGCCAAGAAGGCGAGCGATCCTATTCCGATATGTTCAAGCGCTACTCCAAGCGCGTGTTCATTGCCATGTCCGCCCAAGCCCTAGCGCAACTGAACGGCATCAACGTCATCTCGTACTATGCGCCTCTCGTCTTCGAAGAGGCTGGGTGGATGGGTCGCCAGGCAATTCTGATGACCGGTATCAACGCCATCACGTATCTACTATCCACTGTACCCCCTTGGTATGTTGTGGATACCCTGGGTCGTCGAAAGATCCTACTTTCCGGCGCCGTGGCCATGGTCATATCTCTCTCCGCCATATCGTACTTCATCTACCTCCAAGCCGATTGGACTCCCAATTTGGTTGTCATCTTCGTAATGATCTATAATGCCGCCTTTGGAGCGTCGTGGGGTCCGATTCCGTGGTTATATCCCCCGGAAATTCTTCCGCTCAGCATACGCGCAAAGGGGGCGAGTCTGAGTACGGCCACCAATTGGGCGTTTAACTGGCTGGTAGGAGAAATGACGCCGATACTGCAAGAGCATATTCAATGGCGTCTGTATTTGATCCATGCGTTCTTTTGCGCTGCTAGTTTTGTCATTGGTAAGTTTCAATTTTGAACTTGTACTGTCTCAGCTCGACCGCTGATATACGCCTAGTTTGGTTTATCTATCCCGAAACGGCGAACGTCCGCCTAGAAGACATGAACTCCATCTTCGGCGATGCCACTTCGGTAATGCCGACACCGCAGACGCTTGCTGAAGCGGAGTCGCTGTTCAGCGGTAGCGCTCGCTCTCCTGTCCCATCGCTCGACATACGGAGTGGACGGGCGGCGGTGGATAGCGCCATTCCCGGCCTCAATATCGACCCGCCTGATGATGTAGAGGGACAGGCCGGGAAGCCGTCAAAGGAGGAGACGGAGCAGACTGAGGGCATCGGCGGATGGATTTCCAACATGGTGAAGAGGACAAAGGGCAACGGAGAGGGTGATAGCTCAAGCGCTCGGTACAAGCGCGTGGGCCAAGACGATGACGAAGAGTGAGAGGGCAATTGTGCAGACGTTCAGCATTTGATATTGTTTACTGCATCATTAGCTGCTTGGCAGCAGCATGCTATGATATCCTTTGGTAAGCATGCCGGTTTTGGGACGAATAGAGGGCGCAAAGCGGGATTGGTATCGCTCAGCGAGGCTTCACGGCCTTGGCATTGTATTCATACTGCGTTGCATCTTTAATCATGGTTACTCGGCTCCGGGAGCGGGTGTAGAGATGAATAGAACCGTTACCGCTGGACCCCTTCGCTGCAGGCAAAGTGATATACATGGTAATTTCCTATTGGCGCATGGACCCTCCTCTTCCCAGTCCAGTGTACGATGGCTCTAAATGCATTCTCTGTGAACATTTCGTATCTCCAGCCTCCCAATTCCGCAGACTGTAAACCACACAGAGGAGCTCTCACGTAAGTAACTTGGTAGATAACAGGTGTTCTTCGCTGGACCCCTTGTCCCTGTTAGGCTAGCGCCGCCCTTGCTCAGCTCCAACATCACCTTTTGAATTTCTATTTCTGTACTCGACCACCTCCTGCCTCGATCGCCGCAGCGCAGAGGGAGTGAATTGCTCTGCTACAGGCTTCCATGCTTTCAATCACTTGCGGTCTTCTATTCTCTTTGTAATTCCTTCTTCTTCCCTTCGTTTTCGTGCTGTAGCAGCAAGGCTACAAATACCCGCCCCCAAGCCGCGACGACAGCATCCCGCGTCGGCCACGCAACCTTCTGACAGTTCTACGACTTCGCGCACACAACCGCAGACGAGCAGCGAGCTAGAGGCTGCCCTGCAACATGGCGACCGCTGCGCAGACAACGGGCGCAGAGCCCAAGGCGGATGAGCTGCGGAGAAGAAACGTCGCTGGTCAACCGGCCACGGCGGCACCGGCTGTGGCACAAGCCCCGGCGCCAGAGAAGGCCAAAGAGAAGGTATGCAGCCTTTCGGGGTCCTAGTCGAAGCTTGAAGCAAGCTTGTGGCCGCAGAACCGGGGCATGAAGCTAACGATGATTTTCAGCCTTTCAACATCATCGCTTTCTTCGACGAATACGAGTTCATATGGGCCCCTCTGATATTCACCGCGCTCGCCTTCTTCACGCGCATGTGGAAAATCGGTCTGTCGCCAATCGTGACATGGGACGAAGCTCAGTATGCAATACACCCCCTCGCAATCTCATCGCGCTTCTGACAGACGGCCTAGTTTCGGAAAGTTCGGCTCCCACTACCTCAAACGCGAGTTCTACTTCGATGTGCACCCACCGCTAGGGAAGATGCTAGTTGGTCTGTCGGGATACCTCGCAGGATACAATGGCTCGTTCGAATTCAAGTCTGGAGAAACTTACCCTGAGGAGCTCAACTATACCTTCATGCGCCTCTTCAACTCGGCCTTCGGCGCAGTCTGCGTCCCCTTGGCGTACTTTACCGCGAAAGAGCTAAACTTCCGCAGACCCACCGTGTGGCTCGTTACCATGATGGTTCTGTTCGAAAACTCGTACACCACCATTAGCAGATTCATTCTGCTCGACTCGATGCTTCTCTGCTTTACCTTCACGACCGTCTTCTGCTGGTCTAAATTTCACCGCCTCCGACATGACCCCTTTGCGCCTGAATGGGGCCTGTGGTTGATGTTGCTCGGTGTCTCGATTGGATGTGTGTGCAGCGTCAAGTGGGTTGGTTTCTTCGTCACCGCATTGGTTGGATTATACACTATCGAAGATCTTTGGAACAAATTCGGGGACCTCAGGATGCCAAAGGTATGTTATATCCTTGAATTTGCACATATCTCGCTAATGACTATAGATGGAGCTAGCCGTACACTTAGGTTTCCGCGTCTTCGGTCTGATCCTCATTCCGCTCATGGTCTACATGTTCTCCTTCTACCTGCACTTCCTCATTCTTGAAAACAGCGGTCCTGGAGATGCTCAGATGAGCTCTCTCTTCCAAGCTAACCTTCGCGGTACCGAGGTTGGCAAAGACAGCCCGCTCGAGGTCGCGTATGGCTCTCGCGCAACCTTAAAGAACATGGGATACGGAGGAGGTCTACTTCATTCTCACCACCAAACCTACCCGGAGGGTTCAGCACAACAGCAAATCACGTGTTACCATCACAAGGATGCCAACAACGACTGGTTCTTCTACCCGAACCGCCATGAGGCAGAGTATCAGCCAGATGAGGAACTTCGCTTCCCTGGTAATGGCGATACCATTCGGCTTATCCACGCCCAAACCGGCCGCAATCTCCACTCGCACCAGATCGCCGCTCCGGTCACGAAGGCAGATTGGGAAGTTTCTTGCTACGGTAACACCACTGTCGGCGACACCAAGGATCACTGGGTGGTTGAAGTTGTGCGTGATGCGGCGTCGAGAGATTACTCCAAAATTCGCACGCTCACGACTGCATTCCGACTGAAACACAAGGATCTCGGATGCTATCTCCGTGCTGGCAATGTCAACCTGCCTCAGTGGGGTTTCAAGCAGATTGAGACAACCTGCGTGAAGGAGAACAAGCCGCGCGATGTCTATACCCACTGGAACGTTGAGAGCCATTGGAACGATAGACGTAAGCTCTATGAGATCTTTTGGTGAAGGCTGTGCTAATGTCATACAGTTCCCCCTGGTGATCCAGGATCCTACAAGTCTCCCTTCCTCCAGGACTTCATCCACCTCAATGTTGCTATGATGACCTCTAATAACGCCCTTGTTCCCGATCCAGACAAGCAAGATGACCTTGCCTCGCAGTGGTGGCAGTGGCCCCTCCTCCATGTCGGCCTCCGCATGTGCGGTTGGGATGATAAAAGTAAGCCCCTTTCCCCCGATTCCTCGCATACCGTTAGCTAATATTGTTCTCAGTTGTCAAGTACTTTCTTCTCGGCAACCCAGCCGTCTACTGGGGCAGCACCGCCAGTCTCGCCATCTTTGGACTCTTGGTCGCGTGGTACCTAATCCGCTGGCAACGCGGCTACGAAGATCTCAAACCCGCCGAAATCGACCACATTCACTACTCGGGTCTCTACCCGGTTGTCGGCTGGTTCCTGCACTATCTGCCCTTCGTCGCTATGGGCCGCGTCACTTACGTCCACCATTACTACCCCGCGCTGTACTTCGCTATTCTCACTGCCGGCTTCTGCCTTGACTGGGCGACCAGGAGGCTGAACAAGCAGGTCAACTGGATTATCTTCGGTGCGCTCTACGTTCTTATCATTGGGCTCTTTTGGCTGTTCAGGGCGATCTGCTTTGGTATGGTGGGACCGAGCTCGCAGTGGCAGCACCTCAAGTGGTTCAGCACGTGGAGGATCACGGACTAAGGGAAAGGAGAAGCGGCCATAAACCTGTGACGCCCTTGGCCGTTCACCTGCGATCAATAAAAGCGCGAAAGGCTTCCGTCACCACCGACAGCCTGCGACCCGACGGTTTCGGCACTTTGCCATGTAACATCAGCTTCTTCTTACTTTTCGTTTGTTCCTGCTTTTTGCTTCCAAAGCAACTAGGGATAGGTCTTAGAGTCTATATGCGATAGGGAAATGCTAGGGAATAGCATCATGCGGTGTTGGTGTTCGAGGACACTTTTTGTTGGTGGTATTGGGTTTTGGCTTGAGATAATGAATGTCCAAAAAATTCTGCTCTGCTCTTTGTGAAAATGGCTTGCGAATTTGTGTGATGATGCTCGGCAGCGTGGTGGGTGGGTGACATGCGCATGTATGTGCCCTCGTGGGCCTCTGACGCAGATAAGCTTTCGTCCGCATCAAGATCTGCCTGTCATCCCGGTCTTTCCACGGCTTCCGTCCGGAACGCACTGCACTGCACTGCACACACACTCCTCTAATCCAGGGACCAATGTTGATTGAAAGCATGCGCATGCGAAACAAGGCTGCGAACTTCACAGTCGGGAACGTTTCGAAGGAACCCACCTTTGTGGGGGTCGCAATCCACTGAATGATCGACGCACGGGTTCGTTCCCAACGCCTGTTTCTGTGGGTAAACATTCCAACAAAAAAGGCAACAAGAATCCTTTTGCCAAGGCAGTGGATTTCGAGCGTATGAATCGGGCCATTTGGTTTCGTGTCGTAAGTGTGTTGTTCGCACGACAAGCGACGACGACGAGTCAACAGACCGGATAGCCCCACCCCGCATGCACCGTCGTTTTGTCAACTGGTAGCCAGATAGATACTGCCGGACACTGCATTCCTACAGAGAGAGGGAATTATACAGTATGTAGTAATTTCATAAACCATAAGGGGGTATCAACAACAGGTAGGAAAGGCTCTCTCTCTCTCTCTCTCTCTCTCTCTCTCTCTCTCTCTCTCTCTCTCTCTCTCTCTCTCTCTTACGGAACATTCAGGCTGTATAATAGCACACATCTCTCCAACTTGCGCTCAATCCATCCTTAACCTCGGGACACTCCGTATGATCCTCCTGTTTCCTCTGCAAGTCGACCGTTGACTTTATTCGTACAACGATTCTTTACAGGTGGCTGCGTGACTCGGTTTTCGCTCGATATGATGTCGGACGCGAGGTGTCCGGAGGGGGCTCTCTCCCCGTGCCGACATAGTGGCGAGACGGTCCGGTCGGTGAATAGGCGGCGTGGCGCTACGTATATTGGGACGTGTTTGCAGCCAACGTGCTTTGTGGCCGCCCGGCATATGCGTCGGAATCGACTGGCGGCTTCAAGGCGGTAGTGACCGTCGGGGAAAGCTACTACTCTTCGACGGGCTTGACGGCTGACTGCTACTTTCAAGATCCCTCAGCGCCTGTGCGTAATCCCTCTCTTCAGCAAGATGTCCCACATCTCGGAGGTCCAGATCATCGATCCACTCATCCTGCTTCTTCTCGGGGTGGCGCGCGGCTTGCATTGAGCTGAGCGGTTGCTCTTCGATTGCGCTGGGTACGATGTCCTCTGGATTGAGGCTTCGATCGGAGGGGGGATATAGGGCCTTGTCGGGCGACACTACTGAGTCTTTCATCTCCCGAGGTTTGGGCTTGGGCTTGAAGCCGGGGAAGTTGCTTGAGTGGACGTAATCGCCATCAGGGCTGGGCATCGGCGGTGAATGTCGGGGTTTGCGGGCATCGCGCTCGGCCTGTTCCCATGTTGCGACAAGAGATCCACGATTGCGCGTCCGGCGGTCACTGTTGTCCTGGGAGAAGCTCCCCAGACGGCTGATCTTGAAGGCCCTCAACCTATCTAGTGCCGTCTTAAAGTCGTCTAGCACGATGGTATCGGTCAAGCACTTGAATACAAAGGCAAGCTTCCAGAAAGGATTGATGCCGGTAGTTCCGGGGAGATGCAAGGCACCGGTGACGGAGAGCACGTCGCAGACGATGAAGATGATACTGATGACCATAGAGGCGAGCATGATGCCGAAGCGTGGTGAGATGCGGATAATCTCCTTCAAAGTCATGTCGTACTGCTTCTTGATGACCCAGAACAGTTTGAGAGTGGTGAAGATCCACCAGGGATCGCGGCAGAGCGCTTCCCAAGGGCGCGTTTTCCTGAAAATATTGTTAATTCCGTGGAAGTATGTAAAATCTATTAGCAAGTTAGTATGGAATTGGTACTGGCGGGGGCGGGCGACAGTACTCGCGTAAATCTCGACAACCCAGTATGGCTGGACCAGAATGACGGTGCCGATGAATAATAGGCTCCAGGTCCGTGGTAGAAAAGGCCTGATTTTCATCCAGGCGATGACGTTATGAAGCGACCAGGATGCGTTCAGGAAGATGGCGCTGACGGAGAGCCACCACGCGTCGATAGGGCTCCGAGGGAACAGCCAGAAGCCTTGCCATATTCCGAGGATTAGCTGGAGAAAATTAGATCCAGAAAGACATGCGAAGCTGTCAGGCATGGGAATGGTACCTCGAGGAGAATCAACTAGGGAGTATGAGGTCAGCGGCGGTGCTCGGAAAAAGCCATCGAGATTCGCTCACTTTGTGCAGCAACACTCCTCGTCGCATATTCGCCAGAGTGATGAAGGCCATGATGATCAACGAGCCGACCATGTATCCTTGAGCCCATGCCTCGAGAATGAGCTCATTTTGCTGCTTTGGCTTGGGGTCGCTGCCATCTGTGGCTCCAACGTTCTGCGCGACATCTTTCGCCATGCTCTGCGGTATGGGACTCATGTTGCCGGCGGGTCGTACTGCGCAGATGCCGAGGTAGCGTGATGTGTGATGTGTGATGTCAAGAAGAAAAAGAAGCCAAGCTCAACATTTTCCGCAGTGCGAGGGAGTCGACACGAGAGAGAGCGGCATGGCAAGACTTATCATGGGCGGGAGAGGCGTGCGAGAGTACGAGGGACAAACAGGTGAGCAAGACGGCGGTCCGCTCGTGGCTCGACGCCATTTTACTCCGCATTTTGAGCCTGGGAGGCGTTTGGTGACGCGGGCTCGCAACGACTCACAGGCGACGCCGGGCCACACGCTTTGCCTGCTTCAGCGCTGGCGGGCGTCCTGGCAAAGGTGGCAGTGGGCCGTTGAGCCGACGTCACGGGGCTGGATGGAATATCGCCGCCAATCGTTGACAAAGCGCCAGCCGAGCAGCCAACGCCGGGGCCGTGCATTCGCGATTGCCATGGTCAAACTCTTCACGGACGAAGATTGTTTCGAAGAGTACTAGGCAAGCTCTATACCTAGGTAATTCTGCGTGTCACGTGCAACTCGGCCCGAGAAATAGCCAATTGGCAATTCTCTCTTTAGCCTCTCCCATCTCTTCTTCCTTCTCTTCTCTCTTTAGTCCTTTACTCTATAAGAGCAAGAATAAGGCGCAGAGTAATTCTAAGGTACCTCTTCCTTACCCTAGAGTTTCAAGAAAAAATACTAAGAGGGAGGGCAGATACAATGGTGCGAAGATAATGGTGTTCTTACCCCACGATGCACGCGAGCGGCTGAATTTTTGAGCTTGCCCTTTGTAGTGCCCGCGGCCGATGCGTGCATGCGTGCGTGCGATGCGAGAAACCATCGCGTGAGTCCTCATGCAGACAGTGGCACGAGAGTGCTCGAGGCCTCAGGGCCGCGTCCGATATTTGCGCTGCGCTTGGCTCGAATGGGCGGACGGTTCGACGCCGTGTCACCAGCTTGCAATCAGCGCGCTGCGGCTTGGGGGCGCTATCCCAGGATCCGGTACTTCTCCAGCGGGCTGCATGCAAATCAGGGCGGCGTCGCCGTGGGCTCGGATTCTGGAGTCCGGGGTTCGTTCGGCTAATAAATGCAATCGTCTCTGACTTGCCTTATGGAATATAAGATGACATGATGGACTGACGCGAGTGGTGAGAGCGTGAGGGCCGCCGACGAACGGCGGGAAGTTGGGCAGGATTCGCTGCACGTCCGCTAGTCGCACCTGCCGACCTCGCTTGCCGGAAGGGGAAAGCGTGAGGTGCTCCGTAACGTGACTACCGGCTGCTCACCGAATGCTCGTCTTACCCTCGCCTGTCAGCGTTCCTGTATTCTTCAGCTCCCGCGAGTCCTACACATATACGAATGCACCATGTATTACACGAGCCATGTTGTGCCAAAAGTAGGCCGCCAATACTGTGAACGCACACCGGTTTGATGGTTCATAACGCAGGCTGCAGCTTACTGCACCCTTACACCGACACGACCGGTCCCTTTTTTGGAGATACTATATCCACTCCCTCATGTTGAACGTGATACCAATTTGTTGACCTTGAAGCGACCGACCTTTGGTATGATTTGATTGCCACGAACGCCTGGAAAGCCCAAAACCCGAGTCTCAGCAGACCAGCCGCAATGCGACTGGCCGCCCACTTCACTTCTGCTGCTCGGTAGCCGGCAGCAGACCCTTACTCACCATCCCTCGGAAAGCCTCCTGCATCCAATTCGGCCAACCTCTCACGGCGCTTACCCTACCCACCCTAGAAGGCAAGAAAACTTGAGCTCCTGAGCATTTGAAGATTTGATCAGCGATGGCATCGGAGACGACATGAGCATCAATCATCGGGCTTCCCGCTGCTCGGAGCGTCTTCTCGAATGGAGCAATCAGGGGCGTGCGCACCCATACCGGGTGGATGGACGTCGTCAGAACGTTCGGCACTTTGTATTTGTGCTTGAGCTCGGCGTTCAGGCCTGCGATGTGTGAGTGACGGGCGCGGGGTAAGCAAAGAGGGGCCAGTATACCTTCGTGGAACGCAAGCACGGCGGCTTTAGTGCCGCAATAGTCCGTGATGCCCGCAAGGCCAAGATATGAGGCCGTGCTAGCAACCGTGACAATATGGCCCTTGTTCTTCTCCATCATATCTGGCAGGAACGCCTGCACGGTGTACCAGTTGCTGAGGACGTTCACATCGAAGATCTTACGAAGCCATTCGGGCGATGTGTCGAGTATAGTGTGCGCCGTCGCGATGCCGGCATTGTTGACCAGAATAGACGGGGTGCCCAGTGTGTCCCTGATCTGTTCGGCGGCCGAGTTGACGGCGGCGGCATCGGTGACGTCGCAAGCGAAGAACTTAACATGGGCATCTACGCACTATCAGCTTCGCTATCCAGACAGCAAATGGGGTATTGCCTACATCCTTGGAGACTAGGCGGTAGCTGCTGGATGTCGAGCACCGCGACCTTCACGCCTTTGCCTATCAGTCGCTTGACGACCAATTCTCCAATCCCGCTACATCCGCCCGTCACTACGGCAATCTCCTTGCTCCAATCCCATCTCTTCTTCTCGTTCTTCAACCTCCACGCATTCAACGCGAGCTTGTTCAGCTGCTGATTGACCGTTCCGGTGACTCCCAGCGCAAGCAGCCACTTGAGCGCTTTGACGACCCTCGCGAGCGTCTGCGGGTTGCGAAGCGACGAGATTCTGTTCAGAAGTGGATCGCGTACGTTTGGCGGGCCTCTCGTCAGCACCCAGAGGAGCGACGCGGTAACGACGGGATTGAGCGCGACATGTGAGACGGAGAGCGAGACGAGGTTGGAGAGCGGCGACATGGTCAGCCGATGTCAAGAGGGTGTCCGGGATCGAGGATCACGGAGAAGCTGCGATCATATAGTTGACAGCTTCTGGTACCTCTTTTCTGTACCTCTGGAGCGGATCCGACGCGCATAAGAGGGGCTTGAGGGGTGAGCAGGAGCTCGTATACCCTTGTCGGATTGGCTGTCGACCTCGGCATCTTTGCTCCCAAAGGGGTGTGGGCATGCGCTATCGCCCGCAGCTCTTGCTGTTCTCGTACCATGTCCTGCTTCGATGAATTGAGGTCAGACAATCATAGTCAACGCGGCTTCACGCGTCTCTCGCGCTGCACGTGTCCGTCAGATGATGCTGTGCAAGTGGAGCCGCTACATACCCCGGATTCGCCTGTCTGGGCGCTAGACTGCATACGGTAGAGGAAGCGACGAAACATTGCTGCTTTCGTTGCACACTATCTTACCTCCAGAGCTTCGTTCAGGTCCCTATTTCAATCTAGTATTAGCTATCCTTTCTGAGTTGAGCATCTGCGAGCTTGAAGACCTTCAATGCGATATGAGCAGTGCCTGGTTTCCGTTGTTGTTCATGACCATCTTCATTCAACTCAACACCTCATGCAACTTGCAAGACCAGCCCAGCTAGTCCTAACATGCGGGTATCTACCAGTAAGAAAGACGTGCTGAAGGCCTCCAGGCTGAGCGAATCCAAACCCAACTCTTTTCCAACCCGACAATATAATACAAGAGAAAGAAATAGATACGAACGTGACATCATGACTTGAAGGCCTCCAGGCTGGGCGATCCCTCTTCGCCATCGCAAACACAAGATCATGAGCTGAGGGCCTTCAGGGTAGGTAATCCTCCCTCGCCCTAGAAGCCGTGACACCGTGACGCGAGGCCTTCAGGATCAGCGATCCAACCCCAACCCCAACCCCGAAGCCGCGGCATCGCAAAGCTGACGGCGTCCAAGCTGGCTTATGCGCACTCAACCCGGCAGCTCAGCAGGATACCCTCGATGGATATCCTTCGGCGGCACCGGCGGCCCTTCAGCAGGCAATTCCGTAGGCGGCGGATGATAGGCATGATATCCCGGTCTCTCATCCACGGATCGCTGCCGCTGATGTGGGTTGTACGTCGTCGCCGGCAGGAACGACAGCTTCTGCTGCTCTTTTTGCCCATCTACGCTAGACTGGAAGCTCCCGCGTTGATCGCACTCGGTCTTGTGAAAAAGTTGTGGCGGACTCCCCAGATACGCACCACCACTGCTGTGGCTCGTCAGGGTGCTCGCCTGCGACAAGCCGGGACTATACAGCATTGAGCTTCGATCGCTTCCGTTCGAGTAGATACTGTGGTGTCCCGGATGCCCGTGCATTTGTCCTTGCGACTCCCGATACCCCGGCGGCGGCGCAATAAAAATATCCCCATGCCCCATGCGCTCTCCTGGCTCGACCTCCCTCAGCGCCTTCAGCCTCTCATTCGCATACCCGCTCTCGAGCACATGTGCCTTCTCCACCAGCCTGTCCACCAGCTTGCTATGGCTCTCTTTGAACGTTTTCTTGACAAACCCCATCATCATGATGTTGCACTTCATCTTGACGTCCTCGCGGATGTACAGGCCCTCCCGCGGCGCGCCAATGCCGAGCTCCGTGGGCGCCTTGGGTTCACCGGGCAGCGAGCCGCCGACGCTCCATTTCGCGCGGATGTCGAGGCCGAGGGGCGCATAGACGTGCGTTTGCAGGCCGTCGGGGAGGTCGTGGAAGCAGGCGTGATAGGAGACGGAGCCGGTTGCGAGGCCGCCGGGGAGGTAGGATACTTTATCTATACCATTCGTTAGTATGATGTTGTTGTACGACGCGACAATGAGGGGTAAGGGGGAGACGTACCCTTAATAGTATACCACGTTGAATAGAACTCCTCCGCCGGCGCGTAGGTGGGCGGTTTGCACTTGAACCTCTCCACCACCAGCGGATTCAGCTCAATCATCTCAATATGATTGCGATAAGTATCGAGCACGCTCTGCCTCGTAATCCCCGCGGGCAGCGGGGTGACGGTCGTAAACACCGAGGTCTTCGACATCATGTTCCGCTCTCAGTCGCTCGAGCGAACCAATCGATGACAACCGGGGCGCGGAGAGAAGAACGGCGGTATGTGAGGCAGTTGAGCGGGCGGCGGGAGAGCTGGGGAAGTGCACGGGAGAGCGGGAGGCTTCTCGGTGGTACTTGTTTCGAAGCGCAAAGCACAGGAATGCCTGCTGACGATATCCGACTACGCCAACGCTGCCAACAAGCCTAGCCTCACGATCCAGGCGCGCCCCTGTAGGATTGCACGGCGCCGCGCGATCAAAATAAGCTCTTTGTGCAGCTCTATCCGCTACTCAGCCTACCGGCTACTGCCCCTCCCGGAACACCCACAGAAGGAAGAGTCCGTATCATCCGATAGATGCGGGCTGTCGAACAACTACGGCTTCAGAAACAGCACATCTCAAGAGACGGTGCTCCGACAAGAGCGTCCAGCCTGAACCGCCGCGGCTTGCTTACCTTATCGGTTGATATTTATGGATCCCTTAGTTCCTGGCGTTCGAAGATCCATGGATGCGGCGTAGGGAGACATGCCGCTAGCCTAAACGGAGATGGCGCAGCTGTGGTTTCAGTTTTGGGCTTAGGCTATTCCTCCTTGAGACGGCCCAAGGAGTCGTGGATGCAGGCATAGTGTAGGCGTAGAGATACTGGCGGAGCAGAGACGCTGCGCATGTTCTCGCTACATACACCTGCACAGAAGCCTGTATCGAAAACATTTCGAAGAAGTTGATCATCGACCCTGCTGGTTAGCAGCTGGCTTGCAAAAGCAACTTTGGAACTCCTGGTGGCGGTTTCGGCTACCAGTACCCGTTTCAGGCAATGTGAGTCTCTCCACAGTTTCAGGTTGCGTAAGGCATAAGGCGTCAGAAGACGGAGGAAAAAGATCTGACCATTATCATACTATTGTACTACCACGCAGCGGACGAACGGTGTAGGACTCTGTTAAAAAAAGCAATCAAATGAACAAGAAAGCCCCTATTACTCCTCCAGCACGTTTGTGTGAGTAGTCCACGTAGTCCGAGTAGTAGAAGGGGATAGCCCGCGACCAATAACACCTCCCACCGCAATGCATCATCGTTGAGCTCCAGTCTCGATGATCGTTCGTGCTCCCAATAGCTCCATCCATTTCCATAACCCATGATTCGTTCTTGAGGGTATTACATCCTTCTGTCGTTACCCCATCGTGACCACGCCTCTCATTCTCTGTCTCTTCACCTCGACCGCCTCTACACGCCCTGGTGCATCTCCACCTTCGGCTCCCCAGCCCTCATCGCCCCTCCACGTTCTCCCCTAAACAGCCTCCACAGCGCAAATCCGAAGGTAACCGCCCACGTCAACCAACTCACCGCGCTGATCGCGGTCCCCGCCTTCGCAACGGAACAAACAGTCCCAAAGCAGATCCGATCATGCAAAAACACTGCAAGCGCAATGAACCCGCCAAACCAGCACAGCATGGTGAACAGCTCGTAGGCGATGAGGCCGAGTTTGGGGACGGTCGAGGAGGTAACGGACGGCGACTTCATAGGGACGACCGTCAAGATGCAGGCGGCGATGAACGACCAGACGGGTGCGAAGACCATGAAGTTTACTTCGACGGGAGACATTTGGCGCCAGTGCGTGGTCCACCAGTTTGCGACTGCGCGAGCATGTCAGTTTACTGTCGGGAAACGTGCGTCCGGAAGGAGTGTTGTGTTACCGTAAGCCATCAAGCCGAGCACGACGAGGGACAGCACGACCTGCAGTCCGCGCACCGGAAGGATCCAATTGACAGCCATCTCGAAATCCTCTTCCTTCCTTATCTGGCCCCAAATATTTATTCCGATCGATTACCGTAAAACGTGGCGTAGTATCGTCCGCGTAGTCGCCAAATCCGTACCCGTGCCGTGAGCGTTATCCTTCCAAAAAAGAGCGAACGTAGAACTCAATCAACAAGTCCACAAGAGCGTAGATAAGGAGCGAAGAAAGCAGTAGCAGTAGCCGACCAAGTTTGCTGTTCGGGAGATAAAGGCAGTAATATGCCCTTACCCCCTTCTTGCAACTAACTTAGCCTCAACCCCTCCATGCGCCTAAAAGCAGACCCTACCCTCCCCGAAAGTGCCACGCCATCGTTCTCTGGAAAATCAAGTAACCGTCCATGCGGTGGATCGTCGCTGCTCTCTTAGTGGCCGCGCTCCCGGTCGAGCGTTTCAACCCGTAACACGACTGGGGTTGCGCATTAAACGACCACCTCGGCTTGATTGGCTGGTTTGTTGTCTGAAGCAGCGTTGTTGCAGCCATGGTACTGCAATCATACTGGTGATGAATTTGCGTTTCTTGTTACGGATTTTCAAAGGGCGAGCAGAGCGGGTTGGGAGGAAAGGAGGGCTGAAGAGCGTTGGGAGGAGATGTATGGAGAGCATCTGCTCGGCGGTTCGCGCCACCGCCGTGCTTATCGATAACCCTTCGCGACACCAACAGATACCGTCCCTCCAGAGACTCTTGCCATGCGGTTCAACCGCCTACACAGCGTAGAGGCAGTGAGTTCCGCTCAACCCCGTTGATGTGTTCAAGCGAGATTACGAAAGGCATCTGCTTTTTCCCCGCGAAATTCAACTTGTGCCCGCCAACTTCCATAGCCACACTCATTTCACAAGCCAAACAGGGCGAGTCATATCCAGTAAGTTCTAATTAATTACTTCCCTACCATGATCGATTGTATCATACAGATGCCTCCTCCTGAAATCAGCGCCGTTGAAAGGGATGCAGATAGCCTAGGTCCATCACGTCAAATCCATCCATCTGCCAAAATGCATCATCATAGCTCATGAAAGCTACGCCCACCACCGACCCGCTCTCGCTAATAGAGACCAGCGTCTACGCGAGGTCCTAGCGAGCATTTCAGCATCGCAGTGACTCTCGAACGAACGCCAGCCGACCACCGCTAAAAAGATGTCGAATGGAGGGAATGCTGATAGAAGTGAATCTAACCGTAAACGCGGCCGTCATAATGTGAAGGAAGCCAAAGAAAGAAATTCAGAGCCGGCGATCTTTCACACCGCGCTCATCTCCACCTTTTTGTCGTCATATAAATCATCGATGAACCCATGCGATGCCACCCCCATAGACCAAATAGCCAAGGCTTTCGAGTCATAAGACGTTGCTGCGCCGGTACCGAAAAACTAATGCACAGCAGATGTACAAAGACTGGGAAACCGCATCAATTAGTGGTGGGAAACGTAGCCAATCTCGGCGTTTTCAGCGCAAGACCATTGACCTGGACGATGCGTGCAATCCCATGTCGAGCGAGATAGGCGATTATCTACGCACGGGCCTCATAAGGAACAACGGCACGGGACAATTCGTTCACCTTATTGACCAAAGACGAGATGCGGCGGAGGAGCTGGTCGCCTGGAGAGCTCTCGTTGAGCTGGATATATGCAGACGTGAGACGTTGATTGATGACTTCCATGATCTTCGGAACCACGTCGTGGATCTCGCCATCCTGATAAAGTGGTTAGTGAGACCCGAGGGTGCTCGGTATATCTCAACTTACGTTGGGGTCGACATTCTTCAGTACGGCGTCAAGCCAGATAAGCCGCTCGGGCAGGTTCTTCTCCAGAGAGTTGGTGACAACGGCGCCTGTCGAGAGGGCTAGCAGAGGCGACACATGATTGAGGTACGCCGGATTGCAACGAACGAATACAGTGTCGAAGAGCTCGTTGGAGCGACTGGATTGGAGCCAATGCATCGTGCCCTGCTCGTAATTACCGTCGGCCATGAGGCGAGTAATCTCTTCCTCTTCGAGCTGTGCCGGAGTCTTCTGCTTGGCGGGAGAGCGAGTGGCACGAGGTGAAGGGTGGGTGACCGAGCCGCTTTGGGACGGCGGGTGAGATATATGATGCTGCAGTTTGGCGACTTGGTTCTGGAGCTCGGCCTGGGAAGCAGCCATAGCTTGAATCGTCTGCAGGCATGTCTGGACAGTTTCGGTGAGCTGAGTAACCTTAGCGGCGTCGTTCCGATGCTGCGCATGCGCCTGACGAAGCTGATCTCCCACTTTGTGCTCAATAAGGCTTGTTAAGTTCGAGACGGCAGGGTTAACAACGGCTCCGATGGAGGCGACGATCATCGGCTCCAGATTGCCAGCGACTTTCTTCGCGACCTGATCAGAGAGCGATTGGAAAACGTGGGGACTCTTCAGGGCCCGCGAAACGAACTCCGGAATCTCCTTAGAAAGCTGAGGACCCAAGGCCGACTTCAAGTTGCTGCCCACGCTCTCGTCAAGCGCCGACGACATCTGTGCCGAAAGTTGAGGGAGGAGAACGTCACTCATGTTCTTGTTAACCATCTTCCTAATGACGCCCTCAACGTTCTCAGTCAAAGTGCTGGAAACAAGACGGAGTATGGCCTCCTGCTTGGCACCATTGGCGGCATTCATGACACGCTTATCTTCGTCGATGCGCTTGTACATGACATCAAGCTCGCGCGAGAAGCCCTTGGTAATCTCGCCCTTGACAATCTCCTCCAGCTTCTTAGCGTCGAGCTGTGGGGGAGCCGCTGTCGATGGCGCGGGCTGCTGCAGCTGTCCGACCAACTTCTTAGCCCACTCGGGTGCCTCAGTATCAGTTGTCTTCGATGAGGCGGGCCTAACGGGAGCTTCTGGCTGAGCGGGCGACTTTGCACGCGGGGTCGTCTGAGCGGCTTGCGCATAGGATGGAGGCGGCGCGCGTGTAGAAGTGGAAGCCTGCGAGGTTGTCTCTACGGTAGCCGACCGTGCAGCGAGAGCCTCACGCTTCGTTTTCTTCTTCTTTTCTGACTTCTCACCGCCGTTGATGATGGCAGCACGAGCAGCATCTTGCTTGCTCTCCACCTTAGCTAGAGTGGCAGCACGCGTAGCAGCCTCTGGCGTCATCGATTGCCTGGAGGCACTGCTGCTCTCCTTCTTGATGCTCTCCCGAGCGGACCTGTCGGACGTGGACTTCGGACCCGGCGTATCACCGCTGGTAGAAGACTCATCCGCAATAGGCTGGGGCGGCTTCAACTGGGTTATGGCGATTATCCCCTCCTCCTCCGCTTCTTTAGGATGCATAGGCTCGCCTTCCTTCTTCCAGCCCAAGTCGCTCCGTCGAATGCGGAGGGTGCATACGCCTTTGGAATGCATGACGTATAGCTCGAAGAGAGCAGTGTTCTCGGGATCATCGACATCTGGGGGTCCGGCGGGCTCGTTGAGCATATGGAGGCTTCGGATCTGTCCTTTCGACGCGAAGGAATACTCAGTAAAGCTCGTCATGATGGCCGTGGCGTTGACCGGAGGTAGCGCCGGCTGCGATTTGTCATTTTTGTTCGCAATACGGGAGATGTACATCGCCTGGTTCATGACCGGGAGATTGTATCGCGGCCACGACACATGGATGAAGAAGATTGAGTTGCGTGTAGGATGAGCAACGGCCATGACGCCAGTCTTTGGGTGGAAGCCAACGCTGCAGATGGCATCAGATTCCTTCTCGTGAGGCAGGTTGATCTCTTGAACTGCCTTGCCCAGACCAAGGTCCCACAGCTGGAAGCTGTGATTCTGTTTCATGCCCACCATGACATATCTCAGGGCTATTCCTTTGTTGAAGGGTTTATCCTTATCGAAGAAGAACACTGAGGTAGGCCAAGACTTCCCATTCGGAGATGTGGTATGAAACTCGAGCAAGGTTTGCGAGACTTCAACCTGTTGAGGTGGGCCACGGACTGTCGCCACGTCGGGATCGGTAAGCGGGCGGATGTCCCAGAAGCGCATTCGGCCAGCCTTGTCTAGAGACACAATGACAGTGTCATCCTCGCTGAAGGTGAAGTCCTTCCCGGCTTTCCCGGTCAAGATCTTCAGCGAACGTTCCTTGAGGAACTTCTCGGTATGAACGATGCGGGACTTGGTGCGAACATACTCCTCCGCAACGCGCGGCCAGATGATATGAATAGCCTTACCGCGACCGACAGCGAAGTACTCGGGGTGTCGGGATGATGGTTTGGCTCGCGTCTTGAGCTGGCCTCCGGAGGTGTTGTCGTCCTGTGAGGGGGAGGGTGGAAGCATGAGTCCCTCAGTATCAAGCTCCGAGAACTGGTCTTCGCGATTAGGGTCGACAGACGTCCAGAAGACAGTGCCGTTGATGCCGATGCCGAGAACGCTCTCGATGTTCTTTTGGGTAGAGTCCTCTCCACCGCTGCAGAGGGCGACGCTGAACAGACGCTCCTGGTGATTCTCGAAGACCTGGCGGTACTGTCCATTCTCTTGGCGGATAATGCGGAAACCGCCCTTCTTGACAATAGCGTAGACGATATAGTTCTTGCTTGCGGACACAAGCGAGCGATCGATCTGATCAAACTCCTTCTTCAACCTGGCAACGTCCATGAACAATTCAGGCTGGAAGAAGGTGCGCCGCGGAGGCAGGTCCTTGACAGTGATGGAAGCGAAGGCGCGCATCGGGAATCTGTAGACTATTACCGTCTGGTCGTCATCCTTCGCTGCGCTGGCTTCGGCTTCAGCATTCTCCCAATTGTCGGCAACATCGGTCTCAGCAAGCTCGGTGGCGACTTCCTTCAGTGCATCTGCGACGGGCTTGGGGACAATCTCCTCCAGCGCCTTGACGTTGCTCTCGTCTTCAAGCTCTTTCTTGATCTCAACGGCTGTGTCGACAACAGCTTGCTCCATTTCTTTGACGTCTTCCGGAGACATGCGCTGTAGCTCCTTTGCCGCCTGGGCCTGGGATCGGCTCTCAGCCTCAGCGAGCGCCTCACCAATTTGCTGGCCGACCTGCTCGCCCAAGTCGGTCACGGCCTCAGCCACAGTTTCGTGCGGCTGAGCCAATGGGCCTGGGGACATCTTCCGAATCTTGTGCGTACGCTGCTCCTTGTCGTCGCCAACTGAGGACGATCCGTCAAGGCCATGCTTCGACTTCGGCTTCAGTATCTCCATCTTCGGAGGAGCCGGCTTGGACGACTCGGGGACCGGGGTCCTGTTGCGAGGGCTCGCGGCCTCCAACTTGTCGAACGGATTGACGTAGGTAAACTTCGGCTGCGCAGCAGTTGTCGCCGGCTGGAATTGGGATGACTGGCCACTGCCGTCCGATCCGAATACTCTCATCGGAGAAGCGGCAGGCAGTCTAGCCGTCGGGTCAGAGGGCACATTCTCCAGCTTCGCATCGGCAAGGTCCTGAGCGATGTCGTCCACGGCCGTTTCTGGCAGTTGTGAAGCGACAGATGGAGAGAAGGCTGCGGCTGAAGCCCGTGACGAGTGGGTGTCAGCCTGCGCCGGCTTCGGGTGATTCAACAGCCTCAGAAGCAGATCCTGGGGGTTCTCTGTGGAGATGGACGCAGGCTCGGGCCTCACGGCAGGCGCTGGGGTCGACGAAGCGGGGGGCTGGGCCGACTTGCCGCCCATGAAGCTCGCAACCAAGTCGGAGGCGGAGATGGCGCGACTGTGAGCGGATGCACTCTCTGGGACCTGCGTGTTTTGGGACGCACGCCTGGCCTGGGTGACGCTGGGCTGCGAATTGAAGCGGAGCAAGTTCAGCAGCTGGGCCGACTGCTGTTGTGGAGTCTGCTGCGGGCCGCCGCCCTGCTCGGGCGCCGGCGTGTTCGCCACCGACGTGTTCGGCGACATGACAGCGGACTGGTGATGCGGCTGCGGACCGTGTTCGTTAGGAGACGGGGAGTAGATTGGTGAGGAGACGGAGGGTTGTTGGTAGGTCGGCGGTTGATTGCTCGAAGCGCCTTGGCCACTGAGCCGGGCAAACAGCTCCTGCAGATCCGCCATGGTGAGTGAGAGGCGGAAGGCCTTGGTGACCGTCAGTGAAGGCGAGAGGGGAAAAGAGGTGGGCGCGCGGGCGTTAGAGGACGAGGTGGACGGCAAACGGACTATTGCTCACCCAAAATTATCGTGCGGCGGCTGGCTCACCCAGCCACTCAAATTGCGCGGAACCGTGAAGCTGCAGCGATGCTCTAAGAATTGGCAGGCCGACGACCGAGCCGGAGATAGAGGGCGAAAGCTGCGTCAGGCGCAGGCGAATGCAATTGACAACGAGAAGCGCTGGCTGGCGCGTCGTCAAATGGAACAGCAGAGCGCCTTAGGCCTGAATTGGGAAGGCGCGAAAGGCGGTGTGGCTGCAGCACGTGATGTGTCCACCCGCCGGTCCCTGAGCGAAGAGCGTTATGGCGAAGACATGTGGGCACATGTAAACAGAATCTCCATTGCACTTGCTGGCTGGATTATACTCGCAGCCTTGCATGCTTGTGTGCAAGCGTTCTACCATCAAATCCGATTCCAGTCACCTCAACCTCTACCTCCCTCCCGGCCAATTCGTCCCCCAACGATTGCGGCACCACGTACTCTAATGCATATGCACGCCCGACGTGAAGACCGTCAATCCGAACCAGAAAGTGAGAGAAAGGCCCTGTAATATCGCTATACGGCATGTCGAGCAACATCAACCTTGACGGATCCGCAGCTTGGTACATCCAGCACAGCCTTCGATGCTCAGACTTCCACTGACGGCGTGTTTCAACCCGCACGTTATGTATACCGCAGTTTATCTGTGAAGGCGCGGAGCGGGGAACAATGCGGATTTCTTGGACCTCCAGAATCTGCACAGGGTGTGGTCTAAGCGGTGGCGCTTGTAGATGGACGCCAATCTCACAAAGCCGGCCCAGCGCCTCGCGTCCACTGCCTAGGTGCAGAATCGCTTCCGTGGACTGAAGGTTGTCCTTCTCCTCGAGCTTGAGTAGCTTCGTGCCACTGCTGAACTTGAGGTAAAAGCTGGCCGCAGCGTCCGGAAGCTGCAGAAGATGCCGAGACGATATCGAGAGTCTCAAAGACCCATCAGCCGGCATGTCAAGCTCGAAAAGCGGAAGCCAGCTCTCGCAAGTCTCCCCAGTATCACCCTTCGGCCGCTTCACGCCCTGTGCCTCGATCAGAAGGTGAGTTCGACCTTCGAGGTCATTCAGCCTGTGAGATACGACATTGACACGGCCTTCGACGAGATCGTCTGGTACGCTCGACCTTGGCATGGTCGGCAATACGGACTGCGATGCCAACTGCGAGTGCATAGGCTGGCCGTTATATATTCGATACGCCTCCTGTTCCCCATGACTGCCAAAACCCCTGCTGAAGTCGGTATAGAAAAAGCTCCCGGAGCCCGCAAGAAACTGCCTCGCAAATTGAAGGATAGGATACGCCCGGTTCGGCGGATGGCGCACACCAGCATTTCCGCATGAGCAAGAGACGTCTTCTAGGAGTGTTCTACCTTCCCACATAGCTCGCTCAACCGCGCGGCCGCATCCGGGAAAGTGCTCCAAAGACCACGCAGGCGCGAAGATGCCCACCGAAAGGCCAACTTCGGCGAGCTTGCTAACTGCGACACCGGTATTCGTTCCACCGCCACCTTTCTCAGGATAGGTTACCCGGGGATGTCTCAAGGTCGTCTTGTTCTGCGCCCAGACATCGACCCCAAAGAAGGTGCGATCGGGAGACAAGCCATGCTCCAGGGCAGTCTGCTTTGATGTCCAGGCATCGGACTCTTTCCAGCAGTAGTTGGTGAGGACGGCCCCGCAAGCTTTACTGAAGGAGACATTCTTCGCATTTAACGCGTTCTGATACGCGATGGTGTTGTCTATGGTAATCGCGTCGTACCTGGCTGACAGTAAGAACGAGAGAGTAGTGGCACAGCGCATGCTGAAGCGTAAGTACAAACCAAATGAGTCTTCGAGTAGGCCCAAGGCAGTCTTGCAGTTGACAAAGAAATGACTCTAGGAGGTTCGCATCCCAGGACTCTTTCGGAAATGGCTTCTCAATGTTGACAAGCCATCCATCGAAGCCATAATGCTTTGCGATGTTGGACAATTTCCGTGTCATTGGGAAGATGGAGCCGGCGCCTGAAGTACCCCCGCTGCCGCCACGTTGCAACAGCTTTTCTGAATCCTTCGTCTGGGGCTCAACGAGCAGGGTCCCCAATGCCATCACGCCATTCCTATGAAGCGTATTCGTCCAAGACGGAGGAGGAACACAGATAAACTTGTGTGAAAAATAGATGAAGGTGCCAACAGCATGAAGGTATTCACAAGTATAGCTCTCTTCCTGCACACCTGTTCCCTGAACTGCTTCATAGCCGTGATAGTTTCCCGAATAATCGTGGCATATTAGCACAGTTGCCTTCTCTTGCTGATTTACTGCAACATTAGACCGAGGCAATAGCGGAGTATTGGCTCTTTGAAGAGGATCCGATTCGGCTTCGGTCCAGGCCTCGAGCTGGTCGAACGTGTCGAAGTACGTGAAGCCCTTCAGGCGGTCTAGCCCACGCTGTTTCTGCCTCTCTTCCGGAGTTGGGCCTGTATCCGGAGCCGGAAACAGATGACGATAGCCGTCCCTGATGGGCCTAAGAATGTCTTTCCAGCCGCGAATGTGAGCCATGCCTCCGTATGCCACTCTGTCCGCAACTGCATGCGCGGTGGGCGCTGGTATCGCAGTGACCAAGTGCGGTGTCGTTCCGACAGGGGAATGTCTTGGCATGCAAGGATGCAAGCTCTCGTCTCGCGCGCATCCGAGCTCCAAACGTGTCATTTCATTTCGAGGCCGCTCTCGCTCTTCAGCAAGTCGATTCCTCCACGTCTCACACTTCTCTCTTCGCACTACACGCAACGCGCGCTACGACGCCGGGTTGCCGCCATGAACATCTTTCGGTTACTAGGTGCGTTGCGACTCGATAGACGTGTCAAACCCAGGCTCAGCATCGCCCGACAGCCGCACAACCGCTTCATTCACATCACATCCGAATGCGCGTGCTAATACGTGCAATCTAGGGGACTTGTCCCATCTCCTCTCGATTCTGATTCTCCTGCAGAAGATGAAGTCGTCAAGCGTACGCTCGTGTCTTCCCGTCGTCGCCCAGCGCACAGCCTAATCCCCAACAGAGCGCGTCCGGCATCTCGTTCAAATCGCAGTTCCTCTACCTAACCGTGTACGTTACGCGCTACGTCGATCTTCTGTGGACCTTTTACAACCCCAATTCGCTCTACAACACCATCTTCAAGATCATCTTCATCAGCACATCTGCGTATACCGTCTACCTCATGCTCAACGACTACAAGCCGACGCACGACCCGAATCTGGACACGTTTAAAGTGCAATACCTGCTGGCATTTGCTGGAGTATTGGCCGTGCTGTTCCCGTACAAATACAACTTCACCGAGGTGGGCATGGGGCAATTGTCGTATTATTGCCGAAGCTGACGGCTGTAGATCCTCTGGGCCTTCTCCATCTGGCTTGAGTCCGTCGCTATCCTGCCGCAACTCTTCATGCTGCAGAGAACGGGCGAAGCGGAGACGATTACCACCCACTATCTCTTTGCACTTGGCGCGTACCGGGCCTTGTATATCCCCAACTGGATCTACAGATACTTCTTCGAAGTTCCGCGCTTCTTCGATCCCATTGCCGTCATCGCGGGCATCATACAGACCATCCTCTACTCGGACTTCTTCTGGATCTACTACACAAAGTGGGTACCAACGGCCAGCCGTTCATCGGTCATGGGTATGCTGACACAAAAGCAGGGTCATCCAAGGCAAGAAGTTCAATCTCCCCGTGTAGGAGCGTCGGGGTTCCGGACGTGTGTTCTATTACGGTTGTCGAAGCTCTGGGTTCGGCATCCCCTGCCCGCCTTCTTGTATCATAATTACGGCTCCACCGGAGACTTGAAGCCACCGGAGAAATCGGTTTGGTTGTGGGTGTATCACGGCGTTTTGAGGGGACAGACCTTGGAATTGGGCTGCTATAGACGAATGCTCTTAGCATTTCGGGGAGCGATTGCTATTCGTTCTGGTGCTTCCAGTAGTGCAAAAGGAGGATTGGACGGGTATACCATGGCTTATGTTCCGGTGTTATCGATATGCAAATGCAATGCATCTTTTCGGAGTCTCGCTCCTGCTTTTCCTCACGTATCTCTACCTTTTCGTTCATTGCTTATGACACGTGGTCACTCATTTAAATACGTTTTGCTAACGAATAGCAGTGTTTGATTGAGCATCAAATCCTCCACCTCAAATCGCCCAAGAAACAAACTATGTGTGTGGGACCGGCCGTCGCCGTGTGTCGTGAGCCTCCTGAGCCTCATCTCTGCCCTCTCTGGACATCAAAGTCGAATTACAAGCAGCGAATGCCCGTCCCTCTTGGCTCCATAGACTCCCAGACCGCTACTGCCTACTTCCATAGCTCCTCTCTCTTCCCCAGCCCCAGTGCACAGCAACCATTCCTCAATGAGACATATGTCCAGCCAAGGTAGGCTGCATCGAGCCCTGCACAGACCTAATTCAAGGGGTTTTGAGGAATACAAATGGAGATTAAGAAGTGACAGCTAGTCTATCTCGGTACAAAGCCGACCGGAAGAAAGCGGCCGGATTCGCAATGGGCACGGCGTCTGCCCTCCAGCCGCAACAATTTGACTTCCCTCCGCGTTTGTAATATTCTGAATTACGTTGAGCCGAGCGAAAAGCTCGAGTCTGTGAATTGATCAGGTTTGATCGCGTTTTAGTCGGTTGAGGGGATTGGTGATATAGCGGTCGGTCGTGCTCGGGCAGATATGAACCAAAGCGCTATAAAGTCCGAAATATAGCTTGTGTTCGGTTTGAGGTCTGCGGTACCTATCCCATCCTTGAAAGCCCTTACCAGCAAGCCTAGTAGCATGGTGGTATTCCCCTAAGCGCCGCCAACACCAAATCCCAATCTTGAGCCACGATTCATCGTACCCACCCGGCCTAACACACTAAAGAAAACGCCAAACCCGCCCAACAAGTATCGTACGCTACTAGACCCCACTAAACCCCAAAAGCATCCACCGTCGCACTAACTAAACCCCCCTCTCCCGCGCTCTGTAACCTCGCACAAAGACTCAAGAAAACCACCGTCTCTGTCGCGGCCAAATAATTCAGCGTGTCCAACAATATCTTCAGGTGCCGAGCGAAGTTATCCTCGTACTTCCCTAACATATCGAACATTTTATCCACGCGCTGGGGGTCGTATACGTAACTGCCGGATTTGGAGGTGCGTTGGGAGGTGAGCGAGGCAGGATGGGTGGATGAGGAGGCGGATTGCGTTTGGGCGTTCGCTTGTGCGACGAGGTCGGGGTCGCCGGTTATGAGGTAGCGGGAGAGGGACTGTGTAAAGGTGGCGAACATGGTGCACGTGGACATTATCTTGTTGTTGATCTGCTTTCTATTAGCCCGAGTTCCCTTCATGGAAGAGCATAAGACGGAAAGGGGGTAAGGAAGGAGGCCTACCCGTAGCAGCTTACTGTTAGTAAGCATGCACTCCTTCAAGCAAGTCGCCAAAAAGTCCACATGATCCTGCATAAGCTCATCCACCGTTCTCTTAACCTGCGGCGTACCTCCTTCTCCGCTTGCCTTCCCCTTGCCCTTTCCTTCTTCCTTACCCTCTTCATTCAACCTCGACATAAGGCTCACCCAGTTCGGCTCGATAACCTCCGCAGTGCAATAATACAACAACTGCTGCACAAAAACAAGCATGCGCGCGCGCAGAGTCCACGCTCTGCGTTTCCACAGCTCGATGCGCGGGTTCTTAGAGCGGTGTTTCCACGCGCCGTGCTTGCCTTGTTCAACCCAGCAGTCGACGAGGCTGTTTTCGAGATGACGGAGCGAGAGGAGGTAGCGAAAGAGGAGTTGGTAGCGTGTGATTGTTACACGGCTAACGACTAGCGAGAGAGGGAAGGGCATAGCGTAGTCGAAGACGAGGGCTTGGAAGCCGGTGATGTTGCTGTCGTCCGCTACGGAGACGGTGTTTGCGGGAGTAACGTAGTTGGATATCGAGCCTGCGTTCGCTGCGTCTTGGTCGAGGCCGGTGACCGTGACGATCTTCATGAGCCAGTTTGTGAGGCCAACTTCATTGATCTCCACCTTAACGTCCTCTTTGTATGGGTCTTCCGCTGCGACGGAGCCAGGCTGTCGGACGACGATATCGAGAAGCGACTGCAGCTTTCCGATGTTGACCGTCTTCGCCGGCTTTTTAAGCTCTGATGCGCCCAGTTCGAGGAAGTAGGAGAAGAAGTCGGAGCGATCGAGGAAGAAGTAGTGTTTGAGAGAGCGTAATCGCGCGGGTAGTTGATGTGTAGTAAGGAGGAGGTTGAAAAGCGAGGAGTTGGCGTAAGCATATGCGGAGTTGACATTATCTAGGAACCGCGGGTCATCGAAGCTCGTCGGAACGTCCTGAACCGTCTGGCTGATATCTACGCCACCGCATTCGCGAACGACGTTGAGATATTTACCTGCGAGCAGTACCTTGTCCTTTACTCCCTCAAGCTGCGGTGGCACAAGCGCGTCTCGTATTGTGTATCGCTTTTCCCAGTACTCGTCTGTGTAGTCCTGGTCTAGCCTCTCCCGCTTGATGCTCTTTTGCTCCTTAATCAGGAACTCGGCATGCGGATCCTTGATTCCACCGTGATGTAACCACTCGTTCAGCATTGCCATATACGGTTTGCTGGCTTCGCGGAGTAATGTCGTGAGCAGCTCCCGTGCAGCCGGATCGCCTGACATTGAAGACAGTCTTCTTGTGATGAGGCCCAGTACGCTCCCGCCTTTGCATATCTTCTTGCTGGTTAGCTGGACATTGCCGCCTTCTCTTAGCGACTCGAGGATCCCCTCAAGATCATCCGTCTCATTTTCAGACTCTTCCGATTCCTCGTCTTCCAGGATCCCGTTCGCCTTCAACAGCTCAATCCCGGTTGTGTAAAGCTGGAACAGCATGTGGCTCGTCTGCTTTGTGTGCAAGTTCAGGACATGCAGCGTAAACGAGTCGTTCGTCAGCATCTGGTGCTCCAGCTGCGCCATCAGCGTCAGGTAATCCTTCAGCAGTCTCCGCACTGCCGCGCACAGCGAATGGTTGACAGCGCCATACTCCTCTCTGCTCAACACCTCAACACATGTCTCCACCGCGATGTAGTGCGTCGCCATTTTCAACATCGACTTCGTCAGGTCCCGCAAACTCGGATCCAGGCCCGGTAGGATGCGGAACTGCGGCCCAACGAGTCTTTCCTTCTCTTCATGAGGGTTATATGAATCGCTGAAGCGAATGTACTGGCCCTCAAACCCCATAAATACGAACAGCAGATCTTCGATTATGGCATTCTCTTGCTGCTCTAGCGACAACTGGGCGAGGGGCGTGGGTTGAAGCGTAGCGGGGGCGGTCGAAGCGAGCGGTGGGATCGATATGCGCGTCGCGAGCGGAGCAGTCGTGTGTGGGACGAGCACAGCCTGCGGCTCCCAGGGCGCCTGAGGCTCTTCCACTGTTCTCCTAGAGCCAGCCGTGCTCGCCGTCGCCGACGCCATCGCCCTCTCTTGTCTTGGCTGTTTCTCCGTCTTCGTCCTGGCATTGACTCGACTCTCAGAAGAATGCTTCAACGGGCTCCGTGTCCGCCGCACCTCCACCTCTCTCTCTCGCACTTCCCGCCTCTCGATGCGTCTTTCGCCTGTCCCGGCGTTGGCAGACTGTTTTCGCGAATGCGACGTCGTGGAGCCGCGTCGTTCATTCTCCCCGCCCATGGCGCCCGACGGAGCGCGGGGTCGCGACGAGGACGTGTAATTAGCGGAGCGTCGGTCAGTCGTCGATGAGGATTTCGTGTTCGGGTTGCGGGTGGACATGGCAGCGGCGATGCAGCTGGGGCGCCATAGAGGCCGGGTCCTGTTTGTTGTGTTCGTTGTGCCGTCTGTGGATGCTTGGGCTGCGGTGAATTGGACGTGTTGTTCCCCCCGCGTCGCGCAGGACAGGGCTGCTCTAAGCGAGCCGAACCATGGCAAGTAGCTCTCAGAGGGATGCATCGAGCCTTGGAAACTTGTCGTTGATATAATATTCGTTCGCTAACCTATACCTGCGGATTCCGCAAATTCAAAATCTAGCAGTATACAAAGGCGCCACCGCTATGCCGGCGACCCGTCGGGTACTATTGCAGACGCCAAAGCCCCAACGCCATTTATGCAATGCTCCGCTCCTCCTCTTGCATGACTTCCTGTTATACCTCATATCTCCCTCGTCCCGTCGCTTCGTTCCCGAATAACCTCCCCGCATCCACGCAATATCGTGCCTCTCCAGTGCCATCTCTCCCGACTTCGCTTCCCCAGCAGACCAGCACCGCATCTAGGATTCCCCCCAGCACTCCCTCCATCGCGCCGAGTGCTCCCCATCCGATAGCGGCACTGATCAAGCCAACCACATACGCATATAGGCTCCCCTTGTACGGAACCGTCTCGTTCCCAATCTGAAGCATTCTAGCCGTGGATACCCAGCCCCCAAAGCCGAGTGCGATTGTTATCACCCAGCGGATGGCGTGCAGCAGGAGTTTAGCCAGCCGGTACGAGACGAGCGACGGTCGCGGATGCGAAGGTGCAAAGGAGCGCGGCCCAAGCGTTGTAGTTGGGGATGAAGAAGAGATGAAGGTCATGTTTGAGAGGCCCCTAGCAGCTTGCGACAGGGGAAGACCGTGGATTGACGCGTATGTCAGAGTGAGCGGATTCGTCAATGCGGCAATTGGAGTGGGGATGATCGAGTATGCGCACATGCTGATGAGGCCGGAGATCCGTCTGGGGAGGACGATGAGCGGTAGGCGAACGAGGAGGGCGAGGAGGGTGGAAAGACAGATGGTACCGGCCATCGTGTACGACGCGTGTGCGAGCGAGGCCCGGACAACGGTGTGGGCTGCGGGTGCGGGAACCGTGTTGCGGTGGAAGTACCACTGCGAAACAGTCGCTGCAGTTGTCGCGCGCTGTACGCCCGCAATGACGCTCAAGGCCCAGAAGTAATCCAAAAAGAAGGCGGCTCCGAGCCACCAGGTGCCGAGGTCAATGGCCCAGCGGGATTTCGTGAAGTGGCCACCAAGGAATAGGCGCGTGAACATGAGCATCCAGATCCACGACCAGAGTACAACGGATGCCAGCGCACCGATGCCTACAAAGAGGAGTGGAGACTGTGCACGAAGAATCTCCCCAGAGAATTCGAGCATGTCTGCGGCCTTTTCTAGCGAATGTCGCCCTTTCCACACAGTGTAAACCCAGAACAGGGAAAAAAGCAGCGGGCCGAGAGATAACCAACGCATGGCCTTGTCTTGAACGCTGTCACCGTGCCACGATCCCCTGTAGCTGGAAATGAGCGGGTAGAGGAAGAAAGAGAACGAGATGGCCGGTACGGCAACTAGAATCAGCATGATCAGTGGCCGCGCAAAAGACCGTAGTAGAGATAGCCATAGCAACCCAACCAGGACCGAAACTAGCGAGTAAACTCCAATCAGGTGGAAAGACGAATGCAGAACCGTGTAGATGGTGTCTCCGAGCGGATGCTTCTTGTCAGGTGGCGATTCCTGTAACAGAGCGAGGAAGAAAACGCCAATAATGGCGCACTGCGCGATGACGAATAGTTCCGCCCAGAAGAAGTTATGCCTCGGTGGTGCTACAGGCTCCGCGGCGACGAGCTGTGGTACAGACTCGCGATCAGGGCTTATCGGATGCTGATTCTCCAAGAGCGTATCCTCGTCCGTCTCTTGCGGTATAGGTAACGTCGTTCTTAGCGGACTTCTCGGGCGTTTCGATCTTGGGATATCGCGGAACTGCTGGAAGGATGGCGGCCGGTCATCGTTGTCGCGCAAAATCTCGTCCCTGTTCACCTCTTCTATACTCCCTCGATCCGTGGAGGCAAGCTCAACATCCACCAGGTTGCCCTTCCCTTTGCTGCTAGGGCCGCTTGACTCCGAGAGCGGTACGCTCGTGTCCCTGTCCTCAGATTCCAGCGTCGTGACGGTGGTGGGCCTCCCGCGCGGGCCGGGTTTGTCTCCCTTCCACGAACTCTTGATACCGCGGCCCAGTCCATAGCCAGTATCGTTCTCGTCGCCCTCTATTGTGTGATCCGACCTCTGTGCCACGTGCTCATCCACCTCCGAAGACTCTGAAAGGTTGCTGACGCCAAACTGGCGCCTCGAGCGCTGCAGCGCGTAGTGATCTGCCATTTCCCGGTCGTGCTCCTCATGGTCGTCCTCTTCCCGAAAGTCGTCGGTGGCGGAGTAGAACAGCGGCGCGGGCGCGTTTGATGTCCGTGACGCAAAGGCGAAGCGCGACATGGCCTGGGAGTTGTAAGGGTTCGGCATGGTACGGCGCTGAAGATATCCGGCCGGAGCTCGCGTTCGAGAGGGAGGGCGTTGCCTGTCTGTATGATTGCGGGGGAAAGGAGGGTCGGGCTGGCCGAGAGAAAGCCGCGACTGTGACTGCGACAGGAACTTGGATGCATCTGGGGGAGCACGCTGGTCAGTCACACGGGGTCGCAGGTCATCCAAGACGGAGGCTCCGCCGCTGTCACATGTGCCTGATAAGGGCGCTGGGGGGCTTACATTCGGAGAACATGGTGCGTGACGTGGGAGGAGAGCTGCTCGTGTGCCTGCGCAGCTTCCCGCGGGTGGCTCAGGCGTATGTATCGCGGGTGCAGCCTTGTGGTGGTGGAGATGAGTCAGGCGGGTCAGCAGTCGGTCGGTGAGGCGGGCGGCGGTACAAGAGGCAGCAACAGCGGATGACGCAGTATTCAAGGCATCCAGCCGGGCGAGGGCTGCCGCGGGCTGAGCGACTGATGTGTGCAGTGGATGAGATATGTGATATGGAGAAATGCCGCAGCAGCGGTGAATAGCAATATCAGGTGTTTGTAGGTGAGGTCTGAGGTGCAGGTGTTGTTTCTGTCGTCACGCCTGCCAAGGCGACGCCCGCTGTGCCCACTCGCCGGCTTCGGGAAAGCACCTACTGTAGGTGGGCGCTCGGACCGCGCATGCTTCAAATACGAGTAGATGCCGCCTTGTTCTGGTCCACCTCGCTATCCTTCAGCCCACCTGCAGCTTGGGGCATCCGTGACGAATTCCCGCTTTCCCATGCTTGTTCATCCTTCGCCGTCTCCGCCAAGGTACCCTTTGTAGATTCCTTGCCCACTGTTCTTTTACCCCCATGGCGCGAACTCATTAGACACGGAGTGCTCCGCCCATGGGCACCCGCTCAGCCAAGGATCATATCTTGACTCGGATACCCGTCCTGACCCTGCCATCCGGTGAACACAAAGTCCTCGTACTGCTCGTCCTTGAATGCCAGCAACTTGTCCTCCGGCGCCGCCACCCTCGGATCGCGTCCGATCATCCTCCAGCAGAACCTCCGGTCGCTGACGATGATAATCCTGCTCAAGATAGCGTCTGCCCACGAGCCGAAGACGGCCCCTTCCAGAAGCACGCCTCGGAACTGCGGCTCTTCGTTGACTCGCTTCAGGATGGCGTATTCGTCCCACAGCGGCTTCGTGTACCGGATGACACTCTGGAACTTCCCCATATCCTCTGCATCTATCTCGGCGCGCTTGCCGTCCGGAAACACGAGGTACTCCGCCGTCTGCAAAGACTGCAGAAGGGCCTCACGCTCGTTGTAGCCCTTGGAGTTGATGCCAAAGCCATGAATCTGGGTTTTGAAGAGGGGGCCGGAGACGATGGTGAAGAGGAGGCACTTACTCCAGTCGCCGACGCCGTTCTTGGGCACGATAGCGATTCCGCTGGCGTCGACGCCGGGCGGTCGCGCATAGTCGAATCTCATGACGTCTAAAGGCGAGGTGCCAAGTCAGCACATCGTCAAACGAGGGATAGCCACCTCTATCTCAGGTCCATGCCCGCGACGTGGCGAAACGACACCCAGAAGCACTTCAGCCAACAAAGCGCAGGCACGCGACGGCAAGCATGGAGTTCTTAACCCGGCAATACATACAGTAAGTCATGCGAGGGATTGGGTCGTCTATGACGGTGGCACGTTTCTCCATCGTGGTCGGCCAGGTGTTTGAAGATAGGATAGGATAAGAATGTGCCAAAAATGGGGTTGCGAACGGGTAGGCGCGCGGTGCTCGTACGCTGGTGGGGTGGCCTGGGTTTCAATTGATATTTAAGAGTTCAGTATTTCAGGTGCTTTGCAGAGAGCGTGTAGGGTGAAGGAGAGTTGCTTCCATCTACAAACTTGAGGGGTCCGCGCGCTGGGAGGTGAACAAACTATCTGGAAAACGCGGTGGAAGGCGCGCGGGACAATGATTTAGGGGCTTCTGAGTTTGCCCCGCTCTGAGGAGACTTAGGGGAAATGAGAATATTCTTTCAGTGACTGAGACACTGCTGCTGCTTGACGTGATTGTCCACAGTCCTGGGGTGCTCGATGAAAACACATGAACTCTCCGACCCGCCTGCACCTGAGCTATAAAGTACTACCCGTGCGTCTGGGGCTCTTTTGAATGACAGAAGATAGCAAGCATCCATAAGAATGCCGTCCAACACGGCTCCTCCAAACTGGCATATCACGTTTACCCGTTTCAGCCTAGCTTGCTGAGCCACTTCAGCCACAAGTCGGCATCATGCTCGTCATCCCGGACGTCTTCCACGACTCCACTACCGCAACCTTAATAGCTTCCTCCACGCAAGACTTGCACGGCGAACTACGACAGTCGCATCTCGCCGGCGTTCGCGCTGATTCATCTTCGGCTCACTGAGTCTTCGGCACAAGCCACGTCGCTATCGCACGCAGCTCCGCAAGCTCGCGCCGCGTCCCCAAAGCTTCTGAAGCCTGAGAGAGCTCTCGCCGTCCGGCGGACAGCACTCACAAATGACGCAACCATGGGACTACATCGCGAAAATAGTATCGCTAGGTGACTCAGGATGCGGGAAGTCTAGTGTACGCCTCTTCACCTGTCCCTACCTCTTTAAATCTCGCTCCGCTAACTCCTCCAGCTCACCATCCGCCTCTGCGAAGGCCGCTTCTCCCCGCACCACGACGTAACCATCGGTGTGGAGTTCGGTTCCCGCATTGTCCCCGTTGGCCCGCCCGCCTCCCTCGACCTCCATATCAACAACCCCAAAGCCGCTTCTAGTCCCTCGCCCACATCTCCTACAAAGAAGAACCAGGAACAGCCGCAAAAGCACATGAAGCTCTCGCTATGGGATACTGCAGGCCAGGAAACATATAAGAGTATCACGAGGAGTTACTTCCGCGGTGCATCGGGTGCGCTGCTAGTGTTTGATATCACGCGGAAGAATACGTTTCTCAGTGCGACGAGCTGGCTGCACGATTTACGGCAGATTGCAGAAGAGGGAATCGTGGTGGTACTAGTGGGGAATAAGAGCGATTTGGCCGCTGCGTCGACGGTGTCGGGGCAAAACGGAGACAATCAGCGGCAGGTTACGAAAGAGGAGGCGGAGGAATGGTGTCGCCAGAATGGCGTCATGCAGTACGTCGAGACGTCCGCAAAATCCGGCGAGGGCGTAGAAAGAGCCTTTCTGGAGGTTGCGGAGCGGATATACCAGAATATCGAAGCCGGGAAATATGATTTGAACGACCGCAGATCTGGAGTCAAAGGGCCGACCGCAGGAGGTGGGAACCAGGCGAGGATCAACCTAGGCATGAATGATGCGGCGAGAGGGCGGAAAGGGCAGCAGGGGTGGGGTGGTTGCTGCTAAACGGTCGCGGTGTGGTTCAAGTGCTAATGTCTGCGATATATTGCTGCAGGTAACTGGCACGTTACGGCCGAGGTGGTACGAGTACATCCGTCTGATTTCGAACTTGGTATAAACAGACTTGCATTGCGAGGCGTTGGTTGGGACATAGAATCTGCTTGGTGGTATATTTTGTAATCGCAATATCTTCGTTCTCCTATGGGAAGGCGTCGACTCCGCTCTTGCCTTGCTAGAGGCCTTTACTAAGGTATGATTACTTAAGGAGTTTGCTGACAGGATACTCACAGGAGGCTTTAGTGATGATTGTCACCACGGTCAGGATTTCGCGCTAGCAGTGCTCAAACATGTCGACCACGTTCGATTCAACACCAATCCCGTCTCGTCTGTGTAAATCACCCCTTCTACCACCTTTGGTCACCACATACGTTCACGAGCCTGCTGCAACTAAAGTAGGCATCAATTAAGCAGATAGAGACTGTGGCTCTAAAACCCCCCCGAATCGACCTTCAGGTGTCCGCCTTCTAGTAGCTGGTTTTCTACCCTTTCTAAGAAGCGGATTGCTACTGGCCCAATGGGTCCGTCTTACCCCCGGCCCCGGATCATACAGGCACCCAAACCATGTGGCTGAAAGAGCAACGAGTTTGTGGATTCTGTAGATTCAGCGGTTGAAGAGGAGTGCTGTGTGCAGCATAAGGAAACACAAAGATGTTCGAAATACCACCATATGCGCACGCACCCCGCCCACCACTTGAAAGACAAGGTAGATGAGAGCTGGAAAGGAGGCCACTATGAGCCCGTCGATCCCGCAACAGATCCGGACCTCAAGGCCATGGTAGAGACTGCGAAGGAGGCCAACTGGATGACCAAAAGTGAGTTTCCTCATATGCCCTTTGCTTTCGGCTATGCTGGTGCGAAGGAGCCTTGAGAAGTCGTCGCAATGTCCGTGGCCCAGTTGCGATGTAGGGCCCCGACCCTACGTCCGTGGAAGAGCAAGCGCTCAATAATCACTTCGCGCTCAGACCCGACGTTTCTGCCCTCATCGACTCACCTACAAAGCACGCTCGATCTCCATTCGTCTCGGGCGAAGAGGCATGGAAATTCTGCGCCCATTGATTGGACATGGTGCGGATCGGCACTTGGTCTCGATGCTTTCGCCACGCTCACTATATTTTATTGCATGCATGTGCTCTAGTGTACCTTAATATGTGAGTCTCTCTGCCCGACCTTGGCGGCTTTCTCCGGTTAATTCGCGCAGGGTGAATGGATAACCATTTCTAGCATTGATCGTCGGAAGTTTTTCTTTAGCGAAGAGTGCTGCGGAGCTAGGCCTTGAGCCGCAAATACCACCAATTCTGCGCATCCCGGATGGGTTTTCGTCGGCACGATAGTCTTCCCAAGCACGCTGCGACCCTGCTCGCTCACGACCGACAGGTTCCATCGCGTCTAAAGGATGGTTACTTCGAAGGACTTGGTGATCCACCCATCCGGGCTTTGGGAACTTAACACTTCCCTCTAAGTCCGTTCCTGATGTCAATGTCTGCACACCCTTGACTTACGCACTGCCGATGCACCATACCACTGCAGGAACCAAGCCTCTACCCCATCAAGGACGTGCAGCCTCATATAGCACTCATACATTGCATTTACTCAGTTCCGCCAACGGTACTTTGAGAAAACCGCATGTTCTGTGCAATCGCCTTCTGCCGAACCCAACAACACCACAGCACACGCAGGCCAGCCGCTGCAATTGGTTCGGAGGCTTCAGGCCTTGAGCACGTCAATATATGCCATGTTGTCGAAGCCGGACACGGTCGGCTTGGTGTTGCCGTACGGCCCCCACCAGCTAACATGTCTAAGTTCGCATATAAAGGCCGATCAGCTGCTGACCGAGAGGGTCTTGTGGGTCTCCTCTTCGTCCTTTTCCGGTAGACCGCCAATCGTAACATTGTAGCCAACATGTCGGTCAAGTCTTTCCTCCTGATGCTCGGCCTTCTGGGCGCGGCGAATGCACAGAACTCGTCCTTCGCTCTTCCATCCGGCATCCCTCGCCCTTCGATCGGGATCTCTCTGGGCCCCACCGGTGGCATTTCGTTCTCGGGCGGGATTCCAATTGGAACGGGCCTCCCAAGCGTGCCTTTGCCTACCCCTTCCGCATCCGTCGGTCTCTCCATCCCTGGCGTCCCTCTGCCCACCGTCTCGGTTCCCCTTCCTTCTCTTCCGAGGCCGTCAACCATACCGGCGCCCACTGCGTCCATTGGACTGTCTCTACCTCCGCTCCTCCCCTCGGTTTCAGTGCCTTTTCCCATCCCGCCAGTAAACGTTTCGACATCGATTGCGGTCCCGTCACTCTCCCTTCCGGTGCTGCCTTCCATTCCACTGTCAACAGGCCTGCTGCCATCGCTGTCCGTACCAGTCCCACTGCCTTCGGTCAATGTTTCGCGGTCCATCGGCCTTTCCGTTCCGTCGATCAGACCTACCGGATTTCCTCCGTTGCCTTCGATTTCGATCCCCTCAATCAGGCCGACACCGCCATCCTTCAACACGACAAGGCGACCCAGCTTCTCGTTTCCGATCCCAACGCTGAGGCCCACCAGCCGCCCTGTTCCATCCTTCTCGTTCCCATCCATCAGGCCAACCCCTCCCTCATTCAACACGACCCGCTCTCCGTTCCCGACATCGAGGCCAACCCCGCCACGCCCGTCTTGGACGCACCCCAATCCCACCTCCCGACCCACCCCTCCCATCCCGTCTTCGAAGCCCACTCCGACCATCTCAAGGCCAGTGCCGCCCTTCCCCACATCGAAGCCAACCCCGCCTATTCCCACACTCAAGCCCACTCCGACCATACCCAGCACTCTCATCACTAAGCCCCACCCGCCTAAGCCCACACCAACAGACGACGGCGACCCGTGGGAGGAGTGCGACCCCGATGAGGACGACGACTGCGAATGCGACGGCGACGACGAAGACGAAGACGAAGACGATGACGATGACGACTGGAAAGACTGGATCTGGTTTTCGCACAGAAGCAAGAAGGCGCACAAGCACCATGCCGCGGCCGCGAAGAACTGGCAGCAAGGAAAGCACACGGGCTATCGCAAGAAGAAACTCTCGCCGGAGATGCAGAGGAGAGCAGAGGTCACTGGTCGCATCATTGGCGAAAGGCCCGTGGACGGACGGCCGGTTGATGGGAGACCCGTTGAGGGAAGGCCGATTGGTGCCTCGAAGATAACTGCAAGGCGCTTGCTTGCGAGACTTCTTCGTGCGTAGAGTACTTGCACTACCTAGTCTTTCTATATACTCTTCGTTTCTATAGTGAGGGCAAAGTATTTCAAGCCGTACTGAAAGATTCTCCCTGCGTATATGGAGGGCCGCTGCCAAGACCTTCAGGAAGAATCAAACTTCGGACGGAAAATTATGTTAGCTAATTAGAGAGCTCGCATTAAGCAGAAGCCCCAGCTACTGCGGTTGTGAGCTTTTTCTTACCCTCCTTATCGGAGTTATTGAAAAATCAGTCAATGGGCATCACATCGGCCACCGAGCCAGCTAGAGGCTTACCTACCTATAACCACGTCCTTCGCAGAGAATAGTAGTACTTATATACTATGGTTACAAGCTTTTACTAAACGTAAGTAAATGTATAGCTGAAGAAAGAAGAATTTAAATTACTGTACAGAAGGCACACTCGTTACACGAAGAACTAGACTAATTAGAAGAACGAACCCTGCACCCCTCGTTATCATCCCTTGCCATCGCTCAGTCCCTCCGCGCACCATGTGGCTCGCCCACCTGACCAATAGGTCCCCACGGAGCCTGCGTCCGCTTGAATCCAATCTTGACGCGATTGCAACGGGCCATCTTATCCTGGACCGGGGTCTCCATGCGGAGTACCGTCTCGCGATACAGCGTCGCGGTCGTCCAGTCGTAAGAGCAGCCGATGGCGCGTTGCATACCGCCTTCGGAGCCCGCAAGGAGGAAGCAGACAGGCGGACGAGCGGCCATGAATAGGGTTGCCGTCATGTTGCCTGGTTTGGTGTCAGCCATGTGTTCAACGAGTAGTGGATGGGAGGTGAGAGAAAGCACTTACCAGTGTCTACGAGAGTGAAGATGCGTTGGTCGCCGGGCTGCGCATTCTTACACTTCTCTACGAGCGCCCTAACGGCCGGATCCGAGCATGGGTCGTCAGGCACACACTCGCCATACTCATTCCGATGATGTCGGGACAGCGGACTCGAGAAGGGCGTCCAGCGCATACGACCCAATCGTCCACCGAAGATCTGGCGCTCGATGGTGTCGATATCCATGTACCCCTCGAACCCAAAGAGCCAACCTTGTTGGCCAAGGAATTTGCCAAGGTAAAGCATACGCAGGAGATACGGGGAAAGCCCCAACCAGATGAGCGCGTAAATAAAAAAGGGGATACCGATCACGGGAAAGATAACCATGAGGATGATAGAGAGATAGAAGACGTATCCGCTACTGCGGAGCATATACTCTGCAGCCAGGCGTCTCCAAGTCAGGCGCCGGATGTGCGTGACTTGAGTGAAGGATTTCCAACGGACGTTGGCGGCGCGGCAGCCGTCGAGGATGATGGTGTCGTCCGTTCCAACGCCGGAGATGCTGCACTCTTGAGGGAGGATGTCCCAGAGCTTAGCGTGATAAGCGTCATCCATCGAGTGCCATGGTTGATCTGGAGTCCTAGGAAGGACGCAGATGAGGCGCTCGAGAAGTTGGTCACTGTCGTTTGCCAAGGAGAGTCTGTTACTGTCAGCATTAGACAGCATGATTGACGCAAGAGAAGACCTACCGTGCGAAAGCTTGGAAGGCTGAATCTGTGGGGTCGATCTTCGGTCGGATGCGCAGAAGACCCATCAGCGCATAGCTGTGGTCTCCGGGGAGGTACTGGGTGGTTTCTCGCTTTTGAAGGCACTCAAGAGCCAGCGTAACGAGCTCCAACTGGCTTAGGATGAGGTTGCCTTCATAGTGATCTACCAGCTGCGCGAGTCAACAAGAGGGGTCGCACATGATGGGGCGACAGCCTACCTGGCGCGCAACGCTAGCATCCTGCCTCCATACTTCGACGGTGAACTGATTCTTCGGTACCCGGAGAGGACTTGTAAGATCAGTCCCGCGTGTGTATACTCTAATATCTCTCCCAGCAGGGGCAAGGAGAACCTCCGGGAAAGTCCATATCCGTCTGCCCCATTGCTGTAGCATGAGTTCGGTGGTAGTTATCTCCCCCCTGTCGTTTCGAGGGCGGGCGACGGCTATTGCAACAGAATCGGCTCCCCGAATGACGTCGCAAATGCGGTATACCTGATAAAAATAAGCCTTGATACGCGGAGATAGCTGGAGAATACGCACGTCGTCCTGGAGGGTTTCTTTGTCCGGCATGCATGAGCAGCCGACCCAATAGGCCGTGGCTCCGGCATTGCGCGCAGCGGCGTCCGCAATCTGGTGTAGGGCTTGAAGGTCGTCGGGCATTCGGAATTGCTCTGCCGTGTACGCCACGAAGACATACTTCAAAGTGTTCTCGGCCCTGTATTGAGCGATGTACTGATCTACATTCATGCGCATCGCCGGTTGGCCTTCTTGGCCAAGGAAGTAGAGGTATCTCGGCCTAAGCAGGCGCTCAGCGATTGGATTCGTCTCACCGAAGCGGTGGCCGCGGGGTGTATCTATCTCGAGGGCGTTCCGACAGACTTTCGGATAGCCGATATATCGGTACAGGAATGGGTCATAGTTGCCGTTATTCCTGAACTCGACTTGCTTCGGGCGTGGTGTTCCAATCTAGAACCGCAGTCAGTGAGGCATTGCCTTGAAGGGCCTAGAATACGTACAACAAAACTTATCGCAATAGTAGCGAAGAACCACTTGACGATGATCAAGGGCCAGTCTGCTAAGACGTCAGCACTGTACTGGACGTGTTCTCTTGCCTCTCCTGACGGACATACCCTCGCCAGTGGGACCTCCGTTGCGCACGTAGTCCACATGGTTGAAAGGCCAGTTCGCGAGTCGGAGGTAGAATGGAGCCATGTTTCTGACGAACGTTCTGCGCCATGTGCTGTTCGTCGTGTTGTCATAGATGTCGTCGACGGCTTGCACAACAAGCTTGCTGACCTTGCCGTCGAAAGAGGAGATGTACCGATCATCGCAGTCGCCAGTCCACTCGCGGTCAAACCTTAACAGCTAAGCTATTGCAAAAACAAAGGGGCTCGGTGGCAATACTCACCAGTCAATATGTCGATGCTGTGCGAGCTTCTGATAGCCGAGCCCAGGCTTTCCTATATCACTGTGAGCCATATTAGGACAGCTTCAATAACATGGAACGTACGGTAGAAGTTCGGAAACTGCCATTTGAAGGAGGTATGCGCATCGAACAGATGGAGATAGCCCTTCAGGCGCATAGGCCCCTTCCGCTTCATCGTTGTTAGTCCAGCGACTGGAATACCCGGGGTGAACGCACCGGAACCTGGACATATGTCTGTCCATTTGGGTTGACCATCACGGGAGTGTCGCCATTGGGCGTATACGCTCCATTAAAGATGGAAGTGGTAGCCACCGGCCCCACCTCGTAAGATGATGCGTAGGGTTCCTTGCCGGCCATCTCCACCTTCTTCGCGGGTGAATCTAGCGCAAGCAGGGACAGAGTACCCCGAAAAGGCTAGGTGATGGACTGTACTGCTGTGGGGGTTTCTGAGGAGAGTAGCCGCCTTGATGTGTGGTGGAATACCCCTGTATAGTTGTGTAAGACAAGGCTTCAGGAGAATCAAGAAGAGACCCACCTGGCTTGTATAGGAGGCTTGTTGGCTTAGGTAGATCGGCGTAGAAGATGCGAGGGGTTGAGGTTGTGCGTGTACCGGTGGGGTAGAATAGGGTGGTGTAAGGTCGTAGCCTCCTCCGTGGGGAACCGGGCCCTTTCACGCATCAAGTTAGAGAGGCTTCCCTAAAGATTGAGCGGCAAACATACTGGAGCGGCGAGGGGTTGAGGTTGAGTGTTGGCTAGTGGGCTAGAATAGGATGCTCCAAGATCGTAGCCTCCTCCGTGAGGAATTCTACCCTTTAGAGCATCAAATCAGCGGAGTCTTTCCTAGAACAGTGAATGGCAAACATACCGGAGTTTGATGGTATGGATTGACAGGAGCGATGGGAGAGTTAGAATAGTGTAGATCGTAGCCACCACCGTGGGGAACAGGTGCCTGGTGGGATCTCTTAGCAAAATCTCTGAGGAGAAAGGAGGTGAAGCCTTTACCATCCAAAGTCCGGAATGTGTAGGTCAAGGGGAATCGAGTCCTTGGGTTGAGAATACAAAATATGAGCTATGGTCATGCTCGAAGGCAAGCCTAATATGTATTCTCCTCGAAGGCATCAGGCTGAGCACAGAGATAGGGGCAAAGTCCCCCATCCCCTAGCACATGCCCCTCTCGAAAGTTTGCTCTCGCTAAGGACGCATTGTGGCTTTCCAATGTGATCGCGAGGGATTGGCCGGCACACCGCATAGCTGGCGTTTTCGTTCAGCATTCAGGTGTGAATTTCACCGATGGTGTTGTGCTTGGCAATCGAAAGGCAATCTAGAGCTTCAGGCCTAAGCGATTGCACAAGGTCCGGTGAGCCTGAAGAAGGCGGAGATGAGGAATCAGAGGTCGCCCAGGGTGAAGCCGCGTCGTGTGAAAGATGCATCTCCGAGGTAGTCCTAGGGACCAATGCTAATATTAGACGGGTAGTTTTGGTCGAGACTCCCATGGCCATGGATATCGGGATGTCGATCTTGGATCTCGTGTGACCGTGCGACGTCCAAAAAAGGTGTGTTCCGGCCAACGGGAGGGCACACGCATGGGCCCCCGGTTGACGGGCGCTACACATTAGCTTCCGCTCCTTATTTTGAACCCCGAGGTAATGCCCTGGAGAGGCGCTCCACTTGTTGGTTGAGACGTAATGCGGCCCACGCCTGATACCACGATAGAACGGAGTTTGCCGAAACAATACTTGGTTGGGCAAACGGCATCAAAGTCGCAGCCTTCTCTGGTCGCACAATCTCGCACCCCGAGAAAAGGGAATGTGAGACGAACTTCTGTATGACCGCATGGCCGGAAATGGTCCATACAGATGTAGTCCACAGACCCAGATAACTGTAGCAGGCATGAACAAAACCATTGGCCAAAGCGACCTCGGATGCCCTTGCAGAAGGAGAATCGGTCGCTAATATGCTTGTGGCGGGGATGCGCGTTGATTGGGTTCACACAGCTTCAGCCTTGCGCCACCAAGCCTTTCCTCGTATCTTGTGTAGCGCTGAAGTCTTGGATTGGTAGTGCCATGGGGCCAGAATAAATTGAACCCCCTCTTGTTGCATAATAGCGATCCATTTTCGGTTACAGCCAAGAACGAGGTCCCTGTAAGAGCCTCATGATCGCGGGGGCATTGGAGAGAAATCCTGATTCCAATACTTCCTGCAACAGCCACCTGTACGCATTCTGCGATTAGCTATCAGAGAGGAAATGCTTAGCGAGGATAAGGGTGTTACGTACGATGAGCTTTGCGTACGACACCAAATGGGGCTGAGGATGTTGAGCCGCACCAGCATGGCCAGGCCAGTCCCAAAAGGGCGCGCTCTGAGATCAGGAGCGGTTCTATGGTTTTTACCTTTCCTACGTTGAAGGCCTCCAATGGTGATTCACCCAAAAGCGCGACAGTAAGAACAAGCCTGGGTCTCTAGAGAAACTCAGATCGTACCAGCAAGATACAAGTCCGCGTTCGACGACCATGAGTCTGCCTTCAAGCTTCGCAGAGGATCGCGATCTCCTCCTGAAGGCGTACACTGAAGAGGCGAAGAGGATAGCGAAGGAAAATCGGCTACACTTCCAACAAGGGAATGCGATTGATATTCGCTTGTTTGAATGGTATCAAGATACCACGAAGACCGCGGGTTGCTCGATTACAACGGTTCAGACGCTGGAACAGCCAAAGGAACCTACGGTTCGAATTTTGTACGGGCGACGACATACCCATCTCGATGATCCATACTGACAGGAATAGGCTGGCTCCACGAGACATTCCGCATCCAGAATATGCGAATGGGCTTGTTGAGCTTTTCAAGAGCTGCAATGTTCCGAGCGCGTTCATTGCCGAGAGCTTCCATAATGTCTCCCAGTCGTTCGGCACTCAAAATGACGAGACTGGCGTATATGTATGGTTTCACTTCCTTTCGAAGGACATCAAGGCGCAGAACGTGGATGGTCAGTTGGCCATAGTCAACCGTCCGAAACACGAAAGGGCTCCGGAGGAGTCCGACGAAGCGTGCGAGGAAGACTCTGAGGAAATCGTGGATACCGCTGGTGTACCGGAGCCGCAGCTGAATCAGGCCAACTATCATTGGACCAAGACCGGGGTCGTACTCAGAATCAAAGAGTCGAGAAAGTCACCTTCGACAAAAAGTACATCCACGCCGACTAGCGCCCCGCCCGAGGATCCGGAAGTCACATTACTTTGCTTCGGAAGCCCAAATGCCCTTATTCTTCGTTTCGAGAGGTTGGCGAAAATGGCGTGTTACAAGGACATACTCGATGATCCGTATATGCTCCTAGTCATTGTCGTTGAGGAGATGCACAAGTTGTTGGATGCAGCGGGCTGGTCAGTGGCGTGGACTTTCGGGCCCATTGAAACAGTAGGTACCAATTGGGCGAGTTTGAAGGGAGGTGCTAATCTGAATTTGCAGAGGACCTTTGAAAACGCTCAAGACAATCCGGGCACGGCAGGAAACGAGCTCAATTTTGCGGGGCTGCATAACCTCGCAAAACATACGATATACCTGCACGAGAACTGCGGGTCAGCGCTGGCCACGCTGGAGGACTTACGTGGTTTTCACAAGACTACCCTAGCCGTGCCTCGCAACTCTTCCCAGCAAGCCACCCGACGAGCTCTGAGGTATCGAAGGACGCTCTTCCAATCAACGCAGCGCCGACTTGCTAGTCTGGATCAACGAATGGCGAACATGATCGAGTTGTCCTTCCATCTCGTCACCCAAACCGACAGCCGTACAATGATGTCGGAGAGTAATGCCATGAAAACGATAGCCTTTATGACGCTGATATTCTTGCCTCTAAGTACCGTGGCGACGATTTTTGGCACAGAATTCTTTCACATGTCCGACGACGCGCCGAATCGTATTCAGATGTCTTCGGACATCTGGATCTTGTGGGTTGTTGCTGGTCCATTGACTCTCATGCTCCTCATCATTTGGCGGGTGTGGTATTTGGATGCAAGAGCTAGGCTGGGAGTGGACCCAAAAGGAACTGAGTACATGGGATGGAAGCGCCTGAAGAAGCGTTTCGAGGGCCCATATCTCAAGAGACGAATAATAGGGCGTGCTATGAAGGGCAATAATGAGGGGATTGAATTGAGAAATATGCCATGATTGCATCTTTGGGTGTGCCGCGGATGAGGCGCCGCAGCGCAGGTGGACGCCGACGGGTGAGCGAGTGTGGGAAAGGCCCGATAAGAAGAGGGGTACATATAGCCAGGTGGTGAGGCTCGGACTGGGAGAATAGAGAGCTCGCCGATAGCTGAGCACAGGTCCACGGAGAGGACGAAATCCAGCAAAGATTAACAATATGAGTATATCACAATGCCGGAAGCATGCAACAGGACGAAGGTAAAAGTTTGCGCGTCCGACTCAGGCAGGGCCCCGGGGTGTCATGGACTTGCCGAGGAGGCTATACCGTTTCTGTACTAGCTTTTGTTTTCATTCCCCTCGCGACTTCTTCAGCTCTGGCAACATCGCATTAAGTGCTTCTTGAAAATCTTCAACACATTATTCAAACTTCAATCAACTATCTATTCCTACTCCTTGGCATAGCCGAACAAGCATTTCCTATGCGCATCAGAAGAATCAGAAGCCGCAACAAACCCACCCAGCGCTCCACCCCTCCCGCGAACCAATCCCCTCCTCCACAGCCCCGCCTATGCAACAATCGACCCCTCCCTATGCACCGCCTCAACCTTCTCCTCATACTGATGAAAGATGCCCGTATCCTCGACATGCGTCTCCTCAAACACATCAATCCTTGTACTCGAAAACTTCCTCGCCGGCACGCCCTTCTCAAACAGCAAATCCAGCTCCGCGAACGTCCGTCCCTTCGGCTCCGGCAACCTGAAATACGTATATATAATACAGCAGAAGCAAATGCCTCCCCAGAAGAAACCCGTGTAGTTTTTCCAGTTCCACGCGGACGGGTTGAGCATGTAGGGTGAGAGAACGCTGCAGATGATGCCCACGACGTTGTACAGGTTGCGGCCAAGCACTACGGTTTTGATCTGCAGGCGCCGCGTTGAGAGTTCGGCGACGAGCGAGTAGCAGACGGTGCCGACGGTGAGCTGGTAGAACATGGCCCAGACGATCATGATGGCTCCAGTGGCCATGGCGCCTTGTTGTCGGTGCGATTCTGGGACGAGGCCAAGGAAGCCCATGACAAAGAGCATGGCGCAGAGACCGCAAAGTCCGCCGAGATACAGCGTCCGCCGACCTAGACCAGCTTTCATAAGCCACCACGCGCCGAGCACGCCTGCCATGTTGATGCCGTACTGACCGAGGGCGAAGTCGTACGACGTCGACGGAGGGAGCCCGGCTTGTTGCAGGAAGTAGGATGAATAGCCGGAGAAGGCGTTACCGCTAAGATTCTGAATTGCCCAAGCCATGCAGACGATTTCTGTGCGGCGCAGATCGGTGCCTTTGAAGCAGTCGAGGTAGGTGGCGCCTTGGGTGATTTTCTCTTCGAGGGCGGTCGTGTGGACCATCATAGCGACTGTTTCGTCAGCGTCGAAGTCGGTTTCGCGGTTTAGGTTTGTGAGGCGTAGAAGGGCGTTTTTGGCGTCGTCGAGGCGCCCTTTACGGACTAGCCACCAGGGAGACTCCGGGGCGAGCCAGACGCCAATACAGAGTGGAACGGGCCACATCCATTGTAGGGCATAGGGGATTCTGTAGGACCATTCGTCGTCTCGTGACAGCATGGAACGGATAACTCCAATACCGATAACTTGGCCCAGACCCCAGCAGAAGTTCACATACGTCGTAACTGTCTCCTAGTTAGCCATTGAACACTATCTTATCGAAGGGGCAGAACTTACGATAGCCTCTCAGCGCCACCGGACAAACCTCACTCGCATAAGTAATCGTCAGCGTCTGGAAAACCCCCCACGGAATCCCACAAAGGATTTCCGCAACCAACAAATGCACCACGGTCTGTGCCGTAAAGAAAATCGCCGTGAAGGCAATAATCAGCACCAAGCACGTAATAACGGTATACCTGTAGCCATATCTTTCGCTCACCCACCCATTAATCATCAGCCCAATAATCTCGCCAACAGTAACACCATTGCTCAACCCCGCTTGCCACGGCGCCGAGATCTCGTAGCTGCCGTCGGAAAGCTGCTCCCCATACTTCTTCTGGAACGGCGGGAAGCCGTAGAAGTTGGACAGGAGGCAGACGTCGTAGCCCTCCATGGCGATGCAGGTGCTGATGAGGACCGACCATCCGATGGCCTTTGGGTAGAGCTTGAGACCTTGCCATAGGCTCATGGAGTGCTCTTTTTCAGTGGCGAGACGCGCATCGTTGATGACCTTATCGGCTGCCTTCTTGTGGTCGGTGTCGGTAGGGATATCGGTGCCCGTGGGCTGGATTTCCTTCTCTTCAGCCATTTTGCCCTTGTGCAACTACTGTCAGCGGCACTGCCAATGGCGCACCAAGGACCGAGAAGCTGGGGAAGGGGAAGGGGGAGAATGGCGGACCTGGGACCTGGAACCTGAGGAACAAAAGGTGCATGGTGACAGGGAAACAGGAAGCTTTTAAGCCATAAAATTTTGCGGGGAAATGGTCGCTCGAGCCAGGGTTGTTGGTCGCGTGGTAGAAGTGGAGTTCGGAGAGTTGCTTTGCGCTGTGGTTGGACGGGCGAGTGTTACCTTCCTTCTTCGGGTTAGCATTATCCTTCTTTGGGTTAGCACCTAGGTATGGCGATGGTCGTTGGAATGCCGACGTGGTGCCGAAACCTCGGGCGAAGGAATATTCCAGGCCGGTCTGCGTCGTCCCTGCATTTAGCATCGGCCGGGGATGACCTTGGGAAGGTTCGGACTTCGATCAGGTGAGTGTCGCTGTGGGAGCGCTTCGTACTGTATCGTGACTGACGTCAGACGAAGCCTCTCCAAGCTTTGGGGTGGCTTCGTCAAGAGTTGCCGAGGTTGAACAACGGTTCCGCACAAGCGATGAAATTTCCGCTCCATGGAATCCAATCGAAATTGCCGTATGAATATGTACATCCTAAACAGGCCTGACATCGTATTTCATGCCATGCTCACGTGCTCACACTCCCTTGTCCATGTCCCTTGGTCGTACTTGCTCCCCCGCACCGCCCACCGAGTTTCCACCCTTCTCTGCACCTCCTCCCTGCATTTGCTCTTCTCCGCTACCCCTTTGGTCAACCAACCGTCCTTCATCGCCCGTATGCCCTTGTGTGCCAATCCTCAACCACGGCACGAAGAGCACACCAACGGCCGCAAATGCAGCCGAGAACCAGAACGTCGCCGCATACGGCTCGACCGCATTGTGCGCATAATAGCCAGAGGATGCAGGACTGCTCTGTACAGAGTCGAAGATGGCAGTCGCAATTCCGTAGCCGACGGCCGTGCATAGACGGGTGAGCGTCTGGAAGAGGGAGCCTGCGATGGATTGCCGATTCGGTGGCATGGAGGAGAGGACGTACATCTATGACAAGTTAGTGCTGCCGCTAGGCTTGGCGAGGTCCAAGACTCACGTTTGCGATGATGAACTGGAAGTCCGCTCCCACAACACACAAGCACAGCGCAGGGAAGGAAAACGCCCAGTAGGAGTCTCCATGTCTTTGCACTGCCGCAAGAACGAAGGAGACGACATATGCTATTGCGCCAAGGCCCATGATGAGCTTATTAGACACCTTGTGCTGAATGAGCGCTGCCACAAGATTCGCGAGTAGCCCGCAGACGACCATGGGCAGCATGTGCACGCCCGTCATAAGCGCGGAAAAGCCGAGGACTCTCTGGAAGTAAAGGGCGAGCCAGAAGGAGAGGACGGGGAAGCCAATGAAGCCGCAGACCATGATAGTGAGCAGCTGCGGAGTGGTCAGTCAGCGCGCAATAGAGGTGGAAATTGGATACGTACCAGCGAGAAGTCTCTGTCGTTCCAGATCTTCATATCAATCATCGCATACGGGTACCTCATCTCCCACACCACAAACGCCGCCATTAAGAGAACACCGAGGATCAACAGGACGAGTACGTAGGGCGTTTTCCAGCCATCGGTTGCATCGCTCCCAAGACTATCCTTTATTAGCAAGTGATGTTCTATCTAAATAGCGATAAACCTACCTCAGCGCAGCGCAAAACATGCCAATCCCCAGGATCGTCATCCCCGTACCCGGCAAATCTAATCTCTTGAACGTCTCCTCATTGAATTTCTCTTTCTGCGTCATGTCGTTCGGCACCGTGAACGCTGCCACAACGCTCACCACCAAGTAGACGATGGCCAGCAGCCAGAATGACGCCCTCCAGTTAAAGATCTGCGTCGCTAGACCGGAAAAGATGCTGCCGAAGACAAAGCCTAGCGGGTTGCCAGCGCTGAAGCACCCGAAAACTTTGTTCTTGCGCTTGGATGGTTTGGCGTAGATTGCACCGAGCATGCCTTGGGCGGGAGGTACGGCAGATGCGCTGAAGATACCCAGGACGCCGTTCATGACATCGATAGTGAGACCGTTCTTAGAAAAGCCGGCGCCGAGACAAAAGACGGCGAAGAGGAACATGGAGCCTATGAACATGGACTTGCGCCCAAACAGATCTGCTATACTTCCAAAGAAGAGCAGCAGGGACCCTGAAGACAGTCTAGCCCAGTAAGGATTGCGATGGGAATCGGAAGGTGGCAAGTACGTACGAAGTCGCAGCATTCATCCACGTAATTTCAGCATTCGTCATATGCAAATCGCGCCCCGCAAAAGACGACATGACGATGACGGATCCAGTCAGGAACGCAGCCATAGCAACGGCCATGGTGACGGAAAGCACGAACAAGACTTCCTGGATGGTTGACCCGAAGCATTCTGGTCGCGCGTTGGGGTCTCTGATTGGTGGCGAGACCGCGTCGCCGAGTTCGGCGTCTTCTGACATGTTGAAAAGACTGCAGTCGGGAAAGAAAGAGTTAACGCAACGACGACGGAGACAGAGAGAGAAGACAGAGCGCGCGAAGACTATATTGACGCGTGTCTGCGATGGACTGATCTGATAAAGCATCTCGCGGTCTGCAAAATTAATCAGCGCGGAACTGTGCCCATGCCCATCCATGGTCGGCTTTACTGTCGGAGATGCCCGCGGGCGCCGTCCACGATAGGGCCGTTATTTCGCCCCGATCCACAATTTAGCCAGGGTCCCCGGCTTTCCCCAATATGGATTTCCAGTTGGGGTCGAGAGCCTGATCAATGGGTGCTCGCAGATATTAGAAGCCGGGTATCGACCTGGTATACGTACAATGCATTTTTACAGCTTGAAGACATTCCAATCCTTCAGATCCATCTGCCCCAGCACACCGCCAATTTCGCCCTGGACTTCTCGTCCACCAACCCACAGCTTCTTGCCCGCCCAGTGCTCAATGAAGCCATCTGGTCCCGAGACCAAAATCAGCCTCGACCCCTTCTCCTCTGGCCCTTCGACATGTAGCCGCTTCGCGACATCGCCAGGTTTGATAAACGTCTTCTCCGCGTCGACGTAGTATTGCACGCTGAGTCCTCTGGTGCCTGCTTGGCTGCACTCTTTCAGCGCTTCCAGTTCCTGCACTAGGACGCCCTTGCCCTGGCTGCTGTGCTTGTCCACGACCGCCTGTGGCGCTGCCGTGTGGCCGAGGCCGATCAAGCTCCTCCACCAACTTGTTCCACTGTGTATTATCGGATTCGCGGGTATGTGCTCGTCGCTAACGCCGCCTATGCATTCTTCCCTCCGTCTGTTCGCCCACAGGATGTGCATCTTGCTGCCTGTTCTCCGTCCTAGTGCTTGCGCAACCTGCATCGCAGGCGCGATGCCGGTTCCGCCAGCCAGGAACAAGACCTCTTTAATGTCGTGGGGCAGTTCGCATTCCACGTTCGGGCCTCGCAGCTCGATGGTGGACTTCTCTGCCAGCCGATGCAGATATGTCGACACCTCGCCGCCCTCTTCTTCTCTGATCAAGAGCCTCACATCCTCCGCTTCCTTCTCGCCAGCCTGTATGCCATCTGTCTTCGGGGGCAGCAGTGTATATGCCCGTGCAATCTGCAGCTGCGGCTGCTTGACCTGCACGCTCCACACGCTTCGCTTCCAAGCCTCCTTCACACTCTCGGGATCCGGTGCGCCATCGCGGTGTCGCAGGGTGAATATCGCGCTCGTGTCGGACACGTCTTGCTTGTCGACGAGGGTATACGGCGTGAAGGTGTGGGGGTTTAGCGACGCTTCGGCGGAACCGGGCTTGAAGTGTCGATATGCGGCACCGCCAATGGCAGACGAACCGAAAACGACGAGGACGCCGGGGCGAATGCGTATAAGCCAGGACATTGTGTTATCGAGGACGCGAGCACGGGAGGAGTGCTCCTCGCGGCGGCCTCTTTAAGTGAGCCGTGGTGGTGGTCTGAGGTCTGTCGAGCTCTCGCACGGACCCCATTTCCGCTTTTCACTACCACTTCGAACAAGCCCACCGCGAACCTTGCAAGTCAACCCGCCCATGGCATTGCATCACAGAAAGCTTCAATGCGCTCTCCTCATGGAGTACACCTGGACAAGATGACGTGTGGGGTTACGTCTCGTCTCGCGTAGCTCCGGCATAGCGCAACCCTTTCAGACCCAGCTCCACCCGCGCATTTCCATGCAAAGAGTGGCAGCGATGGTCTGTTCAATGGACTCGTCGTCGGTGGCAGATGTGCTAATTTGATGCATGTCATCTAATTGACAGCGAACGACGAGGAATTCAGGTCAAGTTCCCCCGCGAGTGCTACCTTGAGTGCTGTCAATCTTCATTTCTAAGGAGCACTGGTCTTTTTTCTCTAAGGCCTCTGTCATCGCTTGACAGAACCGTAGTAGGCCTTGCCTGTTAGATCCGGGCTCATACTCATTACATCTGAGCTAGGAAGCACCCTTTGTTTCTTTCGTGGCCGGGGTCGTCCTTAGAGCTGAATTGGCGCCGGTCAGCCTCTAAATTGCGGCGCAGCATCATCGACTGGGGAAAATAACAGGCATTCCTGCAGGTTTCATAGATCCTGCGGCTCGAACGGTCGGCTGCCATCCGTCGTCAACGCAGTGAGTCCGACGGTGGATTTCGCTCCTCCTACGCGGCACTGTCCTGCTCCGCCCTTTCCCCCTCCGCCTACAAGTCGTCCTCTTAGGGAATTTGGTCTTGCCTGTGTCCTCCGTGCAGCACTACCCTCTGCCTTCACAACTTTGGATCGAACCTCATCAATTGTACGACGCTGTGTCCACCATGTCTCCGACAGAAGATGTGACTCCAGCCCCTACTGTTGGAGGCATCAAGTTAACATTCATCATGGCTGCACTTTGTCTCGCAGTTCTCCTCACCGGAATGGCAGTTAACAAACTCACCTCTCACCCTGACAGAGCTGATATTCTCTATAGGATCAAACTATCCTCGCCACCGCAGCACCCACCATCAGCGACGAGTTCCATTCCCTTGACGACATTGCCTGGTGGACCAACATCTACCTCCTTATGCTCAGTAGCTTCCAGCTATTCTACGGGAAGCTATACACGCTCTTTTCGATCAAGTTTATCTACATCGGCACCATCGCTTTGTTCGAGATTGGTTCCCTGGTATGCACAACAGCACCCAACTCCACGGCCCTGATCTTTGGCCGTGCAATAGCCGGTCTTGGAGCATCCGGAATATTTTCTGGGGGAGTCCTGATCACTACCAAAATCATTCCATTGTCCAGCCGCCCTGCGTACCTTGGGATAATGTCAGCCGTCTTCGGCGTCGCAGCCATCGCGGGCCCGTTCATCGGGGGAGCATTGACGGACCGCTCCTCATGGAGGTGGTGCTTTGGCATCAATCTTCCAATTGGTGCCTGTACCATTCTGATTTGCATCGTCTTGGTGGAAACACCTTCCCACGCGAGAACAAGCTCCTTGAGCTACAAAGAAAAGATCAACCAATTTGACATTCCCGGAACGGTCTTCATGGTATCGGGCCTCGTCTGCCTTCTCCTAGGTCTACAATGGGGCGGTGGCATGTACCCTTGGAATAGCGGACGGGTGATTGCATTGCTAGTACTTTCCGGAGTGCTCCTTATCACCTTCGCCGCGCTCCAGTCCTCAAGCCGACTTTCCAAGGCTAAAACGATCCCTACGAGCATCAGCAAGGACCGAAACATTTGGCTTGCCGCAAGCTACGCGATCGGTCTGACTGGCGGGATATACGTCGTAATGCTATATCTGCCCTTCTGGTTCCAAGCCATCCGGGGCAAGACCGCTCTCTCGTCCGGAGTACTACTAACGCCTACCATTGGGGCTTATGTGGTCGGTTCCGTAATGGCCGGGGCCATGACGACCGCCACAGGCTATTACAATCCCGCAATGATTCTTGGAGCGATTCTGCTCATTACCGGCGCTGCCGTCCTGACGACCTTAAACTCCGAGATTTCAACCCAGAAGATCGTAGGCTACGAGCTTCTCTATGGATTTGGAGCTGGCTTCGGGTTTGGACAGCCCAGCTATGTTGTTCAAACGCTTCTTCCGGAATCAGATGTTCCGATTGGCGTGACTTTTATCACGCTCGTGCAGAATCTGAGCGCCGCGGTATTCGTTGCAGTCGGACAGAGCGTATTCCAAAACGGCCTAGTTGACAGCCTAGCAACTATCGCACCTGGAAGCAACACAAGCGGGTTCCTGCAAACTGGTGCCGGCGATCTTCTTATTGCGATCCCTCCGGACGATCGACCCAAGGCCCTCGAAGCCTTCAGTGATGCGCTAGTACAGACATTGTACATCACTCTGGCGGTGTCTTGTACGACGGTCTTTGGCGCTGCGGGTATTCGGTGGCAGTCTATGAAGACCCCGAAAGTATCGAACGAGGAGAGAAACAAAACCGAGAAAAGCGCACCGCAGACAAACGAAGCTAGAGAAAAGAAAGTCGTAGAGGATGTTACCATTCAGGGAGCGAGAAGCTGAGTGCTGGTATGTCCAACCTAGGTAGAGCAGTCTCTCTGAGCTATGGACCATCATGCAATAATTCCATCAGTTCCATTGACGTGGACTCGCAACAATTCAGACCCTGTCAGTCTTGTACATCTACATCTGAAGGCCTTCACCGTAGTCGAATTTGCCGCAGGAGCAGTGCATGGCTTACGGTATCCAGTAAGGTTGTTGAGACTGTGGTGTCCCGGCTAGCATATGTTGGCCAAGGAGCAAAGAATCACTGGCGGCTAACAGGGTGCGTATGAATTTCACAACCCCGCGGACCACCGCATCCTGTGTGGAAGCCTTCGGGCATGGATCTCCAACGGGCATTATCCGCTGCTGTGCCGCCTTCATACATCGTCAGCTATCTGTGGGGCCTCTAACATGAGGAAGGCAATCAATATTTCATTTATGCTACGAAACGGCACAGCCGAGCTTTTTCATAGCTTTGCCTCCCCGGGCTTCCCCGTCCATGGAAGAACCGTCTCCCCCTCCACGTATTTGCCATATTTGGGACGCCAGACGATGCTGACGGGCTGGGCCTGGATATCACGGACCAATCGCTTCTAATCATCGCTCGGATTCTGTCGCTGAAAAACCATGTTGGTCCAAGCAATCACCACGAACCCATGGCGCAGGAACGTTGGTGTGCTGAATACTGTGCCCTCCCCGACGGTTTCCAGCCCCATTTTGTTTACCTCCTTGAGGCAAAATTCGATCCTTATCTTCGGTGTAACCCAATATGTCGTACACCAAGCGCTCATCATTAATTTGTAGAGTTAGATTCTGTGGTTGATATTCCTCTAAGGTGCAGTAAGCAGGCGGCGCGTCTGACATTCGCGCATTTGGGTCCTTTCTCGCCCCAACTCCTTCCCTGACTCTGCTGCTACGTTTTCCCTGGTTTCAATACATGGCGATTAAAAGATAAAGGCGGAAACAATGTTACTCTGCTCACAATTCCCATCCGTTCTCCCATCTTTTCAATCGTCTTACCTACCCAATGTCTTCTATAGACGTCGGCATCATCGGAGGGGGCCCCGCGGGTCTTACTGCCGCCGCAACACTGGCACGTCAGCTTCACACAGCCGTTGTGCTTGACAACGGTAACTATCGAAACGCAAAGAGCCTTCATATGCATACGGTACCGGGCTGGGGGCACACAGATCCAAAGGAGTATCGCGAGACGACGAGAAAGCAAATCCAGGATCGTTACGAGACCATTCAGTTCACCAATGTCGCAGTATCCTCCGTTGAGAAGAAGAATGACTCTTGCTTCAACATTACGGATGAAGATGGAAGGACTTGGGAGGCGAAGAAGGTCATCTTGGCTATTGGTTCGAGCGACGTGCTCCCGGAAATCGAGGGATATGCGCAGTTGTGGAAGAAGAAGATGTGAGATACTCCGGATTGAAGCTCTGGCTGCGACCGCTGACCTTCGATTTAGTTATCACTGCCTCTTCTGCCTCGGGTACGAAGACAGAGGCGCCGAGTGCTCTGGCATCCTAGCTGTCCAAGCCCTGGCCATGATGCCGGCCCTAGCCATCCACATGGCCGACAATGCGGCGCAGCTCTCGAAGGAGGTTACTATCTTTACCAATGGATCTGAGGAGGTAGCGCAGCAGGCCAGCACCATGGGCGCAAATTCCCCGTTCAAGATCGATTCTCGGGCTATCAGCCGCTTAGTAGATAGCGAGGGAGGAGTCAAGGTCAAATTCGCCGATGGGAGCTCCAAGGAGGTAAAGTTCCTGGCCCACAATCCGATGACGGTCCCACAAGGTCCGTTTGCGCAGCAACTCGAGCTGAAGCTGTCGCCAACGGGAGATATCCAGGCGGAGGCTCCAGCGTATCAAACAAGCTGTCGCGGGCTATTTGCGGCCGGTGATTGTATTTCGCCGTTCAAGGTGGTGCCGCATGCGATTGCGAGTGGGAACTTTGCGGCTGTTGCCGCGGCCACCCAGCTCCAGGCAGATAAGTATAAGCATTTCTCCATAGTTTGAAGGAATTGTATAGCTTCGGAACGAAATCTGTCCGGCTGCCGTAAGCGGTCGAGGGTTCCGCGATGAGTTCTGGTACGGGTAGCGTGGCGGTGAGCGAGCGATCTCCGATGCATCTCGTAATATTTCAAACCAAGTCATCAATTATGGTACAAAGGGGCTCCCTTCACCCAGCCTTTTGGTCTGCAGCAATACCACTGCCCATCCGTCAGTATAGTCATCACAATCATAGGGAACGAGCCACTCACAGTATCAGTCTCAGTATAATCGTCTCGCCCATGCTTCTGATCAATGCTCGCGAACACGGTCCATCCCTCATCCTCAAGCGACTCTAACAGCACCAGCAACAGCTCACGAACCCTCATAGTCTCTATCCCATTAGCAAACCAAGGCGAGCCATGGAGCTTGAGCTCATCTGCGACTGATTTGTGGACGGATCGGGCTTGCACCCACGAAGGGCCGAGCTGAGCCGCTGTGGCTTGGCTGACTTCGGGAGGGACTGGAGTCGCGTGTTAATATGCATTCAACAAAAGGGTTAGGAGATACGCTTACAGTCAACAAACCGCATCCTGTCGCCTCCCGAAAACATGACCACGCCCCAGTCACACTCCACAGGCACATGCGCCTCCGCCTAAACACCAACGTATCCTTGTCCCTCATCTTCCTCGTCACATCCGTCGTCAAGATCAGCGTCCAACCCAGGCCATGAAGCGTGCTTAACAGCGCACAAACCAATCTACTCGATTCAACCGGCTGGTAACTTCCTAGGGCCCACGGAAAACCGCGCAATTTGAACTCGTGGGAGGCTCCATAGGGACGCTCGTCTTGGATGACGATTGCCCCAGAGTGAGGCGGCTTCCAGGCGGAAAGAATGGTGCTGCGACAGACGTCGATAGCCTCAGGGGGGAAATGAAGAAGGCGGATGCGGTCGGTCATGTGGAAAGATAGCGAGGCTAGGCGGGGTTGGTAAGAAGAGGAAGGGACAGGTGCGGAAGGTGCGTAGGCTGGTGGGGAGGTGGGCTCTGGAGGTGGTATCAATGGTTGGCTGGTGCCGTCGTGCGGCTTCTTTTTGAAGAGGGGCATTATGGTAGATGTGGAAGGATGCGCGGCTGTGGAAGTTGGACGGTTGTGGAAGGAATGTCTAGGGTGGCTTCATCGCTTTTTCAATGTCTCGCGACGGCGTTGTGAGGCCCGCCATGGACCGTCGCAGTGACAGTTGAGCGAGTTGGGTGACCGAGAAAGCCGTGAGACGTGGCGCAGCTCATTCACGGACCCGGGGTGAAGCACACATTGACCTCATGGATCCACGAAACGACAGTGGGGTGTAGTTCGTATTATTTGAACCATTTCTACACATCATATCCCTACTAATTAGACTGAGCGGTTGAGGCCGGCACGAGGGTGTTCACAGTAGGCTATCCACAAGGCTGAATGGTGGCAATATGAAGAGGGGCTGTGGGCTGCTTATCTGCACCATGCGCCTTCGTCCCTCACGACCGTCTTCATTATTCTTCAAGCTGCACTGAACTACTTTTCAAACCATCACCTACCGTGCCCTTCCGGGTCAAATGAGCCTTCGACGTTCTCCTGCAAAGACGCCCTTCGAATCACCACGGTTGATCCAGCACTGTCTACTACATAACTGCGGTCCTTGTTAGGCAGCAAGGCTGAACGTAACATGGCCGACCCTCTCACTATCATCGGATCTGTGGGAGCGCTTTGCAACATTATAGAAGTGGTCACTAAAGCCATCTCCACCATCGCCCGGCTCAGCGCCCGCTGGAAAGACGCAGAGCTCACCTTCTTCAGCCTCGTCGCACAACTCTGTGCCCTTCGAGCAGCTTTGACCAAAGTTCAAGAATGGAAAGAAGAGGAGCTTGGAGAAACCCATCACCAACTCATCATGGATCTGGACGTGTCCATATCATGCTGCAGACTGCTTGTTGCCAAGATCGACATATTTGTCTCTACGTTGGATGTGGCGACCGATAAACCACTAGATGTCCCAGGGAAACTGAAATTTGTGTTCGGAACAAGCGGCTTGGAGGAAGTAGAGAGGCTCCTAGAGCGACAGATAAATGCCTTGACGCTGCTCCTCACTGCCTGCAACTGGTAGGTCAATCGCATCCGTTTTCATGGCCAGCAGCTGATAGGAGCCAGTAAAACCCTCTCCGAACAGAGGCGACTGCTTGAGAAAACCACAACGCGCAAAGTCCTTGGACGCGCAAAAGCCGACTCCGTCTCGTTGTTCGTACTTCGCGATTCAGCATCCTTCATCGGCAGGATCACAGACAATCTATCGAAACTATCCCTCATCTTCGATTTCGACCACGAACTCTTCTCTACGAAGGTATACGAACGCGTGTTTAGAGGATCTCTGAAAGAATCGTTAAGACGACAACAAGGCGCGTGGCATCACACTCTGCCTCAACGCGCACCTGAGACCCTTGCTCTGCTGATGGGCGATGATGAGGGCGGAAAAAACACCATCGTCAACCTCCTCAACGATGTCTATCCGCAGCACTATAGCATCGAGGAATTGGCGCTGTCGCAGAAAGAATTGAGTGGCCTTTACCTTCGCCGCCTAAGAGAACTAAGTGCACGCATGGGCACGTCAACGAAAGGGAAGAATGCCGCCGCAAGAGTGGAAGACTGTGCCCTGATGCTCAAGTATACAACAGTTCCGAGCTCTGTCAAGAATCTTGACCCCGAAACCGTACGAGCAATAGCAGCTTGCTACAATGAGCAATTCAGAAGAGGCGATTCTTCGCTCGTGAGCGGGGATATGAATGAAGTGCCACTGTTAGTGCAATGATTCCATTGATATCCTCCGCTCATGCTAACCTATATAGACTCACTGACGAACTATGCCGGCTTTCGTCTCCGTGCTACGTCCCTAGTGCTGCTGATGCACTGAGAGTCCAAGCGAGGCGAGGGGTATATGGCGTCCGTCTCCGCCGCGAAGGCCACGCTGTAAAGGTCATCAACCTGCCCGGTCCGGAATTCTACGTAAGACAACCTGATGTCGCACTGGAACGCATTTCCACTCTGATCCTTGTCGTCGATTTGACGAGCTACGACATTCCTAGCCCAACAGGGACCCACAATAGGATGCGGAACTTGATGCACTCCTTCCATCAGCTGACGTCTCTATCGGCCTTAAGGCGCGCATCAACTGTCCTTGTATGGAACAAGATAGGCGTGTTCAAGCACAAGCTCCCTTACTCGCCATTAGAACCACATTTCCCGGACTACGATGGCGGGGACGATGCCGATAAAGCGATAGCCTTCCTCAGCCGCAAGTTCAAACACATGACTCCCCGTCCGTCCGAAGTCTATTCACTGGTCATGGCAGGCGACGATCCTTCCATGCTGGACCCCATCCTGGACATTGTGCTGGGAGTACCTCCGTCGAGCAAGTCCATCGCTATTGGTTCTTCTAGTCCGGTACAAAGGCTAGTCAAAGGCGAAAATGAAAGCCGAATCATAACCATACCCATACAAGAATGGACTTCCGTGTCGGGTCCTCTTCCTACTCCATCGGGGCTCGACCGGCCTTTGGAGCCCGCGAACGTTGCTTGCAGGCCGCCAAGGGGCCAGCCTACCGGGACTTACGGCGAAAAGGCACAGTATCAAGCGATCTCTGGAACTAGGGTGGGACTGGGAGGGGAAGGTAGAGATAGCGCCTTTCCGATCCGGAATTCATGGGGCTAGACCCGTTCAAAGGGGGCCACAGTATTGTGCAGTTGACATCGGTAAAATCAGTCGGGAATGGTCCGGATTCAAAGCTTGGCGGGCTGAAGGAGTGTCATCAATATTCAGCGTAAACTGACATAGGGTTTGAGCCTCGGACGGCTGTGTTCCAATCATGTCTATCAATCCCTCAAGCGACTCGAGCCGCGATGCAGTCAATCCAGACACAAATTCTTGCCTCCCTGCGCAAGAACGACAGCACAGCCTTCCTCGTCTCGTAATAAATCTCCATGGTCCATGGGGATTTGGAACATCCAGGAACCCTCGAGTAAGGCAAGGCAGTCACATCCCGCTCGGTAGCAGGCAACCGAGCCGCATTCCAAATATCCCGGCCTCTCGAATGCGATTCGAAGAATAAAAGGCTGCGGTTATTAAAACAGTGTCTTTAGTCCGCTCCCCGCCTGCTCCTATCAGCTAGGAAATCTGTGCCGTTGGCCGCGTACTCTTTATATCAGCCAACCAAATCCGTTTAATCGCCATACATCTCCCCTGACCACGCCCCTATTCGCCGCTTCTACCCGCCTCCCTACAATCAACCCGCAGCTAGGCTCTTGCGGTAGGGAATTCTCCGGATCTAAGGGCTCGCCGTACAAGTAAGTAAGATTAGCTGTCCTATTGTACGCACCCGCGAAGGCCTTCAGGGTAGCTGTTGCGCACGTCGTTCTATCCGGAGAATTCCACACCGTGAGAGGCTAGGATACCCTTTCTTTCCGCCATCCTTCCATTCCAAATGCCCGGACAAACAGAAGAGCGCACTTCCCCACAAGTTTCGAGTTAGTACTAAGTACGCCACCGGATACTAAACTGGCAAACGTGCCGAATTCCAAATATCCAAATAACTGTTCCAAACGGAAACGCAAACGGTGGAAATTTGAGAGAAGAAGAGAGGAACAAGGAATTCCGCTCGCCAAGTGGAGACTGTGTTCACCCGGCCCTACCACATACGAACTAATCACACCCCGACCACCTTTACATCTTCACCACCGTCTCCTCAAACGCCATCACGTCTCCCCGCGCACTCCATTGGCAAACGCACCACCCCCCCACCGCCGCAGCACTTCCTCCTAAATCTTCAGCGCACCTTCCCCAGTTGGCCGCCCAAACTAACCCGCGTGCGCCACAACTCCTCCCCACAATCCCCAAACGCCCCAGCGCCACAGCGCCCAGTATTTGTCACCGCAGTCTTGGCGGGCCGGGTCGCGTCGGTCGCTGCAGCCCTATCCGTATGGATGCCTTATGCCACAGCGGTTGGTGCCTGATGACGCGTTCACTCAGGGCCGTTGATCCTTTATTCTGGAGAATTGTCCTGTGCCACAACGTGGGAACGCACAACGGAGAACAGCGGCACGTGTCTTGGGCTAGAAATCCTCCCCCGGAAGCGAGCCGATAATGTGAGACGGGGATGCGGGTATGACGCAGCGATGCTATGAGTGCGTGAGGGATTCTACGAAGGGCTGGTGGGAGGAGGGGGGTAGGAGTCTCGATAGGAAGATTCTCTGAGAAGTTCCTGACGGTGACGAGTACTCAGTCCGTGTAGGAGAGTTTGTGAGGAGGGATTCTACGGAGTTCGGTTACTCAAGTGGCAGGTTGGAGGCACGGAGCATTTCGAAGGACGGGCGGGACGGGAGACCTGCGTACTAGATAGATCTGCAGAGCTGTGGCGGAGCTGACGTGGAGGAGATGCCACTGCTGGTGATACGGATGGTTTTCGCGAAGCGCGACAAGGCGCTGCCTACACTCACGCAGTCGAACGAAGTATGCTCATAGGCGATGCAAAAGCTGAGGATCACAAGAGAACTTAGCTAGAACTTGGAAAGACCTCAAGACGTAAATCCTGGACTAATAAGGGCGATATAATTTCATTTGAAAGCATCCATTCTTCGTGGGTAGCGTTGTACAAAAGCGCCATACCATCATCATCTGGCCTTCTCCAAAAGGGGCCACTATCTAGGCCCTTCAAGCGTAGCGAAAATTTGGCAGTGGAAACAGGTGTGAATATGATTGCGACCTCGGAATTATGAGGACCCGCAAAGCGACTACAGGAGTAAGGTAGATGGAATGATAAGAAGAAGATGAAGAGAGTGAACGCACATGCGCAATGGCATGCATCAATGAAGGCTGGATATGTGGCGTGCTATGTGACTGCCGACGATGAGGTACAGAGGGTATGAGAAAGGTGTGGGTGTGTGTGCCATCGGCCAAGGATAGACAAAGTGTCCGTGCTGTGCTGGGCTGGGGTATTCAGCCGCAGGCAAGGGTCTTGTAACAAGCAAGAAAGAAAAGTGAAACCTCGGAACGCCGCAGAAATGCCCCCTCCCAAAACCGGGCCTCTGCCAAGCCAAAACCAGAAACGTTCGTAGTAGTAGTACAAGGGTGGCTCTCGCCGAAAATCCGATCTACAAGCCCGCTTTTTGTGGGAAACTCCGCGCAACAAGAGTCATCCGGGAGGTTGGGTCCCGTTGGGTCATATCCAGCCGTTGGGCGGAGGGCTGCGCGCAATTGTGCCGGCGCCGAGGGGTATACCGGCTGTAGGCGACATCTGTGTGGGTGACCGTGTCCGGTTGGACTTGGTGGGTGAGGTCGCGCCGGAGCGGGGCGTGCCGGGTGTAAACGGTGATGATGGGAGTTTGACCGAGGCAGGCGACATCGGGTTCATCCGCAGGCCGTTCATGACTTGTGACATTGGCGCTGGAGGCTGTGATGACGGAGACGGTCCAGGCATGGTGGAGCGAGGGGTAGGTGGGAGTACCTTCTCACGCTGTGACTGTAGGTATGCCCCGCTGTTCTGTGACGAGAGTGGGAAGGCAGGCGTCTTGCCGGGACTGTTCTTCGGCGAGGCGGTGGGTTTGGGAGGCTCTGGGAAGGCGATGTTGCTGAGGCGTTCGGATGAGGAGTTGTTTGTCGAGGGTGACTGGATCGGTAGACCGAGCGTCTCAACGCTGGACTCGCTGTCATCACGGCGGATGGGAGGGACGCTGTCGTCAGAGGCTTCGATCTGTCTTTCGACGCGTGTGCACTTGGCTGCGGCAAGTGTAGCCGGCGCAACTGAGAAGCGCAGACCGATTTGCACGGTTGCGCTGCTGGCAGTGCTCTCCTCACGTCGGTGCTTGTTCGAGAAGAGCGGTGGAGGCTTGACAAGGAAGTTGAACGCTTCGCTGACATCCGTCACTGACTTGGCATCCCCGAGCGAGCTTCGGCGCGTTTGCCGTCGCACAGCTAGTTTAGAGAATCGGTTTTGGTTCCCAGCACTGTTCGGTGGGGAGTACACCGTGGGAGGAAGGCGCGGGATGTCTTCTGCACGCGTTGGGAAGAGCGAATAACTGGACTTGTTACGCTTGTGAAGGCCGGTTGTTCCATCTTTGGGCTCAGCGAAGTAGCCTGTCTGGACCGGGTCTGGAGGCAATGGCCACTTGGTCGGGTCAATAGGGGCCTGGGATTTCATGGAGCCTGGGGAGAGCGGCAGGTCACCCGGTCGTGCGAAGTATTCGGGGTCGAAGTCGTAACGGTTCTTCTCTGGGCCCACCTCAATGAGACCTTGTCTGCTCTCTGGCCGCCGTCCGCCTTGCAGAGCTAGAGGCCCGCTGATGTTCATCTCGAGGTCGCTTGGGCCGAAGAATCGGATCTTGGGTCGCTTTTGTTTCGAGGGCGACTTCATCTCGCTCATGGGTTTGATGACGAGTCGGGTGGCGTTCACGCGGAGGAATAGGTGGAAGAAAGCGATAAAGACGCCGGAGGTGAAGAGAGACACTTCCGCGATTCTCGACGTGGCCAACGTATCCATGAAATCTCGTCGATGGGCCTGTACTTCCACAGGTATCACCAGAATCTGTCAAAATGGATTAGCGTGTGGGTTACAGCATGACGATTGTACTTACGTAGACTACTGCCAACATGAGCAGGTAGTAGCACATCCTCGATGCAGCGATTCGCTCGTTGGGATCCACGTTCGACGTCCTCATCAGTTGAATGCTGATCAGAGCGGCCAGGAACAGGAAAAAGAACGTAATGATGCTCAGAATGACAATTGCGATCAGCTCGTAGCGGATTGGGATCCAGATGAGGCTTCCAAAACACCGATTGTACATTGGCCAGGCGACGGTTGGCATCCATGTGAGGAGCAGCAGGAACGATATAATACCGATGCAGATTGTCGTATTCCACTTCCCTCGCGGAGCGAATCGTTCGTGTTTGCAGGCTCGGAGGGCCATCTCGATGCCGAAGACTAGAGTTATGTATCCCACGAGAAAGATCGCTGCAGGTGTTAGCCTGCCCATTTTGTCAAAGCTGCTTCAACGTACCGGGAAAAGTAACCATAGCGAGTCCCCGACACTGGTTGGATAATACACTACTAATGGAAGTGCTCTGCACTGATACAAAGATAATCTGTTGTATGACCGCACCGCAAGCCAGTACGAGTGGGAAAGTCTCCGCAGGATGGACGTTTCGGAGGGCGCTGAAGCGTCTAGTAGTAGTTAGCATCCAGCCGTCGAATGCTTCCGTCTCCACGTACTCTTTTCGTATTGGAACCTGTACCGCAGCTACCCTCTTCGCATCTGAGATGATTCGATGGACCGTCAAAATAGCCAGGGCAAGGCTGAAAGCTCCCAGTGTCAGATGCATCGTCCGCAGCGTCTGGACCTGTGCCAGCTGAAGGCTCGCGATCAAGGCTCTTGTTCCATTTTGCGCTGTCCACGGGACCTCACGGACGCCCGAAGTATTGAGAGTCATGTTGAAGTGCGACCGGGCGTCGAGTTGAGGATATCGGAGGCCCCATGTTTCCATCTTGCCAACTCCCGCAAAGAAATATACAAGAAGGTAAAGAGACTCGCTGGAAACCAGCAGCGGCTAAAAGATGGGAAAAGTTCACGTATTCATGGAGGCAGAACGACTGACGTTGAACAAGAGGATCGTAACCCGTCCAGCTTCAGTCGAGTATTGTGCCTGAACCTGCCAGCAGAGCGAAGAGAAGGAAAAAGAGCGTAGGCATGAAAGCGTGGAGCCAGGAGGCGGGTATGAGACGTCAAACGGTATATGAGAAGACTTAGGAATTGGACCAGTAGCGCGGGGTTTCGGGACAGCGGTCCTGAGGCGTCTGTCATTCCATTAGGTGGTGGGGAAGCATTGGCGCTTCCCTGAATCGACCTTATTAGAGGCTGTAACGATGTACGCTAGGTCGAGGTGGGGTTTCAACATCATGCAGGGCGCATAGCCTGGGGAGCCTGGGCAACGGGTACAGAGAGACCCGACCAGAGACCACTGCCCCGGGGCCTCCCCGATCAGCCACAGCACACGGCTACGTAAACTGGCCGTGCTGGAAGCAGTGCCGATTAATAAGTGCGGCGGGCAGAGCGGGTCCGATGCGGCAGCCACTGATGTCGGCTGGGACCGATGGAGGGTTGAGCACATCGCGCGGTTCTGCAAACTATCAACATGTTGCTCTCTGTCAACGTTCCGCGCTTCTTCTGGGCACGATGGTTTCGTTTCTGTAATCTGAGGCCATTTTTAGACCTGGATGCCATTTCTCGGGCACGTTGAGAAACCAGAGAGCCGCGGGGGGAGAGCTCGTCGGTTGTCGTGAGGTTGGCGAGGTTGAGGTAAGGTTGTGACGTTCCTCGATTTGAGTGTGTATCAGCCGCTCGCTTCAGGGATGTCCGAAACGCGGCTGTCAATGCAACGCCTCTCCGGCCGCTCCAGGACCGGGGGTGCATGGAAATACGCGACAGTAGCTATAGCCGGTAAGAGTAAAGAGCTGCACGCGATGCGATAGGATTGGTTCGCATAGTGCCGCTAGACCCGAAGAGCGCGCCGAAGCGAGAATGATTCACACAGGGGCACGTGAGAGAGCCCAAGAGACCTTGGACGACGAGAACCTCAAAGGCAAGGCGCAGCAGTTCGTAAACTTTGCTTCCTGATTCCTGAGCTCATTTTAAGGCCTCGTCACCTCCCACGCGAGTCGCGGTCCTTTTTTCGAGCGGAGGATTACGCATTCTCGCGGAGCAATTGACCGTTCGCAGCAGCAAAGTTCGACCGCAGGCCGCTCTGCTAGCGGAGACGATGATCTCAGCGGAAGCTGCCGTCTGCGCCGATGCTCTGCAGGTACCGCGGTTTCAACGGTTTCTGTCACCGTTAGAAGCAGTAATAACCTTATCCCAAGCGTTAAGACGGTGTTGGAGAGCTGCAGTGGAGATTCCTTTCGTTCCTGGTGGGTGGCGGGTGTGCCTGGCGAGAGCTTGGCTGCGCTTCCCTGCTGCAACTCCTCACGTCTCACGACAGTCCTCTGGGTGCAGGGTGCACCAGCTCACGCCTAAAGCCCACGCGTGGCACGCCCTGTCCATATCGATCCGCGGTCCTATGGGAAGCTGCCGTAAGTCTAAGGCATAATCCCTTCCACGTGAGGAATTTTCGAGAACACCCATCTTGCCTCTTTTCGCACTGAGGCGAATGGCGTGCATCGTGGTACGGCATGCTTCAGTGTAAACATCCGGTCATGCGCACAATAACAGGTCCGCATATAGGCAGATTTTGACGTGCAGTAGTGAAGAAGGCATAATCGAGCTGGAGAATCAGCAACGAGTAGATTAGCTACATCTTTTGCTGGTCGAGGGTATCATGTTGAATGAGCTTTTGCAGAGGCAGATACGCCATCATGGTCTGATGGAACGACGAGTTGATGCTTTTGGATACCGAAACGCCCCGTTCATAGTGTTGAGCTGCAAGCCGCCGTCATGCTGTCATGCGGAAAGGCCTCTCATGAAGATTTGGCATAGTCTTCGAGGTACGCTACTAGGGCCTTTGCCCCATCCATTGATACGGCATTGTCTGTGACACCAAACGAGTTAGCACAGTTCCCTCTTCTGTCCACGAAGCGATCGTGCATAGACAAGATAAGAGATGGCCTTCCGATATTCTCAAATCAGTGCACCTGCTCGTGGCGGTTGTCCAGTCGAGCTGTAGCGGCGACTTGCCCCACCACGGCGCATATATAGCATAGGCAAGTACCTGTACATAAGCTCTCCGAACGCATACCTTGGCTGAGAAATAATAGCACCGGAGATATAGGAGTACTTACAATTGCTTGCCCTAATGCCGCCCACGCTTCGATGCCCTTTCAGGCCTAGCAAGCCCTTCTTTTCCGCACCAGCAAGGAAGGCCTTCTCTTTGTCAGCGTCGCCGCCGTGGACCCTGAAGCAGATGTTCATCCTGCTGCGAACTGCCTTGTCCGGCACCACCCGGTACACATGCGAGTATTTGTCAAGCGTGTCGTAGATCAGACGAGCCTTGTCATTCGACACCTCTTCTTGACCCCCGATCCGCTTAGCGCCGTACGCGTTGACGAGCCCGGACATGACCTGACCAGCGACCCACACATCGAAGATAGGCAAAGTGTTGTACAATGAGTTGTTCTTTGCAATGGTGGGATAATCCAAGACGATGGGTCCCACGGGCAAGTTCAGCGCTCTCAGTAGATCTGGCGATGCTGGCGTCGAGTGCGGCGGAAGAAGCGACTTCCGCAGTATCACGATCGCGATGCCCGTGTTGCCGATGTTCTTCTGGGCGCCACCGAAGATGACGGCGTATTTTCGCACGTCGACCTTGCGAGAAATGAAATTGGACGACATGTCGCAGCACACAAGGGGGGCATCGTCGCCCTCGAGAGCGTGCGGGAAGGCAGGGAACTCTACGCCGTCGACGGTCTCGTTGTCGCAGTAGTACACCAGGGCGGGGCCACCACCCGACGCCCGAGGAGTGAGGCTCCACTGGTCTTCGGGCGGGATGACGCCAAACTTGCCGCCGTTCGACTTGCGCGCATCCAGGGCCACGTTGACGTGTTTGGCGCCCACGAGGCGCGTCGCCTCTTGCGAAGCCTTGAGCGACCACGAGCCGGAGACCAGGTAGTCGAGCTTCAATTCCTCGTCCACGGCCTTGTGCATCCGCTTCAGCACCTCCTCCTGGTTGTCACCGACCTCTCCGGCAATCGCTGCACGCTTCTTCTCGACCCATATTGCGACGAGGTTGTAGACGGTCGCGCTGAACTCGCCACTGCCGCCGCTCTGCAGGAACAGCACTTCGTAGTCGTCAGGGATGTCAAGCAGGGTGGACAGGGCGTGCTTTGCGTCGGCGAGAATCTCGTTCGCGTCGGGGGAGCGATGGGAGATTTCGCACAGGCCAATGCCTTTGTCCTTGTAGTTCAGAAGCACTTGAGCTGCCCGCTCGAGGACGGCGGTGGGGAGGGGAGCGGGCCCCGCACCGAAGTAGTGCACGTCGGAACGGTTGACCATGGCGGCGGGGAGGATTGCTTGCTAGTTAGTGGAGTAAGTAGTACGGGCCAGCAGTCGACAGAAGGAAGAGTGATGGCAGGAAGAAGAAGAAGAGGTCGGTGGAGTGACTATGGTAGCTAGAATGCAATTTTCTATCGATGATTCACACAGCAGTCCTTGGACGCGTCCGATCTCGGGTAGAGTGGGCGGCGCGCGCAGTCACCCGCCCAGAAAGAATTGCGTCCCTCGCGTTCCAAGGTTTACGTCAATTGCGTGCTGCACATGATGGCAATAGATGTTGCAATTGTTGCGGCTGCATGCTCCAATCGAAGCGCGAGAAAAGCCGATGACTGGCACCGAAGCCGGCGCGGAGAAAAAGCTGCTTAGTAAGGCCAGAAAATATACACCACAGTGTGCCTAGGTAGAGAAACTCCAGCAGGCGTCAACACCACGCTGCCCATCCCCGGCTGCCAATTCTGCGACAATGGCCCTGTCGATGCGTGCAGTGCGGCTTCTGGGGCGCCGGCCGGCTCTGGTACGTCTCCCTCCAGGCACCTGCATGCTCTTTGCGCGCCTTCCTAATTCCATTCGCAGACCCGGGCGCGCCTGCCTCTCCGCATCGCAACGCAATTGCCTCGTCCCCGTCCCAATACCACCCAGCGCGCCTTCGGCACGACCGTCCCGCGCCCCGATACGCCCCATGTCTTCCATTCGTTGAAGGAGGGCCCGGCCGCCGACTTCCTTTCTACCTTCCAGCAGACGACCACGGTCCCCCAGACACTCACGGAGAAAATCGTACAGCGGTACGCCGTGGGTATTGCCCAAGGCAAAGTGCTCAGGTCCGGCGACTACGTGACATTGCAACCGCACCGATGCATGACGCACGACAACTCGTGGCCGGTCGCCCTCAAGTTCATGTCCATTGGCGCCACCAAGATCCACGACCCCAACCAGATCGTAATGACGCTCGACCACGATGTGCAGAACAAGTCCGAGAAGAACTTGAAGAAATACACTCAAATTGAGGAGTTTGCCCAGAAGCAACAAGTCGTCTTCTACCCGGCCGGACGAGGCATCGGGCACCAGATCATGGTCGAAGAGGGCTACGCGTGGCCGGGAACTTTGGCCGTGGCTTCCGACAGCCACTCGAACATGTACGGTGGAATCGGATGCTTGGGCACACCGGTGGTGCGAACAGACGCCGCGAGTATTTGGGCAACGGGCAAGACCTGGTGGCAGATCCCGCCGGTCGCCAAGGTCACCTTCAGAGGGACGATGCCTAAGGGCGTCACTGGCAAAGACGTAATTGTAGCTCTGGCTGGACTTTTCAACAAGGATGAGGTGCTCAACCATGCCATTGAGTTCACCGGTAGCGACGAAACACTTCGAACTATCTCCGTGGACGATCGCCTAGCCATCGCGAACATGACTACTGAGTGGGGGGCTCTCACCGGCCTGTTCCCCATCGATTCAGTCCTCCATGGATGGCTGAGAATGAAGGCCACCGATGCCGCCATGTACGGCAGCCAAAGCGACTACAAGGATCTCCATCAGAAGCAGTTCCTCCACGACCGGATCGACAAGCTCTTCTCCGCAACTGGCATCGTGGGCCAGCAGACCGGCCACATCTTCCAGCCCGCGTTGGCGGCAGACAAGGGAGCAGTCTATGCCAAAGAGTTGTTCCTCGACCTCTCCACCCTGGCTCCGTACGTCTCTGGCCCCAACTCCGTCAAAGTCGCTACGCCGTTGAACGAGCTGCAGAACCAGGCCATCAAGATTAACAAGGCTTACCTCGTCTCATGCACCAACTCTCGCGCTTCCGATCTCGCCGCAGCTGCCAAGGTTTTCAAGGAGGCTGCAGCCTCCAACGGTGGCAAGATGCCTAAGATTCCAGACCACGTCAACTTCTACATTGCCGCTGCATCGTTACCCGAGCAGCGCGCCGCCGAGGAGCAGGGTGATTGGCAAGCCCTTCTGGAAGCTGGCGCACAGCCTCTGCCGTCAGGCTGTGGACCGTGCATCGGCCTCGGTACCGGGCTGCTGGAGCCTGGTGAGGTTGGTATCAGTGCCAGCAACCGCAACTTCAAAGGTCGCATGGGATCCCCCGATGCGAAGGCGTACCTCGCCAGCCCCGAAGTCGTCGCAGCAAGTGCTCTCTCCGGCACCATCTCCGGCCCAGGATGGTACGAAGAGCCCGCTGGCTACACAGGCGTTCGACGCGGCCAAGGTGATGGCGTAGCAGAGGAAGAGCGTATGATGACCATCGAAGACATGCTCGAAAAGGCCATCAAGCAGGCAGAAGAAGCCATCGAGGCAGCCGAGAATGCCGCCATAGAGACGCAATCCATCAACCCTCCAGGCACTGCTTCAGAATCGGAGAGCCTAACTGAAATCCTCCCCGGTTTCCCAGAGAAGATTAGCGGCGAGATCGTCTTCTGTGATGCAGATAACATCAACACCGATGGCATCTATCCCGGCAAATACACGTATCAGGACGACGTCAGCCGCGAGAAGATGGCAGAGGTCTGCATGGAGAACTACGACCCGTCCTTTGGCGCGGTAGCAAAGGCAGGCGACATCCTCGTGTCCGGCTTCAACTTTGGCTGCGGTAGTAGCCGCGAGCAAGCAGCGACCGCCATCCTCGCCAAGGGCATCCCTCTCGTCGTCGCAGGTAGCTTCGGCAACATCTTCAGCCGGAACAGCATCAACAACGCGCTCATGGGCGTCGAGGTTCCCAGGCTAGCCAACCGCCTCCGCGAAGTGTTCTCTTCCTCGACACCTCCGTCTTCCCAGCAAAACATAGACGAGCCATCGCAGAACCGCGAATCATTAGACTCGCCACCCCCAGGTGCCGTGGCACAACCTCCGCAAGCCAAGCAGCTCACAAGGCGCACGGGCTGGACGCTTGAGTGGGACGTGCGCAGGAGCACCGTCACCGTGCAGGAGGGTCCTAGCGGGCTCGAGTGGAGCGTGAAGGTTGGCGAGCTGCCTCCCAACGTCCAGGAAATTATTGCGCTCGGTGGACTGGAGAGCTGGGTCAGGAAGGAGATTGGCGGCACTGTTTGAATGCCGCTTTTGAGCATGAGATACTGTATATTGTGTGTATACCCATAGTCATTTGCATGGGCGGAGTTCCGGCTCTGCATTAGCGCACGTCGAAATACATTTCCGTAAGCGTTCTTGCACGGATTGGCAAAAGTTCGGCGCGGGGCGGATGAAACTCACAGTCGCGCGCGTGTAGCTGAAAAGTTAGATACGCCGGGAATGGAGAAGTCGTTCTTTTCGTGGTCCACGGCGAGGTCGGTCTGCGGGGCTGTGGCTTTGGTGCCCGTGTAGAGGTGGACTAGGAATCGGAATATGGCTAGTAGGAGTCCTAGCGCGCCGAGGTAAGCTAACTTCGGTCTACATACTGGTGCTGGTCAGACTGACGGCTATCCCAGGGGCGGGGACGTATGCGCTGCTCCAGGGCAGCCAGCGTTCACTCTAGACAACAAGGACATTCAGCGCCCAAGACTCGTCCACGCATTGCCGGCAAATTGCACTCAGCTGTTAGATTTGCTGACCAAGATATAGATATAGTACAAGCCGGCCATGCTGCTACTTACGTGCAGCTTCATCCCCTTTCCGAGCACCCTTCTTCTACAGCCTCGAGTGATCTTTCAGTGCTCTCCGCTCCGGCCGCTACTTCCTCCTCACCCTCACGCCCTCTAACATACACCGCACTTGCCTCTTCATCAGGCCTCATCTGGTCAGCGTCGAGAACGTCTATCACTGCGCCCTATCAGCACCAGTACGTCGAGCTAGCTCCATCGACTTCAGACTCACACAGCTGAGTGCAGAACCCCCCCTCAATCGCCGTCTGAACAGGCGTCATATTCGGGTCTTTGCCCTCTGCCAGCGATTCGCGCTTGAGGCCGATACTGTAAGAGGAGAATTTGTGTGCCGTGACACTGAACGTATCCTCGTCTTGCTTGCATATTGCGGCGATGCGTTTATCATTCGTGTAGCCCATTCTATTAACCTCGGTTCCGGGACGCAGGGATTCGTCGGGATATAACGTCATTTTGATCTCGAACCAGGCATCGTCGCGGTCGAAATAGTCGTCGGGGTCTGGGCCGGCGATGGCGGCCGGGCTCTGCGGCATGGCGAACGGGTGGCGTTTGTATATCTGGGACGTCTGGGTTTCCGTATTCAAAACCGAGGCTAAGCAAGATACGGCGAGCGTATGGATGCGGGATAAGCTAGGTGTCCAGGTTTTCGAAGTGGTAGAAGGAAGTATACAGAAAGGGGGTGGGAAGCGGATTGTGAGCGCCTTTTATACTGGCGAGGTGGCACACGCGCGATGACTCCCAGACACAGTCTCCTACCCCAGGTAGCAGTAGTCAAGCCTGTTCGCCACCGCCGTCCCCCTGCCGCCCACACCACAGGCAATACCTCATCCACACTGCCGGAAATCAGCCTCCTCCTCAGTGCTCATCTATCTACTCGGGACAACTCACAGTCAACTGAACACTCTCTCCCCCCCTCGGTCTCCACAAACCCATAACTCTCATCGAAGCGTTCCAGCCACGCCTTCTTCGCTGCAATCCACGACACGCTCTTCTGGTAAGCAAACACCGCCAAACCCATGTTGGTACACCGCGACGCAAGACCGCGATCCGTCGTATACCCGACCCTGTGGCAGTTCAAAACTTCGGCCTCGCCAACGTCGTGGAAGATGTGCAGGGCGAAGCTGTAGTACACCTCGAACTAGTGGCGGGTTACTAGTGACATGTTTAGAGCAGCTTGGGGGTCGACGTCTGCGCTTGCTGTTATAAAAAGCGGTGCAGATAAAAAAGGAGGGACTATTCGAGGGAGGAGAGTGATAGGTAAGGGAAACCAAAGGGTGGGCAGGCGTTCGACATGATGCTCCATGGGCGCTTTCAGTCATCGCGAGCCTAGACTCATAGCTACGATCGACTCACAACACAAGGCCCCCGTCCACCAGCAAGCGAGCTGAAAGCAAGAAGCCACGTGACCCGCCTGCCCAAAATTTAGGTTGTTTGTGAGGCGGCTGGTATGTTGGGACAAACGGCCGCGGTCCCTGGGACATGTATAGTGCGAACACTGGTCCACGACTTAGTCATCCGGTGCGCCCAGTTGTGTTTCCGAGGGCCCTCATGGCCGGATCCGTAGGACACCGCGTGAAGGCCTCGAGACGGAATGTGGGCGTACCTTGGAACCACGCAGACAGTGTGCCCGAGCCAGACAGTATCATGCCGCCAGCTTATCGCTACCCAAAGATTTTCCCACAACCAACCTTTATAACAACCCCTTCCCCATCCTCCCCCACCCCATACTTTCCTTCCACAAAGCACAACCATGCTCTGGCTCATCCTCGTCCTCCTCGCCCTGCTCTGGGCCTGCCAAGCCACCACAACCTCCCCAACACCAAGAAATAACGATTCCGCCTGCCTCCTCGCGAACTCGACCCTCTCCTCCCTGCACTCCACGCTCCCATCTCCAGCAGCCCCCGCGGACTTTACATCCTACATGGACCGCCACGATCCCTTTACCCACGGCTGGTCCGCGGACCCAGCTCCCTCCGCACCACCCATCGCTGACATACCCGCAGCACAACCCCCTTCCCCCCTACCCTCAACTCGGCCCTAATCGCCAGCGCCTACGCGCACCAGGCATCCTGGTACAACGCCGCCCAACGCACGCTGGGCCCACTGATCGCGCAATGCGAGGAAGACACTGCGTTCTTCCACTCGGACCTCAAGACGTACAAGACGATCGGCTTGCGGCACGGACTGCCCGCGACCTGGGAAGAAGTTGAGGAGCAGTTCGCGGCGTGTCCGGAGATCCCGGCCTCCGATGCGGCCGCAGCTGAGGGAAGTGGAAAGAAAGGGGGCGAGGACGACGAAGAGGACGAGTTATTCGCGCCGCTAGCGGAGGAGGTAGAAAACACTGCAACAGGGCCGAGCACGAAGCTGCCACTCTTTGTGTTCATGGTCGCGAGCGTGCTTTTTATGGGCCTAGTGTGAATGGAGGATGAGGTTGAGGTGGATTCAGATAGAATGGGATCAGAAAACTCAGTAGTTTGACGGCAGGAACGGGGCTCTATCTTGAATCAGCTCGCGAATATTCCAAAGGCTGATATTTCGTTCACTCACATGCTAATGCAAGCCTACCCTACGCAATACTAACCCCGCCACCTTTTCCAAAACTTCCATCCAACCTTCTCGTTCTCTTCTTGCTTCACATGCCTAAACCGCTGCCTCTCCTTGCCTCTCCGTCGCCCAACCCATGCAAACCAAATGACCAGTCCTACAACCATAAATGCCACCACCAACAGCGTCTGAAAGGGCTGCGCAAACACCGCTCTAGATAGCAAAAACAGGCTAACACAGCAAAAGATAATAGGAGTTGTTATCCACGTCTTGTATGGGCGCTCGAGCTCGGGTTCCTTGACGCGTAATATAATGAGACCGAGGACGGCCAGGAAGTAAAACGAATAGCCGGCGACGCCGTAGAAGGTGACGAGGGTATCGAAGGAGCCGATTAGGACGTAGACGGCGGTGAGAAGGGCGTTAAGTGACATTGCTGAGATGGGAGTGAAGAAGAAGCCAGCATCCGCGTCGGCGAACCAGTCGACGAACTTGCGGGATATCTTGCTCATGCTAGGGTTGGCGTTGAGAGTATGGAGTCGAATGGCTCTGTGACTCTTTCCGAGGCCGATGGTGCCGAAAAGCTCTGGCAGATAGCCTTCCTTGCCTGCGGCGTAGACAAGGCGGCCGGATGTGAACGTTGTGGCATTGAGAGCTCCAAAGCAGGAGCCAGAGACAAAAAGCGCGAGGATGAGGGATCCAATGGGCCCAAAGACTTGGTTTCCAAATGCGACGGCGACGGTATTGGTGGATTCTATAAGCTCGGTGGGTAGAACAAGAAAGTAAGCTATGTTCGCCATGATGTAGCATAATATTACAAGCGGGAGCGACGTGTGGATCACCCTGGGGAGATCGCGGGTTGGGTTCTTGAACTCCGCTGTAACATAGTTCACCTGCCATTGTTAGCGCGATGGCGAATGGAGAAGGACTAGGAGGGTTTCGTACGTTATCCCAACCATCGAAGGCCCACAAGCCGGCGTAGAGAGCTACCGCCCAATTGCTAACGTCGGTGTTTGTGCCATCAAACCAGCCCTTCGTCTTCCAGTCATCGCTCGCCGGGCCCTTGTACGAGAAGCCCGTCACGGCGACGACAATGCCGGTCACGGTGACGCCAAGCAGGGCGATGAATTTGAGGAACATGAAGACGTCGGCGCTTCTAGTCCCGAGCTTCGTAGACACGCAGTTCAGCAGCGTGACAGTAACGAGGCCGGCCAGAGCAACGCCCTTGTTGAGCCATATGCTGGCCTCGGCTGCTTCGGCACCAATGATTGCGCGCACGAGATATTCGCCGAAAATGATAGCGATGATGGCCGCGGACCCTGGCTTCAGCACGACCACGGCACACCACGTGAACAGAAAGCCAGCCCATTCGCCGAAAATCTTCTGAAGATAGACCTGGGCTCCGCCGTTCAAAGGTATCGCCCCACCGAGCTCCGCGTAGCTCGCCGCGCCCGTCCAGGCCAGAATGCCTGCGACCACCCACACGAGCAGCGACGCGCCCGGAGAGCCGGCATTCTTGTTCACTTGCGATGGCGAGGAGAAGATGCCGCTGCCTATTATGAGCCCAACCACCAAGGATAGCCCGTTTAGATAGGTTAAACTCTTGTTTTTCTCCAACGAGCCGCCGTTGAGCGCATTCGAGGCGTCCAAGGCAGGATTAGAGGGCGCACCGAGGGCGGTGTAGCCTTGCGCTGTGCTGGATAAGGGAAATAGGTTCGGCGCAAAGTCGAAGGCAGAGGACACGCTATAGGAGCGATTATGTCGTGGCCGGCCGTCATCATGACCCGCGGGATTGAGCTCCGAGAGGGGGTCTTCGTCGTCGAACGAGAGCCTCCGCGACGACGGCACTCCGGAGTCGGAGGACTCGACCGACGTGCGCTGCGAAGCATGCGAGGAAGAGGCCAGCGAGGCCAGTTCGAGCGAGTCGCGGGTCGGTGGAGGGGGGAGGTTCGAGTAGCGGCCGGCCATGGTGCGGAGGTGGGCTACCTTGTGGCGCGGGTTCGAAGAGCCATGGGCGGCAGAGAAGTTATGGGTGACAAAGTATATAGGGGCTACGCATGCCCCTTTCTATGAGCTCTGAGCGTTTGGCGGTGGACGAGTGGTGAATGTTCGATTGCGGAGTTGGAAACGAACGGCTCCCGGAGAGAGGCTAACCGCCAGCGGACTAGTGCGAACGCTTCGGTGTCAGAGCTCCAGACACGAAAATCGTTCACAGCTCGGCGGAGCTTGACGCGAGCCCTGAGCGACATGAACCGTCCAATTCCGCCGATGCCACGACATGCGACCCGTGCCAGGTGATGCGGGGCCTCAGTCTGCGCCGGGTAGGCTGGCGGCGCGCCCTCGGTCCTCCGCCGCGGCGATGCACGTCCACGAGCCAGACGCCCGCCGGGCCAGCTAAAGAGGTGCAATTGCAGGACCTCACCGCGAAATGGCAGCCGCTTTGGGAGAAACTGGCATCCAGGCCGAAGCAATCTTTGGAATCCAACCGCGGAAAGGCATACATACTGCCCATGTTCCCGTACCCCTCCGGCACGCTACACCTCGGCCATCTGAGGGTCTACACCATTTCGGATGTCCTGGCACGCTTCAAGCAGATGCAGGGCTACGACGTCCTGCACCCGATTGGATGGGATGCCTTCGGTTTGCCTGCTGAAAACGCGGCCATTGAGCGGGGGATACATCCGGAGAAGTGGACGCTGCAGAACATCGAGGCCATGAAGAAGCAGATGATGGAAATGGGCGGGCGATGGTCCTGGGACAGGGTATGGAAGACGTCTCAGATCAGAACGAGAGTGCTAGCTGAAGAATATATACATAGGAATTTCGAACCTGCGATCCCGACTTCTACAAGCACACCCAGCGCATCTTCCTCATGCTGCACGAGCGCGGCCTAGCCTACCAGGCCGAGTCGCTGGTCAACTATGACCCCGTCGATCAGACCGTCCTCGCGAACGAACAAGTAGACGCCAATGGCTGCTCATGGCGATCCGGCGCGAAGGTGGAGCAGAAGATGCTCAAGCAGTGGTTCCTAAATACCAAGGAGTTCCAGGAACCATTACTAGAAGATCTAAAATTGCTGGCAGAGAACGGCAGGTGGCCCGAAAGAGTGCTCGCCATGCAGAAGAACTGGATAGGCCGCTCCGTGGGCACCAAGCTGTGGTTCGAGGTTAACAATCAAAGATCAGAAGCAAAGTTTGACGCTGTTGACGTGTTCACAACCAGAGCAGACACCTTGTTCGGCGTCATGTATGTTGCCTTGTCGCTGAATCATCCCCTGGCCCAAGCGTGCGCCAAAGAAGACGAATCGCTGCGCACCTTCATCGAGCGAGCAAAGGCCTTCCCTCCTGACTCGAAAGAAGGATATTTGCTTCAAGGCATAGAGGTATGGAATCCGCTTGCAGGCCTTATCGAGGACAACGACATCATTTGGCGGGTCCCTGTTTATGTCGCGCCTTATGTCCTAGACGATTACGGCTCGGGAGCGGTTATGGGCGTGCCTGGCCATGACGCCCGCGATCATGCCTTCTGGCGGCAGAACAGAAGTACACAGCCCGTGAGACAGGTCATTATCCCCGCTCCTACAGTAATGCCTTCCTTCTGCACTGGGCCTGGAGATAGTCAACATGGAGAGGACCGACCCAATCTTGAAAAAGGATTTGTGGCTTCGCGGGACGGTACTTTTTCGGGGGTTTCCTCAGACGAGGCGATTGAAAAGATCATCACGCTCCTGCAAAGTGCGGGAAGACCCGTTGAGCGGACACAGAATTGGCGCTTGAGGGATTGGCTCATCAGTCGACAACGATATTGGGGCACTCCAATCCCCATTATACACTGCACCTCCTGTGGCCCAGTTCCAGTGCCTGAACAGGATCTGCCCGTCGAGCTTCCTAGCTTACCGGATAGTTTCTTCCAGAGAAGAAGGGGCAACCCTCTCGCTGAGGATGAGGAATGGAAGAAGACACAATGCCCGAAATGCCGCGCAGTTGCCGAACGCGAGACAGATACCATGGACACCTTTATGGACTCGTCTTGGTACTTCTTCAGGTTTCTGGATCCGAAGAACTCGCAGTCTCCCGTGAGTTCGACAAAAGCGGACCAGGAGATGCCTGTCGATGTCTACGTTGGTGGGGTGGAGCACGCCATTCTCCATCTCCTCTATGCCCGCTTCATTTCGAAGTTCCTTTCGACAACCTCCGTCTGGCCGCGCGGAAGACAAGCGAACGGTGAGCCTTTCCAGCAGCTGATCACTCAAGGAATGGTGCACGGCAAGACGTACTCGGATCCCGCCACCGGCCGATTCATGCGCCCGGAAGAAGTAGACCTTGGTGACCCGTCGGCGCCGGTCATCAAAGGAACGGATATTACCCCTACTGTCAGCTACGAGAAGATGTCTAAGAGCAAGTACAATGGTGTTGATCCCGGAGCGACGATTGCCAAGTACGGCGCGGACGCCACGCGAGCACACATGCTCTTCCAAGCACCCGTCAGCGATGTTCTCGAATGGGATGAGGAGAAAATCACCGGCGTCCAACGCTGGCTCACACGGGTGCTCAGGCTTTCGACCGCGTTCGGGCGCCATGCCAAAGAGATGGAGAAAGTCACACCGTCGAGGGATATCGATGCGGGAGTGGCAGATCTGCTCAAGGCTCTAAGAGCAGCAAACATTCTGAAAGTGGCACCGAAGCCCAGGAATGATCCATATAAGACAGACTTAGAGGAGCTTGTCGCCGCTCTGAAACTGGACGAGATGGAGCTGCTGTCTAAGCTGCAGGAGACGATTGCCAGCGTCACAAAATCCTATGCTGAGACGTACTCCTTGAACACGGTTGTCAGCGACCTCATGACGCTGACGAACACCATCTGGGACACGCCTCACGTTTCTGCCTGCACACCATGGTTCAAATGGTTCGCCACGGCCCATCTCCTCCGAATGCTCGCTCCAATCGCCCCCGGCGTAGCAGAAGAAAGCTGGCATACTCTCCATTCGACAACCAGCCTCCACATCCGCACAACCACCCTTCATCCTTTCCACGACAACGGCGACTCCTCCATTTTCGCCTTCGGCTTCCCAACCGCAAACCTCGACATCCTACCCCTCCTCAACCCGACCACACCATGCGTAGTGCAAGTCAACGGCAAGAAGAAATTCCAGGCGAACATACAGAAGGTGCCATTGACGATCCCGAGCCAGGACGACCCGGCGGTCAAGCAGTGGGTGTTGAAACACCTTCTGCAGACGGATCTGGGCAAGAAGTATATGGACAGAGAGACGGGAGCGGTATGGAAGGCGGGTGGGTTCGGAGAACGGCATCCGATATACAGACTCGTGCCGAACGATTGGACGGTTATTGTTGCGAAGAGAGGGAGGATAGTGAATCTCGTCAGTCCGAAGAAGGTAGGCGGCAGCAAACGCGACACCGAATCGCGTATTGAAAAAGGAGGAAATGTCATCGGAAAGAAAACAGGCGGAAAATGAGGAGCCGACTCCAAGAAGGAGACGCAGAAGAAAAGTCCAGCCAACCCATCTTCAACTTCCCTCGCACTAACAGCCGTTTCTAGTATGGCGTGGGGTTTGGTAGGACGCTCTCCTTGTACGATATCTGTGGAGATACATGCATCTCCTAAGTTAGGTTAGTTTAGGAGTGTATAGTGTATAGTGTAAACTAGTGTACAGTACTTTCTACATATCCAGACACGCTTCAAACGCATCCTCTTCTCCCGCGCAGCCCACATCTAACCGCACCCACTCCATCGCCCTCATCCCCGTCCAAACAACCTCGCCCTAGGCTTCAACTCCAACCCTCCCCTATCCTCCCCCATCCCCCTCCTAATCTGCTCCTCAACCACCCTCCCCAAACTGCCCCCCTCTTTCGTAATCCCACCTCTAAACAACTCCCCCACCACTCTCCCTCTCACCACCGTCTCTTCCACCACGCCCTCCACATTCTCCGGCCCCACCCGTCCATACCACACGCCCATGCCCTTCAAACTGTGCTCCCGCAGCGCAGGCGGAACGTATATAATCACATTCCCCGCATACTTGTGCCCGCCAACATGGCTGATCAGCCCAACCTGCGCGTCCACGCCGCGGCGCGCGAACTCCTGCCTGAACGCCGATTGCAGCATCGGCCCGAGCACGCCGCAGCGCTTGTCGCGCCCGCCGTGGCCGCATATCAGCACCGTGATGCGGGTGATGTCTTCGGGCGGCGGCAGCGTGGCGGCGAGCGACGCGTCGCGCAGGAGGCGCGCTTTTTGGGCGGGGGACAGGGCGGCGTGCGCGGGGTGCAGGGCGCGCGGTTTGAGGTATGCGGAGGCGAAGCTTGAGACTGCGTTGTGCGGGATGCGGGGGATGCGTTTGAAGGAGGGGAAGAGGAGGGCGGTTGTGGAGTTGGGGGTTGGGCTGGCGGGGAAGGAGGCGGCGGTTATTAGGACGTTGTTAAAGGGCTGTGTTGATTTTTTTAGTTAAGTTGAAGCTGAAATACGGGTGCGTATGGAGAGGGTATGCAGAGGGGGACAAACAAACATCGAAGCCCTTCCCGCCCTTTCCAATCTCGGCGCGGAGTCCGCGCACAAAGGCCCCGGCGGAGGACTGCTCGTCTTCGATCCTGCTGCTCCAGTCTTCTTTTCCCGTGCATATGAGGACTTGCTCTGTGTAGCTGGCCATTGTGTTCAGGAGTGGCGTTTTGCGGTCGATGTCGAGGTCTGGCGGGGTGGAGGCGCAGGGGCAGGTTGGCGCCGGACATGTTGGGGTGTAGGGTATCGAAGACTGGGGGCGATGTGCGGTGGTAGAGAGGGCGCGGAAGGGATGAAGGTTCGAAGTGCGTGTCCGGACGCAGCGGGAAAAGGACATTGTGTGCTGGAGCGCGATGCGGTGCGTGTCGGAAGCTTGTGGAATTTATCCGGGATGGGTCGGAACGCGTTCCGCGATGGTGTAATCTCCGCTCGGAGATAGCGGCGCGGCGTCGGATATAGGTTACGATGTCCGACCTAGTCGCCTAGCCTACGTCTCACCATTGGAGTCCACATAGAGGAGCTTGACTTTCTCCAGCGTTTTTCTCTTGTTACTATTAGAGCCAGCATACGGGGCCTTGGCTTTCTCCAGACCTTTTTTAGGCCGACGTCTGCAAGGGCACGAAGAACCACACCTGTGCTTGATAATGCGGATGGGCATCTCCCCTTCCAATCCAGCTCATGCTTTCCAGCCCGCAGCACAGTAGGACTCTGCATATTGGCCTCCACAGCCCCTAATTGTAACCACTTCGGAAACTGCGGCAAGCCCTCCTATCCCGGTGGCCCTCGGCCCGTCTCGTGCTGAGCTCGATCAGTGAATTCAAGGGGTTCTTCTCCCCCCAGCGAAGCTTTGCAGATTCCAAGACCGGCCGAATATCAGCCTGACTGTCTTGCGTGAAGAATGCGCCCACGATATCGGTAACGCTCCACATCGGCGAACCCGCAATCCTATCCGAGAAGAAGCGAATCGAGTAGAACGGGTCCGCGCCGTGGACAAGCAAGAGCTTGACTGCCCGAACGCATATTTCTTCAAGATACCCATGGTCGTTCTGCCATTTGCAAACATACCTGCAAACGTGGCGTACACTTAGCGGGTGTCTCAGTCAAAAAGGGTCGGGGCGCGGCGCGGGGGGAAGGGCACGCAATCATGTCTCAAGTCTTTACCTACTGAAGGCCCCCAGGAGGAGCTTTCCGCAGTCAAGACATGCTAGAGAGGGCACTGGGATCTACGTACCACAACCACATCTGCCAGAGCGTGAACGATCCAATTCGCCGGTTCGGGTCGAGCCCGTTTTCGAGGAACAGCGCGTAGATATCCAAGTGGCGGTGGAGACCTTGACGTAGTGGCTCGCCCTTGAGTAGCACTGTGTCAGCAAGATCATAGATACCGCCATTCTTGCTGATCCCGATCTGAGGTAACGCCTCGATGAATCGGGAATCGTCGAACACCTCGTCGAATTTTGCGCCATGCCTAAGCAAGATTGAGAGCGACCTCTTCCATTGTTCATACGCCCAGGGCTTTGTTGACCTCCTTGCCGCCGCACCAGTCTCGGATAGAAACTGTGCGAAGAGCGTGTCATTCGTTGTCCGAACGTTCGGGTCTGCCCCATTATGCAAGAGCCAGGAGAGTGTATCGCAACTGGATTGTATGCCAAAGGTACTATTGACTCTCCAGGATTGAATATCGAATGCCGCCCGGAGCAAATGTTTCGACAGGCGATGGATGAGTGTTCTGTCCTGGCTCAGACGATACTCGAGGTATGCAGTGAAGCCATAATGCACAGTCTTGACCAGGATGTGGGGATCACTGTCGTCGAAAGCTCCAGTTTGGTGCTCTTCTACCTTTTTGAAAAGAGCCCAATCGAAATAGCCAGACTCCGCCGCAGCCCAACGAGCGAAAACCAGGAAATAGGCGAAGTCCTGGGAATTAAACCCCCTCCCGCTCTTGCTACGAGAACAATACTCTGCGTGCATAGCCAGAGCCCTAGACGCTTTTGTTGCTGCCTGCGAATCTTGTCTAGCGAGCAGTCGATGCACACCTTTCCATTGGAGGTAGTCGCGCACTGTTCGATGGATAAAGTTGACTTTTCGTGCGCCCGGCACTCCAGCGGCCTCTAGCAGACCTTTGTAACGTACACTCAGCCGACGATTCATTTGGTCCTCGAGCGCGATGATCCTGAGCAGATCGGGGGGTGGAAGCTCATTTTGGGTTGAATAACTGCCTTCATCGAGAAACCAATACGTCAATATGCACATTGGTTCCGGGGCTCGGATGGCAACTTCAAACATGGTGGCCATTTGTTCCCGGTAGACGCTGTCCACGGATTGGATCAACTTGTCAAAAAAGGGCCCCAGATCCGAAGGCATTTCTTCGAGGCGACGTAGCAACAACGGTATGTTATCGCCATTTTCCACGCCTTTTCGGAGAGATCTGACGACCAAGAATACCCACAAGAACACTCCGTGAGCTCTGCGAGTGATCTTGGAAATGAGATCAGCGAAGGCTTGATGCTCTTGCTTGAGCAAGCCAGAGCCAGGGATGTCCTCGAGCTTATCCCGAGCAAATTGGCGAATATCGTCCACAGTCAGGTTATGAAGGTATAGCTTTGAGACCGCATCGAGACCGAAAGCGTCTTCAAAGCACGGCCAAGGTCGGCTAGAGACGCATAGCTTGATATGAGGTAATCTCGCGATGTGCTGTAGTATCTGGATGATCTCCGATTCATCTCCATCGTACTCGTCCAGACCGTCGATGAAGAAACAGATCTTGGTATCATCCTTCAAAGCTTCCAGCTTTTCGAAAGCTGCCTGAAGCTCTCTGAGGCTCCAATCACTGCCGCTTCCACCTTCCCAGCGGTGTGGGCAAAGGACCGGGATAAGGTCGGGGCACGCTCGAAGAATCTCGAAGAGCAGTTGTTGAAGAAGACCTCGTTGGCATTTTTGCATGTCGGTTCCAGCGGACCAGAAGTAGAACGCCGCCCTAATCAGTCGGTGGTGTCCAGCCCATTCGCCGAGGCAGTTGCTAGTCTGTGGTGCGTCGCAGATGTATTTCATAAGCGTCGACTTCCCTGAGCCCGGCTTTCCTGAGATCCAGTAGAGTCCGTGCCCGGATACCAACCAGTCTCTGAAGCGAATCTTCGATCGAGGATCATGTGGATGGAAGTACGAAGGTTCAAAAATCCAGTGGAAAGTGCGTTGATGGGCTTCGGCGATCGTATGGTAGCGATGCCTCATCGTTTCGAAGAGGAGGCTCTCCAATATCTGCCTTTCCTTGTTGTACATATATGAGGCGGTAGCCGCTTCTTTCAGTATTGTTTCGATCTTCAGGAGATGGGCCTGGTCCAGCTCCTGCATGTGCTCTTTGACGTCGTGTAGGGAAACTAGAACTTCTTTCACAGTGAGTCCGCGAGCCGAGTCTAAGTCCTACAAAGGTGGCGGTACTCTTAGCAGATTTTCAAACCGAAGGGAACCGAGGGTGGTGTTCACACTCTAACTTGTCTTAGGTTTTACCTGTTAAAGGCCTCCAGGAAGAACTTTCCGCACGTAAGAGCTAAGACATTCTAGATTGTGTACTGCTGCTTACGTACCTCACAGGAGGCCTTCAGCGCATTCAGGTCCACCATAAGTGATATCTGGAGCTTGCTGTTGCTGGCGTTAGTAATTTTGTGTAAGGATTGGGGCCACGAGCTTCGGCTTGCTCCCTTACCTCATGTGAGCCAGGATGTTAACTGAAAGCTGACTGCGGAGGTTTTCGAGCCTTTTCTGCAAGCTGTCGATTTTGTCCCTATTCCATAAACTTGAAAGTGCCTGGCGAAAACTGCGCCATCTCCTCTTCTAGCAACCCGAGGCTCCGCGTGTGACAGAGATCAACTCCGTAGCAACGGCCTTCGCGGAATGGGCGATGCTAAGCATGTCCGGGCCGGGTCCAAGGCCCTGGTAGGAGACTCTGGGTCCTGCGTTGGTTTTCGGAGTGATCAAGCCGTCGACCAGCAGCGAAAGGTCTCGGGCAACGTCTTGGAGTTCAACGTACTCCTGGGAGAGCCCCGAGGCTGAGTGGTAGACCTCACTCGCCTCAGAGAGCAGTGTGGCGCAGAAATCCAGGAATTGTATGATGTTGGCCGCTAGACCGACAGCAGTAAGGCCATCCATAGCCACGAGAATTCTGTGTCTAGTGGGATGCTCCGCAAGAATGTTACTATTGGGCTAGGGGCCTTAGTCTGTTGGATCAGAGTAGGCTCAGCCGGCGGTAGCGTTCGGTGCGATCATCTGTCCGTGGGCCGGAAGAGAAGCGGAGCGGGACTGCTTATAGATAAGTACCTGCTCTGCCTTTCCGACCGGAAGCGATTGGGGTCTGCTCGTGGTAGCGCCTGCGTGGACAAAGTTGTGGGTTCAGCCAGCTGTGAGGAGGCACAAGGCTGAGGCGGTGCTGCCTCTCACGTGCGCCATGCGGCGATCAGCTTCCAGTAACATCGTTCTGCGAAAGCCACATTGTGCCTTGGCTTCCTACCGGCCGAATAGTGGGTGAGCGGCGCAATAAGTGGTAATACTATGAGAGGATAGCTGACACAGACACATTGACCGTGAAAGAACACTCACGCTTCGCTTTCATCGTCGTCCTAACCCGCTTTCTCCGTTGACCACCAGATTCTTGTCCCGCCAAAAATTGCGCCTACGATATCGGTAACGCTCCCCATCGGCGAACCTACAATCCTATCCGAGAAGAAGCGAATCGAGTAGAACGGGGTCTGCGCCGTTGAAGTGACTCATACCTTGCCCGCTTTCTTTTCACTTTGTTCGCCTTCACCGCGCGCTGTGTGCGTCCGTGCGCGTGGGATAAATATCCTACCTCCCCCCCCCTCGTTTCGCCGCTGTCCTCCGCCCACTCTTTACTCTACCGCTTCTATATTCTTTCCTACCCTCGCTCACACCACCTATCGGGCTTGCCTGTGGTCGCGGGGATCATCACGCCTCTTCTTTGGAGCTTTGGCCGGCTCAGGGTTGAGGCAAGGTGATCCACGGTCGGTACGAAGCGGCAGTGAGCGACGGTCCTCTGCGGAGGTCTGTAGAGACAGACCTAGTTAAAGACTATCTTGGGTTCTTTAACGACGGTCGGAAATCCCACCCTTCTTTTCATTAACCTGTCTGCTCAAAGTGGACTGTCAAGGAAGAGATCTACGTGAGGCTGTCACTTGTTTGAAGCGTTTCCTTGCTGTACGTATAAGAGGCGGTAGCCGCTTCTTTCGGTGTTGTTTCGATCTTCCGGAGATGGGCATGATTAACACGAGTGATCTTTGACCTGCTGCGCGATAAAGTCCTCTAATTGAACGTGTGTTACCATTATCGCCTGAGTGGGTGGAGGAAGTACATTTGAGTCGCTGCGCGCGAGAGTATGGCTTGGAAGTAGGTCTTGAGAGCAGCAAGAAGGAACGCTGGAGGCATGACGTCACGAACGCGAACATCCATTCTACGACGCTCCGCTACGCTTCCCACAGACACGGACTCCTAGCTAGACCAGCCTACCCTGGCCGACCTGTTCATCGCCCCAGATTCTGCTTGCGCATCGCTGCCCACACCTCACATGAGGCTCTTCAAACTCTCAAGCGTCGCCTTCAGTCCCGGCGTTTCCTCCGGCTTGATGCCCAACTCCTCCTTGCTCACATAGTCCACATGCGCCGTCCAATCGCTCACAATCTGCGCCCAGTCCCACTGGTCCGTAATCTCATCGCCGGCGACGCCCCAGAGGTTCTCGTAGTCCTTGCGGCTGCACTGTATGTAGATGCCCTGGCGGCCCGTCACCTCGGACCAGATGTTCAGCATGTCGCCGAGCGTAACCGTCTCCGTGGCGACGGTGGTGTACTTGCCCTTGCTCTTGTCCGGGTTGGCGAGGATCTGGCGGACCCAGATACCGGGGTTCACCGTCATGTCGCCGGTGACGGGGATCGCTGTGGTTGGCGCTGTGGACACGATTTGCACCCATTTGCCGTACGAGCCGGGCTATGGTTTCATTAGCAGGGGAGCCGTGGGCGTGTAATAGTGGACTCACAACTTCCATCGGCTTGAGCAGCGGCAAGTACACCATGTTGGTGGCGTAGTAACCGAAATACAGGAACGTCGTCTTCTTCGCGAGCTCAGGCATTTCGCTCCTGATCTTGTCGTCTACCTCGGCCTTGTAGTCGATATGGGCGCAAGTAACCTTGCCATTGGTGGTCTTCTTAGCGCTCGGAAGCGTGCTCCAGATGTAGTGCTCGAGAGTTGATGTCTTGGCTGCTGCACGGGCGAGCTTCAGGGCTTGCTCTACTTCGATGACGCCAGACTCATCTTGAGATTTGCCGGTAAAGAGATGCTCCCAGAAGTTTGTGACGGCGAAGATGGCATGGGCGCCCTGGTATCATATCAGCGAAAGTCCTAAGTAGCGATGGTGATTGGGTAGTACTTCGAAGGCCTTCACGAGCGACTCTTCGTCGTCGGCATTGGCTGACACGACCTCTGCGCCTTTGGAAGCAAGTTCCTTAGCCTTGTCGCTGTCCGCGTTCCTGGTGATGATTCGAAGCTTCCAGCCTGGCGTCTTGAACATGACGTTGGCCACGCCTCCGCCCTGCGCGCCAGTCCCTCCAACAATCGCAATAGTCTTCGTCATTGTGATACTGTAAAAATTGCTCTTAAAGTTGCCTGGAACTTGAGGTCTGCTGGTTAGGCTTCCAAAGTTGCCTGGCCTTGAGACCGGGTGCTATTTATGCTTATAAGCAAATAGAATGCGCCTATGAAGCTTTCGTGCGAGTACCCAGGTAAGCTCGGAGCGACCTTCAAACAAAGAAAACACACTACTCTCTAAGCGCCGACACCGTTGGTCAGCACCAACGAACGCGGTAGGCCGTGCATATGCTCCTAGTTAGTAACCGACCGCGGAACTGCAAGCGGAATCGATCAGTCTGAACCATGTCCTGCCGAGGGGGCGGGGAATCGAGCGAAGGCATTCGACAGGGGTGTAGGGCCAACGCGATATCCCGTCAGGATGGGTGGCCATACCAAGACCTTTACTACTTCCTCGCATTTCCTCGTATTTCCTCGCTCTTCGCCGCATGGAGAGATCGCTGCTTACGGCGTCTGCTCTATTTACGCCCCGCGCAAGAACACACCTAGGTAGTGAATTTGTCAGTCCTAAATCAGCTTTACTGTACTGTCCATGAGCTCCAACAGCCGCATGGGATTGCCCCTCAATCGTGCCTCGTTCCTGGCGCTGATAGACTACGTGCAGGACTGTTTGTCAGCGTGTTCGGCTCGGAAGGTGTAGCATCCGCGAGATCGCCTCGGGGATATTCCACGTCCGAATACGGTCTGGATGAGTTACCAAAGAGGGGCAAGAAAGCGAGGCATGGTTGGGGGCGGAGTACGCGCTGGGGGAGGTCTAGGAGCGATGTGGTTAAGATGGACATGTGATCGGACGTGACAAAAGCGGCTTAGTGTGATCGTGTGCCGGGTCCCTCAAATCTCCCACGATCCTTCCACCTGATCCTTCAAGAACTGCTTACGTTCAAAGACATGCTTCTTTAGCTACGGCTCTGGCTACTTAAGTTTTTATGTCCATCACCGACAATGTAGGCCGACGATTTCCCGCTTCTCCCGTCACTCTGCACGTTCTCCAGCACTCCCCGTTCCGAGCTCCTCTCCTAGATGCTCTCTCTTGGTCGGAAAAGACATAAGAATCGCCCAGCCTCAGCCTCCTCAAACATTATCCACATAACCTCGCGAAACTCCCCAATTCGACGTCTTGGACGGTCCATTGCCCACAATGGGGAGGTAGCATCCCATCCCATGGCCAAACGACGTCCGAATACGAGAAAAACCACACTCCCTGTTCACCCCCTGTAAAAGGACGTGCCTGACGATCCTCCACACGTTCCCACGCCACGGAAGTTAAAATGGACGTCGTCCTGTCGCCTCCCAACGTTACTTTGAATATTCCCTCGCTGCCCGTCACCGTTCTCGACATCTACGGTGGAGGAGGCTTGCTCGCCATGTTGTCCACCGCGATATGGAGCGTAGCGCTGCTACTCCTTGCGCCGACGATATCGGCACAGCTCCAACCGCTCCACACCTCCTCGCGATGGATCCTCGACGCCGGCAACAAGCGCGTCAAACTGCGCTGCGTGAACTGGGCGGGCCACATGGAAGCCGGCATCCCCGAGGGCCTGCAGCACCAGCCCGTCGACGCCATCGCGCAGATAGTCGCGGACTCGGGCTTTACCTGTGTCCGCCTCACCTTCAGCATCGACATGGCGCTGGACCAGGAGCAGAAAGTCGCCGACTCCTTCGCGACGCTTGCGTCCCGCACCGGCGCCGACGCCGCATCGGTAGCGGAGCTGTGGAGTAGGGTGAAGGACCAGAACCCCTGGATTGCAGATGCCAGCGTGAGCCAGGCCTTCGGACGCGTGATCGATGCCCTAGGCGGCCGCGGCCTGCGCGTAATCCTCGACAACCACGTCAGCCGCGCGAGCTGGTGCTGCAACCTGAGCGACGGCAACGGGTGGTGGGACGCGGCGCCAGGCTACAACGACGCCAACAGCCGCTTCTTCAACACGACGGCCTGGGCGCAGGGGCTCGCGGCCATGGCCCGCTTCTCCGGCTCGCACCCCGCCGTCGCCGGCATCGGGCTGCGCAACGAGATCCGCGAGGTGCCCGTCGTGCAGCCCCGCGACGCATGGTACACCTACATTGCCCTAGGCGCACAAACCGTGCACGCCGCAAACCCCGACCTGCTCATCGTGATGGGCGGCACGCTGTCCAGCACGGACGCCTCCTTCCTGCGCACAAGGCCGCTCGACCGCGCGCCCTTCGGCGCCGACAAAGTCGTCTGGGAATGGCACCACTACACTTTCAGCCCGAACTGGATCGCGTCCTTCAAGTCCTGCAGCATCTGGAGCTCCGTCACCGTCGGCGGGACCACGGGCTTCCTGCTGCAGCAGGGAAAAGCGTATACGGGCCCGCTTTGGCTGTCTGAATTCGGGTTTGGGATGACGGGGGGACCGCCGGAGAGGAGCGGGATTGGCAGCCAGGAGGATTACGACTATTTGACGTGTTTGGTGAAGTACATGGCGGGGAATGACGGCGACTGGGCGCTGTGGGCGCTCCAGGGGAATTACTACGTGAGAGACGGCGTGGTGGATAGGGATGAGGGATGGGGATTGTTGAATGGGGATTGGACGGCGTGGAGGAATCCGGCCGTGAAGGATGTGCTGGCACCGCTTTTTCAGGTTACGCAGGGGCCGTAAGCCCCCCAGTAATTGAGGCTTTTGTTTCTTCTTCATGAATGCTCGTTGCTCGTGTCGTGTCTTCGTAACGTCATTCAGTTCGCTTCCTCGCGCTCACACGCCCATGCCCAGTGCGAATAGCAATCCCGCCAACCCAACCGCGACAGCCATTCTCGCAGTCGAAAGATCCGCAGACCCCGTGCCTATCGACGCGGTGCGGCCTTTCTGCTCGAGATCTGTATCTTGCACGAGCGTGGGCGCGGGCTTTGACGCCGGTAGTGGATGAGTACTTGGTCGGACTGGTTGTTGCTGATCCAGCGCATGCGCCTGAGGAAGGTGCTAAAGCGTCAGTTAGTGATATCCGACGCACGAAGAACGAGGCATGTATGCTTACTCCGCGATGCTGGAAATCTGCTCCTGCTCCCATTGACGCCATCAGCAGGAAAAGCAGAGCGGCGGTTACAGCGTGAAGTCTCATTCCGCCAGCTTGTGGAACGTCTCAACCGAAGCTTCTTACCGCGAAGTTGCACGTAGAATCGCAGTAGGGGAGACGAAGTGCAGAATGCGGGAAGTAGTGATGTGCTGCAGGGACAGTATACATACATGTGCGGATCGACGCGGATCAGGCCATCCCCAGAATCCGCATCAGCATCATACATAACGGTCCACATGACGGAAAGCGCCTCCAAAGAAAGTCCGTCTGACACGCGACGGATCTAGATTCGTTGTGTGGTGAGGCTCAGCAGATGACCGCATCGGCACCGCGCTCCTCCAATAATCGCGCCGTAGCGCAAGAGGTCCACATGACAGCGCCACTTGATCTACGCGCGACGCGTGAAAGGGTCCACTAGGAAAGAGCAAAATGACAGAGACGAGGAAAGGGTATTTAAATGCTCAACCCATTGGTGTGGAATGAAGACGTAAAGTTTCCATGACTCTTGAGTAGACGATGTGCGTCGTCATCGAGCGAAATTCCCGGTGTAGGCTTCCCCAGCCATGACGCCACTGCGCCGCGCCAGCAGAGTACCGAGCGAGCGTTTCCTTGGCCGAGTATGCTGAACCCGCCTTGTGTGGAGGAGGGAGTAGTGTCGGGAGTTTGCTCTGGCTGGTCTCTCCATATTTCTATGCCATCGAAGATGCGAAGCTCGCGCGCCATGCGTGCGACTCGCAGCGCTTGCTCTAGATCGGCAATCTCGAGCAGCACGATTTTTGCTTCGACATCGCGCGCTATATGTAGCAATGGTTGATAAAAGGTGTCGCCTCGTTCTGTGTCGGCGGTCGTAGAGTGCGGAGGAGGCACCAGTGCGAGCTTCGGCTCGAAGCCGCGAACCGAACGCGTTGTGGTCTTCCAGTAAGCGGACGGTGAGATATATGGCGGGTTAGAGATCAGTATATCCCAGGACTGTAATTGCTTGTTGGTTTCGAAAGCTCTCTTGAGCGGGAGCCGCCCGCCTTTCTGGTCGGCGAAAGGGTTGAGGAGGACGTCGGCCTTCATGAACCCAATAGCACCCTTTTCCGCCCAAGACTTGTCCTTACGCATGCGCTTGAGGTTATGAGCGGCGAGGTTGAGGCTTGTATCAGAGACGTCGACACCGAGGATGCGCAAGTCTATGTCGTCGCGCGCGGAGTAGAATTCGTGGTGGAAGAGGAGAGGTATGCACCCGGTGCCTGTACAGAGATCGAGCACGCGGAGCTCAGAGGGAAGGCTCTGCGCATTGCGTATTGAGCACACGAGATGCGAAATCGAAGCCGCTGTATCCTGTCTGCCAATTCTTCCGTCAGCCATCTCGTCAACCGCAATCGCGCCAGCGTCGACTCACCGCGGGATCAGCACGCCCGGCCGACACATTATTTCCAGCTCCCCAAAGTACTCTGTGCCCAGTATATACTGCAGCGGTTTCCCCGAAGCCCTCTGCCTGACCAAATCGCGCAGCAAGGCGTCCTTAGCTAGCGTTCCGCCTCGCGCGGGTCGCGCTGCGGCGATGGTATTGACGTGTTCGCGGAGCCATCGCAGCTCGTTCCGGGCTGCGCGCAGGTCGCGGCAAGGGCCGAGAAGGGCGGGAAGAAGACGATCTATCGTGTAGGCTTCGCGGAGGAGCGAGGTAGGAAGGCGTGGCATCTCAATCGCAGATTCATAGCGCCTAGTTCGATGGGGTGGTGTGTACTGCTGTCGGGGTCAATTGCTGTTCGACGGAGATCTCAAAGGCTACTGTACCCACTGTACGCTAATCTACCCAATGCTTGTCGCATGCTCCATCTTTGCGGACGGAGGACGAGAGTGGAGCCGCGGAACTCTCGCGAGCATTCTTCCATCCAGGAAAGGTAAGGTCGGGTGGTCGCATAGATACCTAGGAATTTACTACGCGATTCGACCTCACATGCAGGACCACCAAAGCCGTAATGATATCGCAAGTTGCACAACTTAGAATATTCATCCTGAGGGAGTTTAAGGCACCAATAGTGGTTGAACTGACTACTGTGTAGCGTGTCCCTGACTCGGTCCAATGAAACATATCACACGCAGGGAGATAGAGCAAGAGCTTCAGTATAAAGGAGATCATATTCATATCTATGCATAAAACTGCCTAGAGAAGCTCATTCGGAGCTCATGGTGTCTCTTCACCAATGTTTCAACCCGAGAACGCCGTCATTCCAATCCTTACGACGCTAGTATGAAGCTAGTGTACAGCAACCGATATCTAGCTCTGACCACGAAGGACCATGCGCGTCTGGAGATCGAGAGCATTGCCTCGGGTAGCCTGAGCGTGGGCAAGAGCCTCGTGGTGAAGGACGTGATCGTTGCCATTGATGGTCTGCTTGAAGTTGGACCAGCCGCCGGCAATGGCTGGACGCGGGGCAGGAAGGACCGAACGGGGTGCAGCAACGACCGGCGTTGACTGCGTGCGGTTGTGTTGGTTCTGGCGTCCACGGACTTGCTGCTGACGCTGCTGCTGCTGCTGGCGATTGTACTGGCGATTGTTGTTTCGACCGTTGTTGTTTCGGCCGTTGTTGCTGTTGTAGTTGAAGTTGCGTCGTGAGTCTCGCTGCTGGTTGGTCCTGGGGTTCTGCTGAGCAACAGGGCGAGCAGGTGCGACAGGACCAGCTGGCTTCTGGGCGGGGATGGCTTCGACGACCGGCTTTGGCTTTGGCTCTGACTCTGGCTCTGGCTGGCCTTCAGGCTTCTTCAGGGTCTTGGGACCAACGACGAGGTAGGCAACGAAGAGGCCGAGAACGCTCAAGCTCATGAGAAATGATGGACCGATGTTGTAGTCGGCGATGGAATAACCGAAGAGGAATCCTGCAACGGCAGTCGCAGAGGCCATGGAGCAGTAGATGAGAAAGAGTGCCAACTTCTTGGCGACGTCCGAGAGGACGCGGGCGCCGTGAGCAGCCAAGAGGGTGAAGATAAGGGCTTCGTCAATCTCGGGGATGGGGTCGCTGAGAATAGGCGACTTCTCTAGGAATTCGCAGATCGACTTCCAGGACTCAAGCTGGGAGTCGATCTCCAGAAGATTCTTCTCTCGGACAGCAGTGCGGATCTTCTCTTGATCGAGAGACTCGTTGGCCAAGGCTAGGAATGGGGAGAGCTTGCCGAAGATCTCCTGGTCGACGTACGATAAGGCCAAGTAGCCACGAAACTTCATGGCGATGGTGAACTCGGGGGTGTGGGTGACCATGATGACTTTGGCATACGAGAAAGCCTTGAGAAGCTCCTCGACGAAGAAGTTGGCCGGACCGCCGACAATAGCGTCATACTCGCCAATAAGCTTGTCGAAGTCGTATCCCTTGTAGGCTTTGTCGGTCTTCTTGAGCTTGGCAGCCTCTAGCCAGAGCGGGATATCGCGCTCGAAGTGCTTAGCGGCCTCAGCGGCGTCGTAGACCTTGAACCCAAGCTTCTTTAGGCCATCGGCGACGACTATAGCAAGGTCAGTGATGAGGTGTTTCAGGCCACGTTGGAAGGAGTGAGAGTAAGCTTACCATCGATGCCAGAGCCCGGTGGTCCGAAGACGAGGAGCTTCTTGAGCAGGACCCGCTTGCGGCCATCGAGATCAAGAAGACGAACGCCAGAGGCGCCAGAGGTGGCAACGGCGTTGGTAGCGGCGACAGTAGAAGACATGTTTTCAGGTGTATAAGGTGGTGATGAAGGTGTGATGAAGGTGTGTTGTTGGTGAGGTGGGGTGAGATGTAGAAGTGGTAGCAAGTGTGGAAATTGATGGTAGAAGGTAGCTTGATGTCGAGAGACGAAAGCTGAAGTGTGGAGTGGAGTGTGGATGAGAGAAAAGGTTTAGGTTGAAGGGCAGCGGTGGGCGGGATTAAGTACCCAAGGGTGGTGGCCTGTTAGTCAGCTCGTTACGCTGCGCACGGGGTCTGTCGACGGGTACATTCACTGTACTGCAGATGTGTGGTCAGTGCCTCGGGACCCGCTCTGGCAACCAGCCACCTGGATTCCCTCTCACTCTTCGTGCTGATTGGCCCAGCCTCTTGCAAAAGCTCGATTTCGTGCGCCGGCCGCTGAAGTCTCGCTATTGTGCGACCCTGGTCAATGAGCGTCGGGCTCGGCTCCGAGCGAACAATACTATCTCCAGTTGTTCGCCACTGGTGTCACACCAGTGGAGGTGCTTCGGGGTTCGTATTGTACCGAGCCTGACAATAGGCGCAAGTTGGAGGACAATTGCTCACTCACGTGGCTCAAGCGGTTCGAAAAGCGGTGAGGTACCGGGCGCCCTGCTTGCGCGGTCTTGTGACGGTTGCAGCCTCCCGCTCGTCTGTTGATAGCACGGCGATGGGGAATGAGCAGCTCGCGGCCAATGTGAAGAAAATGGGTTGCTGATGTCGGGGGAGTCCTTGGGAGTATAGGCGGAGACTTTCACCGAGTGCCGCAAAAGGGAAAAGACGCCGTTAAATCGCAATCGTCGCAGTTGAGCAATGGAGATGTGCTTGGATTGGATGACTCTCGCCTCGTCGCGAAGGCTCCTGCTCCTGCTCCTGCCCCTGATGCATTGATGGGTTGCTCCTTCCCCCTCCACATTCGGCCGGGCCTGGCAGACCTGGAGGCAGCAGGCACCACCGTCTGCACCTCAGTCCCGCCTGATGCATCTTGCCTTGTCTGCTATCCTCTGCTCTTCTCTTGCGATAGACTCAGCAAGTATCCGCCACTTCCACCGCCTGTGCACCCTCCATAATCCGGGCTGAGCGCTATCCTTGGTGAAGCGCATCGGCGGACCGCTGTAGCTCTATCGTGCACTCCTTGTGCACATGTTGCCACTCAACCCGTATCAGTTCAATTCAGCTGGTCATACTCGCAATTTTTGCGGAAAGTGGTGCTTTTGATCGTACGGAGTTGATGGTGAGTTGCTTGACGTCTGACTGCTAAGCGAAGAGGCGGCCCGTGACAACGACGCCTCAATCACTCAAATGGCCTGTCTTCCGATCGAGATTCTTACACAGGTAGTGGGCGGAGGGGCCGGAGGGCTCTGTCCACTTGCTAGCCTGCCTTACATCAATCGCCAATGCCAGACTGTTGTCGGGAGCATTCTCTGGTGGGAGATGATGGGAGACTTTTAAAAGACTTGGCGCTAGTACTAGACGGTGTCAGTCCCACCAAGTCCAACGAGAGGAACCAGAGGAGCCCAAAGGCTTCGGAGCTCTAACATTCGAACGCGATGAGACGCATGGGAGAGAAGCAGACACTCTCGGCTCGCACGCATGTGGCAACGAAGACGTCTACGGGGGCTGAAGGGTCGCCATTCCCGTTTGGGCTAGCCTCACATCTAGCCCCTTGGCTGAGCGCCACACCTCCCACGATAGTGTCCACGCCCTCCAGACTCTCGAGTTTACGAGCTACAACCTCAACTGCCGGATCACCACTGACTCGCTCTGTGACTCCAACCGATGGCATGCGCATCGAGGCTTCGTTGTCAACCGACTTCAACGACCCTACAGCGGTAGCGGGCAGACTCGCTGATAGGAAAACTAAGCACATCGGTCGAAGCGGGAGATCCTCCACCCAGGGATCCGGAACTGCATTGCGCTTCATCTCCATTATCTACTCTCCGGCCAGACGGCCATGCACCTGTTGGTCCAAAGCCTCTGGCAGAAGTCAACACTTTCGCCCTCGTAAACTTCCCCACATCCAAATTGTACAAAGTGCCAAGTCGTTCCCGCGCTGGGCGCCGCTGGGCATGTTGGCACGCTGATTTGTGGGGTCTCCGCTCCAGCGTGCCCGTTCGCGACTTGGCGAGGCGTTTCGGCAGATGGGTAAATCGCTCTGCCATTCATCCTGTCTCGGCGTTGATCTCCAAAGCTATAAGGGACCCCGGCTGCAGAACAAAATGTTTGTCCAGACTCCAGCCTCTGCTCACACTTCGAAGCTACTATGGCGGACGCGCAAAAGGAATCGTGGCGCGCCCACTGGCACCTCTTCTTTGCTTGTGGGATCATGATCCTGAGTCCTTTCCAGTATGGCATCGACTTCGGCATGATTGGCGGCCTGCAGGCCATGGTTGGTTTCCTCAAGGTAAGCGTACGCCGTCCCTGAGAGACAGGCTTGCTGAACAGGATACTAGGTTTATGGCTACCAAACTCCTAAATCTCCGACCGGGTGGAATATTCAGACTGAACGCCAGCAACTCATTTCGTCCCTCATGACCTTGGGCGCATTTCTGAGCGCCGGCACCGCGGGCCTTGCTGCGAACAAATTCGGCCGTCGAGCTTGCCTGCTGCTTGCGTGCATCACCTGCTGCGTCGCTAACATTATTATGATGACCACCACCCATATCGGTGCCCTGTACGTCGGCCGTCTGGTCATCGGCTTGGCCAACGGGTACTTCATGACCTTCTCGCAGCTCTACATCCAGGAGAGCAGTATCGCGAGATGGCGCGGTCTGTTTCTCACCGGTTTCCAATTCTTTACCTCCTTCGTAAGCGCTCGAGTTCCTGCCCGAGGGTGGCATCTAATGTGGTGGTAGGGTACTTTGATCGGCACCATCGTGGATTGGGCCACAGCCAAGCGCCCTGATAAGTCCTCGTACCTCATCCCTCTCGGACTGATCTACGTCGTTCCCTTCTTCCTCGCGGTTGGCATGATCTTCATCCCAGAGTCGCCGCGATGGCTCATTCTCCAGGGACGATATGAGGAGGGGAAGAAGTCGCTGAAATGGCTGAGGCCCGAGGGATTTGACGTAGACGCCGAGGCCAGCGAGATCCACGCCGCTATTGAGAGGGAGAAGGAGATGAGCTCCGGTGTAGGCTGGGTGGACATGGTCAAGAACCCAATCGATCGACGGCGAACATTCCTCGCCGTGTCGGCGGTGACTCTCCAGGCTGCTTCGGGCTCCATGTTCATCATCGGTGGGTGACTGCTCGTCATTACTACCACAGAGCGTGTGCTGACCTACGTGCTAGCTTACAAGGCCTATTTCCTCACCATGGCCAAGGTATCGGACCCCTTCGCCATGAGCAACGTCCTGAGCTGCATCGGCATCCTCGCCATCATCGCCAACTCCCTCATCATCGTCAAGTTCGGCCGACGCCGCGTGCTCCTCATGACCGGCCTCCTCCTCTGCGGCTTCCTGCAGCTCATCATCGCCATCGTCTACACGAAGCAGCCCGGCACCAAGAGCACCGGCACCGTCATCGTCGCGCTGTCCTGCATCTACATGTTCAGCTACAACGGCATGATCTCCACATACGCCTGGCTCGCCGGCGGCGAGATCCCGACCCAGCGTCTGCGCTCGCACACCTTCGGCCTCGCCGCCGCCTGCGGCTTCGCCTTCGCCTGGCTCACCACCTTCACCGCCCCATACTTCATCAACCCCGCCGCGCTCAACTGGGGCCCCCGCTACGGCTACATCTGGATGCCGTCCTGCTGCATCGCCGCCGCCTGGGTGTGGTTCTTCCTGCCCGAGGTCAAGAACCGCACGCTGGAGGAGATCGACGAGATGTTCGAGGCGCGCCTGCCGGCGCGCAAGTTTAGGGGGTATAAGTGTGTCGGCGTCGCGAGTCTCGATGCGCATTCGCGGAAGAGCATCGAGAAGGAGCAGGATCTTGAGGTGTTGAGGAATGAGAAGGTGGAGGCGGAGATTGTTGCTACGAAGGAGTAGGCGGGTGGTTGTACGGCATGCGCAGTTTTGTTGATTAGCATAGTAGGATGTATGGGCCATTGAAGTTGGAGCGTCGAGTGAGCGATTCAGTCGCCATCTTTGCGTGTCAATATGAATGTGCCCCAGATTGCTTGCTGAGGTCATCCCGCCCTGAAGCATGACATTGTAGAAAGACACCCCAATTCCGAGCTGCGAATCGACGTTACTAGCTCCGCAAATCACACTCACGAGCTAGAAGGACCCATCCAGGTCAACGCATATCCCTCCGCGCCTCTCCAGATGGCTTCCTCGACTGTTAGATGCGATACGCGCTTGGCTTTCTCCGTCGATGTCAACTATCTCGACGACAAGTGCATGCAGACTGGCGTCTCACTCAACTAGAAGAGGCACACGCTGCAAACGACGACCGCGGTACTCCTTGTCCACAGCAGACTATCGCTGACTAGACTTCGACACTCCACTCCACTCCACTCCACCCGCAAGCTCAAACCCCAGCGCCTCGGCGCGTGCTTACTCCGCCAACCGTCCAGTTCGTCGCGCCTAGCCTGGAAACTCCAATGCTTCGCGAAGCTTACCCGCATCCCACTCCTCCAAACGCACAGCCTCCCTCTTCCCGTACCTAAGCACACACCGTCCCCACCGCCCGCCCTGCAACCCCAACTCGCGTCCCTCCTCCGCACTCGGCGCCCGCGGCGCATACGCGTCCAGATCTAGTTCCAACCTTCCCACTTCTTCAAAGCGCATCTTGCGCAGCAACGGCCACGCGGCCGGCGAAGCGTGGACCCAGGTGTAGACGCGCAGCGCGTCGGCGAGGGCGAGGAGGGGGGTGAGCAGCGCGGCGCCGATGCCGCGGCGCTGGTGGGAGGGGGAGACGGCGAGGGACTGTGAGCGTGGCGGGCGGTGCGGGTTAGCATGGCTTTCTGAAAGCAAGCGACTGTGCTCTTGGGTTTACGCGTTGATGGAATCGGGGAGGAGGGAGGTTTGCAGAGCGGAAAGAAGACCCCGGGCTGTGCTATAGCGGCGCGATGAACACGTACCGTGATGAACATACAGGCGCATCCAGGCGGCATGAGGCGCAGCATCCAAGCCCGCATGTCCGCGTCTTCAAGCGCATGGAGCCGGGCGATGGGGTCTTCATCTTCATCTTCGCCGGTCTCTGCACTTCCCTCCGTACCTTCTCTCTTTCGCTCACTATTTTCCTCCTCGTGACTACTCTCCTCATCTACCCGAGCCCCATCCACAGCTTCTCGTTCCGCAGACCGTACCCCCATGCTCCGCCTCACGCTCTCCATATCCACACCGCGAAACCCGCATCCGCACCAGCCCAGTACTTCCCCGCCACTTTGCCCATGATGCACAGCCTTCATGCTGTTTTCACTCCTGAGCTGGGAAGCCAGCATATCGCGGAAGAGGGCGTTGAGATCGAACGGGTGTCGTTCGCTGAGCTGCTTCACTCGCGTGTGCCGGTCGGAGTGGAAAGCGTGGGCTGCGAGGGCGGCGCATGCGGGTATTTCGCATGCGCGTAAGGGCTGGATGAGGATTTTGGGGTGCGTGGGTGAGGGAGACATTGTGGTTGGAGGAGTGCTTAAGGGTGTAGCAGTGTTTTGGGGGAGGGGGGTTGTGTCGTTGTATGCGGGTTTTTGAGGAATGGAACTGCGATTCAGATATAGAGCGGTTTAGCGCAGTATGTAGCGTGTAGATGCAGATGCATTCCCAAGGCCGGGGTGGAAAAAGGGCGGCTGCCGCCGCTGGAAGGGCGCGAGATCGTCGAGATCGGCGTTGTGCAGATACGCTAGATGAATATCTCCGACGCACTTCTTTACATGCAATCAACCCTGACTGGTGATAACACTCTTCACCCCAGAATCTTCTCAATACTCCACACCCTCGTCACCGCATCTTTCCTCTGAATCACCCTCCTAACTCCCAAACCCCATCCCCGACCGCCCTTCTCGCCTACAAGCGAGAGCTCAACTTCGCATTCCCTGCGCTCCGGTTTACCCTTCTCGCGATCCATCTCCACGATCTTACCCTTCGGTTTCGAAACTTGCAGTAGCGGGGTACCGAGTGCGATGTTGATAAGCTGCGGTCGCGTGACGAGTGTGAGAGGATGCATGCGCGTCTTGGGTGTTTTCACTGAGTCGGCTGTGGAGGGTGCTGCCTTTTGCAGATGGGAGTAGACGATGTACCCGGGCAGCTTCGCTGGAGGCGTACGAGCGAGCAGGGACGAGGGATGTATATACACATACTGCTCGCTCGGGTCCGTGGTCTTCGACCTGCCTATCTGTGACGGGAAAAGGGTGACATAGGGGACATCAATCGCTGTCTTCGGCTTCCGTGGAAATTCAGGCGGAACGGGAGCAAGGTCGGCACGCATTGCAACCTGATCGATGAAGCCCGCCGCACATATCTGCGTCAACAGGTTTATAGCTTTTTCGGAGGGAGCACCGAGCTTTGCATTGTATGTGCTGATAGCTGTCGGTCGGTGAGCTCGTACGATTGACGTGAGCTGCTGTCGGAGTTGACTTGCTTCGTGCATCGCCTTCGAGTTGAGGAACATGTCGTCGCAGAAAGCTTGAGGGTTGGTTTCGTGGGCGTAAGCGCAAACAGCATTGTTGAGCTTGATGCAGTCGCTCTGTTTTGCGTTCACCGCGAGCTTTGCCTGGGCAGCATTGTAGGCCTTCCTTAGCCTGGACCGGTCATCCGCTTCTAGGTTATCCTGCTCGGTGCGGATAGCAGACGGATCTTGCGGTGGTGGCTCCCGTAGCCCCAGCTTGTTCTCGGGTATGATGAGTTCTGGAACAGAGAGCGCGGCTACCAAGGCAATTGTCTCTGCAGCCAGGCTCTGAGCAACGCCCATGACCAGCATTCGAGCGAAACGTGGGTTGAGGGGGTAGAGTGACAGCTCATGACCCAGCTTAGTCACTTTACCGTCTTGGGACAGCGCTCCCAGGTACGACAACAGATTCTCCGCTTTTTGGAGGTTCTCGCGATCCGGTGGTGTTGGGAACGGGAAGTTGACGACGGGGGCTCCCATGCTCTTAAGCTGGAGAACGACGCCCTCGAGCGGAGTGTGAACAATCTCGGGAACCGCGTGCTCCTCAAAGTCACGCTCGAACACGGCTGAGGAGTATAGCCGGTAACAGTGGCCCGGGCCGGTACGTCCCGCACGACCAGATCGCTGATTCGCGCTCGCCTTGCTGATCCACCCGACCTCGTAGCTCTGTACGCCTGTTATTAGGTCGTACTTCTTCTCTTTCGCCCTTCCGCAGTCGAACACATATCGAATTCCTGGTATCGTAAGACTGGTCTCCGCCACGTTCGTTGCAAGGACGATGAGTCGGGAGCCTTCTGGAGGAGGTTCGAAAACACGTAGTTGCTGATTTGTTGGAAGCTGAGAGTAGAGTGGGAGCACGTGGACTTTCATTACGGTCTGCTCGGCCTCCTCTTCCTCAATGTCGAATTCCTTATCTTCCTCGCCGTCCAGTCCCATAATCATGGACCCTTCCGAATCTGATCCGTCATTGTCCTCAACCTCATCCTCCTCGGCTTTTCCACCCAGGTCGATGTCTTCGGTCTCCAACGGGGCTTCTGCGGGTGATATCTGGACCTTGCCAATCTTGACATCCGGTCCTTGGGTCGAAGCAAACGTTTCCCTTAGTCGTTTCGCAAGATGTGTGATTTCGTTCTGCCCAGTCAGGAAGACTAATATCCCTCCCTTGGGGAGCTTGCGATGGCCTCTGCAGACTTTGCGGTACATTTCTTCGCCGTAGTCTCGCTGTGTCCTTCGAGCGAAGTGGTTCGTAACTGTATACTGCCGCCCTTCCGCCTTCATTAACGGCGGTGGTCCGTGTCGAAAGAGTCGCTTGTTGTCCGTGAAATCCGATATTCTAAGAGTAGCAGACATGATGATGAGCTTCAGAGCCTTGGTCTTCGGATCTTCCCGAGCCATCTGAGCCCGGAGGTCGACAATCCTGCTCAGCATGCCAATTAGAATATCGGTATTGACGCTTCGTTCATGAGCCTCGTCGATGACGATGGCGGAGTATTTGGTGAGGACAAAGTCCTGCGATATCTCTCGCAGAAGAACACCGTCAGTCATGAATTTGACGGCCGTTTTCGCGCTCGTAGATGTGTCGAAGCGGATCTGGTATGCGACTTTTGACCCGTCCTTCCCCAACTCATCTCCGACTCGCTTGGACATGCTAACGGCAGCCACTCGTCGCGGCTGGGTCACCCCAATCATACCTGGTGTCGGCCCATCGGGAGCGCCATAGCCCGCCTCGTAGAGGAATTGTGGCACTTGAGTAGTCTTACCACTACCGGTAGCACCCCATACCACGACGACATCGTTGTTATGTATTGCCTCCATGATCTTTTGCTCCTCAGCAACGACGGGCAGCTGCAATCTTGCCTCCTGTATTTCTGGCGATCTCTCCACGGCAACACTGTAAGCCTTCCTCGTCGCATCGGTGGCGGTGTTGGTCTCGAGTTCCGGGGGTAATGGGTCGAGCTCTGGTACGCGTGGTTTGAAGTTGGCTGGTTTCGGAGGTACTGCATATGTGAGGTTGTTCGTCGGAACGAAGCCAATGGCCTCATTCCTCTGCTGCGTTGCCCAAGCCTTGAATGCCGATGCTCGTTCGCTCTTTGCCACCCTGCTATCTTCATCCATGGTAGTCTGGCTGTCGCTCTCATCCTCCGAATCTTCCTCGGATTCGTCCAATTCAAGGTCTGATCCCTCGTCGCCGTCGGAGTCGGTCTCTTCGGAATCCGCTGATTCGGATTCAGAACTCGCAGCTTCATCAGAGTCTTCAACTTTGTCCACATTCGCCTCATTGCCTTCGTCTGAGCTGAAGCCTTCCCACTCAACCTCCTCCTGAGCAATTATCGGTTTATGCTGCGCTTTTCGCCTCTTCCTAGTCTGAATGACAGGCCTGCCCGACTTATCAATCTCCAGTGGTCGCTTCAATCCACTTCCAAAAAGACCAGCAGATTGTGGGGGTTGTGAAATAGGCATCTCGGGTGCCACTTCTTCCGATGCATCTGCAGCAATCTCCGAAGGCGACCGTTCTCGTTTGCGCGAAGTAGGCTTCGGGTCCGTGGACCCACTTGTACGTTCAGTAGCGGGTCGCGATGTCTCCGTAGCCTCGTCCTCTGAGCTGCTGGTATCTCTGACACCCTCAAGCTGCCCACCATCCCTCCTCTCCAGCAGTAGCGCTTCATTCTTCTCCACATCCACACCGACCCTCCGTTCCGCAAGCGCCCTCCTTAACTTCTCCCTCCGCGTCTCCTCTCCCCTGCCCAGCTTCTTCGAGCTCTGAAACAGACTCGTATCGACCTTCTGCGCGGCGAGTTTCTTAAGCAGCGCGATATTTTCTTCTTTCTTGAGTTTCGTATCCTACGCCATCACACATTAGCCACCCTAGACCCGAACAATTCAACTCCGTAGAAGCGGTAATGATAAGCGTACAATATACTTATCCAGCCTCTTCTTCTTCTTACTGCTCATCTTGCCCTTCGCCTCCGCGACCAATTCCTCCTTCATGGCCTTCTTTCTCTCCTCCCGCTCCTTCTGCGCCGCGGGCAGGACCTCCAAGGCGTTCGCATCCACCTCTGCTTCATCCCTTGCTCCGCCATGCTGTTTCTGCCTTGCGAGGACCTTGTGCTTTCGTTGTCGGGGCACAAATTTCGGCATCTTGGAGCGCTGGCGGCGAAAGACGTGCAGTGAGGCCTGAGTTGCGAAATCCTGGGCGACTTTCGAAATTTTGGCGGGGATCGGCTGTTCGGTAACGGTTGCCCCGAAGGCGGGGACGAGGGGCAGAATGTTCGCGTAAAGCTTCCGGTTCACAGCACCACTGCCGTAGGTTAAGGAGCGCCCTGTTCGAGCTCTTTGACGATTTCGACAGAGTGCCAAAATATGGCTGGCTCAGCGGATTACACAGTGACTCCGTCACGGTTCCCAGCGACTACTAAAACCGCGTCGACGTCCATCAAAGGCACCGAAACGACCGCAACAACGGTCTACTTCGCAGACAAGATCCTGATTACAGTAACGCAGAACGGACGCCTAGCGCACTGGGTATAGTTTCCACTGACACCCTTCCTAGCATATCCGCAGCTTACTGGTTCTCTAGGTACACGTCCCGCTCGACATCGCCCCAACCGATGCCTCTCTGACCTCGAACCCCTACCTCGGCCGCGACGAAGACGATCCTTCCTCTGATCTCCTTCCCATGCACCATCTCACAGCTACTACCGTATTGGGTGGCGGGATGCAGGAGGTCGATGTGCTCGGTCAGACGCTCGCAACGCAGATAGCAAGCGCGGTCAAGACAAGCAATTCGAGGGAAATGAGGACAGTAGTTTTGGGCTCGGGGCTGGATAAAAGCATGAGTGGGAGGGAAGAATTCAGTGAGGTCGTAGGCTTGGTATTGGAGGTGCTATGATGTATAAGGACCTTGCATGGACGGAGTTCAGGTTTAGGCGGGATCTTCAAAGGATGTTTAGGGACACGGCGAGGAATCCGGGCTAAGAGGTGTATAGGGAGCCCTCCCGGTCAGCGTGGCACGGAACCCCAATTCGAAATGGGACATTAGCCAATTGTAGAGGATGTGAAAGTGTCGGGTTTCTAAGCTACAATCTTAAGATCTTGATCACACCTCCATGGGTGAGCCCAAGCTCCTCCATAAGTGAATCACCCAACCGCTGGCACGCTTCGCCGTTTTGTGAACAACCGTCATTTGAGAACCCCCAGGATAACAGAGCGCCAACATAATGCCTCCGCTACAAGGCTTGCCGTGATGTCTAGGACCGTACGCAGGAACACGCTAGAACACCAGTGTCAGCCCCATCGACATTGAACGCCGCGGGAGGTAGAAATACCTTAGAAGCACTTGCGGTGGACGATGGAAGGACCGCTCTCGTCGTATTCCTGCTTTGAGATCCACATCTGCTGGAAGGTGGAGAGGGAAGCCAAAATGGAACCACCAATCCAGACGGAGTACTTGCGCTCGGGAGGAGCAATGATCTTGACCTTCATGGACGATGGGGCGAGGGCAGTGATTTCCTTCTGCATACGGTCGGAGATACCAGGATACATGGTAGTACCACCAGACTAGTTTTGTTAGCTCAGTTCTGCGGAGCCCAGGATTGGACGACATACCATGACAATGTTGCCGTAGAGATCTTTCCTGACGTCGACATCGCACTTCATGATGGAATTGAAAGTGGTGACGTGGATACCGCCGCTCTCAAGACCCAAGACGGAGGGCTGGAAGAGAGCCTCCGGAGCACGGAAGCGCTCGTTGCCAATGGTAATGACCTGGCCGTCGGGAAGCTCGTAGGACTTCTCCAAGCTCGAGCTCTGGCTGGCGGTCTGGATCTCCTGCTCAAAATCCAAAGCGACGTAGCAGAGCTTCTCCTTGATGTCACGGACGATTTCGCGCTCGGCGGTGGTGGAGAAGGTGTAACCGCGCTCGGCAAGGATCTTCATGAGGTAGTCGGTCAAGTCACGGCCAGCCATGTCGACACGGGAGATGGCGTGCGGCAGAGCGAAACCCTCGTAGATGGGGACGACGTGGGTGACACCGTCACCAGAGTCGAGGACGATACCCGTAGTACGACCGGAGGCGTACAGAGAGAGCACAGCCTGGATGGAGACGTAGAAAGCCGGGGCGTTGAACGTCTCGAAGACGATCTGGGTCATCTTCTCACGGTTGGACTTGGGGTTGATGGGGGCCTCGGTGAGCAACACGGGGTGCTCCTCGGGAGCCACACGTAGCTCGTTGTAGAAGGTGTGATGCCAGATCTTCTCCATGTCGTCCCAGTTGGTGACAACACCGTGCTCAATGGGGTATCGCAGCGTGAGGATACCACGCTTCGACTGTGCTTCATCGCCAACATACGAGTCCTTCTGGCCCATGCCAATCATGATACTGCGTTGTCCGTCAGCTCGCCATCACGCATATGCTAGAGGAAGGGCACCGTACCCATGATGACGGGGTCGACCGACGATGGACGCTGCGGACTGTCAGAACGCGTTCAAGAGAAGGCAGGAGGCGGCAGCTGCTGGGTGCAAGGCTGCTGCAGCCGCCGGCGCAGGGAGGGAACTTACGGAAGACAGCTCGGGGCGCATCGTCACCGGCGAAACCGGCCTTGCACATACCCGAACTGGCAGCGGTCAGCTCAAGTCCATTGCATCAGTATGTCGCGCTCGCTGCTGCGAAGGGGCTGTTGCGGCTCGTCGAGGGCGGCGGCGCGGGCAATGCAGCTACCCCACAGCAGGGATGGCGGTGGAAATTCGGGGGCTATCTCACCCATTGTCGATGACGAGGGCAGCGACTTCCTCTGCAGATGGGAAAACAGACGTTAGCAGAGCTCATTGAGACAGACGGCGCTCAGCTGCGGAGGCAGAGGGCGACAGAAACGGGGTGTTGGCGTCGGGGGCTCAGCTCTTACCTTCCATGTTGACTGATTAGGGTGCGAGATTAGGAGTCGGGTGGAGGGGCGCGGATGGCGATTCCGGTATTGCTGCGGGAACTGGGGATCAGCTTCAGTCGATGAGAGGAGACGCTGGGCGGGCAGGTGGAGAGCGCGGATGTCGGGGGAGGCTTACAGGTTGCGGGCGGTGGTGAGGTTAAGGTTAGGTTCTGTGCGAAGGGCAAAGTCGGTGGGTGCTGCTAAATAAGCGGGTGTCGATGCGCCGACTCTTGCCCAGTTTTGGCGGGGCGGCGGCAGCGGCAGCAGGAGCGAGGCAGCGAGGCAGCGAGGTTGGTGAAGGGGAGCCTTTGCACGAACGCTGCAGCAACCGGAATTCCGCGAACAGCCTCGACGCGGAGCATTCACGCTGCGCATCGAGCTGCAGCGGCGATTTATACACGCGGCTAGGCTACACTGTTTCTCTATTTTTGCCGTACGCGCAAGCTCTCCGCCACAGAGGGAGAAAGCTTTGTCTGGGCGTGTCGTCCCCAGAGACATCACAGCAGGCAGCGCCGTGAAGCGCTTGGCGCCTCGACGGGCGCGAAGCTCGCTCCACTGCGTACTACGTGTTCGGCCGCTCGAGATGACGAGGGCTCGTGGCAGCTCGAGGTGTACTCTATCTGACAGCGGGCTGCACAGCGGCGTTCCATTTCCCCCAGCCAGCTCCCAATCTCACCGCCAACTCGGTCCCCCGCCAACTGGCGGATACGAGGCATTCCGCCGCGGGTCACGTGGAATGAGGGGCATGGAGGGGTTGGCCGCGGGATAATGTGAATGAACACGATCAAATACTCTTGCCCAAATGTGATTGTAACCGTCGTAGAAGCATTCAGCTGCTGCTGTCACGCTGGACCAATTGATGTCCTGAAGTTAAACTTTTCTGGCTTGACAGACAGGCGACATCCATAGGTGGAAGGCGCTAGAATGTCGTGGTCCCTTCGCGCGCCGTCGCCAAACCCTACCTGCGTCATCTTCTCGCGCGCCAAAAGTCGTCCCGGGTGCCTAAATAATTCGTCGCACCAACTGCTTCAGTCCCATCTCTCCCCGAACCACTCTCTTCCGACCGACTTTCCACCGACACGGCAAGATGAACGATCCACGAATGACCAACCTCCTGAAATGGAGTATCGAGAACTCTGAAGCGTCGCGAAACGACCCCAATGCGCCGAAGACGGACACGAAATTCGACCCTCGGCCGTTCGGGGGAATGCTCAGCGGCTTTGCTGGACCTTCGGATGCTAAGATGATGAAAAACAGTATGGAAATCATAATGAAGCCGCAATCCACCCTTGAGGAAAAAGTCAATGCCTTCGAAGTCTTCGAGGGGCTGATTGTGGACATCGACAACGCCAACAACATGGATCTGCAGCTGTGGGGCAATCTGCTCAAACAGCTTGAGCACGAAGTCGCCGAGCTCAGGGGGCATGCAGCATCGTGTACGGCCAGTGCGGTCGAGAACAATGCGCGAGGACAGGAAAGGGCAAGTTGTAGGCCTGCCACTATAGTTGCGTGCGACATCTGACAAAATACAGTTGTTCGTCCACGGAGCCATACCTACTCTCGTGAAGCTCGCTACCGAAGACGAAAACATGGAGGTGCGCAAGAAGGCCATCCGCGCTCTTTCTTCCGTCTCCCGAAACTTCCAGCCTGCGCTCGATGCCGTCGTCGACCACGTACCGCGACACTTCAAACCGGACACGACGCTGGATGCCGGAGACATGGTCTCGGTAGACAGCTTGATGGACCGGTTGAGGGCAGATGCAGGCCTAACCCAGTGATATGGTTGCGAACTCTGAGTTCGAGCATTATCGGCGTTCACGGCAAGCGTTGGGTCATACTGTGTAGATTTCACGATACCATGTTCTGGTGACTTTGTACTCCATACCACAAAATTTCAGTACAGCGAGTGTCAAAAAGACCGCTGATGCTGACAATAGAAGGATTTTACGGTCAAGGTTCCTTCCCGATCAAGCTAGCGGGAGAGTTGCTAGCGCGGAAATAAAGCCTCAGACATCCGGTCAACCTTCGACAAAGCTTGACCACGTCCACCATCTTCTTCTCTGATAGTGCTGGGATCGAGTTTTACAGCACATGAGGTCTGTTCCGTTGGTTTCAACTCATTCTTCGTCTCGTCCTCGACCGTCAGTCGGAATTAGCCTTGCCACTATTCGTCTCTGTTCCGTCCCGCTCCATCATTTATCAAGCCGAATCAGAAATGTCTTCCACGTCGTCAAGCTCAGCGTTCAGCGACGATACGTCCACGCTCAAAGCTAGCGACGAAAGAACGCCACTGCTTGCTGCAGTGGAATCCACTCCAATCGCCGAGGCTGTGGATGCGTCCGCGCAAGAAGATCACCAGGTCACCCAGGCAGACGAGGACGCACCGCTTCCGCGCGCTCAAATATTTCTGCTCTGTTATACGAGGGTCGTGGAGCCTATTGCTTTTTTCGCCATTTTCCCATATATCAATTCGATGATTGAGAAAGTCGGAGGCGTCGATAAAGAGGATGTTGGCTTCTATTCCGGACTGATTGAAAGCTTGTTTTCGGCTACTCAAATGTGTGTGATGATATTTTGGGGCAAGGTAAGATGATATCTCCTGACTATGTAGATGTAAGATCTGACCACACTAGGCTTCCGATCGCTTCGGGAGGAAACCAGTTCTTTCTCTCTCGCTCTTTGGAGTCACTTTTGCTACTGCATTATTCGGACTAAGCCAGTCGATTTGGCAGATGATCCTCTTCCGCTGTCTCGCAGGGGTCTTCGCTGGCACAATAGTGTATGCGGTTAGGAATCGATCGATTCCGTTCTAGGTGCTGACGCAACCAGGACGGTACGCACTATGATTACGGAAAACAGTACGAAGAAGACCCAAGCTCGAGCATTCAGCTACTTCGCATTTGCGGGAAATCTGGGCATCTTTACCGGACCATTGATCGGTGAGGCGCATTTGCGGTCTCTTCACGAAACAGCTAACTTCGTTTTTCAGGCGGCGCCCTAGAAAGACCAGCAGAGAAGTTCAAGTCCATTTTCGGTCGTGTTCGATTCTTCCGAGACTATCCATATGCATTACCCGGGTTCACTTGCGCTTTGATTGGCCTCTCTGCAGCGGTCCTTACGACACTTTTCGTGAAAGAGGTCTGCATACCCCAGCTGGCGCGTATAGCATCATTGCTGATCGTAACCGCGTAGACACTGCATATTCATCGCGACAAGAAATCTGATGAGCCTCCCATGTCCACATGGGAACTGATCAAACACCCTGGCATTCCCCAAGTCATCGCAATATACAACTATGCCATGCTATTAGCGTTCGCATTTACAGCTGTGTATCCGGTATTTATGTACACGCCTGTCTATCTAGGCGGCATTGGATTCCCCCCTGAATTGATCGCCGCCTTCATGGGCCTCGGAGGAGCCTCTCAAGCTCTCTGGCTTCTCTTAGCTTTTCCACCCCTACATAGTCGGATCGGCACCGGAGGCATTCTTCGGCTATGCTCTTGGGTCTGGCCACTCATGTTCATGGTGGATCCCATTTGCAACGTATTTCTACGCTACAATCTGAAGATCTCCTTCTGGATTTTATTCCCCACCGGCATGGTGCTTGGTAGCGGAGTGGCCATGGCTTTCAGTATGTTTATACCGGTCGAATCACACATTTTTCAGCCTGCTAACATAGGACTAGCGGCGGTACAGCTCACGATCAATGATATGGCACCCTCGCACGAGACTTTTGGGACTCTGAATGCTATCGTATTGGCACTTCAAAGCGGACTTCGAGCAATTGTTCCTGCTGTCTCGACAAGCATTTATGCCACGGGTGTCCGATACCATATTGCCGGCGGCCAGCTATTCTGGATACTTCTAATCCTGGTAGCCTTCGGTCTCATCTTCCTTTTGAGGATTCTACCAGAGAAGGCCGAGGGTAGGCCTCAGCGCGAAGACAACGGGCAGGCCTAAGGATGACCACAGCTATCACATAGCTTCTGCCGGAAGGACTCCATCCATCAACCTAGCAGGCTCAAAAACACAAGAAGAAAATTTTATAAAAAAACTCATCGGGCGGTGAGCCGGCGAGACGTCCTGCTGAGTGAAAGCTTTCATGGACACGTCATGCTCTAGTGCAAATTTGAAATCACTTCACTCTAGCGACGAAAACACAACGCGTATATAACGCGCGGTCGCTCCAGCACACAAACACAACATCGAAACGACAGACACAAACCCCAATATTACCCAAAAACACCTCAGAATGTCCACTTCACCCTCGGAAGTTGGCATCGTCGAGCTCTTTGGGCAACTACAGCCCGAGCGCATCGCCATCCAGGTTCACAGTGGCAATGCTGTTGTCCGGGGTGTTCTTGAGGCCCTCGTACAGCATTCGGTTCGGCGTTGCGGAACGGATCCTGCTCCTGCTCTTAAGGAATTCGACAAGAACGGTCAAGTCAAGGAACTTCTACGGCTGATTGAAGCAGGGGTGCAGGATATGGATATCCAGAAACTGGCTGACGACAAGAACACGACAAGTGACGCTATCCGCCGCGTTCTTGCCGGTATCCTCGACCACGCGCGTAAACTGCAAGCCAGTGATGATTCCTCTACTTCGAACGGCGTTGCTTCACACCCTCCAAAACTCCAGGCGATTCTCGGACCAGGTACGTACCCGCGGTACGCATGTTGGCATGTTTCAGCCTTGGCATTGGAGGCATTCATCAAATCTAACGGACTGCGCATGTCTTGAACCGCCCCTCTCCCGTGTATTAAGCACTTGCTAATCTCTATTACCACATTTACAGCCCTTCCCGTAAGCCACCTCGGCGCGATCGAGTGGCCCCACTCGATTCCTGCTCACGCCCGCATGCTGCACCATGCCAATGCCATTGTCCTCAACAACCGCGTGGCGTACAACGGAGATACGGTCATGATTTCACTCAAGGATTTGCAGTGCCTGGTCGCTGGAGCTGCCCTGCTAGACACCAAGGCGACGAATGTGTACACGACGTTGGTCAACAAATTGCCGGCCCATGCGAGGCGCCAGTACCAGCTTGAGGAATGGTATCAGGACACTGTTAATGTCAGCAACGCTGCCAAGGCCTCACAGCAGGTCCAGAAGGTGGTTACGCGCAAGAATGGGATTGGATCAGGACGATTGGGGATGCAGCCTGGCGCGGCCATACCGCCTCCGTCAGCACCGAAGGTAAGTCTCGACGCCCAAGTTTTCCTAGAAGGAGGGCTCCAGTGTCCATTCCGTCTGCTACTCGAAGCACTTCTGACTGAATTATTAGCAGCCATATATCATGATCAATGGGCACGTCGCTCAGCCGGTATTCCCGGCCATACCCTCATCCCAAGCAAACCTCCCATTGTGCGAGACGACCAACTTGCAGACAGCGCCAAAGCACACTCTCCTCCGATCCCCAGGACAGAGCCCGGTCAAGAAGAAAGCGAAAGGCACTGAAGTCGGTCCCGCTTTACGTCCGCTGAGACCGAAAATGTCATTGAATGAGTACATGATCTGGGCTAGCGTTGAACGCACCCGACTAGGGGTTGAGGATCCGATTCACGATAGTAAGTCGCTTACCACTCCGTGTTTTGACTAACTGGACAGACAGGTCAGGCACAACGGCCCATCGCATCGCGAAGAATTCTTGGCTCGGCAATCACTCACAGTCCTGCGTGCAGCTGCTCCCTCTCATCTACTATATCTCTTTAAGGCCTTACAGTGAACTTTGCTAACTGTCTTATAGCCATAGATCGGAGCAAGCAGCTCTCCACAATCTGGAAAGCGATGACCGAGGCCGAGAAGGCACCCTTCGTGGCCCTCAAAGATGAGGAGAGCACTCGTTACGCGCAACAGGAAATAACCCTACGCGCAGGCGGTACAATCGACCCTGTACAGGAGCAAGAGTATCTCGACCAGTTCTGGAGGAAAGCGGAGAACGCCCCGAGGAGCGCTGCCGTTCTGAACGCCAAGGCATACGCTCCGAAGCACAGAAACGGAAAGGCTGCTGTCGCGCCGGTCCAGCCTCGGCCGGATCCGGGCCAGTTTGGAGTGCTCCGACGCATGCCCGCTATGCAATTCCGAGCCCCTTTGACGGCAACTCATCTTGGCAACATACCGAGCTCTGAAGATCTTCTCGCTCGACTGGGAGAAACCAACGCCAAGTTGCGAGCCGACCTCGCTCGCTCGTCCAGCAACGTCATCGACCTTACCAAGGATGACGACGATGAAGAGCCGGCCCGCGCCAAATCGGCGGCATCGGCGACCACCATCATTGTCGATGACAACAGCAAGGACGCAGATAAAGAAAATGCTGCCTGAGACCCAGCGGGGTGTGGCCTGGAATTCGGTACTGGGTAATCTACTAGCGGATGCTGCCCTCATGTTGGCGGGTTGGCGATTAGTCAAGGAAAAGTGTGGAGGTGGATTGGAGATTTGTTGATGTGTCTTATTGCGAGAGAGAGGCTTTGTATATGCCGTTGTACTCTAGTGGAGGATAGCCTGTAATGCGGAGGTTTTGGAGGGAGGCAACAATTGAATGTGGATAGTGCGGAGATTATTTTGAGCGTCGATGTACTTCGGGTTGGGGGATGATACGTCCTGAACACGTCGATAGATATAAGAGATTCTCTCTCGCGTATGAGACCAATGGCGGGCGAAGTAACATGCACACTGCGGGATCATGCATGCTGTGCCTGCAGCTCCGGGCGCTTAAAACTCGTGTAAGAGCCAATTGAATCTGGGTGAGCACCAGGCTGCACGACCAACTTACGCGCAACGTAATATGAAACTGCGGCGAGGTAGTGCGCTTGGGATGCCTACCTACTTTCCCTCTCGACACGCCATCAGATGGCGTAAGCTAGTCGCTCGTTATTCTGATCTTTGGCGTAGTCTTGCTCACGCTTGATGTTTTTATTTGACTATGGAAGACCGGAGTCCTTATCGATGCGAAGATATCGCGGAGCTAAAGAAGAATGTACCCCATGAGGCAGAGGTATCTGCACAGGAGCTTGAACGCGCTGCTAGGAGGGGTTGTCGACTATGTTCCGTCCTATTAGCTGCTGTGGAGCCGTATGTCCAGGGGAACTATGACGCAGGCACGATAGTTAGGTTGTCAATGTTGTTCAGGCCGGATTTGACAATCAGGTGGGAGGGAGGTGACAAGGAACTAACCGGGCCGATAGAAGTCTTTACTGCAGAAGGTAATCCTTTCTCTCTTTCTTTGGAAAACCGCACCTAGTTCCACGGCTGATAGACCGCGAGCAGATACTGGCTGCATCCCGATACGAAAAGCGAGAGTAGTGTGCGATTCTACGTCCTCCGAAGCTGCGTTTCGTCGAATCATCGAATGGTGCCGCACTTGCTTGGACACGCATCGCATCCTCTGCAACTCCATGTCTGATGTCCATACGCTGCCACACCGAGTGTTGGAAATTGGTTCCGCTGCAGGGGATAAGATCTGGTTGAGAGAGACGAAAGGAGAGCCAGCAGCATACGCGTGCCTGAGCCACACCTGGGGCGGCTTCCAGCCCCTGAAGACAACAAACGAGACACTGGAAGAGCATAAGAGAAACATACCCTGGGAGAGCATACCGAAGACTTTCCAGGACGCTGTCATCACTACACGGCGCTTGAACCTGCAGTATATATGGATTGATTCTCTCTGTATCATTCAGGACGACGAGAATGACTGGCTGATCGAATCAGCGCTCATGGCAGATATATATCGGAACGCCGTAATTACCTTATCGGCTGCCGCATCAAAAGGACCCTCCGATGGCCTCTTCAGAGAGACACAGCCAGAGCATCGAGGGCGCGAACTGGTCCACCCTCTCCTCAAAAGCGACGACCACAGTCCGAGGTTCTTCACCCGGCGCCCTATCGATCACTACCGTAAGGACCACCCGCTCCTTGATCGCGGCTGGGTGCTCCAAGAGCGCCTCCTCTCACCTCGAGTGCTGCACTTCGGCACGTACGAGCTCATCTGGGAATGCATGCAGGGGAAGGACTGCGAATGCGGACATATGCCGAAGGTTCAATGGCTCTCCGAGAAACCCAACTTCCATCCCGGCGTACTCTCCAGCCTGCCGTTCCTCCACACAGCGAACGCCTGGAGAAAAGTGGTCGAAGATTTCTGCGCGCTGGCGCTGACCTTCGAGCGCGATGCCTTCCCCGCCTTATCCGGAGCCGCGAAGATCGTCAAGCGCAGCCTGGAAAGCAAAGGCATGCAGACGAGATATGTGGCTGGGATGTGGGAGTGCTGGTTTATCGAGGACTGCTTGTGGGACGTTGCTATACTCGGTGAGAGGGGGGGCGTGAGGCCGGCTGTTTGGCGCGCGCCAACGTGGTCCTGGGCGTCGGTGCTGCGGAATGGGACTACGAGCGTGACGTATAAGGGTGCGTACCATTTAGCCATGGCGCAGCGGGAGGGTGAGGAATGGCTTGATGACAAAGCGTTGACACTACATGCTCGGCTGGAGAGCTTGCATTGCGAGCTGGAAGGGCCGGATGAGATGGGACCGATTCTCTCGGCACATGTCGTTTTGACTGGACCGTTGTTACAGGCTAAGCTCGATGGGAATGATCTGGATGTTCCAGCGAAGAAGTACGGGTCTTTGTCGGAATTCGGTCGGGATTATGACTTTGCTGAGGAGGGACCGGGACACATTGCTCAGGGCTCGACTTTGTGGTGTTTGATGCTTGTTTCTTTGAGGTCCCCCTTGGATAAGCCGCTTCGTGAATGCTTGTGGTGTTTGGTCCTAAGGCAAGTAGGGGTGGAGCCGGATGGACAGCCGGTGTATGAGCGAGTTGGGCTATTAAGATATAGGTGGGGTGCGGATGAGAGGTGGCCGGTGGAGAGTTGGTTCAAACCTGAGCTTGTCTTAAAAGATGCTGTGGTTAAGATTGTGTAGGTGGTACGAAGTAAGAGCTTTGGCGGTGCAACAAGCTGGTGTGCAGGGCGCGAGTTTGAGGTGTCCATGATGGAATAAAAAGTGCAGTCAGATTGTTCCCAGATAGAGGATGTCACTGCTATCCGAGTAAGTCTCAGTCAAATCAACAAGTACCTCTCCTTCAAGGTCGTCAAGGGATTAGCAATCCGCGACTGCTATTTCGTCACCGACTTCTTTGAGAGGTATATGGGGAAGATGCTCCTAATCGAGTACGTCGAATTAGTAGCAACCGACCACAAATTCCGCCTCACCAGACAAGACGGGAAAAAGATCACTCTTGCTTTCCTGAGGTCTTTGAACACCCTTTACGCCTCTGCACCTGTAGCCACCAAGAGGCCGGCAAGTTCCTACGTCTGCTGCCCTCCAATCTCTCCTCATATCTGCTTTCGCTCTTGCGTATCTTGAAAGAATTGTGGGGTTCCCCCCAGCGGCTATCCCCGCGAGCTCCTACCTCGGTAAATTTTTTCCAGCGCTTGAAAGCATTGCACACTGCCCTACCCTCAATAGTCCAGCTCTTCGAGCTACAGGAATGAGATGAGAAGATGGCATACGATTGGTTGGTGTGTTTACAAGACAAGAAATGCACCAGCAGTTTTCCATCATCCCTGTACGGTTAGGTTAGCTATACCTATCCGACTCTTCGCCACTCGTTATGCACTCGAATCTGCTACGACGCTGGTTGCGGGATCATGATCGCGCGCAATATCCACCGCATTACTGACTTCAATAAAGTCTTCCAGCTCTTCGCTCGTCGTCTTCAGCTTCTCTTTCACAGCCGTTACGCCCTCGAATCCAACAATGTGCCGCGCTGGCGGATTATCATGGCCTCCAATTGCCGTAAGCGCGTGAACAGTTTCAGCGATTAGGGAGCCTTTGACTATTGATGGCAGCGGTGCATAGAGAGATGTCACCGTATCCGCGCTGAGCAGATCACCCATGGAAGGTTCATGCATGGTCGCGTCCGGGCTCGTGGTTGAAGTGCTGTCAGCAGGCGACTTATCCTCGCCAAAAGCAAAGGGATTATTAACGCGGTCGAGTTTATCCAGGAGACCGGAGAAGATCTCACGAGCTAGAGGCGCGGGATTCTCGGCTTGAAGGTACTCGTCCATTGGTGGGACTGAGGTCATCTTGTTGGTGAGGACGTTGACCTCCATGTTTGCTTGGACGATGGACATCTTGACGTTGAACGGGGCGATTTCGTACGCCAAGCTCTAGAGGCGCGTTAGTATCCTACACAGGCGACTAAGAAAAGGGCTCACATCGCAATATCCTTCGATGGCCCACTGCGACGAGCAGTACATGCCTAGCCCTGGTGTTCCCAAGTGGCCCGCTGGAGATCGTTAGTGCGCCCATAGTACAAATTAACTTGATGAGTAAAGCTTACTGATTCCGGTCAACATAATTATATGGCCATTCTTCCGTTCCCGCATAATCGGGAGAACGGCTTTGATGATATTGACGTTCGCGAAGAAGTTCGTTTCGAAGGTGTCTTCGACCAGCGTGATCGTTCGTGTACTTTGAGCTAACTCCTCAACAGCACCGATGACGGCTACGCAAGTTAGCATGCATATGTGGAATATCGCGCAGACGTCTATTACCTTCGCTAGTACTCCCGAGTAGAACATCGACTCGACCGAAAGCCTCAACCGCTTCTGCGATAGCGGCTTGACACTGACCGACAACTCTATGCCAGTCACTTTAGCGTAAAGCTCACGAGAAAAGGAGAAGCTACGGTTAAGGACTGGTTGCGCACTCTTCTTACCTCCCGTCCAACCCTACCACTCTCAACCGCTCTCTCCACCGTTCGGTTTTCTTGACGTCTTCGAGGAAGGTCCGGAAATCCTCAGTCTGGCCTTCTCTTTTCTCGAATTCAAGCGGCAATACGCCCGCTACGACATAATCACCATGGTCGAGCACTTGTTTCGCCAGCGCAATGGCAATGGGTGATGTTCCGGTCGTGATGAACCAGACGCGAGGCGCGTTATGAGGTGGAAAATGAGGCGATCGCGGGCGCGGAGGCCTCGATGAAGATTGCCCGCCCTTTTGCTCCGTCATGACAGCGACCCGACAGCAGGCGAACGCATTGCGCCGAGTAAAGGGAGTGACTCCTGAAGCACTTCACACGACTGCGATGACTGCGCGAGAGATCATTGCGGGGAACGGCGTGCAACTGCCTAACGCCGACGCGCTAGCCTAGATTTGCACTAGCGCGCTCCGAACTGGGCGCACAAATTCACTGCGGACTTTTCACCACCACGACGTACCGCCAAGGACGACGATATCTTCACGGAACGGGGAAAAGCACGCGGAATCTTGAGAAAAGAGCTAGAAATGGATGATTACCGTGGAGGCCATACCCGACTTGTATCAGATTTCTCACCCTATGGCTGTTCTTAGTTTGTCTAAGACCCCTCCTGCAAACAAGACCAAACTCCTCTTCGAAGCCTGCAAGGACCACTCTGAGAGCTGCCGGCTCATTGAATTTGGTGCTGTATCAGCAGAGGGTTGACTCTCCACTTTCCTGGGCGAGATACTGGCTCCGCCAAGCTTCACTTCGCAAATACTCTCTTTCACTGCGACGCACCGGAGGTATGCCTAAAACTTCGCTGCCTTCTCACCTGCCTCCCCGCCACCCCAGCCACCATGATTTTGTCTCCCAGCCCCTCCGTTTTCGGCGTCCTCAAAACCCGCTGCCCCTCGGCCTTTCTCTTTTCCTCTCCATCCTCATTCCACTGCACTTCTTTCGAGCAGAGCTTCCACCTATCCTGAGCAGCACTTCAGTCTCCTCTATATATTCAAGTCGCCGTTCAGCCAGCCATCATGATGAATGCCTCCGAGCTCGACCTCGCTAACATCGACTTGGACGTAGCTCTCGCTGCTCCCGAGTTCTTCGACAGCCTCAAGAAGATTCCTAAGATCGAGGACGCTCCGGCCTGGGCAATTGCCTTGCGCAGCCATGTACGTAAAGCCCTTGCAGAGGACATCGAACGGATCGCGCTAACCGTGCCCTTGCAGAAACTGGCTCTGATCGCTCGCAAGCAGCAGCCATCTGTCGCCCCGCGCCTGCCTGCGCCTGTTCGCATTCGCGCTGTCGACTGCAACAGCTGGATCAAGAAGAACAACCGCTCCTCTGACGGTATTCGCAAGAGGCGTCGTCAAGCCCGCCCGGGCGTAGGAATGGCGCGACCTCTCACTCTGGTGCAATACCGGCGCCATTACGTCCACCTGATGTCAAGGGTCCTCAACATCCGCACCAATGCATCGCCCTTCACCCTCGTCCTGGACGACTTGAACCAGCGCGCTATGCCGCTCATTGGAGAGCTCACCCGCCGCGGTCTGTCCCGCAACGTCAACGTCGTGGTCGTCTCGTTCGAAGCCACGCGCTTTCACCCAGCCATTCGTAACATCCCTGCCTATGGTGACCACACCGGTGCTGAGATCCTCGCCGAGATTGAGAAGGCTATGAACGACTTCAAGGAGAGCATCGTCATCATTGACTCCCTTCACGATCTCCTCAACGTTAAGAATGTTGACATGGGCGCGCTCTTCAACCTCGTCGTCATGAAGTTCGCCTCCACCCTTGTCGGAATCTACCACCAAGATATGCTCGACGAGCCGAACCTAGAGAACGCCTATGTCCCTCAGTCACTCGACGTGTTGAAGTTCATGGCTACGAGCGTCATCACCTGCAAGTCGTTCACTCATGCTCTCGCCGCCAAGGCCGCCAAAGACCGCTGCCTGCCTGAGCCGACCCATGGCCTTCTCCAAGGTGCTGAAGGCATCGTCCAGTGCCTCGCGGCCAACCACCGGGAGGGCATCGTCCTCGAAGCCGAGTTTCGCCGCAAGTCTGGCCGTCCAGAGTCCGAAACCTACTTCCTTCCCACCTCGTACCCATCTGACTATAACCCCCCAATCCCCGGCATGCCCTACGGCACCCTGAGGCAGGAGTTCGTCGTTCTGCTCGAGCAAGTTCCCGCCTATGCCAACAAGGAAATTACTGGTCTGATTAATGCGGCTGGCGAGGAGATTGAGTCGACCTTCAACCTTGGACTCACCGACAAGCAGAAGGCAGCCCGCGAGGGCGTCATTCTTCCCTACTTCGATGCACAGAAGGCTGAGGGTGGTGAGGGTGGTCGGATCCTCTATGATATGGGTGCTGAGGATGACTTCGATGAAGAGGAGGATGAGATTTGAATGCGGCTCACAACGTGACGTCGCTGTTCAAGAGAGATATGACAACAGGACGACAGCGTTTGAGCTGAGCATGATACGGCGTTGAAAGATACTGGGTCACTCGGATCACTCTTGGGTATACCCTTGCATCAGACGGAGTTTCATGGTCAGGTGTGAACCGAAGGTCATTACATGAAGGTCGGCGCTCACTATGGCGTTGCGGCGGTCACTTTGATTTCTTCATGCTTTTTTTTAGAGCAGTCACTCAGAGACTATATCGTAGATACGTAGCTGTAGTGCATAGAATAAACATTTGAAAATGCGGCTGAATCTCCTAATAAGCGTGAAATGTCTTATACATCAGGCAACCCAACGGTCTGGGTGATGCACCAGACCATTTAGGCAACCACCCGTAGACGTGACCTCGGGGAGAGCGCTTTTCACGTGACTACGGCTTGGCAATTTGGACTTCGCCAACCGCGCAAATGCCCTCAGCTTCCGCAAACTACGCCGACGCAACCAACAAGCCCCAACACCACGCGCATTTCATTGACAATTGATCTTAAAGACAGAGAGAGAATATATCGGCTATCACCTTTCCTTACCGCGGTGGCTGCCACTTCGCGTTGAGGATCCAAACCCACACTCCCGAATCCAACAGCAACACAGCATGGCGAACGATAGACGGGACGCCAGCGAGCGACCGCGCGAGCGCCATCGCGACCGGGACAGTCAGCGCGACGGACGAGATTCAGGCCGCGATCGAGGAAACACACCAGACGACCGCCGCAATCGCTCTCGAAGCCCACGACGAGAGCGCGGAGGCCGGCGCGACCGCTATCGCTCACGCTCACCTATTCGGCGGGAGGAACGAGGCAAAGCCCGACTGGACAGAGATAGAGATGTCGATGGCTACCGCAGCGATAGGCGCCATGACCGCAACGATCGCGGCCGTGGACGGGGCGACCGCCACTCAGATCGTGAGCCGCCAAAGGGACCTCGCGGTGCGCCTGCCCCTCGCAGGGGCGACTACAAGGCCGGGGGTCCTGTGAAGCCTCCTTCCGCGCTTCGAGCAGAAGTGAGGCAGGATGAGGGCGAGGACATCAAGATGGAGGAGGAGCCGCGCAGGGAAAGGCCAGAGGGCATGGACGATGAGACGTGGGAGGTGATGCAGACTATGGGCTTTGCGCGGTTCAGGTCGACGAAGAATACTAAGGTCCCGGGGAACGACAAGAACTACGGGGTCAGGAAGGACAAGCAGATGGTCGCCAGGCAGTACATGAACCGCCAGGGAGGATTCAACAGGCCGCTTTCGCCCTCGAGGGGATGAGCGACGAGGGCTTAAGGCTTCAGATTCGGGTCCGAGCATCCTTCATTCAGTCGTTGGAGGAGCAGCTTCAACTCTGCTCTTGGGCTATTCTTGCGCTACCAGCCCAAGGGTACGTTTATGATCAGAATGTCCGGCCATGGTAGGACTCCCTTTTCCCTCATTATCAATCGAGATGTCAGAGTATTAACGGGAATTTCAGAGAGCTGGGGCATCATTCATGAGCACTGCATGGCGTTGGGCCGGGGCTCGTGGGAGGACTACCTGCTTGTGTTCTTCATAAAAACGCTCAATAGAGCCCAGTGTATCCTACTATAGAATTGCTCGCCATACCCGTCGCGCTTGCAACCTTGGGTTTCCTTTTGCTGTTCGAAAACGTGATGCCTGCATGTGGTTGCACCGCCACAAAATGTGGCACCTCCGTCGTGGCTGCCGAAATGTGTCCATAACCCACCTCTAGCTCTCACAGCTCCACGTTGTACGCGTCGCAACCTTCCACCATGGCGCGCGACTCACGATGTAGGAGCCTAAGACAAGGCCTCCTATACCTTTTGTTTGTTCAATTGTCCCTCGTAAGCGCGCAGGTCGCCGAAATTGAGAAAGCAAGCAATGACAGCTTGCTTTGGGGCCCCTACAGGCCGAACCTGTACTTTGGCGTCCGGCCAAGGATACCCAAGAGCTTGATGGGAGGTCTACTGTGGGCTAGGGTCGAGGATTACAACGGCGTGCAGCATAGTAAGTGCTTGCTTTCTTCTGGCTATCGCCTCGCGTTTGGCGCAAGGGATTGGAATGCATCCACGTCATTTCCGGGCTATTATACACCCCAATCGCTGACCGACGAAGACTTCAGGCACACCTGCGAACAACATGAGCTCGATGGCTACGGGTGGGATGAATACGATGTGCGAACCGGCGGCCGACAGACTATCCATGACCCTGCGAACCGGATCGATATCACGACCGAGTTTATAAAATTCCCGGGCGGACAGCATGGAGGAAGCTGGGGAGTCAGGATAAAGGGCACGCCACGGGAGGATGCGTCGGCCGATTTGAAGACGACGGTCGTTTGGTACAACACGCTAGAAGGGCTGGGCAGTCTGGAGGCTGAGGGAGACGACGAAGAGACGGGCGCTGAGGGTGACATAGTGCTTAAGGGGCAGACGCTGGAGCTGGGCGACTTTGAGGTCAAGGTCACGGAGGGCAAGGGCGAGCATCCGCAGACGGGCCATCCGAGCTACCAAGAGAAGCCGCTGGACCGGACGCTGGTGCACAGCGTGCAGGTGCCGAACGAGGCCCTGTGGCAGACGAAGGCAGTGCTTTTTGCGCAGCTGAAGAGCGAGATCGACCAATTGCTTCCGAAATATGGCGAGGAGAATCCGCCGCCGCCCGCACAGCTATACACCATCCTACATAAGCCAGGACGGGGGAACCTGCACATGGTGCAAAAGGTGTTTGAGGGACCGTTCGAGTTCGACGTTCTCTTCTCCTCTGCTTCTGCCCCTAAGCCCATTAAATCGGAGGACCTTACGACGCAGATTAAGTCTGTTACGTCAGGCATCGCTACCCGATTCACGGAGATCTTCAAGCCGCAGCCTCCTTTCCTCAAAGAGCGATACGAAGAGTTCTCGAAGTCGTTGTTCTCCAATCTCATCGGCGGTGTTGGCTACTTCTATGGCGATTCCCGCGTGGATCGCTCCTACGACCCCGCCTACGAAGAGGATAACGAGGGTTTCTGGGAGGACGCAGCTGAGGCGCGAGGCCGGAACGCTGCGCAATTTGAGGGTCCGTCTGAGTTGTTCACCAGCATTCCATCTCGACCTTTCTTCCCGCGCGGCTTCCTGTGGGACGAGGGCTTCCATCTTTTGCCTGTCATCGACTGGGATGTTGACCTCACTCTTGACATTATCAAGAGCTGGTTCAACCTGATGGATGAAGATGGTTGGATTGCACGCGAGCAAATCCTCGGCGCTGAAGCTCGCAGCAAGGTGCCACCGGAGTTCCAGGTCCAATACCCACACTATGCCAATCCACCCACGCTCTTCATGGTACTCACATCTTTCCTTGACAAGCTTGATGCGGTCAAGTCAGATACCAGTAACCAAAAGGTCCTCGCCGAGAAGTCGTACTACATGCAGCTCGTCAACCGCGAAGCAGCGCTCCAGTACCTCCGCACGTTGTATCCTCTCCTGAAGCGGCACTACTTCTGGTTCCGTAAGACGCAGGCAGGCGACATCAAGAGCTATGACCGCGAAGCTTTCTCTACTAAGGAAGGATACCGTTGGCGAGGCCGCACACCGCAGCACATTCTCACATCCGGCCTGGACGACTATCCCCGCGCGCAGCCACCGCATCCGGGAGAGCTACACCTGGACCTGATTAGCTGGATCGGCATGATGACCAAGTCTATCAAGCGCATCGCCGTCTACCTCGACGAACAAGACGACGCGGCTGAGTTCGCGAAGCACGAAGAAGCCATCACCCGCAACCTCGACGACCTCCACTGGTCCGAGAAGGAGAAGCTCTACTGCGATGCCACGATTGACGACTACGAAGAGAACAAGCTCGTCTGCCACAAGGGCTATATCTCGCTGTTCCCGTTCTTGACCGGTCTGGTCGCCAAAGACAGCCCGAAGCTCGGCGCTATTCTGGATCTGATCGGCGATGCGGAAGAGCTGTGGAGCGACCACGGCCTCAGGAGCCTCAGCAAGAGCGACGAATTCTACCACACGGATGAGGACTACTGGCGCGGACCTATCTGGATCAACATGAACTATCTCGCCGTCGAACAACTCCTCGTAAGTTCCCATCCCTCTTCTTTTCCTAACTCCCCCTTCCTACACCTACAGTGCTGACACAGCCCCCCCGCACAGAAAGTCGCGCAGGGAAAGGGCCCGCACCAGGCCCGCGCCAAAACGCTCTACTCAGACCTGCGCAAGAACCTCGTCCACACCGTGTACGAATCCTGGAAGGAAACGGGCTTCGCGTGGGAGCAGTATAACCCTGAGACGGGCAAGGGACAGCGCACGCAGCATTTCACCGGGTGGACGAGCCTGGTGGTGAAGATTATGAGTATGCCGGATTTGGAGGGCGGGCGGGTGAGGGATGAGCTATGAGAGGGGATGGGTATGCAGTGGGACTTTCAAGTGTCTTTTTTTCGTTTGAGGGTCGACCAGGAGAGAAGGAGGTAAGGGGAGTTGGGGTGTGTAAGATATGAAAGATGCCGGGTGGGAAAAGAGGAATAGTGTGAATAGCGCAATGGGACTTGTTCTTGATCTACGGAAGTAGGCGTGCAGATTGCATCGAGCGCACGCAAACCGAGGGCTTTCACACAGCCACTACCATCCTGCCATTATTGGGCATCGACGGTCGAGCAAAGGCTCCAAGTTTGATGGTTCGCTCTCTGCGAGGCGCACGTTTTCCTCGCAGGTCGAAGGCTTCCCTAGTTGCCAGCCAGCGGAATGCGACGCTACTATCTGGTTTTCAAGTACGAACTCGCCTAACATAGGTGGCTAGGCAGGTCAACAGCATCAAGGAGGAGACTAGGCATAAGGTCGCAGCGAAGAGAATGCGGCGCGGTAGAAGGCCGATACGGGCTTGCGCGGACCCTTCTGGTTCGTCCGAACCTGCTTTTTTCTCTTTTCTTTCTCTTCTTTTGTCGAATATGTGAAGAGCCGGAAGGAAAAGCCAAGCAGGAGGGAGGGTAAACACACCAAGTTCTTTATCAGATGGGCTTTCCGGAAGAGGACACGGAGCATCTTCGTTTTCTGCTTCCAGCACTGCAAATCTAAAGGCGATAAGGGGTACGAGAAGGCCGGCATTGGTATGGGAAGCTACTATTAGATGCGCCCCCAGAAGTCTGGTGCTCTGTTCCCGGAATAGCTGGATGAAGATGGAGCAAGCTGGGGTGCCCTGCGCGGTTTTCATGGGCGCGCTGGTTCCGAGAAGCAAATCCTTGTGTACCTAAGTGGTCAGCAAACACCTTGGTTTAGATACTCCAATGGTCCAGATACTCCAATGGTCCAGATACTCCAATGGTCCAGATACTTCAATGGTCCAGGTTTCCAATCGCGACGGGGATCACAGCAGAAGAGCCGGCGTAGGAGATGGCTCTGGACCAGCTGCGGGAGCCGGGCTATCCGCAGCGACGTCTCCGTCTCTCCGGAACTGAGCCTGAATAGTGGGCTCGTGCGAGTTGCTGAACTCTATGCAAGGTCGGTACTACTTGTTTGTTCAAGCCGGATTTGGAATGCTGGTTCCCTGTGCTCTGATCCCATGGGAGGCTCCATGCGCGAATCGTCTAGGAATGCGCATGTCAATTTGATCGCAATGAGGGCGATATTAAGTCATCGAGTAGACCAGGCAATGGGTCAGGGTGAGTGGGACGCAAGCCCAAAGTGCCGGTATTGCGTGGCATTCCGCACGGGAGTTCCAGGAACCTTGACGTAGATCCGTCACAGCAGTCGTCGCCTCCACGGCTGCCCCTCGTACCGCTTCCTGTACCGAAATCGTTTTCTTTGTATTGGTGTTCTGGTAATCTTGAACCAGAGGCTCCGTGTCGTATCGCAATATAATGTAAGGTACCCTATAATACGCGTGATATAGTCTGACGGAAATGGCGCCACGACTGACGCAGTCCAGGGCCAGCGTGGGATAGACTTCAGCCACAGATGCAAGATCGCGAGGCCAAATTGTCGGTACCGAAACTCAGATCGACTGGGACCAATAGGGTTGGTTAGCGTTGATTGTTGGAAGGCGAGCGAGCGAGCAGGGATGGTGCTTCGGCATGGGATCCTTAGCTTCTGGAAGATGTAAGGAATCTTTTGCAAAGACTGGATGGCTATAGTCCAGTGCGCCGAACACGAGCTTGCCGCTGGGGATCCGTCTGACGGGCGTTCGTGAAATTCTGAAATGCGGGTCGCTGGACCGAGACTTTGGACTCCCCATGGGGTGAGTTGTCTCTAGACATGAGACATGTGCGTGTTCTGTTGTGATACGCGAGATAGTGAAAAGCATTTGCCCACAGAACGTGTAAGATAGGCCCTTGAGGAGCGAGTCCAGATCTTAGGGTTGTAAGCATCAACAAGGACATCCAATAGAAAAAAAGGGAAGGCTGTTGAGCTATGACTCCACGACAGGCTGCACTGAGTGATGTCGATAACTTCGCGCTTCTGAATTGCCTCTTAGCAGACTTCGTCTTGGGAATTGACTTTTTCTTTCAGGTTCTCTTCATTTGGCGCCCATCCGCGGATCATCATCGCACGCTGTGGTACTAAAATAGATCCAGTCAACACCAAAAGCTGGAGCCATGTGAGTGGCAGCTGCATGGGTCGGCTAACTATCCACAACATCGCGTCGCTGATACGAGAACCTCTCTCGAAAGTAGATGAATAAAGACCCATTTCGAATATAAATTCATCTGGTTGATGAGCGACAGCACCAGGTCTGGCCATAAGCAAAGTCGGAAAGAGTCCATCCGCCGACCCGGTACCTGGCTGGAGAAGGAATAGTAAAGCGAAATGGCACTTGTGCCAAGCTTATGGTTCGGATACGCGAGGAACGAAGGGCATTCTTCTCCCGTGGAATCTTGCGCACGGGGGTGATACCTCGTGCTCTGGCTATTCGTGGGTACGATAGAGGTATCTGAAGGATATTGGATGAAATTGAATGCATTGAGCATTCACCCGTCACTCAGGGTTGGATTTCCGAGGAGACTCTTGAGCCCCTAGCGCCGCTTGACAGCTGCGTATAAATTGAAGGGGCTGTCGCGAGGGTTATGGGGAACTTTGCCTTCGTACCTCTCCTTGTTCGTTGTGATTCGATCTTGTCGTTTGATACAGCCCCAACGAATATGAGAGCACTCCTTCTCTCTCTCCTCGCCCTAGGTGTTGGGGCAGCTCATAGCGCAGTCAAGGGGACGGGAACGACCACAAGAGGATGGTCTTGCTGCAAGAATTCGTGTTCGTGGAGTAACAAGGCTCCAGTCAGCAGTCCAGTCCTTAGCTGTGATGCGCAGGACAATCTCTTGAATAATCCAGCTAGAAGAGACGGTTGCGACAGTGGAGGTGAGTACCATGTCCGGCCCGCTAGTCTGTAGCTTAATCTGAAACTCAATTAGGCGGAGCGTTCGCTTGCTCTGATCTGAGTCCATGGGCGGCTAGCAATGACCTGGCCTACGGCTGGGCAGGTGTCAACTTGGCGGCAACCAACGAGAGTGCTTGGTGCTGCTCTTGCTATTCGTGAGTATCGAGCAGAAAGACGGAGGATTCCAGCTGACTCTGTTGGCAGGCTGACCTTCACGTCTGGGCCGGTCAACGGAAAGCAGATGATCGTCCAAGTGGTCAATAGTGGCGCTGATCTGGGCGACGACCAGTTCGACTTGGCTGTCCCCGGAGGTGGACAAGGAGCCATGCAGGGGTGAGTCCGCCCTGTCTCCTCAGAGCAAGTACTTACAGATCTCAGATGCACTAAACAGTTCGGGGCTGAGGACGTTTGGGGAGCGGAATACGGAGGTGTGTCGCATAGGGACGAATGCGATGCCCTTCCGGACCCGTTGAAAGGAGGATGCTACTGGCGATTTGACTGGTTCCGGAACGCAGGTTCGTCTCGAATACCCAAATACAAAAGGGCGGACTGACCTGGAAAGATAACCCGAGCGTGATGTGGGAGAAGGTGACATGTCCCGAAGCCCTCACCTATGTCTCCAATTGCCGGCGCAACGACGATCCTGTCCCTGGGAAGAGCACCCCGACGCCATCGACCACATCGTCAGCCCCAATCTCATCTGGAACTGTCGCTCTGGGAGGGCAGTGTGGGGGCAAGACGTACAGAGGCCCGACTGTGTGCGTGCCCGGAACGGTGTGCACGTTCGTGGATGAGAACTCGTATTACTGCCTGCCCGATCCGGCAGGCACTCGCACCCCTACGCCAACAACGACAACCCCATCTGCTCAGCCAACCATTGCGGAGCCCTGGGACCAGTGTGGAGGTGAGTCCTCGCTGGACGATAGTTGAAGCTTCTGTGGCTGACACGGATAGGGCGCGGATACACGGGCCCGACCAGGTGCAGGAACTCGCAATGCGTCAGCGTTGACGAGTGGTGGTCACAGTGCCGGCCCTACAGCACTGCTGCACCGCAGCCGCCAACAAGCCCTACTCGTGGACCGTCGGGGCCTGGTCGGACCGGTCGACCTCCCCGCTGGAGCTTCACGCGTACGCCTATCGTGTACCCGAGTTCGACAGCGAGATCGACTACCAGAGCGGCTACCCCGGCGCCCACGGGCTATGCTCAGTTGTATGAGCAGTGTGCCGGGCTGACTTGGGCTGGGCCAAAAGTATGCGCTCCAGGGTTGAAGTGTGTTTACACGAACGATTATTATTCCAGCTGCCAGAAGAACGAGCGTAAGAGGAGCCCGAAGTTCGGGCTGTGAGAGATGGGAGGGCCTAGCGGAGACTGAAGAACGGCAATGTTTTGGATATGTATTATCGATGGAGTCGTACTCGTAGGTTGTTGAGATGGATGATGTAACGTGGGCATCAGAGACAGGGAAATTAGAAGGCGGTCCGTGCACTCACTTGCACCTTCCATCTCAACCACAACATGACGTTTCTCATCTACTACTACTCTTCGCTTCTAAGGAGCCACATTTGCTTTTAACAAATCTTGCCTCACAAGCGCGGGCGTCTCTCATCTTTTCGGCTTCCATATGAGAGCACGCTGGCCTTACCCCGTCACAATCTGTTATCTGACTGTGCTCTGACCAGAGTTAGCGACATATTTATTACTTCCGCATGCTCTTCTCTTCTTAGCACTAAGAGTCATTCCTGCTAGCCTTTTCATCCATTTGCGTATTAACACCGCCGTCGCCGCCCTTTCCACCGCCCTTTTTATATCAAGGCATAAATCCTTCCAATCCGTTGGCTGGACGCGAGTGCCGAATTCGGAAATATTGCTGACGCACGTGAGTTGGCGGCGCGCCGGAGTTCTCGGGACGCGTGGTCCCGTGCTTTCGCGATGAGGCTTGGCGGTGAATACAAAAGCGGCGCTGCTGGCCCTCCAAGGCTTGATGCACCCGGTCATCATCCCTTTCCATCTGACAAGAAAGAAGAGACGATCCGACCGACAACGCACAACTAAGAAATCTCGTGTACCCTCAGCCGACATCTCAAGCCCTGCCTAACGAGCTACTCTGTCCTACAATCCGCAATGCCGCTCTCCCGCCATCCAGTCCTCCCTTGGGTCTCCACGTTCTTTGGCACAGTCTGCTTCGGCTTTGGCGTCGCCTACGTGTTCTACCCGCGTCCCGCATTCGCAACCTTCGGCTTCCCGTATCCGGAGACGCCGGCTGATCTCGAGTTGATGGACGCTGTGATACGACTGTTCGGGATGAAAGATCTATTCGTGGGCTTTGCGATTTGGATGGCAACATGGGGGGGAAGTAGGAAGTTGGCTGGGTAAGTCTCGTGCTCGCGTTTGGTGCATGATGGGCCATGAGGAAGAGAAAGATTGGCTAATTTGGGATTTGTGATAGAGCGATGCTTACAGCTGGAAGTGTGTGCGCGACAGTTGATGGGTATGTGGTTAAGAGCGTGGCGGGGACGGGAGAGTGGAATCACTGGGGTTATGGAAGTGTGATGGGGATGCTTGGGCTTGTTATAATGGGCATTCTGGGTTGAGCAGTGTTGCGTAGAATGAGTGGGGGAGAGACTTGGCCGCGTTTCCAAGGTCATCGCGTCAAAGTAATGCTGGGAACCTAGAGGGGCTGCATGTACCGAGTGAATGTAACGGCACGTGATAGTAGGCGCGGCACACAGAAATTGTACCTCATATTTACCTTGCTATTCATCTAAAAAAAACCGTCGTAAAAGTTCTGCTATTCGATGGCAGTTACTGATGCAGATTACGTCACGTGCGTCGCGTAATGCCGAGATCTCGTGTCAAATCAGTTCGCGTCATCCTCGACTTCGGATCCATCCCAGCGTAGCCTCCGCATTCGACATGGCAGATATTTGGAGCGGAGGTATCTTGCTTCCTGATGATACAATCATAAAAGGTAGCTGATTCACGCATTCTCTATATTATTGCTCACGACCTCTAGACGTAAGCCTCGCATCGCAAAACGTCGCATCCTACCCATCCATCCCCGCGGTCCCGTTGCGTTTCCTCGCAACCGTCGATACCGCCCGTATCCCTCTATACCTTGCTGCCGGCCCGAGTTTAGACGTTTGGACAACAAGCGAGGCAACAGAAGCATGGTTTCAATCTATATTGTTGGGCAAAGGATCAACTGCGACGGACGCGACTGGGAATGGTCCGCCACGCGAATGGTGGGCTTTCGCCCGGGCTCAGTCTCCCATTGGCGCACTCGTCAAGGTCGAGGAAGAGAACGCGAACGCCAATGGACCCAAGGTGACCGAGATACTGTTCTACGCGACGATTGCTGTGCCCGCTCAAGCGGGGCTGCCGACACCGCCGTCTTCCTCGCCCGACCTGCCACATGTACGATCAGAAAGCCTTCCTGAGCTTCGGGTACACGCGCTACCACTTTCGTTCGATCTCCTCTATAAGAGCAGTCTATCGCATATCTCCCCTCTTCCGCCTGCTCTCAGCGCTGCTGAACCATCCATTGACGTTGAACCGCAATTCCTCCCGCCGCTGCATACCACCGACCATCGGCCTGCCTCCCCGAAGCGCAAGCGAGATATATTTGATGAAGCTACACTGGCGCGGAAGAAGGCGAGAGGGAAGGGCGGGGAAGGTGTAGCCGCTGCGGCTGCGAAAGCACACGAGAGTCAGCGTCCGTTCCCACATCGGAAGTCCTTGTCTATCGACACAAAGGCCGCCCCATTTCCAGATTCGAGACCCAACTCGGCGAACGGAGTACTTACACGGCCACCCCCCCGGCAGCTATCCAGATCGCCAAGTATATCCTCCGATATCCGACCTCTCAGCAGGAAGGGAACCGTGGACGGCCACGCGAAGCGTTCGGCTCTTTCCCAAGTAGCTACCGTGCCACTACAACCCGAGAAGCCTACAGTCGAGACGCGGAACAAAGAAGCACTATCAAGGGTGGTCATGGCGGCCATGCGCATGCATGGTCTGCAACAACGGAAGAAGAACAAGTCTCGGAGGGGTTCGGTTGCTCCTGGTGGAGACGCGGCCGATCAGTTGAGCGAGGAGGCTGCCGCTGACGAATTGGCGAAGGATGACGAATATAAGTTGATATACTACCAGACGTACAAAGGGGCTGCTCTTGCATTGGTAAGTTTTAACGGCGCGATCCGCCACAAGTCCTGGGACCTAATGCCACTACAGAGAAAGCATATAGCAACGAAACCTCTCCATACTCAGCCCGACCGACTTCGAGATGTCGTGGAGAGATTACTTGCCATCTTTTGCACCGATCCGCTTACTATACCTTTATCCACCGAGGAGTCGTCTGACCCATTGGCCACTCCAAGCAGCAAACAAAGGCTTACTCTCCCCGGCTCCTCACACAGCCATGCCAGCCCGTTCGATTTGCCTAGCGGCGCCAGGGTAAACGCAGTCAAGGTTGCAGGAGGAGGTTCTGTGCATACAGGGTCTCCCATCAGCAAAACCAAGGCGAGAGAGCGGCAAACCGATCCAAACGGCAAGATATCGGCTGTATTACCTGGTGTTTGAAGGCTATAAACAGGAAGGAATACGGTCCTCGGTCCAACAGACTGTGTTCCCATGCCCAAGGTTGTTCGTAATCTTGCACAGGAAAAATCGAAATCCCAACGATTTGGCAAGCGTCCCAATTCAGAGCAATCATGCCTGCCCCAACAAGCGTTCTCGAGCCTTGGATTATGGATAATCGAGATGCCATCGCATGTATGAGTCACCGGATGACCCATGGTGCAACGGCGAAGTCGGTGTCTACCCACGCAGCTGAGAGCGGTACTTCAGTCACGATTGTGAAGTTGTCGACATAGCGTTGCGATGACGAAGCTTTCATTAGCAACGAGCACACCAAGCAGGTAGTCCAGCGAACGAAATCTGCAATTGAAATGAACGACTCCACAAACGAAAAATTTCGTGCCGCCAGGTGCCCAATCCACGAGATCAACTTGAGCTTTGCTGCAACGCCGCCCCTCGCAGCTCGCCGCCGCCGTTGCACCCAGCACTTCAATGGTGCCCCCCCCCCACATTACCGAATCTACGTCGATTGGGCCACTGATGTTTCCCTCGCTTCAGTCTTCTCACTCTCAATCTTCTTGTATTTCTTAGCCCACCACCACGCTCCAAGATACACCAAAGCCATCAGTCCGGCAATAATGCCGTACACAATTCCTCCTGCAGTGGTATTATCCGATAGCTTCAAGCCAGTGCCACCGTTAATAACGCCAAGCACGAGCAGTATGCGGCCCAGCCAGACATGAACGTGCCGCTTGTAATTCTTTGTCCCCTTCGCGGCAAAGTGGCGATGATGCAGCCATCCGATGACTGGCTGGAGGAGGAAGAGAATGGTGACGACGATGCCGAGGATGATATGGCCCTCTTTGTATAGCTGCACATAGTTAGTCTCGTCCATGGAAGTCCTGAGCTGGAAGGGCCGTGGAGCACTTACGCCTCCCTGAAGATTACTCAACCAAGCTCCTAGGCCGAAACCGACGAGCAGGAGGATGAGACCGGAGCATTGCCATAGTGCGTGATAGCGGATAGTGTTGGGTCGGTCTATCACTCGGAGGATGAAGACGCCGAGCGGGAACCACAGAATGATTGCGATGGAGATGATTGCGCCGTGGGCGGCGTGGACGCTGTTGCGGAGGGACCAAGTGCCTTTGATGTCTTGGGGGTTGCCGATGGCCATGATGAAAGAGTACGAGAGACGGAAGATGGTAAAGTTTGGAACGACAAGAGCGAAGTATATTCAACGGTTCGACAATTGCGCCTGATATGCCGTTGCTGCTGATGAGATGCCCCTTTCACACTCCCTCTTCAACTTCATATATCCTCATTCCTTCGTCCGCAACTCGTCCTCTCGCATACCTCGCATTCTCCAATCCCTACAACCTCAAGCTCTTCATCAACAGCTGCACGCCTTTCCATCTTGGCCATTGTCGTCTAGCATACATCTTTTGAACAATGCCCAATCGCATGCATCGAAATAACGTGATCACATCCGGAAGTTCAGTGTTCCGGGAGGCCTGATGAAGCGAAGCTATCGACCTCTGTTTTGGGTAATAGCCAACGCTAGAAGTTACGACTCATATGCGGCTCAAGGGGGCTGTGCTGGTGTGGTGATGGACGATCGTCGGCGGGCGGACGAGCCAATGAGAGAGGCGTTGAAGGCGCTAGCTTATATCGGACTAGCGTAAGATCTCTCTTTGACTTCGGATGACGAATGCGAGATCGTCTGACAAACACCACCATACCACAGCACGAAGTTTGCGGAAATAATGAGGAATATATTGGGAAGGCATGCCATGACTCAGCTAGTGCAGGCCGGTAAAGCCGGAGAGGAGGTCTATCGTTCGTCAAAACCTGCTACGGCGGCGTCTTAATCGCCAGTGAACTCCATACAACCTCGCCATTCGCTTCATCGTCCGTGTACCTGTACCTCTCTCTGCATCAAGCGGTCTACCTTCCTCGCTGCCAAACAACCTCGGTGTTCAAAGCAACACCATACTTCCACCAGCCCTCAGCCTCCTTCTGGCTCTCCTTGATGACCTCCTCAAACGCCGCGTTCCGGAAACCAAGTCCATCCTTGATTTCCTTGATAACTGCCTTCCATTGGCTGAACTTATCCTTCTTTGCTCGGTACGTCCCGTACTCCATCCACTCTTCCTTGACTATCACCCAGTCCTTCATTCCGTGCTCGAACTTGAACGTTTGCACGAGCACCATCTGGTGGCTCAGTACGAGATCTCGGAATTCCTGCTTCACTGAACTCTCGCGGTCGCCGATATAACGCAGAGCGATGGGAGCATGAGCCTTCCAGCGAAGATAGTCGCCATAGCTGATCGTCTCGCGTGTGCCATTCTGATACTCGACAAAGGCAACCATGCCAGGGCTGTACACATCGCGGTCGCTGTACAGCGGTGATTCCTCAAACTCTCGCAGGCCCCTCTGGCTGTACTCGTTCGGTTTGCTATTGTCAGCTTTGCTTGCCGCGGCCTTCAACTGTTGCCGCGGAAGCTCATCGTAGAGATAGAACTGCCTAGATGGTTCCGCGCGCACCTCGTCATAGAACTGCGGCAGCTCTCGTACAATCGGGACGTTGGTAGGGAAGTTCGGCTTCCAACCCGCACGCTTCGCCGCCTCCTTCTGCAGAGTCGGTACCGCGAGTCCTTCTGGTTCTGGCTGACGCTCAGTAACGCCGTCCCTGCACAAAATCAGCGGCTTGAGATCGACTTCTCGGTGCGGTCCGTTCCAGCAGTCAATGTGCCACTCGGCGACATGTTTCCAGAGGAGGTCGGTAGTGTCGTAGCGTCGGTCTGCGAACTCCGACTTGGTGAATTCAACGTTTGTGGCGTGCGACTCAGTTTTGCAGTAGCGGCATGCAATATCAAGGCCGTCTTGGAGTTGAAGATCGCCCTCCTTCGGCCACTCGCGCTCTACGAATAGGAGGCCTGGCGGCTTGAGTAGCTCTTTGGGGATTTTCGCCTCCTGAGAATTGGGCAGCCCTTCAGTATCGACGTCAGCGTCGTGATTGCTCATTCGGATGTCGCGGGGGTGCTGTTTGGGTTTGGTATCGCGTCGACGAAGAGGATGAGACATTGTCTTGGTCGCTGTTGCACGTTTGCTCTCGCTTGAGAGAGTATGGTTTCGGTTGTTTTGCTAGAAGGACACATTGGGTTTGAGTGGTAGAGTTTGGTTTAAGAGGATGATACAAAGAAGGACTGGCAAACATCATTGTCCCGTGACGAGCCGCATTGGGTGTTTGAGTTCGATATTGCCGTTCAGGGAAAGATATCCTGGAAGTGCATAGTTGTCAGTTGCGGACGATCCCTTTCAATCTTTCTCCATTGACTATTTCACCGCCGTTTCTACCAACTGAATAAGCACCGGAAACTTTTCTTTCACTAGTATCCTCGCAGCTTGCTCGACACAACAATCACGAAAACTGATGACCACGGGAAACTTCAAGAAGATGCACGCGTCAATGTCCAGAGCAAACTTGGGGCGGATCTGGGGTATATATTCCACATTCTACCTTCCTCTCTGCTTTCCTCAGTACGGAAGGAAATCCTGCATTTCACCAAGAGAATGGCTTCCAACACATCCCAAGGCCAGAAGCCCAAGGCACTACATCCCAGGTAAATTTCTCCTTGCCCCCAATGCACGAGCACCATTAACATCTTCAATAGGAAGAAGGAGCCCATCGGATGGGACTTTCGAGACGTACGAGCCTGGCAGGACCCAATCTCAGCCGACTGGTGCTTCATCCCTTGGAAGAACACTGAAGAGTGCAACGCCAACGATCCAGACACCCACCCCACCGGAGGCCACGCCAAACTGCTCTACTACACGGTAGGGGAGCTCAAGGACGAACATCGCGGCTCGGGCATAGTCGTTAACACGGCCATGCATGAGATCATCGGCTGCTACAGGAGACATGTGGACACCGAAGAGGGGCAAGAGGACAAGGTGGAGGCGCAGAGCCTACTGAAAGGAGAGATTCCGTCTCTAGAAGGCGAACGGAAGAAGATCCAATCTATGCCTGAGAACCAGCGCACTCGAGCCCAGAACAGACGCCTCACCGAGATCGATGAGAAGGAGAAATCAGTCCGATTGGCCATCAAGAGATGCAACGGCTTGGTCCTGGACCCGCGCCCCGAGAGGATCGCTCGGCACGAGCAAACAGTGTTGGCGATCCATCCCTCGGTCAAGGAAGAGCGCTACAGCAAGTTCGGAAACTTCTACCTGGGCCTGGAGGATCAATGGGTACCAACGATGGAGGACGTCTTGGAGATAGGCGACATACCGCCGTTCCGCGTGGATCGAGTTACTAGCCTGGCCGAAACTTCTGAGGACCTGTCAAGGACCGAGAGTCTGATTATGGAGGCTGTCAATGAGGCAAGGGGGCCGGACTAGTTCGATTAGGACGTGGGGGCGGGATCTAGACTGCATGATTGGGATTGGTGGGGAATGCATGGGGGAAACACTTGGCAATTTGGATAGATACAGTGTTTGCCCTTTGCTGAATACATTCATTACGAAGAACGACTCTTGGCCCCACAGGAGACTTAGTACTGGTCGTGATGCTTACTTCTGCTTTCTCGCACGTCAACTTTCATTGCCGTTTGGCGTCAACGTGTAGATGGTAGTCCGAATAGGGCGCCCGCAGTCTTCCCGAACGGGTACGGGCGCGAGGACCGACAGAAGAATCGCACAAGATACTTACTAGAAAGAAGAGGAAGAGGATATATGGGAAATTCACCATATCATTCGTTCTGTTTTTAATGACCTGAATTGGCATTCTAGTCTAAGGGAGCGCAGGCGGTATCTACCGGTAAGATTTGCTGGACTGCCGGGGAAAGAAAGACTATACTCCCGGCCGCCTCAAACAGGCACTGCAGCTTGCGCTGCCAACTTCTCCTCCCACTGTGCTGCAAGAGCCTCCACTACATGCTCTACACATTTAATCACAGTGTGGTAGGGCTTTTGGCTGAGAAAGCTCATCACGTCCTCATCGTGTATCATCCATCCCCAATTCACAGCTAGTATCCACACAAGCGCTTCACCCATCTCCCGGGTCTCGCAGTCGGTGCCCTTTTGCAGACCCAATCGTGGTCTCAAGATCGGCTTCAGGATAATCTTCGCCGCCGTGATGAAGGAGCTCTCGCGGATGAGCGACGTGTTGATCCATGCTTGGCATCCTTCGCGGAAGGCTTGCACGATATGCGACTGTAGGTCCGGAAGCATGTACTTGACGGCGACGTGGTTGAACATCTCGGCATGGAAGACCGGATTGATGCTGACGTCTGTGCGGCGGGACTTGAGGTGGCGGAGGAAGATCAGGAGGGAAATTTGGATGGCTTGGGGAAGAAGCTCGGGTTGGCACCAATATTCGCCGGGGGCGATGCACACGAAGCCCTCATCGTTACCCTGCTGCACTGCGTTAGTTATCGGCGTTCGACAAGGCAGCGAGCTGACGTTCATTGAAGAGCTCGTGGTGAGTGATGATCTTGCTAGCTTTTACCGCTCTATCACCATGCAGAATCCAGCTATGCTCGAACTCGGGAAAGTGGTGGAGGATAGCGCGGTCGTTGCTCCTGAACTCAATGCTCATGCCATTTTCTTCGCCGGCGGGTTGCTCGGAGTTCTTCTGACATGGCGTCATCCCCCGGTCCACGACTTCCACCGGGCCGATATACGTGTTGGTTTTGAGAAAGTGCATCATGGCTCGTATATGCCTCTGCTTTTGCGCGGGAAACGTGATGCGATTGCTTCTTATCGTCTGAGGGTGTTAGAATAAAGCATTTCGTTTTAGGATTCCACACATACTCGATCGGCGTGGCAAGCGATTTGGAAATAAAGCGACCGCCTGACAAGGGCCGCTTTGCTGCACTTGTACCTATCACCCCCACACACTATCGTAATGTTAGGAACCTGCACGCCGATCGCAAGACCGCCCATTGATTCTGCGAGCGAAGTTGCGAGCCCGCTGTCGACTCCGTTCATAATGAGTCGCGGTTGAAAAGCGCAGTTGGTGGTTCATTTAGTATGGCGAACGCGAGTAGCATGCCTGAATATCGATGGTGATTTTATTTGGGCGCAAGAGAGACCCATGGTGATTGAGAAGTGGCGAGCAACAGCCGTGGCAGACTCCTTTGTGAGGCGTTTGTAAGACAGTTTCACCTTCTAGACACCAGGTGAACAAGGTCGTAACTACTGGCAGCTGTTCTTTCGAATTTCGACGGGATTCTGAGTGTATAGGCTGACGTATTGCTCTTCAGCCAGCTCGAGGAACCCAAAACTATAATGTCACTCGGTCATCGCTGGTGAATTCCTGCTCGAGAAACGATTGAAAAGGTTGCAAGTGGGGAAGTCAAAATCACCTTGAAGACTTGGTATGAGCCAACTCTGTGAAATCTAGGATATTGGCCTTATTGAAAACGTTGCAATGAGGCACAGGAGAAGGTGTGATATGTACTCTGGGCCATATCACCAAGAAATTCCGGTAAAAGGAAATTCACCGGAGCCCGACCCTGGGTTGAAAGTTGGTATGCTCATGAGAGAGGGGATGTGGATGTAGATGGGGGTCCATCGTATAGAAGGGAGTAGCTCGTTCGAAGTGCCGCGCTGTGGATATCCCGTCGTTGTCCAAATGGAATGACGAGAGGATCCCGAGAATCGCTAGGAAACTTTTCCCGGGGGAGAGCGCCGTTATCGCGAGTCCGCTTAGTTACTTAGTTAGTATCCAATAGAGAAATGATGGAAAGGGGCAAGCGGTATCAACCAAAACAACAACGTCCATACTGGCAGCCAAGAACCCAACATGCAAATCCTGCAAGCCGCAGACACCACGAGCGGCACGACGTTATTTTAACCTTCTGCAGGCACCGCGCCTCGTGAGAGCGGCTAACGCCTGAACCGGCAAAAGAGACATGCTCGGTTCGGTGGCCCGCGTTTCGGGGAGTTCAGCACGTGCGGCGATATGCTGACTGAGCTGTGAGGTGGCATTTTCCCGCTGGGGCTGAAAGTGGACCTCTTCGACGGTGGCCCCGTCGAAGCGCGTATCTCCTCACCATGGACGATTCCTTACGCCACGACATTGATAACAAGTACGTCTCGAGATACTCGCGCAGCATGAGCCCGAGGTTGTTGAGATGGAGGTAGAATCACAAAGGGCGCCACCGTCCGGCGACGCGAACTAGCGTGGCCTGATGCAGTTAGGCGGGATGACGGATGCCCATTGTCCAGAAAGGGAAGACTATCCTCTGCATCACGAGAGATCGGCAAGATCAGTAATCCAAGATAGAGGTTCCATCTTGCTGATCGGTTCCTGTAGACTGGACGAAAGGTAGCAGCTGGGGTATCGGCTCTATGTCCCGACATCCAGAGAGACTACTCCGTGCAGAATCACTTCCATCACCATATCGCAGGATTTCTATAGCAACAACGGTTGGTTTCCCAAGCATCTCTAACTTCAAATCTTGCACTCTGCTCCACCGCTAGAATCTAAAATTCCAGGTTGCCCAAACGCTCAGCCGCACACCCTAGACCCCCAAACCGCCCCCACAACACTGCGCCTAACCGCCACTCAAGCACATCAGTAATACGCTTAGCTCATCTCCCCAAAAGCTTGTCCCGCTCCACAGTAAGGCTCAGCCCACCCTTTATATCTCCACACTGCTATTTCGAGTCATGCATCTGACCGTCGCGTTACCCGAATGCGTACAAGCGTAACGGGAAGTGGGACCTGAGGCTGCAGTCCCGACTGGCTAATGCTGACTCCAAGAGCGGTATCTGGTACCATTCGCCCGGTTTGTCGTGGTACATGTGCGCATCGACGAACCTTGTCGGCTGAGGGGCAGGAGATTATTTTGCTGGCTGGGCTGTCGGTCCGCGATCTCATGAAACGGTGCTGTGCACCCCGTATACACTAATGAGCAAAAGCTTAGCCCTCGAGCGGCCAATGGTTTCCTGCAGATGCCTCCTTCAGCCCCATGTTTACCTGCTGTGGCTCTGCCTAGGGGTTCTTCGGCGAGCGACAACGCACCGCTATGTTGGGAGCTTGAGCCAGCTGCGCTTGAATAAGCAAATGCGACGGTTGGACGGGGTGAGGGTGGAGTTTGGTGGACTGAGGCAAGGCTCAAAGCCCCCAAACCCACATACCGAATGGGCTTCGGGCGCTGAATCAGGTATGTGATAGGCTTGGATGGAGGAGTATATATCGGAGCAGCAGCGCTGAAGGGTGTTGCATCAGCAAGCTCTGCGTTCTGCTCTCGCGGTCTTCTGTCTTCTTGGGTTTTCCTTCCTGTCGTTGAGGACTCAGGCGTTTCTATCCACCGCTCGTTGCATGATAGCATTCCTACTTGTTATAGTCCTCATCTTCTCTCTTTCCATCTACTACCGCCCATCCTCCCCTCCTTCGTCCCCGTAGCCCACACCTATATCCACCGTAACAATGGCCCACGACGCCCACCACCATGAAGAGAAACAACCCCTCTCCCTCTTCGCCTCCCCGCTCAACACCCACGGCCACGCCCTGCACCACAACCCACCAGCCTCCACAAACTCGTCTTCGGACCTCGAGTCCGCCCTAAACAAAGACCCGCACACCACCACCAACGTGCCCTTCGAAAACACCGACTGCGCGCTACACGACAGCCCCGCCTTCCACCGCCATGCCGAAGCCACCACCGCCGAGCTCTTCTACGACCTGTTTTTCGTCGCGAACCTGACTACTTTTACGTCCATGCTGGAGATCAACGACCACAACAGCTTGACGGCGTACATCGGCTTCTTCTCCCTGCTGTGGCTGACATGGTACCAAGTCAGCCTGTACGACGTGCGCTTCAGCGCTGACAGCGTGTTCGAGCGCGTGGCGAAGGCGATTCATTTCGGCGTCATGGTGGGGTTTGCAGTTATCGGGCCGCAGTGGAAGCCGGGGCAGGACATTGGCGATTATAAGATCTACAAGGCGTTCGGGTTGATCCTAATGGTGTCACGTATTACGCTGTTTCTGCAGTACGGCGTGACGCTGTTCTACACGAAGAAGTACACGAAGACCATCGTGCCGCTTCTCCTGGTCATGGGGTCCACGCTCGTGGCTGCGATACTGTACGGCGCGCTCACCCCGGCCTTTCCCAGCGATAAGACGGTCCTGGATGCGTTTGGGGATGAGATCACGGTTCAGCAGAAGAGCAACGTGTACATTGCCTGGTACATCATTGCGATTTGTGAGACCATCTTGACGGTCAGCGTCTCTTGCATCTGGCGCGTTATCAGCTTCAAGGGCACGCACATGGTGCAGCGCATGTCGCTGCTGACGCTCATCATCCTCGGCGAGGGCATCATCGTCATCTGCAAATCAATCAGCAAGATCGTCAAGAACGAGTTCCTGTGGACTGCCGCCGTGGTTGGACAAATCATCGCCGCAGTCCTCATCATTTACTTCCTGTACATGCTGTACTTCGACCGCATGCAGGAGGAGCATTTTGGCAGTATCAAGCAGCAAGTCTGGAGTTTCTGCCACTTCCCGCTGCATGTGGTATTGGTCCTGGTGCTACAGGGCGTCAGCCTGCTGATTATCTGGACGCAAGCCATGGACGCTCTGAATGTGTTGTATGTCAACTTCGACTCCACGTCCTTGCAGAACTACACCACGGGCGCCGACTTCGCCGCCGCGATGAACGAGACCGCGTACGCCAACGTGTTTGACTGGGTCCCCAAGGGCGTGGACGCGAGCAAGGAGATTAGCCAGGCCAACACCGCAGTGATCCAGCTCGCCGACGCGTACGATTTCTTGATGGTGGACGAGACAAATGTGACAGCGACGAATGAACTGTACGATGGGCTCAACGAATTGTTTGCCGCGGCGACGAAGACGCTGTTTGATAGCTTGAGTGTGACGACGCCGAAGAAGAAGAAGGCGGATGACGGGAAGACGAAGTCGATCGATTTCGCAACTCTGTTCTTTGAGTACGTCTCGGTCTTCGAATTGGTCTTTATGTACGTATTTATTGCGGTAAGTTCAGCCCTGCTCTTTCTTACTTTTCCTACCTGCTGACAATGACAGGGGGGACTCTCCCTCATAATCACCACGATCCTCGGATTTCTGTCCCTGCCAGCTTCTCAACGCCGCGTATCGCAATATGTCCGCCTCGGCGTGAACCTCGTCTTTGGAGTTGGCCTCTGCCTCATCTCCACGCTCAAGTACAACTGGGATCTCAAGGCGAACTACCTGAGCTCGCCCTGGATGATCCCAACGCTGTGCATCGTATACTTTGTCTGCGTCGTCGTCAATCACATTAGCTTGCCGAAGCGGAAGATGCACTGAGCGGAGATCGGAGGTACAGCTGCTAGGCATGGCGCGATGCTGGCACTAACGGCTCAAAAAGGTCATCGGGGGATGTGTTATCCGCCACTTCTGCAATGGCGGGATTTGAATGGGCTGCGAATGGAGCACCGCGACCCCTTGGACCAGAACGGCGTCTTTTGGCGGAGGCTTTCGATATGTGATATTGTGTAAGCGGACCGAGAAGCTACGCATTTGCGGGAGAGCTGGGTTGCGAAATTTAGACTGTTTTGATCGATTTCCTAGTAATACCAAGCCGGCACATCGGTGTTATCTGCCCGTCCTGATGTCTTCCTCATTCAGCTCCATCTGTATCCTCATCGCCTCCTGCTCCCAGAACTCGGCAACCTGTTCGGCTCCACGCCGACCTCCAAACCGGACGTCGGCTTGAGCCACATCCCCTTCAGCCATATCCATCAAGCGCTGGTAACAACCCTTATTCCTCTTATTGTTGAAGTGCTGGTAAGGTTGATCGGGGTTGAGCCATGCACTACAAAGGTAGCAGAAATGCGTCTTGCACTGGAAGCACGTCATGTGGTTGCAACCGTACGATTTCTGACAAGGTACTTCGCAGGTGGGACAGGGCGAGGTGTTCCGCATGATAAAGTTGAGAGAGGCCTGGTCGTCTTCTGTCAACTGGGATGAGTCGCGTGGTTCGCATCGGACGAAGTCGCCGTGCCACGACGCCAAACAAACTGTGCAGAAGGCGAGGTTGCAGTCTTCGCAGACGGCTAGGCGATCCATGCCTGTGGTTCCAACTCTTCGCTTCTCGGGTCCAGCAGTGGCTTCTTTTCGCTCCTCGGGTGCCACAGGGTCTTCCGCTTCGGATTCTGACTCGCCCATTTCGCGCACGTCGGTTATCTTGGGATATTTCTTCGTCCGCATGGCTCCCTGGCACCAGGAGCGGGGGCAAAAGATTATTGTAGGGTCCGCCTCAATCTTCTTCTTCCGCTTTATCTTTGCGTAGCGCTGAACCGTCTCCAAAGCCAATGGTATCTGTAATAGCTCCTTAGGCGATAGTCGGTCTTTCTTCCGATTGGCCTTTTTCGTTCCGCACTCTGTCGACATACACTTGACGTTGTCGACATCGCCTTCTTGTATGCAGTTGGCGTAGTAGTCCTGAAGACAGGCCACGCAGAAGACGTGGTTGCAGCGCTCCATGCGGTAGCATGCAGATCCTTTCTTTGGCTCGAGGCACACGCCACAATCGAAAGTCTCCTTGTCAAATAGTTCGCGTTTCATTTGCTTGCTGTATGCCAGAAGATCTGCTTTCATCCCAGACGCGAGCGTGAGCTCCGATAGTCCAAAGGCCGTCTCTGCCGCCTCTTGTAGGTAGCTGACGTATGCGTAGAGTACGGGCCCGCCTCCATATTCGGCCCACAAGGAACGCGCCTCCTTCGAGAGTGCCTCTAGTGTAGCTGTGGGTAGCCATGAGCGAGTTGTTGACAGCTTGACAGCCGGCGGGGCTGCGGCGGGGTACTCTGCGGGCAGGGTGATCTCGACATGTAGAGGAGGCAGATATGCGAGACGTCGTACGTCCCTGTCGGGCTCGAAGATCACGGGCAGCGTGCTGATCGGAGCAACGAGAAGGTCGATATGTGCGGTGAACGGGTCGCTAGCATGGAGCGTGAGCTCCGGATAGATCGACTGGAGGGTGCTGAGCTCTTCGGCGCGCTCGTCCCCGAGATCGATATCTGCCATGGGGACAGACGTGTCTAGAGCGGCGATGGAGGAGTGTGAGCTGTTGCTGTATTTCTAGAAGGAATTAACTGAGAGGGGCGAATCGATCAATCATGTGCGGAGGTTGTGGAGTTAAAACTGGGTGAAAGTATCGGCAGTAGATAGGGAGGGTTAGTGCCTCAGGAACCCCAGAGAGACTTTTTCCAGGCCCATTCTGAGTCACAGCCGTATCTGAATCACATAGCTGCGAAGGTAGCGGCATACAGTGAGGCTAGACTGCAGTCGGTGAAGTCGGAGGATTACGCCACATCGCGGATGATGCGCGATGATGACATAATCAGCACCGCCGAGCGCGATTCGCCGAAAATCACCGTCATCGGCGTGTCCACACTCACTCACCCTTCAGCGCCATGGAGGAATATCCTCCGCTTGCGTCGCTCTCCTTGACGCATGTGCATTATGTAGGACCTCTTCCCCCGCCTTCGACGTAGAGGCTGACTCCTGGAGAACCCGGAAGACCGCATTTCGTACCTATGCGCCTGGCTCGCCCTGGTCCCGCAAGGGCTATGCGTCGTCTACGCGACCCTGATATGGTCGAACCGCGAGATCGAGATCATGCTCATGTTTGCGGGCCAGCTGGCGTGCGAAGCCCTTAATTGGTGCTTGAAGCGGTTCATCAAGGAGGAACGGCCGCGAGGTGAATACGAAGAGGCGTGTTGGGGGAACTGCACACTGACAGGTACCAGAAATGCATGGAAAGGGCTACGGAATGCCATCGTCACACGCCCAATTCGTCACCTTCTTCTCGCTCACGCTGACCTTTTTCCTCCTATTCCGGCACAGCCCGCATCCCACCGAGACGCACACGCCCTTTACCTTCTTCCAACGCCTCGTGCTGTCCGTCCTAGCCCTCGCCGGGGCCGCTGCAGTAGCATCTAGTCGAGTCTATCTCAACTATCATACCCCGAAGCAAGTGTTGGTCGGATGCTCCGCAGGCGCCATATTCGCCGTTGTCTGGTTCCTCGTCACTACGTATCTGAGAAGAGCTGGTTGGATTGAGTGGGCACTAGAAACGCAGCTGTCGCGATTGTTTCGAGTGCGGGATTTGGTGATACAAGAGGATCTGGTCGACTCCGGATGGGCACGGTGGGAGGAGAGGCGGAAGAGACGCGCTTTTCAAGTCCAGGGCAAGAAGAGCAGCTGAGTGGAGCACTCCAACAAGAAGGTTGCCGCGGGCATTCTACTCGGAGCTTGTAGAGAAATAAAATATTATCTATCCAGCATCGGACGCGTTCAAGAGGTAACACTCCAGCAAGGGTACATTGCGACATCGAGATATCACGATGCCCCTGAGAGAGCCTGCCGTCAATAAAAAGGAATTCAATGGAATCTGGTTCAATGGAATCTGGCGTCGCTAGGCGGACACGACTTCGTCTACGGCATGACTACGGATAATCCCGACGAAACCGCTTTTTTCTTGCTTAGAGGACGAGTGCGCACTAATGACAGACGTCGAAGCACCTGAAGGTCGTGAGTCTAGCTAAGACGAAGAATCAGTACGAGAACATGGAACGCATGGGGATTGGAACAGTAGAGCTTGACCGCGTTATATAGTCGTAGGTATGTGTAATTCCTTAAGCACGACTTTCTGCTGATGAAGCGACAGTTTAATGTCTGCTTGGTGGCCTTCAATGACGTTTCCCGAAGCCGATTCAGCGGCTATCCTGTTGTGAAGGTCATCAGGTAAGGTCTTCCACTCCCGCACAATCAAGTGCAATTCCAATTGCACTTCATATCCCCAGGCAAAAGTCCGTAGATTGCAGTACTAATGAGAATCGAGGCCAGGTTAGGCTGACCCCGAGCATAAACAAATTACCACCCATGCAGCCGGTAGCGCAAATAAGACAGAGTCCACCCATAGAATAGATAACACCAAAACCATTAGCCAACTCAAACCCTACGGCCGAGTTAAGCGTCCGGATCTCTTTTAGCTAGTAACTCTCGTGCTCCACAATCGGTAGCTGTGGGCGGCGAGGGCGATCCGGAAAGCAGAATGCAACAGCATACGCCGCGAATGAGGCGCAGGGCGGAATAGCGGTGACTATTCCACCCTTTATCGAGGACTTCTGCACTAATGCGACGACGCATAGGCATATGCCGGCAAAGCCCGTGACCATGAGCATGTATCTGGCACGTATTAATACTCCGGATTCGTGAAGGACTGATTCGACCCACACTTTATGGTACGTCACCCTCAGGCATTGCAGCGACAGATATGTGAGAGTAACGATCGACCATGCACCGAAGATCCTGAAGCCTTTCAGTCAGTTATCGCATCGTTGATTATAACCATTCCGACTTACATCCACGAGAGTCCCGGCTTGATCGCTGCATCGTTACGCATGATGAACCATAGCACACTCGTTATCCCCATCAATGGCCCCAGCAGACTCCTGGCCGCTCCTGTCAGGTAACCTACGCAAAGGAAGAGGATTCCGGTGCAAGTCCCAGCTGCAACTGTTGGAATGTGATTTGGATCGACCACGTTGGCTGCAGCGGCGCCTGCGGCCGCCGCGGCAGCGGTGACAGCGGATGCCCCCACAGGAACGAGTTCGTGATCCATTGCAGCTGCGGGCATTATCATGCTTACCGCGGCCAAGATCGCGAAGCATCTTGTCATCTTCCCAATCCGGATCCCGGAGGACTTTACCACACGATCGAAGGGCCATGGCAACCAGGTCTCACTAGAATTTCCGATCTCGGATGCGTCGCGACTGTGTCTTCTGATCTCTCCACTGTTCCTTTCGCGAATGGAAGCGAGGACGTCTCGGTAGAAATTCGATCCCCTTTCCTCCCGTTTCAGGTCTGCAATGGCCGATGCGGCTTCGTCCAGGGCTGAAAACCCGTCGCAGCATGAGCAATCGTATATGTCGTCATCAACAGGTGTAGTCAGAGCGGCAGACGCCCATATCTTGGGCGTCTCAAGGCTGATCGGTTGGGAGTTCTCAAGCGTCGGGAGGTTATCATGCCCGAGTGTGGCCATTCGCTTCAGTGATGAGGGTCCCGGTTTCTCATACCAGACGTCGGTGCTCCCATTCTGGATAATCCACTTGAACTCCTCAAAATCCGCGGTGTGGGTGTGGTGAAGCGTAGTGTAGATATTACGTCTAAAAGGCGCGATTCTGACCACCCGTGCAGGGTTTAGGAATGACTCGCCTGCCAGGAAATCCTCGCAGTCCAAGGCTGGTGGTGGCTAAGAGCATGGGTTAGCATGGCTATGGAGTAGCGTACCTGATAGATACTTACAGTGTAAGAGCATGGTGGCGGAGGAGGAGGAGGCGGCGGTGGAAGGGGGGGGACTGCTGATGGTGGGGGAGGAGGTGGAGGCAGAAATACTGCTGGAGGGGGTGGAGGTGGAGGCGGAGGCTAATGCTACTGTCAGTCATGAAAGCGGACAAGACAGTACTTACTGGCGGAGGCGGAGGCGGGGGTGCTGCTGCCGAAGCGCTCTGCACAGATTGGTGCTGATACTGCTCCAAAGACGGAGGGCCCTCTACGAGCACTATATCCTCCGACTCGAAGCAAAGGTCGCGCGAGGGGATTGAAGGTGTACGATTGCGCCCTGGAGGGCCAGCTTCATTAGAAGGTCAGTGTGCGACCTTCCGCTCCTAGTCCCTCTTACTAACCCATACGTGGACTTGATTGCATCCTTGACGAGCCAGATTGGATTCAATGGTATGTGCGAGCGCAGAAGGGATGAAAGGTGGGAGAGGGAGGAGGACCTGAAATATCACACTCCTCTGCGAAACAGAGCAGTATGAGAATTTGCCCGATATGGAGAGCAAAGCTCAGCAGGTTGGGGTTTATTATTCGGGCGTCCGCAGCGGCGTCTGCTCCCGTGTTCGCCAAGTAGGTACTGCAAGAGCAGCGCAATGCCAGCGAATACGCCCGCACCGGTCAGAGCAAGGAAGGCTGAAGAAAGTGAGGCGGACTTTGGGCACATATTCGCTCCAACTGCAGCTCTGATTCACCAGATCGACGCGAAGGACGAGCAACGCTGACGTAGCTGCAGGCCAAGACACTTGTTCGGGGCGGAAGGCACAAGGCTGAAGACGCATGCGTTGTCTCCCATTCTTTGCGGTGGAGCATGCTGCAGAAAAAGCCCGCAACGCAGCACTTGTCGAAGGACCTTAGGAGCGATCTTGTCGCTCTTCTACGTTCATCTTTTTATCCCTCGAGTTTAACTACTGCTACGATTTCTCGCTCGCGTCTATCAATCTTGGAACTCGCTGTCGAAGTCTATGAAGTTTCCCGATGTCTTCTTCATACTGGTACTGCTGTTACTGCCATGGAGGTCCATACAATACACAGATCTTCTCACATTGCGACGGGTGCGGACACAAGAAGTGCAACTATTGTTCGGTCGAGCGTGACCCCGAGCTACGTGCTGCGTAAGTAAGGATGCTGCGTTTGGTGAGCCTTCGCTAATTCTGCGTTTATAGCAGCGAATTTCCAGACATCGATCCGGAGGATCCCTATGAAGCAAAAGTCCTCGGCGAGAAAACACGGCAAGATTATAGACTCGCTCGCAATATACCCACACCCTTCGCCGACCCGAACACTACACTCCCGCCTTACCGTCCATCTATACAGGCAGCATGGGACTCTTTTAATGTCATTGCGGGTGTGGGAGCGGCGTTCGAAGCGGGAAGCTATCCTGGGACATTCAGTTCCTCGTATTGCTCACAAAGGAACCGCCATCCCATGAGCGAGGGCGCCGTGGATTCCTTCCAAGGGAGCAAACAGAGTAGCTGCTCAACCTCTCGAGTGGCTTCACCTGTTGTCTTCACCGCTGCAACGGTCGCACTCTACCACGCGCATAAGGAGGACCAATATCAGGACCGAGTCTTGCTTGGTGGGATCACGTTGGGTACTATCATTGGGATGGGCATTGGCAGGGACTTATACGACACGATCATGAAGATCATGCCGTGGACAATTCTGCTCTCTCTTCTATGCAGCATCTGTTTGCACAAGCTGCTAAATAAGAAGCATAGGGGACGATGGCGCTCGCTCGGTTCCGGCTCCGACAACTCTGAGGGCAGCCAATGCAAGAATTCCGGGAGGAGAGTCTGAGGACAGAGATTTCTGCGAAAATTTCCTTTGTATCTTCCAATATCCCACCTTAGTTGCTGGCGTCTAAGCCAGGGGAGCTTCGAACAACAGCTTCAGCTGCAAGCATCCCAGTGCGAATGCTGCCTCGCATCGCTTGCACGTCCTTTCTCCGTCGTCTACTTATCGTTACCTTTATTGCCCTGAAATCTTCGTTCGAATGAGAATAGTCTCCAGTCACCAATATCAATTCGAACCGCGTCGGTATTTATCGACGTCGGTTAGCTCTTGACCGTGTGTCCGATCTTTACACATTGGCCCTGCAGCGTTATGAAATCTCTGAAATTCTTCATCGAGCGTCACTAAAACGGTGTGGAATATCCGGCAGCGTTAAAGGGAACATTTTCCGATTTCACGTAATGCTGAGCTACCTAGGTAAGCTCATGGCGTCCAGGTGGTTCCTCTTCCCGCGGATACGCGGAATAGAATGAGGTGTTTTAGGGCGGCCGCGGCATTTGTGATTAAAATAGTAGCTAACTGCTTTTGAAGGCGACGTTACTTTCTGCTGTGGCAGCCGTGTTCGTGGATATGGCCATGAAGCACTTCACGTAGTGCTTTACCGTGTACGAACACACACGAAGACTAATCCGTTGGCATTGCTCAATATGCACCTGCGAAGGAAGTAGGGAATTGGGCGCTGAGAATTAGGCTCGAGAACTGCTGGAATTTGGCGCTTGTCATTCCGATTTCTTTTCGTATTCGCCAGTACCCTAAGCAGACCATGATATCCAAGACTACACGGGCAATGCTACCGCTCAGAGTCTTCTGCCCCTAAGGACTAACTGCAAAGGTAAATGGTGCTAATACCCAATATCCTTCCCGGAGGACGCAGCATGGTTACCTACGTACTCCAAAGTGCCCTCAATCAAAAGTGTGTACAGTAGTACAGGACTACTCCTCACGGAGCGTCCAAAACCATAACCCAGGGTATCACTATGCCAGCCTAAATGCCCAAAACGCCATGAAAGATGACATACTCTTACACGTCGGTCCCCTTCGCCTCAGACTCTGCGAGTGGGATTATGACAGTCTCCGCATACTCCAGACCACCTTTCACAATTGCGACATTGTCGTTGCATGCAAACAGTATATTTCGCCGCGAGAGAGCACAGTGAATACCCCGTGTTCCTGAAAACCAATCATATGGCACGAAAAAGTGCCGCGAATACTGAATGCGCTTCCCGTCCACGTCATCTAGCCCAACGGAGCATACCCATGAATGCTTGTCAAGAAAGATAAGCTTGCGAGCGTCGGAAATACCGATGACGTGGGACACGCGCCCGGAAAATATCCGCAGCTGTTCCTTTCTTAGAGGAGTAGATGCCTCCCGGGTGGATTGCTTCGTCGTGACTGAGATTGCGGTATCCTTGCGTTCATCATTCCCGAAGGGAGATACGGGTTCTCCGGAGCCCGATTCGACGCGCAGAAGCTCTAAGTCTAACAGGCCTAGGCTGCGGGTATCAGCACCTCCATGTAACTCTGACAGCTCGATAAGGATAGAAGGTCTGCGATTCACCATACATGATACGACGCTCTTCAGTTGAAGATGTCTCATGTCGATCGTCGTGGATATGGTTCTGACCTGTGACCAGTCATCCCAAGTGTGGATACGAACAGCCGCACCATCCATACAAATGACATGTTGGGCCGACTGGGGGTGTTGTAACCATTTGCAAAGCCCCGGACTATCACGTGGGATACGAAGCTGTTCCTGCTTCCCCACCATTCTCCACAGATGATCCGATTCTCGGGTCGATAGTATGAACTTGCTGGCGGCTGAATTAGGAAGCAGCTGAGTGATCGTGTATCCGCAATCGAGACGAGCCTGGAATATTTGTTGATCGGTGATCAGCGTCTTTTCCTTTGAGTCCTCTACGCTCCACGCTAGTATCGAGTTCGACGTATCGACACTCATGATGATTTTTCCGCCTGGCACCCATGTCAGAATGTGGACTCGGGACTTGTGATGGTACAGTGTGTTCGTTTGGGTTCCAGTCTGCAGCTCGTATACGCAGACAGAGCCGTCGTCTTTGCCGCAAGCGACATACGTCTCTTTATTAGAAAGGAGGATGGCACTGATTTTTACTCTTGCCTCGGATGCGATTACTTCGACGAAGGGCGATGTAGATTCCGTGCTGTCTTCAGAGATAGACGCCCGATGTAAGGCTGCTGGCTCCCAGACGTTGCATTGCGAGCCCCGAATGTCGACAAGATGAAGACTATCTCTACTGAAGTCAAGTTGTTTGATGTAGAGGTTGGATGGCTTGACTCTGTACAGCAGCTTCAAGGATTCGAAACCGTAGATGTCAATGACACCGTATCCGGCTGCTCCCGCGAGCAGACGTCCATCAGGGCTGGCCGCGATTTCGGGCAATTGGCTCGAATAGCTTCAAGACTAACGTCACCGAAAGGGTCGAATAGCGCGAGTTCGCTATCGAGGTATGAGGCTGCCAGTAATTCAAATGCCGGGTTAGGATTGAACACTAGTGCGGTGACGAGATGTTTGCTGGTTTCACCGCTTGCAAGCTTTTTCCCGCAGCTGCCATAGTAAGAATCCTCTTCTAAGTCCCATAATATGATAGGCCGTCCGGGATACGCGGCTGCGAGCATATTTTGTCCGATGGAGATCGATATGGCAGACGGCGGTCGCCGCAGTGGGCCTTCTGCGCACTCATCACCAGGATCCCACGGTTTGTCTGGTAGCCGAGTCCCGTTCTCGTGGAGATTCCATGATGCAAGGTAGTTTTTGTCACAGGCAGGAACAAGCAGACCTTCGTTGTAGGTGAGACCAATGCATTGCTTAGATGCCTCAAACGTGTGTACCTCTTCGCCGGTAGAGATGTTCCAGATTCTGATCGTCCTTGTACCGCAGGATGCCATTAATCCGGACTTGTTAATAAAGTGTTTCAAATTCACAGTCTCTCCATGGTATAGGATCTTATACCCTTGGCCTGCTACTGCATAGTAGAGCGAGACCGTGCCGCTCGACAACCCCACTACGAAAAATCTGTCCCCATGGCAGACGCAACTTGTCTGGGAATGGAATTCGATGCAGGACATTCGGTCCCCCTATTCGCTATTCAGAAGTCCGACGACTGAGAGCCCGCGACTAGACGTTCAGGCCTTATGGATAGCGGAATTTAATGGATAGAATGGTGGCACAAGTGAGAAGATTGCCGAAGGGGAGGTTATGAGAGCATCAGCGAATTTGGCTGAAATCCGAATGAGGTCTGCCATCCATATTTGGGCATTATGCACCTCCTTCCTGAGAGCACAAGCTTCGAGGTATGCCTTCAGCTCTTTAGACGTCTGAATGAGAGGGTTCCACCCAGGCATATTTACAGTTCCCATTGCCTTTACTGTGGTAGTGACTGCGCTGAACCCACAACGCTGGAGTGTCTGACAATCTGCTCTTGGTACCTTTGTATCAGCCATACCTTGCTACCAAGTCCCTTATATCGCTTAACATCCTAAATGGCTTGTGAGTTCACGTAGCGAATGGGTGGAGAGTCAGCGAACACGTACTGCTCGCGGAGGGTTGGGTTGTCGTGGAACAAGGCTGAGACATGCGTATTGAATCGCCTGCTTAGGCATCAGTCGGAGATGGGATGCATGGTCCTAGTAGGGAGCATACAACTTGTAAAGATCCACGCGGCCATCATAGTCTTCTTTGGGTGGCGATACTTGGGCATAAGTGTGATATGCCGCGACGTATTTCGCGCCAAACTTGTTGCAAACAGGTCGCCACTGGCCAAACTCATCTACACGGTCTATAAGCTGAGAAATAGCCAAAGGGATAAGAGTTCTTACATTCGTTATGAGCATAAAAGCAGCAGGCATCGAAGATCAGAGGCTCTCCATTGTCGCTGTCTATTCCAGAGTTGGCGAACCAAAGATCGCCATGCACGAGAGAAGGCTTGACGGAACGCCCTTGACTCTCGAGCGGCCGAAGCAAGCGAGGTATGACCTTTTCGAACAGAACCGGGACAAGAGCATCAAACTCAGGGTCGTGGCCTTTGGCTTTGATCTCTAGATCCAGGGCCTGCTTCATGCTTTTCGCAAAGAAAGCTTCCCAGCTATCTTCCCAACCCGTGTATTGTGGCAGATTGCCAGCATGCGTTGTCATGTGGAAGCCGAACTTGCCGGTTGGGGATTTGCTGTTTTGGTGTAGGGCTGACAGACGAGCGGCGAATTTGTCTGGATCCGGCATATCAAGGATCTCTCGATACTCGCTCAGAAAGAAATGCGTGTCTGGAGCGCTCTCGTAAGTGCCCCATGCAATCGGTTTCGGGGCGAAGTCGGGCGTAATGCCATGAATTGCACTCATCGACTCAAATTCGCCGTGGACCATGTTCTTTCCAGTGTCGCCGGAAATCACCTTGATGAAGTAGGAGTGAGCAGACCCGTCGGCCAGCTCGACATCAATGCGACCTGTGCTCGCCCAGAAACTGTCGCCATGTCCTTCGGTCGACACGACTTTGCAGCCTTGTGGTAGGACTGTAACTCGGTCAGCATAGGGAACCCGGCAAGAGGGTGAGGCTCGCGACACTTTTGGCAAGACTTGGATCAATTTTAGTATTTCCTCGGCCAAATTCCAGGCCTGGAGCACCTGTGTAGTTCATGAGCTGAGTCGCGTCGCGGCCTTAGTGCTGGGCTCGTCGTGGGGACCGGGTCTCTTTAAGAAGCGGGTTCCAAGGTTAGCGCCGGCGGCAAAAGGACGCTACGACAAAAGCGGATTTAGCCAACCCATCCTCCCAGCCTTCTACGATCATCAGTTACTCATGACCCCAACGTCCATGGTGTTTCGGGCTCCCTCTTCCTACGCACGAACTCAAATATATCGCCAGGATCTCAACCCCATCGGCCTATCGTTCGCGCATATTCTCCCTATTCTCCCCATTCTACCAATTTGACCACCCTTTCGATGGCATCGGAACCAGCTCACCCGAGTATCGCGCCCGGCGACCATAAAGCCGTTATGGAGTATGCTGCCGAAAAAGCCCGCCTTTCCCCTCCAGGCCCAGACAAGTTTTGCGTCGGTGCTGTTCTAGCTAATAGAGACACTGGGGAGATCCTTTCTACGGGATACTCGATCGAACTGCCTGGCTACATGGAAGGAGACTCGGGGAGCACACACGCGGAGCAGTGCTGTTTCATCAAAGTGGCACAGAAGCACGGTCTTCCGGCAGTACGTGCTGAAGAGCACATCGGCGATGTCCTCCCAAAGAACACGGTGCTGTACACGACCATGGAGCCGTGCAATGCGAGATTAAGCGGCAATAGGACGTGTTGTGATCGGATTGTGGCACTGAAAGACAAGCTGAAGACGGTTTACGTGGGAATTCGGGAGCCGAACACGTTCATTGTTGATAACGATGGGAAAAAGAGACTGGAAGGCGAAGGGATTCGCTTCGAAATGGTTGAGGGCGCCCGGAACCTCTGTTATGAAGTTGCCATGACTGGTCATGAGAAGAAGAGCGAGTAGGTCTAGAGGCCCGGCCTCTTGTGTTTCGAGCAGCAGAGCTAAAGTCACACGTTTCCACGAGGTCACTCTGTCGGTCAATCTTAGAAGCCAATCTGCTCCAGTAAATTCTCGCGTCGCTGTGACAAACTGCACCGCAGAAGCCGGTAGAGAGGGTTTACCCTCTTACCCTAGGGGTAAAATAGGGGTAAAACAGTTGGTTTTCTCCGCCAACACAAGTCCTCCACCCTGCTAGCATTTGCCCCCGCCTACATGGAGCACACTCTTCACTCTAGCAACCATTAGTAGCTGGAAGAAGCATAGAGCTGCTGGAGCGGCCCATATTTTACCCCCGACATGGGTTTCCCGAAGCTGGCCGCTCGATCATGCGAATCGAACATTCTGCAGCCGAATATATGGTCTCGAGGGCGTCACCGAAGCTAGTTTGGCCTAACACTACCGGCTCTCTGATGTGCTAGACGATGATATCTCCGAAGGTCACGCATGGCAAGGAAGAGGAAACAATTTGGGAGGGCTCAGAACCTCGCGCTGTGGGCGCATACGGTCACGTGAGGGAAGAACCCGCGGGCTTATCGAATAGGGGGCTCCACCTACCCATGCACAAATTGACCAGCAATGACCAAATGGCACGCTAACTGATCAGCAATGAGTGTTCAACCATCGCCGAACTGTGCGAGCAGTACTCCGACCTTCCGATCGTCGTGATTAATCATCAGCGCACCGCACAACGATAGCAACGGCGCGGATTTCGGCTTTCGGATGGAAAAGCTGTTTAACATACCCTTCGGCAAACGTCCTCTCCATTTAGATGCAATAGAAGACGCCATCCGTAAGATTAACAAGGCCCATTACGTACACGGGCATCTGCACGGCAGCAACGTGATGTTAAAACAGCCAGTGAGAGATCATATTTATTGATTCCGATTGTGCGGGGAGAATCGGTACGGCGTTCCGACAGTGGCACCCCTCCCGCAGGTATAGGAAGTCGAAGTGAAAGTGGGAATCTTTCGAGGTAGACATTGATAGTGAGGCGTTGGCGAAGATCAAGCACAAGGGAAATGTAGCTGTGCCTAAGCTGTGCAATGAGGAGAAGGCACTTGTGCAGAGGCTGCAGACGAATGAGATCGAATGGCGTGGCACGTCGGCGAACGCGTAGCTCGCCTATCTCCTTTAGGCGCGTTTCCAACTCGAACTACACACGGCCCAAATCATCGATCTCCTGGTCATATCTCTTCTCAAGCTTGGCGAACGTCCTTTCATGCTTATATTCCCCGCTTATCGCCCTCCGGAAACGGTTTCACCTCGACATTAATCATGTCCCTTCCGCTTACACGTTACACCGATCCGACCTCGATGCCTTGCTTGTCCTGATATCGATCTGGGAAGAAGTATGCGACCGTATATGCGGCGAAGGATGTGCAAGGCGGAATGACCGTAACGAGGCCGCTTTGTAACGAGGAGTGCTGGAGTAGAGCAATGATACACATGCAGGTGCACGCCAAGCTGATGCTCAAGAAGATATATCTACTCCTCGTCAGCGTAGAACCGAAGCACGATCCGAGAGCTTACAAGCGATGGTTGTACACTCGATGGCGCTGCACGAGGAAATAGGTGAACGCCAGGAAGAACCATGCTCCGAAAATCCTAAAGTCGTCAGCTTTTCCGGTGTTTGAAAGAGTGAAACTAGTGAGTTCTCACTCACATCCACGACAACCTGGGGTCGATCGCCGGGTCATTCCGCATCATTAGCCATAACACGCTCGATATGCCCATCAGGGGGCCCAGCATATTACTTGTGAAGGTAACCGCTAGACCACCAATGAGGAAACAGAGCTGGAGGAATGGGCCAATAGGAGCTCGAGAATTTCCACCGTGGTGCACAGAAACGGACGCGAGCGCGTTGGCGTCATCGTCCAGGGCGTCGACTGGTGCAATGAGAGTCGAGCACAGGAGGGCCGCTAAAAGCCAGGGCATGGGGGCTCGTAAGGCTTGGCTAAATTTGGCGATGGAGGGTGGCTGCCATGTCGAACGAGGCAAAGTCACGTGTTTCGTTTGGTTGCCGTGCATGCTTGCAGGCCTCTTGCCGAAGAAAGCCATTGACTCGAGTGATTGAAACATTCAAGAGCTGTAAAGAAAGAGTCCGAAAGGGTGATTGATGGAGATGATGTTCAGTGAGCAATGGGATCCCAAAATGAACTGGAACATCGACCTCTTCGTTGCTCCTCTTCCAAGCAGCTGCCATCATGGCGGCGGAAGGTCGTGTTTAGTAGTGGAAAGGGACGGTTGAGGTGAGGCTCAAGTGTGGTTCGCAAAAAGGCGGACAGCAAGGCACGAGAAGGCAACCTGCCTGTGCCTGTGCGCAGCCCTTCTTGCAGATACCGGTGATAGGAACGCATAATGATTCGTCGGAGGCATCGATGCGGGCGCTAGAGCCCGGCTCAAAATCGACTCCCGTCCAACCACAGACGCAATAGAGGTGTCATCCTGCAGCAGAAACAGGTTTTCCCGCCTGAACTCTGCTGCGGCAGGCTGTGGTGCGACCTTTCAGAACAGAGATTCTCTGTTTCAGATGCCAAGTCCCCTCTTTTATAGAATAGAGATTCTCTGTTTCAGATGCCAAGTCACCTCTTTCACAGAACAGAGATTCTCTGTTTCGGACGCCAGAATCCTTCTTTCAGAGGTCATCACATCACACAACGTCTTCATCCCATGCGTCTCGCAGCCTACTACGGCTCCGAGTCTCAGGCGCATACGCCTCTCAAGCTCCTGCATTTTCCCATATTCCCAACATCACTCCAAGAGCATTCCTCGTTCAAAAAGCGTGTAATATTACGAATGTAAGTTGCCCAGCTTCGACTCGGTGCAAACCTATCGCTATCAAGAACCGTCCACAGCCCCTTCCCGACTATTGCTAGCTTTCCGTTGGAGTTCCCCTTCATCAATTCCAGCTCAATCCACTAAATTGTGGGGCCTGAGTCTACCGCAGCATGCTTCAGGATGCACGCACGCAAGTAGCTGCCACAATGGCAGTGGAAGATCATCATCCTCCCGGAGCTCAAGCGCATCGACGAGCTCAAAGCGGATACCTCCAGGGTTTCCGGAAGGCGCGCCTCGGAGAAGACGGGCCAGATGCCATGCAAAATCCCTTCGACTATTAGGCGCTCCCAATAAGTCAGCGAAAAGAAAATGTGCGACGTTCCCTGAGATTCCGGCGGCGGTGCGGAAGTGCGGGTGCGGAAGTGCGGGTGACCTTGGACGTGGCTCTGCAGGGGTCTGGTAACGCACGTCAGTCTAAGCGGACGCTGTAGGGAAGAAAGCGGGGCCAACGCGAACTCAGGACCCACAAGGCTGAAGACATTCGCTCGCAACTTACAATCGTTTCGGCCTTTGATTAGCCCCTCGGCTCGACTCTCTTCCTCGCGCATGATCCATCCGTCTATGTATCACCTTGCTATCGTCCAACTCCTGCATAGGAACACACGAATAAGCCTCCGCAGCCGAGCTCAGGTATGATAAATCTCCTGCGCTACTGTGTTGATGCAGACGTTACACCGTGGGTTATGACAGACTGCATAGCAATAGTTGATATTCTGGTGACCATCTGCCATGGATTCATGCAACAGGATACAGGCCTTGTTCCGCAAGTGAGGGGTTTAGGGTAGACGAAGAGAGGATGCCTTTTAATGTCTCCTTGCAGGAGTGAAGCGAATCACTCGAGTTGATAAAGTCCAGAAGCTTGAACAGGAAAAGGAGCGAGTTGGTTGGATTTGAACGCATTCAAACACTTCGCTCTAACTACCCTAAGCAAGAACACCAAAGTCCACCAATCACCCGACCATGCTAACCAAAATAGACACTACTGTTCCTGCACAGTCTCCGACCCACCGTCGTTTCTCCCTTCCTCAGACTGTAGTAATACCTCTAGCAACTTAGCTCTCCGCAACAGCGCCTTCTTCAGCGCCCGCCACGTCTTCGCCCTCAAACACAATCCCTGATCCGTATGCCACAAATCGATAATGGTGCTCAACTCTCTCATATCCTCAATCAGCTCCTCCATTCCCCGATCTCCTTGTTCCGCACCGCGGTCTCCGTCTCCCTCCCCATCCTCGTCAGCGCCGCCGAGCTCGGCGTCGTTATCGGTCTCGTCCTGGCCAGCTTCAAACTCCGCCCCGGTGGTCTCTGTTGCAGCCTCCTGTCTTTCCATGAAGGCCTTCAATTGCCTTCGGGCTTCCGCTCGGTTAGGATGCCATCGATTTATCCACCGCCCGAATGTCGAGACGTCTAGTGGTGGGTTGGGGCCAAGCATGGGCGGTGGCGACGGCGTGTCGGCCTGTCGGACTCGCTCGTCGAGCAAGCGCAGCGGATCCACGGGAGCTGTGTCTAGGTTTTCGAGGTCGGCTCGTTCGGGGTGCCCCTCGTGACGGAAATTGGGGGCGCTGCTGGCCGGGAATGTGTCGCTTGAAGGGAGAGGGACGTTTTCGAGTTGAGGGGACTGTTGGCGTGCTGATGCCTTGCTGGAGCTCCTTTCCAGGGATGAACCGCCTAGCGTAGGCTGAAGGTCTTCTGCTTGAGTGGATGGTTCAGATGCCATGGCGACTGTTAACCGCGCCGGTTCGTGTAGGGAGGCGAGGGGATGGGCTCTGCTATGATAGACGTGCAAGTGGCTTTTCGGTCAGAGCGAGTGCTATCGATTCGTATGATAACGACCTGTCTTGTACGATGGTGGAGCGAACTGAGAATATTGAAGCGATAGCAATAGCAGTGATGTTCTATCGTGGGTCAAGAGAAGGATTTGGGTTGGGTCGAGGGTTCGATGTCGTTCCTCCCATCAACACTCCATTAAGCAGGTGGGACCTCCTACGTCGGCGCCGCCCCATTTAGCGATGGCCACCTTCCGCTCCGTCACCCCGGGGCCATCAAGTTGGTAAGCTGATCCATTCTCTGCTGCAGCTTCTTCGTTAGCCATAGCCTTCCATTAACCTCTTTAACATCGTCCTTGCCTTCCCCAATAAGATCTCGAACACACCAAAATTCCAAGTACGATCCCTGTCGAATCTCTCTAGCACCTTCTCATCGAGTCACAAGCCAGCAAATATCGGATGCCTGTGCGCCCTGTTCTTCGTGATGTTCCCGCGGTTGCGGAAGTGGGTTGTGACGTGGGACTCCTCGAAGCTGTAGCAGTGAACTCCAAGACTGGAGTGCATGGTTACACCGATACGAGTTTGCGTTTTGATTGGAAAGGCGGAATAAGTCTCTTTGTCAATGGCCATGGAGTCAGCCCAGTCGAGCAAGAGGGGAAGCAACGAAGCATCGCGGTCGGGGGACGGTGGCGATGACCTCGCCGTATCGGCGTCGTGATTACCATCCACCTCTTCAACGCTAATTCGCGTGCCAATCAGGAAAGAAGCGACACTGGAATCAACGCCATCTCACTGTCATCTCTGTCATGCCCTTCGTCTGCCACGTGTTCGATGCGGGCTTCCGATCCCCTAGGGATGTAGCAATAGCGACGGCGCTTTGGCTTCGATCCAAGAGGGGCAGGCGGCTTTCTCATACCTTATCAGAACAGGTCCTGCTGGACCCCACATGCTCTTCTCCTTAGCCGACATCTACCGTCTCCAGTGCACTCGCTCATCTCGCCCCGGTCTTATGGATTGAAAGACTTTGACCAAGCAGTAATGGCCGAATGCCCGGAAGCAAGCGTATTATAGATATACATCTTACGTTCTCCGGGCGAAAAGGTGGGGAAGCCAGGCCATGACGAGCCATATAAACGGAAAGAACTTTACAACACGCCAGGGCGTTATTCGGGGCATCTCGACAGGCTGCTTAGGTTTGTAGTAGAGTTGAGCATACGGTGATGACTGGGAAAACTTCTGGCGCGCGAGAAAGGTAGCACGAATGCTTGAGTGTTCTGTCGCCATTGCTGATCTCGAAATAGATGGATGGAGCGCCAGGGCGGGGAGGTGGATTTCCAAAGTTACTTCAAAGCGGGCGCTAGTCCGAATCCAGACTAGAGCGCCATGGCTAAACTTGCCGCTGTGAACTCTACCTCCTCCCGAGGTTTACGATGCTCGATTGCAGCCTTGGTAGCTCAACTTCGTCAACACCGTGGCTATGAGTCACCCGCTGTAAAACCACAAACTGCCGCAATGGCTGGCGAGCCTGCTTGTGAAGCGCTAGCCGCAACTCTTGGTCACGACGGGGTTTCTGCTCATAGCTCCCTGGGACGGTCGAACGAATGCGGATGCAGCTTTTGTCTTGTTGTTTGCGCGATTGTGAGGTCCGGGAATCCTGGCCCGGAGGATGCAATAGAGCTGACGGCCCGGCCGTCCGGACTGCGGCTACTTTGGGGCGCCTTCACAGTTAGGGAGATCTTCGTAACACATCCCAAGCGTTTCCTGGCGCCCAAATATTGTACGTGAAAGTTCAGGGAGGGAGCGAGCTCGATGAAGCAGACTAACCATCACAATAGCCCAGGAGCTCGACTTGATTCCGTACTCTACGCCGTTACCAGAAACCACGGCATCGGAACAAAGTTTTCGAACAGCCGTCAAGTGGTTGGAGGATTGCCTAGCAATGCACAAAGGCCTCTGCGCTACCGACCCAGGAGAAAGTCCACTACCGGACCGAGTCCTCGACCTGGGGCCCACGGCTAGTGTGGATGTGCGGCTCCTTGACGTGGCCCAAGAAAGGAAAAACGGATCAACGAGCACCGGCGAACATAACCTTACGGGGAATTATGCGTGCTTGAGTCATTGCTGGGGACCCCCCGAGCATCAGCCGTTAAGGACTACGCGGGAACCTGATACATACTCTCGGTACCAAAACGGCATACTACTGACAGAGATGCCATCCACCTTCCGCGATGCCGTACTATTCACCCGTAAACTGGGCATACGCTACCTCTGGATCGACTCGCTCTGTATCATTCAGGACAACGCTCCAGACTGGCAAGAGCAGTCTTCAAAGATGGCGGATATATACCGCAACGCTCTGATAACACTCTCCGCGGCGTGGGCTGCCAACTCGCGCGACGGTCTCTTCTCATCCGCGAGTCCCGAACATATTGACTCTTGCCTCTCTTCCATCACAGGCCGAGCAGGGGATGATGAAATCCGCATCCGCACTCCCATATGGCACGATAAAGCAGAACACCATTTGATGAGCCGAGCTTGGGCGTTCCAAGAACGCATCCTGAGTCCGCGGATCCTACACTTTGGACGACATGAATTGATTTGGGAGTGCGGGAAAGACATTGCCTGTGAGTGCTCTGCTCTATCGAAATGGCTTGAACCCATGAGGTTTGTGACGTGGCCGACACTCAAGAGTAGTATAAGGTTCAATTTCATAGCCCAAAAGTCAGGCCCGCAGATAGGGAAGGTGTGGCGTGATGCTGTGTCAGACTACTCTACGATGAGCCTAACCTTTCCATCCGACATTCTCCCCGCTATTTCCGGCATTGCGAAAGAGATATCAAAGACCACAAACAGGAGATACTTGGCTGGACTGTGGATCGAAAGCCTGCCCGCGGATCTGTGCTGGGGAGTCTTGGTTACCCTAGACTCCCTAGCACGCCGACCCCCTAAATGGAGAGCCCCCACATTCTCATGGGCAAGCGTCATCTCGCAGTCAGGCGTAGACTATGGTTTGCTAGCTCAGTCCGGCCTCACTGCGGACTCATGGGATTCCGACATCACGCTCCTCGCTCGTCAACATTTCGAGCTCATCGAAGCAGGGGCAACCCTCGCTGGAGCCGACCCGACGGGGCAAGTAATTGATGGGTATCTCCTATTGCGCTGTACGCTGGTCGAAGCGAAGGTGCAAGTCAGTCCACTTCCATACCGCGGGTGGGAAGTTACTCTATCAGCTACCGACGATCGACAAGGGATATGGTACTTTCCCGACTATGACTACAATGTTGAAGGACGTCATCACGTCGAGAGCGGAGACGCGGTCTACTGTTTCAAGGTCCTGTCCTTGCCGGCCAACGCAGACATGGAAGAGGCGGGAGAAGCAATATATTTAGTGTTGAGAAGGACCAAAGACGACGAGACAAGCGAGAGAATGGCCGATACCGACGAAGTGGCCGTCAAAACGTACGAGAGGATTGGTTTGCTCCGCGACTGGGAAAATGGTGATCTTTTCTCCAAGGCTCAAACGGCGGGTACAACTATATTGGAAGATGTGGTGATCAAGATTGTTTGACGAAATCGTTCTGGAAATCCAAGGGATCGAAAAACAGTCTCATACTACCTTTACGGCCGTCCTTTTCTTGTTATCCAGGTGCCACCTGTAGAGCTGTGGAAGCGGAATAACTCCACATTAAGCGCACTTTGGAAGAGTTTAACACAATGCTTGAGGAGGGAGGGGGTGGGAGGGGTCTATATGGATAGATGGATTAGATGGATTAGTCGACTGTTCGAGATCGATCGATCGGGGGAGGTTATAGAGAAGGAAGTTAGGTTAGTTGCACACGGTGCAGTTTCGCATCGCAACAACGGACGTCTACTGTTTCTTTCTCTCTCTGGACTCAGGAGCCGCAATGGCCCGCTTTAGCTTCGAGTCATTGCATTGGATGGGTGGGTATTATTCCGCTACAACCCGCACTGCTATACCGTTTCCCCATAAGCGAGCCCACCGACGGCGCCCAATTACATCTTCCCTTCCCATCCCTACCAGTGATCTCAAGCCCCGAAATCCATCCTCAGCGCAATAGTAGGTTCGCCAATCTCCTCCCTCTCTACTCTCTTCGCCTGGCCCGCACCGCCACTCTTCAGCACCGATTCCATGAAACTCTTTTGCTCGGGCGACAAGCCTCCAACGACGCTCCTAAACGCGGCTTGATCTGCGCCGGCAAGGTCCAGCAAGCGGGTGGCAGTTTCAGCGCTCGCTTTCGGGTCCTTCTGCACTCGAGCTAAGAGGGCTGGGACGACGAGCTTCGCTGCGATTTGGCGCTGCTGCGGGTTCGGAAGAGTCGCTATGAACGTGACGAGCGTGTGTGCGAGCATAGAGCGGGACTCGTCTAGGCCTTCGACATCGGACGGGTTGGCGAGGAAGGTTAGTACTTGCGGGAGGATTTGGGCTGCGATTGCCGTTTCCACGGCGCCTTTCTTTGGAAGTAGGAGTAAGCTGCGACAGCATCCTGCGGCAACCTTGCTTGTTGTTCGGGTCTCTAGGCAGTCGAACAGTTCTTCGACGAAACGCTTGACAAGCGGATCGTTAGCCTCGAAGGCAGCGGCAGCGGAGCTGAGCAGAATAGTAGTCGTGAGGATAGTGTTCTTCTCACAGGCGAGCGCGGCGTCGAACTCGCGCTGTTGGGCGTGCTTTAGGATCTGGAGGAACCGCGTAAGTGTAGCGCGAAGCTGCGTGCTTGTTTCGGAGCCCGGCTCAACGTGGGTCGTGAGGCTGCTGACGAACCGCTTGAAAATGGGAAGGGACTGCGGGATGACTGTGGCTTGGCAGGAGCCGGTGCCCAGGATCGTGGCGAAGATATGCAGAATGCACGCATGCAAGTCTGTCCTAATGATTGAAGGGAAGACTTGAGCGGCGTCGACCAACGCTGAGAGGGCGGTTGTAAGCAATGAGACTGCTTCTTCGTTGAGCTCGTGGCGCACTGTAGGACCATGTCAGCTGGGCTATGATGGGCGGACTGTGAGCTACGCACCTCCGCTCTTACCGTCGTCCAGACTAGGCACCATTCCGGTTAAGACCAGGACCATAATCCTTGTTAGTTCGAAGAGCTGGTCTATGTCATCTGAGAGATGCTCATCTCCGGGAGTGGCGCTATGGTAAGTCAGTATCCCTCTCGTTCCGCGATATGGCTTGTAACCCTTACCCTTGATCCCTCTTTGCGGACGGATGGCCTAGGCAGAGGTTCCTCGCTATCTCCACGATGACCGTCTGCACTTGCAAGCCTTCCGTTAGGACCAGCCGGTCCAGCATGTCCATAGTCTCCCCGAACACCACCTCTTGATAGATCGCGTGTCCGGATACCGATGGTCGCAAGATCTTCTTCAAGGCTTGAAGGATCTCTAGGATCTGTTCCCTGGAGGCTTGCAGGTCGCCCGGGCGTCCCGCTAATGCCTCAAATGCTAGGCCGAACAGCACGAAGAAGAATGCCACGGGCTCATCCCGATAGTTGATGTGATCAGCCTTTCCATTAGGTGGCGACGATTCGGATAACTCAGTCTTGCCATCTAGGGCATCAAAGACGAATTCACTGTCGTCGTCTATTAGGCTTGCAATGGCGTCTACCAGGTTAAGCCACGATTGCTGGTAGAACTATAAACTGTCAGTGCTGTATTGCATCCGGAGGAGAACATTCCTACCTTCAGCAATGTCTCTCGGCTCAAAGCAGCGTAGATCGTATCCAGACTGCCAGACATGGAGGCCGATCCCATTGAAGAGATGTCGGGCTCGAATCTTAAGCGCGCATACTCTCGAAGGGAGGAGAGCCATAGGGGTGTCAGTTTAGCAATGTGTGGCTTGAGCACATCGACCAGGTACTTCTGCTCTGCACTAGCGATCTGGAGCTCGGCCCAAGCCGAGAATACCGCCATCTTGACCATGACCTGTGCATTCGAACTCAATCCTTTCAGGTCACCAATAGCTGCACTCTCAGTTTCGCCTGCCTATTGTGAGCGGTCAATCCGGAAAACGTTCCAGGGCAGACGTACTTGAAAAGTTCTCGAGCGCCGAGACAAGGAGCTTGAGGATGCGGCCCATTCGATCCACATCCGTTACGATACCTGTAGCGATGAACGTAGCGCACACGTTCACAGCCTCTGCCGCCAGTTCTGGTGAGGAGTCTCCCGCAAAGGCTGGCGTTAGCGCAGAGCCAATCTGAGCCTGATACTGTTCGAGTAGGGTGGCTTCTGGAAAGTCTGGATCGGGCGTTTTGCCGAATAACTTGACGACAGCTGTTAGTCTCAAAATTTACGCAATGCTGTGGGTAGGGTTACGTACCTTCAAAACCTGGTCAATAATCTTCAGACCACGTATTCGGAGTTGGACTACGCCAGCCGTCGACGCGGAAAACGCGATCCGAACCACATCGGCAATCCTGCGTTGTAACGCCAGTACACAGGGCGATTCTTCTCTGAAAGCTGCTTCTTTGCTGACCATCGAAAGAAACTCACTTAGGCAATCCATGCCGAAAGTTCTCACTTGCCATTTCAGTAACTCCTGGCTGGTTTGAGTCGCGCTGCCGTCATCACCAGGAGCATTTGATGACGCCGCAAACCCGGCAACCTCTTCGTCTTGTATATCCGTAGCTCCACCCTTCGGTTTAGTCTCCGTCTTCTCCTCTGCTTCCACAACGCGTTTTGTCTTTGTAAGCACGGAGTGACATCGCTGCACCCACGTCGCCGTGTCAGTGAGTCCGGTCTGATGCAGCCAGTTACGGATGATGTTGCGGACCACTTCATGTTCGGGTGACTTGTCAAGGACGTGCCAAAGTTGATCCTCCAGTCCTGGGTCGCCCGTACGGATAACCTCTTCGGCGTTCCGTCGCATCAGGTTATGCAGGCCGTCGGTTGCCATGTTCCTAATCTGTGTGGAGCTGCTTTCCAAAGCCCCCTGCAGTTGCTTTACGTAAACGGCGAATTCCATTTGACCGGGTGCGTATAACGAGAGGTGCTCTTGACACTTCAGGCTTTCAATGATTATCAGTTCATCGGACTCGGTCTTGAAGAGCCCAATAAGCGTCATAATCATGTCCCTTGCCCTGGTCATATCCTGAAGGTCGGGACCAAGAACATTGATGGTGCTGTCAATACAGCGCGCGATAACGGCAGGAGTGGGTAGGTCCAGCTCCATGTTTGACGAAGCCAGAGAAGCAGATTCATGGTTATGCGTATCCGCTGCATATAGCTGCGCCAGCATCCCCAGAGTGCTGGTCACATAACCGGAGAAAGTCAAGCCCGCAGAGTCGGCCACTCGAGAAAGGCTGTCCAAAGCCCAAAAGTGCACGACCGGATGCGGATCGTTGCCCAGCGACATGAGTATTCCAAGGATGTTTTTGAGGTGGTAGCCGGCGGCCATTCCTCCTAGCTGCGCGTGAATACAGCCAAGAGCAACAGCGTACCCGGAGCGGGCATTCGGTTCGCGATTCGCTACGATTTGATCAACCAGATAGTTCACTTCTGCGGTAGTGAACCCTGTTCCAGAGCTACTGCATAGACGGCCTAACGCTTCCCCAGTGAGATTACGGACGTAAGGATCCGGAAGAATGATGAACACCTGCCGGTGTTAGTATTGCCAGTGGCGCGCTTCTTGGCCGTACTCACATGCAACAATTCTTGTATGACCTTCTCCACCGCCGAGCCCCTGAGATCTCCAGGAGCGGATCGCGTTTCCTTCACTGCCACTTTCAATGCGGCTAAAAGAGCATATGCAATGTTTACCATCATAGCGGTCTTCCTGTTGACATCCCGTTGCAAGTTGCTCGCGGAGAGAAAGGACGTAATTTGCTCCAAGATGCTCTCCTGGATCTTTGGAGTCTGTAAGGGTAGGCATATCGCGAACAGTTGTAGCGCCGAATTGACCACTGCTGTTGCTGGTGGATCTGGTAGGTCGAATGGATCGTTTGATTTGCCGACGTACAAGGATATAGAGTCGTGCTCTAGTGCGCTACAAATGGGTGACAAAAGCTGCTGATGGTCAGCAGCGGCCGAACACGGCGTCATTATTCAACATACCGTGCGATCAACCGTGGCTTCCGGCCCCTGTCTTGTAACCCAGTGGTGTCGACTCTCACTTTCATGCTCACCCGGTAGTGGCTCGATGTCGAAACCCTTGACCAACCCGGTCACTCCGAAGCCGTGGTTGTCAGCGACATCCCATATGCTCTCAAAAGTCCCGGCGGAGCTGGCGATGGCTGTGCTCAGCGAGCTTGGAGTATAGTTATCCGGATCGGCAAAAGCCGCAACTGCAAATGGCAGCAGATTTGTTTGAAGGAGAACGTCGCTGTTCCCAGCTGGACTGCAGTTGACAAGCTTCGTATAACACTGGAGAACCCTCCTCCGGACCATGAGGTCGAAGTCGTGAAGTTGGAGAGCGGGTGAAAGTCGTTGCGAAACATCATCCGTAGTCTTCTTAGCGGGTAACGTGTTCAAGAACATTGTCGTGTTTTGCAGCATTGAAGCCAATCGCTTCGTCACATCCAAGGTCAGTAACCTGCTATTGAACTCCAAGAACGTCATTATCGAGCCCAGCGCGCATTCTCGTACATGCGCCAGGAAGCTGAGTTCCAAGACGTTCCGCTGCACCATGTTGTCTTTGTTGAGAGGCTTCGGTAGTGCGTTCTTCCAAAGCAGCAATAGCTGCGAAAGGTGGATTTTAACGAAATTAGGACCGAGGGTCATTAGCCCTCCGATCAGGATCCATGCGACCTGTATCTGTGTCGAAGATATCCTTAGGTCGGAGCTGCTGCTAGACTTAAGCAGAGACGTGGCTTGAGAGAGCACTCGTGAATTTACATCAACGGAGCCATGAAGCGGCTGAGATGTAGAGGTGCTGAGTATTGACGAGAGACCATTTGCGAGCCCAACACATCGCCGTGGTGATCCTCGCGGGCCTCCTAGCAGGCCAAGCTCGCGGTTAACGCTATTCATGCAGATAGTGACCGAGGGTAGGAGTTGAAGCGGGCATGCAAGGACGAAAGAGCGGAGACATGACGAAGCGTATACTTGGACGGTGTAACTCGGATGCTGAAGGACTTGTAACAGGCCATCTCTGCAGGCATCGGCGATAGCGTTTGCTGCCGACCCAAGAGTGTTGAACAGCGATGAAAGGGTGCTGAGAGCTCCGATTAGAGTCTGCTTTGAGGGTTCTGGTCTCTCCTTGAGCGCCTGGGGGTAGTCCTTGAGGATCTCATTGACGAGGAATCGTGCTGCATTGAGCTGCCCGGATTCTCCAAGCATTTCGCCGCCCACAACAGTCTCCAAGATAACCGAGACATATTTCCTTGCAGTGAGCATGCGATAGCGATTGTGGACGATCGTTGGGTTGCTGAGAACATCGATGAATAGGTGGCGCGCAATATCGGCGTATTTAGACTCGACAACATGCTCGCCCAAGCCTCTCAGTGCTTTCATGTAGCAAAGGACGATTCCAGCTCTTGCTCGATTACCGGTCGCTGGTCTGCAGTAGTGATTGGACAACGTTTTGAGGAGAGTAGAGATGGTGAAGGACAGCTTCGCGGCCCATCTTTTAGGCGCAGGCGATTCCGGACGTTCAATTATGTCTTCGTCACCATCCAGGTCGGTCGTCTTCTTGCTTTTCTTCTTCATGGTCTTTGATCTTGCAAGAGGCATCTCGACAGGCGCAGTCTCGGAGTAGTTCTTGACCAATGCCGCGCTCAGACAAGAAGCGGCCGCATGTCTTACCGAGGACGAGGCGCTCTCGATAGCTTTCCAAATGGCATTCTGGAGCTTATCGAAATCGGCCGAATTATCGAAGAAAGTAGTATGTCGGATGAGTTGTTCCAGAAGAGAGCAAGCGTTAGACTGCACAAGTAGGGATTTGTCGTTGGCACACAGAGAACGGGCTTGCTTCCATGCGTCCCTCGCCATAGCTTCGTCGGCGGAACGTCCCACCCCCTTGAACACCTTCCCGACAGCTTTCAACAGGGTGGCCCGTAGTCCGGTGTGACTTTGCGCGGGCTTAACGAGGCGCAACAACGAGTTTGCTGCGAATGGCGACAGCCCTATAGCGCTATCTCCCGCCGCCTCGAAAACCGCACCCAAGCAGTGTGCCGCCGCATGCTTAGCCCTGATATCCTTCTCTGACTTCCCCGCCACATTGAGTATGCCGATAAGCTCATTGATGGACTCGAACAGCAGCTTCCTGTCTCCTTTTCCAAATATGCCCGCAAACGTTCGTCCCAGGTTGTTCCGTATTACTCTGGTAGGGGGCGGCGACGGTAGATTGATGACCTGGAACAGCTCCTTCTTGATGTAGATCTGGTGCGCCGAGGCACCGTCGGCGTCGAGCGAGGCGACATGGCGAGCGAGATCGGATGTAAACGTGAGGAGGTACAGCTCCTGCTGTTCGGACGGTAGCGCGTGCAGCTTCTTGACGTCGAGCTCCGGGTTCGAGGCACTTGAGGCCACCCCGTTTGTGGGCTGAGGTTCTTGCGTCGCCATTGTCTCCAGAACAGCCTCGGAGGCTTGGTAGGAGGGGATCACGGAAAGAGGATGCGTGCGACTGGCATGGCGGGGCGGAGTCGAATATCAGACTTCGAGGCGTGTTGGCCTGATGTGGTGGGTGCGGAGTTGGCGCGGAGGTGTCGTTCTCCCCCGACGTTTCTTGGCGGCTTCTCGAAATTTGTTTCGAACGACTCTGAAACAAACCACACGCTTTCTTTCGAACCTCGATGTCAGCGCCATTCCGCCGTCTAGTCGGCCCGCCGTCATCGCTGGAGTATATCCTCCAATGCGCCTGCCGCGGTCCTGGCCGGCCGTCGAAAGTCAGCCGAAAGGAGCACGCGCGGTGGTTCACCCAATCCTCGACTGCATGGTCAGGCCATTCGTATGCGCTCCATAATATATATTACTACATAGCATATGTATTAACAGATCGTAGAAAATGGGCCACGATCAAGCATGACAAAGGCAAGAACGACGCCGCGAAAAGCAAGCAGCGAGCGCTCCTCACCAAGGACATCTCCAACGCCGTCAAACTATCCGGACCTGACCCGAACATGAACTCGCGGCTCGCCCTCGCCATCTCCACTGCGAAGAAGAGCCAAGTACCCAAAGCAAGCATTGAAGCCGCCATCGCGCGCGGTCAAGGCCTTTCCGCGACCGGCGCAGCCCTCGAATCCGTCGTCCTCGAAGCAATATTACCGCCGTCCATCGCCACCGTAATAGAATGTCAGACGGATAACAAGCTCAGAGCATTAGCGGACCTGAGATTATTGGTGAAGGAGGCGGGCGGAAGCGTATCGACTGTAGGATATATGTTTGAGAAAAAAGGCCGGGTAGTATTACAAAAGAAGGATGGGGTCGGGGTTGACGAGGTCCTGGAGTCTGCCCTCGAAGCCGGAATTCTGGATGTGTTGGAAGACGAACAGGGTCGGGTGGTGTTGTACACAGAGCCTGCGGAGACAAAGGCGACTGGCGAAGCGCTCGCCAAGTCACTGGACATGGAGATCGAGGAAAGCGATATTATATACGACCCAAACGAGGACACAAAAGTCACGCTGGATGATGAATCCGCCGCGAAGGAGCTTGGCAGCTTTCTCGACGAGCTGCAGGAAGTGAGCGGGGTGCAGGGCGTGTATATGAACTGGTCAAAGGGAGCGATAGACGACGGTCTGTGGGCGGATCTGCAGAGTAAAGTGGCCGTGTGATTCCCCTCCTGTTCGCATATAGATGTATGATACAGCATTGTACAATGTACATAACCCCAGTGGCACTATTCCCCACCGAAACGCCTTCCATGCTGAGTTGCGATATATCGGTGTGACGTCCGACAGCTTCCAAGATGAGGTGATCTCCGCCGCGCAAACGTCTGTCGCTGTCTCTTTATTGATCCCTCCTCTCCACCACCTCCCTCATCCTCGCCTCCTCCGCATCCCTCTGCCTCTTCACCTCTAGATTCCGCGCCTTCAGCCTCTCCAGCTCCTTCTTAATCTCCTCGCGCTCATACGGAATCTTATGCGTCTGGCCGTCCTTCGGCCAGAAGTCGGGGACTGAGAATTTGCCGTCGAGGTTCGTGCCGAAGTAGTACATTATGCCGATTGGGAAGAGGATGTACATGCCGAACTGTGCGGAGCTGGTTAGCTGAGAAGCGAAGGGGGGGCATTGCGCGGGCTGCTAGAGCGCGATAGGAAGGATGCGACGTGCCTTGAAGACTTCGAGGTTTGGGCCGGCCATTGCGTTGGTTGGGTTTGCGGGTGGAGCGTGGGGATTGCGGTGGGCGCGTTGGGGTGGTGGTGGTGGTGGTGGTGGAGCGGATGGGGATGAATTTCTCGGGGAGATGGTTCGGAGATGGTTCGGATGGGGGTTGATAGAGCACATGCGGATCTCGGTGATTCCGCTCGGAATGAACTCACCACCTCCAAACTACAACAAAGCTCCAGGCAGGTTGACTTGGGCGCCCGCTCAGGAACCTCTTGTGCGAGGCTTCCTCTGCTCATCCAACATGTCTCTCGCAAAAGGATGAATACCCATCACCACTGACCTATCAAAGCTTGTCATTCTCCGCAATCCAACGTGCCTCGGCTCGCTGCGTCACGACTCTGCCTGTCGCTGTCATCTTCCCCAGATATACTTCCAGCTCCAATCGACACTCTTCTTTGACTCCTGTTTCTTCTTAAAGATTATTGACCGCATACGAAAATCCCACACACAATGGCAGACGACGGCATCCTCATCGAATACAAAGGCAAAGTCGCCATCATCACGCTCAACCAGCCCAAGAAGCTCAATGCCCTAAGCCAAGATCTCTACTACAAGCTCGCGACAGCAATGCACGAAGTCGCCGAGCGCGACGACATCTACATCACCGTCCTAACAGGCCGGGGTCGCTTCTTCTCCGCGTAAGCAACTCCTACACCCTACCCGCCCCGCCGGTCTGCGACTAATACATAACTCTGCCTTGCAGCGGCGCAGACGTCTCCATCGGCGCCTCGACCTCCCCATCCGGCTCCGACACACACCGGCACTACCTCAAGAACTTCGTCTCCAACAACCTGCACATAACGCATGCCTTCTACACGCACCCCAAGATCCTAGTCACCGCGCTCAACGGCCCCGGCGTCGGGCTCTCCGCCGCGCTCATCGCCTTCTCAGACTTCATCTACGCGGCGCCGCACGCCTTCCTGCTCACGCCGTTCAGCTCGCTCGGGCTGGTCGCCGAAGGCGGCGCCTCGGTTGGCTTCGTGCGGCGGCTGGGCATCAGCAAGGCGAACGAGGCGCTGATCATGAGCAAGCGGATTACGTGCGAGGAGCTTGTGCAGACGGGGTTTGTCAACAAGGTGATTGATGTGGGGAGCAAGGATAGCCCGCGGTTTCTGGAGGAGGTGCTGAGGGAGGTTGAGGAGCGGCTGGGCGGGCATTTGAATAGCGAGAGCTTGATTAAGATCAAGGCGCTGATTCGGAAGCCGGAGATGGAGACGCTGGATCGGCAGGGCGTGGAGGAGGTGTTTGCGGGGCTGCAGCGGTTTATGAAGGGGGTGCCGCAGGAGGAGTTTAGGAAGATTGCGAGTGGGGAGAAGAAGCATAAGCTGTAGTAGGCTAGGGAGCGGCGGAGATGTAAGAAGGCGGAAGGAAGGTTATGTGTAGTTTATGTACTTGATTTATGCTAGCGAGACTCCGCCTTCGGTGGTCAACAGTTCGCCGCCAATTGGCTCATCTTTACCCAGGGCGGGTTTGCCGGTTGAGGGAGGGTTTTGCTCTTCGTCGGGTGGGGGCTTCTTCTTGTACGCCTTTTCCTGCTCCTTTTGCTGATGGCTTACATAGCTTGAGTAGCGCAGCGCAACGAACAGCATGAACGCAGTCACGCCCACTGTTATAGCAGCTCGCCGTGTAAGGATCCATCGCAGTCCTTCGATCTCGCTGCGGGCGTCCGAGTTGAGCGCAATGGTGATCTTGTAGTTGAGCTCTTGGATCTGCCATTCTGTTAGTTCAAATCCCTCCAGGTATGGAGGAGTCGGACGTACCTTGGATTCCATAGTGCGCTGCTCCTGCCGCACAGCCATCTTCCGGTCGTCAAACAGTCCCTTCAGCTCGTCCTTCAAGTGCCCGGTCTCCTGGCTCATCCGCTGGCCCAAAATATCCACCTCATGCTGCAACTGGTTCCTCTCTGTGCGCATCCTCTCCATCTCACCCTTCCTCGCATTTCCCACCTCGGTCCTGAGCTCGCTGCACGCAGCCCGAAACAGGTACGTCTCGTTCTCCACGTTTGACTTGCTAACGAGCCCTTCCCGGGCGACCTCCATGTTGTCTGTGAGGATGCTGCGCACCGCTTTCATGACGGTAATGGACTGGTCCTGCGTGAAACCGGATTTTGTCAGGTCCTTTACCAGGCTGTAAGTGTCGAAGTGGTGGACGTAAGGCGGGGTCTTGAGGTGCGGCGGTTTCCGGCTCTCTTCTTCCTGGGGCGAAGGCATGTGTAGGACCGTATCTAGGGGCTTCGGGTCGGGCGTTTTGGGGGGATCTGGTGGCGGGACGGGTTCGGCGGTGTCGGCCGTCTTTGATTGTGAGGTGGGTGTTGTAAACTGCGATGGTGCGTCCTCGTCTCCCTCTTGTATGGACCCTGGTGTTCTCTTCTCTTGCTCACTACTTTCTCCCTGTGCCTTGCTATCCTGCAGATGGGCAGCTGGCTCTTGCGCGGTGCCATAGCGCTGCGGTCTTGATTCTTCGGAACGGAGAGGCGTTGTCGCAAAGCATCTGGAGGATGGAGCTCGGCGATGCGAGACGCGGACTTGCTTTCGCGGTGGCTTTAGCGGCCTGAACAGCATCGGCCATAGGAATGGCAGCCGCGGCGAGGACATCTTGACGCGCTGCGTTGCATTGAGCGCTGGACCTCGGAGATCCTGGGTCTGGTTTTCGGAGCTGGGTGCTGACTCAGCTCGTGGGGGTACATCACACATCTCAACCTTATTCGGACGTCAGCCCTCAGCATCCTGTACAGCGTCCACGATGAACAGACATACTCGGCGAGAGCTAACCCTACTCTCTATACTCTAGCGTCGGTTCAGAATTCGTACCCTCGAGATCAACTCCAATTTCTGTCAATGGACCACGGAGACTCCGCATTTTGCCGTGGACATATGACGCGTATTGTAAGATCGCGACGAGGATGAGCGAGGCACTGGTACAGACGTTAAAACTTGTCTGATCGAGGGCCTCGACGAGCTTGGGCAAGAGCCGACGTTTATATTCGGCAGGCCTGGAAATAACTGCGCTTCATAAAGTCGGTTCAAAACGCGCGCTTCCCCGTCGAAACATCTCACGGTCATGATTCTTTGGAACTGCATTGAGGGAGATTTTGCTACGACATCCAAGCTCCAGTGCTGCCAAAGGTGAGGGCTGCCTTCATCTTCACCGTAACTACCTCGAAAAGCAAAAACAAAAACCCCTTCCTCGAGCGTCGGACACGTCCGATCACTCAATGAAAAGGTGGGCAGCTCCCTGAAATAGGTTCGGATTCGGACGTTGTGGCCGCCGCCCAGCTCCACGCCCTAGCCTCCCGGGGGGCAAAAAGAGGAACAGTTGAGACATGGTCAAGCTCAACAGGTTCAGCTGCACGGTTAAGTGGGCCGAACGTCCGAAGTCCCGCAGCATCGAGCTGGTCAAACCCTTTGCTGGGCGAGCCCAGAATGGCAAGTGCCACCTGTCGCTGAAAACCGAGGCGTATGAAAACTCGCAAGGAAATTTGAGAATATGGAAAGAAGGCGGAGAAGGAGTGGGAGTATCCGCGCAGCACTGAGGCCACACTCTCAGGCTCGGGACTGGCCACTTCGGCTGTCTGCAAAGAGGAGAGAGGGGGGCAATGACCAAAATGGAAGAACGAGCGGAGGGGGAGGTGGCTGGACCAGAAAGACAAGGTATGTGGAGTTGCGCTTTAGAGGAAGTCTGCAAAGAGTTAAGAAGGGAAGCAAAGAGTTAAGAAGGGAAAGGATGGAATGTTATGAGAAAAGAAGTCGGCGGGTGGGCTGGGCCAACGAGGAGAAGAAGGAGAAGAAGGAGAAGACTGGGTCAATGAGGAGAAGAAGGAGAAGAAGAAGAAGAAGAGGCGAGGGAGGCGGGGAGTTTATAAAGAGAGGCCAGGCAGCCGCGGCGCTGTCGGTGAGTCAGACCACACGGCGAATGAGCTCTGACGTCAGAGGCACGAAACGCTCGTCCGCGCTGCGGCTATGGACGGCACATGCGTTGTGAGGGCCTGCCCCCCCTTGGGTCGCTTTCACTCTTAACGCGGCAGGTGCGGCGTGAACGACGCATTGCACAAGACATTTGGGTAGAGGAGCCAGGCAGGTTGCAAGAAGCATTGTGGGAACCGGATGCTGCTCAACTGCTCTCGGTATGGGCGATGCTTCGCAGCGCCGCTCCCGGGTGGCAAAACCCACGCATTTCACCGCATTCCACTACGCCGCCCGAGCTGGACTCGGCACAGGGTTGCACAAGGTGAGCATAGCAGTCACTAGTGGGTTTCTAGCGGTTGCCCTTATCTTCGGGCACGCGTTCCGTTCATTTCCCAACACCCCTGCACCACCGAGGAGCCTTGAGGGTCTTTCACTCACCCACATTCTCGGATCCGCTGATACTTCTGCCAAGACACAGCTTTGGTCAATGCAATCTTAGGCAACCTCGCCACTCGACGTCTTTGCCTGCTTCATAACCATCCTCGCCCTCGCGGCTATCGCACCCCATCGCACCTCAGCTTTTGCCTCTCCTCAGCATCAGGACTTCGAGATGCCGGGCAGAAAACGGCAGAAGCGGGCTGAAAGGTGAGTTCCCTATTCTTTCGTGCGGGGCAAGTAAACTAACCTCAAGTTAATAGCGAATCCTCCCCACCGGCCACAATCCCCTCAAAGCCGCTACCGGCCTTGCCAGCCGAGATATGGATCCGCATCTTCCAAATCTTGTGCGGCACATATAACCCGAAGAATACTAAGGCGCTCTTGACGCTTGCGTCCCAAGCTTGGCGTGTCGCGAGCGTTGCGGACGAGTTCATCTGGGCGACTTCTATGATTCGGGTGGGCAAACGAAGCGGGAGTGGCGAACTCCTGTCCGAGGCCGACAATTACTGTAACGTTCTGCGACACACGAAGCATGTGGGTCTGACCCTCCCTTTTGGCCCCCTCTCGCCAGTATCTGCTCAAGACACACACCTCGGCTTCAAGGGTCTCATGGACTCTTTCATGGGGCATAAGATGACGACCTTGGTCTTCAGCCGCCATACGGCGATGCGCAGGGACGACCACGAGGTTCTCGATGAGGCCCTAGATGACTTGCCCAACTTGAAAAGGTTCATGGCGCCGAAGACCGCGTTTCACACGGGACGAAGCGTCGTTCTCAACGCGTACGCCTCCTATTCGGACGGACGTGAGTTTTGGTACCAGTCCGGAGCTGATCTCGACCTAAGCCTGAAGTATATCCAACGAGGAGGTACACCAACTTCGTTGGCGCTTTTCGGCCGTGGTGGCAACACCAGGCCCTCGGATTATGCGACCTTCTTCCGCCATACGCGGATGTTCGATGGTCAGAACCGCCTGCGCGTTGATGAGGTCACCCTCGTCAAAACTCACCTACTTGAAGTCACGAAGTTTGTCTCGCTCAACCAAGTCATAAAGCTCACCATATGGGACTCTTACCATCTCGATGACTTCTTCCGCAAGGCCAATTGCAGTCTGGTCGAGAGGTTTTCATGGATGGAGCATACCGACCCAGACGAGGTTCGCGGGGAATCGGCGCGTGCATTCACAGACTTTACGAAACGCCTCACCTCAATCCGAGACTTCAGCGTCCGTCACAGCAAGAAGACCAGTGCGCTAAGCAGATTCGTCCCAGAGACTCTGCCTCCAGGTCTACGATCATTTTCCTGCGTCCTTGGGGACCTGTACTGCGATCCCGTATCGTGGAATAAGCGCTATGATATGTATTCGAAGAAGTTCAAAGAACTTGAGGCACTACATCTTCCGATATCGTCTGTCACGAGCATGTTGGACGGGGAGGGATGGAGTGGGGATGGTCAGTTTACCACCTATCTTCGCATACTTGCTGTAAGTACCGTTTCCGACGTTCCACAAGTGTATCGCTAACCTAGCATAGAAAATGTTCCGCGGATGCGCGCATCTAAAACGTCTTGCACTCAGCGGACCGGAGCTACGACCGGCGCATGGAAACCCCAACCGCGCCCACGAAGTATCCGAGAGGCTTACTAAGGTTGCACATCGAGTAGCAAGCGAATTCCAAAACGTCGGCATCCACCTCCAAACCATCTCAATCCACCTATTTGACAATATCCTCGAGGAGGAGGATGCGTTCGTGCCCATCCCGCGCCACTTCCGCATCGTGCCTGCGCGGAAGCAGGGGAGCATACGCGTTGAGCCCATCGATCCATTCGAGATCCCGGAAGATGATGAAGAGGCTTTCGCGGCGATGGGATTGTCCTATGAGCATACGTTGGCGGAGCATGTGCACAAGCGCATGCCATTCGTGCCGTACAAGGAGGATATTCAGAAACATTGGACGCAGAGATGGTTCCGTCATGACGAGGCCAGGGCTTAGGCTGCGGGAGCGGGAATAGTTAGGGTGGTTTGCGTGTTGCGCTGGGATAGCTGTCTACCTCATTGAGGGCCAGTGGGATCGCTGATGCGGTTGTTATCAGCGGGACTGGAGTCGAGAGCAGCCTAATCGCCCGTCCCGTTGTAGTAACATCATTCGTGATATTCGGCGTAGTAACAGATACCGCTAGGCATTAAACGGCGTTTTACGGGCTTGCTCTTACAGTAGGATAGCTTACTGCGGGCCTTCTGGAGCCTTGATGCAAGGAAGAGAACATTTTCTAAAAGGGAAAATGGGCGTCTTTTATTTGTGGACATCGTCATGGAGCGGACTGAACTGGACTGGACTGGACTAGTTTGGGCCAGCAGCAACAGACAACAGCAACATCCCGCAGGTCCAGTCAGGCAAAACAGATTTTTTATAGAATTTAACTGTGCGGTTCGTCGAGCGGACATAGGCTAACGCTCAGGGGGGAGAGTCTCGCATTCGATGCACATACAACAAGCCAAGGGCGACGCAGGCACTGGAGACGCTGTTGGGAAAAAGCCACCATAGGCACTTAAGCGTACATTGTACATATGCCCTTCTCCCTCCCTTCCCCGTCGTCCCTCTCATTCATCACCAAACCCCCACTGTCCAATATATAAAAATAGAGTCAAGAAGAGAAGAGAAAGCAAGCAAAAACTTTTAATTTCGACACTCGTCTCGTGCCCGATCCAATCCAATCCGATCAGATCCATCATCCAAACACCATGCAATGCATCGCAAATAGGCCAAGCCCTTTATATATCGAAGCAAGTCGCAGCAGCGCGCAACTTTTGTGGAAACTGAAGGTGAAAAAGAGGTGACGAAACCGGGGTATCTGTGTAAATGCTTTCCAGAAAGAACACCGGCCGAAGGGAACACATGGTGAGGAGAAGCCCGCCTAAAGCGCCACGTCGTGAGAACTGCTGCCTGTCATGCTGCTCCGATTCGTGCCCTCGCTGATATACGTCGCAACACTCGTCCTCTTGAACTGAGCCGCTAAGTTGTTGTCCCTAGACGGTGGGCTCGAGAGATGTGCCTGGTTGCCTGGAGATGATGGCGATGCGGTGGGGGGCTCTCTGTCCTTGTCTTTATCTTTGACGCTATATCGTTCGCGTAGACGGTTGATCTCGCGGAGACGGCTGCGCCAGGAAGAGACCGTCTCGCCGCCGTCCTTAATGAACCACACCTGCGAGAACACGCTAGCGTTGATAGCGATGAGGCGGCAATACGCAGCGAGATGTTTACCAGCGAGAATCTTGGGCTCCGCTGCGGGCGAAATATCCGGAAAACCAGGCTTAGAAATGACCTGGACCTTATAGTACCGATTCTTGCCATCCGGATCGGTATCCAAACGCGGATCGACAAACGCCGCCCGAGACTCCGGTGAGATGACAATGTGTACGTAATTGAACGCAGAAGGGAAAGTGTCGAAGCTGTAAGGGAGTCCAGAATCGTTGAATATTATGTTTACAAAGTCGTTGCCGATATGGCGCTTCTTGTTTGGATACGTCATTTCGTCGTCACGGTTCGTAGGCATCATGGTCGTGACATGGAAGACGAGCTCGATGCAGCGATCGCGCCAGGCATATGTGAACTCTCCGTCCATGTCGTCGCGGGTATCGAGGCCACCAGTATTGAATTTGGCGTTCTTGAGCCGGCACAATGTGCCAAGATCGCTGACGAAGGATGTATAAGGTGGCGAGCCGATGTCGTTCATGAGGATCTCTCTTTCGTCTCTCTGCCCCTCGCCGATGTAGATGACGCCCACTTTGTAGCTGTCTACCGTCGAGATGCGATCGAATGTGGCAATGGCGCGACGCGTGATGTCATCGTCCGGCAACGGTATGGGAGGATCAGGGCCCAGATTGAGCGACATATAGAAGGTTTGAAAGATATCGTCGGGCAAGATGCCGACATAGGACGAGGAATAGAATGCCTCCGAGGCCAATCCAACTGTTAGAGGGACCTGGTGACGCGGCGGCGGTGCTAGGAGCGGACGTATAGCAAGGTATCGAGTGCCGCACTATATACAAGTCAGTTCCACGGAAGGAAACGACGTGGAGTAAAATGGGAACTTACGGGTCTTCTGTTAGTGATTTGCGAGACACCGGTTCTGGCTGCAGTCTCAATAGTAACCAAGCTGTGTCCAACAATCCACGTCTTCTTCCAAATCTCTCCGTCGCCGGGCTTGGAGAAATTCGTATCGCGCCTTGTCTCGTCGCGGTCTGAATATCCCACCATGTTCATCATGTCCAAGATGACTTGGCCTTGCTCTTCTATTTCGCTCTTCCCCGTACTGTCTGTGAGTGGAAGGAACTGCGTAATGAAAGGCATCATCTTGGGCCGATCTTCCATCTTAAGAGCCATAAACCAGAACGTAATGACGTGGTACGCAAGAGAGTACAAATATTGTGGCATTTCGTCTTCGACAGGCTTCGGCTTCTTCAAACTAGAGTCCGGAGAGGCTGCAAAATCTCGTGACGCACCGCTATGTCGAAGCGACCGATGACCACTCTGTGCTGCCGCTCGCTGGCGCTGATCCCGGATGTGCTGTAAATAGCGGTTGCTGACCCCAAACACCATTCTGAAGTCCTCTTGGCGGAAGTTTTTGTATAGTTCAGGCATCCGCGCCAAGGAGGTAAGGAAGTCCAAAATGTGAATGGCCGTTGCCGGTTTGGTGACGATCGTGGACATCTTCTGGAGGATTGTATCGAGAGATTTGCTGACCGAAAGCGGGATTTCATGACAGCAGACGGACAGCGCATGAATGCACCACTTAGCCGTCCTGTCCCAGAATGTCATTCCATGTACGAAGGTCTTGACCAGGTCATCCTCCTCACTCTTCTCGAAGTGATCGTGGTAGCTGATGAGAACCGTAAGGATGTGGAATAGGCAGACCGCAACGTCGGCTTTCTTGAGGAGGGTTGGGGGAGGGGGGTCACGGAACGTTGCCCCCCGGAGCTGTTCACCGACAACGCCCCGTAGCATCTTCAACTGAGGGACGCAGCTGCGCACTAACGCCTGATTGGAGAGCTGAGGGCCCAAGTGGACGACGACGTAGCTGTATATTTCCCAGTCGGGACATTTTTGCAGCAGAGAGATGACGAGCTCAAGCCACAACGTCACTTCCAAGTCAAGAACATCTTCGCTAAGCGGGTAGTATTCTGCATCGATGTGTGCGAAGGCGACCCGGCTGGCTTTAGGGGAAGGCTCTTCTGGCAGGCCCTTGGGACCCGGATACATCCATAACGGCGGAATGGGCTTCGAAACGCGACCGGTAGCACTAGGGTAACGAGTGGTTTGCCTGCTCAGGGAAGAGTGCGGGCTGCCGGAAACCTTGCGCTGCTCGCGCCATGAGGGCTGGTCTTCGTGTCGGCCCTGCTCGGATAAGGGCCCGCCTTCTCTCTCAGAAGCGGCTGCGGTCTCCTCTGTTCGACATAAGACTGCGGCTATACTCTCGCCTTCTGAAGATGCGCTAACGATGAGGGCGTGGTTGGAGTCTGCGCGCAGCCGGAACAGCAATCTGAGGACGGCTAATCGAGCATCGCTCTCGTACTTTTCGCTTCCCGCAATGTGGCGTAGGATTTCATAAAGCATACGTGTCTTCCGGGCAGACTCTGTGACGCTGCGAATGAAAAGCCGCACAAAGGCGGTAGAGATGACGTTGCATGGTGATCCCAGCATCCGGTCGGTCTTCAACTGGAGCGCCGACGTCCAGGAAGGAGAGGACGAATCCACCAAGGATCGCTGCTCTGCGCACCGTTCTAGCCGACTCTTCAGGATTTCCATGATATCCGGAAAGCTGTCATCCGACGCCCGATGAGCGACGTCTACAGCAAAGTCGACCAGTTCGCGTAGAACTTCAACATCGTCTTCGGCCTCAATGTTGTTAAGGAGAAGTGCCCCGCACTGTAAAACTGAGTCGCTAGGACACAGTTGTTCGATGGTGGTGTAGGTCTCGCGCAAGGTGTTTACGCTCATAATCCGAAGTGAGCGCGGCCTGGTAGTATCTTTGAAGATGCCAGACACCAGACTGCGACAGGCTTCTAGCCAGTCTCCATTAGAAGGGTGCAGGTAACGTTCTTCTGCGTAGTATTTGATCACGTTCTCGGCAGTGGAGTCGCTCAAACGGTGCGCGAGGCGCATCAAGAGCTCCATTACTGCGCCTTTCTGGACGTAGTCTAGATCGCTGCTAATATTATCGAGCTTGATCAGGACACGAAAGATTTTGTCATCGGAGTTCCGCCGGCAGGGCTCAGTCCGTGATGCAGGGGCAGTCAAATCAAAGTTCGAGATTGTATCAGCATCAGGATCTCCAGTTGTAGATGTAATCGATCCATTCAGGGCATCCAAGCCTAGCCATGTCAATGGACAAAAAGCAAGGGACATTAGGGGCAACAAACCGGTAGTGTGAGAGCTCGTGCCATTTGCCGAAGCGGCTTTCTCCTCTAGCTTCTCAGCTTGAGCCCTTGCACGGTCATCATCTCGTTCCGCGCACATGAAGATGATTTCTGTAAGCTCACTCCAATCAGCTTCTGTGAGCAACAACTCTCTCATGCTCTTATCAGCCAGGGCGGCGTCTATCAGGTCGATGACAACCTCCTCCTGCGTCTTATGCGGTTCCTTGACGGAGGCTTTGAGGGCAGGAATAAGCAAGGAGATTGGAACTTTGGGGAGCCCATTACGACCGTCTTCCAACAACAGCTGCTGCAGCACCTGCATCGTTCCTCTGTAGGTACTAGACTGACGGTTCTTCCTCACTGGACCCTCGAACAAGGTGCGCAATAGCGCAGAGACGGCAGACTGGCCAACATGCGATTTGAAAAGATTGCTCAATGTGTTCCAAGTTGCCTCTTGCAGATCGACCAGCTGACGGTGGATAGCACAGAGAACTTCAAGACAGGGGCGCAGGGCCTTGTTGGGAATATGCACATAGGTGATGACGGTGTCAAACAGCTTGACGGAGTTTTCAATGTCGCGTCGCTGGGTTGTTTCCTGGCAGATAGTCATGGTCTTTCTGAGCAGAAGCTCGAGATCGTCCTCAGTGAAGACCTTGGAGTTGAACTTGCATATGTCGATGGTGAACTGGAAGAGCTGCGCCATATTCTCGCGCTCCTTGACGGGTTTATCTGCGCTCCTTTTGCCGCTGGCTTTGCGAGCTGCCTTGACAGCATGGCTACTCTCCTCAAAGCATGTGTCAAACGAAGTCAGGACGAAGTGAGCGAGAGACGATTCGCACGCCTCGATGTCACGCCCGTCTTTGGTGAGAGCGGAAATGATTTGAAGACGCTTGTCGAAGCTGCGGTCATGCTTGCGTAGGCATGCGGCGTCGAAGAAGACACTGCGTTCGAGGGCGGCCAGCTTGGGCAAGGCCACGCAGCTTCTGAGGAGCTTGTAGCCCACTTCGGCAACCTCGTTCGGCTGCTCAGGAAGGAGCAGGTCGCTCGCCTGGGACCACAGCTCCAGCACATGCTGCACAGGGAACTCGTTCAGGATTTTACAGATCTTCTCGACGGCTGCTGCTCTCTCCGCAAACGAATGGCCCTTGCCAAGCTTCTCGGCGAGCTCGTCCAGCTCCGGCGGTCCCCCAAGCGCCGGCCTCGCATGCTCGTTTATGCGCTTGAGAGAGCCATCGGCAGACGGCGTCGATGGGGTGCCCACCGACTCCCCGAGCGAGGCAGTACGCGCGGGAGTGTAGGTGGCCGACGACGTAGACGGGGGCGGTGTCGGGCTCTTGAGACGGCCGCCCGTGAGCGAGCGGAAGGCGCCAAAGAGGGTCGAGGAGGAGGAGCGGCGGTCGGGCGTGCGCGGGACATCTGCGGGCGGCGGAGACATGTGTCTCACCGGCTGTCTGCACTCTGAGGGGACGCAGCGGATGCGCTCATGGGCGATAGAGAGGCTCTGCGGCGGACGGAGGAGGAGGAGGCGATGACGGGCGGTGGTATCGCGGGGCTACAGGGGCCCATTTACTGGGTGCGTGTGCCTGGGGGAGCCAGAGGAAGCGCGCTGCTCATGGCGGTGCTCTACGGATCAGAAAGGCGCATGTTGGCGGGCAGTGTGGTGGTGGGTGATTGCGAGTGTGAGGGAAAGGGAAAAGGCGCATGGGTCATGGGACGCGGGTCGGCATGGGGGAAGTGGATGGCGTCGGCGGCAGAAAATCTGGAAAGTCTGGGGACGGCGGCCCGAGCGCGAAGGCGGTCGCAGCCCTGGCAGCCCGCAGCCACAGCTAGTCTAGGTAGCAAGCTGCACGCCAAACAGCAACCAACCAAATTGCCGTCACCACCACCAGCGTGCACCCAAATACCCCACGACCTCCGCCCTTTTTCTTCTTCTTCCACCACGCTTGGTGCGCCGACCCACACCATGGCCGCCGACATCGCGACGCTGTCGACCCTGCTGGAGGCGAGCTTGGATCCGCGGCAAAATAAACAAGGTGTGTGAATTTCTGTTTATGCCGACCCTACTAACGGGGGTGCACGCTCTCGTGCTGCATTCCTTGTAGCACCAGGCCGCTCAATTTTCACATTGATGGCATAGCTGGCGCGCCTACAATGATGCAGTAAAAGATCGGAACACGGCTCGAAGTGGTTGCTGTGCGGGGGAGCTCTGCTGTCTTGAAAGAAGCCTGGGCACCACCATACTTCAAGCAGCAAGAGACATCATTATGTGAATACGTGCTGACTTCTGCAGCCGAGGCTGCCATCTCGCAGGAACAGATCAAGCCGGGCTTCTCCCTCGCCCTCCTCCAGATCGTCGCAAACAATTCATCCCCGCCCACGATCCGCCTCTCGAGCGCGCTATACTTCAAGAACTTCGTGAAGCGCAACTGGGTAGACGAGAATGGCGCCTATCTGCTGCCCGAGGACGAGGTCGTGGCTATCAAGCGGGAGTTGATCGGCCTCATGGTTGCCGTGCCGCCAAATCTGCAGGCCCAGCTTGGCGAGGCCATCAGCGCCATCGCGGACAGCGATTTCTGGCAGCGATGGGATACCCTCGTGGACGACTTGATCTCCAGGCTGACCCCCGACAATGCCACGGTGAACAACGGCGTCCTGCGCGTCGCCCATTCCATCTTCAAACGGTGGAGACCGCTCTTCCGCTCCGACGACCTCTTCACCGAGATCAACCACGTCCTGCAAAAGTTCAGCGCGCCTTTCCTCAACCTGCTCGAGAACACGGACCGCGTAATAGGCAACTCGCAAAACAGCCCAGAAGCCCTCAAAGGCGCATTCACGACGCTCGAGTTGATCATTAAGATCTTCTACGACCTCTCATGTCAGGACTTACCGCCCGTATTCGAGGACAACATCGCCGCCATATCGACCCTGCTTCACAAATACCTGGTCTACGACAATCCAGCCTTACACACAGATGACGAGAGCGAGTCGGGGCCACTGGAGTACGTCAAGGCTGGTATTTTTGAGGCCTTGATGCTCTACGTTTCAAAGTATGAGGACGTGTTTGGCCCACAGCTGCCCCAGTTCGTCGAGACTACGTGGAACTTCCTCATGTCAGTCGGGTTGGAGACGAAATATGACATCTTGGTCAGCAAGGCGCTCCAGTTCCTCACCCGCGTCGCTGGCACCCAGCACGCAGAATCCTTCAATAACCAACAGGTCCTGGTCCAGGTAATCGAGAAGGTCGTCCTGCCGAATCTAACCCTCCGAGAATCCGACGTGGAGCTTTTCGAAGATGAGCCCATCGAATTCATCCGGAGAGACTTGGAGGGCTCTGACAACGACACGAGGCGACGCGCCGCCACCAATTTCCTTCGCACCCTCATGTCGCGCTACGAGACGCTAGTGACCAGTACCGCCCAAACCTACGTTGATGCCTATCTTCAGGACTACGCGAAGAATCCCAAAGACAATTGGAAGTCCAAGGATACGGCCGTCTATCTCTTCTCAGCCATCGCCGCGAAGGGAACTGCCACCGCTACTCAGGGTGTCATCAACATCAATCCCAACGTCGACATTCTTGCGTTCTTCCAGAACAACATTGCTGCCAACTTGGAGGGCGAGGACATGTCGCCCATCTTGAAGGTCGACTCCATCAAGTTCCTCTACAACTTCAGAAACCAGCTGTCTCCCGAATTGTGGAGGGCCGCGTTTCCGCTTCTCGTGAAGCACCTCACCAACTCCAACTACGTCATCCACACGTACGCTGCCATCGCCGCCGAGCGTGTTCTGTTCATGACTGATGACAAGCGGAATCCTATCATACCAAAGGCGCAGGTCGTGGGTGTCTCGAAAGATCTTCTGACGCATCTATTCAAACTCATCACTAAAGAGTCCGCGCCGGAGAAGATCCAAGAGAACGAGTTTCTGATGAAGTGCGTGATGAGAGTACTGATCTTCATCCGGGAAGGTGTACTCCCTATAAGCGAGATTGTTCTAAACAACTTCATCAACATACTCAAGGTCATCAGGCACAATCCCAGCAATCCGCGGTTCTACTACTACCTATTCGAAGGCCTTGGAGCGCTGATAAGGTATGCCGCCCCGACTCACAGCAGCGCATTCGAAACTAAACTCTACAACCCGTTCTCGGCCATTCTGTCGGAAGGCATTGAGGAGTTTACTCCATACGTGTTCCAGCTCTTCGCCGCGCTTTTGGAGGCAAACCCATCCGGCGAGCTGACGAGCTACTATCGGAGTCTCTTCGAAATTATCATCCTTCCCGGTGTCTGGGAAGCTAGAGGCAATGTCCCGGCCTTGGTCCGCTTGCTTACCGCCATGATACCCCGCGATGTTCAAAACATCGTCGCGAAGAACCAAGTCGAGCCGATGCTGGGCATTTTCCAGAAGCTCGTGTCGTCAAAGGCCAATGAGATCTACTCTTTTGAATTGATCGAATCCATCATCACTTACGTCCCTCTTGAAGCGCTCCAGCCGTACTTCGTAACCATTCTTCAGCTCATGCTGACGCGGCTATCAAATATGAAGACCGAAGTCTTCCAGCAACGCTTCGTCGCCTTCTACCACTTCATCTCTGCTCGACAAGATAGGGGACTTGGTGCGGACTTCTTCATTGCCGTTAGCGACCAAGTCCAGCATGAGTAAGTCGATTAAATTCCGCTCCACGTTCACTTCAGCTAACCCTTCCTGCAGTGTCTTCAAAGCCATCTACCTCACCATCATCCTCCCAGAGACGCAGAAACTCCCACGCCCTCTCGACCGCAAGACTGCCGTCGTCTCCTTCACGAAGACCCTCACCGACTCACAAGCCTTCGTCGACCGGTACCCTAAGGGCTGGAACCTCACCACTCAGCGCCTGATCGAGCTCCTAGTCAACCCGCCCGTGCCGCCTGCGGCCGATGACGTCATCCCAGACGCAGACGTGGATGAGCTCGGCTTCGGCGTGGGCTTCACGCAGCTCAACACGTGCAAAAAGCAGCCCAAGGATCCCTTCCCGGAGATCACGGACGTCAAGGGCTGGGTGGGGCAGTATCTGAAGGAGGCGAATACGAGGCATAATGGCAGGATTGTGACATTGGTGCAGGAGAGGCTGACGCCGGACGTGAAGCAGGCGTTGGCGAAGTATTTGGAGTAGAGAAGGATGCCAGCCTCCAATGACGAACGTTGAGGCATCATTGATTGTGTGCTTTTTTTCCTGAATGATAGGATAGGAGGGATTTGATACCAGGCTGGATTGCGCAGCGGAAAAGGGAGCTTGCGGTAGATAGATCGGTAGGAATGGTAACCTAACGCTGTTAAGGCATATCAGCAGAATTCGAGCAAGATTCGAGACATTTTCTCTACCGGAAATGAGCGTGTGCGTATCCTTTGGCTTTGTTTCTCTAATCCAGTTAGATTATTTATGGGCTCTCGGAAGTACCTACCTTGGTACCTATTCCAACCTTGGGAACCTTGGAAGTTAGAAACTCAATGGGCACGTGATCTTATCGATTGACAGATTTTGCCAGCTGTTACCGCCTTTGCCCCTGGTAACCCCACGCGTCATTCAGGTCCTCAGTGTCCTTCATCCAGACTCAGCCCCAGCAATGTGCTTTGTATGCAACCTCGCTCTGCGATAGCCTTCTTCATTTGCATTTCTATCGACTCAAGATTTGACTTCTTCTCATCCTTTATCATTGTTTCATGAGCCGCTGATGCTGAACCCTCCGTCATCATGAACTTTTGTCCTTGATTTGTACTATACTTTTTCCCCTCTTCTCAACCCCTGTTTATACGTCCCCTTCGTCTCAGCGCGCGAGCTCTGAAGATGCGGAGCGTTAGCTTCACGAGCATCGCCGTGGGCGTCGTCTGCGGGCCTATTCTCTGCGCCTGGATTGCCCTCGCGTCGTGTTGCTGCCCGGGACGTTTGCACCGCCATGCAGAGTCTGAAGATAAGAAGCGCTTCGAACGACGCCAGGCCATGGCGCCACGACCGCTTGCCATACGTCCACCCGAGCGCAACCTCACGATCCCCCTTCCCACACCCTCGGAGAAGACGGCGATATATCCTCAGCGCGAGCGCGGCAGGACAGTCGAGCAGACGCACTCCCGGCTCATGCAGCTCCCCCTGGAGCTGAGGCAGATGATATATCGAGCCGTGCTGGGAGACAGCACGATGCATATGATCCTGAAGCGCAACAAGCTGGGGCATCTGCGGTGCAAGGCGCCCAGCGCGCTGGAGTGTCCCTTGGGCTACAACGGCCGGACGCTGAGCCGCGAGTGCTGCTGGGGCACAGTGGATAGCGCGAACATATGGTCGCCCATGAGCGGCAACGTGGACGAGCCAACGGACGGCAACATCATCCCGTTCCTACAAACATGCCGGCAAATGTACGCTCAACCTCCGTACCCCCTTTTGCAAAGCGCCACGCTAATCCTAGCTAGCTACTCCGAATCCATAGACTTCCTCTACTCCACAAACTGCTTCTCCTTCTCCGATCTCGACTGCCTCCGCTACTTCTCCTGCACCACGCTCCCCGCCCGCTTCGCCCTCATCCAGACCCTCGACATAGAATGGTGCATGTCATGGCCCATCTACGACCCCATCGCGCAGGCCCTGTTGCTCTCCAACCCTGCGCTGTACCCCCCGCACGACGAAGCAACCTGGGAGGAAACATGGCGGATAATAGCAGACATGCCGAATCTGAAGTTCATCCGCGCGAGCTTGTTGTACTTTGATGGGTTCAGGGACCCAGGCTGCGAGGAGAGGATGCTGGCGCCGCTGAGGAAGGCTACGACGCCGAAGCGGTTTGAGGTCCACGTTAGTTGGGCGGGGGACGAGATCGAGGGAGCGCCGTTTCAATTGATTCGCCCGATTAGGCATGATCCCGATTTTGAGGATGAGGAGTGGTGACGGGTTTAAAGCGTTTACGGGAGGAGTTGGATACCCGCTGCTGCAGATTACTTGTTACGAGTATGGAGGACGCGCTTACGACTGTTATGGTGGTATGGTTCTGTTGTTGTACGATAGTGCTTCCTCGTAGCATAGCATATGTAGTCTTCCGGGTGCATTTTTTTGGAATTAGAAGTTAGCGGTCTTCATTTGATAGTTCTCCAGCATTCTTGGCCCGAGTCGCCTTTGGCTCTTCGATTGTTTAAATGGGATATTGAATTTCCAACCGTTCGGACCTTTTCTTACAGAGGATGCTGCACCTTCCGGATTGGGCTAGGCGATGTACAGGAGGAGTCCTCGTAGGGCGCGACAAACGGACTGCACGTCTTACGTGATATATGACCTGGAAGCTTCTGCGCTTTTTTTCCTCTTCCTAGCTGCGATTTTGACCAGGTATTTAAGTTTGAGCTATTTGGTTTGGTTTGATTTATTCTTGCTATCTGTCTGTCTTGAATCCATATCTATCATCCACTCGACTTCGACTTCAACTCTACTGCATCCCCTCCCGCCTACTACTCCACAACCTCTTCTTCCAACCCTCCTATCCAGACCGCGCCAAGAGGAATCGCACCAGCATGGCCCCAGACCTCAGCGCAAAAACCATCCCCTTGTATCAAAAACACGGCCATCTCTACACACACTCTACAACCCTAACATCCCTATCCCGCTTATCCAGCCTCCCGCCCGAAACCCAAGCCCTGTTCAAAAAAGCGCCAGAAGCAGAGGGAGAGGCCTACGTGGTTGTTACGCCGGAGACCATTTTCCACGCGCAGGGCGGCGGGCAGCCGAGCGATGTTGGGACGATTACTGGGGCGAGGGCGAGTGCCGAGGGGGAGGAGCAGGAGGGCACGTTCCGCGTGCTCCAGGTGCGTAGGGTAGACGCTGCGATCTTGCACATGGGCGTGTTCTCACCCTCGCCTACCCACACAACCCTCTCGCCCAACGCACCGCTCGTGCAAAACCTCCATGTGCCCAGCAGACTCCTGCACTCGCGCCTGCACACCGCAGGCCACTTGCTCGGGCTCGCCATCAACCTGCTCGCCACCTCAGGCATCCTGCCCTCCGATCTGAAAGACGGCAAGGCGTCGCACTACCCCGGCGCCGCGTTCGTCGAATTCTCCAGCCCCTCGGGGGCTGTCATCGCGGGGGACAAGAAGGCTGTGATACAGGCGAAGGTGGATGAGCTGATCGCCGAGGATCTCGACGTGCGGATTCACTTTTGGAGCAGGCAGCAGGCAGAGCGGAAGTGTATTGGGGGGGTTGAGGGGACAGCGGTGGGGGAGGGGGAGGAGGTTAGGGTTGTGGAGATTGGTGATGGTGATGGTGATGGTGATGGTGATGGGGAAGGGGAAGGGGAGGGAGGGGAGGGAGGGTGTTATGCGTGTGGCGGGACGCATGTTAAACGGTTGGGGGAGCTGGGGAGGGTGGTGGTTAGGGGGGTGAAGAGGCAGAGGGGGGTTAGTAAGGTGGGGTATGAGGTTTTAGATGGGTGAGTTGGGTTGGGGCGTGGGATTGGGGAGGTAGGGGATGCTGTAGTTAGATAGGGGGATTTACCTGGAGAGGCTACTTGATTAGCGGTTCAGCTATGAACAGATGGGCGGAGAAAGCTAAAGGAATGGGCTGGTGGGAAGAATCCTGGGTGTTGCTGTGATTACAAGCTCCTGGAGGCTTTTAAACACGTAGATTATTGAGTGCGGTGCGTAGCGTACTGCCCTCCACACGGCGTGCTATGCCAAATCAGGCGCTCGCAAAGGTTGTCGCGGTCGTAAGTGGTGTTGTTTCATGACGTTTCATAGGTTTGGGACACCCCAGCTCTTTCTCGAGGGACGATGACTCGGAACGCCTGGACTGACAGGGCACAGTAAGAAGAGGACTTGTAAAAAGCTGTCCCAGAGGTCAAGAGGAGAGAAATAAGAGAATAAGCGAAGACCTAGTGATACTTCGATAGGAGCACGCTGGTGGGATTGTACTTTGGATAGCCGTTGGAAATACGTGAAGCTTCTACTGGTAGAATGGAAGCCCTCGATATAGGCTGGAATGGTCGGGTATAGTAGAGTAGATTTGGTGACAGATGGAGTCTCGAGGAGCCCTGCAGAGCCGCTCGCTTCGGAGTTGGCCCAAACGCCGTTGAAATCGGCAGTCGCAACCGCTGCCCAACACCTCCCCACAACACACCTTCCACGACCGACGGCGGGCTCAACGGTACGTACACACACTACGAATGTCCCGAATCTCCACCTAAGACTTGATTCTCTCAGCAAAATGTCGTCGTACCTCAACAACCTCCTCACGACTACTACGTCACGCTACAACTCGCTCCGCCGGCAGCTGCTCTCCGACGAAGCAGACGGCGACACCGAAGACGACTCGCACATTTCCCGCGTCCTCCGCGCATACTACACAGAGAAAGGACGGCCATTCCCGCCATGGCTGCCGCCCGATCCCAAAGCCCCGCAGGCCGCGCCCGCGCAGTTCGTGTCTTCCGCAGGACGAGGGTACGGCAACATGGGACCAGCACAGATGGGCCGTGGAGGCGCAAGCTTGAACGATCTATGGGATGCGCCGTCGCAGCCCCAGCAGCAGGAGCCTATGTCGCTCCGCCGCGCCCAAGGGCGGGGAGGAGGCGCGCGCCGCCCCGGCATGGGCGATTCATATTCCCCGGAACCGCAGGTGCAGGGCAGGCCGCTGCCGAGTCAGCGGGCCGGGAGCTATCAGAGCGCATCGTCGTTCCGCCCTGCTGAGCCATCGCCTCCACCCAGCGCCGGTTCGGGAGTTACAGCACAGGAGAGGCTCAAGGCGAGGCTGTGGGGCGCTGGGAGGTCGACGAGCCCGGCGCAGAGCGCGCCATCATCAGCAAGTACAAGTCCAGCGCCCGGCGGATCATCAATGCGAGGCCCATTTGACCGACCCGGTGGAGGAAACCGACCACCGTATCCCGAAGATCGCAGCAGCGGATACTCTAGCGGCGGTGGAAGGCAGCAAAATACACCCGGCACCTCTTCGAATGCGCCCTGGTCAGGCGAATACGACCCATATTCGTCTGCTGGGGGAGTGGGAGGGGGAGGGTACGGCGGTGGTTCGCAGCGTCCTGGCGCTGGTGGAGGCCGCGTTGGCCTGCCGAGCGGGCCACGCATGCGCTCGTGAGAATTTCCACGTTCGGCACGAGTGGCTGATTATTGGCGCTCACTTGAGGAGTACTTGGAGCCTTGGAGTCGGGCGGTGATCTACGATGTTATGGCAGTATGGCGCTACGGTGGCATGGGACGGGTTTGTCAAGTTTGCACACGTTAGCTAGGCGCTCGGGAGACTCTTGCAGGGCCTTAGCACAATATCAGACAGTATAGCGAAGGCTGCCCCGATTGCATGCTTGTGATTTGCGCCTGGGATCCTTCGGACGCGTCGCCTGCGTGCCCCGCCACAGACGGACGTCATCTGCGAACCACAGCACGGCTGATGACTAGCACAGCTCCCCACCACAACCCACCCGGAGGCGCAGCTGCTACCAATACTCTCCAAACCTGCGCCTATGCTCTAGAATATTATCTATTTCCTCGTAGCACCTCTACATCCTCTCATTGACCTTCCTATCCGACTGACGACCTACCCCATCCTTTGTAGTTGCCTTGCCCCGCATGGCCTCCCCGGATACGCGGAGCTCGCCTTCGCCTTCGGCGTCCTTCTACGATCTGAGCGATGACGAAGAGGGCGAGTATAATACTATCCGGCATACAAGCAGCGGACGGGGAGTGAAGCTGCTGTATTCAAAAAGCAAGGTAAGCGTTGACGCTCCTGCTCCCTCGAGGTGGCGTGAAGGCTGATGTACCTCGCCCAGGTCTATGTACACCCTACGCCGTCCGCCAGAGACAACATTCCCGGCTTCATAGCGCTAGTGCAGCAGAAGTCACCAGCGGAAGCCAACGATGCGCGACCCACCTCGTCCTCCTCCGCCCGCAGCGTGCATTCGTCCAACCTGCTCCTCGCCTGGCTGCCCGAGACGTCCCTGGGCGATTCCTACGATACCTATGTCAAGGTCGACATGTCTGACTCGTCGTCTCCGCCGAGGCAGACCTACCTTGTTCCCCCGCCGCCTGTGACTACTTCACATGGCTCTACGATCGGTACATACGCGTTCGCCGTCCCAGTGAGCGAGATATACTCGCTGCTGGTGCGCCCGCCGAGCATAGGATGGTGGTTTGGGAGTGTGGTGGTCAATACGCGTGCGGGCGATAGCTTTCCGGCTTTATTCTTCCACGATAGCGAGTGCCAGTCGACCATTATGCAGCGGAAGAAGCTGGCTCGGGAGAGCTTTGACCCGTTCAGCGATGGTGGCGGCATGTTCTGGGGCGGCGATGAGGTCTTGCGGTGGCTGAAGAGATACGTCAACGTCGAGCGTTCTGGAGTGGATGCCAGCATCTACCTCATCGAGCCCAGCGAGGAAGATAGACGATCAGTGGGGAGGAATGCACCTCGGTCGCCAAAGGCCAAAGCTGCTGACCGGGGAGAAGGCGGCGCTTCTTCGTCTCAGACGCCCGGGAAGAGAGACGGTGGGATGGATCCTGTAACCAAGGCGCTGAAGGAGGCGAGGTGGAATTTCCTCGAGAAGCTAAGCCAGGTGACGACTTTCACTAGGAGGACGGCGCAAGCTGTAGCAGAGAACCCGAAACTTCCCCCTCAGGTGCGGCGGCTGATCCAGAATCCGGAGGTGCAGACGCTTCAGGAGGAATTCGATAGCGCCCGACTGTATCTGGCGAGATGGGCTATGGGCATCGCAGAGCAGAGCGAGCGGGAACGCAATCAGAGGATATGGACTGCAAAGGATGTCCTGGCCATGGAGCAGAGCGATGTTGGAGACTTCGAGATTCTAGATATGGAGAGGATGTCGATGGCCGACAAGAGGAAGCCTCTGACCATGAAAGAGTGGACGGAATTTTTTGACGGGCAGGGCCGGCTACAGATCACGCCTGATGAGGTCAAGGAGCGCATATTCCACGGCGGTCTACATCCCGACGATGGCGTACGAAAAGAGGCGTGGCTTTTCCTCCTCGGCGTATACGACTGGGATAGTTCGGAAGAGGAGCGGAAAGCGAACCTTAATAGTCGTCGAGATGAGTACATCAGGCTCAAGGGCGCTTGGTGGGAGCGAATGGTCGAAGGCCACCACTCCCTAGAGCAAGAAGAGTGGTGGAAGGAGCAGAAGAACAGAATAGGTTCGTGTCCCCACTTACTCTGATACCAAGAACGAGATGACTAACTTTTCCCCATTCTATGGGGTCCGCGCTGTAGAGAAGGATGTGCATCGAACAGACCGAACTATTCCGATCTTCATGGGCGAAGACACGCCTCATCCTGACCCGGACTCACCCTTCGCGGACGCCGGAACGAACGTCCATCTCGAGCAGATGAAGGACATGTTGCTTACGTACAACGAATACAACAAGGATCTTGGATATGTGCAGGGAATGAGCGATCTGCTTGCGCCTATCTATGCTGTCATGCAAGATGATGCGGTTGCGTTCTGGGGATTTGTGAATTTTATGGACCGCATGGTGAGCTTCTTCCAGTCACAGATTTCCCCAACTTTTGAAAGAAGATCGAAGTTAATTATATTGCAGGAGAGGAACTTCCTCCGCGACCAATCCGGCATGCGAAAGCAGCTTCTCACCCTCGACCAGCTCGTGCAGCTCATGGATCCTAAGCTCTATCTCCACCTGCAGTCCGCCGATTCGACCAACTTTTTCTTCTTCTTCCGCATGCTGCTCGTCTGGTACAAACGAGAGTTCGAATGGGCCGATGTGCTCAGACTGTGGGAGACGCTCTGGACGGATTATCTCAGCAGCAACTTCCACATCTTCATCGCGCTGGCCATCTTGGAGAAGCATCGGGATGTCATCATGGCGCATCTCAAGCATTTCGATGAGGTCTTGAAGTATGGTAAGTGCATTCACCCTCATTTTCCGAACAGCGCAGTAAAGCTTCGTTTGTGCGGCAAGACCATAACGAACGTTCGCTTACACTTGATTAGTGAATGAGCTCTCTGGTACCATCGATCTGGAATCCACCCTCGTGCGCGCTGAATCATTGTTCCGGAGATTCCAGCGGACAGTCGAAACGATTGACAAGAAGGGCAACTTCCCGTCAGCCCCCCAAGCAAGACAACGGAAGTCGATTGCTTCACCACCAACCTCGCCGGGTCCGTCGAATACCAACGGTCAAGCTGCTACATCAGCCACCGATAAGGGGAAGCAACCGACCGGAGAAGAAGACGGAAAGGTAATTAGCCCTGAGTTGCGGGGTTTGCTTAGTCGGAAAGTCGAGAAGCTCGACAAAGAAGACGTGGTGAAGCATGGCGGTGGGTCGGGGTTGTAGGCGCAGTGATCCACGATAATGCAACACACGGCTTCTAAGCAATCGGGAGGCTCTCCTATCTCGTTTTCATTGACGGGTATCGGTATACATATCAGCAAAAGGGCGCGATCCACATCTCCTTCAATGGATGCGCTAGTGCATATACGGCGTTCAGGTCACGATGGTCAAGTGTATGGAATTCGGCAATGTGGGTACCGCGTTCGTCTTTCACTGCTCTCTTATCATGCATACACCTCACTCTTCTCGAACAACACGCTGGTCCTGGCACACCATGGTAACTTGGCTGTCTCAAACCCTTACTCGGTGAATGCAGCCGTGTGATATCATCGTCTCATCTCTGGTGTTTGCCCGACGTCCGGGCCCGCTCTGCACTTCACCTATTTCAGAATCGGTAGCTCAGCGACTCATGTGAGGATTCACATCGCGCTCGGACTTCACAAGCACTGTTGCCTGCCAACACAACACGCCTCGCAATCAGCACCGACCGCCCCGTGTCTTAAACAGCTGCGCCATCTCTTCAATGGAATATATTCGGCGCCTCTTCAGCGGTGGCAGCATTCCAGAGCCGCTACCACCTCTGCATCCCGAGCAGTCGCCAACAAGCATCGTACCTGCTATCCTTTCTTCGACGTCGCCTCGATCGCATCCGCGCCCGCCCCCTCCATCTCCATCTGGTCGTCATCATCACCATAAGCACAGGCGCAAGCACGGCAAGCACAAACACAAGCCCGAAGCCATGGCGTCCTTCAGTGGCCCTGCGTGTAAGAACCTAATCGACTTCATGAAAAACCTGAAGAGCATGCCATCAGACAAGAAGTCCGCCTTCGATGCGATATCCAAGGCAAGCATTGAGGCGATATGCGACACTGATGCGCTACATGTCTGGGAGACGGATTCGGATCTTGATAATTTGCTACAGCTCACGCAGGTCATTGTCAAGCTGCGAAGCACTCCAAGCTCGGCATCGCAGAACGCGAAGAAAGAGAGGGCTGCGGCTATGGTCATCATCACGGAAGAGAAGGAGGGTAGGGATAACTACGCAAGAGTCTGCGAGCTAGTTCGATACTTGGCAGGCAGCGACGGGAGAAAACATCTCAACGGCAACGTCTGCGCCTTTGACGCCATCGTCGTCGTCCGCGGCGTGGACAACTCCAACCTAACCAAAGAAACCGACCTGGCCGCAGACATCAAGCGCATCAACACCGCCATCGAGCGCGTCTTCAAAATCGCCCGCTTCCCCCGCCGGAAACTCGTCTGGCACCACGGCCCTAGCATCTCCTTCCTCAACTCCTGGATCAACAGCACCACCTCAGACCTGCGCTCCGCCCTCCGCGGCATCACCATAACCGCCGCCCTCGACCTCGCCGACGGCGTCAAGCCCTCCCCACTCGGCCGCCACAACAAACCCGACGACATCACGCAGCTGCAGACCTACGCCCGCCGGCTCGACATCCCCGTCGTCTTCCTCGACCCAGCGAGCCAGCTCATCACCTTCGAGTACCTCGCGACCTACATGTACTACTGGGCCTTCTACATCCACACCTTCCTGCCCGCGCGCCTGCGCCGCCCGCACCACCACAAGGCGCTCGACGAGCTCGTCACCTTCTGCTTCCGCGTGCGCGCCGCCGCCCACCGCGTCTACGGCGCCAGCGTCGTCGCCATGGTGAAATCGCGCCTCGACGCCGCGGCCGCGAGGCCCTGGGCAAGCGCCTGCATCGACGCCTCCAGCTTCGACAAGGCGCAGTGCAGAGCCGCCGCATCCTCAGACGCGCAGATCCACCACGCGCTGCAGCTCGCCGACGCGCCGTTCGCGCGCTTCGCGCACGTCCCTGGCTACGCGCTGCCGGCATTTAGCAGGCTGTTCGTCGGCCCGGCGGCGTCGGCTGCCGCTACATCCAGCTACTACGTCGCTGCGCCTGTAGAACTCAACCCCAAACTCTCGGCTGGCTATCGCGCCGCCAGCGCCACGCCGTTCCGCATCTTGCTCCCGCTGCCGGGCCAGGATGTCGAGAAGGTCACCGCGCGCGTGCAGGGCTTGATGATGGGCGTGCTGGAGCGCGTGCGCATGGAGCGGGGGATGCCGGGTTTGGGGGAGCGGGAGAGGGGCGTTTGGGTCGGCGTTGTAAGGGCTTGTCGGTGGGCGTTGGAGGGGGTGGATGGTGTGGGTGCCGAGGGAAAGGGGAAGGGTAGGCTGCCGGAGGGTGTGCCCGAGAAGGTGAGGTTTGTGAGGGAGAAGTTGGAGGGGGGGACGTGGGGGTTTGCGTTGGGGGTTGCGGAGAAGGGGAATAAGGAGAAGGAGGGGGGGAAGGGAGGGCAGGGACAAGGGCAGGGGCAGGGGAGGTGGATGTGGCAGGGCCAGGGTGCTGGGCAGGGGATGGGAGCGGCAGCTGGAGTGCAGATGTGGGGATGAACGGGAGCCTTGATACGATGCGATGCAATACCGCGCCTGGTCAAGGGATTTGAACTATCATATACGGATATAGATATGGATATAGACAGATATCAGCATCTACTTGAATACCTGACTGACTGACTGACTGACTGACAAGTCCACTTCGCCTCTACCGCAGGCACCCACCTAGAAGACCGGAGACCTCTGTAGTCCCCTCTCAGCAAGCATGTTAGCATGTCAAGAACCAGACATTTTCTCGGCGCTGGGACGGGCAAGGTGTCCTTGCTTGGTTCAGTCAGCCAGTGAATTATATGGACATAGAGTAGAGTCACTTGATTCAGGAACGAGCGTCTCGTCTCGTCTTGTCTTGTCTTGTCCACGGCATAGCCATGTGATGATGAGCATATCCTTTGCAATGACTACTACTCCAGGGCTACTCGAAGAAGACTGATGGACTACCTAGACTAGGCTACCTAGACTGGCTGGACTAGAACGCCTTTTCTTGTCTCGTGCTGGGACGTGCCCGTTTCCAGCTCGTCCAGCTCTTAAAAGCATCGAGTAAAGAATGGCATTGCAAACTTAAATTGCCCCTCTGGGCCGGGCCGAGTTGGGTTGCGCGACTCCAAAACCCGAGAGGTCGCCGAAAAAAGGTACGCTAGTTCTGCGCTCTCACCAACCGTTGTCCTAGGGCCCATAGGACGACATCATTTGCCCCTCAATCGCAGCACAGGCCCCCCACAGCCGCCTAAGTCATAGGTTTCATCGCGCCCTCACCGACACTACCATCCTGATAGATAATAGTACGCTCATTGATGCCCTTGAAGACGACATTGACCATGCTGAGCGTCTGGTAGCGCATGTCGATAGCCCAGTTCTCGCTCTTGATGCGCGACATCGCGCTCTGGGCGTCGTTGTTGTAGTCGTAGAACTCGATGCGCGGGCCGAGGAGGAGGATGCCGTAGCCGTGGCGGATCTTGGCCTGGACGCCGAGCGAGTAGCTGAGCAGCTCGGCGCGCGGAATGCTGACGCCGCCGGTGCTGTTGCGGTCGGGAACCCAGTTGTTGAAGGTTTGCAGGTCGTCCATCATGATGCCGAGGTATGTGTGCGGGTAGTCTTGCAGGTACTCGTTTCCGTCTTTGTCTATGACTGTGTGTTCTTGATAGACGACGTAGCCTGCGATGCGCTCGGGCAGGATGCGGTGGTATTTCGCGCTGAACATCTCCCACTGCGGGGCTGTTGATGCTGCCTTCTTCTTGTGGGCTGCTCCGGGTCCGGTGGCGGCTCCGGTGGGTTCGGGATGGAGCCAGAATGCCCAGCCGTGCGCAGCCATTACGTTGAAGGTGCAGGGTTCCACGGTGAAGCCTTGGTTCTTCGGGTAGTAGTGCTCCAGCATGGCGACGGCGAGGGCTTGCGCCCGCGTCATGTGGGATTCGTAGGATGTGTATTCGTGTTCGAAGCCTTGCTGGTAGGCGTCGTAGAGCTTTTGGATCTGGGGGATGTGTGTGATGCGCTCCTGCGTGAAGTCGGGGAGGGTATTGGAACCGGAGTCCTCTACGAACGCACGCGTTAGCAGGTGCCTTAGACTGAAGGGGAAGACCGCCGACTCTAGCATATCTTAGGTCTTTACTTGTTGAAAGCCATCAAGAGTAGCATTCGGCAGATGACGACTGAGAATATTGGAGCATGTACCGCGACCTACGTACCATCGTCCTCCTTTTGTTCGAACTCATCGCCCGGCGTCGGGTAGGCATCGTATTCATGTTCCCTCGTTGGTTCCGGCCTGTTCGCAACCATAGCGCCGTCATCGTCGCCGAAGAGCATCTCGTCTGAATTCGGCTTGTTAGACACCTGGCCATCCGGGGTGGAGGGATATCTCCAACCGGATTCGGAGCTCTTGTCCCCTTCGTCCTCGTGTCCGACTTCGTCGATGTCCATTTCTTCAGTCTGGAAGGTGGTATCCATTATTGCTACTGTGATTTGGCGATGGGGAGTGGGTTGCGTTCAAAGTTGAGGAGAGGTATTGCTCTTGTAAGAAGAGCGCAGGTGTTTAAGTTGTGTTGTGGCTTATCAAATTTTGTGGTCACCGATGGTGGAGCTTGGAGTGTGAAAGCGAGTATCTGGCGGATAGCAGCGGAAATCTGTTCTGATATGGATTACAGGGCGCATGACGACTTTGCGAAACGGTGAATGAGTTGAGGGTCTCCAGGCAACCGAATGAACTCTCACCGAAGACTAGCGATTTTCGAAGTTTTAAAGTTGCGTCCTGGACGGATGGAAAGTCATGCTGTTCGGTCAGCCTGTCGTAGAATTTATAGGGACTGGTTGGCGAGCGGTGTGGCAAGGACGCCACATCTCGTGATGGCGAGACGCCTTCTTTCACCGATGAGGCTAGTCGACGTAAGATGCTGGGGAATTGTAAGAGGCGCAAGGTATTTCAGGTTGGCGGGTAATTTCTGGTGCTGTTGCACTAAGAGTTGAGGGAACTTCAATCCACGCTGTCGGAGTTTGGCGACGGAGGGTCTTCATGCCCAGCCCCCGCTAGCTTTTTCGCCTTGTCCCGCTCCTTCTTCTTAACCTTTTTCTCTCTGTTCCTTCTCGTTCTCTTCTCTCGCTCTGTCTCCTCCTTCTCCAGGGCCAGTCGGGCTTGTTCGGCCTCCTTCTCCTTGGTGGCCTGCAGCTTCTTTCTCAGTGCGATCCTGCTCTTCTTGCCCTTCCGCTTCCTCTTCTGCACCTTCTCCTCCACTGTTACCAGTGTTGGAGGGTGACCGACAAGAACAGATTTCTTCAACCCTGCCGCTGATATCATCTGGACCTTCCATGGCAGTGCACACCCAGGCCACGGCTCTCTTGACATGTCCATTACGGCGTCGCCAGTCATCGCCACGGCGTCCAACTCCTTCTCCTTCTCGCTTGTGATAGCATCCGCGAAGTAGTAACTCCTCGGCTTCTTCACTACGAAACCAGGGTCGTCGGTTCCTGCACCTGGAGAAGAGAGGCGGATCTTGTGCGATTGCGGGGCATTGGAGGGCGCGGCGAAGAGTATAAGCTCCGCCTCGTCATCTTCGCTTGCGGCTGTGGCCGCCTCGTCTTTTGCAGCTTCGCTCTCGGTTGCCGTGAAGGCGAACTCATCGTGGGCTCGGGAGCGGAGGAGCTCGGTGAGGTCAGGGTCGGGCGAGGAGCGGGGCGAAGAGGCGGGAGACTGAAGCTCGTCGCGGCGGACCCTTTGGATTTAGTATGAATTTATGGATGCGGCATCGATATTTCCTCACCGCTTTGCGCTGGGCAGGTCGAACATTTTGGCGAGGCCGTCCGACAGTAATGTCGTGAATTTTGAGATTTCGAAGGTTGACGTTAGGGCCGCGGCAGATGGACAGCGCCAAGACCACCATCCCTGCTCCCCAGACCCCTCAAGCATCCTCTTGTTCAAACTCCGTCCTTGATTGCAGCAACTTAGCAGCAACTCTCTCCATCCATCTCATCATTCATTTACACGGCGATAAGTCCGGTGCAAGCTCGACAGCCACATTCCCTCCTAGCATATTGTCAGTCCTGGCATACTGCAACAGTCAGCTCTAGGAGGCATTCCTTCCCAGAAGGGGCCACAACACCTAGGTATGGAGCAGCACATGCTCACCCATATACCCCTGGTGGAAGAGGCAACTGACGGTGGGCCGCGACGGGTAACTCTTGGATTTCTACATTTACCCTTTTCGGAACATGGCCTCCATTCGCGAGGCTGAGCCTTGCCCTTTTCGGAAGACGTCAAACACAGCCCAGTAATAAGGATCGTGAGGCTGAAATGCAACGCAGTCTCTTCTTCTTCTCTCTTCCTTTTGCCTTATGGATTCAGATTTAGCGACTTCCCACTTTCGCTCGGGAGGCAATGGACCACATTCCTTACCCAACGGATCTCAACCTTGCCCCGGTCGTTGTTCCCTACATTCAAACTTCCGTGTTCGACCCTGAAGATTTCGATGCTTTCGAGACGCGACTCCGAGGAGGCGACACCAGGCTCTCTGCCCGCGAACATGCGGGATTAGCTCAGGCTTGGTTGTACTTTGGCTTTCTCGAGGTCTTTGTCGGGGAGAAAATTGACAAGCGAAGATTCCTTCGGAGGCCCACGGCACCTGAGGCGGTCGGTGTGGAATATGTGCTGGACAGCTCCGCGTTACCAAGCCTGCTGGACGGCTGCGTACGTCGATTTCGCAAGTCACGTCGGGAAGCTCGAGAAAAGCATCTACAGCATTGGAGCAGAACCCTCAGGACAGCCCAACAGCACATCTCGCAATTGCAGAACGCTTGCTACACTGGCGGCTTGGAGTGGGATGAGACGTACGGCGCTGTCTTCCTGTCGATCAGCATCCTTGAGGTCACTCTGCGAGACTTCTACTTCCGGATGGACTACACCTGGTCGGCCAAGGAGCGAAATTGGGGCGCCTACCCGAGGGCTATGAACAAGCGGATGCCCGGCTTCAAACCCGTCCTCCAGCATGGACACCACGATCAGGCAACTCCGGGAGCTCGATTGCTAATCAAGTACGTCCGTCACAATACCCTTACCTGTCCTTGTTTCGGCTCTTCAAAGCCGCCCTTGGAGGCCCTCACCAGGTGGAACACCTTTAAGCCAAGGCGGTTGCTGATCGGAAAATTTCGCAGACGGATGAAAGAGGCGGCGTGGTGTCCGCATCAGACCGGCCTATTTCTGGACACCACCGATTATGTCGTCGGATATTATCTTTCGTCCATACCAAGGAAAGAAGAAGCGACGCACGAAAGATGCACAGAGGAGCGATGCATCGCATACAATACCGACAACGCAACTTACGTCACGAAACATTTCAAGAGTCGTTGCGAATGCTGCACGGTCGAGGCATCGGACCACGCTCTCAATGGCATCGTTGCTACTAATGGAATTCCTCTTATTCGCATCAAAAAGGAGCCCAGCGGTCAATATCTTTTGGGTGTTGTCGAGTGTAAGCCGGATACAGAGTACACTGCCATCTCGCACGTCTGGATCGATGGACTTGGAAATCCGAAAGCAAACGGCCTGCCTAATTGTCAGATTGAGAAGCTGGCTGAGCATCTACTCCAGCTGGAACGATCGCAAGAATCACTGGTATTGCGGCTTTGGCGGGCCGTATGGAGACGACGGTCGAAAACGCCCCTAGTATGGATGGATACGCTTTGCATTCCCGTCAAGCCCGAACATAAACATCTGCGAGAGAAGGCAATCAACGGCATGTCTCTGATATACGCTGGCGCAAAGCAAGTCCTGATTCTGGACGACGAGCTTCGCCGAATCGACTCCAGGAATGAGCCCATTCAACTTCTCCACGCCCGTATGCTCGCTTCAAAGTGGAACTCGCGGAGCTGGACCTTACAGGAAGGCGCACTGGCCCAGAAGGTCTACTTTCAATTTCGTGGTTCCGCTGTTCCCCTGGAATTTCCGGAGCAACCTTATCTAAGGTCCTTCCTTAGACTCTTCTGGCGAGCGCTCAAAAGCCCTAGATGGTTCCTAACCTTCATTCACGAGTACAGTACAAATCTACGCAGAAATTGGTCCTGGCCTTCATTCTTCAAGAATCCGGCACCTTCTGGCTACCAAACGATGACGCATTACGTCCAACGCTCCTTCCATGTCCTAGCGTCAACGCACTTCGACCTCCAAATCACATCCGAGGTCATCCGTCTCTCTGGCTGGAGCATCCGATTCTTCACAACACAGACAAGCTTTGGCTCTTTGCGTCACAAATTGGAAAGGACGTGGAACATGCTGGGTCAAAGGACGACCACCTATGCTGAGGATCTGCACGTCGTCATCGCGAACCTTGCGGGCTTCAGCGTGTCGCAAATCATGGGGCTAGCGACCCCGGATCAGCGGACAAAGACCATCTTGCACCGTATCGGCGCTTTCAACGTGGGACTCCTTTGTAACCGGTACTTGAGACCTCTTGCAGCGGAAGATTCTGCGGATAGGTGGATTCCTAGCTTTCCGGCACCGGACCAGCTTGAGGGGAATTTGACTTTAGTCGTGGAGGAGAGAGGGATGACGTTCCACCCGGATACAAAGCAGGGGGACGTTCGAGCCTTTTTGATTCACAATTCCGCCTCTATGGAGTCCTTTTGGATAAAGTCTAGTCGACCTTGTCAGGACTCGAACTGTTCCTGTCACAACAACGAGGACGGAACCGAAGACCCCAACGACCAGCCTCAACACAACCAGCCACAAGATGGCCTATTGGACAATGCGGAGGACGCGCATACGGGGCAAGGCCAAGAACCGCTCGAAGCGTGTTTGCAAGAACAACATCGTTCAGACGCCATTGAACCGGTCTCTCACGCCTCTGAAGGCTCGGGCTTCTCCACCAATAGCAAGGGTGAACACTTCATCCATGAATGGTATCACATTACATGTCGGCTTCCAGAAAACGACAAGCTTGAGCGCTCTCGCTACCAGGACAACAAAGCCTGCATCCTCCTTATTCCGCCCCTCTTGAATGGACCTAAGACAAGGCTACAGGGAGCAAGGCTCTTGGAGACGGGCCGTTCGGAGGCAGATGCTAAGGTCCATCTTCGATACGATTGCCCGCTGGAATACAGTATCCATAGCTTGACCCCGTCTCATGATACCCTGGGCGGTGCACCGGTCCTATTCATCATGCAGGAAGTGTCTCACAACGATATCCTTATCGAATGCCGTAAGTGTCTTTTCTGCAATTATTACCTACCACCGACTGACCACGCACCTACAGAAACAGATCCCAACATCCGCACCAAGTACTTCACGCGCGACGGCTCCTTCTTTATGCGCTCGCCCTACGGCATCATGGGCATCCTCGGCCTCCTTCTCTTCATCATCCTGATGGGCGCCATCGTGCTCTTCGTCTTCGCAGTCTTGCAGGGCACCTCCCTGCGCAAATATTCCGTCGCTGTGAGATGGGCGGGCGACATCGCGTGCTCGACTGTGATCATTATCATGACTGTCTTGTTGTATAAGATGGTGTTGAGGTGGACGCGGATCCAGGCCTTCAGGGCGTGGAAGAAAACGCTGGAGGATGATTGGAGGCCGCAGTTTATTGGCGGTGGTCAGGGCTGGTGGAGGAGGTTTTGGGCATGGGTGGCGAAGGATCGCAGGAATGAGAAGTGGAAGAGGAAGAGTGTGGAGTATGAGATGGTGTCTGTGTTGTAATGCGTGCATTGCATACTAGCGAATGCCTGTCTCATTTTCAAAAGGCTCGCTCGCTAACTTGACGACCTGGAAGAGTAGCTAGCTTTTCTAGAGTCGGAATTTAGAGCATTTAACTATATGTTCAAAGCAAATAGACACCTCTTTGTCTGGATACTGTCTGATTGGCCTCTGCTAGGACCTTCCTAGACCATTTGAAATGCGCTTAGATGCCCGTGGGCAGAGCTTAGTTGTAATCATAGCCACGTGATTTCGAGGTCGCTCCCGACCATAAATCTTAAAAAGGTTGTTTTTGTTAGGGTTCCATTGACTACTAATTAAAAATAAAAGTAAAAATTTAGGACTTTAGAGGCTTCGTAGTTAAATATTTCTTTTTAGTAATACTACCACGTGCGGCATAACGTCCGGGTCTGGGTCCGTGCTCGTCGCTCAACTTCTGACCACGAGGCCGTGGCTTTCTTCACTCCTCTCCCCAATCGCTCATTTTAAACACCCATCGATCCTGAAGCCTGCAAGTCATATCTCTATGTTCTGGCTAGAATACAATTGCTTTACCAGGATCTGGAGAGGAATTTCTTGTTCTACAGCCTCATCCTCTACCAGAATTGTCGCTCCAACGAAATCACTCCAAGAACACCCCAAGGATACCCGAAACACGCTGTACTGATCTTCCAGCTGAGCAAAAGAGCAAAATAAACACTCTGGGGTATCATACAATCATCAAACAAGGAGCTCGTGCGTGAAGCTCTCCCCATCTCGAGTTACAACGTGCGCCTTCCACGATACGTCAGTTCAGAATAATTCCAATAAATGGCTGCCGTAGCCTCACCACCTAGACAACGCCGCCGGCATCTGCGACCTGTGCAGCATGATCTGCTGCTTTCCTCCGCTCATACATGTTCCGCAATTGAAACGCGGAAATCGCCAGTCCGCTGGCTGCGAACAAGACACCCGCGACCCCAAAGACCATGGACTGTCTCGAACTGTCTGCAGAGACGGCTGTCTCGGTCGAAGTAGATGTGGATGTCGCTGCTGGTACCAGGGCTGTTACTACCAGCCTCGTAAAGTTCGAAGCTCGTAGCGGGCTTGAGCTGGGGACGAGGCGCATCGAAGACTGTGCGAGACCTTTTATCAGAAGAGGTCTTGCGAAACTGGAAATGTTGGCCATCGTTTGGCTACGATATGGTGCGGATGGGGTTTGGTGACTAGACGACTGTCTAATCGAAGCGATGTGTGCCGATAACGTTGAGCGGAGGCCAACATTCGATAAAACGACCACACATCGGTAGTGTAGGAAAAGTGGTCAATCGGTGGCCACATTGACGGGGCCTGGCCAAGGGGATGAAGCCATCTTGTACGCCGCCCACGGATGGGCATGTCGTTCACCGGAAGAATGATCGGGGCGTGCGGATCAGGCAACGACCCAAGGCCCCACGCAGAGCCTCAGAACCACTCGAGCCGACATCGTTCCACCATCCCGATCGGGAAGTGCACGATGAGGCGAAATAATGCAGCGAATGTGACGAATGCATCGCACGGCAAGAACCGGCTGATCCTGGGATTTCCACCGCACTGCCACTGCGTATGCGCCGATATATACTTGTGGAAACCTGTCACGCGATCGAAAAGAATTTTACCGCTTTGAGGTGGCTCGATGGTGTCGTAACAAGTTGGGGCTTCGCAACGGAAAGAGAATTCGCCCCAGCTTTTGATGCACGATCAGGTGTTTTCCTTGGCGAACTACGCCACCTCTCAGCCCTTCAGCCCTTCTACCCCCGCACCATGTCGGCCGGGTATGGAGCTGGGCTGAAAGACGCGTGGGTTCGTGGGGTTTGTGCCTGGGTGTCCAGAATGTCGGTCATCCGCTTGCTTCCACCATGATGTAGATCCACCAGTCTCGTCACTTCCAAATTCACAGGGCTGGCATAGTGGGTCTCAAGTAAATTCAGGTATATCTTCCTTACTCATCGCTACAGTACAGGTCTATATGCTCACAAACAAGTGTAGGGCTCCATCCGTCTCAACGCACTTTCGCACAGCCCACCGACTGACATGCACCAAATTGTCGCACACAGTCCACGTAAGACTAAAGAGGAGCGATGAAGTCCCTCAATGCGACGTTTCGCAGGGCGACTTTGGTCTCGAGTCATTTCCGGTATCTATACAAGTCAGCCACAAGCTCAGATCAGGAACTGGGGCACCATCCTACCTATACGGTCTGGAACGCGTCGAAAAGGTTCTTCTTCCGCTGATACATGTGCCGCAGCTGAAGGGCGGCAATGGCGAGCCCGATGACTGCAATGAGAACGCCTATGACTCCGAAGATGATAGTCAGGCTCGGAGGGTCCTGTGCGTCGGAGGAAATCGAAGTCGGTACGGGGACTGTGGATTCCACCGCGAGCTTGGCGACCTCGAAGGGATCAGATGCGCTCGGGACTGAAAGATTGGGTCCCGCCCGTGTGCTATTGTATGCACGGGTTGTTGTGTCGTTGAACATTGCGCCGGGGAGGAGCGGGACAAGTGATTGAGCATTTAATCGAACAGCAGGAACGATGCGATAGAAGGCTCGACGAGCTTCTCAACCGCAGCGATCCAGGAAGACGAGGCCATATTATACTCTGCAGACCGGATGGCTTCGCCATTCAACATGGGAGGTGCGACGAGGACGGGGAGTTCGGAGGGGGCGGCCGCGGTGGAGTGTGGACGTTTCGCACCACGAAGAGGTGCGAAAGATGCGATAGCCAGTAATAGCCTGGTTTCTCGTTCCGGATCATGCACTGACTACGCACGGTGGAACCAGCATGCAACGGTCCGTCCAGGTCAGTTACGCAGCGAAATGGCATCGCAGATGGAAGTGGCTTCGCAACGCAACGGGAACGGCTGGCGCCGCGATAATGTGCGACGAAGTGCGAGTGCGATAGGTGCGAAGACGTACCTGATAGGCTGATGGGACATGCAAGACCCCTTTAGCGAGCCAGCCATGCATGCAGTCCGCAGCTGCACACTACGTCAGCATCTTGGCTTGGGCGGAGCCGGAGTTGAAAAGAGAGCCTGTCGCTCATTTTCGCATCTGTCGCACTTTATCGCACCGATTCTACATACCAGCCTTAGCCTGATTCCTCCTCAACCTGGGCTGTTGGCAGCGTTATGGCGACAATGGCTCCTGAAGAAGTCGAAGCTCTTGTTGATGAGGCGCCGACGAAGAAAAGAAAGCTGGATCTGGTTAAGTGCGATAGATGTCGCGTGGACAAACAAAAGGTACGTATACGGTATCCCGCCCTTCCCCGGCGGACACTGCCGTCAATGAAAACGACCCATTGGAACTCGAGCGAAATATCAGCTCAAGATGGCCGCGCAACCTACTGGGCCTGGATTAGCGACCCCGAATCGACAGGATGTCCTGTCAGATGCGGAAGAACGGCGTCAGGGATTGCGTCTCGGCCCTTCCTGCAGTGAACGCAATATTGTGCTGATAATCAACCCAGTGCCTTCCTGTTGACCGACTATGGCCGACAAGATGCAATCGCTGCATCGAGAAAGACTTCGCATGCTCGGAAGGCAAGAGGGTGGAACGAAAGACGAAACATGCAAAGAGCCCGGAACGGGTTTTTCCTCCAGATATCGACGACGCAGCTTGCCCATCAGAACTCAAGCAAAAGGCCAACCAATGGAGTTTCCTCCTCAGCTACCACAAGATTATGAGCATTGTCATGTCGCGACTTCCGGTTCTGAGTAAAGAAACTACGATGCCCTTCATTGATATGTGGCAGGATAAGCTTGAGACCGGGGAGATCACCGGATCTTTGTATCGTCAATTCTCCATCTTCTACGCGAACCTTGATGTGGCTCTATTTCGGCTCACCAACGAAATGCTAAACTCGAAGTTGCCGTCACTTTCTCCAGATCAAGGCGTATTCTCGGCTTTATTAGGACACGTTCTCACCTGGTTTCCCAAGAAAACATCATGCCCGGTATGCAATCCTACCGATGATGAGCACATACTCCAAGATCTCCAGCGTCGTGGGGATGTCGGCAGCGAATTCCTCGCTCGATTAGGTCGAGTGACAAGACATCTGCGCGATAGAGAGCACTGGGATTTCGACGCACTCGGCTTACTGGAAGCGGAAATGACCAAGGTCTTTGAAGTAGCTTCTAAGATCAATTCTACAGCAACGGTTGTTCTGGAAGAACTCGGATTGTACGATTCCGTGCCTGAAACTCTACGAGAGCATTTCTTCATCGAGCCTCAGGATGTAACCTATCGTCTCTTCTGGACGGGATATGCGAAGACCGACTGCTTTGGACGAAGCCCGCTACATCAATGGCTTGATGGCACTGACGAATTAGTGGACGAGCGTGATCTTCCAATCCTTAAGTCCGCTTGCTCCGAGGATTATATCGACGACCAAGACGTGCTTTGGCGATCACTTTTGCACATTGCATGCCAAAGAGATTGGGAAGTTGGGGTACAGCACTTGCTGTCAATGTGCGCCGATCCAACGTTGCGTACAATTTACGGTAGCCTACCCTTCCATTACGCCGCCGCGAAGGGATCCTTGAACATTTGCAGGCTGCTCTTGGAACTACCCGAGATGGGGAGCTACTTCAACTGTACGGACTTTCAAGGCAACACCGCACTCTACTACGCCATCGCGAGTAAGAACACTGCGCTGGTCAGATTCCTTCTCCAATTCCCCGAAGTCGACCCAAATCATACTTGGGAATCTGTGTGCCCACCGCCGCTGATTAAGGCAATATATTCCGACAATGAGGAGATGGTGCAGCTCTTGCTGGACCGTGGCGCCGATCCTTCCGCCAAGTTCTACGGACATACGGCTTTCTACTACGCAGTCCGCAGGCAGAACATCGGTATCATGAAGCTGCTCGGAGCCAAGTCGAAGGCCTCAGAGGATCCCAACAACCCCACGAGATCCAAAGCTCTGTATACCCTCCAGCAATGGACCGAAGGTGAAGTTATAGCACCCCATGGGGACAGGGCCGATGTCGAGTTTCCTATCAACCAGCAGGAGGTTTAACCCGAGCATTTTGCCTCCCTTGCAATCGCTTCGTATGCGCTCAGCTCCATTAGGCCTAAAGGTCTATTGCGACAAGCACTTTACGGATTGTGCAATTACGCTTCACCGATTTCTACATTCGGCCGACATACAGCGCTCCTAATGGCGAATAGTCATGCGTGGCTGTATACGCGAACGAGTTCTGGAGATTGTCATTCTCGATTAGCTTCCATACATATCATCTTCTCAAAGCAATCGAGTCTCTCTTGGTGCTGTTGCTCTACCGTCGATGAGCAACTGATTCATTAGCCTATGCGATTCGGCTCATCAACCTGACGCTCGGTTGATCATCACCCCGACCAGGCGTTCGGAAATTGGTACCTCTCCCCAGGTCAACTCCGCACTCTCCACTCCCCGCAAACTTGCGATACGTCAATCCGCATGCAGGAAGGGGCTCGGGAAAATATTCTTGGCTTTTGAGCTTGACCCGGGGACTGATCCTTCCTGCCTATCGCCAAGGCCGAGTGCTCGGTCCTAGCCAGCCGACGGCGAAATTCGCACGCTATTCTAATTAATTATGACCGAAAACCGGCAAGGCCATATGCAGGTACATATTGAGCCGGTTTCAATGCGAAATACATCGCTTCGCCACGCCTTTCATTCTTGCGGTATCCTACCAAAATGTGGAAAGCGGCGCTGGCTCTCCTGGGCCTTGGACAGCTCTCAAGCCTGGCAACTGCACAGGTTCAGAGCTCAGGCAATGCTGTTAAGGTCAAATGGCTCGAAGGGACGCCAATGCTTAATTCCGGTACTACGTTCGGCCTTCCGTGGGCTCGAGGCCAACATCCCTCCAACGGAACGACATTTACCGCGTCCTATGGTACCGGCGACCAGGTGCAGCTTCAATCATGGATCACAGCATATTGGCCTGATGGCTCGATCAAGTGGAGCGGACATGCCATATCTGGAGCCGAAACAGCCCACGACGAATACACGGTTACGGCTTCCAATGCCTCTTCCGCCGGCATTAGGCGCCGAGCCGCTAATGGAACCTCTATACAGGTCACGGAGACGTCGGACAGCGTCATAGTCGATACCGGCAAGATTTCTGCTTCTTTTCCGAAATCTGGAAGCGTCTTGGTTTCCTCGATCAAGACATCGACTGGCAAGACGGTGGGCAGAAACGGGCGCTTGATCTTGAGATCGCAATCGGGGGTATCGGAGGACGGGGATGCATCCGGAATCAGCTACTTCAAGTTTGGGAGCAAGATCTACAATGCCACCGTATCAGCCGAAAGTTTGGTGCGTGCTTTGGTGACGGTGCAAGGCATCCACCAAGTAGATGGGAATTCAACCGCTACTCATAACGACTGGCTCCCGTTCACCCTTCGCTTCTACCTATACGCCAATTCTTACGCCATTCGCACCGTCCATACAATAGTCTATGATGGCGATGCAAAGAGCGACTTCATCTCTGGCCTTGGTATTCGCTTCGATGTTCCCCTCGCCGGAGACGAGCTGTACGACCGCCATGTCCGGATCGCTGGTGCGGATGGAGGAATACTGCATGAGGCAGCCCAAGGGCTCACGGGCCTGCGTCGGGACCCAGGAAAGGCCGTGCGAACCGCTCAGTACAACGGCACAAAGACGCCAAACAAGAGTACGTGGACCACTGGGGTTGCCGATCACTTACAGTGGGTCCCGGCATGGAATGACTTCCGTCTTACGCAACTATCGCCGGACGGCTTCAATATCATGAAGCGCACTAAAGCCGGCCAGAGCTGGCTCAAGATTCCGGGTGGAACACGGGCAGGCGGCCTAGCATATCTTGGAGGAGCCACCACTGGTGGGTTAGCCGTCGGACTACGCGATTTCTGGAAGAAATATCCCACGAGCTGGGATGTTTCTAATGCTGCCACGGAGGAGGGTTCCATTACGTTGTGGCTCTACAGCCCCTCAGCGGAACCAATGGATCTGCGGCCGTACCACGACGGCTTAGGCGAGGATACTTACGAGAAGCAGCTGACCGCTTTGGACATTACATATGAGGATTATGAAGGCGGATACAACACACCTTACGGCATCGCTCGAACCAACGAGCTCTTTATCTACGCGTTCGACAGCACGCCTTCTGCTGACCACCTGTCTGCGCTAACGAACCATACCAACGAACCGCCTGTCCTCGTCGCCGAACCGGAGTACATCCACAACACCAATGCGCTTGGCTCCTATTGGAATCTTCCCGGTGCAACCTCTAATTCGTCCTCAGCAGCAACGATCGAGTCACACATGGACTTTCTGGTCAAGTTCTACCAGGACCAGGTCGAGCAGCGCCGATGGTACGGTTTCTGGGACCATGGCGATATCATGCACAGCTACGACACGGATCGGCATACGTGGAAGTACGACATTGGAGGCTATGCATGGGATAACTCTGAACTCTCTCCCGACCTCTTCTTCTGGAATTACTTCCTTCGCAGTGGCCGTGCTGATGTGTATCGTCTCGCTGAAGCTCAAGTTCGGCACGGAGGCGAAGTCGATTCTTACCATCTCGGAAACTTCACTGGCTTGGGGACGCGACACGGAGTTCAGCATTGGGGTGACAGCGCAAAGCAAGTCCGCATCTCCACCCCCGTGTACCGCAAGACTTTCTACTACCTCTCAGGCGGCGATGAGCGAACGGGTGATCTCGTCCACGAGGTCCTGCAATCGGAGAAAGCTTGGGTTCTTGTCGACGCTCGTCGGAAAGTGCGCGACCCGAGCGTCGTCTACAAGCCCGATCCAAGTGCTCTATATCTCGACTTTGGTACCGATTGGGCGGGCGTAGCGGCGGCATACTTGCTCGAATGGGAGCGCCGCGGGCCGCGCTGGGAAGAAGCGCGTGATAAGCTAATCGAAACCGCGAAGACATTCCCTCAGCTGAAGTTCGGCTTCGTGACCGGCGAGGCACTCTACAACTCGTACACGGGCGCATGGGCACCTCCGCCGACCGATCCAAACAACAACGGCACCGTCAGCGTCTCGCACCTCTCAGCCGTCTTCGGCGTCCTAGAAACCCTCGACCAGCTTTTCGCACACTATCTCGAAACCCCCAAGCCCTTCATCGACGCCTGGCTCGACTATTGCTACTACTACGGCGCGAGCAAAGCTGAGCAGAAAGCACGCTACGGCAAGGACTTTGGCAGTCTCAGCCTGCGGCAAGGCCATTCTCGTCTTACCGCTTATGTCGCGCGTATGAGAAACAATGCTACGCTGGCGAAGAGGGCTTGGAACGAGTTCCTGAATGATGATAGCCCAGACGAGCTGAACCCGAACGATCCGTGGAAGACGGAGCGGATCGATGGGAGCGGGGTTCTGGTGCCGGTCGATGAGGCGAGTTGGATCACGACGAATGCGGCGGCGCTGTATGGGCTAGGAGGGATTGAGAATTTGGCGCTTGTTGGGGGGCCGGAGGGGATGCGTGGGGGGAATGGGACTGTGGGTGAGTAGGTGGGAAGGGATGGTTTGCGATTCGGACACATCGTATTTTCATAGGGAATGAAGCAGTCTTTCCTCAGGGCGGTTGAGTTTTTGAGAATCCTGTAATGTGGATTCGGATACCTGGGTAAGCACTCGAGGTATGTTTTCTCTGTGCCACGCAAGGACTATCTTGGACTGGCTACTGATTCCGCAAGGCCCAAGGCCGCCGCACTAATAGAGTCATGCTGCTCGAGAAGCCGGGTTCTAATTCGCTTTTTATCCTCGATATAAACCTTAGAAAACACCATTCGATGACAGACGCAATTCTATTCTGGAAACCGCATCATCGAAGTGCTGTATATGAACATGAAGTTTGACCATAAGATATATCAAGAGACATCGACCTCGTAGGTCCATCACCAACAAAGCCGGCGCTCAAATCGGCTTCGAATATAAAGAAACCACCAGACACTAGAACCCGTCAGATAGAGCTCCATCCCCAAATTCTGCCGGCCTCGCTCTCAGATAGGAATCGGCGGCCCAGTAGGCCTCAGCCCGCGCTCCACCCTCCTCCGCATAATCGCCTCCTTCTTCTCCATCCGCGCAAGATACGCCTTGAGGTTGAAGTTGCGCTGCAGCCGCGGCAGCTCCCACACCGGTATGCGCAAGTCGCGCACTAACCGCTTCTCGGCGGCGAGGAGCTCTGCCGTTGTGAGCTGCTTGGCGTCGGCGCGGAGATTGCGCCACTCCGTGGAGACATCGTTCGTGAGGGGTAGGTGATTTTGAGGGAGCGAGGCGCGGGCGGAGGCGAGCGCGTAGTCGCGGCGGAGGGGAAGGGGTTGCCGGAGCTCGAGGTCGTCTTGCGGGGTCACGATTATTAGTGGTTCTTCGACCACTGGTTGGTATAGCTTCGGGAAGATCACGGCTAGGTCCAGTTTTATCTGGAAGTCTTCGTGGCGCTTCATCGGGGGAGGCGTGTTTATGCCGCTAGGCTCTCCCTTTCGGGCAATTCCACATCCTCCCTGGGTGCCGACCAGGATCGATCGTGAGCGGAGCTGAATGCCCTTCGGGGCTTGTTCGACTGCGGATGGTGGGGTTGTAGCATTGGTGATCTCATCTAGCTCAGAGGATCCCGAGCTGAGCGACTCACCGCGGGAAACTGGGTCTTCTGGATAAAGGTTAGCATTATTCGAATGGCTGTCGCTGCTGGAATGATATTGGAACTTACCTGGCTCCCATGGGCCGACGTCCGCCATCTCGCAGTACTCACACGTCTCCAAAGCCATAATCATGAGGAAGAGCTTAGTGGATTGCCGCGGCTTCACAACCACCAAGCCGAACCATATAGGGACGGATACAAGCACTGCTGCCGGCTGAAGGAAGAGGTCAAAGCCCTGAAGCTGTTCGCCGTGCGCGGTAATCAGCAAGTCATGACGAGCAAGTCGAGCAAGCCACCCCTCCAGGAACCGCACAGCGAACTCAAGGGTAACAGTAACCCCATGGTTGCGGAAAGCCTCCACGACACGATTCTCCGGAACGCTAACGAGCCACTCCTCAACCCGCTGGATATCCTCTACGCGCATCCCCGCATGCCGCCGCGGATCCACGTCAATATTGAGCGAGACATCGTTCCACCAGCCATGCAGCACATGCGGCCCAGTCCTCCTAGGCTTCAAGCCCGACGCCAGCAGCTCGTCGAAGTCCTCTTCGTCCGGATCGGCGTCGTAGCGCGGATACGCTTCATCTACGTGGTCGAACGCCTTCAGGTAGCGCACGTCCAGTTCGGCGCGGTAATTGTTGAGCCGCATATCGCCAATAAACTCGAGTATGTGCGTCTTGGTCTCCCTATCCGCGAGCCGAACGAGATGCTTCATCTCTCGCTCGGCAGGCAAGCGCTTCGCCTCAACGAGGAACCCCATCTGCGCCTGGTAGAACACCTCCTCGCCGAAGAAGCCCAGCTCAGCCGACGCCCGCTTGAACATCGTGCGCAGGAACTTGTCGTCGAGGTATTCGTCTAGCGCGCCGAGCTCGCCGTCCTGCGTGCGCTGCTCGCACGCGGCGAGGGCGTCGCGGTAGCGCTGCAGGTGGAAGGCGGTGGTGAACAAGTGCCATGTCTCGCGGTTCAGGATGTCGCCGCCTTCGATGCCGCAGTAGATGTCGGTTTCGATTTCTATGTTGCGGGGGATACCGGCTAGGGGGATGACGCCGAGGGCGGCCTTCTTGGGGAGAGGGAGCGCGAGGGCGAAAATGTTGAGAGTTGAGCGACGCGGTTGGGGAGCTGTGGCGGGGAGCTCGATTAGTCTACTGTTGATGCGACGCTCGGACTGCGGAGAGATAGGGCGGAGGCGAAGCTCACAGAAGAGGTCGAAGTGCGGGTTGGAGAAGGCATCGAGTCGGCAGTAGATGGACTTCTGCGGCGCGATCGGTAGAAGAAGTAGGTGAGGGCTCACTCGTGGTGGTTTACCATGATGAAGGGTTCCAGCGAAGAACGCGACGCTTGTTGGTTCGTATGAGGTCGAGAAGGCTATGAGGAGAGTGGAGTGTGTGCGTGCCAGCTCAGTGAGAGGCTCGAGGTATCCCGTAACAGTGCCAATAGGCCCGCGAATGGCATCAATGCCGCGGTCATACCATGTGAGTAGGAGCGGCTCGGAGTACTCGAGGAGAAGCTGGAGCTCCGCGTCCGGGATGTCGGCAGGCTCGCGCACGGCGTCAGTGCCGCGGTCATGCCATGGGAGAAGTAGCTGCTGACGGTATTCGAGGAGAAGCGGTTGACGGTATTCGAGGAAGAGCTGCGTCGGCTGCTGCTGATGCTGGACAGAGAGGACATATCGTGCACCGTCGGCGAAGTCGCGCACGGCGTCGGTGCCCGCGCCATACCGCTGCAGTGCCAGTTGACCAGGATATCCGAGGAGTCGCTGGACCTTCCGCAGTGGGACCGGGTCGGAGTAGTACTTGTACTTGTATGCGGCGAAGAAGATGAGGACGCACGCAATGGGGTCGCTCAAGAGCCTCAGCAAGGCGCATCGGGCGAGCAGATACAGTGCTAGAAGCACGAGGAAATGGCCCCAGTTGTTCGCCATGCTGGAAGACAGTAGCGGCAGACGTAGGTAGTGCGGAGATTGGAGTTGATTGCTTGAAGGCATTGGCTGTGGGAACTCGCGACGTTGTTCGGTGGCGGCGAAGGCGTGCGTGAGTGAGGAGAATAGGTCCCAGAGCGTGGGGCTTGGCGCTGGGTTTCGTCATCAGAGAATTTGGTGGGGCTATTGCTCTCGGGCAACATAATTTCATTCCCCAGGATGGGTGGGAGTGAAAGGGTTGGGGAGATAATGTTGGCGAGCTGGGGCGGAGTGAAAGGCTTTCCGCGTGCCATCAGTGCGTTATGAGAACCGACGGGGCAGATCACCACGCTTAACTATTTAGTGAAACACTTCGTGAGACTACATAACTTAGGGGCTAATAAGACTTTGAGATTTATTTCCTCTGCGTTGGTCAAGCCAAATCCAGATAGTCATGATATCTCATCCGTGCTCTAGTGTTACAATTAGGCGTAGCTTTCAGCACAGCCGGCCTAGGAGGATAGGGGCGATATAGTCGAAGCAGACGGCTTATTGCTTTGTCATAGTAATCGAGCCGCACTAGGAATGATGGGTTTTTGATGGCAGCCGTGTATTAAGCGCCTTGCTTGGAGGAAGACAATACTTTTTGTATGAGTAGCGGCTTCTTGATGCGAAAGACGCCACACATCATCGGAATTTTGAAGTAGAAAGTGTGAGAATGGAAAGAGGAGCTTATTTCAAGTATAACCGTCTCGTTCTGTCTAACAACTACCCATACATTGTAAGAACTAGAAGAGCGTCTACAAGTCCTGATTCGCACCGCGTGTGTACCCTTCCCACAAAACCCCGAATACGTTTCCCTCTCCACACCTGCATCATTTACTTCCGAAAATCAACCCCAAAACGCAATCGCCTGCTGCCCCAAACTCTTCTGTCCATTGGTATTAGCGTGGCACCCATCCTGCACCTCCCCCGTCTTCAATCGAAACGCGCCCGGATAGACAACATTCTGCGCGGTATCCTTAGCCGCCTGCTGCGCCAGCGCATCCGTATTCTGCGGCCCGTTGGCGCCCGCAAGGAAGCACGTCTGCCCCGCGTCGTACAGCGGCTGCCCGGTGATGTAGACCGTTGCGTTCGATGCCGCGTGCTGGCGCGTGTTCGCAATCAGCTTCTTGACCTCGTCGTACGTCGCGCCCTGCGTGAAGATGCAGATCTGCACCCACACCGCGGTCGGCTTGCCGTACTTGGCGGATTGCTGGTCGAAGAGCTTCCAGGAAGCTGAGTTGGTGTCGGTCCAGGACTGCACGACCATGCCGCCTGTGCCGTAGGGGCCCCACATCCGCTGGCCGCCGACGGCGACGTAGCCTTGCGCGACGTTCTCGGCCATGGAGCACCCGATGAAGCCCATGGAGTGGGATGGTTCGGCGGCTGGGGCGGGCATGGCGGCGGAGCCGGCGGCGAGGAGGAAGGGGACGGTGAAGCGCATGACGGCTAGGAGTTGCTTGGAGAGGTTGGAGCTTTGGTTTTGTTGTGCTGATATCGAGAGAGTTTCTTTGCACTGTTAGCTTCTTATATAGACAGCGAAGTCCATACTGGAAGAGCGAGCGGTTGTTTGGTCGCACGCGATGACGAGCTCAGATATTATCGCATATGAACTCCCCAGAATTGATCAGGGGCAGACACGGTGGTGATATTGCTGGAGGAATTCTTCTTGAGCCTCTCGGGGTAAGTCAAATGCGCTCCAGCAATAATGGACCGAATTGACGTCCAGCCTTGATCTGGTACTCGTAGCATCCCGGTCTCTTTTTGGCATCTCACAACCCGGAAAACAAAATCGGGATCTACGCAAATATAGAAGGTGGGGGAAACGGTTCTCGGATGCGGAATTCGGCGAACCGGGGTGGGTGAGCCCAGATGGCTAAATGGGCTTGGCTTCTCGAGCCTCCTTGCGAACACCATCGAGAAAGGGGGATTGTGGGGGAGCAAGTGTAGAACATCAGGCTAGAAAGGAAACTCCGAGTTGAACCCGACCAGGAATACAATCGAAGGGTTCGGGAAGCTTCGCGGTAGTTACCCTAATCTGCGCACGATGCATGCCTATACCTAGTGCAGTAACTAGTTAGCCTTCTCCCTAGCAAGCACGATCCTGACACCCTTCGAATCCAATCTCGGCGACGGGTTGAAGAAGTCATGCGCACACTTCACATCGCCATCGCCCGTCTCAAACAGTTCCATTCTTCTCCCCACACCACCAGGCGCAAACAAAGCCCCAAGCATGAGATACAACTCCGCATACGCTAAGTGCATTCCAGCACACATCCTAGTTCCTTTGCTGAAAGGGACTAGATAGTGCTTCATACGCCGCAGCCCTACCTTTGCGTCTTCGTCATCGCGCAAATCAGTGAGCCAGCGCTCAGGCTCGAACGCATGAGGAGAAGTGTATATGCTCGGATCAAGGTGTATGAACATCTGCGTCATGCTGACGGGAACACCGGGCGGAATAATATATTTGTAATCCTTTCCGTCTATGGTGCCCTGATACTGCAACGCTGTTTCTGGAGAGATGCGCGGAAGACGGTGCGATACGCCGAAACTTAGCCGTAGGCCTTCCGAGATGACGGCAGAGAGGTACTGCGTTTGTTCTAGGTGCTTCAGGTCCAACCTCAATGGCTTGTTGGGGGCGGCGGAACTGAGCTCGGCCAACTCAGATTCCAATTGGGACTTGATGGCTGGATTGGAGAGGACGTAGTATAAGATCGTAGTTAAGGTATGCGCAGTGGTGATGGTTCCAGCGCCCAGAAGGGTGAACGACTCGTCTTCCAAGCGCGGCGTCAGAAGCTCTGCAGCAGGAAGGGTGGGAGACGCAAGGAGAGAGTGGAGAACGGTCGGGTGATCCACTTCATCGTCACTATGCTCCGGTCCAGGGTTGTCGAGCGTATGGCGCAGCGAAGCCTTTGTCTGCTCAATCTTGAGCCGAATATCGTGGCGGATGTCGAAGAGCCTCTTGGTAAGCGGATGAAGAAGCGATACCAATGATTCGGGTATCGAATTCAGGATCGCATATGCCCAAGGAAACTGCTTCATCAGGTGCGTTCCGCGGCTCAGATCCTATACATGATTAGCTCGCGGGATACATAGCGTTGACGGAACATACGCACCATCATCAACCGCTGCCATCCAGGATCAAAATTGGGCCGGTCAAGGAAGCCATAGGTGCTACCAAACGCGACTTCGCCGACCACATCAGCTGAGAACGCAGCGAAGAAGTTCCGCAAGTTGACTGCGCATCCGGTGCTTGCAGTACGTTCCACCAGGGTGCATGCGTGATCAACCACGTGCTGGATTGTCGGCTCGAGCTTCGATATAGAACGTTTGGAGAAGAAGGAGTTCAAAGCTGACCGCCTTAATCGATGCAGCTCATGGCTAGTCGTCCCTACCGCTGCCAGGGATGTGCCAAACATGCGCGCCGAGTACTCCCATTTCGCAGTTCGCCGAGACGGTCCCGCGTAAACAGTGTCATAGAAAGCTGGATCGACCACATGAAGCTCTTGGGGATTGATTCTAATGACGGGGCCTAAGCTCAGTGTTAGAAACCGTTTTGAAGTTGCCGCAGGTCATGCATATTACCATATTTCCGGTGCAGTTCTTCTATTTTCCACGTGTATCTGCCCCTGCATATCACGTCGTAGTAGAATTCGTACCAGAAAGTAAGAGCCGCTACCTTAGGTCCTGGAAACCGTGCAATTGGGCTAAAATAGAGGTGGTATATTGCCCCGGTGACTAGATACAACGATGCCGCAAAAATGAGCAGAAGCAACGACTGCAAATGCGGGATTTGCGGAATTAACTCCATTGCGCCGGGCACCTAGGATACACAAGAGAAGCGACATACTGGAAGAGGGCGAGGCAACAATAAGGGAGCGACCTGAAAATTTGTTGAGCGGTACTTATCTGGCTCGCATGATCTGTGCGGAGTGACTAAATGTCAGCGTAACATCATGACGACAGATAAATCTTCCTGCGGCGAGAACGGATGCCGCGGCGCAAAGCATCCTTTGTAATTCTCACCCACTACTACTCGAGTCCGAATGGACAAGAATAACATAAATTCGCTGGTTGTAAGCCCCTTCGAGTAGCTGTTTTGAGCTATCAAGGATCGAGTTAGCATATAAAGCGGGGTGACGTCATATGGACGCATTCGGCACTACATCATGTGACCTTCAACAAATTTTTCAATGAGTAATCCGGCTCAATTCTCTGATATTTAGCTTTTGTCGAGCTCTTCGTTTTCTTCACACCAATTTCACACTACCGGCATAGCGGAGCGTGGACACCAGCTCCATCCCTTCAAGTTCACCACCACTACATACCTCCAAACTCCTCCCTAGCAAGCAGCTCTTCAATCTGACCCCAGTGCCCCTTATTCATGTACCCAGACAGCCAATAGTTCCCCCTACCATCCTTCCCACTAATCAGATACCCATTCGGCAGCGTAAGCCCAAACTGGCTATTCTGAATATATCTCGGCCTCCCCACACTCCCATCCCTTGCCGCAGCCACACCTTTCTCCCCCACCACCGCGGCAGAGAAATCCAGCTCGAACAGCCTCGCCTTAGTCCAGTTAGAATACGTCACCATATGCATACCACTATCGCCGAAGAAAGGCTGCAGCCCCCACCGGCTCGCCCGCTGCATCGCGAAGAAGGCTTCGACCTGTTGGCGGGCGCCCAGCTCGTCGATCGCACTGCGGATGGCCGAGGCTACGTGGCTGAGCGGCTTCGAGACGATGTCTTGGGCGGGGAGCAGCACGTGGATGAAGCCGATGGCGTTCGAGACGTACGACGCATTTCGCGGGAGCAGGTCTGGCCACAGCGCTTTCCGGATATCGTACGCGTTGTAGAGAGCGACGGTGCGTGTTGAGCTCGGTGGGAGGTGCGCGATGGCGAGGCGCGTCCACCATGCGCAGAGGACGTCGCCCTCGCTCAGGAAAGGCTCTTCTTTGGTTTGGTCGTCCTTTCGCGCAGCAGCGAGGTCCGCAATCGCTGTTTCGCGCAGCTTTTTCAAGAAAGATGCTGGTACACATACCATGCGATTCTCCTGCTTAGCTAGGAAACTAGGAATCTGCCGTAGCGCGTAACCCAGAAGACCTAATAGTCCCATCCTCTGGCCTTCGAGCCTATGCGCCTGTGCAGGATCCGTCCCTAGCGTGTCTAGAGGATCGAAATCAGTGCCATAAGGCGCTTCCACTTCGTCCTCTCTTCCTTGGATCATGAGTGTCCATGCATCAAGGAGCGCCTTCTTTCCCATGGCGTCGAAGAGGGTGTGAGGCCAGTACAGCGAAACGAGGGTAGTGTCGCTGAACGAGACGATGTGCAGCCCTAGTTGAGGTCTGTCCACGTCGATGTAGTCTGCGAGAGACGTGGGGCCTCCAGGGGGTCGCATGAGGGCATAGAAGTCATCTGGATCGCCAACGATAGCAGGCGCTGCAGTAGGCCTAGGCAAGCGGGAAGCGACGGGGTGGTCGGCGGCGTCAATTTCGTACTCCACATGCGAGTATGCGAGAGCGTGACGCTCATATGTAAAGGATGCCGGCAGGTGATATTCGAGGCGTCCGTCTCTCTAGGGATTCGTGTTAGGCACTAGCATCGTACGTGGATAGCTCAGAAGAATCACCCTAGAGCTGCTTACATTTTGTTTTAGTCGCGCTCCTAACTTTTGCCATCCCTTCTTTCGGATAAGGCGCTCTAGGCTTGTTCGCAGCTTCTCGGCATCGAGAACGTGATCGAGGACAAATAAAGAATAGAGGATGAACGCGCGCCAAAGAGGACCATCGTCAAAGTGATGAAGGGGCACGATTTTATCACCTGACTCAGACATGTCGCCGCCCGGGAAGTCCTGTTTGCTGTTGGAGTTGAGTATATCTGTTGCTGTCTTGCATGCTGCCGTAGAAGTGCAGCCTAGCTCAGCCCCGCTCATATACAACAGGGACCGAGTAACTGCACGATCTCGCGAGCGTAGGGTTGTTTCGAAATTACCACTACTGAACGAACGCGAGGTTCGTAGGATTGCGTGTCTATCCTACATAGGTATAGCACCGATATATCCCTGTATATGTCCCGTTCTGGCGGTAATGGCATATTAGGCGGAACTCAATCGCCCGAACTCAGGTCCGCATCCGTCACGCACATTCTCTACAGCTTCTCCAACACCTGGCGCTGGCGACTTTGACTTCCCAAAAAGATATTCCGGTCCAGAGACACCTCATCCTTCCATTGTCGACCGCTCGGCTTTGGTCTCGGCGACAGAGCCTTGGACTGTACCCATCTCTTTGCGATTTCGGCCGCAGTAGCATCGTGACTAACGGACGCGTCGTACATTAGTAAACAGGCGCATACGATAGCCTCAATATGCTCCAAGATCTCTCGTCCACAGTACAGCAGGTCTTCCCTCTGCCTACCGTCTACGAGCGCGCGCAACGCCTGGTATCTCTCTTCCACAAGCGCAACTTTGCTTCTGAACTCGCTCGAGCAGTTCTTCAGCGTATTCTGAATCCAAGGCGCGAAAAAGTTCTCCAGGATATTCCCATTGCCTAAGCGTTTATCGACCAGAACTCGAACAACATCCTCGGCCATGACATTAACGGTGCCTTCCCAGATGGGATTCACGAGGTTATCCCGGTAGATCTTTGCAATGTTCATCAGGCCGCCGTCTTCGTTATTTTCGCAGTATCCGACTCCACCGAGGCACTCCATACACTGCCGCAAGCCATGGACCGAAGCCACGCTGACTTGGGCCTTCATTACGGGAGTCAGGAGGCGGAGAAGAGCGGCTACCTGCGTCTTGTCCCTCGGAATCAGCTTTTCGGCTTTCGTGTTCGCGGCCATTTTATCCCAGTGCTGCTCCGAAGCTCCCTGTAACGCTACGTTGAAAAACGCGAATTGGGTGCCGGCGCAATACTTGACCGTCTCATCAGCCATCCACCGGAGGTGCGCTGGGTTATCTTGGAGCAGGCCGCCGCGCACCTTCCGTACCTTTGTGTAGGCGCGGCAAACGGCTAGGCCGCGCGACCAGTTCGCTGCGGACCCGGCGGCGGTGTGCAGACGCGTGATGTTGAGGATAGCTGAGATTTCTTTGACACCCTGGCCCTCGGTGCCAATGAGCCAGCCGCGGGTGCCCTTCATCTCCAGCTCGGCAGTCGGAAGGGACTTGGTGCCCAGTTTGTTCTTGAGACGCTGGATGCGGATGCCGTTGAGCTCCGTGCGTGGCGGATCTTCTTCGTTGATGATACCAGCAGATGGCGTGCTTCTTCCAACACGTCGGCGCATGGGCGCATAGAACGCAGAGAGACCGCCTTTTGCAGTGCAGGCAAGGAGGACAGTCATTTCGGAGTCGGTAGCGCTGCTAAACCACTTGAAGCCGTCGATCTTCCAAGGGCCGAGGGGCATTCCAACGGCGTCGACATCCCTCCCGGCATTTGCCTCTTCCGCGAGCTCTTCGGAAGTGAGGCGTATAGCGACTGTTTCGGTGCCGGATACGTCGCTGCCACCCGTTCGCTCCGTCATCCACTGCCCGCTCGTCCAAGCAGTTGTTGGGTCGCGACTTATGAGTCTACGATAGGCCTCTTCGAATACCTTCTTCCGACCGGGCTGGTCGCCGTCCTCATCACCAAGGTGTCTGCTCAGCAGCGTGGCCGCTCCGTCGGTCATGCTCATCGGGCAGCCGGTCATGGTCGCAGTGCAAGACCACAGATGCCCCAGCGCAAATTCATGGACCCGGCGGTTGTACGTAGTTTGGGATTTGTCATAAGCAACCGCAATGACCCCTTCCTGGTACCCAATCTCCTTCAGCTTCTGCCATCCTGTAGTCGTCCATAGCGGGTCGTTCCTGTTTTCTTCACCGAAAGTGGTCAGCGGCCGGAGGACGGGATGGTTGGTTTCGGCGTCAGTGGAGTGCACGAGGACGGAGGGGTCCAAGCAGACGCGGGCTAGGAGGTGTACGTGCTGCGTGACATTGGCATTATCGGAGGGGAGGTACAGCTCTAGAATACGGGCTAGGACTTTGTCGTCGGATGCGTCGGTAGCGTTCTTGTACTGGGATTGCAGATGCGCAGGAAGACTCCCGGGGGAGGAATACTGGGGTGGAAGGACTGGAAGAGCCTGGAAGAAGCCGGAGGTGGAGGAGGAAGCGGAGAGCGGTCGACTAGCCATGGCGGCAAAGTTGTTCGGAGGATAGGTTCGGATATCTAGCAGATACGCGGGCGACCCTCAGTGCGTCATCCAAGGTAAAAAGAAGGAGGATGCGACGGGTTGCGCGCCTCGTAATGGAATCCGCAGCATCTCTCGTGTGGTCGTACGTTTGTCTGGCCGTCTGGCCGAGGATGCGACGGCTCCTGATGCTTGGAGCTCCCATGTCGAGCTTTTGCCTCGGTTCTACCCCGCAACGTCCAAACGCGGAAACGGAACCGAGAGCACCGCACCTCACCTCGAAACCTCGTCGTGGACATCAGGGTCGAAATGTTCCATCCAGAATCCACGCTTTGTCAAGGGACGAAGCTTCAACAGCGACAATTATCTTGGTTGACACCAGCTATATGGCCCCTACAATTGGTACTCTCATATCGCCTGCCTCCCGCCGAACCAGCCTCGACCCCTTGCCACCAAGATGCAGCATCATGCCAGCGCAGACCGGCCTTAACTGCACTCTCAGTGTCCCTTCCTTCATTATTTATTGCCGTCTCCAGGCAGCATCCTCTTCGACTAAACGGCGGAGTCAAAAGCTCCTTCTCTCCTTCTCGAGGAAAGCTTCTCCACCACCTGTACATTTGTAGTATAGGCAAGATTCGTTCTAAAAGTACAACAGCCACAACCTCGTACATTCCTGCGGAAATGGTGAGCACTGCGCCAAGAACATCGGGCTGACCACTATCACCTACCAATATAGGAAAATGTGCCCCCGCTCTGCTGCCCTACCGTTCAAAAGGCTGTCAGACGTCAGACACTGCACTAAGAAGAGTAGTTCCGTCTTCTATCAGGAACCGGGAAAGGAATATGCGTGGATCCCATGCTCTTTCTAAATCCCGGACCCCGCGCCAATCTTTCGCGAAGTATTCCGGCTTCCCGCCATTCGACGAATCAAGTGCGGCCATATTCCGCACCTTCAACCTCATGTCTACGGCAACGCGCCCACTTGTTCTCATACAGCTGCATCTTGACAACTCCTTTGCTCACTTACTGTGTATTTTCCAGATTTCTCGCGTCGACGTTGAAGAGCCCTAAATAGTGTCGACACAACGTTTTCCCATAATGGCGCCCGTGATCTCTTCCACGACACCCAATAACAGCACAGCTTATATAAACGGCCGTGTCTTCACCATCGACTCTGAACAACCATGGGCATCCGCTTTCATCATCTCCCCCGAAGGGCTCTTCACCCACGTCGGCAGCGATGCCGCCATTAGCGCCTTCGCCCGGCAGTCTCACCTCGTCACCGTGGATCTGAAGGGTCGTTTCGTCATGCCCGGTATTCACGACGCGCACATGCACTTGCTCTACTCCGGCCTGGGATTGATAAGTGATGCCAACATCGGATACGATACGACCGACGCGACTATCGGGCCAAGGATCAAGGAACAGAGCTGCAGATGCGAGTACGTACACGCGTACCAGGACTGGATCATGGCGAATATGTACAGCAATGAAGGCTTCCCGAATGGCATCGCTGATCGGAAGTACTTGGACGAGGTGTTTCCGGATCAGCCGGTCGTAGTGCTGGGCGGAGCCGGACATTCCAGGCTGCTTAACACCGAGGCACTGAAAAGAGCTGGGTACGATATTGAGAACGAGAAGGATATTCAGGGGAGCAAGTTCTACCGCCGGGAAGACGGGAGCTTGACGGGTGAGCTGGGCGAGACGGCCATGAACAAGGTGGCGATTGCGATGCCGGCGCCTTGTCTCGCGCACATTAAGAGGGCTCTAAAGCATGCCATTAGCATTGCGCATAGAGCGGGTGTCACGAGCTGTCAGGAAGCGAGCTCCAACACACTACTCCTACATGCGCTGCGCGAATTGGAGACCGAAAACCAACTTCACATGGACATCGCTGCGCACATTGTCTACGGGCCTGAATTCGTCGCCTCCGAGTCCAAAGCCACCCTGCATCCTCTCCTTGATGCAGCGGAAAAGTGGAAGAGCAAGCACGTGCAGACGGGCTTCATCAAGATCATCCTAGACGGTGTGCCCCTGCCCCCGCTGTTCACGCACTGTGAGCTGGATGAGCACGGTGCACCGGATAAGACCAAGATCTTCGTCGAAGACATCGCCGACGCGATTGCGAAGTACGACCGGAAAGGCATGACGTTCAAGGTCCATTGCGCGGGGCAAGGGTCGACAAGAATGGCTCTTGATGCGATTGAGGCCGCGAGGCAGAAGAATCCCAATGGACCAAGGCATGAAATCGCGCACTGCAGCGGAGTGCATGACGGTGCGTTACTTACTCCCCTGGCTAGTCAGTAGATTCACGTGCTAACTGAAGCCGTTCGTTTAGACGAATACACCCGCTTCAAGAAGCTCAACGTCACAGCCGAAATGTCGCCCGCCATGTTCTTCGTGCACCCCGTAACCTCCGCCTCGCACGGCCTCATGGACTGGAACTTCCCCAAGATGCTCGACACCGGCGCGCTTATGACGCTCGGCTCCGATTGGGGCGCTACTCCCGATCCCTCGCTCTTCGGCCCGCTGGCGAACATTGTGGAGTCGGTAGGACGCGGATCCAAGGAGAAGGGCGGCGAGATACTGTGCCGTATGCTTACGCTTCAGGGGGCAGAGGCTGTGAGGAAGGAGAAGGAGGTGGGGAGTATTCAGGTGGGGAAGATTGCGAATTTTATTGTGGTGGATAGGGATTTGAGTGTGGGGGAGTTTGAGGGTGCGAAGGTGTTGAGGACGTATTTTGAGGGCGAGTGTGTTTGGAATGCGGAGGTATAGATGTGGTAGAAGGATCTCGTTCGGGAGAGAGGTTGATCTCCCCTCCACAGGTCGTGGCGCAGTGACTGATACTTTTGACTCGCATATGCTCCTTTGGGTCTAGCGTGCGACTGAGCGCTGCAGCTTCCGAGGTTACGGCCGGCCATGCTTCTTGTGAACATGTTCACCATCAGCACTCCAACTATTGCTAGCCACATGTATGAAGACCCCAGATTTAGGTTTCTGCAAGACCAGTCCATATGGGTAATATGGTGGATTCGACAGGAAAAGCACCTTGGTCGCCCTGCAGACCGGCCCCTGGGTGCCTGCCTGACCTACCATTGAAGGGTAGACATTCGACAAGGAATATACGCCAACCACATCCAAAACATCAGAAGTTATCTACTCTAAATTTTGACACGAAGGAGCAAAAAAGTTGCGATAAGCTTCTTTTAGTGGTGCTGATCGCTGACGGCCGCTTCCCCGCATTCTCCGAAACGAGGGTCCGCGCGCCGCTGGGTCTCCACAATGCTCCGTGGCCGATCAACACCAATCCACCATCCAGGAACTACGCCTCGTATCTTGTCGATCAACTTCTCGCGGAGCTCCGTGTCCTGAAGTCGGACGCATATGGCACAGCTGTGGAACAGCGACCACCCAGAACGCCGTCGAATATATCGAACGAGCGTCCGCCAGCACAAAGCGCTCCGGAGCGGCGCATGCATGAGGCGAGACTAGCATTCCAAGACGTCGGTATGAGAATAGATTGCTTTTCTCCCCAACTCCGACATTTCGTGTCGTGTAACGACTGGCAGCCTCCCCCGTCGATCATCAGCATTCATGACTGTTGCCGGCCTGACGCCCTTCTCCACAAACCAAGCTGACTGTGCTTACAGCATTTTTCCGCTCTGTGATTCGCCGTAACGCTACTAAATTCACTTTCACGGTGCAGCTCAACAATATGCTTTCAGAAAACACGGCCCGAAATCAGTTAACCGGTATCGGATTTCCGATATCACAGACGACGCGACCTGCACGAAGGCGGCAAAGGAAGACGAGATTAGTGTCACGATCAGGCCTTCTTATTCTTTTGCTAGGCTAAAACGAGTTATGCCAGTTGGCGATCCGATGCTTATTCCGGCGTTGGCAGATACGGGAGCGAAATTCTGGTTGGACGGCTGGCCGTCCTCGCCGCACACTGGTTGACCTGAACCTCAGGGCTAGCTGACTGCCTCACGGCATCAGCGAGTTTCACAGCATGCGTGTGAGACCAATCCAGCAATTTCCCGGTGCCGATCAACGATAGTAGTCAAGCACACCGATTTGTGTGTATGGGGAGGACATCAATATATATACCGGATGACCGGCCATTCTAAGAGGAGGGAATCCAAAGCCCGACGCGCCTGCTTCAAGTCTTAGACCCCAATACCCGAGCGTGGGCTCTCAGCGCTCGCACTTTGCTTGCTTGCTCCAGCTTCCATCCACAGATCGGTCTTTGTCTTCCACCATGACCGCACACGCAGACGTCGATTTGGTGCCCGGCACCGAGATCATGAACGAGAAGGGAAGGGCGGACAAAGCACTGATTCCTCACCCGTCCCAGGATCCACGGGACCCTCTCAATTGGTCGACGACATGGAAACGTACGCGCGCCCACCGCATTAGGATTATACGGATGCTAACGGTTCTTAGTCACCGTCATGGCGAGCCAATGGCTCTTCACTTGGATCTCCGTCACCGGCGCTCTCTCGATCGCACCCATGTTTCCGTTGCTCGGGCAGGAGTTCCATCTCAATAATAACCAGCTGTCGCTCCTCACCGGCATCACGGTCATCACACTCGGATTTGCGAACTTCTTCATCGTGCCGTTGAGCAACATCTACGGACGTCGTGCTATTAGCTTGGTCTTCTCCGTCCTGATCATGTTGACTTGTATCTGGGAAGCTCTCGCAACATCGCACCGCAGCCTTCTCGCGGCTCGAGCTCTGAATGGTCTCGTCTGTGCGACTAGTGAGTCGATCCCGGTGCAGATGATCGCCGACGTCTTCTTCCTGCATGAGCGTGGACTTTGGACGGGCGTCTACTTGTGAGTTGTCATCCAGATCCTGATAATGCAGCACCCTTCCTAACCATTATCAGCACTGGCTATTTCCTCGGCGCCTTCCTTGGTCCAGTCATGAGCGGTAACATTGCTGCTCATCACGGCTGGAAGTCGTTCTTCTGGCTGGAGACTGCGCTTTCCGCGTTCGCCATCTTCATGATTGCCCTCACCTTCCCCGAGACCAAATACCATCGTAACAACAGCCCCACCAAGGCCGTGTCACCTCCCGAGTCCATCCGCAACGGTGGCGTTGTCTCCAGCCCCGAAGATAGCGAGGTCGAAAAGCAGCCCTCTCACGTATCTGGGTACGAGTCTGCAGGTGGAAGCGCCTCCATTCCACCCGTCGGAAAGGGCCGACCATCCCGTCAGCAATTCATGCCCTTCCAGAAGCCCGACTCCCGGTGGAAGATGTTCGTCATCCGCGATACTTGGACGCCGGTCAAAGTCTTCTTCAACCCCATCATCTTCTGGGCCGGCCTGATGCTCGCGGGTCCCGCCGATCTCGTCCTCTTCTTCAACATCACCGAGTCCGTAGTCCTCGCCGCACCACCATACATGTTCAACCCTGCCCAAGTCGGCTACACCAACTTCGCTTTCGTGGTGGGTGCTCTGATTGGCCTCGCCACCGCAGGCCCCTACTCCGACTGGGTTGCTGCGCGGGCGACCCGGAAGAACAACGGCATCCGCGAAGCCGAGATGCGCCTCCCCGCCCTGTGGTTCTACATGGCCATCACCATGCTCTCGCTCATTCTAGGCGGACTCGCGTACCAGCGCCAGTGGCCATGGGGCCACATCATCGTCTGGGGCTATGGCTTCGCTGGCTTATCCGTCACCACGGTGCCGACTATCTGCATCGCCTACGCCATCGACTGCTACAAGCCCATATCCGGCGAGATCATGGTCGTCGCCACCGTCTGCAAGAACTTCATCGCCTTCTCTTACAGCTACTGGGTCTTTGACCTCGCGCACGAGAGCAAGGACGGCTGGATTACCCCGGCCATGGTTATCTTTGCTTGCACGGTCGGTCCGGCGCTGTTCGCGTTCCCGTTGTACTATGGATTGGGGAAGAAGATTCGCAGGTGGACTCGGAATTCGGATGTGCACCGCATGGAAGAGATTATCTAATATGGGAGTCTGGGAATGAGTTATGAAGCTAATGTGGAGTTCGAAGCAAGGGAATGCAATGAGGTTAATGCGGTAGGCTGAATTTGAGATTAGCGAATTCTAGCGGGTTATTTCAAACTGTTGCGTCGGTGGTGCGTGGGTTGTTTAGCTGACCCGCGGTCGATGGATGGACGAGGAAGCACTGTGCCTAGCTCACGCAAAGAGACATAACCGATGGAGAATGAAATAATAGTAAAGCATCCACCCGTCTGCGTAGATGATGATGTCTCCTCTGTAAGGAAAGATGCCTCAAAGAACCTCTCCTGCTAAGAACCCAGGTAGCCATGTATAGCAAGAAAAGAAGCTCTATTCGAGAAGAAGTAGAGAGGTAGAAGACCCATATATTCACATGTAGAGAGGGGTACCTCTCTACTCTCCAAGGGGTAAACAGGGGTAAAATGTAGCCTTTCGCTGTTAGTACTATGTTACCATGGCGCATTACTATACGTTGAGCCGCTTAGTGCTCGTATCTTCTATCTTAAGCGGTATTCTCTAGAGCAAAGGCGCCCAATCACTTGCGTAACCGAAACGTGACGATGGAAGCTCCCCACCGCCGCCGAAACGAGCTTCGTTCCAAACAGTGCGCACCCTGTGACGGAAAGTACGCACCCCGCCCACTAATCTGAAACCTTCCCGCTTGCGCTCCAACCTTCTTCCTCCTCTCCTCTCCTCTCCTGCCTCACCCGAAGCCACACCACCGCATACGTCGCAAATATCCCATCATTCTGATGCGCATCGTAGCCGCACTTTTACGGCTCTTGATCGTCTGGTGGCTGAAGGTGCTAGTGGCTCTGCCTCTGGTTCAGCCTCACCTGGAGTCGCCTTCGCTGCTGCCTACTGCCCTTCGAGCCTTTGCGCGCCGTCTGCTTCCGATTTCCCAACATATTTGCGCGCTGTCTTGACCGCCACCCAATCTCTATGAAAGCGGCGCAATCCTCTTGCAAGCTTGGCGAATATGAAATTCCAACTGCGCTGGCCCACCAGCAAGTACATTGCGTGGCGAGGATTCGGAGCCAAGTTTTCCAAGGCACCAACCGACCACCACAACGGAGTCAGCGAAGCTTTAGAGCGGCCGGGGCGAGCCATTGAAGCTTCAGCGGCGAATGAGGAAGGACGACAGGCGATTCATCTCGAGTGTCCTCTAGACCTGCGCCGGAACCAGATTCGGCTCCTGCAAATCTACCCAGACGCCTGGAACGAACCAATTCGTTGCGGTTTCCAAGTCGTCTCGCTAGACGAAAGTCCTTCCTACGTTGCTCTGAGTTACGTATGGGGCCGCGGAGAAGAGAACTGCGTCGTCACCGTCGATGGGAAAGTGGTCCACGTCAAGCCGAACCTCTACGCAGCCCTCCGGAGATTGCGAGCTCATTCAAGGGAAGATAACATATGGGTGGACGCGCTGTGCATTGATCAAGCCTGCACAAGAGAAAGAAATCACCAGGTCAGAATAATGGGCCAGATATATTCAAAATGCAGAGAGGTCCTCGTCTGGATGGGCGAGCTGGAGACCGCATGGGTCTTTTGGCCGGAATCGAAGATCGAGCCTGAGCTCGGGCGCTGCTACGATTTCTGTACGGAAGAGGCCGCTGCCAAGCATTTCCAGTACCGAAAAGACAAAATCATCGAGACTCGTCGGGTGGACTGGCACGAGCTTGAACGATTCCCGGAGTCGGAAATCCTACTACATATGGCATGCTTTCTACACAGTGTGGCTCATGGTGATGAGTTCGACCCCAAACTCCCTGCTTGGGGCTCTGACTGGAAGGGCGCGCGGAAGGAACACTTCTACAAGACGCTGTATGAGATCCAGTACAACGAATGGTTTAAGAGGCTTTGGGTAGTGCAGGAGATCGTTCTTGCGCCGCTAGCTCAGGTCATGTTCGGGCCAGTGATTCTCCCATTAGAAACCCTCCTGAAAGCCCGAGAGCGGTACGACAAATATACCACCCAGGGTCTGTGGCTAGCGACCACAAAACTCGGCCCAGCCCGTAGGCTATTAGAAGGGGGGATCGAGGAATTCACCGCAATGGCTTTTTTGAGAGACCAGATCAGTTCAAAGGGGAAAAGCTCGACCGTGTTCGAGCTACGACTGAGTCTTCGGCGCCGATCGGTCTCAGTGGATCTTGATCAGATATACTCGCTTCTCGGGCTGATGTCCGATTCGAAGGGCGTTATCGAACCGAACTACGACTTGTCTGCGGAAGAGGTATACACTGCCGTGTCTAAGCAGCACATTAACATTACACAATCTTTATTGCCTCTGTCTCTTTTGGTCAAAGATTTATCCCGTCTCAACATACCGTCGTGGGCCGTTGATTGGTCCCAATGCGCCGCAGAATATGCTGGCTACGACTTCCGGGCTTGGACAAAACTGCAATCAATTTTTCACGCGTCAAGAGGTTTGGAACATTTTGTGGGCCCTTATGTGTCGGGAAAATGTCTCTATTTGGACGGTTATTTCGCTGACAACATCACGTTTGTTGGCGCCAAGTTCCAGGCGCACGCAATCAACGGCCTCATAACGAAAATGGCTAACACCAACGCTTTCGGGATCGGAAATACAGCTCGCCGACTTGGATGGACGCCTTGGCAACGTGAAGTTGTCAGAGCGCTTTGCGTGGACAGCTACTGGCCAAGTTCATTCAGCTACAACAACAGTCCCCAGCGGTTAAGCAAAGAGCAAGTGGACACCATACTAGATCGCATGGGAGAGTTGCTCTTTTCTCATCTCGATGCTGAAATCCCCTACCTAGATCAAACCGACTCCCAATTGCTCCCTACCCAGAATACTCTGGATGACCTGGCATTTTGGAACGTACAGAAGAGCGTGGAATACGTCTTGGGAAACGTCACTTTGGGCCATCAGATGTTCACGACTAAGAAGGGATATATAGGCCTTGGGTCCGGGACATGCAAGGCTGGGGATACCATCTTCATCGCCAAAGGGAGTAGCATGCCTCTTGTCTTAAGGGACCCAGACAGCAGAATCCATCGGCTTTGGGAACAGGAATCAATGCAAACAGTGCAAATAGAAACTGCCTTCCGAGGATGCTTAATTTATGAAGCACATGGGGACTGCTATCTATCTGGGTTCATGGACGGAAAGGGAAGCACAGATGCGGTAAAATACAGTATGATGGACCGCATACCTGGAGAGATTCGGATTATTTGAAGGAGTTTGCCGGAGCAAGAAGGCGCAGGCAAGTCTCTTAAACGGCTACGTATTCCGTGAGACGACTAGAGAAACCAACCGCCCTCGGAAGAACTCTGAGTTCTCTACATGCAAGAGCTGGGTATGGCTGGAAAAGATGCCTCCATTCCCTTCGACAGCCCAACCGTTCAAATGAAGAAAGCGCCTGCGGCGCCCAGGACTGCCGCTGCGAAACTTCCACCGCGAACCACGTCAGCAGCAGCGCCGGTGAATTGGCTTGGAGTTGGTGTTGTGGGAGTTCCGGTAGCGTTTCCGGAAGGGGTAGTCGTCTCGGCAGCAGGCGGTGTGGTTGGCTCAGTGACTCCGGACGGGCAATGCCAGTGATCTCCATGCGGCTCGCAAGTGGTGGCAGTGGCCTCGTGCTCGTGGTCATCTTCAGTGGCGGTAGTCACGGCAGCTGGGGGAGTGGTCGGCTCGGGGACACCGGACGGGCAGTGCCAGTGATCGCCATGCGGTTCGCACGTAGTGCCGACGGTGACGGACTCCTCGTGGTCGTGGTCTTCCGTCACAGTCGCAGTGATGGAAGCTGGCGCAGACTCGGCCGGCACAGTAGAGGTCGCAAGGGTGGTCTCAACGGCGGACTCAGCTGGCGGAGGAGTGGTCGGCTCCGGGACGCCCTCCGGGCAGTGCCTGGAATTTGCATTAGAACTCGGAGCGTGAACGTTTGGAGAGAGGTTGGCTCCTCACCAGTGATCCCCATGAGGCTCGCACGCTCCACCGGTTGCGGAGACGGTGTCCTGTGCCCAAGCAGCAGAAGCCGCTGCGAGAAGGAGGACGACAAGCTTCATGGCGAAGGATTGCAGTGATGCTGCTGAGGTTGTATGGTGTTTGAAACGAACGACAGAGGTGAGTTGGACTTTGTTTCGCCGGACCGTGCAGCACGAGAAGCTGATCGAGGTGGTAGGAAACAAGCTGCAGCCAAGTAGCAGGGCTTATATGCGTCTGTCGTGATGGGGCAGAAGTCGGCCAAGTCCGCTGGACAGCTTGGCAATAGACATCTGGGTGCTCAACTCTGGGCGCTCCGCCCAAAACCCGCTCACCAACTGGTGATGCGGTGCACGCCAAGGGCAGCGTAGTGTTACCTGTCATGCACGTTTCTCCGCGCAAGGCCCTCGCGAGGCGGGTTTTGAGCACATTGTTGGGTGAGTGCGTCTTGGCAATCGGCAGAATGGGCGAGCATTGGTCGAACCGTGGATAATTACCTACGAGCATGGCTAGATGCAGGGCGGAATCCGAGTATCTGGACGTTGCGGCTTCTTGCTGTCCTCCCACGTTACTAAGTGGCACTGCCAGGAGTAAAGGTGACTGGGTAGGACCCCACGCCTGCCCCTTCCGATTTCCCGTATGGCGCAATCACGAACATTTGCAGAGAGATATGACTTGAAACACTCCTCACTCCTGGAGCTCGGGAGCCCCTACCTATGGCAGAAGATACCAGACCTGGACATGTTACAGGACATTAAGCATGCCCAAAGCAGGCCTTGAACAAGTTGCACCACACTCACCGTTCGTTCCCCCACCACGAACTTCCCCAACATTCGACCTCCCTTGTTAATCACCATTTGCACAATCTACAAATCCACCTGTCGCCAACGTACTATTCACCGTTGCCCCTCCGAAAACTCCCAGAGCATGCGACGGAGTCAGTCTCGCTCACCCCCCAAGCGTGACCTCCTGAGCAGTCCCAAATCACGAACCCAGTGAGCTTAATACCGGCTTCATACCTCCCTTTATACCAGAGCGACACTTGCTCTGTGGTAGACAGCAAGAGGCAGCCAGACACGTCGTCATGCCTTAGAAACGTTTTAGCGGTTCCCGATCTCCATCGGAAAACCCCGCGGAACAAAGGAAGACCAGAGAAACGGGAAGGCCATTTAGTTATCAACCGTAGAGTTTGCGCTCATGGCGTTTCCAGCAACAAGCGTCTGGTCCACGATTAAAGCGCCTCGCCGAAGGAGCCGAGCTTCCTCGCGTCTACTCTCCAGACATGTCTCCAGTCAACGTCATCATCCTCAAGTGGTCACTTGGGTGAGTCCAGGCCGATCTCGCGCGGTATTCCATATGCTTTTGACGCTCTCACATGGTGGAGATCCAATGATGCTGCCTAGCGGTGGTGCCTTGGCAAAGCTTTTCAGCCCTCGTATTCCGAACCCCACCGGTTCACACCACTATCGTATTCCGTCCAGCTCCAACTAGCTTCAGTACTACAATGAATGAGCAACGTGTCCCCTCGTAAGGTCTGGTTCCACGCTGCGCCTACCCAGGCCCTATATCTAACCTTCATCGCGAACCCTGCTACACTCTCTATCCTATGCTGCGCGCCGCCACTACAATGTCTACGAACGAGTCCGTGACTATGAAGGCATGGGTGCATTCCAGGAGTGGCCTACCGTCGGAGGTTCTATCTCTAACTACTCTGCCCGTCCCCTGCCTCACTTCGCCAACCCAAGTCCGGGTCAGGATATCGCACTGCGCGCTCAATCCTGGTGGCAGCATCACGATGCAGCTGCTCCCGTTCATCTTCAGGACCTCTCCTTCTATCCCGGAAATGGATTTCTCGGGGACCATTGTTGAACTCGGACCTGGTGTCCCAGCGGCTCGCGACTTAACTCCCGGTCAGCACGTCTTTGGATCTATTCCAGTGGGGCAGCATGCCAGATCTGGTTCCGGCTCGCTCGCCAAATATGTGGTTGTCGATCGCACTGCTGTTGTGAAGAAGCCGGACGGCGCAACACTGGAAGAAGTCGCAGGATTGGGGATTGCAGGGGCGACCGCCTTGGAGCTGATCAAAGCTGCGAAGCCGAAGAGAGGCGACAGTGTGCTTGTGAATGGGGCAAGCGGAGGCATCGGACATATGGCTCTGCAGATGTGCCGCGCCGAAGTGGGTGAGACAGGGAGGGTGATCGCTGTATGCTCTGGCGAGAACGCGGGGTGGGTGAAGCAGCTCGGAGCCGATGAGGTCGGTACACTTCTGTTGTCCCCTTCATTTCTCTGCTAACATAAGTAGGTGATCGACTACAAGGAGCACGCCCCTGTGCATCCGCATTTAGCAAAGACATTCGACCAGTCCCGGTTCAACGCTGTTATCGACGCAGTAGGTATTCAGGACATCTATCACCACTGCCCTGGATTCCTCGCCGACGGAAAACCGTACGTCACCGTCGGTCCTCGTCCACCGAGCTACACGGTGCTCGGTATGCTTGCGACAGTTGGGTTGATGGCAAAGAACGCGCTGTTACCGCGCATCCTAGGGGGAGTCCCAAGGGATTATCGGCAGGTGACTGGAGTATCGAGCCAGCAGAACCTGCAAGAATTAGGAAAGATGGTAGAGGAGGGGAAGCTGAAGGTCCACGTTGGGGCCAAAGTAAAGATGGAGGATGCGAAACAGGTACGCTTGCGGTTTCAACTATGGTATGAAGACTAACGCAGTGTAGGCGTATGAAATGATGTTGAGCGGACATCCGAAAGGGAAGATTGTGGTGGAGATATAGAATTGCTGAGAGAAGAAAGTACGGGAAAAAAGCGAGAAGGAGCAATGCTGCTTTCCGGAGGCGGCGTCGGTGTAAAAGAGGTACTCCCGGCTCTATCCCATCCCTACTCTGCATGTCGCATACGCATATGTAATACCTCATCCATCTCAAGTTCACACCTCCTTAATCGCTCCAAACACGGAACGGGGAGTCGCACCAATCTGGCCTCTTAATTTAAACCTCTATCCAACAACCTTCCTCACAATGGATGATATATGCCGGAAGGATGCTTCCAGAGCACCTGCACGGATCTGCCCTACGAAAAAGCCCACTCGTATGCGACTCTTTAGAGGCTATCCACCGCCCTCTGACCTCATCTCCATTGGTTCCTACCAAGTTCATATGCCTGTACATGCTGTCCCGCTCCTCCGAATCCAGCACGAGGTGTCGCACCAAGTAGCATATTGGTCTGACTCGTGGAAGGCGTTAGCACGGAAGCAAGCTCGATCGCAGCCGCCGACCTCCTCCTTCTTAGCTGTATCACCAGTGCGATGGCCGCAACGGCAAGACTGGGTATACCAACGCCCAAGCCAGTAGCGAGTGCGATGATATCTGATTTGCTTAGTCCGTCATCGCCCTCATCTTCTTCTGCGCCGGACGCTGTCGTAGCGGCGGGGTTATCGAGACGGTCGGTCGCGGGCGCGGTCGCAGTTGCTGTAGAGTTCGCCGGGAGAACTACCGCTGGGCTGACCGTTTCTGCAGTCTTAGATGGCGCAGAGCTCGTTGCGGCGGCGGTGCTAAGCGCTTAGTTTGCAGTCGCGCAGTATCCATCGTACAGCCCCAGCTCGTCACATCGCCGTCGGCATTCGGAAGGCCCTCGCAATTCGCGCTGACGCAGCTTTGGATGTAGCTCGTTGCAGCACTTTGATATCCTTCGCTGCAGTAGCAAGCGTTCAACGGCTTGCATCTACACCCGAGCGTAAGTCCAACGTCGTGTGCGTCCGCCTTGATTTCGCACATGTATAAGCCGTTGTAGCGGATACATCCAGCTGCGCAGGGACGAGCGATAGAGTATACGGAGAGACCGGCGATAGATACCCACGCAAGTGGTCCGGCGGTGTCGGTTACTACTACCGAAGGTTGGAGTATAGCCGCAAGCCAGAGGGCGAGACGCTCGCGGCACAATCGCATGACGCGCTGTCCAGATACAGATGCGGTTGTAGTGTTTCCCTAGCTAATATAGACTAGAGGGAAGCAAAGAGACTTTAGACTTTCTAGTCGAGCATTGAACCTGGCGGCAGCCTGGACTTAGAAGACGCACATCCTCTCAAGGGGCGGATAGGAAACCCCCTACATCTCTTATCACTGCGCCCAGGTTACAGTATTGGCTGGGAGGAAGGCGCCAGAGTACCCTTTCGTGCACGGCTGTTGGATAATAATACCCTGCCAAGCGCTCCAAGCCCGCCACTGCACTGATGGCAACGCTACAAGAACCAGAAGCTAAACGTTCCGCTTACCGGTTGGCTGCACGTTGTTTCAGCCTTCTTCAAGGCAGATGCCTTCCAAAAAAATTAGAAGTCTCTTTTTCGATGTTGCAGTGCACTACAGCGCACTGTAGCGTATTTATACTCAAGGCAGCACCTAACTACGCGTTTGGGGGCTTAATCGAGCTCGTTGACAATCCCGCTATTCACACAACAGATGTCATCCACGAAGCTGCAGTGATCCGACCGGCCTGGCTATTATGGCGGGCGCTATTTATGCTGTCATCCAGACTGAGTGCAGTGCGGCTGCCAATGGGTCGAAAAAGATTCAGTTCGGTGGTGCGTGTCTAAGAAGTACGTTCGAGGCGAATGCGAGCGCGGTGGTGAACTACCTTCTCAGTCGTTTTTTGTCAGATTCCGGATTATTAGATTCCAGGGGAAGTGGAAAGTACTGAGACGTGAGTTGATTGATTGAAAATGTGAGAAATACGGCTATATATATATGACCAAAGTCACGTGAAGAAGTAACTATATCCGGCGACATTAGAGGTCGCTTAATGAGGTTAAGGAAGAATATGTCTGGTAGGCCGTGCGGGCCTGCAAGGAGGGGCGACTAAAGAGCTCGGCTGGCTAGATGCAGGTGAATTGAGGATGGAGGGACGACCAACGGTAAGGACCTTTCGCTAGTCTTTGCGGGGTTTTGATTGGTAGGCGATAGTTCTCGGAGACAGTTCCCAGCGGTAGGCTCGAATGTTAGTCCTCGACTTATTCTCCCTACTACAAGTATCTACGAGTCTATCTCTTGTCTCCCGAGACTCCCATCACTCCCCCAACTCCAGTATCAATCTTTAGAGCGATTCCAGCTGCCCCTCTATCGAAAGCGCCATACAGCGGCACCCCAACATTCACCATGATTCTACTCACTCTCCTCTTCATAGCAGCCCTCGTCGCAGCCGCACGCTTCCCACCTTGTGGCCAGCGACGTCGCGCTCATCAACAACACCGCCAATGCGGCTAGCACTGCCAATCTTCCCCTTCGTCGGCGGCACCTACAGCGTCGTCACCCACTTCGAGCAAGTCTGCTCGCAAGTTGACCTCCGCGACGGCGTCGGCATCTTCATGCGAAATCTGAGCGGCGACATCGGATTCCCAAAGCTCATCTCGGCCGAATTCAACGAGCTCAAGTACTGCATTGGCAAGACCCGCGGACCAGGCGACATTTTTATTCGCGGGAAGTTCTACAAGGGCATTAATGCGAAAAGAGAAAAAGATCAAAAAAAAAAGAAGGCTGGGTGGGAGACGATGACTTTTCATAATGTATGGAGATCATGTGAGGGGCGCATGGAGTGAGGATAGCGACGATTGGGTGGTGTGGTGGCTCAAGTGTAGGGATATTGAGGACTAGGGGGTGGTATCATAGGATTCGAGTGAGTACCTGCCATGTTTTAGGTTTTTCTGTTGCTAGTCTGGAGTGTAGACTAGGGATATCACATGCAGATTCATGTGCCAGACTTGGTGAGGGAACAGTTCATGGATTACGGAGGAGTTTTTGAAACAACTGCTCTGGCTATGGGGCACTTGATTCCGTTCCAAACGTTCGGCTGGGAGTAGTTTCTTGAAGTCCAGGGCAAGGGTTGCTCACTACAGAGCTTGTATTTATGTGAGGTTTTCCACCCCATCACCTTCCTGCTTTTGTTCGCACATCACAAGCTTGGAAGGAAGGGCTGCTAGGGAGCTGGGCCAGTGAGGGAGTGAGACGACTAGTGGTCAGAAACTCTGCAGTGTACACAGCATCATCGACGCTTCTGCCACCACAAGCCCACGTCGCCCAGATCTTTCACCAATCTTTTGCGATGTTTCGATCTTGTACGTGCACGTGGTCACTTCGTCGCACAAGCAACCCGTCGCCAAGCTCGGACCTTATTTCGACTCACCGCGAAACTTTGGCTTCCTCTCCCAACCTCACCCACTAGTACGATCTCACGACAACCCCGACCTCTTCGGCAATCCAATAACAGTCAACATGCTCTCTTTGCCACTCCTCATCCTCCACGTCTCCCCCTCCGCCCTTATAGCTGCCCTTCCCTCCCTCGCCGACACCCGGCTCCCAACCGCTAACATCACGAATCCCTCCGCAGCCTTCACTCACGGCACCTGCAACCTCCTAATTCGCCTCACGCAAGTCTGCGGCTGGCCAGAAGTCGACACCTACGTCCGCCTCGACATCACGGACGCAGCGAACGGCCCCATCATGAAGCTTTCTCTCATCCTAAACGCATGTGCATGTCATATACATGATTCTTCTCAGCAATCACCTCAGAGCACTATCACCAACTTGCTAGCTCTCAAGAAAGAGTTGAAAAGCTTCTATAATCAAAGACGCCTTTTCAAAAAAAAAAAACCATTTGCAGATATACGCCTGGGATTCTACTACGGTCGCGATATGGCGTCTCCATCGTGGTTTGCCAGCAGGCCTTCCATTTCCTCATGTATTACTTGAGTGGGTGTCGAATCTTCCCGCTCAAGCTCGTGATTCGCAGACGCCGCCGCTTCCATGCTTGCGCTCATGCTCAGTGCATCCTGACGTCCACGTTCAGCGTCAACCAGCCATATCAGCAGAATCGGCAGTACAATCAACACGGCCAAGAAAGCGAAGCCTATGCGCACCTAGCCCGTGGCATCGACCGTCCTACCGACGATAGCGGGACCGATTACCGAGCTGCCCTTGTCGGTGAAAGCATACAGAGCGTAAAAAGCGGCCTCATGTCGTGGGGGGATGAGGACGGCGTAGAAAGAGCGACAATACGATGACAAACCGCCCGACACGACTCCATGGACGATTGCCAGCGGAAATATCTCCCACGTCTGCTGCAGGCCAATGACGCCTAGGCGTCTGATTGCAGGGATGTACTCAAGAAGGCCGTAGAGCGGTATCATCTCGAAGAGAACGATGCAGGCGATGATGGTCTGGCGTGGCTGCAGTCCCAGTTTCCGAGAGACTATCGGCCACGTGAAAGCGCCGACGATGCCCGACACGGTTGCCGTGATGGACGTGAGCGCTATCAGCTCCGTCGCCATGTGCAGCTCCGTCTTGGCGAAGAGGATAGCGGTGCCCGAGACGGTCGCCACCGCGTCGGAAAGCAGGAACCAGGCGGCGAGGAAGGTGGCCACCTGGCGCAATCGGGCGGCTACTTTGACTGTCTTCCAAGCCGGACCCAGGCGAACTTGCAGAGGAGCATCCAGGACCGCCATTGGCGCGTCTCGGCGTGCATGCTGAGCGACTTTAACGGCGGGCCTGGCCGGTTGCGAAGCCATGCGCGCGTCACCATGGTGAAGGCGAACCACCACATGCCCACCACGAGCAGAACGATGCGCAGCGGAACCGTTTTCGAAGACGAGAACAGCGATAGTTTGGAGAGACTGACTAGGATCAGGATGCTGATGCACTGGACGAGAACGGCTGCGGCGTAGCCTAGTCCGACGCCCTTTGAGGATATTTGAGTTGCGCGCTGCAGCTCCGCCGATGTGCCATGCGGTTCTTGCGTTTTGAAATGCGGTATGCTCTCTGTCGAGAGGTCTTCGAGTGAGATGTCCGTTCGCTCCGCCGTCTTCGTTGATAGAGAGCTATAGCGCGTTATAGACTTAGCTCTAGGTTCTATTAAATAGCCTAAAGCGTAAGCTATATCTAGAATTTGTCTAAGGTTAATTAGGTGTTTGTAGAGGGCTTTATAATAGAGATAGTAGCATTTAGTAAGGGCTTGGTAATTTTAGAGAGTTCGCTTGTCTAGGGGGTTTGCTTATCAAGTACGTTAAAGATAATATAAATAAGTTAGATAGCTTATCTAGATTTATCTTACGCAGCTTAGAGTTAGAGCAATCTAAATAAGATGGCGGCTTTTTGGTGGGGGCTTGGCATTTTTGGGGTGTTCGGTGGTGGAATACGTTAAGTTAAATAAGAAGCTATTATGCCTTCTTAGTCCTGGGGGTTTCTTAACCTCGAGAGGCGCACTTCCCTGTAACATCTTTACGAAGCTCGCTTCGATACTTGCACAGCTACATTATCGGGAGTTTTGTCGGCGTGCTCGTGTCCGCCAGCACTTGCGTGGAAGAAGCTTCCATTTCCAGGGCGTCGGGCCAGCGGACAGGCTGTGGCGTTGCTTTAGTTGTCGCGGCATGCGGAGTAGTCTGTTTCAGGTCCGCGTCGAATCATCGCTAGTGCATCTATGCATATTCCAACGACAGGTTCCAGATGGAGCCGAAGAGCCACCGACTGAAGGGAGCTGTCGGCGAGCAGAGGGGCTGGTTTCACCATTCTTGCAGATGACCAACTCAATTCCAGCTACTGGCCGCGGTATACTGTAGTCTTTTCTTTGACTTAAATTATCGTCAGGGTTGAACTAGTCGAGGTGGGACCGCTCGTTGCTATGCTATTCAACTTCAAACTGCCACCACGTCAGCAGCTGGTCGTCACTCGATGCAACGAGTGCATATCGAAGGGCCACAACGCCACTCGAGCATCAGAAGTTGACCAATTCTCCATTCGACTAGAAGCCTTCTAGAAATCGAAATCATGTGGAGTATCAGTGGGGCTCCTCACTCCATAACCAACCAATGACCGGCTTCTCTGGCACTGTGACAAGACTAGCCAACTGTCAAACACGATCAACGGGCGCCTCGGAAGACGACTTGACACATCCTCGCTGGCATGAAGCTTGTTCAACACTATCTTGTCAAATGCGCACGAACTTAGATTCTTTCACTTCACTCCTGTCTCAACGTTGGTCTGCCCCAAGAACTTGCGGCCACCAATGTACGCACCATGGCTCCTTTCCCACTCTTCATGTTCTCACGGCAGTTCGACATGAATGCGCCTGAAGTATGTACGGACTTTGATATTCATGAACAACGCTGACAGGTCAAAGGGTTCACCTGCAGACTTCCCCGACGAAACGCGCGCGCCACAAGTGGTAGCCGGAAATGCCATTGTCCAGGTCATTGGAACCCTCGTGTTCTTTGCGCGAGTCTATTCGCGACTCATGATTATCAACTCATGGAAGCTTGATGACAGTATTCTCGTGGGCTCGTGGGCTCGTGGGTAAGGCAGAAAATTCCTTGACTGGGGATGATCGCTGATGTTTGGGGCAAGATCTTTGCTTCCGCTTACAGTATCTGCCAATACGCCCAAGTGCACCATGGCGCTGGTCGCCATCTGGGCGCCATCCTCAAAACTAAACCATCTGACATCGTCGAATCGCAAAAATATGCCTTCGTCGCGTCAATAGTCGCATTGCTCGCCCTCTCACTCCCCAAGCTGAGCATCTGCGTCACCTATCTGCGCATCTTCAACACAGATGTCCGCGGCCGACAACTCATCCAGGGCATCATTGTTATCGTCCTTGTACCGCTCGTGCCATTTCTCTTCTTTATGATCTTCCAGTGTAAACCTATTGAGGTTTATTGGACCGAAGGCCGGCCCCTCGATAAATGCTCTGAGGACATCTTAGGTCTCTATATTAGTGGAGGTCTCAACGTTTTCGTCGATTTTGCACTTATAGCCGTTGTTCTCCCTAGAGTTCTTAAATTGCAACTAAATGCGCGACAGAAATGGGCTCTAGGTGGAATTATTGGACTGGGTTTCTTGGCTGCTATGGCGGGCTTGACGCGTATGATTCGAGTCGGTACGACGCTTGTGAAACCAAACTTTGACGCTACTTGGGATGCGTACGATATCTCGATCTGGACATCTACCGAAATATATGTCAGCTTGATTTGCGCGTCGGCTCCCGGTATCAAGCCACTCGTGGCAAAGATGGTGCCGAAGCTCTTGGGATCGTCGCTCTCGAGCCGGGGCGGGACGAAGACGACGATATATCCCGCAGGCTCGATAAACATGGGACTAAAGTCAAGAAGAGGCACGATAGGGAGCAATAGAGTGCGACCCAAAGCGCGCGACACGAGCGTGGGAGTTGACGAGGGCTTCTACGAGCAAGTTGAGTCGGGTGTGGACAGGCCGTCTTTCGACGAGCGGAAAAGCGCAGAGGACGTGGATTTTCCAATAATGGGGATTTTCAAGACACAGGAGTTTTCGATACGCTCGAGCGTCGTCACGGTGACACGGGATGTGCGATGATGGAATCGTAATCGGCTCATCTTTTCCGAAAGAGATGCTTTGCGATAATTTCTGTGCCTCTGGCTTCCGTAGAGTCATTCCCGAGGAGCCGAGAGGGGAATTATATCAGCCTTGGAAGAGGGCGCCACAATCTTTGTGCTTCATTGAGCCCGATGTCGTGGGTGGGAAGTCACTCTCGGTACCGTACCAAGGCCCGACTTCCATGCGACGAACGAGCAGTTCTCCAGTACCCAGAGGACTTGCATGATGTGTACCGACAGAAGGAAGAACTGCCTGCATCGATTTGTGCTGTCACTAGGGTCGTTACCGACTTTGTCTGGAGATCATCGCTGGGATCTCCGGGTTTGAACGCCGGCCACGCTGCGCACGAAGCAAAAGTTTGAGCTCCACAAACTCTGGATATATCTGGAGCTGCGCACAAATGAGTCAAATGCAACACTGCCGCAGGGCATTACTCTACGACGTCCATCCTCCGCCGAGCATCCCTCAATCAGCAAGAGCTCCGCTCAGCATTAGCAACGCGGAAGCCATCCGTGCTTCCCAGCGACGCCGACGAGTAACGAAATCACCCCCAAATCCACCATACCCTGAAGACAAGCTCGCTAAGCGAACACTTCAACGAGGCATTAGGCGAGCTGATGGGACTAACCCTAACGCTGCCCATTTGAACACATTTTGCGGTCGCGCGACGGCCAGATACAGTGACTAGTCGCCGACGGAAGGAGTCGCTGAACTGGTCGTGAACACCTGCCATTCGTTCATGACAAAGCTATTTCGATTCTGTAGAACGTCACCGCGGCCCGCGAGGATATAGAGTGTGTTTATCACGACAAGAGGCGCCGGGTCTGCGGATAGTAGGATCCATCGGCGAGAATAGGGTTGCCGGTGGAGCGAAACTTGATGGACTCCGCATGAACATTGAGAAGGACGAGCCAGGAGACGTAATCCGACGAAACCATGACCAAAATTGGGCTTCAAGCATAAGAAAACGACGTCGCTGCCGCATCCGGAGCTCTTTTAGTATTGCTACGCCCGTGGATTATTCGAGGCGTCTGCCCGGCGGAGAAATATTAGTTTCTTAGAGCCTAGTGCCGAGATTATATCACCTGCTGGAGGGTTGCTAGCATTGGCTCCGTCATCCCCCATATTGCGTTTCGCAGCCGCTAAATACCTAGGCACTCTAGTACGTACTTAACGCAAATAGTTGAACAATCAGATGTCGGTTGAGGCTCCTTCACACCTTAACGGTGTGTTCGTTGCGAAACCAAGTAACGCGTGTTTTTCTGCCCCGTAAACAACAGCACTTGTTTTAGTCCTATCGGCCCTTTAGCCCTAATATCCACTCGGCCATTCATTTCCCCGTCGCCAGTCCCGTAGTATTCTTCGTTGCGTTCCAACCTACCCTACGCCCAATGCAGCTATGCTAACGCTTACCCCGCCACTCGCCTGCTCGAAACCGCTATGTCCTCCGGCACGCCCAGCGACTAGCGCCGGCGATTCACACTACAATATAACGATCAGCTGCCACGAGAACTGGAAGCGCCTCGCTTCTCCGTGTGCAACCATGGCTTTTCGCGGATGTCGCTCCCACAACAGCACTCTGCTATGAATCTTTTGCTTGGCTTACACAACGGGTGCGACGCCAGCGTCTTTCACGTGGAAGAGTACAGGTGTGATGGCTTGCACGCGCCGAGGTCTGCGACGAATGGGAAAAGCAGGGCAGAGCATGAGGGATCTTGATGTGTAGATAAAGGGATGGCAGGTCCAGAGATTGTACGCAGCGTTGCAGCCGTCATCATCACTTCAAGATGCCTCGCCCATCCTTTCTTCCCGCCTTCGCGCTCTTCGCGGCCCTCATCCGCGCAGAGCCTTACAACACCTTCGACGGGCCCGGCTTCCCTGCCTGCAACGATGTTGCCGCAGTCTATTCTCCGTCCACTGTGGACGAGATGGTCACCATCGTGGGTGACGCCACGAGGAACAACACGCCAGTTCGCGCCTCGGGAAAGGGCCACATGTGGTACGACACCATGTGCAGCGACGACCCTTCCACCATCATCATACGCACGGAGAACGTCAACGGCATCTCCAACTTCTCACTTGAAGAAGGCGCTATAGATGGTTCCATCATGATCGAAGCGGGCGTTACGTTTTTTCAGCTCGCTGAGTACCTGCATGAGCGAGGCGCGAGCGTGGGCTATACGCTGGTGAACTGGAATATCACGCTTGCGGGGAGCATTGCGATGGGCGCGCATCGGAGCAGTCTGCGAGAAGAAAGCATGGTGGCTGCAGGCGCCATGGAACTCCATATCATTGATGGGAGCGGGAACCTGAGGGTTGTGACGCGGGATGAGAACAGTGATGAGTGGCTTGCTGCCTCGACATCGCTCGGACTTCTTGGAGTCATCGCAAGGATGAAGTTCAAGATCTACCCCGATTTCAAGGTTTATGCGGAGCAGAAGATGTGAGTTTTCCAAGCCGAGGCTCTCCTGTCAGGTCACTGATAGAAAAAGACTCCCAGAGAATGAGGTCCTCGATGGCGACATCTATGGACTCATCGCCCCATATGCTACCGCGAACTTCTGGTACGTCCTTGTAGCCTCAGTATTCCTTTCTCTTCTCAAATACTAATATGCACAGGTGGTGGCCTTTCCTCCGCCAATTCCACCACCGCTACTACGACGTTGTCCCCACCAACGCTTCCGACCAAGAAGGCTTCCAATCCACCTTCAGCGTGACCAAAGCCGAAGCCGACATCGCCCTTGGCCTTCTCAACTCCGGTACGTCAACTCCACCTAACCCGTCCCGCTTAGCCCCCACTAACCCACGCCAAAAGGCAAATACAGCTCTGTCCCCAATATCGCAGCTGAGGAGCTATTCTTCGCCCTCTGGTCCTTCCCTAACTTCCGCGAAAAATCCACCGACCAGGCCATCCTTACCTGGCCCGTCTACGGCTGGAACTACGACGTGTTAATCGGTGGCCTCTACCCGGGCTACGGCACAGAATGGGACTTCGGGCTGCGCGGCTTCACGCTCGAACTCGCGTTCCCCGTCACGCAAGCCAACGCCGTCCTCAAGCGCGTCCGCAAAGCCTTCGACGACGAGCTGCTGAAGGGCAAGGTCATGACCTCTACTTACCGCAGCGGCATCAACATCAAGTTCGGAAAAGCGTACTTCGATCTGCTGGGCCAAGTCACGTACGACACGGCCGACGGCGCGGACTGGAGCAAAGGCGCCATCATGTTTGATTTCCCGACGTTTAAGCCGACGGTCGGCGACGGCCTGCGCTACAACGAGCCCTTTTATCATGAGCTGGCGACGGCGCTGGTCGAGGAGTTTCCGTGCCGCCCGCATTGGACTAAGAACACGCGCGAGGTGTTTCAGCAGAGTAAGAAGAACCTGGATCCGGAGCATTTGGCGAGGTTTAAGGCGGTAAGAGAGAGCTTTGATCCAAATGGCATTTTCAAGAGCGTGGTGGGCGAGATTTTGGAGCTGTATTAGGGAGAGTGCGCAAATTGCATAAGCGCAATCTCGTAAGAGACGCTATAACAGAGCTGTTGTATAGAGCTTACAGGAGTCTTTCGCAGTCTAGCTTACCTTGTAGAATCTACTGGTGGAGTGTGGTGTTTGGGGAGGAGCGCGCTTTGGGTGTGATGCTTCTCATCCAGTCGCGGCTGTAGTTTGAGGAGCAGCCGATGCCATTTCGGAGGATGGTGAACCCGGCGCCTGTGGTTGCGCTGAAGAGTAGGTCGAGCACTTTTTGCTGATGGGTTGTTGAAAGACGCTGGATTTGGCGGGCGCGTTGGAAGGCGTGTGATATGCCGCAGCCGTCGATTGTTTGGTAGGTCTTTTGTGTGTCGACGGTGACTTTGACGGTTGGGATTGAGGCATTGGTGTTTGCGAATACGAGGTGGGAGAGAAGGAACACCGCTGTCACTGCTGGAGCAATCATGGCGGCTGCCGTAAACGAAGGTGTGGCTGGGTACGCGGTGACCACCGCCGTAAGTAATTCAGTGCATCATTTGAGTCGTAATATAGTCGTTCGCATACTTCCGTTAATAGTCGCGGAGAATATACAGACTTTAGGCTGACGTTGGGTGTTAGACTACTACCAAGAAGCTTCGATGGCCAACAAGACTCCAGAATTTAGCCACAAGTAGTAATCGTGGATTGATGAGCGGAGCCGCAGGGCTGCAGATGCAAGCTTTGGGGGATTTGTTGCTTTAGTCCCCTCTCGTTTCCCTGCCAATCTTTGCTGGCAGAGGAGAAGAGATCCTCGAGTCTACCTTCGGGTTCGACGTCCAGGCGAAAAGGGTGATGCGCACTACCCACAAGGCGGTGCGTTGCAATACAGCGTTGCTACTGGGATAATAGAGAGTACGCTAAGACCTATGATTTTGATGAGCTTTCCAATATGCTAGCAACCACGCTGTCAAATACTTACGGTAACTCATGCGCCCGAATTCTTAGGACCCGACAAACCATGGCGCTCTGCAAGGTACAACCAGCCAAGACTCAGTGCGAAATTGTCAAGGCCATCTCCGCATGTTCAAAATAACTCAAAGTCTTCAAGTTCCCCACCCGCACGTTCCAACTCCTGCGTAACCCTGACCTGGTCGAATTCCGGTATGCATGCCGTTCCGACGAAGTGATAGCCATTACCATCCCCCTTTCTCCTTATCACAATCGGTAGTCCTACCTGAGACACAGCGACGAGCACATCACCCTCTTGAAGAGCCCTAGGCCCCAAGCCATAATTTCCATCAACCGTTGCGAATAGTTTCCTTCCTTCCCAGTAGAAAATTGCCGAATCGCTGGCCCCAGCAGCGTGACTTCTACGCCCTGCGCCATTGGCGATCGCTTTTATCTCCTCCTGTGCGGATATCCAAAAAGCGTAAATCATTTCCTTAGTCCCTGAACTTCGATCGATATAATCCACGGCTCTGTCGTGCCAACGGATAGCATTGCAAAGACATCTAGAGAGCTCCAAGTCGCTGGAACACCAGCGATAGTTAAGCGTGCCTAGCGAAACCGCTTCTAGAAATTGGAAATTAACACCATTACATTCGGTTTCAGAGCCGGCTGATCGAACATATTGTTCCCAGAATGTGGCAATAGTGTGCATGCATTCTTCCATGTTGTCTGTGAATAGGACTCTGTGCGAACCGGAGAGAATGGTGGAAAGCTGTACGCCCCGAAGGGTCAGGCTGTGGGTGTGCTGCTTAACTTTAAGAGATCCGGGTAGGTTGTATGATGTGCGAGTGTCAAAGAGAGGTTTCGACGCGCTCGCCCGTGTCCAGTCGGGGATCCATGACGGCCGGCGTAGTGCAAGTAGATCTTCATCAGGGCGGTGACAAACCCGCTTCAGTAATTCCAGTAGCTTCCCACATTCGATACATAAGCAAGCAACCTCGAGGAACAGGTCCACGGCTTCCTTTGTGTAGTCGGGTTGTAGATTTTTAATTCTCTGACTAAGCAGGTCCGACTCATTGAAATGGAGGCCAAGTATCGCGTAGATTCGATCTCGTTCGTCGGTGCAGCGCGAGCCTCTCGTTCGATCCAGAAAATCCAAGAACTCGACCATACTCGGAGGACTTTGGCGAATGCGTTAGCTAGAACAGAGGAGATGTCCACGCTACGTCAAAGAGCCTAAACTCGATACACCGAATGAAAGTCTGACTGGCTTGCAACCGCTGCTGCACCAGCTTACGGGATTTAAGAAAGGAAGAAAAAGAGGGGGAAATGGCCATGACAGGACTCACTAGAGTAAAAGTTCTGTCCACTTGGGAAGTACAGACTTTCTTCCCTTTCTTCTTGTGATAGAATCTTCGAAGTTGATCAGATGGCAAAAATCGACGTGCTCACTTCCCCAAAGTGCGACCGCTCGCCGTCGCGCCAGCATGACCTCTTGAATCACCCAAAGCCGCTCGAACCATTCAATCTTCCCAATGCTTCCCAAGTTATCTTCTGAAGACTTCCCAAGGAATTGGCTTGCGTTCCTGAACAACGACGGAGCGCTGCTGGTAGGATCTGAGCCTAGCCAAACTAAAACCTGGAAGGCCTTTGAATAGACTTGTCCCATCAATTTCACCTGTTGACCTCGCTCTTTCATATCATCTTGATTGATACATACGGCATCAGCCCATACATTTCGCGGACGGTCAGGTAATCGTATGTGCTTCAAGGCTTCTTCCAGGTTCCTCGTCAGAGGGATCGTCCCTTGTGATGATTTCATGGTCTGACAGCGGGCAGGCGTCCCCCATACATACGATAAGGCCTCGTAGTATTGAGTTCCAGGCGGCGACAAAGGCGCAGGTCCGAGCACCCGCCGCCCCTCCGTGTTGGAAGGTGGGCCGTGATAGTTTTCGCCGATGTCAAGATAACAAACTTCACCTCTCAGTGGCTCGTTCCCAATTCCGGGCTCTAGGAATAAAATCCGAATTGTAGTTAGGGTTTCCAGTGGTTCGTATATATACGGTTTAATGTCGTTCGTGGTCTCTCGCAGCGGCGAAAATTCTCTGCCGCGCAATTCTGCCGTCATCATAAGATGGGATCAACAATCGAAGCCCAGATTCCGCAAAGGAGATAGCGAGGGTGGTGGGTTTTAGTGCGGGACACGGCGGTTTAAATGATTACTGCGAGGCCAAGACAAGATGTGGCAGCCTGGCGACCTGCGATCCCCGAGTAGCCCAAGGCTGAACGATCGAAGAACGACGGAGGCGCTTCAAGGCTGACTCATTTATAAGTTCCAGAAAGAGCAACGGAATAAAAACAAGGCAGCTGAATGCTTGCGTGAGGGCAAAGTAGCAGGGAGCCTCAGTCCCACTGAGTACGCCGGCGCGACGCCTTGTCAAAGAGCCCCGAAAAGATTCCCTGGAGACCACATATACCTATTCTAAACTTTTACTATATTTTTATTTATCTAACTGCAGCTATAGACCTGTGTCTCAAGATAGATAAATACGCATGCAGACAGAATGCAGCTGCATGAGGCCCAATGCTGCGCCACCCCACTGCCGCCTGGAAGCCCACGTTGCCTCCCCGCAGCCCCGCGAATGCTCAGGTGCACACCCTCCCGTCGCAACGGTAACTTCGGTCTCAAATGGCAGTGTCCATGTGCCGTGCCGCAATAAAGAGCAATATATTGGATGCAGGTCGCGGTCCGACTTATGGAACGGTTGCCTAAGCCTAGAGCTACGCCGCTACGGTATGGTGCCTGTGTATCTCGACAGTTCTTCGTTTCCACCCTCCGAGGGCCTTTCCATTTTATCCTCTCCGCAGGTTCTCCAGGCGGACTGATGAACCTTTTCCAGATCATCGACTCCGTAGGATCAAGCCTTGAACAAGAGTTAAGATGGCACGCAGACAAGAAGCCGAGCAAAGCCTGCGGAAGATAACAGCAGGTTTCATCGAAAAGTTGACACCAGTGCTCTTCGCCCCGATCTCCATACAACAGTTTGTGAGTGCAAAGGACTCTCCAGCTAGAGCCCCAATGTAGGAACTACATTCAACAAGCCGGACGACGCGGACGAACTCAAGAGTGTTGTGGTCAAAGCACTTGATGATCTAGCTCCCGGTAAAGAACGGATTGGTGACTTTTCCATCGACGATGTCAACGTGCAATGGACGTCGTTCAAGCTTTCAGGCCAGGAGAAAGAGACGGAGCCATCGATTAGCGAGCGAGAGAAGTATGAGGGCATGGTGAAGGACGCTACGTCGGATATCGTCGTCCTGTATGCTCACGGTGGATTCTACTAGTTAGTACAACTTGTAACAGTTCCGGAAGTCCCGCATCAGTCCGGCGCATAACTCTTGCACTGGCTCGGGAAACAGGCGGTCGATGCCTTGTACCCGACTACCGTTTGGCGCCGCAAAACCCTTTTCCGAGTGCAGTAGTCGATCTGCTCCTCACGTATCTCACCCTCATATCCGAGCGAGAGTTATACGCACACTGCCGTCTCGGCAGAAAATATCGTCTTTGCAGGGGATAGCTCAGGAGGGAATTTGGTGCTCAGCCTGCTGGCGCTGCTGCGACACATTCGCGATCACAACAACGGGCGCGTACAGTTCCAAGGCCAGTTGATCGACGTCCCACTTCCGGCGGGGATCGCTACTCTGAGCCCGCATTGCGATCATACCATGTCCTTGTAAGTGGAGAGGTCTAACGTCTTCTGCTTTCACTCACAGATACATAGCGAATCCCATGGTCGGAACCAGCCATATGACATATTCATTCTAGATATGCTGCCACACCTGCAGCCTTCGTTCGCCTGTGACCTGTGACCGACCCGTCCGCCGCGGGAAGACATATACTGCGATGGTCCCACCTTGCTTCACCCACTCATCAGTGTGGATATTGCGCCAAGCTGGTCCGCTGCGGGCCTGCCTCCCATGTTCTTCGCATGCGGACAAGAAAAGCTGACAGACGAGGCACACTACCTTTCACGGAGAGCTGCGAAGGCGGGGACGAAGGTCCAGTTCTCTCAGTATGATGTACTGCCGCATAATTTCACCGTGTACTTTCCAAAGCTATCTCATTCAATCCATGTCCTTCACCGGTGGGGTTCGTTCTGTAGAGAGGTGGTCCAGAATCCTAGCGGGTTGAAGAGTGAAAGGATCAGATATGCTGCGGATGACGTGAAATTCCAGGGTGCTGAGTTAGACCTTCTTGTTAGTCTAGATGAGATGGATCGAAAGAGCAAGATGCAAGAGAAGGTGGCCAAGCGCAATCCATGGACCGGGCCGGCAGAGACGGGCTTGCTCTAGGGACAGTCCGCATTTAGGGAGAAGGGAAATCAGAGGGAGGCAATTATATTCTAATACATGTTCATGAGATCTTGACTAGTGCTATTGCGGTGAGGCACTCCACAGTGGCCTACCGTAGCAAGGGTCCGTGCCATCATACTCAAGGGACAGTTCCCCAGAAAACCGATGCTCCGTGTCTAGTGCAACTCAACCATACGCCCCGTTCTCGTACGCCTCCCAGTCCCCTCAGATCGTATCTTCCACGATCTGGAAGTTGGAGTTGATCGTCATCACCATCGCCCATCCATGCGTCCTCTTGAACATAATCTCGTACATCGCATCCCCCACCGCATCCCCCACCGCATCCTCCACCGCATCCTCCACCGCATCCTCCACCGCATCCTCCACCGCATCCTCCACCGCATCCTCCACCGCACCCTCCACCGCATCCTCCACCACATCCGACTCCGCATCCTCCACCGCATTCGACTTGCCCTCTCCCTTCTCCCTACGCTCCCACACCATCGCCAGCACCGTGTTCAGCACACGCTTCCCCTCCTCACCACCATCCATGCGCTGGCCCACCATGACCACCAAGTTCTTGAACAGCTTGATGTTGGGCACGGTAAACAGCGTCGGCGCCTCCGCCATCTTGAACAGGATGTGGTACAGGAACCCCGGGATGAAGTGGCCAGGACACTCGACGAGGAACATGTGCGCATAGAAGGCCGGCACGGCGCGGTTCCACTGCGCAGACTCGAGGGCGGACGACGAGGTGAAGGCATCCTTGCACATCGTGGACAACTCGTCGCGCAGAGCGTCGCACGCGGACGTGAAGTGCACGTACGTATCGTCTGGGTGCGCGAGCGGGCAGTCCGTGGTGACGAGCACGCTGGCGAGCCTGTGCTGCAGCGTGTGCGTGACTTTGGTGCCCGCGGCGGACCATCCGTCCGTGTTGAGCAGCTTGGTGCAGATGCATTCGGCTAGGGCCTCCAGCATATCCTGCTCGATGAAGTCGACGGGGCCGGGGGGTTTGCCGAGGCGGGCCATGGTGAGCTTGATGTCGTCGTCATTGCGCTGTCTGATGCTGAGCAGCCCGAAGAGCGGGAGGATGTTGGCGATGTGGTTGGGGTTTCTGGAATCGTGGTCGTTGGGGATCTTGTCGAGGGCGGAAGAGACCTTGCGCTTGAAGGCGGCGACAGAGGCTTGGCCCTGGGTTGCAGAGGCGGTGGTCGGTTGTGCGTTGCCCATTGTTCCGTGTTGGTTGTGGTGTTCCGGCGAGATCGCAACTGGCAGCACCTTTCTTTCCTTCCTTGTGTTGAGCACCAGGAGTGTGGGGATGAGTGGATGGGGAGTAGATGGGCAGAGGGAGTGTTCTTTATAGAAATGGTGCGCAAAGCGCTTCCGGGGATCGAAAGAAGCGGTGAGTCAGGTTTGATGGTGAGTCTACCCGTAACCGACGCAAACATGTAGTTGGCCGCAGGGAATTGCCGAACGAGAAGAACTCACCAGCAGGCAAAGCGGAGTCATCTAGCAGAACCTCATGTATCGGAAATCATCATGACGTTACTCTTTTTGATTCACCGCTCGTAGGCGGCGTACTAATGCGCATACCCGCGCCTTTCCCCACAACTCGCGCATCGATCTCCAGGCATCCCAATTCCCGTGTGTGTCATTGCACTCACCATTGGCCAGGAGCAGTAGATCTATTAGTTAATCGAACCCTCGTGAGCAAAGAACTGAACTCGGACAGCATCCGAAGGTACCCTACACCACATGTCTGCGCTTCGCCTTTCTTCCCAACTAGCAGAAACACCCGCAACCACGTTAAGTTTCGGTTCTCGTCCCACATAGCGCTAACGTGCATTTACGTGCGATGTTTGACATCGAAACATATGCCGGTTCAAATGCATGGCGAACGGATACATGTCTTCGCAATCGGCCAAGCACGACGGAAAGCAACAGCACAACCGCGGTAAGCTACATCTTGGCTTGCCCGAGCAGCCGGATGGCGGCGAAGAAGCAAGCAGGATTTTGAACGTGCATATAGCAGTCCGCTGCTCACGGACAGGCTCATTCCAGCACTCGGCAAATCAACTCTCCCGTGCACTCAGCCAGAGGACCGGGCCAACCTCCAACAACAATGCCAGATCAACACGAAGGGCCCTTGTGTGCAATGTGCAACAAGGCTGGCGTGAAGACCTGCAGTCGATGTCATGGCATTCGGTATTGCTCGACCGACTGCCAGCAAGACGACTGGGCCGTGCACAAGCTCGTATGCAAACAGTTCACCAAATTCGGCGACGATCAACGACGCAGTCCAACCCAAGTGCGCGCCATATTCTTCCCCGATACAGCCAAACGACCCCGTTTCACATGGCTTGGGGGCCCCCCTTCTGGAGCCGAAATCAACTCGCCAGCTTCAAGCGCTGCCTCGGGCGGGGGAGCACGCCTGTTGGGGATGAATCTCGATTCAGTGCTGGACAACAACCCTGTTCTCCATCGCCCTCTCGAGTCAGAGATATTCATCATGTCGGGGCGCCAGCCACCCGGCTTGCGCCACATGCTCCCTGCCCAGAATCGCCCCAACAAGTCGGTGGGCGCAATCGACCCAGAGATGGAATCATTCTGGACGGGCTCTCTATTTGCTTGCGGCGACCACGATCTAACGCCCGCCGATTTCCGGCACATCGTCGACTACCTTCGAATGGAGTGCTACCGGGAGGCTATACTAGTCCTCGCACCCAGCAGCGACGAGACTGTGCAGGGCGTCCGCCTCAACTGCGCTGGCGACACGAAGATCTGTCTCCGGCCGCACAGCGAAGTCTTCCACGTCGGCATTTCGATGCTCGACGATCCAAACACGCTGTCCTCAACCATTGGCCAACGCATCGGCATCCCGCTCGTGGCGAAGGGAGTGCCCAAGGCCGGAGGACTCCCGTGGCACGATCGCCGCTTCGGCCCCAGGGTCACCGATGCAAGCGACTGGAATTGGCATGGCTGTCTCTTCACGCGCTTTGAGATGCGTCCGCGTGTCGAGTTTACCCCGCGGAGCTTCGTTGTTGCGCGCGTCGATAGGAAGCCGCTGTATCGCATGCACGCGCATGCGATTGTGATGTACTGTTACGAGAGGATGTTGGGCAGGCAGATTGTCTATGAAGATCCGCTTGGAGATCCCGAGTTAGAGGAGATTGCTGAGGGTGCAAGATCCGCGGTGAATGATGATGGTATCTGGGGTGTTTCTGAGGATGACTTTCGGCAGTGGTATTCGACGTGGGCTGAAAGGCCGTACGCCAGGGCCCTGATGGAACGGGAGCCGGGCGTTGGATCTCCCTACGATGTCTGATTGTCGTCCCTGTCGTTATGAACATGTACATGGTAGTGTCTTTAACCTCCCGTCGATTCTTCTCTGACGGTGCTATGCCGAATGCGCGCATCAATTGGTGAACCTCAGACCGCCCGCGCTCGTTTCGTACCCACGTCTCATCCCATCACGGTCCTTCAAGAGACTCTATGTACCCAAAAACCTCGAGCACATACCTGGAGATTTGGGCGCAAGTCTCACTTCCAGTATCTTCCCTGCACGCCTCCTCCACCATGACCTCCCACAGCCGCCTCTCGACGTCATATCCAAAGTCGGCCACCATATCTCTCAGAGAACCCCACATCCGCTGGTATTGGCCCTCCACGTCCCTTAGCGGATCGTTGTCCTTCGCCAAGATAGTCTTCGGATCCGGCTTATGCATGTTCTGGTGGATGAAGAAGGGCCGCGGTTTCTTGGGTGCACGACGTGTACCATCGCGCGCTTCCTCGACTTCTGGGTTCACATGCTTGAGGTCGTCGTCTTGCCAGAGGTCTTGCATATGCATGTGGCTCGGCATCGGCCGCGCGTATTGGAAGTCGAGCGCTGGATCCGCCTGCGCCATGCCCGCCATTGCATAGCTGCCGTTCCTGTCGCGGCCTAGTGCGTGGACGCCGATGCTGACTTGGTACCAGGGTAAACCCATCGCCATGGCAGCGTGGATGAATGTGTCCTTATCGCCCGCACCGTGGCTCCCTTGGCAAAGAAGCGGGTAGTAGTACGATGGCCCGTAGTAGTTGTAATACACCATCAAGAGCAAGCTCTCTCTATGTTTGCTCTTGTCGAGCAACACCTGTCCGCTTTCCGTCGAGTAGCGCGTAGAGACAGGGACTTCAGGGATGCCGGCGATGTGGTAGTAGTGGGACGACGCCGTGTCGCCGAAGAGGTCTGGCCATGTCACGAGACCGTGTGTGGTGTAAGGCGGCGCGAGAAAAAGGGTGGTAGGATCGTGAGCGGGGAACGCGTCGCTATCGAGGAAAAGGGCGTTTTGGAACGAGGAGAAGAGGATAGAAAAGATCTTGTACTGGAAGTGATCTAGCGGAGCTATGTCTTTCGCAGTAGAGTAGATCTCCGACAAGACGACGCATCGCGCATTGAGAGACGGGAGGACGGTTTCGCAAAGCGTAGAATTATATTCGGACCAGTCGCTAATGAAGACTTCAACCGGCAGCTGGCATCCCGTTCGACGCAGCATGCGCAGCGAGACGAGGAAGATGGACATGTATTTCGGGTTCGCCGTCGTCACGATACCTGTAGTGCCCGCGCTGAACGGGAGTTTTGGTCCTAGCCTCAGCGCCGAAGCGCGCATGAGATAGTGCGCACGAAAGAGAGCCGTCTCACTTTCATCGATAATGTTCAGTCGCTCAAGGCGCTGCTTGGTCGGTTCGAGAGGCTGGAATGTCGTGTAAGAGTCAGGCGGATGACCATCCTCGGAGCGCAGTGGCGAACATTGCGGTCGAGCATCCTCGAGGGATGCCGCAAAGGAGAGCCAGAACTCTTGGACAGAGGCGTCGAAGGTGGAGCTGGTTTTGGTGAGGTTGGCGACTTGAAAGTGGACGATGGGGGTTTTCGGGGCATGGAGGGCCGGGCGGGACAGAAAGAAGAGGCTACAGCACAAGAGAAGGAGCGGAATCGCGAGGCGTGGTAACGCGGTGGTCCAACACAACATGTGGGTGTTGCTTACTAGCATCATGGGTGCGCTCAACGAAAATTAAAGGTAGCGGGAATTGTCGAACTGCGGTCTGCGTGAGAGCGTCTACATGTTCAATGTCGGCTGAGGTGAATAAGGGCTGCGGTGAAAGAGAACCGAGATAAGAGACAGGGATGCAACACAATACTATTCCGGACGTCTATTTCAGACTTTTTGGCCACCGGTTCTGTGGCTTATCACGGTGAATCTCCTGATGGTGCCGCATTTGGACGCGGTTTGAGGGTTACACAAAGCTCGCTCGCGTATTTATACGAAGTTATCGACGAACCCGGGTCTCGGCAGCGCCACCAACCTCGCAAGCCAAGCGGAATGATATGGTCTGTACATACCGATGGTTGCGGCGGAATTCAGCGCGTGCTTCAGCGGGCGACGGCGTTCTCGGGTGGGGAGTTGTTCAATGCGAATGGTAAGACGGGAAGCCAGTGATTCTGCAAGGGGGCAGCACTGCAAGCGAAGGCTCCCGGACCTCTGCATGGTGAGGCAAAAGCGATTGTGAGGTCGAAGGGTTGCGAACGTCTGGAGGTTGATCCACAGATCTACGACGCTAAACTAGCGTGACGTCAGGCGCGAACTCTACCCAAACGTCCACCCATCGCGAGATCACAGTACCACTCTCACAGCAACCTTAAGACAGTACAGACATTTAACATTTTCCACGACCGCGACTGCAAGGTCGTCACTAGAGATCAGCCAAGATGTCTCTGAACGCCTTCTCGCTCAACATGAACGTCGGAAGTACGGGGAACGCGCCGGGCACTCTAGGAAACGCACTCGCATCCACCACCCTCAAATTCTTGACCCCTCTGACGCGGAACTTGCTATCCAGTACGGCCATCTTGTCCGCGTCGCCGCCAATTTGACATGATGAAGTCGCATGGTGCGAGTACGTGTTCAGCTTGATCCACTCCTTCTGCTCGGCCTCGGTGCAGTTTGTTTTCGGAGACTTGCACGGATGCAGTTCCTTGAACGGAGCGATTCCGTCTGGCGCCGTTGCAAAAGCCGAGCGAGCATGCTTAATGCCATCGAGAATGGCTGTGAGATCCGCCTCCTCGGTCTGGTTGTAGAAGCGGAAGTTGATCTCTGGCATGTCGCGAGGATCAGACGACCGCAGTGTCACGGTTCCCGCTTGGCTATGCGGGCCCATATGGACCACTGCGCATTCGTACTCGGACTTGCCGTACTCCGTGGGAAAGCCGGGCCAGTACCCTTCGAAAGAGAAGGCGCCGCAAAAGAGGTAGAGGTCGCGGGTACTGTTTGTTGTTGTCGCTGTGGTCGACTTCAGCATCACCGCGTAGGTGCCGCCGACGTTGTTGAGATCCCTTGAGGCCAGCCCTATGATGCTTGTTTCGTAATTGTCGGCCATGCGGGCTCCTACTCCTGGCGAATCCACGACGACTGGGATGTCAAATTTCTTCAACTCCTCCGCAGGCCCAATGCCACTCAGCTTCAGGATCTGCGGGCTGTTGAATACACCGCCTGCGATAATGATCTCGCGGGATGCCGTCACCTGCTTGACCTGCCTTGTGGCATTCTTGGCGAATCTGGGATCAGCACTGTACAAGCTCGCGCCCTCCAGATACTCTACTCCCACCGCAGTAGGACCGGTGGTCGAATTCGAAAAGAGGACCTTGGTAACCAGCGAGTTGAGTGAAACCGTCAATGGGTACTGCGCCGGATCCTGAAGCGTCGCCCGAATATACGTATTTGTACCAACACGGCGGCCCTGTGCATCTGCATGGCGAAGCTGGCCAAAGATTCCGGTTTTCATATCCCGATTCGGATCCTTCGCATTCATGTCCCGAGTCACGAGCTGCTGCGGCGAAACACCACCAAGGCCCATCGCGTCGGCCATGACCTGCACCATAGTCCCGCCATCCGATCCGTTGCCCATGTTCACCTTCGCCTGGGTAAGGGTAAGATAGCCGCTGTGCCCATGGGTCGTGTCATTCGGGGCGTATGCGGCATTCTCCAGACTCACGAGGTGTTCGCGCATCTTCTCCGCCCGCCACGAATCGTCACCCGTTATCTCCGCGATGTGGTCCCAATCCGCATCCGGCGGATTCGCTGACACGCCGGCGTTGTGCATCGCGCATCCGCCCAGCGTTCCTGCGCGCGGATAGTAGATGCCCAGCTCTGTCGCGTTCGAAGGGGGACTCCTGCCGACGTAAAACGATCCGTCGGGTTGCCGCCACACATAGTGCTCGAATTTGCGCTCGCGTTCCAGGTCATCCGAATGCTTTACGAAGAAGTCCCATCTCGTCTTGGGGTCGTTGCCCGCCTTGTTGAAGTTTAGAATCTGGGTGATGTTGGGATTGTCGCCCTGGTCGTCGCCGGCTTCGAGGAGCAGTACGGAGTGGCCCGCTCGTGCAAGTTTGGCTGCCAATGGACCTCCACCGGGTCCTGACCCCACGACTATGTACTCGTATGTTGCGTTTGCCGCCCTTGCGGTTGCCGAAAGAGCCAATGCCAATGGTAGCAGCGCCAATGGAAACATTGCGGAAGAGTGAGCGCGAGAGACCTCACGCACCCTCAAGAGAAAGAAGACGGGAAATATCTCTTGGACTTGCGAGACAGGCGCCACAACAACAATATACAAACTCGGCGTAACTGATCTGCCGAGCATCTACAAAAGCCGTACCTGCAAATGCCGAAGCCAAGACCCAAATTGAACGCAAATTGCCCGAGGCAAATGACGACTTTCAGTGAGGGGAATCTTCCGGCTAAACATACTCGCATCTCCAGGGGTACCATCATCCTACTCTACGTTACCTATCCGCGCATCACCTTCTACAGAGCTTGCTATTCTGCGAGGGCAAGTGGCCGAGCAACATCTCGCTCATCCGCCAATCCTCCGATCCTACCGCATTTTGCGCATAAAATACGCCTTCCGGATCCCACTTCTGCTTGATGTCGTACAGCCGCTGATACTTGCTCCCAAAGAAGCTCTGCTGCCAATCGGGCTCAATATAATCCGACTCCGACATATAGGTGCCCGACCCAGGCGTCAGAGCTTTCCATCGCGGATTCCATTCATACGTCAAGTTCCTCGAAAGCGCGGTCACATACTCGGTGCTATCAGTCGGACTCCACGTCACGAACATAAGGGCGAACATGAGGATCTTGCGCCACGCAGGGTTGACTGCGTTATCGATGTCCTCCGAGCCAGGCGGATTTCGGATGTTGAACATAATGAGATTGGCGCCTTCATCGAAGACGCCGCGGATGGCGTCTACGCTGGCCGATCTCGTCGTTTCATTCGACAGGGTCTCGCGCTGGAAGAAGCGCGATGCTTGCCGCATGTTCCATGTCCACGCTTCTTGTGGGAAGCCGTCCGCCCATGCGTCGGGAAAGTTATCGTACTCTTGGATAACAGGCTCAAACGGGACCCCGATAACTCTCCACTTTGCCACGAGCGGCCCGATGCTGGCGCGGAAATCCGCCTCGGACGTGTTGGGCGCCACCCACGAAGTCATGTCGTGGAAGATCTCCCCATTGACATGGCGAATGCGATAGTAGGCGTAATACCCCAAGTCTGCATAGTACGCGAAGTTGTCCACATACGCCTTCTGCGCTTCCCAAAACCTATCCTCCGTGAAGTTCCCGCCGGTTGTCATATTGTAGCGCATCGTTGTTACTCTGATTTGAGGGAAGGCTTTGATGACCATCGAGGTGACAACGCCATAAGTGGAGCCTCCTCCTCCTCGGATAGCCCAGTAGAGGTCTGGATTCATCGTGGAGTTTGCTGTAACGAAGCGGCCGTCAGCCGTGACGAGTTCGACGGAGAGGGCGTGGTCGGCAGCCATGCCCCAGATAGAGGTTAGAGGTGAGTGGCCACCGCCTTGAATATAGCCGCCTATGTGGCCGACTGTCTGATTCGGACGCATTAGCTTCGATCGAGCATATGTCCTGGGCGGCTCTTACCTTGCCTTCGCCTCCCACAAGCGTGATCCCATGCTTCTTCGCTAGCGCATATGCCTCGTGCACCTGGACCCCGGCCGCAAGTTTCACAGCCGGCCCAGTGAAATTTCCAGCTTCGTACCTATCATAGAACGCGGCATCCTTTAGGTGATGAGTCCAAATGCTCAACGAGCCCTTGCCCACAGACTTTGCTCCGAAATCATGGCCCGTATTCTTGATAACAAGCCGAATGTTGTGTTCTCGCGCAAAATTTACAGAGAGCTGTATCTGTGCGACGGTTGTGGCGTTGACTACGTATTCGGGGAATCCTCCAACGGTGCATGTCTGGTAGCCGCTGAGGAAGTTGGCGGAGAAGGCAGGCGGCATGCACGACATGCCCTGGAAGAGAACTGAGCGGATGGAGGTCGGGTCCTCAATTCGAAGTGTTGAATTTCCCCAGCTGTCGCTGAGCGACTGGCATTGCGTAGAATTGGACACAGTGCTGTTGCGGTAGCAGATCGATGCTTCCGGCACGGTTTTGATCAGCGCTCCACCGAGGAGGTCGTCCAAATCCTTCCATTGCTGCTGCGATGGCCACTCCGGGTCGGTCGGATACGTTTTGCACTCCTTCGCTTGACGTTTCGCTACCGAGGTTCCGCCAAACGAGTATGTGGATAGGTCTAGAGATCCTTCGTGTGAAAGGGCTCCAAGCACACCGTCCGTCAATTGATCCTTCTCGAAGTCGAATAATCCCGAACGATCGACAATATTCCAATAAGCCGGTGGTAGGGTTGCGACCGACTCGGCCCATAGGATTTGCGAGACTCCAAAGGCAGCCCAAAATCCTAGCCTAACAGAATGACGCGCCATATCGGGGCTCCGTTGAGTAAAGAGTGGGGCAGGAGTCGCCGGCGACACCGGTGCAGTTAACCCGACGGTCTGGCATCCATGACTGTTATATACGCTTTGAAAGCGCCTCAGCTTACTTTCATCTCCAAGGTTAGAGCAATAATAAGCTTCATTCAGCCATAGAGTGGTACCTTGCATGTTAATGTGGCATTCTGAGGTGCAACATTGAATACGAGGTCGCCCCGTGCGGGCACGAATGATGAAATTCTCCGACGGCTCGGCAGATCGGTCGTTACACAGATCTGACAACCCAAATTAGCGAAGCACCTTTAGAAGTGAATGGTTCGTAACTAACAGCGCGTTGGGTTTATGCTTGAGGTGTCAAGTTGGAAGGCAGTTCATCGCATGAACTTAGAGCGATAGGTTCACCTTTTCGTGGATACTCCCAGAAGCCATCGCGTATACAGCCTCCGCTCCCTGCCCTCGGACTCTTCCTAGGTGAAAATCGGATGCGATCCTAGTGCGGTTTTAAAGTCTCCAAAAGTGAAGCTTATGCCGGCGGAGATGACTTCGGCGAATCCATGCGCAGCAATCATATGGGTGAAGCCTGCCAGTATATCCATTCCCACATCGTTCCCTTGTCCCAAGTTCTTCAGACCTGTCATTCCAATGAATGGATGCTCTAGATCCCGAATTCATGCGCCTGCTGAGTGGAAGTTTCGTGTCCATTCTCGCCAGGCCGCGCTAGGTGGATTGGAACTGGATGTCCCACTATATGTCCAGGCGCTGGGAGCGCGCGAAACCGAGGGAATTCCGTATGGGAAGATCTGTTGTAAATCGCCCAATGCCATCTGAAAGGCGTTCGGACGGGTCGGTTCCATTCGCGGCTGCAATTGGCCGGCACCGAAGCTTGCAGGTGGCGGAGGTGGGGGTAGAGGTTCAAAATGCGCTACCGATTGGCTACACACAAAAATCCTAGCGCAGTTCCGTGTAGCCATCGGCTGCGCAGTTGGGATACTTGTCCATAGGTCTCTGTTTCGAGCGGGACCTGTTGCAGAAGCAAAGCCCAGACCATCGCGGGGTCGAGGACGCGCGTCGTGCAAAGAATAACTAGCAGCTGGCGATGACCTTTCGTCATTTTCGAGTATTCTAGTCAAGGCAACCACCTCTTCGATGTCATATTTTCTTAGTTCATCAATCAAGCTACGACAATCTGGTCGATCCGCAATGACTGGTGCGGCTGATAAGAGTACTCTGAGAAGTTCAGCCGCATCCGCCGGTCGAAGAGCCTTCGCGATAGCAATGGCATATTCCCAAATCGCGATCCCCAGAATCTCATCACCAGGGCCTGCAAAGTTGCGGAGCAAATATGACAAGGTTTCTGAGCGCTCGTGGAGAGGCACGGCTGCATCAAATGGTGAACGATCCTGGAGCGGTGCAGCTGTCTCGTAGGGCGAGCCGAATTCCCGCCAGCTTTCCAGCGCATTAAGCACAACTGCGCATCGAGAGTCGTAGGTTACCTGGTTGCGAATAGCTTTTAGGTGTAGTACGAGAGCATTTCGTGCCGCAAACGTGTCGATATTCGCGAGGCGTTGAATATGAGCGCGGACATTCATGTTTCCAAGACATCCGACGGCGAAGAGTCGCGATGACCAGTGGGTGTATTGGTCTACTGGGCTATTTCCTTTGCCCCCAGAAGTCTTGTACCAGTGTCTCTCCATTGTCCTGTCGATACAGGAGAGATAGCAGCGTAAGATTGTCGTATTGATATGTGGAGCATTTCTGCAAAACTTAGCGGCTAACAGGAGATGCGATAGCAAAGATGGGTTGAAAAATTTGGTGGCTGTCTTTACCATAGCAAGATACGCGGACGCAAGACTGAGTGTAGGCTCAAAGCCTAACTTTTTCGTCATTGCGCAGATATCATCCCACACGTCTGCGCTTGCTAAGAACTCGGCGACGGTTCGATGCAGGTACGAGACCACAGAGCCTTGCATCTCCTCTTTAGAGCGACAGTAGAAGACTGACGGGTTCATCTCGCTCGTCAACCTTGGCCATTTTCGGTTCACTTCCAATAAGCCACAGCAACGGCTCCGGACGCGAGCATCGATATTCGCAAAGAGCCAGATCAGCGCCTCGGTTTCAAGGGGACGGATTGGTAGATTGAATACGTCGGAAGAACTTTGGATGGCGAATGATAGCGTGAGAGCGCTAAGGGGTTCGTGAGTTGTGAGTGCGTTCCAGGCGCAGAAGACTTGAAACATCTGTGCCGCTTGTATCTGGTGTTCTGGTTGTTGCCTTCCGATCATCCGTCGATAGAGAGCTCTCAGATCCGAGGGCAAGGCTTTAAGCTTCTGCTGAAGCTCGGTTATGCCATCTCCATCTTCAAGGCCGTGCACAAGAAGCTTCACAACGAGCTCAACCCAAAGGAACACCCCTTCCGCCTTAGTCCTAACAGCATGGATCAGACTCTCAGCTTCCCTTGGGAATTGCCGAGCCAGTCCAACCATCATCGGGTGCGAGCAAAGCTCTCCTTGGACGAATAATTCCATATCCGGGCCTGTCAAGTCCTGCAATCTCAAGGAGGGACAACCCTGGAAAGTATACAGACAAGCATTGATTGGTCGGCTTGACACAACGACCTTGACATTCGGACGAACCAACGAGAGCAGGAACTGAGACACTCCTTTGTGATCTCCCTCGACCTCATCAATCCCGTCAACAAAGATGCAGAGCTTGAGAAAAGAGGTGGATTTTTCAAGGAGGGCGTGGAGTGCTCGGACCAGTTCGGATCGCGTCGGCTCGATAGTCTCATCGGAGGGCACCCAATGTTGGAATAGGCGCGGTAAAGCAACAGGGATAAGCTCTGGATGGCGCTCTAGAAGGTCGCACAGCAACACTCGTAGCATGCCTGTGTCACTCTTCTGTAAAGTCGTCCCGAGGTTCCAGAAGTAGAAGCTCAGCATGGTGACTTCTTCTCCATCTGCCCACTCCTTCAAAGCCTGTTTAGTGTCCGGATGGCCACAAACAAACTTCATCAGAGTGGATTTGCCGCTGCCAGCTTTTCCCACAATGAAATATGGCGCGGTCCTGTCTGGCGTGGAGAGGTGTGCCCTGAAGTTATCCCAACCATTCTCCAGTGGTGGTTCTTTGAAAATCCACTTGAAGGTTTGTCGATATGCGTGATGGATATCGTCGTGTCTCCAGGGCATTTGGCGGAAATTCAGCCACCGGAGGATGTCCCGTTCCCGATTCTGAAGAATATGTCTTCGTTCTCGGGCAATGTCCGCTATGCACTCCTGAATATACTTTTTGAGTGCTTCGGTGTGTTGGTGAGCCTGTTCTTGGATAGATTCTGACAGTAAGCGGATTGAGTTTGCTAGCTGGGAATTCTCCTGAGTTGAGGTACGCTCGTCCGCCTGTATCTCTCTGAGGTGCGCCAATATTTCCTCATTGTTACTGGTTGAGCTTGTTCGCAGGGCCAGCACTGTAGCCAGGGTTAATGCGCTGCGTAGTCGCTCTAGGCTGCCAATGAAGTCCTCGATCTTGTGGTGAACCCAGTGGAATTTGAGACTGGCTTGGAGGTTCTGGAAGACATTGGAGGATGCTGTCTTGCGAACCACGGTATCCAGGTAGGCGACGAATCTAGAGCCCGCTTCTTCGCAATCGGCTGCAATGTCGAGAAGATACTGAAAGAGGTCAGGCTGATTGATTCCATGCCACGTCGCGTGACTCACCTGCTCCTCTGGTGCCAGAGTCGCGCTGCATGCTTTGAGACGAGTCGTAATAATGCTGGTCTGTGTTATGAGGTTGTGGGACAGAGTTTTCAGTTCGGGCAGCGACGACGGGCTTCCGCTCTTTCTGATCTCGTTGGACTCGGAGATGAGCTTTCCAGTAAACTGCACGAACTGGACGACGTTCCCTGTGAGACCGATTGCGAGGAGTGCCTCCATGATGTCAGAGCGGGTTGTTGACAAGCATCGAAGTGTGTATCGAAGAGAAGAGATGAGGTGAAGTTGTGTTCAGTTGGGAGAAGGCTGGGATTCGGCGGCACGAGGGTGGTTACTTCCATTGGTCAAGGGCCGTCTTGCCCCGCTTCAGCCACCATACAAGGCTCACCGGTCTGCATGCAAGGCTGAATCACGGCCAGGTGTCACTCGAGCCTTGTGGTAGTTGTAAAAGCCACGATTCAATCACAACTGCGGTACATTTCCGTCCACTCATTGCTTCCGCCTAGGCCGTAGTACCATGGTTGTTTCTCGCGTTCATCGCGGGGCTGGCTTTAGCTCCGGTCGAAGGCAAACGTTTCCCAGTCGTGGGAGCCGTCGTTGGATGTCCACAAGCTCTCCAGCTGCGTTGTCTGCCATTTTCCACCTCGTTATTAACCGGAGTATTTCTTTCATGGGAATGGAGCTCGTTCTTCTAGGCTCTACTCTGGAGAGGAACTTCTCCCTTCCACACCAGCCACGACCAAGATAGAAACACCTCTTGCTGTTTCCCTTTGCGTTCACGGGTCCACGTTAGAGCCACGCGGAAGTAAAACTCCGGAACCCGTAAACTAAGCCCCGAGAACATCTCGGCGTGAGTGTCAAGGATGGCCATAAACGCTTTCGAAGTGTCTTCGTCGTAACGCATGAACTCCCAGGAATACTCAAAGTAGCATTGTGGTTGTGGGCCCCGAGTTGAAAGCGGAATCCTTGGTGAGGTTCGTCAAGTCATTGTAAAAAGAGCCGGGAACCCAGTGATAAGTGGTGTGTTGTCGCGGAACTGATGCGTCGCGAAGTAGCAGTATAAACGGTTGTCCAGACACGGACTGGCACAGGCCGAGCGCCTCCTGGCCGCCAAAAACGAAACGACAAGTCGACGCCTAAAGTCTGGGCGTGCAGACCAGCGGCAAAGGATGGACCCACTACGCCTTCAACATGTTCCCCAGCGTATCGATCATCTCGTCGACCGTCCGTGCCATCAAACTAATATGCCCCTCCTCTTGCTCCGCTCTCAGCTCCGCATTCGGAATCAGCTTCGCTGCAGTCTCCGCCATGCCAAGCGGGACATTTACATCCTTCCCACCGTGCCACAGCACCAACCTGCCCTTCTGCACCTCCAATTCCTCAAGCTCGAACCCCCACTCACTCCCGAACAGATAAGCCTCCCAAGCAGCCCCTTCCGGCCCCGGCTGAAGAGCCTCTCTCCCGCTCTTCAGCACAACCTTCAGAATGCGTCCCTCGTCCTCCTGGAAGGCCGCCCAGTCCACGGCTGGTATGGTCTTGAAGTTATCCACCATAGCCTGTTCGAATTTCTCCGGGTGCGCCGTGTCTCACGCCAGTTTGCCCATGGACCAGTCGAGGACGAGTGCTACGAGCCACGTGGTCCAAGAGGCCACGTAGAAGAGCATGCGGTTCGCAAGCATCATGCCGGTTGTGCCTAGTTTGAGGGGGTACATGCCACAGATGACTACGGTCCCGAGGAGACGCGCTGGGGGAATCGCTTTTACGCAGGCCAGGGCGTACGGGCCGCCGCCGGAGATGCCTGCGACGGCGAAGCGCTGGATGTTGAGGTGGTCGGCGAGCGCGAGCACATCTTGGGGAAATGATAGGAGGGTGCGGTTTGGTTGGTAAGTCGAGCCCCCGAAGCCCGGTCGAGTAATCGCAATGAGCTGGATGCCTTTTTGGGAAGCGGCTTCATGGAAGAGTTCGCCTTCGTGATGGGTGCCGGGAAAGCCGTGGAAATAGAATACGGTGGGCCGATCGGGGTGGATGGAGGTGCCAAATGTGGAGTAGCAGAGGCTGCGTCCGTCTGGGAGGGTGATGACTTGCGATTCTGACATTGCGGTGTTAATGTACGATCAGCGCTCTATCGTGGTTGGGTTAAAGGCCCTGGTGGAGGTGTGAGGAGAAGCGGTCAGGGGCACCATGTCTCGCGGAACCTTCGTCCGAAGGATTATCTGCCCAGGTGGTCTAACCTTGAAAGATCCAAAAGTCGCACGTGCCGGACGAACCTCGATTTGATGTAGACTAACCTGGAACGTTTGGAGTTGGTTCAACGGAAAGAAAGATGCTCCGACCGCCGATTGGCTGCCTGCGTTGACGATGTTGCCAGACCATCGGGACCTGGACCCTGAGATCGGATTCGTCATGACGTGCACGATGCGTGCTCGATTTCTGGCGCGACGCGAGCACGCCGTGGACTTTCACGTATGGATTAATAAAGATCAAGCAATACTCAGCTCTCACATAGACGAGTGTTTTCACTACTACGTCTTCATCGCAGCATCCGCGTCGATTAACTGACTAGTACTCACAATGGGCAACGCGCAATCCACCGTTCGGGTTCTTGCACCCCTGTCGTTCCTCTATGACTTCGCTGCACAGCAGTATGGCATGTTCTCGACGCCGAATATGCTCGATATCCACAACAGGAATCTGGCAGCCTTCTCCCCGCAGCCGTACTTCATTGCAGGCTTCTTCTTCCCGCAGCAGCTCTTCCAGCTGGCATGGCTATGGAAGCTATGGAGACAAGAAGGAACTCCAGCCGAGAGAGAGACGATGACGAACTTCGGCTGGGTATATGCGCTGGGCAACGTGTGCATAGGAAGTATGAGCTGCTACTGCTTACCTTCTGAAGGCCGTTAGCTTACCGTCCGCAGCCTGGATGTTCTTCTGGAACTCGGACAACCTCGAGACGAGCAACATCTTCGTCATAGTCAATACTATCTCTCAAATCTTCTACATTTCCACGCTCCTACCGCCGCTCGATACGCACTCGACGCCAAACCTGCTCACCCATGTCGTCGCAAAGACGTTCGCGGGTATCGGCGTGCTTGACTTACTCCACAACACCTCTGCGGCGTATTATCGCGGCGTCCCACCCAGCCAGCTCGTTCAGATCGCAACCGGTGTGGGCTTCGCGGCGGCAGCGAGCGTCAGCGACTGGATCTTCGGAGGATGTCTTGTGTACGACCTAGTCGCATTGAGCATGGGACAGCAGGGCGGCTGGAGCAGGTTGCTCGGCGGATATGCGGCGATGACGGCGGGTATTGTTGGGTTAAGGAACTGGTTCTAGTACGTGTGCCCGGGCAAGGTAGGAGGGCTGCGCTGACAGCTGCAGTCCGAGGTGGAAGGCGCAGAAGCAGGGCGCGTATTCGAGAATTGCGGGGGACGGCGATGCTCAAGTCTGAAGTTGGGTACTGCCAAATGATGTCGATCCTCTTGAAGGTGTACTAGTAACCGCCCATATATACGAATCGTGCCATAAGGTCGCTCCACATGCTTCGCAGTACCGAGGCGGACGGTGAAGTCTACCATCAGCGGTCGCGTGCCAGGTGCTGGCGAAGAGCGCCGTCTTGCTGCGGGTTTCTGTTACGTTTTCCGGTCCTAGAGCTAGGCGTTAGTGAGCTTGATTGCATGCTTGTCCATGCCGAGGTGTGGGTGGTTCCGATGGCGGAGGGGTGTCTGGTGAAGCAGGAGCGGACGCCGTTCATTATTGTCAGCGGAACGCGCGCGTCGTGAATGGCGCGCAAATGGCGGGAGAGTCAGAAAGAACAATGTGGATGTCGTGTCTCTCGAACGAGAGGGGCAACGGCGAGTTCCTGTGAGATGGATGTCGCGGGTGCCCCGAGGATGCCGAGAGCGCTAGCGGCGGCAGGGTGTCGCGTGTGCTAAAAGCCAACACCAAGAGGCTGATAAGGCCCTTATCAAGACATCCCACCCGTCACATCTGCGCGATGGACGGCTGCGCCGATAGCCGCAATCTGGGGCTATCAAGCCTCCCCCAGCTCCATTCGGTCATCCGAACCTGCTGCGGGATCGCCCTCGCGCCGCATACACATGCCCGGCCTCCTCCAGTGACGCCGCCGCTGATGACTCCCCGCAGTCTTTCCTTTCCTTTTCCCGTACCCCCTTCGTCTGACTCCCTTTAGTAGCATTCAGCTACTGCTTTCTTTTTCTTGTCTGTTCCCGAGCTGAGTGCTGCCCATTGCTTATGATCCCCGAGTCCCCCGGCCGCGATCCCGAGTCAACATCGACGTCAGCGCGCTATTGACGTGAAGTCCGCTATCGCCGTCAAGTTCACCCCTGAGGATATTCACATACGAGTGCGGTGCTATTAGTAACCCGTCAGCTGGAGCTGGAGGCTGCGACTGCGCCCTCGTGGCTGACCGAGACACCCTCCACCACCTGAGCGCGACACCTGACGCCGCTCGCTAGACAAAGACGGCTGCCTCGGAGACGCGAAGAAAGAGAATAGAGGACCTCCGAGCCTGCGCATCCAAGGCTGCATAGGTCGCCGGCGATCGTGCGCCTTTTAATCAACCTCACAGCGCTTACGCTCGCCTCCGCGTCCGACTTCCTACAGCATGCCGCCCTACCTCTCACCGCTATACCTTGTCGAACCCTCCCTGCCGGCGCACTGCGAGCCCGCGAACGACTTCCTCTACAAACTCTCCGCGACCTTCCACTCGTGCGTCCCTACGAACCTCGCCTTCATCTCTACCCTGCTCGGGACATGCAGCATCATATCGTGGCTGTTCGCGCAGCTGCCGCAGATATACAAGAACCACAAGCTGAAGTCGACGTCGGGCCTCAGCATATTCTTTCTAGGGGAATGGCTGCTGGGCGATCTGTCGAATCTGCTCGGCTCCATCTTCACTAACCAGGCGACATGGCAGGTCATAATCGCGAGCTACTACGTCTTTGTCGACTGCGCATTATGCGGGCAATGGATATGGTATGCGCTCCTGAAGCACGGTAGGCCGCTTCGGCCCATATGGGGGCGTTATAAGAGCTCGAGCGATGGGTATGGCCCCGCCGGCATGAACGAGGTGTGGGACGGGCTGAGCGTTGCTAGTTCTGCCAGCGATGCCACTCCTCCCGCTCCGAGGAGTCCTGACAAGAAGGATGGTTCTCCGCTTAACAGCCCACGAAATATCCCGCACCGTTCGAACCCCATGGATGCTTTCCGGATACCCAACTTTGCACGCTCGCCGAGCTCGACCAAGGAGTCCTGGCAGAATACGCCTCCCTCTGGAACGCCGACGAATAGAGACCTGCGACGGGTTGCAGCTTCTAGCTCACCCATGCCCTCAATATCGCCCAAGACCGTCCTTTACATCTCCCTCATCCTCGCTGTTCTCTCTAACACGTCCACCGCGACTCCCGTCAGCCCGTTCGCTCCAGCCCCGTACCATAATAACCACATATCTGTCCAATCCGATGCACCACCATCCGCCTCCGCAATCGCAGGCAAAATCCTCTCCTGGATGAGCACCCTGCTCTACCTCGGATCCCGCCTCCCGCAGCTCTACAAGAACCACGTCCGCAAGTCCACGGCCGGGCTCAGCCCCACGCTCTTTGCAGCCGCCTTCTTCGGCAACCTCTTCTACTCGAGCTCGCTCCTCACCAACCCGAACGCGTGGAACGACTTCGCTCCAGGAGAAGGCTCCGGATGGGTCGGCCCGGAAGGCAGCGTGCGCGCAGACTGGGTGCTCCGCGCAACGCCATTCTTCCTCGGCGCGGCCGGCGTGCTCATCATGGACGCGGCCGTCGGCGTGCAGTTCTGGTACTTTGGCGAGAACGAGCCGCGCGGCCGAGGCAAACGCCGCGACGAAGAAATCATCGTCGTGCTCACTGATGACGGGGCCCGTAAGAAGCGCCGGTTCCGCTGGCGCCGCGCGAGCGGCTGGATGAGAGGATGGGTGCCTGCGGTCAGCGTTGCTGGAACGCCGAGTGCGAGTCGAGCGACGACGCCCGCAGAGACGCCGCAGCGGGGTTTGAGTCCCAGCCCGAGTTCAGAGAGCATACCGATCCGGGGAGCGCTGGATGAGGCTCGGGCGTTGCTGGGGACGGAGAGGCATGCGAGTCCGAGGAGTTATGGGGGTGTTTCTGGGTCTCCGATGCGCTGATCATGGGTTGGTATTGAAGCATATTACTAGAGGGCATTTGCATATGACACAGATGGCGTTAGAAGCGTTGGACTTGTATGGTTCATGGCATGGCATTAGCATTTGATATCCTTGGTCTCATTTTCTTATTCCTTTTGCATTCATCTTCATCTTATAGACGCAAGCGTGGCTCTGGCATGATATCATGAACATATATTACTATGACTTTCTCAAAGCAATGGACTCCACATAGTTGAAAAGTCCATGATGCTTACTTCAGACGCAAAAGGTGCTCCTCTGCATCCGTCGCTCCCCCATCTAGAAACAGTTCTTGGATGCTGACTATAGTCATTCCCTTGCACCTGCGAATACCGGAACCCACTACCTAGGACGTAATTCCGCTCGGAGCAGTACTAAGCCAAAAGGAGCCATAGCGCGGAATTGCGACCGCCGATTTTGCATCCCAAGTCCTAGTTTCCGAGCGACATTCCACGCCCTATCCAGCCGCCTAGCTTTCCGTTGTGTATAAGTATTCCGAGGCATTGATACACATAAAGCAGGTCTTCATCTTCCTTCAGTTGCGCATTAGCTATATTTTTGAACTAGGTCTGCATTTTTTTGGTACCCCGCAGGAAGGAAGATGGACTCGTCGCAGTTCCGAGACGCGGCGCACTCGGCCATTGAAGAAAGTAACCAACCAACATATGCCCCATGCCCCCCATCGCTCCGCCTCGCTAACCCCACTGTCCAGTAATCCAATACTACGACACCCTCGCCGAGCGGCCCGTCCTGCCCTCCATATCGCCCGGCTACCTGCGCCCGCTCCTGCCTGATGGCCCTCCCGAGGAGGGAGAAGCATGGCCCCAGATCCAGGCCGACATCGAGCGCCTAATTAAGCCCGGCCTGACGCACTGGCAGTCGCCCAAGTTCATGGCCTTCTTCCCCTGCAACAGCAGCTTCCCGGGCATGCTGGGCGAGCTGTACAGCGGGGCGTTCAACGCGGCGGCGTTTAACTGGATCTGCAGCCCGGCGGTCACGGAGCTGGAGACCGTGGTCATGGATTGGATTGCGGCGATGCTGGGACTGCCGGAGGCGTACGTGAGCAAGGGGGAGGGCGGCGGCATTATCCAGGGAACGGCGAGCGAGGTCGTGGTTACGGCGGTGGTGGCGGCGCGGGAGCGGCTGGTGCGGCGGAAATTGAGCTTGGAGGGATTGGATGCGGAGGCCGAGGAGGGCATGGAGAGGGCGGCGGAGCTGAGGGGCAAGATGGTCGCGCTGGGGAGCGAGCATGCGCATTCGAGCACGCAGAAGGCGGCGATTATCGCGGGGACGCGGTTCAGGAGCGTGCCAGCGCCGCGGGAGACGGGGTTCCGCGTTACGGGTACGGCGTTGAGGCAGGTGATTGAGGAGTGTAAGAAGAAGGGGCTCGAGCCGTTCTACTTCACTGCCACCATCGGGACGACAGCGACGTGCGCCGTCGACGATCTCGAAGGTATCGCACAAGTCGCGCGGGAATACCCCGATATATGGATCCACGTCGACGCCGCGTACGCCGGCAGCGCGCTCATCTGCCCCGAGTACCAACACCTATGCCCCTCCATGCAGCACTTCGACAGCTTCAACTTCAACCTACACAAGTGGCTGCTGGTGAACTTCGACTGCAGCGCGTTTTTCATCAAGCGGCGCAAAGACCTCATCGACACGTACAGCATCACGCCGTCTTACTTACGGAATAAGTTCACAGAGTCGGGACTCGTGACGGACTACCGCGACTGGCAGATCCCGCTGGGCCGGCGCTTCAGGAGCTTGAAAGTGTGGTTCGTGCTGCGGACGTATGGCGTCAATGGGCTGCAAGGGTTTATTCGGAACCACGTGAAGCTAGGGGAGTACTTCCACGGCCTCATCGCGTCACGCGAGGATCTCTTCACCGTCGTCACGGGGCCGGCTTTTGGCCTGACGACGTTCCACGTCAATCCGCGCTCTATCACTTCACTGGCGTCGTCGCCCGCCAACGAGCCGAATCCCGCGCACGAAGCGTATCTCAACGACTTCACCAACAGCGCGGAAGCACAGTTCCGCGAGGACGCGAACCAGGCGACGAAGGAGGTGTATGAGCGGGTGAACTCGCAGGGCGAGTTTTTCCTGACGAGCACGGTGGTGTGCGGGGTGTATGTCATACGGGTTGTGAGTGCGACGGAGAGGGCGGAGGAGAAGTATTTGAAGAGGGTGTTTGAGGTGCTGGTTGAGGCGGCGGAGGAAGTTGTGAAGGGGAAGGTGACGTAGAAGACAGGGAGTAGATGAATAGATTCCGAGCCCAAAGGGTAGGGTTATGCTGCTACTTCTGGGCCGGAGCACCTGTGTCATGGGGCTATGTGAACAATGGGTATCAGACTGTATGCTGACAAAATGAGAACGACACGAACCCGCTGACATCAATACCGCCTTCCAACCTCAACGCCAACGTTCTCGTCCGGATTTGCGAAGCCCCTGGCTTTGGGTGTCGACTTGCCGGCCACGTCCTGCAGCGCTTCGCCCCGGTAGTCCCATCCTCCATCTTGGATGAAAAAGTCAACCTCGTCGATTATATCCCAGAGAATATCCTCGACAATCTGCTCATTGTATCTCTCGCCCACGGCTCGCAGCTTTCGACCTTCGGGAACGGGGAGCTCGACGGCGTCGCTGCCTTGCATCTGCATGTCCTTCTCGCGCTGCTTAACCATCTCTTCCGGGGGACACCAGAAGTCGGGGCCGAAGTTGACCTGCGCGACTCCGCCGTTGAAGACAGATATAGCGGGGAAGTAGCCAACCATGCCGTCATCGAATCCAACCCTTGCACCAGCCTTGACGGCCTCGACTGATGGCACGCTTGCCGGAGGTAAGAAGGCGAGTAGGCTCTCGTACGCGATGCCCATTTCCTTTCCGTTCTTGTAGACCTTGATGTGCGAGCGTGGAAGAGACCGTACGCTAACGTCCTCGTAATTAGGAGAAGGGGTTATCTTGGGAACCGGGCCGCGGTCGTGGTACGCCTCTACCGCCTTGGTAACTTGGTAGTCGAGCTGCTCGAAGTAGAAGTTGCCTTTGTACGGCACAGGGATGCGGTCGCGGATGATGTCCAGGGGCTTTTCGAGGGGGTCGGCTGCGTTCGCAGTATCAAAACCATCGCCAATATCCACTGCAGGGTTGTAGATGCCTTCGACGACCTTGCGATGCATCGCTAGAGAAGGCAGCTGAATCTCCAAGCCGATGACATCGCCTTCGTGGACATGTTCGTCGCTGATGTATTCCACAGGTGCCGGTCTACCGTGCGGTGGCCTCGGCTTCATGTACTTGCTCTTCGCGCCTTTGGGGAGCGGCTTGAATATTTTGGACGCTCGCGACCGATGCTGAGCTTCGAAGCGGGAGTCGGTGATTCCGTAGCTGTAGCCGTCGAAGCCAACGGGTCCGTCCAAGGGCGCCTCTCGCCGTGCCCAGCCAATGCGAATGTGCGGACCAGGCTTGGTCTCGCCCGTCTTTGGGTCGACGGGATCCTTTGGGCCTTCGGCGGGGATGCCGCGCAGGACCTTCACTTCAAAGTACATCCTGCCCTCCCTCGCGACCACGTTGCCCCGGCCCATGCGCCAGCCCTTCTCCTGCGTCACGATAGTGGCGCTATCGTCAAAGTGGAACCATTTGTCGCAGTCTTCGTGGCTCATGCGGGGCCCGTACGGCTTCGAGTCGCTCTGGCGGTAGAACTGCTTGTGTCGAAACAGCGGATCGGCCACGCAGTGCGTGTACTTGTAGCCCTTCTTGTTCCACGCATGGTCCTGCGGCTTCCTGAGCTCTGTGCGTCCGTCCGGCGCGTACAGCGGGTGCGGCTCGCGCGACAGGAAGATGCCGTCCTTGGGCGGGTCGTAGTCGGAGGCCTTGGGCTCAGGGATGGAGTAGCGCATGGGTGAGTCCGCCGTCGATCGCTCCTTCTTCATCCTGGGGTTCGGAGTGCTCGCGCGTGTGTTTGAGGAGGCCTCTCTCTTCTTGAGCGTCTCCCGCTTTTCTCGCTGCTCGCGCGGTGGACCTCGCGGACGGGCACGCGCCGCCGCATCTGGGTTTGGGTTGAGCGGTGAGGAGATGGCGGGGGCATGGTCTTCCTCGAGCGTGCGCTTCATCGGCAGCGCTGCTCCGGGCGTGTTTGAGCGCGAATTCGTCTGCGATTCGGCCATGGCGGTGTGGTGTCGTCGTGCTGGGCGAGTTTGGAGCTCGATGAAGCGCGTCGATCAACAGCTTTAGACGTGGTCCGTGCGACCCCTGCCAAAATTTGACACTCCCACAATCTGAATCTCTGCCCCGCCCGACCTCAAGGACGACACTCCCTCTGCCACTACAACGCCCAAATTGCATCACAGCTGTGAGCGACTGTACCTCTACGGGACGACCAATCCACCACCATGCCGAAAACGCCCAAATCGCCTCGTGGTGAGGCCCAGCGACACAACCCTCTCGCCGACGACTACCTGCCCGCGACGACGTTCAAGCAGAGACCCGCCAAGAGGCAGAAGAGGGACGATGCCGCCGGCGACCGTGTGATTGACAGCAAGCAGTCCCAGAAGATCTTGGAGATTGCGCGCGAGCTGGCAGAAGAGGCCGACGGCGAGAACCAAGAGCGCAGACCCGACAATAACCCGGCGTTCGACTTCCGCTTGGAGGATGAGCCGGAAGAAGACACAGCGCAGTATGACGACGACGACGCATGGGGCGAAGAGGACGAGGGGGAAGAAGTCGAAGTGGAGGTCAATGATCTAGACGCATTCAACCGCTTCTTCCCTACAACGCAGAACCCCATAGTATGGCCAGGGGAAAGGGAAGACGCGCAGCCCTCCGGAGGCCAGGGAACCGATCTCGCCGCACTCATTCTCCAAAAGATCGCAGAGCACGAAGCCGCCAATCCCTCGCAGCGGGAAGTCCGTGGAGGCGGCGACCCCGAAGATGCGGTTGAGATACCCGAGAAAGTTGTCGAAGTGTATTCAAAAGTGGGAATTCTCATGTCTAGGTATAAGAGCGGAAAACTTCCAAAGCCCTTCAAGGTCTTGCCTACCATCCCGGCCTGGGAGACTCTCCTTGCCATCACCCGTCCCGCCGACTGGAGTAAGAAGTATTCCCCTCTGAGATAAGATTCTATGCTAATATCCACTAGCACCGAATGCTGTATTTCAGGCCACCAGATTGTTTATCTCCTCGAAACCGCATATTGCACAGATCTTTCTCAACTCAATTCTTCTCCCCGCGGTCGTTGATAACATCCATGAGACTCGGAAGTTGAACGTGCATCTGTACAATGCTCTCAAGAAAGCTCTATATAAACCTTCGGCCTTTTTCAAGGGTATCGTGTTCCCGATGCTCACGGACGGCACCTGCAGCCAGAGGGAGGCGTTGATAGTTGCCAGTGGTATGTCACTCTTACCCGCTGCAGACCCACACAGGACGTAATACTAATTTCCTTTCGAAGTCGTGGCGAAAGTCTCAATCCCAGTTCTTCACTCCGCCGCCGCCTTGCACAGAATTTGCGAAATTGCTGCTGATCAGTAAGTTAGCTTCCAAGTGCCAAAATGTGTGCTGACGAAGTTTCAGGATGAGCAGTGACCCTGAGTCCGCCGGGCCTTGCAACATATTCATCAAGACGTTGCTGGAGAAGAAGTACGCTCTCCCGTACAAGGTCGTCGATGCGCTCGTTTTCCATTTCCTACGGTTCCGAGCCGTAAGTTCGGATGCTATGGACACTGAGTCCGTGGCCGGGGATCTCGGAAGCACGGGCAAATTGCCGGTCATTTGGCATCAATGTCTCTTGGCATTTGCTCAACGGTACCGCAACGACATCACAGAGGACCAGCGGGAAGCCCTGTTGGATTTGCTACTTTCGCGGGGCCATAAGAGCATCAGTCCGGAAGTGCGGAGAGAGCTGTTGGAGGGCAGAGGACGCGGTGTGGTTGTCGAGCCGCCGCCTGTTGGCATGGACGGAGACGATACGATGGTCATGGGTTGATGTATAATCGCTGGCACATCCCGAATTCCGTACGTATTATGACAGCATGGGCACGGCGCCAGGGAAATGCATCATAGAGTTGTCCTAGATATACCCCGAATCCATCTCCTCACTCCCAACCACGCCCCGACCGACAAGTTTTCATCCATCCCGTCCCACCCTACGAACTCTCAATCTCGGCCTTGGTCTTATAAAACGCAACATAGTCTCTAATCTTCTCATACCCCTTCATCGGTTCCGGGTAGTACCACGCCGCGTCCTTGACCTCGGTCTTGTTGGTGGTGACGGTGTAGTAGGACGCGTCGCCCTTGTAGGGGCAGTGCGTTTTGGTGCTGGTGGGCGTGAAGGCGGATTTGTTGATGGCGGAGGGCGGGAACTGGGCGCTGTTAGGGAATCGGGGGTTTGAGCAGGAACGGGGAACGGACGTAAATGTTTCCGTCGACCACTTCGTAGCTGTCTGTCTCGGCGACGGTGATGCCGTTTACGGTTGCGGTGGCGTGGGGCATGGTTTCGAAATGAGGTGAAGTAGGGAGGTTGAGGTAGTTGCAACGGAGAGAAGCTAGATGGGACTAAAGATGTATTTGCAGAGGAACACTGTCGTTGTTTTATATTGTAGGCATTGGACGGTTTATGGAATCCAGTCGGGGCGTGGCTGGGAGGTGGGCCGCAGCTTATGAATGCGCGATGTGGAATCTAGCTTTCCGGTTGGGGCGGAGTGCGGGGTGGAGGGGAGCTATGGATGGCATCATCAGGGCTTGCGTTCATCGGCGCATGGAGGTGCGTTTTAGGATTTGTAGGGCTGCTTGGGGTCAGAGGTATTCGAGGTACCGCGGTGCTTGCATGGCGTATGATAAATCAAGGGATAAACGGGGAGACATGGGACTCCAAGGATGAGGAGAGTAGAACCCTAAAGTAGTTTAGCGCACGGCGCTGCTTCCCGTCTTCAACCTCAAGCACTTCCGTAGCATTCCAAACCCACTCAGCTCGGATTGCACACACCGGCATGTTATCGAAGCAGCCGTGTCAAGATTCCCATCTAGCCTCAAATTCGTTGGCCAGCTTCGCGACGCGATTGCCTCCGAAATGGCGCACCCGCGATCCGAGCCCCTCAGAGCTGAGAGATTTCTAGGACCAGCCCCCTCGAGACTGCAGTCCGGCTTTTAACATGTCCTTTTCCTTGATGAGCCTCTGATCCTCAAGCTCCGTGACGAAACCCGCATTTGGAGCTTGTCTTCATGCTTGAAGCAGGGCGCACGACACGGGAGCGGTTCGATACCTGGTAGTTTCCGTACATGATGAACGCAAACAGGTTTACCTGGGACTCTAGATGGTGCTACTGATTGCGTGTATAGAGACGGAACTGGTGTATAGAGACGGAACTGAGGTGCAAATTTTTGCCTTCGGAGAACAGACGGCCGACCCTGGGAGTGACGACGGTAGCTCGAACGCTGTCCCGCAGCTCCGTACAGCATGACGCTCATCGGGAGCATCCATCTGCTAATCTCTGAGAGCGTATATGTTATTTGGTCGTATGCGTACGCTTCCAAAGGCATCGAGAACCCAAATCGGTCGGTCACGACGTGCCCGTATTCGTTACTAGCGCTGCATGTGACGATTGTTGTCAGGGCTACGGCGGTAATTGCCATTATTGCAATGGGATTAGGAGGTATAAGCCGAGGATGACGTTAGCGAAGTGTAGTGGTGTTGCTATCGGTGCTGGGTGACATTCGGGCCTGGCGAAGACGAAGGTGTTCCTTCAAGGCTATTGCAATAGGGCGCTGTGTCGTTTGACAGAGAGGTGAGACATTGCACCACCGATGTAGACACACCCAAAGAGGGGAAGGAGTGTGCTAGCCCCATAGCATATGTCGAGGATATACACCACGAGTTGGCCGGTATAAGAATTATCCAGACGATCCACAGCGAGGGTTGGCGGATCTGCTGCGAGCAAAGGCCGGCAAGATAGGCCTTCCGCGAGTCGGCCCGATCAGAGTTCCGAAGGCGACTTTTCACGATGCTGTCTTCGGAAGCCGCGACCGATGATGAGTCAGAACTCCTCTTCACCGACATGCATCTGACTGAACTCGACGTCCGGAATGCACTATTGTGGGTATCGTCTCGAAAAGGGTTGCATGGCGTTCACCCACGGGTCCACCTGGAGGCTGTGACTGGGCCACGGATGGCTGGACCCACAGCAGCGCAGGCCTCCGACCCACTCGCTACCCTTCATCCGTAGAGCCTCAAGCCTGATAGCAGGAAAGGGGGCGCGCAACTGCGGGCGTCCTTTGCTCCTTCCGCTGTGCCAGCGGCGAAACTCCTACCGTCCGTCACCAGCCACACGACGCTTCCCCGTGCCCGGTGCGGCTCCGAAGTATTCGCGCGGCAGCTCTGGCTGGGCTGAGCTGAGCTGAGCTAAGAGAATTATCGAGGACAATGTCGAGCGCACAGCAATACGGATCCGCATGGCTGTGTGACGTGCAAAATTCGAGGGCGTGGAGGAGGTGAGATGGGAGTCGCAAAATGACGCGTGGGATTCGCGCTGCTGCGATGCAAAGGATTTGCGCATCGTTCTGGGTGCAGGTCTGCCGTTAGTCAGCTCGGAAGCGGCGCAAAAGCCGGGCTTTAATTGGAAAAAGAGCTTATCTCGACCCAACAGAAGCAACGACGGCGCATCCCTGTCACGCCCGCCGAGCCCGCTCGTCATCGCAAAGAAAAAGTTGATAGCTTCGCCGGCCGCTGCATCATCCCCAGCACCTTGCTCTCCGACCTTCACCACCTTCCGTCCCTTTGTCGCCCATCTCGCGGCGCCCATTCTTTGATTAATTCGTCCCAATGGCGCCGAACCTGCGCCCGCTCGCTGCTGGTAACCTCATCGCGCAGCTCCAGCTGGCTGGACGCCGCACCTATGCCACCTCCCGCCCGTCGCTCATCGCCAACAGAGCGCGGTGGACGCCGCGGCCGACGCAGCACCAGATTGCCCTGCGCCAGTCGATCCGCCGCCAGTCCACCGAGGCGCCAAAGCCGAAGAAACGCTTCAGGTTCTTCCGCTGGACATGGCGGCTCACCTACATCTCGGCCATCGCAGGCGCCGCATACATTAGCTACGGCATCTGGGACATGCGCAATCCCGAAGAGCAGCCGCAGCCCGACCCAAGCAAGAAGACGCTGGTGGTTCTGGGTGAGTGCCTCCCTTCCCGCCTGCCCCCGATTGCCCCGATGAGCTCACTGACGTGTTTCAGGGACCGGCTGGGGCGCTGTGTCGCTGCTGAAGAAGCTCGACTGCGAGAACTACAACGTCATCGTTGTCTCCCCGCGCAACTACTTCCTCTTCACGCCTCTCCTCCCGTCATGCACCGTCGGCACCATCGAGCATCGCTCCATCATGGAGCCCATCCGCAACTTCCTGCGCCACAAGAAGGCCGCCGTCAAGTACTACGAAGCCGAGGCGACCAAGATCGACTACGAGAAGCGCGTGGTGTACATCAACGACGAATCACCCATCAAGGGCGATGCGTCTGCGACAGAGGTGCCTTTTGACATGCTGGTGATTGGCGTGGGCGCGGAGAACGCCACTTTCGGTGCGTTGAAAATCTTCGCTTTGGACGTCAGCTAACAAGGCCAGGCATTCCCGGTGTGCGCGAACACGGCCTCTTCCTGAAGGAGGTCGGCGACGCCCAGCGCATCCGCAACCGCATCATGGACTGCTGCGAGACCGCCACCTTCAAGGGCCAGAGCCCCGATGAGATGAAACGCCTGCTGCACATGGTTGTTGTTGGCGGTGGCCCGACTGGCGTCGAGTTTGCGGGTGAACTCCAGGACTTCTTCAACTCCGATCTGAAGAAGTGGCTCCCGGAGATCAAGGAGACCTTCCACGTGACCCTTGTCGAGGCCCTGCCGAACGTCCTGCCCATGTTCTCCAAGCAGCTGATTGAGTACACGGAGAAGACGTTCAAAGAGGAGACCATCACCATCCGGACGAAGACCATGGTCAAGAACGTCACTGACAGGTACATCGAGGCCGAGTCGACCGGCCCAGACGGCAAGAAAATCCTGGAGAAGATCCCCTATGGTCTGCTCGTGTGGGCCACCGGTAATGCTCTGCGGCCCATCGTCAAGGATTTCATGGACCAGATTCCGGCGCAGAAGGACTCGCGTCGGGGTCTTGCCGTGAACGAGTACCTGGTTGTCAAGGGATGCGACAACGTCTGGGCTGTCGGTGACTGCGCCGTCGCCAACTACGCGCCGACTGCCCAGGTTGCTGCTCAGGAAGGCGCCTGGCTCGCGCGCATGTTCAACCAGATGGCCAGGACGCACCAGATTGAGGGAGAATTGGCAGTGCTTTCCGAGAAGCAGGAGAAGGCGCCGAGCAAGGAGGCACGTGACGCCGTGTTCGCCGAGATCAAGGACCTGCAGAAGCGCCTGCGGAGGGTCAAGCAGATTGGCCCGTTCGAGTACACGCACAACGGCTCGCTGGCTTACATCGGGTCCGAGAAGGCCGTCGCCGATATCTCCTGGCTGTCCGGCAACATCGCGAGCGGCGGCACCCTGACCTACTTCTTCTGGCGGAGCGCCTACATCAGCATGTGCTTCAGCACGCGCAACCGGATACTGGTGTGCATAGACTGGGTCAAGTCGAAGATCTTCGGCCGCGATGTGTCGCGCGTCTAGCGTAAGCACCTGTAACGGCCTGTCTCATTTGTCCAGATTTCCTCTAAAAGTCGGCTTCCCTGTAGCGGGCGATCCTCGCGGTTCCGCTCAGCGTTCTGTCCCTCTTCTCGTACATATACCATCTCTGGTCACGCCTCTTGTACTACTGTAATCCTTATTTTGTGCGTTTATCCGGGACCGGCTTCTCGGTCGGATGATAGGCACCCTGTCTAGAGCTCGGAGTTTAGCGCGTGGGCTTTTGCCGTGTGGAATCTGATAGATTTGTCTTTTTGTGTATCTGCAAGATTTAGAGAGAAGTGGTATCGACAATGTACTATCTTGATTCCAGTCCGCCGTTCGTTACTGCTAGTGGTCGGCGTACTCGTGTGAGGGGTCTGGGCACTGCTGTTGTTGACGGTATGTTTGCTTCGATGAGATGATACGCAAGGCGCTGACGCAGCCCGTTCGTCTCCACATGCTAACCAGTACATAGAAGGACCTCGAGTATTAGGGGACCCTTTTGGCATGGCGGTCTTCACGGTGAGGTAGAATCATGCAGCATAGACGACGGGACCTGGAGCCAAGAAAGAGGAGTACACACATTCATTTCCCAGAAATCTAACTAAAACCCACCCACACCCACTGCCACCTCCAGCACCCAAACCAAGCCGCCAATCTCCTCCCTCCACCTCACCACCGCCCTCCGTTCCTCCGTTCCTCCTTTCCTCAGCTCAAGAAGTTCGTCGTCCAGTAACGGTCGCGGTCCGGTGTGTCGTCGTCGTCGTGAGTCCGGTCGGTCAGTCCATCCAGCAACAAGGTCGTATGCGTATGCGTATTCCCTGGTAGCGGCCCCGTGCTGCAGAGTCGCAGGCCGAGAACCCCCGAAGGAGCCTCGACTGTACGTCGGCTCACACTCTCCCCACCGGCTGGTAGAAAGATCCCACTCCGCTACCTCGGTCCACTGATTGGCAACTCCGTTGCCCCATACGTGTCGTGTATCTGGTGAAGAAGTAGTCAGCAGCTGTTCTTTCAGGGCCTGGACTCACGTCGTAAAGGTCGCAGGCCATTGTACTGTTGGCCCAGCACGCTGGAGTAGCGTGCTGAAGGGGGGGGATTGTCGCTGAGGAGGGAAGAAGGAGAGGGCGGGCGGGGGTTTTTATACCTGGGTGGTTGCTTGGCGCTCGCTAGCGCGGGTCATCACGTGACTTCCTTCACCGTCACCGCAGCGACGGCGGCGCGAAAACGCGAAATTGGAACGCAAATTTTCAGGTAAACAAGGCCGTTTGGTGTCTGAGTTACGTAACGGCTTGGGACTTTGGGGGGATAAGGAAGGTACGGGAAATTGGCGTCAGAGGTAGTTCGGGCAAGCCGGCGCGACAGTGAGATATCATCGCTAGGAATTTTCTCCTAGCGAGTCCAGATTCAAGGAAGCTTGAACGCTGAACCAAGCTTTGGGCATTGTCTACGTGGAGCTTATCCGAATGCGCGTGAACGGTGATCTAGTACTTGCCAACTTTAACACGAGCCATTCATTCCACCGCGTACTCTACGCCTTATCCTACAACCCTTCGGTCGGCCGCTTTCTGCTTCAAGCACCCTAAGAGGGACGTCGACTCCCCCAGTACGCTCTTCCATCACCTGCCTAACCTTGGAGACACGTAGGTAGCGGCACACGCGCCATATCTCAGTTTGGGTTTTGAAAGCTATTCGTGAGGGCCTTTAATAGCTCATGTGGAAGTCGTCTAGCTTAGCCGTGCTCTTTAGCGGCTTGGACGAGGACATCTAACGAAGAGCGAGAGGGCGGGATTAGGGGAGGGTATGAGGGTAAGGTTGATGACGACAGAGGCTAGATAGAGACGAAAGGGAGATTCGAAGTCGCCAGGAGGTCTTCAGTTAGTGTTTGCAGTTTGCACACCCAGTCGGCTGGGTCACTGGCATTGGGGGGAGGGACGCTGCCGGAAGACGGGATGTTGCCGGGAAACAGCATTGTGACGCTGGTAGTAGTGCGGTGAGGTGAGATGTGACGAGTAGGGGAGCCTGAGGTGGATATGGTCAGTGACTGTTCCTTTGATGACTTGCTGACCAGTTTAAAATTTTAGAGAGTGCTATACTGTCACTCGGAGGTCGACGGAGAACTAAGGAGAAAAGGTGGAATGGGGCTGGCTGAAGACTTTTATATTGAGAACGCCCCTGGCTAACCCGCCACTCGCTACTGTGGATGAGGAAGCCGAGATGTGCTCACCGGCTCGCCTCCACCACTCCCCCCAATAATCCGCGATAAATCAACATAGGCAGCTCCTTACGGACCCTCTACTTGAGGAATACGACACCTTGAGGCTCTTCACAGCCGCTGAATAGCTATCGAGGGGCTTCACCCTCATCCTTACACCGCACGAAGCATTGGTAGTGAGCGAGAACACCTCCCTGGTGGCTTCCCGCTTCAGATGAATTAGCCACATCGTACGATGTCGCCCAGTGATGCCCTCATCAGATTCGCTGATTGGCGGAAGCCTTATCGCTGCGGGGGCGTGACGTTGGAAAGAGTCACTGCTCACCTCTATCAGGATGGTTGAGTAGTCGCCTGGTTGTTGACGGGCCCCGGTAGTCAGATATCTTGTCCCCTTTGCCATTGCCGGAGACGGACTGTTCCAAGGTTGATTCTTTCGGAATCCGCCCAGAATTGCCGGCTTCTTACAGACTCGAGGAGGGGAAAGGCATTAAGGTCCCCGGCTCCGTAAGCTGACCGAGGAAGCTGCGAACGTTTGTCGGCACACACAACAACCTTGGAAGTCTCTGACTCCGTGGGACCGGTGTGAATTATCTCCCAGTTCCTCTCTGTCCTCACCTTCTTCACTTATCGCGACGTGTCGCGCCTTCCCTTTTCACCGCTTTTTGAGCAAGTCGCTGAGTACAAAACTCAATTTCACGCCCCGCAGGGTTTTCTTCCTCATCCTCCCTCGTCCTCTTCCCCAGGGTGACAGTATCGCGCCCTACGCAAGTTTACTATCAATCGACTGCTCTCTACCCGCAAGTCGGCCACACTCGCGCACCATCCACCACCACACCAGCATACGCCAGCACGCGTTCCGCAAGACCCGGCCGCCATTCAAAATGCCGCCCAGAGTACAGTTCAACCACCGGGGACAAACACGAGGACGAGGTCGAGGACGAGGCCGCGGAGGGAAGTCGCGCGGAACCGGAACCGGAAACGACTCGAGCGATGCGGGCTCCGATATCCCAGCAGGGTGGAAAAAGACAAGTTCTTCTGCGCATCCGAAACCAACGCCCTCGTGGTATGAGTCGCTGTTCCACAAATTGGATGGCTATGCCATGATGAGGGAAGAGAATGCGAAGTACGAGAGCGAGCTTGCTTCAATTCGCGAGAGGACAAAGGCAGCGGAAGCAGAAACAGCGCATCTCAAGAAATTGCGCGAAGAAGATTCCCTTGAGCTGGAACACTACGAGAAAGTGCTCAAAATGGCGGATGAGATGGGCGGGATCAAGAACGCAACCGTCGTCCTCGCCGAAGCCACAGTCCAGCGCACCAAGAAATACGCAGAGAGGCTAGACACTCTTCTCGAGAAATTTCGGCTCTATGCGGAAAACGATGACGGAAGATTTATCGACTTCCGCATCCGATTCGTGCAGCTCAAGCGCGAACTAGTGGACAACCTACGCAACGTAATTGACGGCAAAAACGGTCTGGTAACGTACACGGATACTCCAGAAAGCCTCACCAAAGAGCTCCAGAAACGCAACGAGCTCCAGCGCACACAAGCAAGTTTGTTCGAGTTCGCTCTTCAAGAGATGAGCCAGGTCACGCACACACTGGGCTCAAAGATGACAGGCGGCATCAGCACTAAAGACCACATAGAGGTCCTCCGCTGGCAAAAAGACATCGTCAATAAGCTTAATCTAGCATGGAAAGATAAAGAGAGCATGCGCCTGGATTACGACAAGCCTGACCGGGAGCACGAGAAGCTGAGCGGGAAATCCAAAGGATTTGAAGCGGAGATTGAGAATCTGAAGCAGGAACTCGCGTACGAGAGGACGCAAAACGATGAAGCGCGGTCAAAAGTCACACTCTTGGAGAACGATAACGCTTCCCTCCGCCAAAGCCAGCTCACGGCCAATGTTGCAGCAACGGCTTCCGAATCTGCGCAGGTCAACGAACTCCGCGTGCAAGTTGAAGATTTCCGCAAGCAGCTTCGAGAGGGAGCGGAAGAAAAGAGCCGACAAGCCGACGAGATCTCTAAGCTCAAGTCGCAGCTTTCGAGCGCAAGCACTGCGCTCGATCACACCTCGAAGATACACAGCAGTCTAGAGGATCGTCAAACGAAGCTCGAGGTAAAGCACAACAGCCTCCTCGACGAATCGGACCGCCACAAAGCCAAGGTCATTGCTCTTACCGAGGAGTTGTTACATCTCAAGTTCGCCGCGAATATCGCCCAGACTCAGGCCGAGGTCGCCCAAGTAAACCTCGACAACTAGAAGCAGCATAGACGGCGGGCTGACGACCAACGGGCCGAGGCAGAGAGAACGCTGCAAGCCCTTCGCGGTGCCAATGAAGACAAGGAAGAGCTCCGCCGCCTAGAGAAGGAGCGCAACAAGCAACTGAGCCTAGATTTAGACGTCGAGGTCGAGAACTGCCCACAGGCGGAAGCGCCTTTGGCTGGCGAGAGGGCGGCCCATGCAGCACAACGTGATTTGTATTCGAGAGTCGAGGATGAGCGACTGGAGAGAATGCGGAGACAAGCAGAGGAGCTGGCTAGGAAGCGGAGGAAAGGCCAGAGCTTGACTTAGGTATTCCTGAAGATTTGTTGCTGTAGACGCGCTGCAGCAGTGGTAGATAGTTAACCCAAATGCCTTACCTTTCGCGTCAATCAGACGGCAATCTGCAAATACTACTGCTCGATCCAGATGTGAGGTTGCGGCGCACGCAAATGGTGAAAGCCACGGCTCACTCATCGTAGGCCCTTCAAAGAAGGTGGAGTGATGCATGCACAGTGCTGCCATGAAGACATCGTCCGGACGCTCCTCGCTCTCTGTGCCGATATTTCAGGAAAACGCTTGCCGGGCCGGCCACTCGTGGAAGGATAGATCTTGTTTAGTTACTATTAGTCTGGTTTAGGCTAGTTGTTCGTGGAGCATTGTGAAAGCCAACTGGTGTTGTGATTGGAGAACACCCCCACCAACAAGGTAACATAGCCACATCGCTTAGATTTGTGCAGACTCCTCGAGGGGGGCCGGGCAAAAATCGCATTGGCTTGCGTGCAAAGCAAGATATTTGGGAGAGCAACGTGTTGATCTCGTCCAATTCCGTCGACCGCGCAAGCCTACCGTGGCTCCATCCAACGGGCAGCGTGATAGCTTAATTATGCGTTCTAGACTATAAGGAGAAGTAGTCTTGGAATAAGGCTGAGCAGGACGCCCCGCCATCTTTCACCGGTTAGCTTCACCGGTTAGCGACCGGGGTGCATACTGTCCAATATTAGTCGAGCAGACTGCATGTTGGCTAGCCGAGCCTCGTCAGAAGGACACTGTGAAGCCTTTGCTTAGATTCCTCTTCTCTTTTGGTCCCTACACTTCCCAGATACACTTTCCAAATACGCAACGGGATCTTCGCGTTGAAGCTTTCATCTTGCACCGGCTCTCTTCTTCCTCAAGGTCGTTGATCTCGCCTTCCGTCGATGAATATAATCTTGGCAACCCGAGCCCATGATGGAGCCCCTTCAGCGCGCTCGCGAGCGGCATCACGGTCGCTGAGTTCATCTGCAAGATCTCTCAAACCGGGTATAAGCTCGCGCACTTGCGGCGATACGTGACCGAACTATGCCAGAGGGTGTGCGAGCTCAGCACTGTAAGATTCAATACCTTTCCGCCAAGATAATCCAGATATGTAGCTTATCTCCTCAGCTATGCGGTGCGGTCGACCTAGGTCTCGAAGCCGCCGGATACGACATCAAAACGGACACATTCAACGCGCAAGAAAAGCACGGGAAGGACCTCGAAGAAGCTCTGAAACTGAGCCGAAAGCAGGTGCAGTCTATCTCCAAGCAACTGGGGAAAGTAAAGAAATCAGTTGAAGATTACATTTTAGTGAAGGAGGCCAGTCAATATTGAGATCTCAGCCTGTTCTGGATTATCCGACTTTAGCGATCTAACAGGCTACGATGCAGAATAATCCTGCAGAGACTAGAAACGCTAGCAAATATATAACTAGACTTACTAATTAGCGTTCTAGAGATCTAGTATTTTATAGTTATAATAAAAAATAAGTAAACTAGGCACGCTCTCTCTAATATTAGAATTTATACTTAGTAACCTATAATACTATTTAAGAGTTAAGTATAGACTATTATATATATTCTTAATACTATAGACTCTATTACTAAATATAGTTACTATATACTATAATATATAACTTAGGTTATATATATATATATATATAATATACTTTATAAGTAAGCTAGTTACTTTCTCTTAGTAATAAAAATTAACGAAAATTAACTTATTTTTTTTAAATAACTAACGTACTTTATTATTAAGCTAACTATATTATTAAGCTAACTACTTTTACTAAGCCTCTACTAAAAATTATCTTAACTACTATAAGTCTAGCTACCTATATAGAATTATTCTTTTATAAAGCTAGAATATAGCTTACTCTCTTTACTTTCTAGACTAGCTAAATTTAAAGCAAATAACGTGCTATAGCTATATATAGAGTCTACTAATTAATACTAAAGAACTAACGTAATAGAATAACTTAAAGATATAAAAAAATATCTAATTAAATAAAGCTTACTATAAATAAAGAGTAGGTAATAGTTAAGTATATACTAGACCTAGATAAGTAAGAATTTACCTTTTATCTTACTACTATTTAAGATATAGCTAATAAGCTACTTACTAAATAGAGTAAGAATACTATTAGTTAAATTTAGCTAAACTACTTTATTACGTACTATTCTAAGCTTAAAATATAGCTTAATTATAAGTATAACTATTAGAAAGTAAAGTAAGAAGATTCTATAATTATTTAGGTGTAGTTTAACCTAGTAGGTAATATAAAGGTAAAGTATAGTATTACTAATAAAGATACGTATAATTTTAATAAATCTAGCTTTATAATAGAAATAATATTACCTTAGATAGTAGTTACTAGCTCTAAGAGATAATTATAACTAAAGAGTCTTTAACTAGATAATTATAAGTAGATTTTAGTAATTATAATAGTAAAAGTAGTAGATAATATATAGGTTCTACTATTTCTTATTATTATAGATAAGAACTACCTCTTAGTATAGTATAAAGGTAGCTAGCTACTACATAACTAGGTTATAGCTATCTCTAAAAGTAGCTAGATAATAAATAAAGTTAGTATTACATAGTTAAAGTACTTTAACACGTATACTAAGAGTTATATTATAGGTATATATTATCTACTAATTTTAGATAGCTATAAAAGCTATAGCTCTATTAAATTCTAGTAGTACTATAAGAAGAATAAAATTATAGCTCTTTATATACTAGTATATTTATTATATCTTCTATAGCTACTTAATATTAGCTACTTCTTACTATTAAAGGTAGTATATAGGCGCTAAGTTAAAAATCTAATATATAGCTATATTAACTATATTATAAAAATTAAGTTTCTATCTATATTTTACGTAGCTTTTTACGCGTTAATTATAGATAATAATATTAGAGTAGAGTTTAGAAGCGCTAGCTTAGTTCTATTTAATCTAGATTTAGTAGTATTAAAGCTTAAAGTTTAATTACGCACGCTAATACTCTTTACTAATAATACTACTATCTAGAAGTATAAAATATCTAGTAATCTTATTAAAGTAAAGTTCTAATTAACTCTAATTTAATTAAAGATTATATAGTACCTTAATTTATTACTAACTTATATTATTAAGTTACTTAATTAGCTTAAGAAAGGTAATAAGTTAATAGCGTATTAGCTAGTACTTATAGAGTCTAAAGTTACCTAGCTTTAAGTAGCTAATATATAGAAAAAGAAGCGTAATTTACGTAAAAGAAAGTAGATTTAGAAAGAAGATACTCTTATAATTAAAGCTAGCTTATAGCTAGTTACTTAAAGAGAGGCTATAGATTAGAATAAGAGTAAGAAGTAGCGTAAAGAGGTAGTAGCACGTAATAGCTAGCTAGCTTAGTAATACTATAGACGCTGTAGTAAGCTAGAGTATAACGCGTAAACGTACTAGATAGTTAAAGATAATATAGATAAGTTAGATAACTTATCTAGATTTATCTTAAGTAGCTTAGAGTTAGAGTAATCTAAATAAAATAGTAGTATTTAGTAGAGGCTTAGTAAAAGTAGTTAGCTTAATAATATAGTTAGCTTAATAATAAAGTACGTTATATTATAAATAATAGCTATAACGTACTTTATTATTAAACCGCCCACAATTTCTTAGCAACGAAAATTAACGAAAATTAACCCGTTTTTCTTAAATAACTAAGCGAAACCTTAATACTTTTCTATAAAAATTTATACATATATTCTTTATAGTATATTACACCTTATACGAAAGTAACACTAGAATATTTTACGTAATTAAAAAGCTATACGTATATAACTAACTTTTAAGAAAAAATCTAGTTTACTTCTAGTAAGTAGTATTATATCTCTATAATAATATATAAAACTTATAGTATATAGTATCTATAACGTAATAAAGGTTTCTAGAAAACTTCTATAGAGCTAGCTCTTCT